AATGAGGCAACAAAGAACACACAAATGAGAAACATCTAAAGGAAGTCTAAAGATGATAGTCTATCTCCTTTTCCAAAGTCTTTGTCATTTATTTATGAGGTCAAATGAAACAAAGAGAATGATTCAAGATGAATCATCAACTACATCCATGCACTGACGAAGAATGGCGATATCAACATTCTAAAGATTATTCAAGTGAAGATTTTGAAGATTTCTTTAAACAAGGAGTTTCCAGCGACTACTTTCAAGGAGTTAGTTCATCTTGTTGGATTATGTCGTCTCAAACATTTAGACGGGTGTTCTCATGAGGGGGAGTAATTATGCGCTGCACTCTTTTTCCTTAGCTAAGGTTTTTCCCTTAGGGTTTTCCTAGTAAAGGTTTTAACGAGGCAGCACCTTATGTATTTAGAATATATTTTTGTATAATGGACATCCAAGGGGGAGTGTTATGGGTAAGTGGATGCCCATTAGTTCCATAGGTGGATGTCCATTAGGCCCACTTCTCCCCAATGTTGATTTCCCTTGGAACCCTACTATGTACTCTATATAAAGAGCTCTTCCCTCATGGAATAAGACAACCTTCATTCTCTCTTTCTCACAACAAAACTCTAATTTGGAAAAAGTGAATCCATACATAATAGATGTTAGATTTATGCATGTGTAATTTATTCAGTGTAAAATAAACAAGTGTTATACACAAAATACTTTGTGCTATTTTTAGATCAAAACTTTATTGGTCTATTTAAAGATATTTCTCTATTATTAATGGTAAAAAAATTGTGAACATTATATCGTAAGAATTTAGGTTTTGGTTATTGTTGTTGTTGTTGTGTGTTTTAACTTTTAATTTTTAAATAATGAATTAAATCATTAACTTAAAGTACTTCAAAAGTTCATATTATACGCGTAAATCAATGAAAGAAAGAAAAAACTCAAAACGTTTGAATTTTGAACGGTGCATATGCAATTACAAATCCATCCTAATTCGTATGTGTCCTACAAATTTTGTGTTGCCTATGTTTCATCATTGTTGGAAAAGACCAACACTCTCCATTTTCCTACATAAATACTCGTGGTTCAAATGATTGGATCTCAACTATTTCGTGGAGTACATGCTCACCTACGAAATTAAATAACGTTAATTTAGACCGCCAATCATTCATACCTTTTTTCTTAAAGGATAATCTCGTTGAACTAATTCTTCGATGTTGACATTCATTTAACCAAATCATAAATCATTACATGTATGAATATTATTTTATCTTTTTTTCCCCATCATTTTAGAATTTAGGGGAGGCTTTCTATTCTCTATCTTGTTAAAAATGAAACGTGACAATTTGAGATCATGAAGTCAATAATTCAAAGATGGAGACAGTAAGGAAGGAGGAGACAAGTGGACTACGGTACGCCTTTTGTTTTCTATCTACTATAAAAGATTAAAAGTAAGCATTAATTTATCATCATCAACCAATGGCTAACGACTACCTTTCCTCTGTTCCTAAGTTGCTGCTTCTGCTTCTTCTATTTATCTTGTGTAACAATGCTGAGACTTCCTCTAACATCAAGTATCTTCCTGGTTTTCAAAGCCCTCTTCCTTTTGAGCTCGAGACAGGGTTTGTTTTTGTCTTCTTGTGTTTTACTACTAATCCGTTGTTCTACGTTTGGAGATAATCTAAAAGTATGTGTATGTTGTGAATGAAAGGTATATTGGTGTTGGTGAGGAAGAAGAAGTGCAGTTGTTTTACTACTTCATTAAGTCTGAGAGGAATCCAGAAGAAGACCCTCTTCTTATCTGGTTAAGTGGAGGGCCTGGCTGCTCTGCTCTCTCTGGTCTTCTTTATGAGAATGGTAAAAATCTTAAAGATTTTTTTCTTTCTTTTGAACTCATTTTGTTCAGTGACTTGTTTTGAATTAAAAAACAATAGAAATTAAATAACAGGGCCTATGACTGTGAAGTTTGAGGTTTACAATGGAACTCTTCCTTCTTTGGTCCCTACTATATATTCATGGACGAAGGTAGCACAACGTGTATTCTTCATATTACGGTCACGACTATTTATGCTTTGATCTTTTAAGAAATCTTCTTTTTGTTGTCTCTCAGGTTGCGAGTATAATATATTTGGATCATCCGTTTGGAACTGGCTTTTCCTACTCAAGAACTCAACTTGCTGATAAACCAAGTGATTCAGGAGAAGCCAAGCGGATCCACGAGTTTCTTCGTAAGGTGAAAAGACTAACTCTATTGTCTCTTCTTTAGACGTAGACTAGGAGCCTTAAGTTTTTTTTTATTTATTATTATTAATTATTATGTTTGTTGTGCAGTGGCTAAACAAGCATCGAGATTTTTTCTCCAATCCTTTGTACGTAGGTGGAGATTCTCATTCCGGTATGGTTGTTCCGGCACTTGTTCAAGAAATCTCACAAGGTATGCTTCTTATTGTCATTTCAGTATCCAAGCCTTTTTTTTCCCTTTGAGTCTCGTTTCTTCATAGACAATTTTCAAAAATACCACATAAGTTTGTGTTCCAAAATTACAATTGTTAATTTTATTTTTTCAAAAGTTGATGTTTTCCAAAAATACCACAAAACTACTCTTAATCCCAGAAACTAAAACCTAAACCGAAATCCAAACATTTAAATTATAATCTCTTAAAAACCATTTTAAGAGTTTTTGATATTTTAGTGGTATTTTAAGTTATTCATTTTTCTTAATCAAACATTTCAACTAAAATAATATAAACACGTACGATGATGCAGGAAACTATATATGCTGCCAGCCTCCAATAAACCTTCAGGTTCATCGATATTTGTTGCTTCTGTCTTACCTATATACCTTGTTGAGCACTAAAAATTGATAGTTATATATTATTCTTTACCACAAACAGGGCTATGTGCTCGGAAACCCGGTAACAGAATATGAAGTTGATTGTAACTTCCGGATTCCTTATGCTCATGGAATGGCACTGATCTCTGATGAACTCTACCAGGTATGGATGAAACATTTTTTTGTTTCTTGCTTTCATATAACAAGCAACTGAAAACTCTCTTCTTTCTTTCTTTTTTTGCAGTCAATGAAGAAAACCTGCAAAGGAAAATACAGAAATGTTGATCCACGTAATAAGAAATGCTTGAAACTCGTTGAAGAATATGAGAAGGTACAATACAATACACACTCACTGGAAAAATTTAGTTGATCATCTGTCAGTCCACCTAGTAAAGATCATCACTACTTAATCAGAATTTTCGTGGTTATTTGTAGTGCACTGATAGAATAAACGAAGCACTTATCTCAACACCATTATGTGAAGAATCAGAAGATACATGTTATGTAAGTAATCTATGTTTCCCTTGCACATGTGAAGTGTTAAAAAATATAACTATATCTTATGAGGTTGCATTTTGCAGTCGTATCGGTACTTGTTAACTACCTACTGGGCCAATGACGAGAGCGTGCGCAAGGCTCTCCATATCAATAAGGTAAAATCATTACGACAAAGCTCACTTTACAAATTTTTGTTGTTGTTTTAACAAGGATCTATTATTTGCAGGAAAGTATAGAGGAATGGGTACGTTGTAATTGGGGAGTGCCTTACAGTCATGACATTGAAAGCAGCATACCGTACCATATGAATAACAGCATCAATGGCTATCCTTCTCTCATCTTCAGGTCAGAGTTTCAAACTCTAGCTTTTGAAGAAGTTCTACAAGATTCAAGACTTTTTTGTAAACTTTTTTGGATGAACAGTGGTGATCACGACATGCAAGTACCTTTCCTTGGAACTCAAGCTTGGATTAGGTCTTTAAACTATTCTCTTACTGATGATTGGAGACCTTGGATGATAGGAGATCAAATCGCAGGGTATTACCTATATATTTGATGGGTTTCTCTTCTTACTTTCATTCTATTGTCTTATGATTTCATTAAAATATAGCTCTGTTTTGGCAGATACACGAGGACTTATGCAAATAAGATGACTTTTGCTACTATCAAAGTAAGTCTTCTCTTTGTTTCTAATTATACTCAAAAACATTTTGATAGAAGTGTTCACGTATCTTTCTTTATTGAATTGTGGATTTGATTAGGGAGGAGGACACACTGCAGAGTATAAGCCATATGAGAGTTATGTAATGTTCCAAAGGTGGATCAATGGTCAACCTCTTTAACAAGTCCCAAATTTCGTTATGGGTTGTATTGTATTAAAACCAAGGCCATAGATCACTAGAACTTGTGTATTTGTTCATTTGACTAAACTCTTTATACGAGAGAGGCTTCAATGATAGACGAATTTGGTCGACAAGCAACGGATATCTTTTGTTTAGTAATTTATATTCATAGTTCTGTGATCACATATTTCAAGTCTAATAAAATATGAGCAAATTGACTAATATGACGATGACTAATAATCAAATTTCATTTTCAGAGAGATCTTTCACTGTCCGTACAAACGATCATCGTCTTCAAACTCGGTTACTCCGAGCATTGCAAGATCAAGATGACATTTCATCTCGGATTTAGTCTGTTGCAACTGTGTATAAGTGTCGATTAGATATGTTTTTTTCCTGCTTGAGTATGTTCTTGGCTCTAATCCTACATAAATACTCGTGGTCCAAATGATTGGATCTCAAGTAGTATTTGTTTCGTGGAGTACATGCTCACCTACGAATTAAATAACGTTAATTTAGACCGCCAATCAGCATACCTTTTTTCTTAAAGGATAATGTCGTTGAATTAATTCTTTGAAGTTGACATTCATTTAACAAAATCACAAATCGTTACATGTATGAATAATATTTTATATTCTTTTCCCATCTTTTTAGAATTTAGAGGAGGCTTTCTATTCTCCATCTTCTTAAAAATGAAACGTGACAATTTGGGATCATGAAGTCAAAAATTCAAAGATGGAGACAGTAAGGAGGAGACAAGTGAACTACGGTACGCCTTTTGTTTTATATCTACTATAAAAGATTAAAAGTAGGCATTGATTTATCATTATAAACCAATGGCTAACGACAACCTTTCCTCTGTTCCTAAGTTGCTGCTTCTGCTTCTTCTATTTATCTTGTGCAACAATGCTGAGACTTCCTCTAACATCAAGTATCTTCCTGGTTTTGAAGGCCCTCTTCCTTTTGAGCTCGAAACAGGGTTTGTTGTCTCTTAATCCGTCGTTCTGCGTTTAGAGATAATCTAAAAGTATTTGTATGTTTATGTGTAACTTCTTTGTGAATGAAAGGTATATTGGTGTTGGTGAGGAAGAAGAAGTGCAACTGTTTTATTACTTCATTAAGTCTGAGAGGAATCCAGAAGAAGACCCTCTTCTTATCTGGTTAAGTGGAGGACCTGGCTGCACTTCTCTCTCTGGACTTCTTTATGAGAATGGTAAAAATCTTTAAGATTCTTTAATTCAGTGACTTGTTTTGAATTAAAAAAATAAAATAAATAAATAACAGGGCCTATGACTGTGAAGTTTGAGGTTTACAATGGAACTCTTCCTTCTTTGGTCCCTACTACATATTCATGGACGAAGGTAGGGACAACGTGTATTCTTCATACTACGGTCACGACTATTTATGCTTTGATCTTTTAATAAATCTTCTTTTTCTTTCTTTTTGTTGTCTCTCAGGTTGCGAGTATAATATATTTGGATCAGCCTGCTGGAACTGGCTTTTCCTACTCAAGAACTCAAATTGCTGATAAACCAAGTGATTCAGGAGAAGCCAAGCGGATCCACGAGTTTCTTCATAAGGTAAAAAGACTAAACTTTATTCTCTTGAAGCATCTCAATTCAGGCAAAGAAAATTTAGGAATCCTTATATTTTTATTTTGTTTGTTGTACAGTGGCTAAACAAGCATCAAGAGTTTTTCTCCAATCCTCTCTATGTCGGCGGAGATTCTTATTCTGGTATGGTAGTTCCGGCACTTGTTCAAGAAATCTCAAAAGGTAAGCTTCTTATTGTCATTTCAGCCCTAGTTTCTTCATAGACAATTCTCAAAAATACAACAAAAATAAGTTTGTGTTCCAAAATTACAATTGGTAATTTTATTTTTCAAAAGTTCATTTTTTTCCAAAAAAAACACAAAACTAAAACCAAACTCCAAACCCTCAATAAATAAACTTTGTTAAATTCATAAAACTAAAACCTAAACCCAAATCCAAACATTTAATTTATAAACTCTTAAAAACTATTTTTATATAATGTTTTTGATAGTTTTGGAAAAAAAAAAATTATTGGTATTTTTGGAAAAATAAAACATTTTTTTTGTTATTTTAATGCTATTTTAAATTATTCATTCTTAATCAAATAATATTTCTCTTATATATAACAATATAAACACGTACGATGATGCAGGAAATTATTTATGCTGCCAACCTCCAATAAACCTTCAGGTTCATCGATATTTGTTGCTTCTGTCTTACCTATATACCTTGTTGAGCAAGTTATATATTCTTCTTTACCACAAACAGGGCTATGTGCTCGGAAACCCGGTAACAGAATATGAAGTTGATTGGAACTACCGGATTCCTTATGCTCATGGAATGGCACTCATCTCTGATGAACTGTATGAGGTATGAATGAAACATGGTTTTGTTTCTTGCTTTCATATAACAAGCAACTGAAACTCTTTGTTTTTTTGGCAGTCAATGAAGAAAATCTGCAAAGGAAAATACAGAAATGTTGATCCACGTAATAAGAAATGCTTGAAACTCGTTGAAGAATATGAGAAGGTACAATACACACTCGCTGGAAAATTTTAGTTGATCTTCTGTCCACCTAGCAAAGGATCATTACTACTTAATCAGACTTTTGTGGTTATTTTTAGTGCACTGATAGAATAAACCTATCATTAATCTCAACACCATCATGTGATGAATTAGAAAATACAGCACCAGATTGCTACGTAAGTAATCCATGTTTCCCTCTCACATGTTAACTGTTAAAAATATATTACTATATTTTATGAGGTTGCATTTTGTAGTCATATCGGTACTTGTTAACTACCTACTGGGCCAATGATGAGAGCGTGCGCAAGGCTCTTCACATCAATAAGGTAAAATCATAACGACAAAGCTCACTTTACAATTTACTTTTTGTTGTTGTAACAAGGATCTATGATTTGCAGGAAAGTATAGAGGAATGGGTACGTTGTTATTGGGAAGTACCTTACAATCATGACATTGAAAGCAGCGTACCGTACCATATGAATAACAGCATCGATGGCTATCCTTCTCTCATCTTCAGGTCAGAGTTTCAAACTCTATCTTTTGAAGAAGCTCTACAAGATTTCAAGACCTTTTTTGTAAACTTATTTTTGGATGAACAGTGGTGATCACGACATGCAAGTGCCTTTCCTTGGAACTCAAGCTTGGATTAGGTCTCTCAACTATTCTCTTACTGATGATTGGAGACCTTGGATGATAGGAGATCAAGTCGCTGGGTACTACCTATACTTTTGATAGGTTTCTCTTCTTAATTTCATTTTATTGTCTTATAAGTGTCATTAAACTCGCTCTGTTTTGGCAGATACACGAGGACTTATGCAAATAAGATGACTTTTGCTACTATCAAAGTAAGTATTTTCTTTGTTTCTAATTATACTCAAAACATTTTGATAGAAGTGTTCACGTATCTTTCTTTATTGAATTGTGGATTTGATTACAGGGAGGAGGACACACTCCAGAGTATAAACCATATGAGAGCTATATAATGTTCCAAAGGTGGATCCATGGTCAACCTCTTTAACAAGTCCCAAATTGCGTTTATGGGTTGTAATGTTGTATTGTATTCAAAGCAAGGCCCAGGATCACGGTGTATACGTGTATTCGTTCATTTGACTAAACTCTTTATACGAGAGAGGCTTCAATGATAGACGAATTTGATCGACAAGCAACGGATATCTTTTGTTTAGTAATTTATATTCATAGATCTGTGATCACATTTTTTTAAGCCTGATGAAATATGAAATAAGAACAAATTGACAAAAATACGCAAAAAATAATCAAAATATAAGCAAAGTATGAGCAAACGAGAAGGAAAATAATAATCTAAAAATGCAATAGATAAATTGTAAGTGTTGATTTCAACAAAATCTGAAAGTGAAATCATTACTATCGAAATTATTTACGTAAACATATTCATTAATACACAAAAAGCAAGATCAAAACCACCTAGAGGAAGAAGCAGTTGATAACTCATTAGGAGAAGAGGAAGCAAATTTAGCAATGCGGCTACGTCCAAAATTAAGAAATGGCATGTTCTGGGAGGCATTGGACGAAACCATTGTTACGGATAATGAAGAAACAATGATGAGCATTCAAAAAATTGCAAAGTTGGCGGAAAGTTGCATATCCGTAGAGCCTGAAAGAACGAACCATGGGTCAAACAATGACAGTCTTGGTTCCGCTTGTGGAGGACTGGACACCATCGTCTCCACAAGAAGATGACAGTTTAGAGAATGATAGTGTGAACCTTTTAGAAACTGTGCGGAGATGGCAACTAGAAGCTGAACAAGGAACGTCAGCATTTTATTTTGGCAACTTGGTTCAATTTATCAACTTAACATCCCCTTTTTAAAAAAATTAATAAATGCAAGTACGCTAACAAGTTTCGTCAAAATTCACTAGATAAATTATAAGTTTTGATTTCAACAAATCTGAAAGTGAAAGCATTAATATCGAAATTATTTACGTAAACATATTCATTGATACACAAAAAAAAAAACTAGATCAAAACCACTTACAATATAAGAGTTTGTAAAACAAGTGTACCAAAAGAAAAACGTTTTAGGCTTATATTTCAGTACCATATTTTTTAGCATTATTTATTCAAACAATTGCTTGCATCCAATTTGGTGATCACTTTGTGTCCTCTTTTCCACTGGACTCTTTAATCAGTATGGCAAATTGGCAATATCCATTAACTGCCCTCTTTTTTCATGTTGTCAATGAACGATTGCATAACTACAACCATTGAAAACATTTCACACGGACGTCCTAGATAGGTCTTCACTGCTTGTTTGTGTTGCTACTGTCTGGAGCAATTGTGATCGCTTCACTAATAGTCTTGTAATTTCCCGTGCCATCCTTAGCAACAATAAGGTTGGACTTGCTATGACAAGGGGACGAGGCAAAGTAAATTTTCCCACCGATATAATTATTCAGTTAATCATTTTTATTACAATTACATTAAAAGATATAATTATTGTAAAAATATAAAATATGAACTAATTAACAAAAATAAACAAAAAATAAGCAAACTATAAGCAAACTATAAGCAAAATATAAGGAAAAAAAATCAGATAGATTATAAATATTGATTGATTTCAACAAACCTGAAAAATGAAAGCATTACTATTGATATTATTTACGTAAACAAATTCACTGATACACAAAACGATAAAATCAAATAGATTAAACTATAACTATAGAAGTTTGTAAGACTAGTTAATGGAGTGATGTATGATAATTGGTGTATTTAATTTCACAACATGTCTATGTAAAAGTATGAGTGATGTTATCCAAGGTTTGCTGCTCAATGTTATGTAGTTGGGTCTATTTGTTTGATGAAGATAAAATAGATAAAAATACACACTTTCCTTTAACTATCAAATAGATAACAACAATTCCAACCATCATTTTTAACTGAGTTCCCCAAAAAAGCCCAAAATTATTGAAAACCGAGAACGAAACCGAATAATCAGCTTTCCTCTTTCATAACCAAACCGGAAAATTAAAAACCTAAACCGGTTTTCCTCCACAGTGGAAAGTGGAAACAAACAACAAAAAACCGAAACATGTACACACAGCAAGCAAAGTTCAGAAAAAAAACTAACACAAACTCTGTTCCAAACTTTCCAATAAATACCTATTTACACACTTTTCAATCAAATTTCATTTTCAGAGAGATCTTTCACCGTCCGTACAAACGATCATCGTCTTCAAACTCGGTTACTCCAAGCATTGCAAGATCAAGATGACATTTCATCTCTGATTTAGTCTGTTGCAACTGTGTATAAGTGTCGATTAGATTTGTAGTTTTCCTGCTCGAGTATGTTCTTGGCTCTAATCCTTCTTCTCCACCTTTCAAGATCGAAACAATCTCTTCCATTCCCGGTCTCCGAGACTCCTCGTTGGTCACACACGCCGCTGCGGCACGGATCATCATCTCCATGTGAACAGAGTTTTTTCTTGTACATCTCAGCCTCGGATCAAGAAGCTCCTCTATAGCCTCTATCCCTCTATCCAACAACGGTTTCGCCTACAAAGAAAACACAAAGAATCTCACTTTAAGTCTTTTAACCAAAGAAACCCTAATTTGCATCATCAAAGTTTGACATACCCAAACAACCAAATTTTCTTCACCAGATGATCTTCTTGGTTCTATTGGTTTCCTACCAGTTATTAGCTCAAGCAACACAACCCCGAACGCGTAAACATCGGTCTTGTCTGATATCTTGCCATGTTGGAAATACTCAGGAGCTAGATATCTGCAAGAAGTTTTAGGTTAAATCAATATGCAAGGAGCAAGAACAAGACTCAATGGAAGCTTCGATCGTTACCCGAATGTGCCTTTCACAGTCTTGCAGAGGAAAGGAACAGAAGGAGCAGCGGTCCAAGTAGCTAAACCGAAGTCACACAACTGCAAATAACCAGCACAAATCAGTTCTTGTTACTCCGATCAAGAACTCGAAAAGATCATTCATTTCTTGAAAAAGGACTTACCTTTGGAATTTTCTTTGAGGAAAGAAGAATATTGGAAGGTTTAATATCTCTATGAACAACACATTGCTCTGTTCCATTATGCAAATAAGCAATAGCATCTGCAACACCTAACGCAACCTTGTACCTTGCTGTCCAAGGCAAGCCAAAAGCGGATTTCACACCTTTCTTCTTCTTCTTCTTATCTATTCAAATTCGAAATATCACTAGTCTTTAAGAACAGATTTTGATCTAGAGGAAACAATGGAGATGGTAAGAAAGATGATTATTTACCGTGTAAATAATGTTCAAGGCTACCACCAGAGACATACTTGTAAACCAAGAATAGACCTTCTTCAGGATCAATACAGAATCCAAGAAGAGGCACAATGTTGGAGCTATGAAGAGAGCTTGCTATCATCAACTCTCTGCAGAAGGATTTTGGAGATTCTTTGTCTTCTTTGTCAAGTCTCTTGATTGCTAAAGCTGTTTTCCAAATCCCGAGTTTACCCCTGAACACATAGCTACAAGCTCCTCTTCCTAATACTCTCCCTAAACAAATTGAATCAAAAAGTCAAAACCTTTACCAATTTTTTCAACCTAATCCCTAAGAACAGAGCTCAAGAACTAATTAAAGGTTTCACCTTTGGAGAAGTTACGAGTGGCGGCGACGATTTCGTCGTAGCTGAATCGGACCAATGTATTAGCCACCGGAGAAATGCTCTTTTCCAGCGACCGAGCTCTCGTCCACCGCAAATCATCCGTCGATTTTCCGGTTTCCTTAACTCCGTTCTCGAGATTCACCATCAGAACCGTCGTGGAGCCACCGGAAACAGAGAGATTCCGGCAAGAAGAGGAAGCGGAAAGCGAAGGCTCTTCTCCTTTCAGCTTCTCAAGCTCAATATGTGAACAGAGACTGAATCTAAAGGAGGAGTGAACAGAGTGAGGATCCGGATTCATATTTTCCGGAGCTGTTTCCGCCAAAAGCCACGCCTTGTTGTTCTCTCCTCCGCCGCCGCTGGTGCTGCTTCCGCCGCCTCCGCTATTTCCATTGCTGCCGGATCTCTCGATTGAGCTCGATGGAGGAAGGAAACAAGAGCCAAAATCAAAGATCATTTTTTTCAAAAGGGTTTTGAGTCCTCTGTCATTGTATTCTCCGCCGAGATCTGAAGCTAAAGGAGACGATGAAGAAGTGAGAATTGGGAGATTTGTGTCTGAATTCCGTGGATGAACAGAGGCTCCTTCATAAAAACCCATTCTTTTGGATGAAACAGATCTCAAGAAAGAAAAAAGACAGAACACAATTACCTAGAAAAAAGCAAACAGAAATTAGATTCTCTTTAGTGAAAAGTTTGATTCTTTGAAAAGCTTCTTTGCTTGATGGAAGAGAAAGAGAATAAGCTTTTTTTTTTTTTTTTTCTCTCCTCTTAGAGAGATATTAGCAATTTTTAGAAGGTTTATAAAATTGAAGATGGAAGAAGATGATTGATTAAATTAATATGTGATTAGTGGTGGAAGGTGGAAACATTTTAATTTTTTTCTATACCGTTAAGTTGTTGTTGTGATCTTGAGCAAGAAAAAACAGGAGAGGGGGAAAATAATTAGGTGTGAGTTATTGATTAGTGGGATTTTTTAAATTATTGAGTTTAAAATAATTGAGAGCGTTACAAGAAAAACAAATCAATCAATGGGGTATTAATGTAAGAAAATAAAATGTAATAATTTAAAGATTAGGTCATATGGGTAAAGCTGTTTTCTAATACTCAAAAGGGGGACAAATGCTGAGCCCACGAGGTTATGGTTCTCTTGAAATAATGGAGAGAGAGAGAGAGAGAGTATTTTAAAATTCATGTTAAAAACAACAAGTGTTACTATCGATATAATCATATAAATAAATAAAATAATCAAGTGTTACTATTTTTAGTTTTATATTCTCTCTGTTTCGATTCGTACATGTGGAAAACATCGACACTCGTAAGAAGTTTTACATGGGTTTATCCGGTGGGGCCAGTCCACATATTATTTCGTCGTTTTTTTTTTGTCTAACCATCTTTTTCAACAAATATTAACCTATTTTCAAAGAAAGACTACATGGTGGAAAAAGTTATACCTTAAACTTTTTTTGTATCATAATAAAATGATATTTTAACAGAAAAACATTTTTATATTATTTTTTCATTCCAGAGAAATGATCTCCTTCACCAGAACCACATTTAATAGTTCATACTTATTTTCGTTAAAATTCTAGCTTTAATGCGTGCCCCACCATTAGTCTTTTCAGATGCGTCAATGGAGCAAGCTTTTGATACTTTGGTTTTAGCGGTCACCTCTCGTCAGTTTATTTGAACAATTAGTAATTAGATTCAAGTCTTCTATAAAAAGTATTTTAAAAGAGGAATCCTCCGATTTACTATGAAGATGGAATTCCAAAAGTGCATGTTCTTTTATCTGTAATCCTCAAGACTTTTGAAATATGGAAAGACTATAACGTTGCTCTACATTTATCAACATGATCTCTAGGCTCTAGCATCGTTAGAGCTCGTGACAAATCTTATAGAAGGAAATATATTATTAAATTGTGTTGTTGATACAAAAGAATAAAACCCATATATATAGGGTTAACATTAACATATTGATAACACTAAATAATGTAAATCTTCCTAATCCTTATCACAGTAAGATTCTCTAGAATATTCTTCGGTTTGATTTCATGAGCTTCACTTCATAAACAGGCTTCAGTGGCCCACAATACTTGGTTCGCCTTGCTCATCAAGATATCTCCAATAGTTCGGTTGGACTCATTAATACACATTCATAACTTCATAAGAAGGAGACTATGACTTAATCAATCCTCATCACCACATGGTTTGAGATATTCTAGTGTATATTTTTGTTTGACAGCAGTTACGGTTTTGATTATAAAACTTATTCAAATTTAGTGATCAGATAAGGAAGATAAAAATTCAGATTTCATATGATTATATTTACAAATAGCTCAACAACAAAAGGTTACAAGACAAGAACGTACGAACACCATCAACTTAATTTTGATAATAAATGAAACAAGAACGTGTGAAATAATTTTAAATTAAAGTACAAGGCATGAATTAATATAACTGTTCTACTTACAACTTTTGATAATAAATGAACGAAGAAACTTGTGAGAAAACTTTAGATTGAAAGTCTAAGGTATGGATGAATTTAACTACCTAAGAATAAATAGGTAAGATTTTTGGAATTCAGTTATTTATTTCAGGAGTGAACAGCTTCTACTTTTGTTGGTTCTTGTGGTCAAAGATTCTTAACTCTTCATATTTTCCTAGACCACATGTGTCTAGTACTGTGACTGTCTACGTCAAACTAGCAATGAAATAAAATGTTGGTGTAAATAGTTTTCGTAGACAATGACGATTTTTTTTTTCTCTTTTTTTTCTTCTTATTTTGGACAAAGGAGATTTGATAATAACATTACATTTTGATAAAATTTGGTGACCATCCTAACCAACTAAAAACTCCAACATGATGAAGATGGCAGGTTTACATTTTCACCTCTGTCATTAAGATGGTGTTCGTTTGGCAGTAGCAATAAGCCAATAATGATATGGGATCAATGTGCTGTTTAATTTATTAATGTTATGGCTACCTAATGGTAACTACCTACAAATTTCAGTTACCACTTACCAGTATGCACGATAACATGGGATTTCGAGTTGACTTAGAATGATGCCCTTAACATGCAAAATACGACCGAAAGATAGAAATTAACTACATATATAAAACGTTTACGCGACCTATAGAGTCACCGAAGATAAAAAAAAAGATGGTGGAACTTATTAGATCAAGATCATGAGTATTAACAAAATAGCCTAATCCTTTTGTATCCAACGGGACTTGGTTAGACTAAAATTCTAAAAGTATTATGGTAAGACAGCATGAAAATGTTCAAATCTAAAGAAAACTATAACCTAGCTATCACAATCACAATGACATGAAAATTACATTGTGAACCTCTTCCTTATTCAGTTGATCTTTTATTTATATATTATTTATAAAGGTGGCCTAACTAGCCACCCCATGAGTTATGTTGGTAAACTAACTAGAGGATGTGGTTTTGTGTAGATATGCAAGATGCGATGTGATATTGAGTATTTGAGAGGTCCAAAATTAGGTGGACGAATACGGTGTCGATTTGGTAAACTTTTTTACATTGCAGATAATGATGATGATATTATGATAATGATATCAACTTGGTTTACTTTTTGTTTTTATGTATACACATCCCTTGCAGACGTGTGAAGATACTGAGTCCGTACCATTTTGTATATATTTGGAAAAAAGAAATACGTTTAGGAAAATAAACTTTTTTGCATTTCAGATAATGTTCACTCTGTATAAAAAGTTTATGATAAACCAAAAAAAGTTTCTGTGTTTCCAAATAATTTTTTTAGTTTAACTCTCTTGGTTTACAAACGTGAAAAACAATGACAAATAATCAATTGAAGAGCACAAATCCCCAATACTCCGATTAGTTAACACTTCAAAATATCTTAAGATATAGAAATAACTTTCACGACAATAAGTTAACAAAATTTTGTTTCGTTGATGGTTTTTATTACTTTTCTTTAACATATAAACCAATTTCTAGATTGTTAGATTATCTTCCAAAATACACCGGCCTAATCTTACACTTTAAGGTAGGGATAAGAATAAATACACTTATAGCTGTACATATGTGAATGGAAAAATACTTATTTTTAAAATGTGGAATTATTAGATCGTAGATTGTAATAATTCAAGCAGGCATGCATGAACGTGAGACAGAGAGGGAGAAACATATCAAAGTCCATTTATATACATGTCTTCTGTTTGGTGCTACTGCTAACATTACATCTCCATTATTTTTATATGCGTTGAGATGTCGTTTTCTCTTTCCCGATTTTTTTATTATATTAAAACACATAATTTGGTCTTTGTTAATTATCTATTCCATACAATTTTAAAACAATTCTTCGAATGTTATAATCTATTGTCGTGTGGTTGAATCTCTTTCTTTGATACTCGCCATTTTCTTTCCTTTCTGGTTTGCAAACTGCCAAACTTGAACAAGTGTATAGAAATCTTGACGTGTTTTCTGTTTTTTCTTTTTAACTTTGTTCAGATTCTTCATTTTTAATGGCTCATTTTGATTTATTCCCATACCTAAACAGTAAACCCTAAATCATAAAATCTAAATCATAATCTGAAAGTCTTTAACCCAAATATTCAAATCAAAACCCTAACCCCCAAATTTAAACAAAATCATCATTAGACATAAACAAGGAGAATAACAAAAGAGGCAGAGAAACAGTTTTCATGAGAGATAAAGCTAGAATACATGAGATTGACCTCTATTAGCGTGATCCGTTATTTTTACCTTTGTAGTGGTTTAAATTTTTATGGACCTCTATTAATAAAACAGCATGATCTATGTGTGTATATATTTGTGGACCAATAAGAGAAGCCTGTCAGGTTGTGACTGAATTCTAGCCATAATATTATGGTTTATTTTCTTCTCTTTTCTCTCTTGCTTTAATGAAGGCGCGTTTTAGAATCATGAGTGTATTTAGCGTCATATGCCCCACTAAGTTTGAGCTTAAGGGTTCAAAACTAAACGAGCCCCACTCCACTAGTTTGGGGTTTGTTTAGTTCTAATGTGTATTCATTCTTATTTTATAATTTCCTTTCAATAGAATGTGATACTTTGGTAAGGTTCAAAAGACAAGTTATTTTTGTTCTTGAATGTTTTTTTTTGGCAAATACTTGCACTGAATTTATCTTCATCTGTTTGGTGTCGTAGCCAAGATAAATTATAATAGTTTTCATACACTATAGTTTTTCTGTCTAAATATAGACAACAATCAAATAGATGAAGTCTAATATCCTCAAAAAACTCCACGAGATTGTTAATCGGAGATTAAGGCATAGATTAAATCATCTGGTATAATTGTCCATGAACTTGGTAATGAACTCAAAAATATCCACAACGCCAATTAATCATTATTATATTTCTCATTATACTTTTTAAAATTACCTAATTTCCTAATAAAACTGTGAAAGCAAGCTGTCTTCTGATTCCATATTATGTTAGCCTGCTTTACTCGGATTGGCCGAAAGTAATAAAAAAAAGGGTCTGTAACTGATGCTGAACTCAGTTAAAAATTGACATCTACAACTACAAAATGATTAAAAATATTAAATTTAACAAAATTATTGGAGAAATATATCGTCAAATCGGAATATTCTAAACCGGCAGCACTGTGCACGGAAGAGCATGTGGCAGATTTTACGTACAGCAAATCATTTTATTTAAAATCTCATTGCAGAATTTGTAGTACATTTAAAAGGGTTTCTATTTTTTCTGACAAACAAAATGTTTCTATTTTCTCAGTAACAATTACTGCTTTAGATTAACAAAGAAAAACAAAAGCGTTAACTTCCAGTAGATTCAGTTACTTTTTTTTGTGTGCAACCAATAGATTTAGATACTATCTTATGCAAACATTACACAATTCTATATATAGTTTTTAAAAACAGAAAAACGATAGTTTCATCTATGAGGGTGTATACTAAACATGCATGGTAACTCAAGTTACTCAACGCAGCACCAATATATCCATAGCGTACGTACGATACTTAAATACCTGAGCTTTAATTCTACACATAAATATACAAAATTTTAGTACATAGGTCAACTAGTCGATAACGATATTTTCAGTACGTATACATAATTTATTGATATTATTCATTAGGGTAGTTATATTATTCGGTTAACAGAACTTCGAACAGACCAACAGCACATGGTGCATTAATTGTCTAATAATTATATCAATCAAGATTCGGCGAAAGCAGCAGGCTCCTCGACCAAATGGATTTGTAGAAATCAATATTTCAGTATAATAAGTTAATAGCTGAATATTGGTATCACAATATTCAATCACACATTCACACTAAATATGAGTATAAGATGTTTTTAGCGACAGGTAACAACATTTATGTTCACATGGGTGCTGTGAACTGTTTGTGTAAATAATTATTCTGGGGTGTCAATACTATAACTAATTCTTATATCACTAATGCAGATTTATGTATCTAAAGCCCAATTTGTGTATAACACTAGTCAACTCTGCTACAAAATTATTACATCCATTGCAAATGAATAAATCCATTGATTATGCATATATCAGTTTGTGTAAGATGTAAGAATATGGGAAAAAATGCCAACCTATAGCCAGTTAGCCACCAAAAGAAAGAGGGAGTTTTTTTACTAATTCGAAAGAAAATGATTTGAAAATCATAAAGAATTCGATTGCAAGCGAAAGAATAAGTATTATTAATATGCTCTAGTCTTTGGTTCGATGAATATGTGATAAGGTCCAAAATTGCTTGTTTCTAGTGGAAATTGCATGTCCTGAAAATATGTTTGCTTATGATTATTTTTAATATCATTTGATGGAATCTAGAGAGAGTCCAAACTTACAAAAATAGTACAGGGAAAATCAGAACAAAAAACAAAAGATCAAAAATATTTAGAACAAGAAACAAAATGCAAATGATGCCAAAAGATCAAGAGTTAAGGTTAGTATTAAAACACCTTATTTTTCGAGTGCCTCTAAAACCAAGCTATATAAAAAAAAAATGCAATAGTACTTGTAAACATATATGCCAAATGAAGTAGATTTAAAACCGTATCTACAACAATAATTCTATAATAATTTTTTTTTTTTTTTTTTTTTTTTTTTTTTTTTTTTTTTTGTCTACAGCCTCTCTATCTACAGAACTCGGGGATCCAAGCTGGTGATACAGAGTTTACATAGTACACATCAGTAGGTAGAGCTCGAGCACTTCGTGCTAGCTTGTCTGCCTTCGTGTTGTTCATCCTGGGTATGTGGACAATTGAAAATGAGGTGAACCCCATCTTGCATTTGTCGACCTTATCAAGAAGTATTGCAAACGCCGGCCACTCCTCTGGTTTAGACACCATCTTCACCACGTCGGAACAGTCCGTCTCGAATACCATTACTAACTTTTTATGCCGCAGCATGCACTGCATCGCCCAAAGGAGTGCCTCTAGTTCAGTCTGAAGTGAGATATTCCCCGTCTCAGATTACACGAGCCCATCAGCTTACTCTGTGTAGTTGGATTGAAGTGATACCATCCCAGGCCAGCCCTACAATCGGTCTCCTTCCATGCTCCATCCACTTGACACCGGTCACCCGATAAAATGGTTTCCACTTGAGTCTGTAATCGTGGAATCTCTGTTTTTTGTTTTTCCTGGGCCTTAGCCCATGTCAATGATTCCGCTGTCGCTTTTGTAATTATATCATTTGGGTCCCAATCCACATTCCCTAGAACCTTATCATTGCGAGCTTTCCAAATATACCAAATCAACCAAGGGTACGTCCTCATTCTATCATCATTTGGTAATTCCCAAAACAAATATGCCATATTAGTAAACAAACTTCCTATTGGGAACCGTATTGGAGCCGTTGGAATTGGAGATAAAGCCCAAACCTGTAGTGCTGGTGGGCATTCAAACAGAGTATGATTCACTGTTTCTGGTGCCATCCCACACCGCATACATTGGGGATCTATCTGCATTCCTCGACTTCTCAGTCTATCTCCCACCACTATACAACCCGTCAGCGATTGCCACAGGAAATGTTGTATTTTTTGAGTACATTGTACTTTCCACACTTGAGCCTGAAGACCCCTTGTATCCGGACCAAACAACAGAGGGTTACTATCCTCCCGAGTCCTTTGTGCTATCTCATAACCCGATCTAACCGTATATCGACCTGTCCTTGTGTAAAACCATCCCATGGAATCACGACGGGAAAGGTGTGATGTTGGGATCCCCAGAATTAGGGGAACATCTATGCTATCAAACAATTGATGTAATAGTGGTAAATTCCACGTTGCTGTACCGGGACTAATCAAGCTATATTAGCATATTAGTATATTAAATTAAATTAGTATATTAGCTAAAACTAGACCTTGTTTTGTCTCTTTCAATTTAAAGGCTTAGGACCTCCAATATCATTAAACCGACCTATGTTATGGTGATTCGGTGACTGTGTTTTGATGATTGTCCATTGACAATGAACCATTGTGATGCTGAGAACCACAAAATTAGTGACCTTCAAAAACTGTTCACAAATCTAGAGAATTTAATTCATGATGACTACTACTTAACCAACATAAAACATAATTTCCCCACATTTTTAAAAATTTCTAGCCAAGATTAGACGTAGCATTGCTGGTTCAATACTGGACCCTAACATTTTCTCTCACTCTCATCTTATGCAAGCAATATATTTGTCATATTCGCACAAAAGAATTGACAAACACACAAAACGTAAAAATAAATAAAGAGGAAACAAAAAACGAATTGCTTTGTTGGGCTACCGGCGGCCCATATGATCTGTGTGGGTTAAAAACAAATGGATGTAAGGAAATGAAAATTAAAACGCTTGAAGGAGGGTTCGAACCTCCGACCTTGTGGTTAACAGCCACACGCTCTAACCAGCTGAGCTATTCCAGCTTTTGTTTTCTAGCTCACATATTTATAATATATTATAAAACCACACTGCATGTTTTTATTTGCCATTCGTATCAATACCCGAAAGCTAGAACACATACACAAGTCACAACACAAGCTTCGAGTTCGAGTATGTAATGTTTTCAAAGGGACTGACTTGTAAGTTGGTTCTCTTATTTGATATCGTAGTCAAATATATGAGCAGCTTATACGTTGGTGTGTTTTACTTTGATTGAGATCGTTAAGTATACCCATAATCACCAAGATGAAAATCTGTTATACCAATTCACTAAATTATAGAAATGCTTTGACATATAAACCAAAATTTGTGGATAAACGATTCCTTTAAAAGGGTATTGATTATCAAAAATGGTATTGCAATCTTAGACAACCGTTTCTTCACTCTCAACTCGATTTTGTATCATTTTGGCGGAAACAACTCCAAACTCGCGATATTGCTGTTCCAATAATCAAAGGCTTCGGTTAAATGAGATGTAAAATACTGTGATCAATCAAAACCAAAACTTTATTGGGCTAAGAAAAGATGAGTGTTCTGAAGCTAGCTTGTGTTGGGCTTCGTCACTAGAGATAAATTTGTTTCCTTCAGTGAATTTATTTTTTTGGCCCAACATAGATGTTTTTTTCTTCCTATGTAATAGTATATGAACAATTGAAAGAGTTTACTACTGTCTCTACCGACAGAACTAGGAATGCATATTTAATCAGTTCTGCACTTCTGCTAGCGAGTGATATGTAAATCATATATATTTAAGGGATTATGTGGGATTTTTAATCATTTATGTGATTTTCTACTATACAAGATTCATTATGTGGAATTGTACCCAAATGATATGCAAGGATGATCTAATCGAATCAGCTAGCTTGGAGATTTCCACATGGTCCAGACCATTCTAAGGCGTGTCTACTTCATGCCCTAGCTGTCAAGATACAAAGAACATCTTCGCTACTTAGCCAAAAATCAAGTAATAAAATCCAAATCAGGACAAGCATTTGATTGATAGTTTATGTATGTTGATTAATTTTCTCATTTGTTATTTTGAATTAGCCTTGTTCAAGCACTATATCAGCTCACATTTTTTTGGTCTACTCTGTAACCACGCTTTTATGAAACCAGAAATGAAACATCATATTTTTTTCTTTAAGCTTTGTCTTTTGTATTCTCATAGTTGAATCATGAGTGTGTCTCTTTATTCTAGAGAGGTTTAGCTTTTCATAAGCCTGTCATAGCTAGCTTGTGTGGCGCTATCGGATCCATTTCCATCCATTCACTCCATGCTTGCAAATCTCTTACCCAAAACGTACAAATTCCTACGTGTATCAAAAAGAAGTAAGAGTTAATTTAGCAAGAAAGAGAAACATTATAAGCGATATAAAAATAAATGTATGAAGTAACAGTACAAAAAAGTTAACAAACTTTATACAGCTATACACGTACTCTTTACCATAACGATAAAAGATTACCAATCACACCCATTACAGCAGTAAAGTGAACAAATAATAAATATGAATAGCTCACGCTAGAGACGTAGTCACCTAGTTTTATACTGATAAGAAGTTGTTGAGACAATTTATTATAAGCTCTTATGAGAATCTTAACATCTAGAATTAAACCTACAATTTAATTAGACTTAGTGGCCTCCATTTATGAAGAAAAAGATTTGTTTCATTCTATTTCGAGTATAACAAAGTAGTCAAATTGAACGAATGGATCAAAGCTAAAGTAAGCTTTCAAAATTGAATAAAACCAATTGATATATCATATATGTCGCACAACTCCAGAGCACTCGGTAATGAAACAAAGTAATTTGACTCAATACTTAATTTAAACAATTGATATATCATACTACATGACATTCATTCAACTCGAAACCAATTATATAGTAATTTCAAGTTGAATGAATGTCATGCAACTTGGGTTATGAGTTTAAGAAATCATTTGAAACAGAAAACGAAAATGTTGTACTTCAGTAGTTGTTTTTGGTTTTAAATATTCTTGTTCCTTCATTTGCTACTATATAATATCTCTTTGAAACCATAACAATAGATAGGTATATCGTTAAATAAGAATAAAATTAGATAATACCTATAACAAGTAGTATATATAGAGTAACATAACTTCAATCTATAGAGTTATAGAGTTACAAAGTTATTAAATTGGCTGAATGGATACGTCGGTCGATTTACCTTGATCATAGAATTTGTTTATTCGATTTATGCTTATTTTATTCACTAAGTTTTATAATCAAGATAAGACTGTTTCCCTCCCCCCTCCGATTAGGTTAGACTGTTACTAGAGACTCAAATTAATCGTAAATATAACCTATTTTTTTAGTAGATTTTGATCTAAATTTACGATTTTCTTGTTTAAAAGAAAATGTAGAGCATATACTTTATTTTTTGGAAATTTGAGAAAATAATAGCAAACTTCAGAAGCATCTTCATTCTTCAGTGGGAGAAAAAGAGTATTCAAATGTATAAAAGAACGACGTGAAGATTAGCGGAAGATACGGCGATGCTTTTGCTTCTTTGTTCTTTCAATCTCTAATTTATTTGATTTTCTATCTCTGTGTAATTTATTTATGTTTTGCAAAGTCTTCAAGTCCATTAATTTCACCACTGCCAGCTAACAATCCCGATGAGAGATCATAAATAATACAGTACTTATTGTAATTAATACAATTGGAACCACATTCATTAATTGCTTACATTACATACATCATCATTGATTAATTTACTTGATTGTAGTGCATACGTATCTTTGTATCAGACATCCATGCTTATGATTTTAAAAACAATTGCATGGTGCATCCCAACTTTTGACCCGACTGTTCTATCTAATTAGCGAACGGGTGTAGATCGACCCTCAATTCAATCGATATGCTTTTCTTCACCGTTCAATAGCTTAATACTATAAGTTTTGCAAAGCACAAAAAATGCATCAAAAAAATATTATTTGCAATATGGTAATTCATCACAAACTCATTTTTTTTTTAGGTTACACTTGATTGTTTGTCACATCCATTCACTCGAATTTAACACTTAAGGTCGTACTAGCTAGAATGTTAATATATCTCACGGTTCGTTTAAAAAATAGAGTGCTTAATTATTTGCCAAAATGTAAGTACTAAATAACTTTATCTTAGACTCTTAGTCGAATTTTTATCAAGCGGGTTCGATATCGCTATATATTAGTTATAAAAAATTGTACTTGCATGTTGATAGTAATTTACATTCATAATGACTTCGAAGCTTCGACTGATAAGATTAATAAACTCGATAAATATCTATTCTTGATTTCATGCCAGCCTCTTCTTTTAATCATTTTAACTAAAATAGATATAAAGATATAATAAATGTCATCATCTTCTTTAAAAACATGAGAAAAAATTGCCTATATAAACCTTTATGAGAACATAACTACACAAACATTGTATCTAGCTCTTTGCTTACCAATCTACAACCTTAAAACCATTCCTCGTGGTTCCGATTTCACAAATCTCCACAAACCTAACTTCTAAAGAAACACTAAGAAAGAAACAAAAAAAGCCCTAAATATCTCAGTCCAACACCTTATACTTAGTATCAATGGCACTCGTTAATGACCAACCCAATGAGCCTACTTACATCTCTAAACAAAATTCTTCTGAAGATCTCTCATCCCCTGATAACTACGGATTAGATCACACCGAGGCAGCTTATGCAGGCGGCGGCGAAGGAGGAGGCTCGGCCTCAAGTAGCAGCACCATGAATTCTGATCATCAACAGACTCAAGGGTTCGTGTTTTACCCTTCCGGTGAAACCATTAATGAAGATCATAATTCTTTGATGGATTTCAACAATTCGTCATTCCTAAGCTTTGATCATCACCGGAGCTTTATCCCTCCGGCATTGGTCTTGGACGGGAACATGAGCTACGGCTACACAGGTTGGAGTCATAATCAGTTCGATAGTCTTAGCCCTAGAGTCATCAAAAATCCGAATTGCTTTGAAACTACGAGTAGTTTCGGATTAAGTAAACAAGTGACAAACCAAGGAAATGGAGACTGGCTATATTCTGATTCAACCATTGTAAACACCGGCTCAAGGAACGAGTCCACGTCTCCTAAACCGGCTGGAAATAAACGTCCTTATAAGGTAACAATTAATAGCTCTATGTTTATAATTTATCGTTCTCATGTATATGATTTTGATCACTTTAAGATGTTAAACTATTACCGTCATTGATAGGGAGAGAACACTCAACCTTCCAAGAAGTCAAATATTGGTGCGAACGGGAAGGCCAAATCTAAGGCAACAATTTCACCTAAAGATCCACAAAGCCTAGCAGCCAAGGTTTGCTTTCGTTTACTGCATGCTTTTTTGGATTTTAAATCAGTTTTGGAGTATGTAGAAGTGTTTTTGTTAATTAATTACCAACATAAAAATATGTTTGTTGTCTAGAACCGAAGAGAAAGGATAAGCGAACGCCTCAAAGTATTGCAAGAACTTGTACCCAATGGCACCAAGGTATATAATACATTACAAAATTTGCTGCTTACCGCGCGTACTAATAAAGATGTCATGTAGTAATGATTTTGACATTTACATATGTGGTTGTTTTTATGTAGGTTGATTTGGTGACTATGCTTGAGAAAGCAATTGGCTATGTCAAATTTCTTCAACTACAAGTTAAGGTAGATTATTCTTAACAAACATTCTACAATATATGCTACGTCATATAAAATTGGGGATTTTCAAATGCTATAGATGCATTGACATAAATAAAATAATTTTTATTTTATTTTTATAGGTACTTGCAGCGGATGAGTTTTGGCCTGCACAAGGAAGAAAAGCTCCGGACATTTCTCAAGTTAAAGAAGCCATTGATGCAATCCTGTCATCATCACAACGAGATAGGAACTCGAACTAAAGACAAAAATGGCAGAATAATTAATTATTAAGTTAATCAGCATTAATTATGTTGCCGTCACATTTGAATTCGGTTTAAAAAAATAGTTAATAATTTAGGAACGTTAAGTTATGTGCAAATCGAGAAGGTTTGTGTTCCTTTTAATATGTAAGACACAACACATTGAAGTCACCGATGATCTTGTCAGAAGTCGGTCCACACGAGGACGGAATCTTTATATACTAGTTGATAGGTATAGTTATATATGTGTACTGTGTAGGTATCGATCTTTCTATTTTTGCATCTTTTTGTTTTATTGTAGTTCTCCAAGATGTGCGTAATGTGATTTTGCAAAATTTTTGGATATTCTGAGCTTGAGAGAATCTTTAATGTTTTCAGTGTTTTATCTCTTCTTTTATCTAGCTTATGTCTTTTTCTCGCCACCTGTCTGGCTATTAGTTGTTTTACGTAAAAGGAACCCTTTTTTTTCTGTGAAAAGTATCCTTGTTTACTTCTCATGATGTTAAATAGATTAATTTGTTGCATATATACAAAATGATAAAAAGTAGACAATAATAAATTTACTATGAAAAGCATATAAAATATATATTAATTTTAATATTATTAGCCATTTTAGAGATATGATAATGATATAATTAATTTTTATATGTCTGTTAATGTTGATCCATTTAAACATGAACCGAAACCTAAGAAGAGTCTTTATTAGGGTTAGGAGTTAGAATGAACTAATTGAACATCAGATATAAAATGCGAAACACTTAAATCTCTTAAACATATATTGAGAATATCCCAGGAGAAGGGTTTGAAAGAATGTTAAAAAGGTAGTATCTTCGGTAAGCCCCTTAACAAAGAAGAAGGTAGTATATATCTGCGGTGTATTGGACAATCGATGATATTCATTCAGCATAAACGTCATTATTAAGCAAAATTTCAAAGTGATCTTCTTGAACATATGCTTTCATATTATCTCCCATTTCATCGTTTTTCTAAAGAAAAGAGTTGAAGATGCACTAATATATTTTGAAAAATTGAGTTAATACTAGAAAATATTTATGTAAAGTAATTTTATTAATCAAAAGATCGTTTCAGTTACTTCATTTGTTATTGTCATGCATTGAAGTCTTAGTTTGCTTCTGTTTATTCTGCTCAATTATTTCAATCCATCACTCGGAACTAATCCTCTTGTACACCACAAATTGTATATTTTTTTATTTCAAATTTTATTCGTTTCAATAAATTACAACTTCAGTTAACTGATTGGAAAACATACTTCGGAGCTCGATCATAATCACAAGGTCAACGCGTGTCCTTTTGTGAAAGATTAGGGGTACGTGGTCGATATATTATCATTAACTCAGAGAGAAACTGCGCAATGGGATTTATTAAACCAAATATTTTTAATTTAATTATTCAGAACATTAGATTCGAATATATCATTTGTTTTTTACTCGAATATATTAGATTCTGTAAGTTTTGCATTTTGTTTTTTTTCATATAGTTTTAAAATTTAGTTGTTATTTACGTAAAATCTTATATAGACTCATAGTGAATAGTTTCATATGTTTTTTGTTCTTTTATACAATAATTTATCGACTGGAGTTGAGTTCTTCTAATTTTCCTTATACTAACAATCATTATAGATTGATTATTATCCTACAGACTCATAGATAATAATAATTGCAACCCTTTTTAAAAGGAAATGAAATGAGCTAATTAGCCAGTAAGCCCATTTAAAGCTACCATGGAAACGAAGAGGTCCGATAAATAATCAAGCCTATCAAAACGAACAACATTACACATAACGACGTCGTTTTGGTGTAAGAAAAAAAAAAAAAATAAAGCGCAAAACGACGTCGTTTTGGTGTTAGGCGAAAAAAAAAAAAAAAAAAGAGAGAGTGCCACGTGTCAAAGACTTGAGAGTGTCCAAGCCTTATTAGTTATGTAGATTTCATTCTTTAGCATAGTTTTTAATGTTAAAAAAATAAGTTGAAGAATATTACATTGCATATTAAATAACCACATGATTAGCAACATTGACAATTCCACTTTAAGTGCTGTACTTGTAATTGTGTACTTGCATTAGTTCTGTACTTGAGTAAATTCTATTAATTAAGTGAATAAGACAAAACCAGTTATCGGAGCAATTAATCCACAGTTCTTTTAAATTAACAACGCCTTACAAACATAAATTCAACAATTAGATATACAATTCTTGTTGTCTTAAGAAAAAAAAAAAGACATCGTTGTAAACATAACATTTTCGAGCAACATTATTTTCGGTAACAAAGTTTGTTACGATAAAAGAAAAATCAATTTCAGAGTATACAATTTTTTTTTTTTTTTTTTTTTTTTTGTTCGAAGAGTATACAATTTTTTATACCTTTTTTTTTTATTACTAGTCATGTAATTCAAATGTACTTTCCTTTGATCGAAGCAAAGTGTTTAGCTATTATGAGCGAAAAAAACAAAAATAGGTTTATCTCATAAAAAAAATAAACAGTTGCGATAGTATATTGCTTTTAAATACAAATTCCTTTATCAAAAAAAAAAAAATACAAATTCGTTATATATTCCTTTTTAAGAATGCTAGGGATGTAAGTTTCTTAACAGAGAAATCAATGGTTTTGCGTCTTTTTACCGAATCTAATATGAACAAACGGATCAAAATTAGTGTAATAGCTTGTTGAGTTCGTTCATAAAAAAAAAACCACATTAGCTGCCAAAAACTAAAATAAAAATTCTAATTATAAGACGTCATGATTTAATTAGCTTTGTGGATATTCCCTTGAAGATTCTATTGTTCTATTGGTTGATAAATTTTTCAATATGTTTATATGTCTCCATAATAAGGGACATGTAGTTTTAGTGTATGTTTTCTTACTTACGCCAGATCAAATTCATGCACAAACTTTCTGGTTTCATTATTATGATACTTATTTGCAATATACTTTTCATAAGAATAGTTTTCTACTGTAATATATATTTTTTTTTGTAACATCATTTTTAATATTGTATTCAAAATATGAATTGTTGACTTAGTTTTGGCAATGATCGGATGTAATATGACAAGCTATATCGTTTGCAACAGTTGTCACTTGTCACGTGCATTATTTTGTTAGGAAGATAGCGAAGGCTCTGCCATCAAGTTGACTAGAGAAAAGTGTTGCATTGTTTGTATCGATAAGTTAAACTGTGCATTTGAATGATATCACATAATCTTATGACAGCATATTCTCCTAAACACTCATTGTTGTATTGATACGTTAATCGTGCCGATGTAATTTTCGGTGAGATTACTTTGAATATTTGATCTTTGATTGATTGCACGTAAAGGTTGTGCATGATTAACATGTATGTGTTTTTTTTTCTCCAAAGGTTTTTGTCTTTTTCCTTTTCCAAACTTTTTTTGTTTGTTAGTTTATTGCAGGTTTATTCAATTCTTTCATGTCATAGGTCTCTATTCAATTCTAGTTTACTTGAAACAGTGAATATTCAGTGTCAAACTCTAATTTTCATAAGAATAATTGTGTGTTAATACCAAATCGGACGTTGTATCTTTTGGAAGCACTCTATCAACTTCTTTGTATTTTTTTGTTAAAACATATATTTATGATTAAAGTTCAATTTTTTCTTTTTTAAGGATTTATCAAACGGATAAATAGTTTGATAACAAAATAAATAGATAAGCTTGCATACTCTTCTAAATTTCTAATCATACGTTATATCAGAGGATTTGAAACATGTGCTTCCCTAAGTCATATCCTACATATCGAATCAAATACATGTCATTAAGAGAATGGCAGGTCTTAATTATATACTGATTGTTAATCATGAGGTTTAATAATTACCATCTTTAATGTTAAAAATTAAAGAAAAATATTAATTCACATCTTAAAGGTAGCAAAGCTTACACGTCCACGTGCATGCATATTTGATTAATACAACGTGAGACTCGGAAAATAAAGTTGTTAAATGACAATATTTTTTTCTGGGGTTCTGTTTAGTGTTTTTTTTGTTTCTTAATATATTTATATAATCTCGATTGATGTGAATGGTCCAAACTCTTTTTTTTTTTTTTTTTTTTTTTTGCCGGCAGTGGTCCAAACATCTTTAAATCTGTATTCTTTGATGCATCTTTGATATTTTGAAATATTAATATACAGGAAATGATCATTTTGATTTTATGTTCACGTATTGACTATCAATACTATATGCTGCACGTACTTGTTCACCTAATTATTATGGGCCATTAGGCACTGAAGTCATTTTCTCTATATATAAGTTTGGCAACTCTAAAATATTCTCTATCCTTTTACAAAAATAAAACTCTAAAGAATTCTCACACACCAAACCCAAATTATTGAGCCTAATTTAAACATCTCAGCCCATGGTTTCAATTTATTATGGATGATTAATTTAGAGTAGGCAGTATAACCCACTCCAATAATCTAATCCAAGAAACTTGCATCATATTTTTTCAACAAACTTACATTAGTTTTAGTTTTAGTTTGTGTGTAACAAACTCAATTACTTGCAGTATTATATACGAATCTGAGTTCTTGGGGCTGATTCTTTACCTAACACAAAAAACTCAAAATGATATATATATATTGTTTTTTTGCATAAAAACATTATATAGTTTTAAACTAAAACCTACGTAACTTGATCCATATTTTATTTGTAGTATTTTAGTACACATTTTTAATTTAAAAATCCAAAACCATTTATGGATGGCCCTCTTTATACATATTATAATTATAGGTTTTATTTTTCCTACTTTTAAAATTTAAAATTGCTTTTAACAGGTCTACGTAGTGAAGAAAAAGATAATAACTCCTACAAACTTGCAACTCCCACTAGAATCGTTAATTAGCATAACGTCAAAGAGTGTGATCCTATTTTCTATCTGTTACATCCAATCAGAGATTGATCAAACTCATAAGAATTAATCCAATCCTTCTGTAGTTTTTTCAACTAATATCTTGTTTCACATGTATAAAAAAAACTTTTTGATCTGCAAAATCTCCAACCACTAGCTACATTTTTCATTCTCTTGCTTCCAAAATAAAAATCCTCTTCCCTCAATTTTTTTAGCTACTATATATCTGTAAAATGAGTTCGCATGGTGAGGAAATCGAAGAAGAAGAACAAATATCAAGAACTGAAAAGGGCATAGGATCAAGAACTGAAAAAGGCACAGGCAAAAATTGCCATGGAGGAATTGAGACAGTCATTTGTACTTCTCCTAGCATTGTTTGCCTTACCCAAAAGGTAAAAAATAAAATAATAATTATAGATTATATATAGATATTTTATTGCATGAATGAATAGTAAATATGTATTATGAATAATTTGGTTTCTGGCTTTTAAAATTTTATCACAGTTGATAGCAGAGATGATCGGGACATATTTCGTAGTGTTTTCGGGATGTGGAGTGGTGGTAGTGAATGTGTTGTATGGTGGTACAGTGACGTTTCCGGGAGTATGTGTAACTTGGGGTCTCATTGTTATGGTCATGATTTACTCTACCGGTCACATCTCCGGTGCACATTTTAATCCAGCCGTCACCTTCACTTTCGCAATTTTCCGGCGATTTCCTTGGTATCAGGTCAATCTCTATTTTCTATCTCACCCTTGAATAAGATCTGTCTCGACCTTTAAGTTGTTGAAGATCTACACGTTAAATGTAAATAAAAAAGATAAAATTGTTGAAACCTAAATAATAATAACTGGATTTGATATATGAATAAAGAAAGTGATTATGTAATATGTTATGGACAGGTACCATTGTACATTGGTGCACAACTTGCCGGGTCGTTACTAGGGAGTTTGACACTGAGACTAATGTTCAAAGTCACACCGCAAGCTTACTTCGGAACAACTCCGGCTGATTCGGCCGTACGAGCGCTCGTTGCAGAAATCATTATCTCATTCCTCCTCATGTTTGTTATCTCCGGCGTCTCCACCGATAGTCGTGCGGTTAGTGTTTTCCACATCACCATTTCTCTTCTTCTTGTATCCTTCTTGTTATCCATACTAGTTTTTCTTTAGAACATAAATGGACACACAAACTATATATATAGTTGGACTTGCTTGCTAATGAATATATTTTCTAATAACCTCTCATCCATGTTTTTTGACAGGTCGGAGAATTAGCTGGAATTGCGGTTGGAATGACTATAATGTTGAACGTCTTCGTGGCCGGGTAAAGTTACTTTTTAAGTAACATTTTTTATATTATAGTTTGAAGATATTATTAATTTTGGTTTATAAATTATTAGACCTATTTCCGGAGCATCAATGAATCCAGCAAGAAGTTTAGGACCAGCTATCGTAATGGGAGTATATAAAAACATATGGGTGTACATTGTAGGTCCAATCGTCGGAGTTATGGCTGGAGGTTTAGTGTACAACTTTATCAGATTTACGGATAAACCACTCCGAGAACTTACTAAAAGTGCTTCTTTCCTCCGTAGTGTTTCTCCAAACAACATTGCTTCTAGTTCTAAGAGTTGATCTTTTATTAATCATAAATTTATGTATAAATTTTTATCTTTTAATGAGACAAAAATTGCTGCTAACAGCTCGACGTAGTAATTGAAGAAAGACAATGACTCCTACAAATTTGGAACTCCATATTTGACTTATCAATTAGTTCCAATCTTAGTCTTTTTTTTTTTTACCTACGTAACGTCAAAGTCTGATCCTATTTTTCATCTCTTACATCCATTCCTAGCTCTATTATTCTAACACATTGGTTTTAATCCAATCCTTCTGTGATTTTTACATTAATTTCTTTTTCACATGTATAAAAACTCTAGCCTCCAATTTCTCTTTACCACAAAACTTTCACATTCCTTTTTCCCTAAATAAAAAAACCCTCCACTCCCACCATTTTCTTTTAACAAACAAAGTTCTAAAATAATTTATTTAAAATTTTATAATAAAAAGAATGACTTCGCCTTGTGAAGAAATCGAAGAAGAAGATATATCAAGAATTGAAAAAGGCAAAGGAAAAGATATCGAGACAGTCATATGTACTTCTCCCAGCATTGTTTGCCTTACCCAAAAGGTTAAAAAAAAACACAAATTTTATATATTGGATAGTTATGATGATAATAAATATTTTGAACTAATTTGTTTATTGTTTCTTTCAATATTGATCACAGTTGATAGCAGAGATGATTGGGACATATTTCATAATATTCTCTGGATGTGGAGTGGTGGTAGTGAATGTGTTGTATGGTGGAACAGTGACGTTTCCGGGAATATGTGTGACTTGGGGTCTGATTGTTATGGTCATGATTTACTCTACCGGTCACATCTCCGGTGCACATTTCAATCCTGCTGTCACTGTCACTTTCGCCATTTTCCGGCGGTTTCCCTGGCATCAGGTATCTATTCTTCTATCTCATCTTTCCTTGTTTCAGTCACTTGCGTTTATGCAGTCTAATAAAAATGTAAAAAAGATGGACAACTAGCATTTGCGTTTACAATTGATAAAAAGTTAAACACAAAAGTCAAAACAATTTTTAACAATTATCGTAACTACATTTGATATTTGCATTATGAATCAAATTTGTATAATTTTTTTTTGGCAGGTACCAATGTATATAGGTGCACAACTTACGGGATCGTTACTAGCGAGTTTGACATTGAGTCTAATGTTCAAAGTGACACCCGAAGCTTACTTTGGAACAGTTCCGACTGATTCGTACGCACGAGCGCTTGCCGCAGAGATAATTACCTCATTCCTTCTCATGTTTGTTATCTCCGGTGTCGCCACCGATAATCGTGCGGTTAGTGTTTTCTAATTATCTATGGGGTATATATCGGTAGATAGATTTATAATGGACACACAATATATAATATATGACATGATTAAACTATTTTTTTTATAGCTAATCAATACTCCCTCCGTTTCATACTTCATACTTAGTGTCATTTATTTCTTTCCACATATATTAAGATAACAGTTAGTATGGTATTGATGGAATATCTAGTTTCTAATAGCCTTGTGACAAAAAAAAAATTCTAATAGACTCTAATCACATATTTTTCTGGCAAACGAATGAAATCAGAATTACTAGTGCATATTCTAATATCAGTTCCCATGCAATGCTGCCACAACGAAAGAAAAATATGCAATTGAATCCTTAAGTTGGAATTTTTTTTGTACAGGTCGGTGAATTAGCTGGAATTGCGGTGGGAATGACAATAATGTTGAACGTTTTTGTGGCTGGGTAAAAAATCTCCATTTCTCATTTTATAAACAACAGGATTTATGTAGGACTATACATAGTTTGGGTTTTGATTATTGTTATTAATATGCAAAAATGATAGACCGGTTTCGGGAGCATCAATGAATCCAGCGAGAAGTTTAGGACCAGCGATTGTGATGGGAGTATATAAAGGATTATGGATTTACATTATTGGTCCCATCCTCGGAATTATGGCCGGAGGTTTTGTTTACAACCTTATCAGATTTACAGATAAGCCACTAAGGGAACTCACCAGGAACGGTTCTTTCCTTCGTTCCGTTTCTCCAAAATGCAAACCTTCTACTTCTAAGAGCTAATTCTTTTCTTCTCTTATTTGTTACTTTTTTCCCCTTCGAATAGTGTTTTTTTTTTCATTTAAATAGTTGTATACACTGTTCATTGTTTTATCAACGTACTTTTAGTCGAGTCTAATCAAAGAAAAAAATGTCACCTCCATTTCTTGATTAAATTTATGGATATAAGCAGATTATAAATCATAGATACGATATAACATATTGTCGTCTTTTATGGGAAGTGTGAGGACTAGGGATTGAAAGGATTCTGGTGTGCTTGTAATGAGTTTTTAGGACAGTTAACGGCCAACTTGAGACCGGAAACAGTTTTCTAGCCCGGTTGTAAATGACAACCACTTGCTCTGTATCAAGGACTTAGTCTTGCAAATGTGCGAACACAAGTCAACCACAATAGGTGACACTTAATTTCTGAATAAGGCAATTTTGAGAAACTAACTATGAGATATGCCAAAAAAACGAACAAAAGCTTTCGTCTCATGCCACTTTAAAGGAGAAATGACGTTGATACAATCTTTGTGGTCCATTGACAAAATAAAACCATTGTGCGGTCGTTCTGGACATGTTCATTATGTTTCCAATTCTTACAACCAGTTACATTCAATTCACTCGTCGTATATAATATCATCATTTGTAATAGATATATTTGAGTTAAAAGAATCGATGAAACAAAAAAATGTTTTGTGGTGATGTTGTTACTTGTTATGATCGTTTAGTCATTTTATACCTATTGAAACATGATCAAATTTTGAAAAATAATTTGATTAAATATACAACTTGTATTACTTTAAAATATCTAGCCATTTCTATTATTAACTGATATCATATTTATACTATATTCTGAATAAATAATATTTTCGGTGGCTAGATCTAATGCCTAAAAATCTCCTTTTCTAAAAAAACAATTTGCTAAGTTTGGATACTCCTACAAATATATATACAACTTCTTTTGATAATGTAGAGTTGCATATATAACCAATCTTAGGTGACTTTTTACCCATCTCCACATAACAGTCAAAATTTCACCCTATTTTATCTGTTACATCAAATTAGAGGTCGTTATTCCAACTCATTAGATCTAATCTAATCGTTATGTAACAGTTAAAGCTTATTTCTTTTTCACATGTATAAAAACCCCTACTCTCCAAATTCTCCAATCACAACAATTTTTAGTTTCTTCTTTCTCAAACAAAAAACCCTCCACTCTACTTTTTGAAAAAAAAAACAAAGAATCTTTCATTTTTAGTTATCCAAAAAAGATGACTTCTCATGGTGAAGGAATTGAAGACGAACAAATATCAAGAATTGAGAATGGCATAGCAACAGATTGCCATGGAGGAATTGAAACTGTCATATGTACTTCTCCTAGCATTATTTGCCTTATGCAAAAGGTATATTTAAAAAAAAAAGAGTGCATAGTTTGATAGTTATAATGATAACAAATATTTTGAACAGTTTCATTTATGATTTTTCTTTTGTTATTGCAGTTGATAGCAGAGTTGATTGGAACATATTTCATAATGTTTTCTGGTTGTGGAGTGGTGGTGGTAAATGTGTTGTACGGTGGAACAGTGACATTTCCGGGGATTTGTTTGACTTGGGGTCTCATTGTTATGGTTATGATTTACTCAGTCGGTCACATTTCCGGTGCACATTTTAACCCTGCCGTTACCATCAGCTTCGCCGTTTTCCGGCGGTTTCCCTGGTCTCAGGTCACTATTTACTCTCTATCTCTTGCGTTTGTATTTAACAAGAACACAATATTGACTGTGTAATGTTTTGGACAGGTACCATCGTATATATGTGCACAACTAGCAGGATCGTTACTAGCAAGTTTGACATTAAAAATAATGTTCAAAATCACACCCGAAGCTTACTTTGGAACAATTCCGACTGATTCGAACGTACGAGCGCTCGTCTCCGAGATCATTATCTCATTCCTCCTCATGTTTGTTATCTCTGGTGTTGCCACCGATAATCGAGCGGTTAGTGTTTTTTTTTATATAGCACCCTCTATATCAACCTCAAAATGCCAAGACAAATTGTCCTTTCTCACCCATTCTCCATAAACAGATGCAATGTAAACCATTTTCTGCAAGTAAACAAAAACCAACCACATTAGACTTCTGATAGACTTTAGTGGTAGACTTCACCTAGAAGTCTACCTAGTATTGTCTAATATTCAATTTTGACAAGAAAACCGTTTTCACGAAATATACAACGAATAAGCATGTCAAACTAACACACAAGCAACTAAACAGACTAACTCAACTAATTGTTCAAGAAATCTTAAAAATTCGTTATATATTTTCCAAAAAAGCGTTTTCAAATAAAACATTAAATAGTAGACTTCACGAGGAAGTCTATTTAGACTTACTAGACTTCCTGTGAAGTCTAATAGACTAGTTTTGCAATTTTTCAAATTACGAATTTTTTATGAAGTCTACACGTGAAGTCTACCGAAAAAAAAGACTAGTTTTGCAATTGACCAAGCTTTGACTTTTTCAAATAGACTTCATTATCGTGAATAGGCTTAAAAATGAAGTCTAACTAGAGAATGAAGTCTACTGGTGAAGTCTACAACAGGAATTAGACTTCATAGGATTAGTTTTGCAATTGATCGAATTTTTGAATTTAGAAAATAGACTTCATCGTGAAGTCTACTCCGATAAACGTTGACTATTAGACTTCACCAGAAGTCTATCAAGAATTAGGCTTCGAAATGAAGTCTAACCCTTTATTAGACTTTGAAATGAAGTATACTCATATTTTTAAAGTCTAAACAACATTAATAGACTTTCAGGGGTAGACTTCACGATAAAACAAACTACTAAAGTTTGCAAAACTAGTCTTTTTTCAAGCAGACTTCACGGATAGACTTCTCATAAAAAGTTTTTATTCTGTCAATTGCAAAACTAATCTGTTTCGAGTAGACTTCATTCTGAAGTCTACGCCATATTTTTTTGTTTTCAAAGGAATATGGGTAGACTTCATTGTGAAGTCTACTCTCTAAATTTTTTGAAAACTCAATTGCAAAACTAGTTTGTTAGACTTCGCTATGAAGTCTAAGGACCTGCAAAAATATGAAATTCACTCAGATCTACCGGAATTTTACCTTGCCGTGATCTTAAGTTTCGTTGACGGCCTATAACTTCGATTTAGAGCTTCAGCAAACTTCCCCAACCGTTATAATGATCTCCCACACCAAAAATGGGAAGATCTAAGAACATAAACTTTGAAAAGATGAAAATGTGTGTTCTTGGGGTGAAAATGGAGAAGAAATTGAAGAATACAAGTTTATGAGATGATATAATGAGTTTGTATATATATTTGAAGAGTAAATCATGCATTCAAAGCTTGATTTTGGTTGAGAATGGTTGTTGGACGAATTGATGGTGATGGCATTTTCGTGAATAAATGAAGAAGATGAGGTTTCTTTGGACTTTTTATTTTCGTATTAGACTTCACGGTTAGACTTCAAGGACGAAAGTAATGGCATTTTCGTTATTATCACAAATATGTGAGGATAAACAAGGAAAAAAAAAGAGTGAACTACTTTTGCATTTGACCTCAATTTTTGTACTACTTTTGAAAACAGCCTTATTTTTAATTTGTTTTCACATATTGGAGAGTTAGCAGGAATTGCGGTTGGGATGACTATAGTGTTAAACGTCTTTGTAGCCGGGTAAAAATATTATGTTTCATCGTTTTATTACAAACATTTTTTATATTATTGGAAATATTAATTTTGGTTTTGATTATTTTTTATTAGACCTATTTCGGGAGCATCAATGAATCCAGCAAGAAGCTTAGGACCAGCGACAGTGATGGGAAAATATAAAGGAACTTGGGTTTACATGGTTGGTCCCATCATCGGAGTTATGGCCGGAGGTTTTGTTTACAACTTCATCAGATTTACGGATAAACCACTGCGAGAGCTCACAAAAAGTTCTTCTTTCCTCCATAGCGTTCCTCGGAACAACAATGCTTCTAGCTCTTAGTTGATCTTTTGTTCTCTTTTTGTTACCTTGTTTAAATTTTTGTATACATATTCTTAATTCTTTTATTAACTTAATTTTATTTAAACAAAACTCGATTTCCAATTTTCCATTAGACTCAACACTTTCTTTGCTACATTGAATAAATCAAAAGTGTGTGTATTAAATCAACCACAAGCTTATTCACCACAATTCCGGAAGATTTTGATTACCTTGTAAAACTTCTTCTGAATCAAGAATCTGATCCTTCTTTCATAATATCTGGATCCGTGAACTGAACATGATTATTTTCAACAATAATTACACAATATATTTAAACATGCTATTTAATTTTCTTGCACTTTTCGTATACCAATTTGAAGCTGCTCTTCTTTCAAAGTGTTAAGAAAATATAAACAGGATTAACTTCTTAAAGTATTTTTCAAATAAAGATATGTCTATTGCTTAAAATATTTAATAAATTCTATGAAAATTGGCCAAAATGGCAATACACCATCTATTTCGTAGGTCCTGAGATGTTATACAATATTGGTATGCTAATTCTTTCAAAATTAAAGAAATATATAATTTGGGTTAGATGTTTGTAATTTTTAGTCTAGGGATTATTTTATAGGGATATGAAAGTCAATTTTGAAATTTTTAGAAAATAGTGGCTAGATCCGTTACTGCCTAAATTATAAGTTCCTAGAAAACAATTTTGTTAAAGTTTGAACACTCGTAACAATTGACGGTGTTATCTTGTCGCCGGAGCCGCCGGAGTTGACCGTTCATTGGAGTTTCTCGATCGACAATTGAATACCGTATTGGGGTTAGTGTAGTTTCTTCTCTGAAATCCCTCTCTGATTTAGTGGGCGGCGCGGTTTCCGTCATTTCGTAATCTTCGATTTCCGCTTTCGATCTGTAATTGATCACAGCTTTCGTAATCTTCGAATGATAACACGATTCCGTCAATTCGTAATCTGTAGATGTGTTGTTTGATTGTCTTTGTTAGTAGCAATTCGCTTTTCATCTGATCGATTGTGATTAAATTTCTCAGCCAAGTCTGGGTTTTGAACAATCCTAGTTTGCAGAATCCATTGTTATTGTTGTTCAATATTCATTGATTGTTGCAGGAAAGATGAAGAAGCTGCTTGAATATGGGAGGAAAGCAATGTTCTATGTGAGAGTCCTCTCTGGGTATGAAGAAAGACGAATCCGAAACTATAGGTTGCAACTCGAAAAGCGTATCCAACAGGTTTTTTCTTTTTCTATCTTCTTTGAATGAATGGTAGGATTAGATGATGAAACCATAGGATGAGAAAAGGAAGAAACTTTTATCTTTATTCATTGTGTAACTAGAGATGAGTGACTGATCAAAACGATGGCAAAATTTGGTGTTTGCAGGCGCAAGAAAAGAAAGCAGAGATAAATAGACTCCCTGAGAAGATTATGTTATCTGAAATCCGCCGTATGGTAGACCAGATGCAGAATCTGAATAAGCAGATTGAGAATACGGTTAGTGTCTCTTTGTATTTTACACGTCTTAAGTTGTTGAAAGGTACAAGGATTCTCTCATAGTCTTAAGCAACTCTCTATTGGCAATACAGGAGGCTCAGATTGAAGACTACTTCAAGCCGATAGACAAGCAAGCTGGTACCATTATGGAGGTTCAGCTCGAATCGGAGAAGAAGACGATGGGGACTATGATGACTGCAACACAAGAGGAGACTATTAGAAAGATTGAAGAAGCTGAGAGACTTGCTCGGGCAGAGGCAAACACGGCAGACAAAGATTCGGCCAATGATAAAGCTCAAGCAAGGTAAAGACTAAAGACGAGACATATTTTGTTGATACAGAATAGATTGAGAGAGTCTCTGAGCATGTCCAAGGTTTCAGATTGTAGGGTTTTAATAATTTTGTGTGACTAAATAGAACAAGACCGAGAGATTGTGGTCTGTTTAGCATGCAACAACTTATAAAGGTGTTGGCCCTGACTCTGAATCTGCTTGAATGTTATGTTGGGTTTCATCATGCTTTGAGAAATCTCTCATATTTTTTTTGCAAGTCAGAGACTTTAAAAAAAATCTAAAGTCACTACATCCTTAAAAGCTTAAACTCCAATCAGGGCCTAAATCATGATTTCCTAAAAAACAATTTTTGGTAAGTTTGAACACTCCTACAATTGTGGTGTCTCTTTATATATAACTTTTTTGTCAACGTATACTCGTTGATTTGTTTCCTTTTTCTTGTTATGCCTATTATCTTATAAACAGCTCTACATGGTAACTGTAAAAAATGACAGCGTAGAACGCTCCATATGTGACTCATTGTTAATGAGTACAACAAATCTTATTCTTATCCAATTTTTCATCCGTTACATCCAGTCTCCATTATACACCAACTAATTAGATTTTATCTAATCCTTCTGCAAACTAATTTCTGTTCCACACCTATAAACTCTTTAATCTCCAAACTCTAACCACAAAAATTTCCACCTTTTTTTTCTTAAGATTTTCGGAAATATTTCAATTAAAATTTACCGAAGAAAATGACTTCGCGTGGTGACATAATCGAAGAAGAACGTATATCAAGAATCGAAAAAGGCACAGGCCAAGATTGCCATGGAGGAATCGAGACAGTCATATGTACTTCTCCCAGCATTGTTTGCCTTACCCAAAAGGTAACAACAAAAACACAAAACTTTTGTTCCATTGCATAGTTATGATGATAAATAATTTTTTTTGAAACATTTGATTTATTCCCTTTTAATAAAAATGATTTCAGTTGATAGCAGAGATGATTGGAACATATTTCATAATATTTTCTGGATGTGGAGTGGTGGTAGTGAATATATTGTACGGTGGGAAAGTAACGTTTCCAGGGATTTGTTTGACTTGGGGTCTCATTGTTATGGTCATGATTTACTCAGTCGGTCACATCTCCGGTGCACACTTTAACCCTGCCGTTACCATCAGCTTCGCCGTTTTCCGGCGGTTTCCCTGGTCTCAGGTCACTATTATACTCTCTTATCTCTTCTTTATATAAAACTATTGATTGTGACTGTATTAATATGTTTAATTTGGACAGGTACCATCTTATATTTGTGCACAACTTGGGGGATCTTTACTAGCGAGTTTGACACTAAGAATAATGTTTAACATCACACCCGAAGCTTACTTTGGAACAATTCCGACTGATTCGAACGTACGAGCGCTCGTCTCCGAGATCATTATCTCATTCCTCCTAATGTTCGTTATCTCCGGTGTTGCAACCGATAGTCGTGCGGTTAGTGTTTTCTAGTTACATCCATGTTGCTATACGTAGCTCGGTTGTTTTTCTTGTTATATCCATGTATTATTAATAGGTAGATCATTGCAACTGAAATCGACACAACAGATTTTTTATGACATGATTAATCTAAACCAAAAAACAAAACAAATAGTTGGACTTGGTTGCTAATGAAAATATGTACCTATGATCAAATATTATTTATAGCAAATGAAAGTTCTCATGTTGGATTCTTCTTGATTTGTTTTGACAGATTGGAGAATTAGCCGGAATTGCGGTGGGGATGACTATAATGTTGAACGTCTTTGTCGCCGGGTAAAAACATTTAAAAAGAAAACAAATATCATTCTAGGACCAACATTGTTCCATGCATAACTGAAAATATTAATTTTTGTTTTGATTATGATTTTAGACCTATTTCTGGAGCATCAATGAATCCAGCAAGAAGCTTAGGACCAGCTATAGTGATGGGAAAATATAAAGGAATTTGGGTTTACATGGTTGGTCCTATCATCGGAATTATGGCCGGAGGTTTTGTTTACAACTTTATCAGATTTACAGATAAGCCACTTAGAGAACTCACAAAAAGTTCCTCTTTTCTCCGTAGTGCTTCTCCAAACAACAATGCTTCTTCTAGTTCTAACAGCTAATTCTTTTGTTCTTTTTGTTTCATCTCAAGTGTCACTTGTTTGAATATTTGTAAACATTCTTGAGTCTTTTTCGAATATTTGTATGGATTCTTGATTCAAATCTGAAGTATCACTTCATATTGTGTAATGTAGAGTTATAGACCAAACTTTGATTTCTAGTTTTCCACAAGACACTTGCTAAACGCATAAACCAAAGCCAAACGAGTATTATTGTATTATACAGAATCTTGAAACTCTACTTAGAAAAATCTGTACTCCAACGAAACGTTTGTACAATGTTTATTCATAAAGAACAACATAAATACATAAAAATAAACAACAAGCTTATTCACTACAATTTCAGAAGATTTTGATTTTCTTGCTAATTAACACTTGTTCTGAATCAAGAATCTGATCCTTATTTCACCGCAATTGGCTAACATTTACACAATCTGACACCAGAACAACAAGAAAGACTCATTAAACATTAATCAGATAATGAGTCTTCGTCGTTCAAACATTAAACATTCAAGAAAGGACTTACAAAGAGAAGATGTGAGTCTTCGTCGTTCAAACGCTAGAGCCGAATCCGCCACCGCCCGGAGTAAGAATCTGTAAGATCTCACCGGCTTCCACATGTACAGTATTCTTGCCTCCAAGATAGACTCTCCGTTTGTCTTTAGTGATGAGATAGTTCGCTCCACGAGCTCCGTTTTCACCACCATTCAATCCGCGCGGAGAGTGAACTCGTCTCTCCGAGAGAATACTAACAACCACAGGCTTTCTAAACTCTATCTCCCTCACTAACCCATCTCCTCCTTTGTGCAAACCATTGCCTCCACTGTTCTCTCTCAGTCCAAATCTATGCAACAGAACCGGATACCTGAAAAAACAAAACCATTGCGTTACAATGCAAGAAAGTCTGAAACATTCGGTTTTAACCTTTTTTTCAGTACCTCTGTTCGAAGATCTCGGGATCGGTCATACGCGTGTTAGTCATATGGCACTGGATTCCGCTTGTCCCGTCCCATGTTGGTCCGGCTCCGCAACCTCCACCAATGGTCTCATAGTAGCCAAACGTGTCATCACCAAATGTGAGATTGTTCATGCATCCTTGTGAACAAGCACAAGCCTTGAAAGCTGTTAGCACAACATCTGTAACTCTCTGAGACGTTAGAACGTTTCCTCCAACAACAGCTGCTTTCTCGCTCGGAGACAAGAACGAACCAGCGGGTATGTGGATCTTAACCGGAGCTAAACAGCCTTGGTTTAGCGGGATATCGACGTTAACCAAACAACGGAGGCAGTAAATAACCGCTGCTGATGTAACCGCTTCCGGTGCGTTCCAGTTACCGTAGACTTCCGGGCTTGTACCTGTAAAGTCGAAGAAAGCTTCTCCTTTGTCAGCGTCGATCGTGAGCTTTAGGTGAATCACAGATCCATCATCCATGTAATCTTCTTCTTCTATGGTCACTGAATTACCAACTCTTGATTCAGGCGTCTCCAAAGAGACTCTAGTAGCAACAGATTTCAGCATCTCTCTCACTGCTTCTTCTGCGTTAAGCTGAACATACTTCATGTAAGCCTGAACAGTTCCAAGTCCGTATTGCTCAATCAGCTCTTTAATTAGAGAAATCCCTCTCTGGTTTGCAGCTATCTGAGCTTGAAGATCGGATAGATTATCCTGAATCCTTCGAGTTCCCGGAATCTTAACTGTTGTTTCATCAGAAGAAGGGAACTGAAGAAGCTTAACGATTCCTTCTTCTTGAAAAACTCCTTTCTCAACGACTTTAAACGCTTTTATCGCAGCACCTTCCTCCCAAATCGCCTTTGAGAAAGGAGGCATGCTTCCTGGAGTTATACCTCCAACTTCCGCATGGTGACCTCTGCTAGCTACAAAGAAGACAAGCTTACCGTTGTCGAAAACAGGCGTGATAACGGTTATATCAGGCAAATGGCTACCACCGGCGCAAGGATGATTCGTTACCAAAACATCTCCTTCGTTCAGATTTTCACCCCAATGTTTGAGCTGCCAGCGAACAGTACTCGACATGGCACCGAGATGAACGGGAACGTGAGGCGCATTCGCAACTAAGCCTCCGTCAGGACTAAACAATGCGCAAGAAAAATCCAACCTTTCTTTAATATTCGTCGATATGGAAGTACGTTGCAGAGTCCTTCCCATTTGTTCAGCTATACCCATGAATCTGTGATTGAAGATAGACAGTTGAACAACATCTGCAACATTCTCCGCGAGCTTCACACTGCTCAACGCAGACTCTACCTCGATTTTTATGTTCCCATACTTTGTGATGATGGCTTTACACTGAGGCTCTACAATAACTGTACTGTTCCCGTTCATGATGACCGCAGGGCCAGGAATCTCATGGCCAAATCCTAAATTCTCTAACTTGAACAACGGTGTCTCGTGCCATCCGCTTTCAAAGTAAACCTTGTAGTGACTTTCAACTTTAGGAGTACCAGGAGCAGCTTCAACAGGACGTGGTTTTAGTATACTAGTCACTCCGATTCCTCGAACTCGAACGTCACAGATAAGGAGGTTCCTGTTTTGAAGTTTGAATCCATACTCTTGCTCGAATAGCTTGAGAAACTCTGCAGCATAATCAAATACCGAACCATCTCCGTTTTTTTTACCTTTAACCATAATCGCTGTATCTGTGCCATCATATCTTATGTTCAAATATGTCTCAGTGGAGATATTCTCATCACCAAAGCCCTGTTCCTTCAGCTTCTCTCTCACTTCTTTAAGTAATAAAGCTTCTCTTCTAAAGACCTCTGAGAGAGACTGAGGGTTATAAACAGCAGAGTATGGCTCTTGAGCATCTTCAATGACATCTGCCAAACCCATTCCATAAGCACTCAAAATTCCACAGTATCTGTGAACAAGAACTTCTTTCATCCCCAAAGATCTAGCTATCGCACAAGCATGTTGCGGTCCAGCGCCTCCAAAGCAAGCGAGTGCATGATTCTTTGTTTCATGACCTTTCATTTCAGTCAATTGCCTTATGGGACGGCACATTGTCTCGTTAGCAACACTCACAAACCCCATCGCTATCTCCTCCACAGTCATGTCCTTCGCAGATGGATCTTGGCTCTTTCTATATGCATTTATCTGCCCTGCAAGCTTCTCAAACGCTTCTCTTGTTGCTACCACATCTAATGCCTGATCTTCATTGGGACCGAAGATGGATGGGAAGTAATCAGGAATCACAAACCCCAAAACGAGGTTTGCATCAGTCACTGCTAACTCCCCTCCTTTCCGGTAACAAACCGGACCGGGATGAGCACCCACGGAGTCAGGTCCTACCCGGAAAGCACCAAACTGAAACTTTAACTTCGATCCACCACCAGCAGCAACCGTGTTAATATCAAGCTGTGGTGCTTGTATGATTGTTCCAGCAATCTGAGTCTCTATAACCTGCTCATAACTTCCATCATAACGGCTAACATCAGTCGATGTACCACCCATATCGAATCCAATCAGCGGCTTCTCCGTTTCGAGACCGAAGAGCGTCTGCGAGTAACCAACAACTCCTCCTGCTGGACCTGATAACACAGCCTTGTGCCCTGAAAACCTACTCTCCGGTGCTAAACCTCCATCAGACTGCATAAACAGAACATTCACTTTCCCAAGATCATCGTCGAACTTGGAAATGAAACCAGACAAGTACTCTTTGATCACAGGCGTCAAATAAGCATCCACAGTCGCAGTGAGACCACGAGGAACAGCTCGAACCATCGGCGTCAATGCAGACGACAAAGAAACATGTCTAAAACCCAACTCTAGCGCCAACTTCTCCACCGCCATTTCATGCTTTGGATAAGTATACGAGTGCATAAGAACAACAGCCAAACAACTTATCCCTTTATCAAGAAGACCTTTCAGCAACGGCTTCAAAGCTTCTTCATCAAACGGCTTCGCAACTCTAAGAAGCTCGCCAGAAACTCCTTTAATCAAACCATCATCTTTGTCATCATCGTTCTCGAGCGCAAGCTCTACTCTTTCATCAACCTCTACAACCTCTTCGTAAAGATTCGTCGGTTTCGCAACGGTGAGATCAAAGATATCGGGACGAGCTTGGTTACCAATCTGCAACAAATCCTTGAAACCTTTTGTAACGCACAAAGCTATTCTTTCTCCTTTCCTCTCCAGCAATGCGTTTGTTGCCACGGTTGTTCCCATCCTTATCCACTGGATTTTATCCGTTGGTATCTTGGAGGTTCTTGGGATCTTCTTCCCAGTGTACTCTTCGAGTATCCTCCTGATTCCTTCAACCGGAGCATCGTCGTAGTTCGATGGATCGACAGATAAAAGCTTCAGAACACGGCCATCGGAATGTCCTGGGATCTCGGCGTAAACGTCAGTGAATGTTCCTCCTCTGTCGATACAAAACCTTAGCTTTCCTTCAACCACAGCCCCCATCTCTCTCACTCTCTCTCTCTCTCTCTCTCTCTCTCTGCATAAGAGAATCAAAATTTCACCGAATAAGATTCCACCATAAACCCTAAGCATATATCCGAATCATAAGCCACAAAAAAAAAAAATCAAATTCTCAGACTGGAAATGACGCTAATCAAATCAGTAATTATCATGATCAGTGGCAGATGATAAGATTATAGAAACATTCAAATTCAAATTGAAAGATCGGTAATCAAAATCCAGATATTGCTTAATCGATTCAACAAATTCTCAGTACAAAAAGGGAAGAAACTTGAAATGACACTAATCAACCCAACAACGAAATCAAATATCACCTTCTGCAAATGAAACGTCTTGACAAAAAAACCGATATTAAGAGATCACAATCTCGATCAATTAACTCGTAAGAAATTAACTTAGAAGATGATGATGATCATCGTCAGATAATGAGATTTCAGATAGAATCAAGCTCAAACCCAAACGACAAGAGTGGTAAATCAAAATCCAGATATCCATGAAAATACCTTTCAATGGTAGAACAAATTCGCCGGAGAGGAAGCACGAAGAGAGAGTTTAAGAGAGTCAAACACAGTTAGTGGGTGAATGACGAAGGTGATGACGATGAGATGGATATGATGAATCTCCTGCTACAACGCAGGCAGGTTCTTTTGATTTTCCGGTTCGACTAAACCGGTTTGATTATTGGCTGGTTCCTAACCGGATAATCATTTAATTTTAGGTGCTTTGAATGATGATCTCATTTAGTCATTAGCATGTGACTATATATAATTTACATATACACCTAACCATGACATGAATTAGTCAAATTATGGAGTGTGTAATTTTAAATGACGGTTCGACCAGCCGGTTCGGGTCCGGTTTTGAAGACATTTCTGGTTTTTAGTTTTTTTGACACAGTCTGATAATTCCCGCTGGTCAACAGACGCTATCTTAAAGGTCAGCTCTGTGATGCTATTCGCTCTCAGAACCACCACCACTCTTAGATCTCCTAATTTCCATCGAAATCGAAACTTTAGGTATTAATTTTCGTTTTCTATATTTTAATTTCGAATCAGATATATACTTGTTTCCTCAATTTTGATTGATGATTTGTGTGAAGAAGATCGAGAAACTCGAGAATGACGACGCCTCCTGTTCTCTCACTTGCTCTTCCTTCAGACACTGGTCGAGTTCTTAGTATCCAATCCCACACAGTACAGGTTTTGTTCGTTTTGCCTTCTCTCAAAGTTTCAATTTTCATCCCTAATCCTAAAGAAATTTATGTTTTTTATATTCTGCTGAAATTTTCTGTTCTTAAATTTTTGTTATTGATCACTTTATGTAATCATTAGAAACTGTGTTAGATTCGCTTTTTCTCTTGATTTGTTAGACTAAAACGATAAAGAAAAGACAGAGCAAATGTTTTTCTTCCTTCAGCATTTGAATCTGAATTTGGTATAAATTAATAAGGTTATATAATGTATTGAATCTTGAATATATTAGTGATGGTATGATCCATATGTTTATTACAAGCTATCATTGGATAACTGAAGAAAAGATTCAGACTTTGTTTTTAAATTGAAGAGCTTGATGTGTAGAACCATCATACTCTGTTTATCTGTAGCAACTAAAGTCAGGAACTTTTAAGAGTAATATGGATTAGTCTCTGTGCTTGAATTAGTAAGTGATATTTTTTTAGTTTGTGTGTTGCTAAAAATGTGATGCCATTTATGATTTATATTTTTCTTAGGGATATGTTGGCAACAAATCAGCTGTCTTTCCTCTTCAACTGTTGGGGTATGATGTGGATCCAATAAATTCAGTACAGTTCTCAAATCATACAGGTAATGTAATTGCAGAACAGGATGTTCTTGAAACAAATGTTTTATATCTCTTCAAGATTGTATCATCATTGTCTGTTCTTAAAACAAAATTCAGGCTATCCTACATTCAAAGGACAAGTTTTGAATGGTGAACAGTTGTGGGATTTGATTGAAGGCCTTCAAGCTAACGATTTATTGTTCTACACACATTTATTAACAGGCAAGAATCAAAAGAACTTAGCTCAATTCCATCACTAAGTGTCTAGTGTATTGGTATATTGATATTTATGTTTTTGAAATGCAGGTTATATTGGATCAGTATCGTTCTTGAATACAATTTTGGAAGTTATCAATAAGCTTCGCTCTGTAAACCCGAATCTTACATACGGTGAGTGCATTGCTATGCCTTGAGAAAAACTTTCCTTTTCTATGTTCTTGATACCTTGGAGAAGTATCAGAACAAAGATATAGTCAGGCTATATCTCTGTAATGTAGTGAGTGAAGAACGCATTCTTTGTTATGCTAATTTTAGTCTGTTCTTTATTTAGTATGTGATCCGGTGATGGGTGATGAAGGAAAATTGTATGTTCCTGAAGAATTGGTACAAGTTTATCGTGAAAAGGTAAAACGAGACTAAAAGAGAGAAGTGGTTGTGTGTTCTATCGATTTGATTAGTTGATAATATTATTTGTTTTAATGGTTAGGTTGTTCCCTTGGCTTCTATGTTGACTCCTAACCAGTTTGAAGCAGAGAAATTAACAGGATTAAGGTACTTGGTTACTAGCAAAACTTACACTCTAGTTTGCTCCCTTTGTCAGTTTATGCAGTAGAGTTCATATATTCTTGCTCCTATGAAGTTTATGCTCACATGATAGTGACATTGAGGATGCCTTACGGTAGATTTTTCTCTTGTTATGTCTCCAAATATTACAGGATAAACTCTGAGGAAGATGGCAGAGAAGCTTGTGCTATGCTTCATGCAGCTGGTCCTTCAAAGGTTTGTTTACTCTACTGATTGCATTCATTAGAAGCTTTTGTTACCGAGTTTCCATATACTGTCGTTAATATTTTATGATCTAATGTTTTTGGCAGGTGGTGATCACTAGCATCACCATAGGAGGCAGTCTATTGCTTATTGGAAGCCATCAGAAAGAAAAGGTAGGTTTCTTGAATAACATCAAGAAAGTCTAATCTTTTGGAAGCCTTGTAATTCAAAAGTAGAGTGGTTTTTAGTAAACTGATATCTTGTGTTTAAACCCTCAGGGTCTGAAGCCTGAGCAATTCAAGATTTTGATACACAAAATCCCTGCTTATTTTACGGTATTCACTTCATTACTTTAACACATTCAAAAAATGATGTTAGAAAATAGAAACCATTGTGAAATACTGAAACTTTATGCACTTTCTCTGCAGGGAACAGGAGATCTCATGACTGCTCTTCTACTTGGCTGGAGCAATGTAATTGCCTCTTCAATTCTCTTATGAAAGCAAACTATTCTCTATCTATTTTCCTTATAACGTTTTGACGTTTCTTGTTCAAAAATTGTCATATCCAGAAATACCCTGACAATCTTGACAAGGCAGCTGAGCTTGCGGTTTCAACGTTGCAGGTAATCTTCATAACTTGTCAAAGCTACAAAAATTCTCTTACATTATTCACATAGTTTCTGTACTCTTTTTACTTGTGGGTGTGTTCTTATTGTTTCTGTTTCTGTTTTGGTGCATAGGCGTTGCTGCGAAAGACGCTTGCTGATTACAAACGAGCAGGGTATGATCCTGCTTCAAGCAGCTTGGAGATTAGATTAATACAGAGCCAAGATGAAATTCGGAACCCGAATGTTGAACTGAAAGCAGAGAGATACAGCTGAAGCAGGTGAGAAAAATGTAACAAGAAACATATACTTAGATGATGGATTAAGTTATAGTTGAAATCTCTTTGTTAGGGATACAATAATTATTATTATATTGCACGATTGTTTTATGCATATAAAACAGTTAAAGACTTCACAGTAAGTAAAGAGGAGGATGGTGCAAAACAAGACAACTTTATGTTAGTAACAAGAGTTTGTTCTTCCACACACTTAACCAACATTAAAACAAGACAAAGAAACTATAATATTATTACTTGAAATAAACCTAAGGAGTGAAGATAACTTCCTCTCAATCACTTACTCTTCCTCCTCTGCATCAGTAGTAACAGCCATGAAGTTGCCTTGAGTCAAACTGTTCTTGATTCATAAACTGAGGAACAAGAGATGGACCATTCATCATCTGACCTCGAAAACCTCTCTCATTCATCATCATATTATCTGATCTTCCTCCAATCTGCTGCATGCTCATTGCTTCTGCAGCAGGGTAAGCATTAGCATATCCAAGATCCATCTCCCTCGTCAGATTCGGATTGATGACCTCTTCATAGTTGTGTCTTCTCGGTACTTCGCCAAATAGCTCTTGGAAATCTTCAGATGAATCACTCATCTGAAAGTAATCTGCATCGTTCATCATCACAGGCTTCATGTTCATCATCGCCATCATCATCTCTTCTTCACTCTGATGATTAACACTCTGCCTTTCATAACTTGGGACATTGTTGAAGTGATTGTTTCCGAGATTGTATTGTGCGTTCCTCAAGATTCTGTTGTCATGGTTAAGACCGGCTTGATGATGATTACCAAAGTGGTTAGGGCTCAAGAACAAGATCTCTGCATGCTTCCCTCTTCTGCTCAACGTCTTGACCAAAATCTCTGGATCTAAGTTCCCTCTAACGATCACTGCTTCCTGATCCGTGTCTATATCAACAGAGTAAACACCTGAAACCAAGAACCATGGAACAAACAAACCCATAAGAAACATATTTGGACCAAACTACAAGAAAAATCTGCAAGATCTTACCTTCAACTTTTCTCAGTGTCTTCTTCACTTTTCTCTTGCATCCTTGGCAGTTAATGTTAACTTTGAGAACATACGTCTGTAACATCAAAACCCAAAATAACTTTCGTATTAAAAACAAAAACGAAGTTTCTTTTCTCTGTATGAACATCTGAAGCAGAGGAATGATTTACCTTCAAGGGCTCATATACGTTTCTTGGCATTCTTGATTTCTCCACTTGATCTTCCTTTAGCTTCTTTCACTTATGTCTTTGAGCTGTAAACAAAGAAAATACGGTATAAAAAGAGGAGTTATGAGAGATATAAAGATGCATAATAATATGGAGAGAGAGACAAAGATTCTGGTGGCCACAGAAATCTCGATTCTGTCAGCTTTTTCTAGCAGTTAAGTCTCAAAGGACAACAACACCATTTTCTTGTGAGGAAGATAGTTTCTTGTTGGTCAACGATCATTGGCTTGAAGTGTCAAATCTCATGTGAGAATTTTTGAGAGTTTATGAAAAAAAAAAAAAAAAAAAAAAATTGGAATAAGAAGGACCACTCTAACTTCTAAAGAACTGGCACTACTACTGCAAAATTGAAATTAATGATAAGTGGCTGTAGTCAGAGTTTTAAGTGTTTCTTATTTATGTTTTTGGTTGTAACTTCTCTATCAAGCATAGCTAGCTCTTGCTTCGTACCTACATGTACTACTACTACTCGGTCTTTTTTGTAGCATCTTCAGATTTTTTTTATTTTTTATTTTCTTTTCAGTGTATTCAAATTTGGATCGGACCGACTATGACTGAAGATATTCTTATTGGCGTGTCCAGTTTGCAACAATATTCAAATTCTAATTATATTTGTATTTTCATGTATATAACAGTTCGACTAAAAATGTATGTTGACTAAACTATGCAATAAATTTTTTACAGAACAACTTTAGAAAATGTACAAAAGTATCTTTAGAAAAATATGATGTGGTTTATAAATTTGGACTGTTTTTTTTTTTCATCGTTTGTGGGCCACAACGGGCCGGCCCATGAATCCATAATCCTCCCAATGAGGAAATTAACCCCACATGGAAAAAGGTGGAGTCGAACTCCAGACGAGATGGATGCAGAGGTGACTACCACTAGGCCACTTACTCCTCTCAATTTGGACTGTTTTTTTTATACTTATCGGATATAATTTTTTAGAAACATGCCACATAATTTATGTATAAATTCCAGTCAAATTTTTTGGGATCTTTTCATAATTATCTGATATATAGTGAAATGGAAAATTTATTTCTATATTTTTTTCTTTATACATGCCATATCATTCATGCATCAGCATTACTATAACCCGATCCACGTTTTGTTTTGGATTCTTTTCCTAATTATCTTAAAATGGTAATTTTCTTTAGATATGCCACATATTGTTATCATTATTATTTTTTCCTTTTAACAAAGTTTCTTTCTGTCAAAAAATTATTTAGTTAGAACTAGGTGTTACGAAATGGTCATTTCTTTTATAAATGGCATAAGATATATATTTTATTCTTTTGCCATTTGGCAAAGTTTTCATTTATCTAAAGATTATCTTCTATTTATGTAGGTCATGTATGACATCTGTTATAATTTTCTTTATACATGCATGCATGAACTTCATTTCTTATGGTTACAAATAGCTTCATGCATGACTATTTAAACCCAGTCCGATCTTTATCCAAGCACAAACCCTATAACTCATCTCTCACAGAAGAACACAAGACATCCTCTTTCTCTATCTCCAATGGCATCAGAAACACTAACCAATGCGACCCTACCAAGCCACCAAGAAGTCCAAGACGAGACGACCGAGACAGAGTCAAGAGAGTTCGTGAAGAATCAGAAACGTTACCAAGACCTAATCGCAACCTTTCCTCACGCCAAAGGATGGAGACCCAAAACTCCTCTGATCGAGTACAATGGTCACTGGATCGTACAGCCTCTCCTTGAAGGCTGGCTTCACGCAAGAGACTTCTTCCAAGCAAGACCCATCGACTTCATCGTTTGTAGCTACCCAAAGTCAGGTACAACTTGGCTCAAAGCTCTTACTTTCGCCATTGCAAACCGATCTCGCTTCGACAATTCCTCAAACCCTCTCCTCAAACTCAACCCTCACGAGCTTGTTCCTTTCATTGAGGCTGAATTCCCTTTATACCCTCAAGATGATGCTGTCGTCGACGACAAAGGGAACACTCTGTTCTCGACTCATATCCCTCACGGGTTACTGCCCGAATCCATCTGGAAATCGGGTTGTAAGATGGTTTACATCTGGAGAGACCCAAAGGACACATTTGTCTCCATGTGGAACTTCTTCCAAAAGGAAAGGTCAGACCATGGACCTCTCAATAGCCTTGAGGAGTCTTTTGATATGTTCTGTCAAGGCTTGTCTTTGTATGGTCCGTATCTAGACCATGTCTTGTCGTACTGGAAAGCTTACCAAGAGAATCCTGATAAGATTATGTTCCTCAAGTACGAGACGATCAGGGCTGATTCTTTGCCTTATGTGAAGAGATTGGCTGAGTTTATGGGTTATGGATTCACAGCTGAGGAAGAGGAGGAAGGCATTGTTGAGAAAGTTGTGAATCTTTGCAGCTTCGAGACGTTGAAGAATCTTGAAGCCAACAAAGAGGACATCAAAGCGAAGAAACACAGAGAAGACATTCCTTCAAGCTTTTATCCGAATAGTGCGTATTTTAGAAAGGGAAAGGTCGGAGATTGGCAAAACTATCTGACTCCGGAGATGGCTGCTCGGATCGATGGATTGATGGAAGAGAAATTCAAGGGGACTGGTTTTTTTGAACATGGTGAATGAGCGGTTCTTGTTCTAAGCAATGACTAATCTTTATATGCTTTAGTTTACCAGCACTTTGCTCCTTTATTCTCAGTTTGATTCTAAATTTTAGTTAAGGTTATATTTTGTTACTCATTTCAATGATTTTAAAATTGGACCAGACAGACTAGTTTGACCAAGAAATATGTTTTATCGTCTCTGGTTTGCATTAATATTGGAATTATAATTATACCGATATTATGTGGCCTCTAGTGTATTGTTTGTGGTTGTAGTAATCTTGTAGAAGTCTTTGAAGTTGGCACTAAAGAGATGTAAGGATTTGTTGTTAAAAACATTTTTTCTTCTATGTTTCTATGCTTTATAAACCATGATAGGTCAAACTTTGTGGCAATTTTCTTAATCTTATTTTGTTCAAATAATGAAACCGCTCCAGGTGTTGTGTATAAAGGGAAAATGGAGAATTATAACTCCATAGCTACAAAAGACCAAAATGTTTACACAATAGATTTTAATGTTTGAGTTTCACACTCAATGCCATGCTTCTTCCTTTGCTTCTTCATGATCATTGCTCTTGGTATCTGCAAGTCCAAGGTTATCTCGGTTCTAATAAAATTACATTTATTCCTTAGATAATATTATTTGACTGTAAGAACATACTTGCTATTATATTTAAATATTTCTATTTATATTCTTTGACTATAATCAAAGGATATAAATTACTTTGACTATAATTGCACAAGTGTTGAAAGAAAATCAGGGAAAAACAGAAAAAAAATCATTATTTTTGTATATTTTGGCTTATAATCTAAGAAAATAAATTGAAAGATTTTTTGGAAATGACATTATAATATTTTAGACATACCATCAAAATGAATTGCAAATTTACTTTAGATGCATATATTCGACCAACACCACATATTAATTTTCATGATAAATCATTCATGGAACAATTTGTTTTCAACGTTAGCTAATTGCGTCATCATTTTGGACTCGTAAATACAGAAGGAAATTCGTTAAATCATTAGGAAATTGCGTCACCGTAACCTTTATTTTGTGGAGCATGTAGTATGTTGGCATATGGCTTGCGGGAAAAGAAAAAAAAAAGAAAATACAAAAGAATGAGAGAAACTTGAAAACATTACCAATCAATTTAAGGTTGAAACTTGAAAGAGTAAAAATGTACACTCTCTCAGGATGCTATACTTGGGTGAGGTGATATTTGATGAAAGAGTTTTTTTCATTATTGGGTGCAACTTCCCCTGCACTAAGGAGTGTAAATCTTAATTACTAACAGAATACAATGGAAAGAGACATTGTCACAAATTCCTACGTAATGCAAAGAGACATAACTGAATTCATATTTATTTAAAAATTGTTCTGATAAGAGCTTAACGTAAAATATATTTGTGGCTTGAGACTTTATTTGTTGAAGCCTATTTTAGAACAAAGTTGTGGATATCTGGTTACTATTGTAAAGAAACTCGTATATGCCATCCTAACAAATTAAGAAATGCAACCCAAAAGATACCATCGAAGAAGACAACATTCATCTTCGTGAGAGCCCTTACCATTCGGAAGTTGTTTATGAAATGCTGGAAACAATCATATGAGGAAAGTGGCTATACTCTTATTTAACTTATTTTGTATGGATGTATTTGCATTCGTTAAATTGTGTTCATTTCTCTGCTCTAGCATTTGCAAAAGTTAACTTTAAAAACCACACACAACATGACCCCAATGTCTAAATTTGAAAGGAAAAACATCTAAAATTACAATATCTTTAGACTTTATTGAAATCACAACACTTTTCATACTCACAGTGCAGTAGCAAGAACTATAATTTTACATATGCAGGGGGAGGAGGCAAAGCTGATCTAGTAAAAGTACATGAAAGGAGCCTAACCAAGCTATCTCTTTCTCCGACACTTCTCTTACCGGGATTTTTCCAGACATTGTTGTCTTATCTTTAGCGATCCGTGCTCTGCTTCTTCTTTCCTTATTGCATCCTCTACGGCGGCAAAGACATACCCTCGTACGTCCACTTTGGAGCATTATTTTAGGGTATATTTTTGCTTCTATCCGGATTGCGATATAACCGAGTCTGGTGAAACTTAAGAGCTCTGGCAAGTGTCCCTCTGCCACAAGTACCGTCACTTGGGTTTAGAGAATGTAGAGTCAATGTCAGTGATCATCTTCATGGCTTTCGATGTTGCCTTTTCTTTCTCCCTTTTTTTTCTTCATACGTGTCTCCTGTGATTTCAACTGCTCCATCTGCTTCACCAATATATTTATGTTGTTAGTGAATGAAATGGTTAAGGAGATAAACCAAGTGCTGCTAAAGTCACTGGTTGAAAGTATACTCTGGAAGCTCCCAATCCTGGTCGGTAATGCAGAAAATAACTAAAACATGAGCATGTCAATCTATCTTGAATCAGATCGATTTATGGTTTTTTCCGATAAAGCCCCATGAAGAAATCCTCTGGCATCCTAAGTTAGTTTGATCATAAAGCTGGACAGAGTGAATGCATACCCGAAAATTTACACAGTTATCAGGGAACTTGGAATCTAATTTGTAGAGACAATAACACCCATTATCAAACAAATAAAATGAGTCAGCATGTATATGAATGAAAACAACGAATTAAAGGGGAACTATTTTTGCATTTAGGCTTTATCTGTAAACCAAATTTACCTCAGTTTTGCTGGTCATCTCTTTTGCAAATTGAAAGATGCAGGCGTTCTTCACATAGTAGACGTGACCTATGGAGTGGGCAATAAGACAGAACAATTGCAGAATTTGTCTAATACCGATCTAAGTGAATTAATGGTGAAGCGAAATTAACCGGATGAGTACCAAAAATGCTTTCAATCAGCCAATATTCAGAAGTAAACTATCTCGAAAATACGTGTGAACAAATATAAAGGAAGAACACTTACCACGAAACAATGATAAAAGTGTGTGGCGGCGATCCGTCACGAAATCAAATATTTGGAATTCGATCCGGCACAATCCGAAGAACAAATCAAAAGTCATTTGGAGATTCCATTATCAATCGAATCAACAATCAGAAGGGAAACAAAGCAACGTACCAGCGACGCAGGAGAAGAAGGCCATAATCACTGAAGGCTTGGAGGTATTCTGAGACTTGTAGGATCTTCCTATCGCAAGTGCCTGTTGGTGGTAGTCACAAAAACAACAAAATTACTACATTCCAAGATGGATAAACTTGAAGATAGATATTCATCTCAAACCTGATAACTTTTGAGGAGTGAATATTTATTACTTACCTGAACATCATGAGATTTGAGACGAACAGCATGTCCGTGCAAAGACCTGGAATCAAAATGATTCGATGACGAAATGGTCATTCATGAATCTCATAACCGTCGGGTTTAAAGAAAAATAGAAAGAAGCTAATCGAGAGCAACTATTATGGCGTTCTGAAGAGATGAAGGAGCCAGTTATTTATATAAAACATAAACAAACAACCATGGAAACTCGAAACGGTGGTTTAATAAGAGGAGATGAAGGGGGTTTGTCTGTTATGTTAATCAATGTGATATAACTATTTAGTTATTAGTGGGCTCGTACTATATGTGAATCAATTAATAATATAAAGATATTATAGATGTGTATTTGTTACAAGAATAATATCATAAATTTTAATATGGTTTTGAGTATTTTTTATATAAGATTAAGAACGTAATACACAAACCATATTACCACACTGAAATACAAAACTAGTGAGTTGTGATTAGCAACAAAAAAACATGCATGTATGTGTTGAAGAAACCATCAAGAAAACGAAACCTAACACAAGACTTGCCGCTTTACTTTCTATTAACCAACCATCACACGAACAAGAAACAAACCCAATTATAAGCGTAAGAGAAAACTATTGATCTTAACACCTAAGACATGGCTACTTTCTGAATCAACAATGCACAATTTAAAAATTAACCTGAATGGTTGTCATTGGCATTTGGGTATTGGTTCGGGTATTTTTCATTTTCAGTTAGCGTTCGGTTCGGTTCGGTTCCACCCGGGTTCAGATCGATTTCGGGTACCCACTAAAAAAATAAAATATATAATTTAAATGAAATTGAATAAAATAATATATTAAATGAAATCACAACCCATCTTTTTAAACTCACATTTTACATGACTAAACTTCACTTCCTTACATTGATGAACAAACCTAGAAAGAGTGTTGTATCCCAAAAGCTTCCTTCTTCACATGGTTAAGGACGAATATAAGGGGAATATAAGAGGGGACATAGAAATGGTGTTTGAAACCATTATGAGGCCTAAGTAGTTCTGTTTACTTTTGATATATCTTAGAACGTCCTCATCAAAGCAATAACTCTGGTTTGTGCATCAAATGCTAGTGAATCACCAAACATAAAAAATTAGCTTCAGATGACAGAAACTAAATGCTACATTGCAAATTTTCTGCAGTGTAAGATATAAACAGTGAAGTCATTTGGATGGAAATGGAAATGCACTGAAACTCGCTAGTAACAATGATTTTACCACACAATTAAACCGAACTGATCTAGAACTGATCTTAGTTGTGTTAATCATACCAATACATACATATTAGCATCGGTAGGGGTACATAGATTGATCTTACAAGTTCCTTCAATACATAGATTATGTTAACAAAACAAAAAGAACCTACAAAACAGAGATTATGAGCCTGACCGAACCTTAAGTCCAATGCCAATCTTCATCTCCAACAGCTTACCACGCAATAAACAGTGAAGAACAAACATGAACTTGTCTTTAAGGATCTGAGAGCTCACTTCAAGAACCTTGTTCACATCTGGTGATTTATATATCCAAAGTTAAATATGTATATATGGACGACAATGGATGAGTTAAATAAAACAGACGAGATAGATACAAAACCAATATAAACAAATTTCTGGATGCAAATCTTCATATCCAATAGATCACCACGCAATAAAGTGTTAGGGATCAACATGAAATTCTCTTGAGGAGTTTCGAAGCTAACTTTAAGAACCCTCTTCACCTCTGGCGATTTGAAATTCAGAGTGTATCCATCAGCAGTAGTGTAAGAGAGTTCATATGAGAACTGTGCCATTTCTGGAACAGATGGTGCAATGCAGCTTACAGTTACATACACACCATTCGGCTCTTTAAAACACTGCACTACAAACAGTAGTGTCTCCGTCTCCTCCCTTTTAATTATCATCTTATCGCTGATGTTCATCTGAACAGTAAAAGAAAAGCCATAATCGATCTTCGTATGATCGTGAGAAAAAAGACCATGATAGTAAATTCCCCTGTACCAGCCAGTGTAATTGCAGTCTCGTACAGGGCAGGAGCAAGAAGAAGAGAACACGCATTCTTTTTCATGATTTGATTCTTTCCCGTAAGAGAACTTTTTGTTGCATCCACGTATGGTGTTTCGGCATAGGACAACGATGGATTCAAGAACAGTCTCCATTACTCTGTTGCGAATGTGGCCAACAGGCAAAGCACATGAAGGACATTTATTCTTCAGCTTGGGACAGCAAGAAGAGCAAGCTATATGTCCATTGTCACACTGAAATACAAAAAGCCAATGAAAATAAAACAAAATGTAAGCTCTTGCGAAATCTTAACTGGTAATGACATAGTAAGGTCTTGCCAGATTATATATTCTTTAACATATCTCCCAAACTTCACTATAATCCGCATATCATCAAAAGTAAGGGTACTCTTAACATACACAGATTGTGATAATACAGAAAGCAGCTACCGATGCAGAGAATTTGACCAACATATTGTAGTTATTAAAACAGTAACTCACTCAAATAAGAAATTATTCAATTAGAAAGAACGCGAATTAAAGATGCATTTCAGGTAGAAACATATAGTAACAAAGACCTGGAAGATAGGAATCTTCAGTGCTTCAAAGCAAATGGGACAATCGAGAATATTCAAATCTAACAGCGTCGTCGAGAGAATGCTGTCTTCTGTACACACTCCCTTCCTTTTATCATCGGAACGTTGTCTCTTTTGCGAGAGAATGGTGCTCGGTCCACTAACCTCGCCAGAAGCTTTCGAAATCGAGGCTCTCACCATGTCGGAGAAATGACTAAACCCTAATCCCTTTTTCGCTTCTCACCTTGAGTTTTTTGGTCGTCCTCCTCCCTTTATAATCTTTTAATCAGCTAAGTTTTCGATGGCTGATATATGACAGTAAAAGCTAAACAAAATCCGATTTCCAAAGCTGCATGCATAGATTTATGACTTGGACGGAATCCGAAGAGTTTGATTGACTAAAACAAGTTATACCACACGTTAACTAAACGTCTTTTTACGTTCTTACGTTTTTTGCCACGTGTCAAATAACGAAATAATTGTTCTTCAGATCATTTATTATGTGATGTAGCAAGAAGCTAAATGACTACCACACTGAAAATGCAAAATGATTGAGGTAGTGCCGGTTCTTACGACTAGGAGAAAGCCACCAGACCATTGTTTTGTCATTTACATATAGTTGAACTATACTATACCGGCTGCTTTACTCATTTCTATTTGGTTTCTTATGTATCATTAACAGTTCTTGTTTTTTGGGTCAACTTGTGTATATAGTTATCTTCTTAAGTCAAATTTGATGTACTATCGAACTCTTATCATGAAAATCTACCATATGCTTTCATTTCGTTCGTTATATATGGAAGTTAATTGGAACTAAGATTTGGAGAGTTTAAACCATAGAGCAATGACAGCATCTTCTCAATCCTATACGATGGCTGGCGGTAACGGTCAACACAGCTACATCCATAATTCTTCATACCAAGTATGATATTCTTCTATTCTTGATATGTAGTATACATGGTTTTAGTTATGATGATTATATGCAACAAACATCCTAATTTTATTAGTTCTAGAATCAAACAATATTATGCGATTTTTGTGACAAAAAAAAAAAAAATTTGAGCCAAAAATATGTTGTTGAAAAACAAAAAATGTTGAATACCTAACCATAAAACCTGTACAAAATTATATACTTATTTATTTTTAAAACGTTTTTCTTCCCATTTATATGATTATATCCTTATATTAATAACCTAGAATTTGTGATAATACAGAAAGCAGCTATCGATGGCGCTGAAGAAAAGACAACGCAATGCATCCTAGAAAAACTCAATCTCCAACTGAATTCTGATCTTGGTACTTTCAGAATTGCGGATTTTGGTTGTTCTAATGGACCTAACACGTTTCATGCTGTTCAAACTATCATTGATACGGTGAAATGCAAACAACTGAAGGAAAACAACAACGAAGTTAGCCTCATGCCTCTCGAGTTCCAAGTTTTCTTCAACGATCAAACCAACAATGACTTCAACACACTCTTTAAAACCCAACCGATAGAGTGTGGATATTTCTCAGTCGGAGTTCCAGGCTCCTTCCATGGCCGAGTATTTCCAAGAAACATCATCCACATCGGACACACTTCCTACACGACTCACTGGCTTTCCAAAGTTCCTGAAAACGTGTGCGACAAGAAATCTTTGGCTTGGAACAATAACTACATTCATTGTAATCATTCTTTGGAAGAAGTAACCAAAGCTTACAAAGTCCAGTTCGTAAAAGACATGAGGGTTTTTCTTGAAGCCAGAGCCGAAGAGATTGTTCATGGAGGGTTGATGATTGTTTTAGGACAATGTTTGGCCGATGGTGTCACCATGTCTGAGACATGGCAGGGTATTGTGTTGGATATGATCGGTGATTGTCTTATGGATATGGCCAAATCGGTAAGACATAATTCTAAAACATTTCTTTTATTTATATTTTCTATTTTTTTAAGCTTCTTATTATTTTTTCTTTAAAATACATTATAGTTTTTGAAACCTATGTCATATTCTTTTATTTAGACTTTTTCTATATTTAAAAGCTATATATCAAGTGTTCTTTGAGAACTTGTATGAGTCAGTAAACGAGTCACCAAACATTCATAGTAATTAATTGTTTTTTTTTTTTTTGCTTTGTAGGGAGTAACAAGCGAGGAAAAGATAGAGTTGTTAAACTTGCCCGTGTATTTTCCTCAGTTTAGCGAATTGAAGAGAGAGATTGAGCAAAATAAAAGTTTTATGATTGAGACGATGGAGGCTATAAGTCATCCATTGGAAGATACTGAAATATTAACCAGCAACTTTATTATTTCCATGTTTAGAGCCATTCTCAGTACGATCATCAAAGAACATTTCGGAGAAGGTGTGGTCACTGATCTATTCGATCGTTTTGCTAAGAAACTCGCCAAGTTCCCAATTGATTTTATAGAGTGTGAGAAACATGTAAACTATTTTGTATTGCTTAAACGAAAATGAACAACTTTTTCTCTACCATCAACTTTTTCTTCCAATTTTCCACTTTAACATATCAAAACGCTGGAAAGTCTCTACGCTCAAATGTTAGAGATTCATATATTAAATTAAATGAAATCAAATATCCATCATTTGATCTTTAAACTAATCACATTTTACATGACTAAACTTCACTTCTTGTATCCCAAAAACATCCTTCTGAATATGGTAAAGGAAGAATATAAAGATACATAGAAATGGTGCCTGAAACTATTATAGAGCCTAAGTTTCCTTAGGCTTTGTAAGAAAGTGGCAATGCCGTAGAGATAAAGATAAGTAGCTATCGCCAGAGTTTGAGTATCTCTGTTAGCTTTAGTTATAACTTACTACTCATCAAAGCAATAACTCTGCTTTGAGGATCAAATTCTAGTGAAACACAAAACATTAGCTTCAAATATACTACATTTAACTGCTACTAGTTCCTTCCATAGATACCGTCTCCACATGATATGTTAACAAAAGCCACAAGAACCTAACAACATAGACTGACTATGAGCCTGCACGAACCTCACGCCTTATGTCAATCTTCATCTTCAACAACTCGCCACGCAATAAACAGCGAGGGACGAACATGTAATTGTCTTGAGGGATTTGAGAGCTCACTTCAAGAACCTTCTTCACATCTGGTGACTCATATTTGAGAGTGTGTCCATCCATGGACATGGAGTAGTCGAGACAATACCTAAACTTCCCTACTTCTGGAGCATCTGGTGCAATGCATGTAACAGTCACATATAAACCTTGTGGCTCGTCAAAACACTGCAGAGCAAATAATCTATTCTCCAATATTTCCCGAAGAACTAACATCTTATCGCTAGCGATGTTCATCTGAACATCAACAGGATAACCGCAATAAAAGGGCTCAGATTTGTTGTCATTGTGGCTGCGGAAGTGAGTGTAAATCTGCTTGTATGATCCGGTGTAATCGCAGTCCAATGCAGGGCAGGAGCATTGAGAGAAAGTGCATTCCTTTACATGAGTTGATTCTTTCCAATACGCTATACATTTGGTGCATCCAAGGTTGGTGTTTGGGCATTTGACATAGACTAGTTCAAGAACACTCTCCGTTCCTCTGCAGCGGTTTTGTCCGATAGGCGAAGCACATGAAGGACACTTGTTACTCAGCTGGGGGCAGCACAAAGAGCAAGCTAAATGTCCATTATCGCACTGAAATGCAAAAAACAAAGACTTCCGATCAAGACTCAATCTTTCTTAGTTATACACACATTTTCAAGAACTACAATTTGTAAGCAATGAGTCATGTAAAAAATGTGTCTTAACTAACATATAACTTTGCAAAAGGTGAAATAAAATTTTGAGAAACAAACACTCAAATTAATCCAGAATCCTGAAATCCACCAAAAACCTAATGATACTTATTTCACTTCGATTATCCTCTGCACAGTTACCAGAAAAAAATAAAAACAAAAATTAATTCAGGGAGAAGCAAAAACCTGGAAGACAGGAATGGTCTATGGGTCGAAGCATATGGGACAATCGAGAATATCCAGACCCAGAAGCATCGCCGAGCGTTTCTTGCCCTCTGTTCTGATAGAGGAAAATCGTATGTCACGATAATCCCGATAGATAATAGAATCGATGTTCCTAAAACACAGATCCTAATTTCATGTAGCAAGAGTTTAGATTGAAGAAACAACTCAAGCAAACAATGAAAAGAAGTAACTTAGAATCACGAGATAAAAGAGAGAAGAGGATGAATTCCTTTTGATATTTCTTAATTGTATTATGAAAGTGACTTACAACCTTTTATATAGAAAACCAAAACCCTAATTAATTTAGAAAACCCAATAACAACTTAGATTATAAAACCCAATACCAATTATATGGCCCTATTAATAATATCATATTTCCTATATCAAATCTCCCCTGCTTGAAAAACCTTGACCACAAGGTTTATGGAGTGATCAATGAAATATCCCTTGTAGCTTTAGTTGTAAAAATTGCCACCAGGATCCCAGATTTGATTGGATCGAAGCAAGGAACTTAATTGTTGCTTGTATACTCCAATTAAGAAGGAAACTGCATACAAGCTCTCAGCCTTGTTCTTCCAACGATGCCAAACCTGCAGCTTCTCATATATGTTATTTTTCCAGAAACAAAGTTCTTCACTAAAGCATGTGTTGAACTTGTACTTAAACCTCCACTTGTGCTTCATGTAAGTCTTCTTATCATCATTGCCGCAGTTGTTCATCCATTGATATACCAATTGGGACACCAACATCAAAATCCAAACCAGAATGTGATTCAGAGCAAAATTCAGTTTTTCCTTTGAACTTGAATTTCCAAGACTTAGAAAACAAACTCAGTTTCTGCCTTTGTTGTAATTTGTACTTTTCCTTATCAAACACGTGGTATGCATTATCTTTGCCAATTCACACATTCAAAATCAGGTTGAAACTGAACTTGATCGCTTCCCATAATTGCATATGCATATGACAAATCCTCACAAACGTCTAGAGATCTACTGCAAAATATATGGCTATGTTCCATGATAGAGTTTGGTACCTGAGATTGTGGAACACAATGAATCACTGTATATGATTCATTAGTCTCATGCGATTCACGCTCATTAGTGGAGTCAATATCCACACTGATATTTGTATCTTGAAGCAACTCAATGGTTATAAGTGATTTGCGCATATCTGCCCAACTGCCACGCACATCAGCCAAACCCTTTTTCACTGTTTGATGTCCTTCGGCTATTGTATCCCTTAGAGATTGTAATTTTTCCAGCAATCATTGTACATCAGCTTCCTGAACCACATATGAATTTTGTGTGTCCGTCATAAATTCCGAGGAAAGAATGGCTCTGATACCTTTGATAGAGGAAAATCGTATGTCACGATAATCCCGATAGATAATAGAATCGATGTTCCTAAAACACAGATCCTAATTTCATGTAGCAAGAGTTTAGATTGAAGAAACAACTCAAGCAAACAATGAAAAGAAGTAACTTAGAATCACAGAGATAAAAGAGAGAAGAGGATGAATTCCTTTTGATATTTCTTAATTGTATTATGAAAGTGACTTACAACCTTTTATATAGAAAACCAAAACCCTAATTAATTTAGAAAACCCAATAACAACTTAGATTATTAAACCCTATACCAATTATATGGCCCTATTAATAATATCATATTTCCTATATCATGTTCGTTGCCTCCTTCTCGAGCTACCTTCTTCTTTGTCAGAAGAGGATTCGGAAATTGAGAGTCCCACCATGTTCAGAGAATTAAGTTTCTGAATCGGGAACTGAGGTTCCCAATTTGATAGCTCCTTTATCTCACACGAATAGGACTTAGGGTTTCTTTCAGAAATGCTGAAATGGCGACTCGAGTGAAGTGAAGAAAGAAGAAGCACAAAACGTGTTGTTTCAGTAAAATGATACAACTACGTGTTTGGACCATATTAAGAGTAATCTCGGTTTATATGGTTAGTTTAGATTGCAATTGTACGGTTTAGTTTGACTTGATGTCCGTTCAGTTTTGGTCACAAGTTGTTGGAAATCTGAACCGGTCTTATATCTAATCGAATTATTCACCATCCGGTTTGGTTTAAGTAACACAAGCGATTTGGACGAAATCGGATCGCCCGTTTTCTTCAAGGCTGTTTCTGGTGTGACAATTCTCTCTTTGTCTTCAACTAATCTAAGGGTATGTTTTTCTTAACTCTTATTTTTGATACTTGTTTGTTTCTAACTCTTGTGTGGAGTTAGTTTTCTGGCTTATGCTCTACCGATTTCACCTATATGGATTTTGTTTCGTTTGGCGTCGGATTTTACTTGTATTGATTTGATTTCAGTGCTTGTGCTCTTTTTGTGCGTTCTTTAGCTTATGATTTAAGGTTTTGATTTGTCAAGAGAGGGACAAAATCAGTCACCTTCCATATGATCTACTTTCGAAAATCCTCTCCTACCTTCCAACCAAGACATTTATTTCCACGTCCACTCTTTCAAGCATATGGGTCTCTGTTTTTCAGAAAGTTTTGGTCATAGATGTGGGCTGGAATGGGACTAACCTTGAAAGTTTTTTGCTGCGCGTAGCAATATGCTGAAAGACGACAGTCAAAACCTTCTCGGTTTCATGTCATGGTCAGGTGTCTTCTGCTCGTGCCAACTGTTGGATAACTGCTTGTCAAAGTCTTGACGGCCTGTTGAACTTCTCGCTCAGCATTGCTGCAGATCCTGCTACAACTCTAGTTCTGCCCAGTTTTGCTTCACTTACAGAGATGAAGGTTGGGAGAAACATGTCTCTGAGTATGCTACATGATTAATCAAATCCTCTGCTCACGAGCCATATATTTGATGGGTTAGATTGGAGGGCGACCGATTTACGCTCTCTAATTTCCTCTTAGGCTCTCTTTGTCTACAAGTATTCTCTGCGTTTGAATTAGACTGGTTAGATATCATTACAGTTGCGAGTTACTCTTTGAAGAGACTCACCCTCCATTCTCGTGTCCCATTCCGCAAGCCCACTGCTGCAGAATACCGGAATCTAAATGCGGTGGTGACTTTCTACACTCCGAAGCTTATCTTTCTGGATTACAAAGATACAATACCGAGAAATTAAAGTACAGAGAGCTCAACTTCGCTTCTCTTCATGAAACTCATTTGGATCTTGTGTGTCCTGATGGCAATAAAGGTGGGCCTTTCTTCATCTGTTTGGTTTAGTTTTGTTTTGTTGTTGTTGTGTTCATATGTTAGTCTTTCATTCTGCTTCTGAACTTAGGGTACTTTGATATTTTATGAAACAACCATGAGATGTTTCACATGTCATTTCTCAAATTATATGTTATCTTTTTGGATTATGTCATGTTTAATATGGTTTTGTATTTCTATTTACAAAGAAAATATCAAGCGAGTGTTTAGTTCTTTTTGTTGATAATCAGTCGGAGTTTAGTTTATTAAAACCACATTTAAAATTTATGTGTAAAATTCACCGGTTTAGATTTCTTAACTGATACAGAAATATTCAAATATTTAAAACCACATTTTCAAATATGTAAAAAAAAAAAAAGAAAAAAAATGGTTTAAAACCATCTTTAATGGGCTATGGATTGTTTTGTTTAAATTTTGAAATAGGTACAAAGAATATATCCGTGAGAAAATAAGTATCCGGTCCAATAATGGCCCACGCCGAATGGCCGACTTCAATAAAGTGCTTCTTCTGATTAACTCCATAACTGATTAGGTTTCGATCGTTTCTGACAACGATTCAGATTTCAATCATGGAAGACGACGATGACTACGTGGAGTACGTTCCAGTAGCGAAGCGTAGGGCAATAGAATCGCAAAAGATACATGAGCGAAAGGGAGAAAAGGAAAATCTCGTCCAAGGTAAACCTAGTTTACTAGTTCAAGTAACTCAAATTAAAAAGAAAGATGTTCCTAAAGTCGAGCAAATTATCTTACAAGAGAAGGAGATGATGGTGAATCTGTCTGATAGGAAGACACTCATGTCCGTTGGTTAATTAGCGAAAGGTATTACATACAGAGAGCCTCTCCCAACTGGATGGAAACCTCCTTTACACGTAAGAAGAATGTCTGATAAGCAAAGAGACTTGATCAGGAAGCAATCTCATATTATAGTGGACGGTGAAGACGTTCCTCCACCGGTTAAGAGTTTTAAGGACATGAAGTTCCCTAAACCGGTCCTTGACAAGCTCAAGGAGAAGGGAATAGTGAAACCGACTCCGATTCAAGTTCAGGGTCTTCCTGTGGTTTTGTCCGGTAGAGACATGATTGGGATTGCCTCTACCGGTTCGGGGAAGACGCTGGATTTCGTCTTGCCTATGATAATGATTGCTTTGCAAGAGGAGATGATGATGCCTCTTGGTCTAGGAGAAGGTCCTGTTGCGCTTGTTGTTTGTCCGTCTAGAGAGTTGGCTAGGCAGATTTATGAAGTTGTTGAGCAGTTTGTGGATCCTTTGGTCGAGTCCGGTTATCCTCCGGTTAGGTCGTTGCTGTGTACCGGTGGAGTTTACATGAGGTCTCAGCTGGAGGCTGTGAAGAGAGGTGTGCATATCGTTGTTGCAACTCCGGGGAGGTTGAAGGATGTTCTCTCCAAGAAGAAGATGAGCTTAGATGCTTGCAGGTACCTTACGCTGGACGAGGCAGATAGATTGGTTGATTTGGGTTTTGAAGATGACATGAGGGGAGTCTTTGACCATTTCAAGTCTCAGCGTCAGACACTTTTGTTCTCCGCAACGATGCCTACAAAGATTCAAGCGTTTGCCATGAGTGCTCTGGTGAAGCCAGTGACTGTTAACGTGGGGAGAGCCTGACCTGCGAGTCTCGACGTGGTCCAGGAGGTTGAGTGTGTCAAGAAAGATGCGAAGAATGTCTACTTGCTCGAGTGCCTGCAGAAGACGTGTCCACCGGTTTTGATATTCTGTGAGAAGAAAGCGGATGTTGATGGTGTTCACGAACACTTGTTGATGAGAGGAGTTGAAGTAGTGGCGATCCATGGAGGGAAAGATCAAGAAGAGAGAGAGTACGCTATCGAGTCGTTTAAATCCGGGAGGAAAGACGTATTGGTGGCGACTGATGTGGCTTCAAAGGGTTTGGATTTCACGGAGATACAGCACGTGATCAACTACGACATGCCGGCGGAGATTGAGAACTATGTGCACAGGATTGGACGGACAGGCCGGTGTGGTAAAACTGGGATAGGGACCACGATTATAAATTTTGAACAGAGCGAGACCACCACACTTCTTGATCTGAAACACTTGTTGCAAGAAGCGGAACAGAGGATCCCGCCTGTACTTGCTGAGCTGGATGATCCAATGGAGGATGAAGCAGAGGAAATTGCGGATGCAAGTGGTGTCAAGGGTTGTGCTAATTGTGGCGGTCTCGGACATCGTGTTGGAGCTTGTCCTAAACAGGAGCACGAGAAGAGTGTGGCCATATCTAATTCTATTAAAGACTATTACGGCTCTGGTGGTTACAGTGGAGAGATGTAATGTATGGTTTACAAGTGGAAAGATTTATTATATATAGTTATTGTGGCAACTTCTGTTAGAGTGTTGTTGTGTTTAGTATTTACCAATTGCTTAGCAGCTAATATGTTTTTTAATAAAATCGGTTTGACCATAATTAACACAACAAAACATACACCTAAACGTCTTTAAATCTCAACTACAAACCCATTTTTTCTTTATTACACTTGGTTCACTTCAGCTCCGAGATGCAAAGCTTCAGCTCCAACAAGTCACCGCGCAACAAATTGTGAGGGATCAACATGAAATTGTCTTGAGGTGTTTCATAACTTACTTCAAGAACCCTCTTCACCTCTGGGGATTTGTAAACCACAGTGTGTCCATCCGAAGTAGTGTAAGAGACATCATATGAGAACCTCTTTGCTTCTGGAGAAGGTGGAGCAATGCAGCTTACAGTTACATAGACACCACACGGCTCCCTAAAACACTGCACTGGAAACAGTGATCTCGTCGAAGCTTCCCTTGAAATTAATATCTTATCGCTGATGTTCATGCAAACAGTAAAAGAACGGCCACGACTGAAATCATTTAACAGCCATATCTCATCGTGATCAATATAGTGGTCATTGATGTCATAAACTGAGCCAGTGTAATCGCAGTCTTGTACAGGGCATGAGCATGGAGAGAAGTTGCATTGTTTCTCATGAGCTGATTCGTTCCCATAAGGAGACTTCCATTTGCAACCTAACTCGGAGTTTCGGCACGAGACAAAGATGGATTCAACAACAGTCTCCATTGCTCTGTTGCGAATGTTGCCAACAGGCAAAGCACAAGAAGGGCATTTGTTCCTCAGCTTTGGACAGCAAGAAGAGCAAACCAAATGTCCATTGTCACACTGTGATATTACAAAACCAATGAATATCTTACAAAACTTCATCAAAAGCTAAGGATAGTCTTAAAAACCCAAGTAAAGGGCCACACTTTCGATTTATTTCTCTGTTTACTCCAAATTATCCTCTTCCTAATGCAGAGTTTGACCCACAAAATCAGAGACTGAGCAATTTCTAGTTATTACCAAAACAGGAAATTCTCTGAAATGAGAAAGTGATTAAATCAGAACGAAGGAGAAGCTACAAAGTCAGGTAAGAAACAAAACCTGGAAGATGGGAATCGTCAATGCTTCGTTGCAAATGGGACAATCGAGAACATCTAGGCCCAGCATCGTAGCCGAGCGTCTCTTCCGCGGGAGAATGCCGCTCGAGCCATTTCCTTCTTCCGAAACCGACGCTCCAACCATGGCGGAGGCTTGTTGGAGCTTAATCACTTCGACGGAGACGATGAGGAACTGAAGTTTTCGGGTTTTGGGAAATCAGACCAGAGATAATTCGGGTTTGGTTTTAAATTTAATTTGTTTTTTCACTAATAAACTACATTAAATAACTAAATTAAATCTAAAGTTTACTATGGTAAAAAAAAAGAAGTTTACTATGGTAAATTACTAATTTTATTTTATTTTAAATAACTAACTTAACTTTCACCAAAAAAAACTTAAATTTAAATTAAGTAATTAAATTATGGGCTTTGGAAAATAATTGAACTACTTGAACTACTGGAGTTTTGAATAATGGAAATTAAACTCTTATGTTTGTAATAACATTGATTGACCATAATTAAAAAAAAAAAAAAAAAAAAAAAAAAAAAAAAAAAAAAAACAGAGCAGACCAACGTCTTTTAGTCCAAACCTACAAAACCATATATTAGTACACTCGGTTCAACTTCATGATGCAAAGCTTCATCTCCAGCGTTTCGGCATGGGACGAAGATGGATTCAAGAACAGTCTCCCCACTGCTCTATTGCGAATGTGGCCAACATGGAAAGCACATGAAGGGCATTTCTTGCTAGGATTGGGACAGCAAGAAGAGAAAGGTAAATGTCGATTGTCACACTGTGAAAATACAAAACTAATGACTCAAGCAAATTAGACCAACAAAATGTCCACATCATTTTCTTCCTTTCCCCCCCCCCTCTTATTTAGAGAAACCAAAATACCCACACATAAAAAACGAAGCTGAAGAATCAACAAACAAACTGAAGTCTTGCAAATATTATGTCTACACCATTTTCACCGTGTTGGGGATCCGATGAAGCCATAGCGGAAGACTGAACAGAGAAGTTTTAGATCTTAAGATGTGTTCCATGTTTCCAGAAGGTTCCAACTCATTGTTGTGGAACACCAATTTCCCACTGCGTAAGTTAATAGCTAGCAAACATTTGGGCCTATTCTTGCTCCAAAAGTAGGTCGTGGTAGCATCAAAAGGGTTTATTCCCAACGGAATATAACCGAAGAGCGATACATCCGTAGAGGTTTTAGATACTAGTTGCCATTCCCAGCTACTTAGCTTCCACACATGTAGCTTATGATCATCGGAATCTACGTTTATATACATGAGACATCCTTGGGAAGTTGTGCAAACTCTTCTGAATCTTGGAAATTTTTCTAAATCAGGGAATGGTGTCCCACGGCATTGAACAGACGTAGCGTAGAAATCTATGGATAAAATAACTTCATAACCATTGTCTCTACGGGCTCGCCAATGAAGATTTCCGTTCAAGCTAATTGGATTGAAAAAGTCATGAAACATGATACAGGAGATAAAAGGCAAATGAAGAGGCTCGAGGTTCCACAAGCCTGTAGCAGATGAATATATCATCAAGCTTAAATCGCTTAGGCCGTTCCTGGGATTTATGGACTGTGCATATACAACAACTTTGTAACTCAAAACGACACCGTTGTCATCAGTTTGTGTGGCTATTCCATAGTGGAAAAAAAGTTTATTCCTATCAAACCAGACCGGAGGAGGATCGATCTCTACGCATTCCCTTGAAACTGGATTAGCCACGTAGAAAGTTCGGTTCTGTAGGATCAAAATCAACCCATCGTAGCTAGTGTAAGCCACGACTCTGGCTTGTCCGTCTTTGCCCTTATGGTTGTCGAACTTGTCGGTTAGGAAAGATGAGATGTAAGAGCCTAGAGATCGTTCAAGTCCCCAAGTGTCGCATCTATAGCGAGCCAAGACTTCTTCCGTATCATCCAAATTCATGAGCGACCATGAAGAAGATTGCGAGTTTTGATCCTTGTGATGAGATACGAAAAGATTGCGGAAAACTGGAGACTCAACGAGTGATTTCCATTGCTTGCATACCGGTTTGAATCTTGTGACGATTTTCAGAGGTAGTTTTGCCAGTATGGTTTCCCATAGATCTTCTGATTCTATGGGATTAGGCATTAGGGATTTCTTTCGTTTCTGTTTTTGTTTTTGTTTTTGGATTAGGGTTTTCCTCCTCTTTTATATTACAAATATGAACGTAAAACGACGCCGTATACGCTAAATTTCAAGGCAATTTAAAAGAGATCGTGTGTTTGGGTTTGATGAGATCGTGTGTTCTCCTATTTTAGTGGGATTGTTTCCCCACTCATTCACGTTCATCTTTGTTCATCCTATTGTGTATTTAAGAGAAGATTGTCTCAGGAAATGGTAAAGAGAAAATTTGTGTAACTTGTGTCTTAAGTCTTTGAGACTTGTCTTGTTCTTGGTCATCATTTGTTTGTCCTAATTTGGGACCTAACAGGGTTTGAGTTTGAGTTCTTCCAATTGTGTAGAAGCTGAACAAAAACTAAGCTCCTCAGTCCCATACACGTTCTATGCCCTACCTTTTAGCATTTTTTAGCAACTTTACTTGGAAGGACACATTAATGAACGTCTTGGTATCATAAGCATGAATGTGAGCTAAGAGCCTAAGCCCAATATCTAAAATGTCATCACAAGAATCTGACATGCCTTCTTGATTTGGTTCTCTTTGGTACTTATATTCCAAGATCATTCGCCTTCATGGAGAGTTCTTTACCCTCTGACGGTAAAAGACGAACTATTTAGAAGTGGAACGATTGCTATCTTGGACGTAAATTTCTAAATCACAACATTGTCGCAATTTTGTTTAGTTTTTACCAATTTCTTAGCTACTATGTTAGTCTCAGTTTTTGGTTATATCGGCTCTTTGTATCCTGGAAGTTAAACACTTATGTTTTTTGATAAAATAAGTTTGACCATATACAACAGAACATAACAACTAAACCTACAAACCCTTCTTTTTATTACACTTTGTTCACTTCAGCTCCGCGACGCAAAGCTTGAGCTCCAACGATTCATCACCACGCAACAGAGTGTGAGGGATGAACAAGAAATTGTCTTGAGGAGTTTCATAGCTCACTTCAAGAACCCTCTTCACCTCTGGTGACTTGTAAACCACAGTGTGTCCATCCTCTGTAGTGTAAGAGACATCATATGAGAACCTCTTTGCTTCTGGATAAGGTGGAGCAATGCAGCTTACAGTTACATAAACACCATACGGCTTCCTAAAACACTGCACCGGAAACAGAAATCTCGTCGAAGCTTCTCTTGCAATACACATCTTATCACCGGTGTTCATCAGAACAGTAAAAGAACAGCCATCAGTGAACCAATCATCTTTCCATATCTTCTTGTGCTTAGAAACGTAGTGATGTTCCAAGTTATCAACCGAGCCAGTGTAATCGCAGCCTTGTACAGGGCATGAGCACGGAGAGAAGTTGCATTCTTTCTTCTCATGCTCCGATTCTTTCCCATAAGTAAACTTCTTCTTGCATCCAATCTTGGCGTTTCGGCAACGGACAAAGGTGGGTTCAACAACAGTCTCCATTGCTCTGTTGCGAATGTGGCCGATAGGCAAAGTACATGAAGGACATGTGTTACTCAGCTTGGGACAGCAAGAAGAGCAAACTATATGTCCATTTTCACACTGTGAAATTACAAAAAACCAATGTACTATTATTCATATGAAAGAAAGATTTTCACATTGTCAAACGGATGATATATAACTCTATCTTGCCAAATTATACACATACTTTAAATATTTAACATATCTTATACACTGGAAATAATCAAAATCTATGGATTTATGGATTTACACTCTTTAAAGTTAAAACCAAGTAAATGGCCACAATTTCCACTTATTTTCTCTGTTTAATCCAAATTATTCTCATTCCTAATGCAGAGTTTGACCCACAAATCACAAAACTTTACTGAAATCATCTTAAAAACCTAGTAAATAACAAAAATTTCAACTTCTTTTCACTGTTAATCCAAATTATCATCTTCTAATGCAGAGTTTGACCAAGAAATCAGAGGCTGGACAATTTCTAATTCTTACTAAAAGAGAAAAATCTCTGAATTGAGAAATTATTTAATTAGAACGGAGGAGAAGGTAAGAAACAGAACCTGGAAGATAGGAATCGTCAATGCTTCGAAGCAAATGGGACAATCGAGGATATCCAGAACTGGCATCCTACCACCTTTCTTCCTTCGCTCCGTCACCGGAATAGGCCGAAGAACGTTGGTTCTTAGCGAGAGAATGATGCTCTAACCATTTCCTTCCCCCGAGTTGGACGCATCCACCATTTCACTGTCGGAGGCATGTTGGAGCTTAATCGGGTCAATCACTTCGACGGAGACGATGGTGGTTTTCGGGTTTTGGGAAATCAGAGCCAAATAACCCGGTTCCAATTTCGGGTTTGGGTTTTTAGATTTTATTTTATTTTCACTAGCTTAGACCCTCAACTTTTGTTACTCAATCTATTTCCTTCCAAACGTTTTGAAATTATCACTAAAACCCACACAAACTTTTTATTTCTAATTAATCCCACTTCTGCAATCAAACATCTGAAATAAATAAATCGCGTTTCAACAATTGCGACCCCACCAAGGAAAATACAAATTTAGTTTTTCAATATAAAATAATAAAAGTCACACATCCAAAAAATAAAGCATGGAATTTAAGGTGTTTCAAATAAAATAAAATGTCAAAACACCAAATATACACAATCATACAATGGCAAATTATGCCGATAAGACAGAACCTATATTCTACAGATTCTGACCTTTGATCACTGTGTCAATGATTACCTCCGAGAGCTTCAAAAAAGCCTAAGAAATTGTTTGTATGATTCTGTATATATTTGGAAGTGTTTTGCTACCTTGGGCTAAGCTTTGAGTTTGCTTATGTCCCCAATATTCTATTGGGTGTTGCTGCATGTGTTTAGTTTTACCATTTGCTTAGCCTAATAGACTTAATATGTTACTCTATGCTTTTGCTTTTATCAGCTCTGTGTAGCCAGCCATGTTGCATCCTCGAAGTTAAAAACTTTTATGACCAAAAATAAAATATACACAAAACACACCAACTAAACTGTTTTTAATCAAAACCTACAAAACCATATTTTTATTACTTGATGCAAAGGTTCAACTCCAACAGGTCACCACCGGACAATAAACTGGTAGGGATCAACATGAAATTGTCTTGCGGTGTTTCAAAACTCACTTGAAGAATCTTCTTCGCCTCTATGGATTTGTAAATCACAGTTTGTCCGTCCACCTTGTAGGAGATATCATATGAGAACTCTCCAACTTCTGGAGAAGATGGTGCAATGCAGCTTACAGTTACATACACACCAAACGGCTCCCTAAAACACTGCACTGGAAACAGTAAGCCCATCCAAGTTTCCGTTGAAGTTATTATCTTATCGCTGATGTTGATCCGAACAGTAAAAGAAACCCCAAATCTGAAACGATTCAACTCCCATGAATCCCTGTGTTCCTCATAAGAGTGATGTTCAATGATATAAAACGAGCCGGTGTTGTCGCAACCATTGGCCAACAGGCAATGGAGACTGTTCTTGAATCCATCTTTGTCCCGTGCGGAAACGCCGAGTTAGGTTGCACCAAGAAGTTAACTTATGGGAAAGAATCAACTCATGAGAAAGAATGCCTCTATGCTCCTTGCTACTGCCCTGTACAAGATTGCGACTACACCGGCTCGTTTTATATCATTGAACATCACTCTTATGAGGAACAAAGGGATTCATGGGAGTTGAATCGTTTCAGATTTGGGGTTTCTTTTACTGTTCGGATGAACATCAGCGATAAGATAAGAATGTGGCCAACAGGCAAAGCACATGCATAGCATTTATTATTCAGCTTGGGACAGTAAGAAGAGCAAGCTATATGTCCATTGTCACACTGAAATACAAAAGCCAATGAATTACTTGTGAAATAAGGATTTAAAAACTTATACGAAAAGCAAAATTAGCCTACACGAGAACAAACCCTAAAAAGGATGATGTTGTTTTCCTGAATGAATCATGATATATACACATATTTTGAAGATTTAGCATGTCTTACAAAATTTCACTAGAACTTATTTTCTCTGTTTGATCAAAATTAGAGAGTGAGCAATTTCTAGTTCATACAAAACGAAGGAGAAGGTAAGAAACAAAACCTGGAAGATAGGAATCGTCAGTGCTTCACAGCAAATGGGACAATCGAGAATATTCAAATTAAACAGCGTCGTGGAGAGTCTCTTATCTTCTGTACACAGTCTCTTCGCTCCGTCACCGGAAGAGACCGGAGAATGTACGACCCTCCGACGGTAAGATACCGGAGAACGTACGACGCTCCGATGGAAAGAGACCGGAGAACGTACGACGCTCCGACCGGAAGATTCCGGAGAACGTAGGTCGCTCCGACCGGAAGACTCCGGAGAACGTAGGTCGCTCCGACCGGAAGATTCCGGAGAACGTAGGTCGCTCCCACCGGAAGAGACCGGAGAAACGCTGCTGGAGCGATTACTTTCTTCCGAAATCGACGGTACCACCATTGTCGGACGCTTAGGGTAAATCACTTCAACGGGGACGATCGGTTTTTCAGTTTTTCGGTTTTCGGAAAATCAGAGCTAGGGCTAGGGTTTGGGTTTTTAGATATGAATATATAATTAGATCTCCAACTTTTGTTTCCCAATCTATTTTGCCCCAAACTGTTAAAGTTATCACTAAACCCTCCTAATTTATTAATATTTCATCATCATCAGGTCCATCACACAAACTTTTTCAGTTCTAATTACGGTGTTTCAAATAAAATAAAATGTCAAAAAATATATACATGCATGTAGTAATTTAACAGCGAAATAATGTACCGAAAAATAAGTCTGATAATAAAAGGAACTAAGGAAGTTCTTAAGTTAAATAAAAAAAACACTAATGGAAAAAAAAATAAAATAAAAGGAACTAAGGAAGTTCCTTGAACTCGAAGCCTTCTTTTACTCTTGGTTTAACTTGCGGATACATACCCTAACCTTCAATGCTTGACGTCCACGCAAGAAATAGGAAGGAACCAACATAAAATCATCTTCAGGGGTTTCCAAACTCAACTCCCGAACTCTCTTGACCTTTGGCAATTCAAAAGTCATGTTATAGTTTTCCTCAACCGCGGAGATATGACATGAGAACTCACCAACTTCAAGAGCAGAAGGAGCAACACAACTCACAATCACACTTATACCGTGTGGCTCACGGAAACACTGAACAACAAACAATAGACCATCCTTGCATTCTTATAAAATAACTGAATTATACTTGGTGAATTCAAAATATATTTTAGCATTTCTGCCGAAACTTAACCAATGATTATATCTTCTTTCATTCTTGTGATCATCAAAGTGATAGTATAAATCCTTGTAAGAGCCAGTGTAATTGCAATTCTCTACAGGGCAGGTGCATAAAGAGAAAGTACATTCCATTTCATTAGTTGACTCTTTCCCATAAGAAACCTTCTTTCTGCAACCAAACTTGGCGTTTGAGCATGGGACAACGACTGATTCAAGAACCCTCTCCATCGCTCTGGATCGAATGTGACCAATGGGCAAAGCTCAAGAAGGGCATTTGTTCCTTAGTTTGTTGCAGCATGTAGAGAAAGCTATATGTCCATTGTCACACTGGAATGTATTAAAACCAAAAAGTTGCTACAAAACAAAAGATGTGCTACGACTCCGAGTCTCCGAGATACCTGAAGTGGGTATAGATTTTGCCTTAGGCCCTATAAAGTAGGGCGGACAAAAATAATACTGTAAATCAAAATTCAAAACCGAACTTAACCAAAAACTTTTATCGAAATTTGGTTATCAATCGATTGGTTTAGTTACTTTAAATCCAAAGATATTGAAAGCAAATTTAATAATGTTTTGGGAAGAGATTGATATACAGTTTTCATGTAAAACCCAAAAAAAAAATAAAAGAAAAATAACCAGTTGAACTGTTAAATCTTCCCTCGGTTAAACTTTCTGACGCATATCCTCAACTCCAACGCTTGACGTCCACGCAAGAAATAGCGAGGAACCAACATGAAATCCTCTTCAGGGGTTTCCAAACTCAGTTTCCGAACTCTCTTGACCTTTGGCAAATCAAATGTCATATTATTATGTTCTTCCATAACGGTGGACATATGACACGAGAACTCACAAACTTCCGGAACACAAGGAGCAATACAGTTCATAGTCACATAAACACCATGTGGCTCACTGAAACACTGAACAACAAACAATAAACCATCCCTGCTTTCATTCATCACAACTGAAGTATACGCACTCGATTCAAGGTGTACCACTTCAGGAAATCCGCCAGCAATAATCCGATAACCACACCCTCTTTCACTCTCGTGAGTTTTAAAGTGATTGTATAGATTCTTGTAAGAGTCACTGTAACAACACTCCTTTGCAGGACAGGAGCATGAAGAGGAAGCACAGTCTTTCTCATGATGAGCCACTGTATCTGTAACTGTATTGATTGCAGTTTTTTGCAGGACAGGAAAAGAGATATGACATTCTTTCTCATGAGCTAATTCTTTCCCATAAGAGAAACTCTTTGTGCAACCCTTAGGACACGGGACCATGACTGATTGAATAACCCTCTCCATTGCTCTGCAACGACTGTGACCAACGGGAAGAGTACAAGAAGGACATTTGTTCTTCAGTTTGCTACAGCATGCAGAGCAGGCCAAGTGTCCATTATCACACTGAAACGTAAGACCAACGAAATTTGCTTACTAAATTAGTAGTAGAAAAGATTAAAAGAAACAATAATATCCAAATTCTAAAAAAAAATCATATCAATGTTTTTTTCCACTTTTGCTGTAAATATCCAAATTCTATTTACTACAAATTCTCAACGCAGTGTTCGAATTTTTTAAGCAAATTTTAAATTTTAAGAAAATTATAATTTAGATAACGAGAGAAAAAGAAACGAAACCTGGAAGATATTACTAGTCAGTGCGTCGTAGCAAATAGGACAATTAAGAGCTTCTAGATCAAGGAGCATAGCCGAGCTGTTCGTGTCGTCGTTTTCATCATTCGAGGATCTAGAAGTTGAGTTACTTAAATATATACTCGCAATAGCTTCCTTAACTGCGTGTTGAGACAGTTTACTCATGTCTACGAGAAGGTAATTAAGAATTTTGAGGTATTCATGAGATCCATTAGAGACGTGTCATATGTATTTATATATATTAATAAAAGATATGGCTAAACCTTAAACGGTTTCTAGTAACAAAAATTAAATAAAAACGAAATTTTCATAAAATGTGTTCTATTTACAGTTGATAATCTATATAATTGAAAGGGCTTGTGACACTCTCCAGCTGATGACATGTCAGCACTCCTAGAGAGTGCCACGTCATTTTTTTTGTTGCCTCTTCTCCGTCCCCTCCAAAACGACGTCGTTTTGCTTACCTTCTCCGTCCCCTCCAAAACGAAGTCGTTTTAAGTTGAGGGTTAATCCAAACAATCCAAACACGCTTTCACACCGCGCTTCCTTCAGTGGAGACTCTTCGTCTTCTCCTCCCTCCACCGTTACAGATTTCTAGATTCCGGCTTTGGAACGCCCCTCCCCCTTCATTTTTTCTCTCCCAGTATAAATGCATCCACCCACAGATCATGTTTCTCTCAGCTTCGAATCTGTTCCTAAACCCCAAAAATTCTATTGCCGGAGACGACGTCACGTACCGCCGGTCTCTCTCCTCACGAAGACGGTTGCCTCTCCTCGCCGGCCCTCGCCATGATTCACGGTTATCCCTCTCCTCCGCTACCCTCCCCTGTCAATTTCGAAAATTTACTCTTAAGTCTACTGTGGAGACTATCACGGCTCCTGCGTCTATGGGGCCACGGCGATTCACCGGAAAATGGGATTGCCATGCTTCTGCTTGATCAGAAGGTAAGAATCTCTAAGAGCATGTGTAGAATTAACACCCTCTGACATGTATTGTTTCAGGAGATTAACACCCTCATCGACCTAATCATGAATGGAAACACGATATATATGCTTCTTCCTCCTTCAAGCATTTGATGCAATCAGATTGTCTCTTATTAAAACATTTCGCCCTTATCACCCATCCTACAGCAGTCTGATCTTGCTTATGTCATGTCGATCCCCTAAATTATGCTATAAAAATTTGATTTAATTTTGCTTATGCTTTTGGTCTTTGAGAATTACAGGAGAAAATGGTTGCTCAGGAAATCTCCGATCTTGAGAAAGATACAGCCATACAGGGTTCAAGTTGAGAGTGGTGGCTCAAAACTATCCTCATACACCCTGTATGTTAAAATCTCTATGCTGCTTTGAAAGAAATATATCAAAATCTCTGTATAGGTATACCTGATGACCATTCTTTTGTGTGTTTGAAACAGGATTGTTTGCAATAGTTTTCAGAGTGATAAGCACATCTTCAGGTTTGTGTTTGTTATTCATCTTCGTTTTTTTTGCTTTGTTGATATGCAGTTTTAAATGTGAATAGTAGCCATTTTTGTTGTTTGGTTTGCTCTTTTCAAGCGATTTTTGATGGGTTTTTGATGAAACTGAGTTTGTGAAGTTGTATTGATTGAATGTTGTTGGTGTAAGATCCATTAGATATCATTGCCTGTCATATGTTCGTTTAAAGAGCTGACTGAGATTTCTTTTTATTTTGGGTCTAAAAACAGGTTAAAAAAACAGAACATGCCTTGCACACAAGCTTTGTAACATTCATGAGGCATCAAGAGGAAACTCCTCACACTCAAGCTTTGACTCAGTGGTCGATAAAGAACCTCAACAGTCAATATCATTTATGCATAAGTCTATAACTCAATCATCTATATCACAATGTTGACTTACCATCCATTGTAACATTCAATTGAATATGTACTCTAGCTACAAGCACATTACAAACGATTAGGAAATCAAAAACGACAGTAGGTTAATAACGTCAGGAGCTTAGATGAGAGAAATAAATATATAATTTCCATGCAGATGGAAAAAAACAATAACAATTGAACTGTTTACTCTTGGGTCAACTTTCTGACGCATATCCTCAACTTAAACGCTTGACGTCCACGCAAGCAATAGCGAGGAACCAACATGAAATCATCTCTAGGGGTTTCCAAACTCAATTTCCGAACTCTCTTGACCTTTGGCAAATCAAATGGCATATTATATTCTTCCATAACGGTGGAGATACGACATGAGAACTCACAAACTTCCGGAACACAAGGAGCAATACAGTTCATAGTCACATAAACACCATGTGGCTCACTGAAACACTGAACAACGAACAATAAACCATCCCTGCTTTCATTCATAACAACTGAAGTATCCTCAGTCAATTCAACTACTTCAGGAAATCCACCAGCAGTTAACCGATAACCACACCCTCTTTCACTCGTGTGAGTTTTAAAGTGATCGTATAGATTATAGTAAGAGCCACTGTAGTCGCACTTCTCTGCAGGACATGAGCATAAAGAGATAGCACGTTCTTTCTCACGAGACACGTTAATTGTAACTGCAGAATCTGAAGTTCTTTGCAGGACAGAAGAATAGATATGACATTCTTTCTCATGAGCTAATTCTTTCCCATAAGAGAAACTCTTTGTGCAACCCTTAGGACACGGGACAATGACTGATTGAATAACCCTCTCCATTGCTCTGCAACGACTGTGACCAACGGGAAGAGTACAAGAAGGACATTTGTTCTTGAGTTTGCTACAGCATGTTGAGCAGGCCAAGTGTCCATTATCACACTGAAACGGAAAGAAAGAAACACAGGAAGCAAATGATTTTTCTACCTAGTGAAATTCAAAAACTAAAAATCACTGAAATGAAGAACCCAAATTCTCTAAAAAAAGAGAAAAAAACAAATATCAGATGATTTTACTTCTCTTGTGAAACTCAAACATTTGCAGTAAATATCCATTTTCCAAAATCTAGACAATTTTATTTACTTTGGATCAACTATCGCAAAATTCGATTCATAAAACGTTATAATTTAGGAAGAAACGGAACCTGGAAAATAGAACTAGTCAGTGCGTCATAGCAAATAGGACAATTAAGAGCTTCTAGATCAAGCAGCATCGCAGAGCTGTTTGTATCGTCGTTTTCATCATTCATTTCTTTTGATAAGTCGTTTTCATCATTCGAGGATCTAGAAAATGAGATCCTTGACCTTACACCCGCTTTAATTTGCGAAATTGCGAGTTCAAATCCAGTCATGTTACTCATGTCTACGGGAAGGTAAGAGTTTTAAGATATCCATGAGATCCATTAGAAACATGTATATATGAATAAGAGATGTGCAAATGGCTAAACCCTAATTAAAGTTTTCTATTTACAAATTAAATAATAAAAATGAAATTTTTATAAAACGTTTTCTATTTACACTTGATAATATAGTTAATTGTTAAAAAGATAAGATGAAAGTTTGTTACAATAATATTATGTTTTCCTTTAAAAAAAAATATATTCAAAAAAAAGTCCAAAACCGTTTTTTTACTTTCAAATCAAATAATAAAAAGGAAAATTTCCAATAGTTCAATTAAAAACATTATTCAAATATAAATATAAAAATCATTTCCTTAAAGTGTCATGTGTCCATGAATTGATCTACTTAGAAAAAAAAAGTATATATTTAAAAATTAATTTAATTTAAAAAACAGAATAAAATTAAATATTTAGAAACATTTAACAAAATAGTACAAATAAAATAAGATAATAAATAAAGGTAAAAAGATAATAACTATTGCGCTATTCAATCCTTGAATGATTTATTTTTATAAGCGTCTTAATTAAATTATAAATCTCAACTTATTTTAGTTATCAAATATTTTAGATATTAACAAGAACACAATTCACAATCACTTTTCTAGCAAATCAAATCACTTTTCTAGCAAATCACGAGTGTACGGTCACGCACTCACCTCAAAATGGATTGAAACAGTGAAAAGAGAGATGACGATGAGGAACACACAAACGAACTCCGATCTGCTCCAAGAACACGGAAAACGCCCAAATCTCTTCTCTGAACCTTTCTCTTCAAAAGCGTTTTAATTTTGTTTTAGTTACTGAGTGACTGAAATCTTATTTTTCATTTTTTTCATACATTGTAAAATATTAAATTATAAATCTCAACATATTTTAGTTATTAAATTTTTTTGACATGAACACTACAAGAACACAATTTCACAATCACTTTTCTAGCAATTCACCTCAAAACGGATTAAATCAGAGAAAAGAGAGAGAGATGACGATAAGGAACACACAAACGGACTCCGATCTGCTCTAGAACACCGAAAATCGCCCAAATCTCTTCTCTGAACCTTTCTCTTCCACAAAATGACAAAGAGAAGCATAATGCGGCTGGCCCTCTTTTATTCTCAAAACCTAGGGTTTTCCTTGCCCAAACCGGCCACTTAAATCGAACCAAATCGATTTCGCTCGACACCATTTCCAAAACTCAGCATATTGGTTCTCAGATGTTACACATAAAACGTTATAATTTAGGAAGAAACCAAACTTGGAAGATAGAACTAGTAAATGCATCGTAACAAATAGGACAATTAAGAGCTTCTAGATCAAGCAACATCGTCGAGCTGTCTGTTTAAGGATCTCATTTTCTAGATCCTCGGCGATGCTGCTTGATCTTAGCAAAACTCATCATATAGATCAAGCAGCATCGTAGCAAATAGACCAATTCTTTTTTTTTTGGTCAACAAAAGCTTGCATTAAATCAAGAGTTAATCTCCAAAAGGAGAAGATACAAAAGGCCACTTGGAGCCAAATAAACCAATGCATCAGATCACAGATTGGTCAAGTCCAAGGTTAAACACAGTACAATACAATAACTCAAATAGAGATAACAAGATAGATGAGAGCGTGCAAGTTCAACCGGGGTAGAATTCAGACCAAAGAACCATATGTGGTCTTGATCAAGAATACCACGAGGAGGATAAACACCTCCAATGACGAGAAGGTCAAACCGTCAACAATATCAACTGATGACTGAGACACGAAAAGTCTTTTGTTTACTGCTCTAACCAGAACAACCTTCAACACGATGCTCCCTGCAACAATAACACTCAAAACAAGTGAAGTACTAGGGAGGAGAATAAGCTCCTTAACAGAGCGGTGAGGACTATGAAAGTCCAAATCCAGATTAACTGGAGGGATGCAATCAAGGCAATTCTTTCTAATCTGCCACATAGAGAAAGAACATGAAGTATAACCCATCATCATGACGGAAACAACTCTGCATACTGCAGTAATGAAACGCACAAAGGCGTTAAAAGAGCCACCAATGGGCAATAGGTTGGGAATCCGGGAAACAGAGGTCTTCAGATCTGGAGGTAACACACTCGGCATACACAAAACCAGAGCTAAACTTTCCTCTAAAATCCTAGAGCAAACCACTGAAGGGAAAGCAGGAGACAAGGAGTAGTAAACCTGGGAGAGCAAGAGGTGAAAGGTGGTGAGAGTGACAGCGGAAGAGCCACCATCCGACAAAGGAGCTGTGACTGAAGCTTCCGGGAACATCCACAGATCGAGAGGGGTGGTGAGACGGTGAGAGGGCTTCACAACTTGGCGTCGCAGAGAAGCCATACCAACACTAAAGGCAGAAGTCGGATCTAGAAGGGAATCACCCGGATCTAGATCTTGAAAACGCATTTGTGGAGGAGGGATGGCAGCGATGTCCGAGGGGAGGTAGAGAACGGAGGAAGAGGCCACAGGATCTGGAGGGTCAGGCGGATCCGGAGGTTTGAGGGGAGGATCTGATGACAAACGAGCAGAAACGGCAGCTAGATCTGGTGGTTCAGGGGGTGGGAGAGGAGGCGAGGTGGTACTAGATGCAAACGACGACGCCATGGGAGAAGGAAGGGGGAGGATTCTCGTCGGAAACGCGTGAGGCGTACCGTCGGCGGCGGAAGGGAGTGAAAACCCTAATCGCCAAAAAAAACGCCCATGGGAGAGAGAGCGCTTTTTATCAACTGACAGAAAAATGTTTTTAAAAAGGGTATAGGCCAATTCTTCAATAGTGCAATTAACAAATTTATTCAAATAGAAATATAAAAATCATTTCGTTAAAGTTTCTTGTGTCTAGGAATCGATCAGGTTATGAAAAAAACACTATATATTTAAAAATTAACTTAATTTAAAAAATAGGATAAAATTAAATATTTGGAAGCATTTAACAGAATTTAAGTAAAAATAAAATAACATAAAAATAAAGATAAGAATTAAAAAGTACTATTGCTCTATTCAATCCGTCAATGATTTTTTTTTAAGCGTTTCCAAAGTACTGGAGCAGAAGGAGGAATGCAGCTCATAGTCACATAAACACCATGTGGCTCACTGAAACACTGAACCGCAAACAATAGACAATAGACCAGCCTCATATTCACTCATAAAAACTGAGTTATACTCAGTCAACTCAAAGTATACTTCACGTGATTCGCCAGCAATAAACCGATAACTACACCCTCTTTCATTCTCGTGAGTTTGAAAGTGATTGTATAGTTTCTTGTAAGAGCCACTGTAACTGCAATTCTTTGCAGGGCAGGAGCACAAATAGAAAACACATTCTTTCCCATGAATTATCTCTTTCCCATAAGAGAAACTCTTTGTGCAACCGAGCTTGGCGTTTGGACACGGCACAATGACTGCTTTTATAACCCTCTCCATTGCCCTGCAACGAATGCGACCAACGGGAAGATCACAATAAGGAAATTTGTTCCTCAGCTTGTTACAGCATGTACGGCACGCCAAGTGTCCATTTTCACACTGAAACGTAAAACAACAAATTTGCTACTAAATCAGCATTGAAAAGATTAAACGAAATACGGAAATAGTTATTATCAAATGATGTTTTCAAATAATGGTGTGTATACTTTTTTATTTCAATGAAGTGGGTATGATATCAATAAATTTGTTAGCCGGGGAAAAAAAAAAAAAAAAAACTATCAAATGATTTTTTCACTTCTCTAGTGAAACTCAACAACTCAAAAATTGTCTTTGCAGTAAATATCCATTATCCATATTCTAAAATCTGGACAATTCGATTTATGCTGATTAAATAAAGCAATGTTCAATTTTTAAAACATTCATAAATTCTAAACCAATGTATTTTAGGCAGAAACAGAACAAGCAACAGAACCTGGAAGATAGTACTAGTCAGTGCGTCGCAGCAAATAGGACAACTAAGAGCTTCTAGATCAAGCAGCATCTCCGAACTGTTTGCAGCGTCGTTTTCACCATTAGAGGATCTTGATGGAGATGAGATACTTGAATTTCCACCGGAAGTAATTTGGCTAGTTGAGTTTCCAAGTCCCATGTCTATGGAGATGAAAGAATTTTAGAGAGAGATATAAGTAAAGAGTTATGGCCAAATCCTAAACGTTTTTAGGGTCCGATTTCCAAAGAGTTTCTATCTCAATCCAATCTAGACATGCACTTGATAGTATCATTACATATTTCTCGAAAATAGCTCTGCATAAATTGGGTGGAGATTTCCCATGCAATGTTTCCTTGGGCCCTAAACGGCTAAAACTACGGTGGACAAAATCAAATACAAAACCGAACTTAACCAGAATACTTAAACTAATTTCGAAATTTTGTTACCATTCTCGGTTCAATTATTTTTAATATTGAAACCAGAATCGAAACCAATGTTGTGCAAGTGTAACCGGACCGATTCGGATACCTTCTCTTGTATCCCTAAATCTGAACCGAAACCAAACTGGATTGTCCAATCCAATGATCCAATTTAAAACCGACTTTTAGTTCAGTTGTCTTTTCACTATGAGGGTGCATGTTCAAACGACCCGGTTAGTCCGGTTTGATAGCTATAATCTCCAAATAAAATTCACTTCGGAATTGAAATGATTCATAATCCTGTCTTCTCCCATGATTCCTTCCTAAAACATTGATTCATAAATCATAATTGTCAGAAAACCTTTCAGCTAATAATGTGCATGAGAACAAAATGACTAGACTTGAGAATTCTTTAGATAACTCAGGCATGAACAGAGATCCTGCCACGTCCTATCGAAACAAGAACATCACCAGACAACATATAGGAAGGAATCACAACGAAACCATCTTCCGGCTGCTCACTCCCCACTTTCCGAATGTTCTTCACCATCAACCCCTGCCTCATCGAGCTATTCGCCGCTCGGCTTACCAGATGGCACGAGAGCTTTCCCACTCCCGGTGCCACCGAAGGTGCAATACAGCTCACCGTGACATACACAACGTGCAAACCCTTAAAACCCTGAACCACGATCACTTCCCCATCATTCTCTTCCTGAAGAATCGTGGTCTTCTCATCCAAATCCAAGCTAATGCTTAAAGGCTTGTCCCACGCAAACGGAATTACGTCGTCGGCTCTGTGTTTATCACGGACGTGGCTGTTGAGATCCTTGTGATAGCCAACGTAGTTGCAGTTACGTACAGGGCAGGAACAAGGGGTGTAAACACAGAGCTTCTCGTGGCTGAATCGGTTTCCGTATAGCATGTTCTCTTTACATCCGTATTTGGCGTTTGGACATGAGACTCTTGATGCTTCGATCACTTTCTCCATGGCTCTGCATCGAATGTAGCCGATGGGTAATGTGCAGGATGGGCATCGATTCCTCACTTTTGTGCAGCACACGGAGCAAGCTACGTGACCATTATCACACTGAACACACAAACAACCACAAAAGTTATCACAAATACAACATTGCATTGTCCACACTACACAGAGAGTAGAGAAAATAACAACACTAGAAAAGCTTAACCATCGTTGAAAATCTGAAAGGATCTAGAACCGTATATAATAAGCTCTTAAAATCGAAATTGGAAATTCATTCACCAACTAAATATGTCCTGTGAATTTATCAGAGATTCAGAGTGTTTCTTGAAACTGTTCTTCAAGAAACATTATATATGAACATTCTCGAAGTACAAAAACCAATGCTTAACCTAGTTTTACACAAAGTGCCCAATTTCAGCAAGAGTTTGAATCAATAAAGCCCCATTTGCATCTATTTCCTCAATCTACACTTAACCCTAAAAATGGATTCTGAAATCAAAGTGATTCAATCATAGAGAAGAGAGCAAAACCTGAAAAATCGGAATCTTCAGCGCTTCGCAGCAAATGGGGCAATCGAGGACATCTGGATCCAAAAGCGTCAAGGAAAGAGGCGAATCTCTGCTCGAAGAACTCTGACTGTTTACGACGGAGTTCCCAAATCGTCTCTCTACCTCTATCATCAGCACTTCACGAGAGCTATCATCGCTCGAGGATGATGCTCGATCTTCAGATCCCATTCTCCTTCCTCGACAATTACCTTCTTCCTCGTCGCGATGGGGAATCAGATATACATCTTCGCTTTCTTCCCCGGAACTTCCGGCGTCGGAGTCCTCGGCGACTTCTTCGTCTTCATCGATGGAAGGAAGTCTTTGTCGCTTCCGGGACCGGTCGTTGCTCGATCCTTCTCCGTCGTCTCCTCCACAAACCGAGAATCTCGCCATTTCTGGATCGAATCAGATCTATGCGATTCTAATTGGAAATGAGTTTTCGTTTTTTAGTCCCTTTTAGGTGGGACCGTGGGAGAGTGGTTTAAGGTTGGGAGGAAAATTAAATCGAACCGATTCGAAATTGAACCGGATTTATGATAATCTCGACTGGTAACGAATAATCTAATATCTAATACTAATAAATAAATCAGCAGTCACCTCATGGCCTATATGAATGACACGTGTACTCTTCATTTTTTTTTTACTTTTTTTTTTTTTTAATTTCACCTTTCTTCTCAAACCCACGATCCCCAAATTCAGATTCCTCATAAACTCAAATTCCTCTCCGTACAACTCACAATCATATTCTTTGATCTCGATTCTCAAACAACAGTTCGCCCATTTGAAATCATGGTATCTCTATCTTCTCTCTAACCTCTTCAAATTTTCACACATATCAATCTTTAAATCTTTCTTTCTTCTTCCTTCCATCCGTAAATTTGATGGGATTTCTTTGTGCAGACCGAATCACAACTGCATTGACGAGTTTTTCCCTCTCTCTCACTCTCGCACTTTCAAAATACAAGTAACTCATATTTCCGAATTCTGGGTTTTTTCTTTCTGATTTTCGATTATTCTCTATTAAGATTAGTGGATATAGTGCAAAATCATCAATTTTCGCCTTAACTCTCTGTCTCTGTCTCTTCAAGGATTTCAACTCTCATTGTGAAAGCTACATATACATATTCAAAAGATTTGCTTTAATTGTTTATTTGCTTTTTTGGTGCAGGATGATGAGAGGACGAAGAGGAACGGGTAAAAGCTGATGATGAAGACCCTGGCGAAGAGGTGACAAACCTATTTATTATTCTGATTTCCTGTAATATTAAACGTTGTTAGCTAGATGGTTAACAAACGGAAACTTGTCCCTGTGCTGCAGATTTCTCGACTGCAGAAGGAGAGTGAAATGCCTATTAAAGTATTGCTTGCAAGGTATAACGAGATTTGCTTTTAAGTCTCTTGTGTGCCTGTGTTCAGATGCTTTTATCGTTTTTTTTCTGTAACTCAAGTTTCATGTAATAGGATTTCGGTGACAAGGATTGTCTCAAGATAACTCTGTAGCCAGATCTCAGGCAGCAAGCTGATTCAGATAACGAAACTGTTGATTCAATGGAATGTAAGCCAGATTTGCAGCCGTGCTCTGGAAAATTTGAAGGCACATCCAATGTTATCCTCATAACATTAGCAACCTGAGATAATATCTTTTTGTTTTTGTATTTGTATAGATCTGATTTTACTGTTGAGTGTCATGTGTACATATATGGTCCTTGACATTCATATTATACTTCGTGTATTATTTACTAAAGTATATATCATACAAATGTAGTTTTATTACGTGTCATTATATTTTGAAAGATCAAGAAGAACAAACATCATAGGCAAGTGGACAATAGAAATCATTTTAAACTCTATGGCTATTGGCTTTCATTAAGATCCACACTGACCACACTCGAGATATACTTGAATTTCTTTACGAGCAGTGCTAAACCAAGCAATATTTTTGCTACATAGAACCATAACTAATCATTTAATGTCGACCCAAAAGGCCAAAACTAATGTAGATGACAAAGTAAAGATTGACAAAGAGCGATCTTTGCAACTACTATTTTTTTTGTTGAAGAAAAACAGTTAAATGATTTTTTCGGTGCATGGCACCGGGTAGAATACTAGTATCCAAATAAATCAAACCAAAAGATCTTTGATGTAATAGTTACTGGCTGGGATGCTACTGTAGCATTGTAATTTACTAGGGATTATACCCCCGCGCAAGCGCATGGTTTTGTTTTCCGTTAATCATTGTTTATATATTTTTAAAAATATGTTGATATTTTGTTTCTTTGTTTTTTTATATTACTGAAGTTTTGTAATAGATATTGCCGTTATGTTTATTTTAAATATTTTAGTTATAATTCTTCTTAAGATTCGACAACTCTTTCTATGATTTGTTAGTATGTTCATGAATAGTTATTATTTTTCTAATATCAGAAACGGTTGTTTAGTGAATTTAGAACTTCGCGACAAAGTTCTTATTAACATCTGGCCTATGTCTGCCTCTTAACCACACTCAACCACCACCGGCTCTATCACCTTTTGAGGTGTATTTTTGTCGTTTTCCATATATCTTTGATCAGTGTCTATATTTTTGATCCTCTAATAAATAAATCCTCTATATAAAATTTGATTAATAAGGTAACTATTTCATTTTTCTTTCTCTAATTGATACTACATTTTCTGTTAAATTTTGATATCAGTTATTACATACTTTATATTTCTTAATTAATTCTTGTGTATTTTTTCTTAATTTATTTTATGTACTTCTTTGGATTAAATGTAAAGAAATATGAATAGTCATGTATTAAATTTCTTAAATATAATTTAATAAACTTTTTGCTAATGTGGATAGCTTTAGAGGAGAGAGCACTCTCCTATTATATATAAGATAAATGTACCAAGTTCAAATCGTGAGGGAATTTTTTTTTTCAGGGTTTTTCCAGAGGAGTTATGAATATCCAGAGTACCTCTACGGTGGGTCTAACTGTCTAAGCAAATAATGCTAAATGGTTCGCCTAAATTAAATAGTTTTTTATTCCAAAATGACATAGACATTAAAAATGATTTTAAAGAGTTTATAAGTTAAATATTTGAGTCTGTCTTTAGTATTTAAGGTTTAGTTGTTATTTTGATTCTTAGAATATGAAGTCTAAGATTCATTCCGATGTATATGAAAATGTTTAAAAGAGGAAAAATGTAAAATATTTTTGAAGTGGGAATGGGACTCTCTAGCGTGTTGAATCATTTATCATGTTAGGTTTCACGGATGTGGGTGTAGAGATCCTTGTATGAGCCAGTGTAGTTATAATAACTCATGGGACAAGAACACGCGGTGAAAAAACATTGCGGCTTTGATTGGTTACAATAAGATGAAGTATTACAAAGTGTAATGCACAGTGTAACCAATCAAATAGATGGTACATAAGTGATAGTACAAAATGAACATTACAAAAAGAGAGAGCATTACACCTAAAAGTGATCGTACAAAGCTTAAAACAATGGTACAAAGCTTAAAACAATGGTACAAGTGTAACCATACTTTCATAGGGTGTTACAAAAAAAAATGATGGTACAAGTTTTTATTATTTTTAAAATGAAGTTTCTGAACATTTTAAATCTTTTTGTTTTGTCTAAAAAATTTTCAATTATTATTTTTCACTAACTGTATTCTTTTATATAACTTATTTTATCTTTATTAATTCTCATTTGATTTTCATAGTATTTTTATCAAAGAAGAACTAAAATGTATTACATATGTACCTGATAATTCAGCTTTGGTTGTTTATTTTTTAAATTAAATTCCCTTTTAGGTTTAGTTGATGAATCAAATATCATGTAAAAGTTCAAATAAATTATAAAAAATCATATTGACCTAACAACAAATATAAATGTTTATCTATAACAAAAGTGACACTTATAAAAAGAATTATTTGAAATAGTTATATACTCTTGGATCTAATGAACTATATATAAATTTATGGGTCATATTCAAAAAGTGAAAAAAATATATGATATATTATTTTAGTTTTTTTTGTTAAGTTCCTTTCTACTTTTTAGTAGTAGTACAAAAATAAATGATGGTATAAAAAGATAAAAGTAGTAGAAAATTATTATTATGATGTCTTGAAAATGATTTGGAGATTATAGAGTGAGTTGATTTTCTCTTTTGGATCTAATTTAGGATTTTTAGACATTTAAATAGACTATGAATAATTTTAATTACACAACAAAAAGAAAAAAAAAATCTTAACATCGGAATTAATATCTGATGGTTTCAAAAAAAATTAATGATCAATATTTTTTTACATTTAAAATATCATGTCTTTAAAGAATTTGTAGCTCATATGAAATATTTTTTTTACTAAGTGAAGGTATTGGTAATTTTATAACAAAAAATGTTGTGTTATATTTTTACACACTAAATACTTACCTGATTTCTATTTTCATTTAAAAATACACTATTTGTTCTATCACAATGTTACCAATCGGATTTTAGTTACGTATTATTGTTTTGTACTATCTCTATTTGTACTGCTATATTTCGTACCACTGTTTTTCTTACTGCTATCTTTCGTACCACTGAAAATTCTGTAATACACCATTATTCACAACGTCACCAATCGGACCCTGCATCTCATGGCTATGCGAGTTTCCAAACACGCATAGATTTGTAGTTTTGTTAAAATGTGAAACTTTTATAGTTTTATGATATTTTTCGTACTTCTAGTTATTTTCTTTAAACTTTTAAAATAATTATTTTTTTATAAGCTCTATAAAGTAGATTTCTGGCTTTGTCTATTAATTAGCCACATTCAAAAAGAAAATGACATTTCACCTAAAAAATAAACAAAATGCACAAGACAACACGTTAATAACGCTTTGCAATGAATCTAGACATCAATAACGACAAAATCCATTGAACCAGTACCAATCTTTAAAGACGAAAGATGCCAGATTTATTTTGACCACGTGTATGGACCTACAAAGTTATTGTCTCAATTGATAGTAATTAGAGGCTATCTACAATTGCAACCATTGATGGAGCTTACGAGGAAGGGATGACAACTTGGTTTCGCTCACGTTGATGGAGGCTACCAATGAAGGAGTTTCTTCTCTGTTTTTTTTTGCTTCTTTTTATTTTCCTTTTGATCTAATTGTTAGAAACCTTTCAACCACAAAGTCACAGTCATTGTAAAAAACGTTTTTGTTTGTTTGAATTAATTTGACATTCAATTCGAAAAAAAGAAGAAGATAGTATAGCAGTAAACAAAAAAAAAAAACCCCCACTTAAATCCAAACTATACATTTTTTCTTTGCTGAAAGGTTTTCTATTTAAACTTAAAACTGTTATTTAAAGCAGGCATTCTCGAACCAAAATCAAAATTACCTATAAATACCGCTAATTTATTAATCTTGCTTGTTTTGAATATTTGGCTGCTTGTAGTTCGTTGTTATACTTTTGAAGAGTGTGGTTTTACTTTGCTTTTATGTTATGTGTAAGAATTGAGTTAAACTCTATTTCAATGTTTTGGAATAAAAAGTCATCCAACCGTATCCGAATCAAAATTTTAATACCCGAATAGAACTTCAGCTCCTTATACCTACAATCTAAAACACCCGATCGGAACCCAATTCAAGGACTCAATGCCTAAACTAATTCTACATTAGAGTAGCCTTTTTTCTAGGACTTAAACTTCAAACGTCATATCAAGACAATAAAGTCTTGAACAACTAAATGTACTCTCTACCTCCTTTTTTATAAGATTTGTTTAGGTAAAAATGCGATAATTAAAGAACTATATATCTTCTTATTATATAAAGCTGGATGCGCACGATGTGGTTGCGACACATAGGATATTTATAAAATTCAGGATCGCGACATGTGTCACTTTTAAGTTTATGTACGTTAAGATCGTGACACGTGTCTTAGGAAAAAAGAAGAACTTAAAAAAAAAGAATTCCAGAAAAAGATTAATTAAAAAAAAAGAAATTCAATTTAATCTATTATATCAAAAAAGGATAAAAAAATATTTGCCAAATCCAAACAGAAAAAGGTTTCTCATTCGTTAATTTTATTTTTATTATATAAAGTTGGATGCGCACGACGTGATTGCGACACATATGATTTTTATAATTTATAAGATCGCGACATGTGTCACTTTTAATATTACGTCCGTTAAGATCATGACATATGTTTTAGAGAAAAGAAATAATAATAAAAAATTTAGATAAAGGAATTTTTTTTAGAAAAATAATCCATTACAGTTCAATGAAATAAAAGTGACACTTATAAAAAGAATTATTTGAAATAGTTATATACTCTTGGATCTAATGAACTATATATAAATTTTAAATAGTTTGATTTCAATCTTTGTTGGGTAAAAAAAATTGAAATATATATTTATCAATTTAAATCTCTTGAATGGAATAATAAAAGTTTGATTAATTAATCAGTTGATCAGATTTAGATATATTTAAGTCTTTCTGTATGGATAAAAATAATAGTAAAACAAATTAATTTATTTTGTCATATCAAAAAATCAATTACAATAAAAATGTAAAAGTATTACCAATCTTATTTTATATTAATATTTTTATCGGGTTTTCAATATTATTTTGTTTACGTTTAAAAATGATCAAACTTTGTTTAATATTTTTCATACTTTTATTATAAAATCTTAAAATATACCCGCGTATACGCGGGCCTTAATCTAGTATTTATATATAAAGTATTATAGAAACTCGTTTTATATAAATACTGTGGCTAATAGAAATTCAAAGAATACTGCATAGTATAAATTTTCCTTGTTTCATTTTATTGAAAAAGAAAATATATTAAATTATGTGAACGTTCGACGAATTTGCAAACGGAGAATGTTAATATATATTGCAATATTTGAGAGCTTGATTTGTTGGTGAATAGATTCACACTATTCCCCAAGGTCTTACTCGCATAATCAATCATTAAAATAAATTCGAATCTAATCGTTTTGTCCGTACAAGTTACTATATATAGATGTTGTATATACTGCTGCATCAAGAACCACATACCTGAACTGAAACAGAAATCAAGACCAAATATGAGCCTAAGTTTCGATCTCAACGATCTGGAGGTGTTGACAACGAATGCGAAGCAAATACAAGACAAACTACTAGAGGATATACTCACACTTAATGCCAACACAGAGTACCTCCGTCAGTTTCTTCATGGAAGCTCTGATAAAGAGTTATTTAAGAAGAATGTACCGGTTGTGAGGCATGATGATGTTAAGCCTTATATTGAACGTGTCGCGAATGGAGAGCCTTCCGATGTTATTTCAGGAAAACCCATTACGCAATTTCTCCTGAGGTATACATCTTCCAGCTTTTAGAAAGTAACTTAAATCATATGATTCTTTTGGTAAGAACTTATCATATGATTAATAGATCATATACGTACTGTACGTACCATATATATAACTCAACTACGATAGAGTTGTGACATTGTTTCCTGTGTGTGTAGCTCCGGAACTTCTGGTGGGAAGCCAAAGATCTTTCCTATTAACAACAAGTACTTTGAGGACATGACATTTATCTATGCTCAATCCTCATCCATAATATCAAAGTAACTCTTCAGATATATATTTTGTTTTTGGTAAATTTAAAAAGGAATACTGATCACTTTGATTCCGGTGCATAGGCATATCGATGGTGTCCAAGAAGGAAAGGCGATGATGTTTAAATTTTCTAGAGCCCCTTCTACAACCCCCTCTGGCTTGCCAGTTTCTAGCGTAACGGGGAGCTATTTAACGGGTGAATATTTCAGGAACCGGCCATCAAATCACTTTACAAGCCCTGATGAAGTGACCTTATGTCCAGATAACAAGCAAGCCATGTACTGCCATCTTCTCTGTGGTCTTGTTCGGAGAGACGAATTTGTGAGTGTGGCTGCTACCTTTGCTTCTACTTTGATTGGAGCAATCACTGTTCTTGAGACTCACTGGAAAGAGTTGTGTAGTAATATCCGATCTGGCCATGTTAGCGAGTGGATCACTGATTTTGCCTGCAGAGACGTTGTTACTAACATCCTTGGAGGTCCTAATCTAGAATTAGCAGATCTCATTGAAGAAGAATGCCGCGAAGAATCGTGGAAAGGTATAATCACACGACTTTGGCCCAAAACAAAATTTATTCAAAGCGTTCTTACAGGACAATTTGCTCAATACATTCCAACGTTGGAGTTTTACTCCAACAAAGTGCCATTGATATCCATGGTTTACGCGTCTTCTGAAACAATTTTTGGGGTGAATGTGAATCCCTTATGCAAGCCACAAGACGTATCCTACACTTTTATGCCCAATATGTCCTACTTTGAGTTCCAACCTGCTGATGAAGGAAACAAAGGTGAAATTGTTGATCTTGTGGATGTCAAGATTGGGTGCTATTATGAGCTCTTGATCACAAATTATTTCGGTAAGTTATATGTATATACATGATATTCATATCCAAAGAAACACACATGACACACGCACACACACACACACACATATATATATATATAGTTTTATTTTTTTTTCTAAATAAGTAAAGATATGATTTAATTCCATTTTGTTTTTACTAGGTTTACACAGATATAGGATGGGAGATATTGTACAAGTGTCTGGATTCCACAACAATGCACCTCAATTTAGATTCGCACGCAGGAAAAATTTGGTGCTTAGCGTAAACGTGGAAGCAACAACTGAAGAAGACATTTTAAAGGCTTTGAATCATGCGACAGACCACCTTAAATCTTCAGATTTAATATTGATGGGATTCACTTCTTATGCTGATATCTCCAATCTTCCAGGCCACTATGTTTTTTATTGGGAACTCAAGTCCAACAAAGTTAATGGGGTTGTTAAACTTGATAACAAGGTTATGGTGGAATGTTGTCGTGTAATAGAGGAGTCATTTAATTATATTTATCGAGAGGTAAGGACAAAAGATAAAGCTATTGGAGCCCTAGAGATAAGAGTGGTGAAACAAGGAACATTTGATTCTCTCATGGAGTTTTTCATCTCTCAAGGGGCTTCGGCATCTCAATACAAGACACCTATGTGCATAAACTCTTCCGAAGCTTTAGAGGTTCTTGAAAATAGTGTTCGTGCTCGCTTTTTCAGTGACAAGTTGCCACCACTCTGATCAGATATACAAGGGTTTTGGATCACATAATCCAACAATAATAAAGGGACGAAGATATCCGGTGATATGGGTTTATGCTGTGGAGAAATTTGTGGTTTTATTTATATAATTATGTGATTAATGTATTTCCTCAATGTTAAATCGTATGATTACTTAAAAATAATACATTATGTTTTGGTATACCTTTGGTGTCATTTGAACATATTATTTAATATATTTTCTGGGGCTACCTATATTTAATTGGCCTAATACAGTTATATTATTATAATATGGAGTATATTATAAACATGAAATATAGAATCATAAAAGAGAAATAACGTTCCAAAAGGGGAGAAAGATATGGTAACATACTAACACATTTTGCCAAAAAAAAAATGGTAACATAGGAAGGAAAATTTTGATTTATCAATTATCATCGACCTCGTGAATGTGTGATTTACCAACGAACGAATGTTTGGGTAACTCTTTGACATATTTCATTTAACATTCTTGTGTATGTATGTATGTGGTTGAAGTTGAATTACCATTTTGTTTTACCTGTCATAGATCATGAAAACGAAGAGGGTCAATGTTCATCTGCTCCTAACCCTATTGTCAACATTGATGGTGATGGTGAAGAAACAGCAAGAAAAGAAACTTTGTCGACGAAGGAGTTTCGAACTGGCGGCCTTGACATTGACATAAATCTTCCGCATCCTGCTGAAATGGAAGATGATGAGATTGCAGATGTGGATATCAATGACGATGAATCCTACAAAGGTCTTAACGCGGCAGAAGCACTTAGAGCTCAAGTAAACGCTGAAGCGAGGGAGGAAGAGCGGAAGAGGTCGAGTTTGAGCAGTGGTAGAGAAAGCGAGAGCAGTGAAACCGGAGCTGAGAGTAGTAGCAGCAGCAGCGGAAGTAGTAGCAGCAGCAGCGAGAGCAGATAGGTCTTAGCTTGTAAGGGTTTAGCAATTTGCCTTCATGTGCATGTAAATAAATATTTATCTTGTGCTGTTAATATGTAAAAAAGTTCAGTTCTTGAAATCAAAATTTCTTAAAAAGAAACAGAGTCAACAGTAATACACTATTAATCCACTAATCACAGAATCAGGATTACAAATCATTCGATCACACACATTGATCTCAAGTGTTAAGCACACATGCTCTGCTTTTATTTGCAGAGTCTAAACAGAATAAAGTCGGTTTTTAAACTGTAAACCGTCTTAACCAATTGGTCCAAAACCTTAACCAGTCCGGTTTTTCATCACCAACTTGATAATCCACACTCGTTCTTGAAAATCAACACTCTTAAAGAATCACAAGTGATTCACACGGGTCAAGCCACGGCTGATACAAATCCTCATCTTCCAATTCCCATCACTAGGCAACAAATACGAAGGAATCAACAGAAAACCGTCTTCAGGCTCTTCATCACTCACTCTCTGAATCTTCTTAAGCACCAATGCCTGCTTCAGTCTAACAGCCGAGTTTCCAAGTTTCAAACTGCAAGATATTACACCTTGTATCGGTGCCAAAGGCGCAATGCAGCTAGCACTAACTGTTAAACCGTGCGATCCGCTAAAAACTTGCATCACAATCAATTCCCCATCTTTCTTTTCTTGAAAAACAGTAGTCTTCTTGCTTGTGCTCCAAGGAACTTTTAAAGAAGTGTCCCACGTAAACAGAATTAGGTCGTCTTGGTGTATAGCACTGACGTGGGTGTAGAGATTCTTGTATGAGCCTGTGTAGTTACAATCTCTCATGGGACAAGAACAAGCGGTGAAAAAACATTGCATCTCATGGCTATGTGAGTTTCCAAAGACTGAATTCTCTTTACATCCGTATTTGGCATTGGGACATGACACGCTTGATGCTTCAATGACTCTCTCTATGGCTCTGCAACGACTGTACCCGATCGGTAATTTACACGACGGGCAAATGTTTTTCACTTTTTCGCATCACGGAAACAAGATAGATGTCCATTATCACACTGCACACACAAAACATTTGAGAGAAAGATAAAAAAAAAAGCTACAAGTGAAATATGTTGTTTAATGATCAATAATATCTACACATTTTCTGAATTAAGAAAGTAATTAGGGCTTCTTTAACATTTTCTGGTGCTACCTCAATTCTTGAATAAGGAAGAAAAACCAAACCTGAAATATAGGAATCTTGAGGGGCTCGCAGCAAGTTGGACATTCAAGAACATCTGGATCCAGCAGTGTCACATAAACGGGTGAGTCTCTGGTTGTGTCTTGTTCAGCATGTTTTACATCCGTTTCCTCAATATTTGCCTCTTCTTGATCCGATGGTTGTTGTTGCCTAACAAATCTCTGATCCCTCACCCAATTTATAAGCTTGTCTTCTTTAAAACCCAAAAGATGGATGATCAACAAAAAAGAAGCAGAGAATAACACGAAACCGATCATGAACATGTCAAATGGCAAAAGTCAATTGGATCAGTTCTTGATCCATCTATTTATATATCTAACGACGATGATTTCATAAGTGTTTCTTCCTTGCAAAGTAATTGACTTAGCACAAAGACTATAAAGTATAATTAAAAGACTAAAATGATAGGAAATATATTTGTTTAGGGTAATTCCAACCTTTGGACCAAATTTGGTGTTTTAGTGTTCCATTTTGTTTTCATATCCAACTACTAAAATCCTACAAATTCTTGATCACAGCCATTTTGAATTTAAAAATCTTTAATTCAAGAAGTGAGATAAAATCATCAAAGTGTCTTGATGTACATTAAGTAGTTCTTGCAATATGGTCCAAACCACGGCTGATGCAAATCTTCAAGATGAATCTCCTACGCAACATACAAGAAGGAATCAATTTCTGCTTCAGTCTCATGAAACCATTTTCCTCCGAAAACACGAAAACGTCGTCGTCGGGATGTAGCTCACTATGAAATGCCTTCAACCTCAATCTCTGCATCAGTGTTCTTCTCGAGGTTCTCAATTCAATATCGCAAGACAATCTTCCCATTTCAGTTGCCAAAGGTGCAATGTAGCTCACATGTACAGCCATACCATCCGGTCCTCTAAGACATCGAACGACAATCAGTTCCTCATCTTTCTCTTCTCTTAAGATGGTAATCTTCTCAATGTTCTCATTGCGTCTAGTCTCAATGATCAAAGGAGTGTCCCACGTAAAAAGACTCACCCCTTCCTTGTGTTCAACATTGACATGGTTCTTGAGATCCTTGTGTAAACCGTTATAGTTACATTCACGCACGGGGCAAGAACACGGCGCGAAAACACACTTCTTCTCATGGATAGAAGGATTTCCGTATGAGACAAGCACTTCACACCCGTGTTTGGCATTTGGACATGACACTCTAATTGCTTCCATGACTCTCTCCATGGCTCTGCAACGACTGTCGTTCCCAATTGGGGATTGACAGGACGGGCATAGGTTTTTAACTTTTACGCGGCACGAAGAACAAGCTACATGACCATTAGTACACTACAAGACACAGAAACAAGAGAGAGTGTTAATCACAAAGCAGTTATCAAGATTATAGTAACTTGCAAAGCAAGGAATGATTAAGAACCAAAACCTGATATATAGGAATCTTGAGGGGCTCGCAGCATATAGGGCATTCGAGAACATCTTGATCCAGGAGTGTTACAGAGACATGTGAATCTCCGGTCGAGTCTGTTTCAGTGATTGCTTCTTCTTGAGCCGGTGGTTGTTGCCTGGCTGATATCCTATTTGTCACCCAAGGATTCAACACCCAAGCTATAAAAATAACAAGAAGGCAGATTATTAATCCCACAATATACATCATAGAGATTAATGAACGGCCTTGTTCGGCCAAAAAACAAAGAATACAATACTTATGAAGAAGACCCTAGTCATGAGAGCCCTAATTGAATAGAAACTCTTATCAATCAAACACAATAAAAGGAAATGTTGATAATAAGTAAAAGTATGAAAGAAGAAAATTCTGTATAAAAAGCAAAGAAGAAAATTTAAACAAGAAATAGAAAGTGGGAACCTTGAGGATCAAGTTGTTTCTATATTCTCTTCACAAGGATGCTAAAACGCAGCCGTTTTAATCAACTCTCTCTTCACTAGGGTGCTAAAAACGCAGTCGTTTAATCAACATTTTGTTTTATCACAGACGCAACAGTTTGTTCCCTTTTCTCCATTTGTACAGAGCACGACGATGACTCAAGCTTTGCTCAATTTCCAGATTTCTCCTTCTTTCGCAATCTCCAGAACCCTAATTCACTCTCACTCATCTCTCCGGAGTTTGAAGAATCCGAGCTCAAAATCGCGACGATGCCTCCTAATCAAACGGATACGATGCGAAGCTTCTTCAGCCGGCGGCGGCAATAGCTTAAGAACCTGCAAGAATTGCAAAACCCAATTCGATCCTCTCCTCAATAACCCTAGAGCTTGCAGATTCCACACTGCTCATTTCGGAGGTAAAGTTAGGATTTTGCGAATTGGGTTTAGTTCTAGTGAATTGGGTTTTGAAGAAATGATTTAAAGTTTGGATTTTTTATTCTTAGGTGAGACGAAGAGGAAATTCGAGAGTGTATACAGTGGTGGAACAATGGATACACCAAATTCTGGGAAAGTTTTGCAGTATTGGCATTGTTGTGGATCTGAAGATCCTTTTGATTCTGGTTGTACTGCTTCTCCACATTCTACATATGACGATTGATTCACATGTATATTTTATCTTATGGAATATAATGAAATTGACATTAACATGAAGAAGATGAAGGAAGAAGAAAGGAAAAGAATATTCTTGTGTAAAGTTACGGATTCAGGGCAAAGCAAAAAAAATGAAATTTTTAGTTTTCTTGCAGAGAGAATCAGTTTAAATCTCTTTAATCACATTATCTCCATGTATACACAAACTTTGCTTCTCAAGTTTCTGTTAGTTTTTCTTGTCTTCCAATGATTCTTGCCCTATGATCTTGGTTTTGCTTAATGTTGTTCATGTTCATCTTGTGATTTAATAAAGATGTTAGCTTTTAATTTCTTCTGATGTTCTTCTCTTTGCAGACTGATCATTTCTGACATTTGATCTCACCATTGTTGTTCAAGTTTGTTCTTTTCTTTTGTTGGTAGCAAGAATTAGAATGGGAGATCATTTAGTGTTGGTCGTTGATCGGTTATCAACAATCAATTCCGGTCTTGAAACGATAAACCAAGCAGACTCTGTAAACAAAGATGATATTTGTGAGACCACATTTGTACAATGTAGGATTTGTCATGACGAAGACGAAGATTCTAACATGGATACGCCTTGTTCTTGCTCAGGAACATTAAAGGTTCTATCTTTACTTTCAGTTGTTCTCCATAAAACTGAAATTTTGATTCTTTAGCATCAAGAATTGTTTCATCAACTGTCGCAGTTTGCACATCATAGCTGTGTTCAGAGATGGTGCAACGAAAAAGGCGATACCATTTGCGAAATCTGTCGTCAGGTATAAAAGCACAAACTGATGATATAGTTTCTTTCTCTCCTTTCATGAAATCATCTCTCTGGTGACATGAAAATTTGTTACAATTTGCAGAAATATAAACCTGGATACACAGCTCCAAGACAATTGTTTCACTACACAGGAATCTCTATGAACTTCAGGTACTCTTTGTTCTTCTTTTTTTCCTTTTGTTAGTCCTCTTGCATAATGTAATAATCATATTCTTTTGATTGAATTGTTTTCCTAGGAGTGATTGGGGAATGGAAGGACTAGATCTTCGTAATCCTTATTTCTTAACTTGGGATGCAGGAGATGATCATGAGCTTTATTCGTTTCATAGCCCAACAAGCTTGATTTGTTGCCGCGTAATTGCCTTGCTAGTATGTTTTCTTCTCTCTGTTTCTAGACTCTAGAGAACATACATATAGATCCAAAAGATATGAATGATGAACACACAGTGATATGTTTCATCTTCTTTTGTAGTTTATCCTTCTGCTGTTCTTGCGCCATTCTCTTCCGGTCTTTTTAGGTGGAATCGATCATTTCTCGTTACCTCTGCTTATGGTAATCTCAAAAATATACATAATTCCTCTTAAATTTCTCAAGTTGAGTGTTTCTGTTGTGTTTTTTGCAGTTACCATTACTGAAAACATTGGGGTTCTTGTTGGTTGCATACTTCTTTGTCAAGTCATTCATTGTCATACAACGTTGCAGGCAAGAGAGGGTAAGATAACATTCTTTTTTGACTCCTAATATATATGAGTCATGCACATATACTGAAACCTAAAACATGGTTTTTTGTTGCAAATTAGGATACGAGACTCAGTGATTTCTCTTCTGATGAAGAAACTGCACCGCCTCGGATATTATTGGCATTGCCCGAAGGACCTGAGTTTCATGTTCCTGTAAACTAATACATTCTCCTTCTGTGATTTGATATGTATGTGTATTTGTATTATGAACACACATAATGCATATAAACTATATATAACCCCACAAAATAAATGTAGTTTTGTTATGATGATATTCCAAGTTGTTTAGATAAAAGAAGTATTTCTAGTACAATAGAAAAAGATTTTAAGCGTTCTTAAACATTAAGATTTAAGAACCACCGATCGTGGTTGATTCACACGCTTCCACCAATATCGTAGTTCTTGCACCTTTTGGCATAGACCACTCCTTATAGAGGGAAAAGAGGAACAACACGGTGCAACCAAGGCGGCTACAAACCATATCAAACCAGGAACACCGAAGCGTAGAGCCAAATGCGGAGAAATACAATACAAGAGTCCGAAGAAAATACAGAAGCCCAAGGTGTGACAAATGCGTCCTACGTATAAGGCTACTTGAGATGAATTGACATCCTCAATTGCACGAACCCACAAGTTGCAACTAACTATGCCGGAAAGGATGTAGAACATAACGAAGACTAAAATCAAAGGAAGTTGATTCTCATCGTTGTAAAAGGGAATCTTGTAGGTAATCACGCGCACGAACGCTACGATGTTGATTATTATGATGAAGCTGCTCATGGCAACGTCGTATTGTAGATTCTTGTTCATCCTGCAACCAAAAACCATTAACTTATAAGTTAAGAGGATGATCAGATTCAGTTTACTTAAAAATCAATCTCTTATGTATCATTGTTATGATGGAGTCTTACCACCATGTACGAAGGAGGCTCGGAGATTCATGGATGATTGTAGCACGAGGTTTAGTATTACCCATGGCTTCTTTGACTACTTAGATTGGGTTGCTGATGATGTCAACAACTATGAAATGATGGAGCCTTAGGTATGCCTCAACGTCTAATTTTAATATAAAAAAAGGAAACAAATCATATTATCATTACAATAAGAAAAAAAACTAACAAAAATCAGTAAAACAAGAAAGAAATAACAAACAATGAAAAAAAATATTATACATCCATTAAGGAAAAAAACATATTCCCATTATAAAGAGAAAAAAATTATGAAAATCCGAAAAACAGGAAACAAATTTTCTTTTAAAAAAGTATTACATCCATTAAGAAAAAGAATAAAAAAACATTCCTATTAGGCTAAGGGAAAATTTCCGAAAATCAGAAAAACAGGAAACAAATAAGAAACAATTAAAATGAAAAAAAAAATGTTGCATCCATTAAGAAAAAAATACATTCTCATTATGAAAAGGAAAAAATTACGAAAATCAGAAAACATGAAATAATTTTTTTTGTTACATCCATTAAGTAAAGGGAAAAAATCACATTCTCACTACGAAAAAAAAAAATATATAAAAAGTTATAGTCTTCATGATTTAGTATCTTTTGTTTAAACTTTCTCTCCATCAAGAAATAACAAATCATATTTTTGAATGTTCAAGATATCAGTGAAGAATATATAACTCATTTAATGAGTTGGATCAAAATCAAATTTACTGCCGCAAAATGGGTTAAATATTTGATAAGAAAACTGGAAAAATATAATAAGAGTAATAGACAACTTAACAAAATAATTTTAAAATAACTAACTAATAATGAAAAGTAATATTTATAATGGTATGAGGCTAAAACAAAATTGAAAATGAAACAATGTAAATAGAAAACTAACAATTTAATTATCAACTAATTTAAATGAAAATTTTATAATGGACTGATATTCTAATTGTAAATAGTTTAATTTTTAATTTATTTTTAGGTAAAAAAATATTTTCATTAGTTGAAATCTTTAACCAAGAATTAGTATTAGACTATTAGTATTAGCCATGGCTTCTTTGACTACTGATTGGGATGTTATGATGTGGCATAGAATTATGTAAATGATGTGTAGATCCTTAGTTGTGCCCTAACAATTATATATATAGGTTGTCATCAAAGTTCCCTGAAAGCATGATTGTGAACTTTTTACGTTTTCTGATTAACATGGTGAGTTTTTATCTTGAATCCTTTTCCAAACCTAAGTGGTAATAAATCCATAAAAAAAGGGAGAACAAAGAAACGCATCTTGCTTCCACGACAAGACCTGTCTTTATCGGCAATGGAGTCTTGTTGGTAGCAATTTGTTTTGTCAAGGGCTTAGTTTAAATAAAAAAAATGTTTTAATATTGAGGTCATTGCTTGGGGCGTAAGAAACAGCGACCAGCCCTTCTTGTTGGTGGTAACGGATTCGTTCGGTCAATGGCACAAAATGGGTTGTGGTGGCTTAAAGAGAAGGGAAATAAGTAAAATGGGCTCGACGAAAAGGATGTTCTAAAGCTGGACATTACATAGTTTCTGTTATTTTTTTTGCAGTTACCATTATTGAAAACATTGGGCTTCTTGTTGGTTGCTTACTTCTTTTTCAAGTCATTCATTGTTATACAACGTTGCAGGCACGAGAGGGTAAGATAATATTCTTTTTTTTACTTCCAAAAACATAGGATTTTGGTTTTATTTTGCAAATTAGGATACGAGACTCAGGGTCTGACTGGTTTAACCGCTGCGGTTGCGGTTGCGGGTGCGGGAGTTTGCGGAAGCGGGCGGTTGTGATTAGTAGCGTTATTAAGCGGTTTGTACGACTGGCATAACAATTGAAAATGGATGCGTTTGCGGGATACTTATGACTGGTTCACTTGCGGATGCAATAGCGGTTAAACAATAAATTAATAATATAAACACATTATATAATTATAAAAATATCAAAACTATATTATAATGAAAATTTTAAATTTATGGTTCAACATAATTAAAAATAATTTTTTTATAAAGAATAATATGTGTATAATACTTACGTCTATTTTTAATTTCTATAATTTAAATAAAAATGTGATTTTATTTTCAAAATATATATTTAATGTGAAAATTAAATTTATTTTACAATTTTATTTATTAGATATATATGTATTAGTATGAAAAGAATATTTATGAAGAGAATTTTGATTTGTAGAACTTATAAATATATAAGTATTATATGATTTTAATGAATATTGACTAAAAGTACTAATTTTTTTTTATATTGTGATTTTATTATCCAAATCTTATTTTTTAATAAATATTATTATTTATTTTCGGATTTTATATAAGTTTGTGTTTTTTTTTTTTTTTTAATTATCCACCCGCAACCGCCCGCAACCGCAAACGCTTGCGGAAAGGAGCTTTTGATTTTCAGCGATATAGAGCGGTACAGAGTGGTATAGAGCGATTCAAAGCGGTTGTCGTGATTGTTATAAACCGCCGAAAACCGCTACGAACCGCAAACGCTGCGTTTGCGGGTGGTAGCGGGAGAACCAATCAGGCCCTCACTGATCTCTCTTTCTGATGAAGAAACTGCTCCGCCTCGGATATTGATGGCATTGCCTGAAGGACCTGAATTTCATGTTCCTGTTAACTAAAACAATATCATTTTACAACCTCTTCTTCTCTGGTTTGATCTGTATATGTATGTCGTAACGAATAAAATGTGATTAGGATAAACTAATTTCGAGTACAGTAATTTATGTCCCAAAAAACAAATTGGAGAAAAAAAATACGAAGTGGTGGTCTGATGGTTGAAGGATGCACTCTGAATGGTCTTCTTTGGAATAATTTAACCGTTCCTAAACATGAACAATCTCGTAGTTGCTAACCATTCTTGGTTGGTTCACATACTTCCACCAATCTCGTAGTTCTTGCACTGTTTGGCATAGACAACTCCATATAGAGGGAAAGGAGGGACAATACGGTGCAACCAAGGCAGCTATAAACCATATACAACAAGGAACCCCGAAGCGTAGAGCCAATTGTGGAGAAATACAATAGAGGAGTATGAAGAAAATACCGAAGCCCATGGTGTGACAAAAGCGTCCAATGAATAAAGCTGGTTCCAATGCTTCGTCATGCTCGATTGCCACAATCCACGAGATGCAACTACCTATGCCGCTGGAGATGTAGAACATAACGAAGAGTGTCATCGCAGAAACTTGATCATATTCGTTGTTAAAGGGAATATTGTGGGTTCTCATGTGCACGATCGCTACGATGTTGATTATTAAGATGAGGCTGCTCATGGCAACGTCGTATTGTAGATTCTTGTTCGTCCTGCAACCAAAACCATTAACATATAAGTTAAGAGGATGATCAGATTCACTTTACTTAAATCAATCTTATATGTATAATTGTGATGGAGTCTTACCACCATGCACGAAAGAGGCTAGGATATTCATGGATAATTGTACCACTAGGTTTAGAATTACCCATGGCTTCTTTGACTACTGATTGGGTTGCTAATGATGTCGAAGAAAACTATGAAATGATGAGTGCGTGGAGCCTTAGGTATGCTCTAACGTCTATATATAGGTCTCTCTGGTCAACTAATTAAGGAGGTGTTATTGGATTGATCATTTAATTGTGTTTGATTGTATTTTAAAAAAAGAGTTAATCTAGTGTTATTCAATTGTGTATTTGAAAAAAGTAGATTAAAATCCATTATACCCACTGTTATTAGATTAAGTATTTGTTTGATGTATTTCAAAATAAAAGAAAAACAGGTGTTATCTAATCTTGATTTGATTATTTTAGAAAATAGTTTTATTGGATTTTAATGGTTCTCTCTCCTAAGTAAAACAAATATATGGGTTTTGTGTTTGGAGGTGTTATTGGATTGGTTATTTTATTAATGTATATTAATGTATTTGATTGTATTTGAGAAAAGTAGATTGAAATCTCTTAAAAACAACTGTTATTGGATTAAGTATTTGATTGATGTATTTTAAAATACAAAAAAACATGTGTTATTCAATCCAAATTTTCTCTTTGTTTAATGGATTCTCTCTCCTACAAAGGGAGATTTGTGAATATAAGCTCAAAAAATCCCTCTCTTGTCTTAATACACTTTTTTTTCTGAAATTTACCACTTTTTGATTGGGGAATGGAAGGACTAGATCTTCGTAATCCTTATTTCTTAACTTGGGATGCAGCAGATGATCACGAGCTTTATTCGTTTCATAGCCCCACAAGCTTGATTTGTTGTCGTGTAATTGCCTTTCTCGTATGTTTTCTTCTCTCTGTTCTAGACTCTTGAAAACATACATAGATCCAAAAGATTTGAATGATGAATACACAATGATATGTTCATCTTCTTGACTTCGTTTATAGTTTATCCTTTTGCTGTTCTTGGGCCATTCTCTTCCGGTCTTTTTAGGTGGATTCAATGATTTCTCGTTAACTCGTCTTATGGTAACACAGCTCGATTGTATACAGTTACCAGTACTGTAAACATTGGGGTTCTTGTTGGGTGCATATTTCTTTGTCAAGTCATTCATTGTCATACAACGTTGCAGGCAAGAGAGGGTAAGATAATAATCTTTTTTTTTTAGTTCCAAAAAACATATGATTCTTTCATAGAGATATTGAAACCTAAAACATGGATTTTTGTATTATCTGTTGCAAATTAGGATACGAGACTCACAGATCTCTCTTCTGATGAAGAAACTGCACCGCCTCGGATATTGATGGCATTGCCTGAAGGACCTCAATTTCATGTTAACTAAAACAATATCATTTTACAACCTCTCCTTCTCTGGTTTGATACATCAAACGCAGGGACGTGCATGTGGAGAAACCACGTCCTTTTGGTTTGATTGGTGGAATCCACTTGGACGTCTATTTGAGATAACTGGGCCACGCGGATATATAGACTTGGGTATCCCATCTGATGCCACTGTAGCATCAGCCGTGGTTAACCGGAACCGACGAAGGCATAGGACGGAGATTCTTAACAGAATAGAAGAGAGACAAAACCAGGACATCTCTCTTTGGCAAGAGACCATTTATTTTTCTCTTGCAGATACTCTGACACGATCTGGAGAACTCTCATGGGCAACCTCCTTGCCAATGATTACTCAACAGATTGGGATCAGCTTATCCAGATCCTTCACCAGCACTCACCGGACCGTATCAAAGTGGTTCGCTACGAGACCTTAGGGCTTAGGGACAATAAGCTTCTCGTGAGAAGTTAACTCAATTTTCAGAACTCTCTATTTCTTCTTTTCAGTATCCAGTTTCAAAACAATGCTCTGTACAAAGCTTTTTTTTTTGGTTGAATAAAATTTTTCATTCATTCAAAAAAAAAAAAAAAAAAAAAAAAAAAATGTATCATGAACACACAAATAAAATAAAATGTGATTTAAGGATCAACTAATTTCGAATACAAAAATTTATGTCCCAAAAAACAAATTACAGAAAAGAAAAAAACGGAAGTGGTGGTGGTCTGATGGTTGAAGGATGCACTCTGAATGGTCTTCTTTGGAAGACTTTAACCGTTCTTAGCATGAACAATCTCGTAGTTCCTAACCATTCTTGGTTGATTCACATACTTCCACCAATCTCGTAGTTCTTGCACTGTCTGGCATAGACATCTCCATATAGAGGGACAACACGGTGCAACCAAGGCAGCTACAAACCATATCAAACCAGGAACCCCGAAGCGTAGAGCCAAGTGTGGAGAAATACAATAGAGGAGTATGAAGAAAATACCGAAGCCCATGGTGTGACAAAAGCGTCCAATGAATAAAGCTGGTTCCAATGCTTCGTCATGCTCGATTGCCACAATCCACGAGATGCAACTACCTATGCCGCTGGAGATGTAGAACATAACGAACATCATCATCAAAACAGATAGATCATCGTTGGAAGTAAACGGAATATTGTGGGTTCTCATGTGCAGGATCGCTACGATGTTGATTATTATGATGCAGCTGCTCATGGCAACGTCGTATTGTAGATTCTTGTTCATCCTGCAACCAAAACCAATAACATATAAGTTAAGAGGATGATCCGATTCAGTTTACTTAAATCAATCGATCTTAAATCCGATCCGAGTCTTACCACCATGTACGAAGGAGGCTCGGAGATTCACGGACGATTGTGGCAATAGGTAGTTTAGCAGCAACATTAGTAGTATCCATGGCTCTTTTTATATGTAATGATGCTTAGATCCTTAGCTATGCCCTAACGTCTATATATATATATATAGGTCTCTGGTCAAAACAAGGTCTCATTCCAAGCATCATTGTAAACAGAGCCGGTTCCTGATAATATATGGGCCGTAAGTTGAAATCAATTTTAGGCCCGTCAAAAAAAAAGGGTGAAAAAAGCCGGGAAGATAGCATAACGAAGTATATGATCAAAGGAACTACAACACTATTATCTTTATTTAAGTGAATCTTGTGGGTTCTCATGTACAAGATCGCTGGGATGTTGATTTTTATGATGATGGTGCTAATGATGGGGAAGAACATGAAGACGAACATAAACTGTAAATACATCTCGAAGAACTTTCTTCTGTACCATCTTACTCTCAACCAGTTCATGATGATTGGCTAACAACAAGCATAGTATATAAAACCTCACGTTAAGTTTATTTCAGAAACATGAAATTGTCTAGATCTTTGAACATACGGTGTATCTATCTCAAAACTTACTGGCATTACAAGGACGTACCAAACGGATATGATTCCGATATCGAGCACGACGCTGCTAAGTTCTTGCTCGTGGTTCACTCCTGTTATTGCCAAGTTGGCAATGCCAACGCCGGATGATCAATCTGAAAAAAACTTCTTGTGCAGTTTATATTCTTACTGTTCTTGCGGCATTCTCTTCCGGTCTTTTTACAACCTCTCCTTCTCTGGTTTGATTTGTACATGTATGTGTATTTGTATCATGAACAGACATAAACTATACCCACAAAATGTACCAAAAATTGATTAGATACAGAAGACCTAACGAAGAAATGTGATTTAAGGATCAACTAATATCGAGTACAATAATTTATCTCCCAAAAAAAAAATTGCAGAAAAAAAAACGAAGTGGTGGTCAGCTTTAGCTATGCCCTAACGTCTATATATAAATATATATATAAATCCATAAATTAATAATGTCTCATTTATATTGAATAAGTATAGTTTCCTTTTCAACATATTCTAAACTTTTTTCTTTTTGATATTTCAGTATTTACTATTTACTTTGTTGTTTACATTTTTTTCTTACTTGTCATATTGTTTCAAATTCCTTTTCTCATTTATTTTCCATATTATTTTGATATGTGAGATTTATGAAACTCACAACCTTTCACTTATTACAAGTTCATTGATATGAAAAATCATTGCTTTCATTAAAAAAATAAGTTTCGTCTCCTTTCCCAAATTTCTTGCATCTAAAAAGAATTTCTGATAAAATATTTCATCAATCGTCGCAGTTTGCAGATCATAGTGGTGTTCAGATCATGGTGCAATGAAAAAGGCGATACCATATGCGAAGTTTGTCGTCAAGTCATTCATTGTTATACAACGTTGCAGGCAAGAAAGGGTAAGATAACAACATTCTTTTTTTTACTTCCAAAACCCTATGATTCTTGCATAGAGATATTGAAACCTATAACATGGCTTTTGGTTTTATTTTAACGAAGAAAATGTGATTTAAGTATCAACTAATTTCGAGTACAATAATTTATGTCCTAAAAAATCAAATTGCAGAAAAAAAATACAAAGTGGTGATCTGATGGTTGAAGGATGCACTCTGAATGGTCTTATTTGGAAGAATTTAACCGTTCCTAAACATGAACAATCTCCTAGATGCTAACCATTCTTGGTTGATTCACATACTTCCACCAATCTCGTTGTTCTTGCACCTTTTGGCATAGACCACTCCATATAGAGGGAAAAGAGGGACAACACGGTGAAACCAAGGCGGCTACAAACCATATCAAACCAGGAACACCGAAGCGTAGAGCCAAATGCGGAGAAATACAATACAAGAGTCCGAAGAAAATACAGAAGCCCATGGTGTGACAAATGCGTCCTACGTATAAGGCTACTTCAGTTGCATGGACATCCTCAATTGCACGAACCCAAAACTTGCAACTAACCATGCCGGAAAAGATGTAGAAAATAACGAAGACTAAAATCAAATGAACTTGATCATCATCGTAAAAGGGAATCTTGTGGGTAATCATGTGCACGATCGCTACGATGTTGATTATTATGATGCAGCTGCTTATAGCAACGTCGTATTGTAGATTCTTGTTCATCCTGCAACCAAAACCATTAACATATAAGTATAAGAGGATGATCAGATTCAGTTTACTTAGATCAATCTTGTATATGGAGTCTTACCACCATGTACGAAGGAGGCTAGGAGATTCATGGACGATTGTAGCTGTAGGTTTAGTATAACCCATGGCTTCTTTGGAAACTGATTTGGTTGTTAAAGTGTAATTATATGAATATGATGCGTACTGCGTAGATCATTGATCTATTTCCGATATCAGGAAGAAAACAAAAGCTGTAGATGTAAACAAGAAACAAAAAGAAATGGAAGAATGTTTTTACAGAAATTCAGAACTTGAGAAAAGATAAAAGAAGGAGGAGAAGAGTCACGAGAGTAGGAGATGAGCGGCGGCGATTTTTTTGTGAAAAAGAAAGTAGGGTTTCCTTTGACAACTGTAATTTATGTTTACCATAAATACATTAATTTCACAATATAGTAATCTTAAGAAGTAGCAAATCACATTAAGCCTAAAATAAATTTTCCGAAATAATCCCACAGCATATATTTATACTAATTAAATAATATATATATAATATGAATCCAGTTGGACCGGATGGATCCATCTTAGAGATCTTTCCGGTTTGTCCTCCGATCCGGTTTAAAAACTGGTGAAGATGTATAGCATAACGAAGTATGTCAAAGGAATTACAACACTATTATCTTTAATTAAGGGAATCTTGTACAAGTGGGTTCTCATGTATAAGATCACTGCGATGTTAATTATTATGATGATGGTGCTCATGGCAACGTTGTATCGTAGGTTCTTGTTCATCTTGCAACCAATTCATTAACATATAACTTACGAGGATCAGATTCAGTGTACTAAAATCAATACTATGTTACATAATAGAAGAAGCAAAATAATATTGTTATGGAGTCTTACCACAGCCACAGGCGTGGAGATCATGGACGATTATCAGCAGCATTATTATTAGCCATGGCTTCTTTGAAAACTGACTGGCTTGTTATTGATGTGGAATAGAATTATGTAAATTATGTGTAGATCCTTAGTTGTGCCCTAATGTCTATATATATATATATGTAGGTTGTCAACAAAGTCCCATTCCAAGCATTTTCTTTTTACGTTTTCTGATTAACATGGTGAGTTTTTATCTTGAATCCCTTTCCAAACCTAAGTGGTAATAAATCAATGAAAAAAAGGAGAACAAAGAAACGCATCTTGCTTCAACGACAAGACCTGTCTTTATCGGCAATGGAGTCTTGTTGGAAGCAATTTTTTTGCCAAGGGCTTAGTTTAAATAAAAAAAATGTTTTAATATTGAGATCATTGCTTGGGGCGTAAGAAACAGCAACCAGCCCTTCTTGTTGGTCGTAACGGGTTCGTTCGGTTATGGCACAAAATGAATTGAGGCTTAAAGAGAAGGGAAAGAAGTAAAATGGGCTCGACAAAAAGGAGGTTCTAATGTATCGAGCGATTGGAGGATTATTCACAATCACACACAATGGTTGGAACTCGGTGGTTGAGACTTCAGAGTGTTTGTGAAAGCCCCCGTATGATCTGTTTACCTTTTCTATGGGAGCAATTCATAAAATGCAAGGTTTGTTAGTGAGGTATGGAGGGCCCCGCCCGGATCTATCTTGAGAATGGGACAGAGATAAACGAGATCGAGAAAGCGATAAGGAGTTTATAGTTTTGACACTGAAGGATAAGCCATCCGAGAGAAGATGAAACTTCAATTCTTAAGGAGAGAGAAGAAAGTAATACTCGTAGACTCTTAAGAACATACATAGATCCAAAAGATATGAATGAACACACAATGATATGTTTTTTTGCTTTTTTTTTTTGGTAAAACACAATGATATGTTTCATCTACTGTTAATGCGACCTTCCTTTTTAGGCGGAATCGATGATTTATCGTTATTTTTGCTTATGGTAACTATGCTCGATAAGCAACAGCTCGAATATATACATGCATGTTTCCTCTTATTTTCCCAAGTTAAGAGAGAGTTTTTTTGTGTGTTTTTTTTTTCACTTACCATTTCTGAAAACATTGGGGTATATATGTATCTTGTGTTTATATTCCTGTAAGCTAAAGACAAGATCAATTTACAACCTCTCCTTCTCTGATTTGATTTGTATGTATGTGTAGTCTATGTGTATTTATATCATGAACACACATAATGCATAAACTATATATACCCCCACAAAATAAATGTCGTTTTGTTACGATATTCCAAATTGATTTGATAAAAGAAGTAAGTGATTGAAGGATCAAATAATTTCTAGTACAAAAGTTAATGGTCTAAAATAGAAAAAAGATTTTAAGCGTTCTTAAACAATAACTACTACCGGTCGTGGTTGATTCACATACTGCCACCAATCTCGTCGTTCTTGCACTGTTTTTCCTAGACATCTCCATATAGAGGGACAACACGGTGCAACCAAGTAGGCTACAAACCATATTAAACAAGAAACACCAAAGCGTAGAGCCAAGTGCGGAGAAATACAATACAAGAGTCCGAGGAAAATACAGAAGCCAAAGGTGTGACAAAAGCGTCCAATGAAGGAGGCTATTTCAGATAATAAGACATGCTTGATTGCATGAACCCAAAAGAAGCAACTACCTATGCCGGTTAAGATGTAGAACAGACCGAATACTTCCATAAAAAAAGTTAGATCATCTTTCTTAAAGGGAATCTGGTGGGTTCTCATGTGCACGATCGCTGCGATGTTGAGTATTATAATGAAACTGCTCATGGCAACGTCGTATTGTAGATATTTGTTCATCCTGCAACCAAAACCATTTACACATATAAGTCAAAAGGATGATCAAATGATTCAGTTTACATAAATCAATCTTTTATGTAAATAGTGGAAAAAAAAGGCGGAGAATCATTGTGATGGACTCTTACCACCATGTACGAAGGAGGCTCGTAGATTCATGGACGATTGTAGCACTAGGTTTTGTATCAGCAACATTAGTAGTATCCATGGCTTCTTTGACTACTAATTGGGTTGCTAATGATGTGGAAGAAAAACGTGGAGCCTTAGTTATGCCCTAACTTCTATATATAGGTCTCTGGTCAACAAAGTCTCAGATATTCCAAAGCATCATTGTAAATAGAACCGGCCCTGATCATATATGGGCCGTAAGCTGAAATAAATAAAAAAATGAAATTTAAAAGAGCTGAATTACGACAATATCAATTTACAACTTCTCCTTCTGTGATTTGATTTGTATATTTATGTGTATTTGTATCATGAACACACACAATGCATAAACTATACCCACACAATGCATAAACTATACCCACACAATAAATGTCGTTTTGTTATGATATTCCAAAGTGATTATATAGACGGTGTAACGGAAAAAAAATGTGATTCAAGGATCAACTTATTTCGAGTACAATAATTGATAATCTAAAAAAGAAAAAAATCGTAAAAAAATTCTCTTAAAAAATGCCCAAAATTTATTTCCTAAAAAAAACAAATTGCAGAAAGTAAAAAAACGTAGTGGTGGTCCGATGGTTAAGGATTCATTCTGCATGGTCTTCTTTGGCAGAATGTCGTTTTGTTATGATATTCCAAATTGATTAGATAGAAGCTGTAACGAAAAAAATGTGATTCAATGATGAACTAATTTCGAGTGGCAATGTTCATTTATCTCGCTCTAATAAGGGCGTGGTCATCAGACTTCTGTTTCAGGTGGTGATGTATCTTCTGTGGAAGGAACGGAACCAGAGAATCTTTACCGCCTCATATTCTTCGCTGGCTGCAGTTCGTGCTCAAACCGATCGTCTTGTCCCGGACCGCCTGCTCTCCTTTCCAACGTCTTCTGGTTCTACTCCTTCTTTGCTTGAGGTGTATTTCTCGTTATTGTAATGGAGCGTTGTATTTTCTTTTCCGTTTGCTTTGTAATAAATTGTTTAACAACAACAGTGTATTTTCAAAAAATGGTATAAATCTTAACATTCCTAATCGTACAAAAAAAAACTAATTTCGAGTGCAATAATTGATAATAAAAAAAAAATCTCTTAAAAAACCCAAATTTTATGTCCTAAAAAAAACAAATTGTTGAAAAAAACTAAGTGATGGTCCGATGGTTGAAGGAGTCACTCTGAATGGTCTTCTTTGGCAGAATTTAACCGTTTTCAAACATAAACAACTACCGATCGTGGTTGATTCACATGCTTCCACCATTCTCTTATATCTTGCACTGCTTGGCATAGACCTCTCCATATAGAGCCTATAATAGAGGGACAACACGGTGCAACCATGGTGGCTACAAACCATATCAAACCAGGAACACCGTAGCGTAGAGCCAAGTGCGGAGAAATACAATAGAGGAGTTCGAGGAAAAGGCCGAAGCCCAAGGTATGAGCGATACGTCCTACGTATAAGGCTGCTTCAGATTCTTTGACATCCTCGATTGCCGCAAACCACAAGAGGAAACTAACGAAGCAGGTAGCGATGTATAAAATTAAGAAGACTATCATCAAAGTAACTAGATCCTCGTTGTTAAAGGGAATCTTGTGGGTTCTCATGTGCACGATCGCTGCAAAGTTGATTATTATAATGATGGGGCTCATGACAACGTCGTATTGTAGGTTCTTGTTCGACCTGCAACCAAACCATTAACATGTACGTTAAGAGAACGATCAGATTCAGTATACTTAAATCAATCTTTATGTAAATAATAGAAAAAAAAGAAGGGAAGAATCATTGTTATGGAGTCTTACCACCATGTACGAAGGAGGCTCGGATATTCATGGACGATTGTAGCACTAAGTTTAGTATAACCCATGGCTTCTTTGGAAACTGCTTTGGATGTTAATAAAGGGGAAGAAAGCTATGTAATGATATGATGCGTAGATCCTTAGCTATGCCCTAACGTCTATATATATATATAGGTCTCTGGTCAAAACAAAGTCCCATTCCAAGCATGATTGTGAATTTTTATAGTGGATCCTTTTCCAAACCTGAGTGGGAATTAATCTAAAAGAAAAGGGAAAAAAAAAACTCCATCTTGCTTCAATGACAAAATCTTTATTTATCTCGGCAAAGGTTTTGATATTTATTAATGGCTTGATATTGGGAATTGTACTTTAAATCAAATTTTAATATTGAGAACATGCTTGGGGCGTAAGAAACAGCGACCAGCTTTTTTTGTTGGCCTTAGGTTCGTTTGGTCAAGGGCACAAAATGATACGAGGCTGGAAGAAAAGGGAAAGATAGTGAAATGGACTGGAACAAAAGCGGTTCTAAAACATCGAGCCATTGTAGCATTCTTCACACACAATGTATGGAGCTTGGTGGTTGAGACTAATTGAGAGTGTTTGTGAAGGCTTCCCTATGATTTGTTTGCCTTCTCTATGGGACCCGAACTTCATGTTCCCGTAAACTAATGACTAATGTGTATTTGCATCATGAACACACATAATGCATAAACACACAATAATTGTTGTCTTTGTTATGATATTCCAAATTATGGGAAGGTATAACGAAAAAAATGTGATTCAAGGATTGATAATCTAAAAAAGAAAAGAATCGTGCTAAACAAAATTCTTTTAAAAAAACCCAAAGTTTATGTCCTAATAAAAACAAATTGTTGAAAAAAAAAATGTAAGTGGTAGTCCGATGGTTGAAGGATTCACTCTGATTGGTCTTCTTTGGCCGAATTTAACCGTTTTCAAACATAAACAACTTCCGATCCTGGTTGAGTCACATACTTCCACCAATCTCTTATAATTTCCACTGTTATGCATAAACCTTTCCATATAGACGGACAACACGGTGCAACCATGAAGGCTACAAACCATATTAAGCAAGGAACCCCGAAGAGTAGAGCCAAGTGCGGGGAAATACTATAGAGGAGTACGAAGAAAATACCGAAGCCCATGGTGTGAGCGACGCGTCCTGCGTATGAGGCTCCTTCAGATACTTCCACTTCATCGATTGCCACAAACCACGCGCAGCAACTACCTATGCCGCTAATGATGTAGAAAGTACTGAACCATACCACAAAAGTAACTAGATTATCGTTGTTAAAGGGAATCTTGTGGGTTCTCATGTGCACGATCGCTGCGATGTTGATTATTATAATGAAACTGCTCATGGCAACGTAGTATTGTAGGTTCTTGTTCATCCTGCAACCAAACCATTAACATGTACGTCAAGAGAACGATCAGATGATCAGCATACTTAAATCAATCTTTATGTAAATAATATGGAAAAAAAAAAAGAAGGGAAGAATCATTGTTATGGAGTCTTACCACCATCTACGAAGGAGGCTAGGGGTTTCACGGACGATTGTAGCACTAGGTAGTTTAGCAGCAACATTAGTAGTACCCATGGCTTCTTTGACTGCTGATTGGGTTGTTTATGATGTGGAAGAAAACTATGTAATGATGCTTAGATCCTTAGATATGCCCTAACGTCTATGTATTAATATAGGTCTCTGGCCAACAGAGTCCCCCATTCCAAGCATGTTTGTGAACCTTTTAGTTTTTTTTTTTTTATTTGATTAACATACTGTGTTTTTTTTAACTCGACTCCTTCTCCAAAAATAAGTGGGAATAAATCTAAACAAAAATATTTTGTCTTTATCGGCAATGGTTTTGATATTTTTATTATTGAGAAGATTGGGATTCTTGTTGGTAGCAATGGGATCATGATGCCATTCCAAAACATGATTCTTGCACATATTGTAACCTAAAACATGTTTGTTGTAAAGATTAGTTTTGGCTTATGAAATCTTTGAGCCAGACCCTCCTCGTCGCGTAATTGCCTTGCTAGTACATTTTCTTCTATCTGTCTAGACTCTTGAGAACATACAGAAATCCAAAAGATATGAATGATGAATACACAATGATATGTTTCATGTTCTTGTGCAGTTCATTTTTTCGGCTGTTCTTGAGACATTCTCTTTCGGTCTTTTTAGGTTGCATGGACGAGTTCTTGTTATTTTTGCTTATGGTAACTAAGCTCGATAGAAAACAGCTCGAATATATATACATGCTTCATCTTATTTTCCCTAGTCAGAGAGAGTTTATGTTGTCTTTTTGCAGTTACCATTGCTGAAAACATTGGGGTTCTTGTTGGTTGCATATTTCTTTGTCAAGCCATTCATTGTTATACAACGTTGCAGGCAAGAAAAGAGGGGTACAATAACATTCTTTTGACTTCCAAAAAATTAAGATTCTTGCACAGATATTAAAACCTAAAACATAGTTTCTTGGGTCTATTTCTTACTTAATTTTGTTGCAAATTAGGATACCAGACTATTTGATTTCTCTTCTGAAGAAACTGCACCGCCTCGGATATTGATGGCATAACCCGAAGGACCCGAACTTCATGTTCCCGTAAATTAATGACAATATTAGTTTACAATTTCTCCTTCTGTGATTTGATTTGTATATGTATTTGTATCACGAACACACATAAAGCATAAACTATAACCACACAATAAATGTCGTTTTGTTATGATATTCCAAATTGATTAGATAGAAGCTGTAACGAAAAAAAATGTGATTCAGTGATCAACTAATTTCGAGTGTAATTGATAATCTAAAAAAGAAAATAACCGTGCTTTAAAAAATTCTCTTAAAAAAACCCAAATTGTTGAAAAAATCTCGAAGTGGTTGAAGGAGTCACCCTGAATGGTCTTCTTTGGCAGAATTTAACCGTTTTCAAACAGTAACGACTACTGATCGTGGTTGATTCACATGCTTCCACCAATCTTTTATATCTTGAACTGTTTGGCATAGACCTCTCCACATATAGGGACAACACGGTGCAACCATGGCGGCTACAAACCATATCAAACCAGGAACACCGAAGCGTAGAGCCAAGTGCGGAGAAATACAATAGAGGAGTTCGAAGAAAATACAGATGCCCATGGTGTGAGCGAAGCGTCCTACGTATAAGGCTGCTTCAGATTGTTTGACATCCTCGATTGCCATAAACCACAAGATGCAACTAAATATGCCGAAAATGATGTAGAAAGGAACGAACCATGCCATCATATAAGTAACTAGAAAATCTTTGTTAAAGGATATCTTGTGGGTAATCATGTGCACGGTTGCTGCGATGTTGATTATTATGATGATGGTGCTCATGGCAACGTCGTATTGTAGGTTCTTGTTCGACCTGCAACCAAACCATTAACATGTACGTTAAGAGAACGATCAGATTCAGTATACTTAAATCAATATTTCTGTAAATAATGGAAAGAAAAGAAGGGAAGAATCATTGTTATGGAGTCTTACCACCATGTACGAAGGAGGCTAGGGGTTTCACGGACGATTGTAGCACTAGGTAGTTTAGCAGCAACATTAGTAGTATCCATGGCTTCTTTGACTACTGATTGGGTTGTTTATGATGTGGAAGAAAACTATGTAATGATGCTTAGATCCTTAGCTATGCCCTAACATCTATATATTTATATAGGTGCCAGCAGAGTCCCATTCCAAGCATGATTGTGAAATTTTTAGTTTATCTATTTATTTATTATACGTACTGAGCTTTTATCTAGAATCCTTTTCCAAAAATAAGTGGGAATAAATCTAAACACAAAATCTTCTGTCTTTGTCAGCAATGGTTTTGCTATTTTTTATTATTGAGAACATGATCATGTCTCAATAATAAACATGATCATGATCAGGCTTCAGGTAGTGCTTCTTCAAGTTGATGAGCCTTTTGGCGGCTTAACTGCTACTAATTAAAAACGGCAAACCTGTAAGCTCCACTCCTAAACAGAGTTCTTGGAGTTGCTCCCTGTCGAAATAGAATTGGGTACCAAACGTACAAAACACAACCGAGCCTGGTTCAAATCTGTTCAACCATTGGTACAATTGGTCTTCTACTTGTTTAAGATTAAGATTCGCATGGTTTTGTCTGTTGGTACCATGATAACATAAATAGCCGAAAGAAAGAGAAAAAAAAAAAAACAAGAAAGACCTCAAAGATTTTTTTTTTTTTTTTTTTTGATTAAGGCTCAAAGAAAAATATAGTATAATTTTACATTTATATTTTTACTAGTATTGCCCCGTGCTATGCACGGCCATAAGCTTTTATAATAATAAACTCTTTATAAAATTGATAGAAGATAAATATTATGTACTCGCAATATAAAATTGACCTGTTTTAGACTTTTAGTTATACAACGTTATCAATATTGAAACTATAGCTTGGAAATTTCCTTTATAATTCTGTTTTTATTTTTCTGATTTAGAAACTCTAAACTGAAGTTACAAATAGAATCCAAGATAGATGAACTCTCTAAAATGAAAACGGATGATTACATAATTAACGAAGACAACCTAATTAACTCCAGTCAAAGCAAATTTATAACTGTAAAACAGTTGTACAAAGTTCGAAATTCTGAAATATTTCTCCAGTAATAAGGATCTCTAAACCTCTTCTACAAATGTCAAATGTTGGACAGCCGATGTAGAAGAATAACCTCCTCCTCTACTTCAATTCCAAACAAATACCCTCCGATCTCCTCCAAATTTTGTTTTCATCAATGGGTGTGAAAAAAGCTCCATCTTGTAAATTAATCACAATAGTACCTGAAATCCTGTTCAGAAAAATAATCCCATTTACATTCAGGAGAGTAATCAAGAATAATCCCAAAACAGAATAATAAAAAAATGAAAAATATTTATGAAAAAAGACCCAGAAAAAAAAAAAAAAACTGAAATTCAGAAGAGATGAACTGTTTATCGAGAGTGAGAGAGGGAAAATTTCAAGTTAAGGTCACATATCGGAATCAGAAGAAAGCTGCAAAACTGGAATCAAACATTGAAAGAGTTATTTGCATTTAATATCTGAGAACATGAAAATCAAGTTAAATATAGTATCTGGAATTACCTTGAAAAGAAACCCAGAAATCGAGAAGTTTCATCTTGTAGTATCTGAAATTAAACTAAGAACATCAATCTCAATTTCAGTCAAAAGAAATCTGAAACCAAGAATATGAAACGAAATCTAAACAGAAACTCAAAAATCTGAGTAAAAAGAGTAAAAGAAAATCCAGAAACCAAGAATATGAGAACATGAATAAGGCTATATCTTACTTCTCGCAGATTATATATTTATAATATGAGTAATATAACCGTCGGAGGTTAGATTTCGTTTGAAGATCATGAGATCGTAGTAGAGGAAAAAAAAATTCAGAAAAAAGAAATGGAATAAAGCAATGAAAAGAAAAAGGAAAATACATATAACACGTGTCAAATATAGAAGCCATGAAGTGACTGCTGATTTATTAGTATTAGATGAGTGGCGAAGTCTTATTATTTAAATCGTTTACATTGGACAGCCATTATTTAAAAAATTTAAATAGCAGATTATTCAAAGAAGCCGGCATAACTCGTTACGTCATTCTCTCAGTATTCAATTGCGTTTAAGCACGCCATAATACACCACTTGCGTCTTCCACATTTCAAAATCAATTGGGTGCTCTGAGAGTTTCTTAGCAAATCGATCGAATAACTCATCGACCACACCATCTCCAAAATGTTCTTCTATGATTGTTGTGAGAAGGGCTCGAAACATGGACGTGATGAAGTCATTGGTTAATGCCTTATCCTCCATCGGATGACCTATAGTCTCCATCCTCTCAATCATAAAACTTCCATTTTGTTCAATCTCTCCTTTCAATTCACTAATCTGAGGAAAATAAACTGGGAAGCTGAACAACCCGATCTTTTCCCCACTTGTTATTCCCTACAAAGGAAAAGAAAAAACAAAGATTACTAGCAAACTTTTCATGATCCTAAACATCAAAACAAAACATACGACTATTGACAAGGCTTTGAATTTTGTTTAGAAAAATTAAGAAATTAATTTCTTTGGAGTTATCTTAGTAAACTTACCGACTTAGCCATATCCATTAGACAATCACCGATGGTATCCACAACATGACCCTGCCATGTTTCATACATGGGAACACCATCAGGCAAACATTGTCCTAATACAATCATTAATCCTCCTGGCACAAGCTCTTCGGCTCTAGCTTCAAGAAAAACCCCCATATCTTTTGTGAACTGGACCTTGTAGGCATTGGTAACTTCTTCGATCAAATTATTACATTGAATGTAATTTTTATTCCAAGCCGGAGATTTCTTGTCACATACGTTTTCAGGAACCTTGGAAAGCCAGTGAGTCGTGTATGAAGTGTGTCCGATATGGATGCTGTTTCTTGGTAACACTCGGCCATAGAAAGAGCCTGGAACTCCGAAAGAAAAGTATTCGCGTTCCGAGGAAGGAGGTAGGGTTCTAAAGAGTGTGTTGAAGTCATTGTTGGGTTGATCGTTGAAGAAAACTTGGAACTCGAGAGGCACGAGGCTAGTTTCATTGTTATCTTCCGAGTGTTTAGATTTCACCGTATCAATGATACCTTGAACAACATGAAACGTGTTAGGCCCAACGGAACAACCATAATCCGCAATTCTAAAAGTACTAAGAGGGGAGTTCAGCTGGAGATCGAGTTTTTCAAAGATGCATTGCCTTGTCTTTTCTTCAGCACCATTTATACCTGATTTCTGTATCACATTTAATTGTTTGTTAAATTACCCATAGTGGCAAAAAGAAAAGGCGATTTGTGAATATAGGCAAAAATGTGAATATTTGTTCCTCAAAAACTTTTTTTTTTGCTTTTACCAAAATTTGACTACAATAAGTTTTAATTATATCTTATATTTATTATATATATATATATTTTTTTTAAAAACTCAGGAAAATTCAAAGCATTGAAAGAAAGACTCTTAAGATTATTATAACTTTTTCTGTCATTGAAAACTAATATTCAGAAAATAATATGATTTTCGTTTCTACTGCCTTGAACATTTATACTTTAACATCTGCAGAGTAGTAGAATGTGTTTACCACCTATTTTGCCAAATCTTTCAAAAACAAATACTCAACGATATTACTAGATGAATTTGGTCAACCATTGACCTCCATAAGAGTTTAAATAATTATCAAAATATTAGTAGCATATAATCATAATCACTCCAAAGTCTCCAATCGTAGATTCATATTGGATATACAAGATGATAATTAACAGTATTAACATACCTGGTATGACGAATTATGGACGTAACTATGCTGATCATCACCGCTGCTCATCGGGTATGAGTGAGAAGATGTTGACATTGCTCTGAGTTAACGGATATCCACGAGCTTAATCTCTTAAAATGTTAACAAGTTAAGTGCAAAGCATTTATAACCAAAGAGATGAAAGAAAATTGCATAATTAACAATCCTAACCCCTTAAAAATATTGCATATTTAAACAAGTTGGAAGTTGGAACTGGTCCGCTGTACCAATAAACTAAGACAATTCAAATGAAAATAATTTTAGTTTCAAAGTTAATTAGTATACACAAGTTGACAAAAACAATCTTATATTCTTATACGACTAAATGACTTGAGAACGGCTAAGAAGTCAATTAAGTAAATAATCAAATAATGCACAATAAGCACCCTTAAGAATAATACTCTTTTTGTTCCATATATTATAAGCAATTTAATTGTATCTAGATACATCAACTTTTTTGCAGATATATTTTTCCAAAATTATTTATAATATGGAACAGAGAGAATATTAAATTAAATTTTAAGTATTATGTTATATTATTATATACTCGTAGTCAACTAAACGTAAAGTGGTAACATTAAAAAACCTAAAAAAACTAATTTGAAGGAATAAGTTTGGTAAAAAAGGGAAAAGGAGAGTATTGTTGGAACACGTTTTTGACTAAGTTGTATTTTGACTGCTTTCCGTTGAGTTTTCTGTCGATTACATTCATTGGAATGATAATAAACGTTCTTTTTGGCACAATAAAGTCGTTGTGTGAGTACTCATATGTTAAAGATAGAACTGGTTTGAATGTTAAATGCAAATCCAAAATTGGTGACTTTTTTTTTTTTTTTTTTTTTTTTGATAGATCCTATCGGTTTCCGGTTAGCCCCGGTAGGAACGCACCGAGGTGCTACAAAGTGGACTCATCCTATAGACTACCACACTGTCTATCCTGAGTTTGGAGTGCCTTCCGACTAATGTCAGGGGGTAATCAAATCACCTACATTTCTAATTACCAAGTAAACCAGTTGGATCTAGACTTCCCACACAAATGTGATTTTGTTTTCAGGGTCTAGGAGTTTCACATTTCACCAAGGCTTTCTCTTACCACTGGACCACAAGAGTGCGGGCAAAATTGGTGACTTAAAAAGCTTCAAAATGTGTGTAAATGTAAAAACTAGCAAATGAACAACTGTACTAAGATCTGAATTTGAGTTTGAATTTGTTAGTTGGATTTTATGTCAATAAGTCCATTAGCGTATTATTTTTAGCCAAATTTATATCGATCTTTTGTGTTTGTTATAAACACAAGAGAGAAAATCCACAATCTAAATTAAATTAAATAGTTTGAATTGGTCAAGCTATAATATATTCTCATTAATTACCCTGAGTTATCAAAATATATTCTCATTTTTTGAGTCCCGTGGTCAAAATGGTGAGAAATGTTAATGCACGACGTTCGATTTGATTCAAAAATTTCTAAACCGACGTCGTGGCAACTGATTCATCAATTGTTAACGAGGCTGACTAAAGGAGTTTCGTGTCAAAGTTGGTTTCGACTAGCGAATATTGGGTTTTCAAAACGATAATAGTAAAATAAAAACAAATAAGTAAAGAGAAAAAAAAAAAAAATATATATATATATATATATATGGAAAAAAGGGAAAACTATTAATGTACCCAAGTTTCATTAAATTGTTGCGAATAAGTATTGTTGCGAATAAGTTAGCCTCATGGGATAACCAACTCGGTAACAACGGATCTATATGGGAAAAAGCAGAACTACGTGAACGAGCCCCTGCGGCAAGAAAGTATGCACAGACGACGTTTAAAGTACGAGAAATGTAAGAAACAGAGAAATGTGCGCAAAAGAGGACCGTAAATGGAAATATTCTTCAAGCTCGGATGTAAATGCCGGCCATTCCTCTTCTCCGTTTGCCATTATTTATGATTTGAGAGTTTTCTGTTTCAACGTTTAGTGATGTGTATCCTAGCATAAACACATTCTTCATAGCCCAAGAGATTGCTTCCAGTTCCGTATGAAGAGGTGATTGTACTCTTTCTTTCACTTGCTCTCGATCCGAAGCCACATCCAAACAAAGCTTCATTGTCCTTCTATGAAGCGTCTGTTTGACATTGAGGCCATGGAGTAATTCTTACATCAAGTTCTCTAAAAGTTTCCATTCAATTATATCATAAGCCTTACTAATATTCGTTTTTATGGCCACATACTTGGACTTGCGGCTCGGGTTCGTTTGTAATGAATGGAAAACTTATTGTGCCACTAGGATATTATATGTAATAAATCTTCCAACCACAAAGGCCGATTGGGTCTCCGAAATCAGACTTGAAAAATATCTCTTTAATCGTTTACTAATGTTGTGTAGACTGATTGGCTTAATACCGTCAATGCGCTTGGTCATTCCTACTTGGGGATGAGACAAATGATGGTCTGGTTAAGTTCGATGATCAAAAAAATTTTGATTCAAAGAAGCTCGGAGGTAACTATATCCTTTGTAGTCACCTTCCAAAAGCATGATAAAATAAGCTTGCATACCATCCGGTCAACCAGTGCTAGAGATAGAAATTTTCCATTTTTATCACTGAGAACATCTTCTGTTTTACTGTTTAGTCGAGAAACATAGATAATATTTAGTCGAAAGCTTGTATTTGCTCTGTCGAGCTATTGTACTTTTATCTTTTTTCAATACATTTTGTAATTGTTTCATTTGATTAATATAAATCCAGTTCGTGAAATAAATTTTATATTGTTTCGATTTCGAAAATCGAACCTTTAATTCCACTATTGTTCTTATTTCAAAAACTCATAATTTTCGAGTATGGATTTCTATCACCCACAAACATGTGTGACCATTTTACCGTCCACAAGAGCAAAGCCGCCAAAAAAAAAAAAAAAAAAAAAGAGAAAAGTCGTCGTCATTATATTAGGGTTTTATGTCAACTTGTGTATCAACTAACTTTAAAAAAATGCACGCAGCATTTAACTTACATTTTTCTTTCATTCTGCCAGTTCACTTGAATTGCTTTATTAATAACCAGTTCCAACTTGTTTAAATATGTAATTTGCCTTTGCCTATAGATGTTTAGAACTAATATTGAGAATATTTTAAGAGACTAAGCTCGTGGAAATTCATTAACAAAGACTAAGCTTTATTAATGACCAGCAACTTGTTTAAATATGTTTAAATATGCAATTTTACCTTAAAAACTTGTTTAAATATGCAATTTGCGTTCATCTCTTTGCCTATAAATGTTTAGAACTAATATTGTGAACATTTTAAGAAACTAAGCTCGTGGATATTCATTTACATAGAGTAATGTCATCTCACTCGTACCCCATGAACAGCGGTGATGATCAACATAGTTACGTCCATAATTCTTCATACCAGGTATGATATTACTGTTAATTATTTTCTTGTATATCCAATATGATTTACGATTAGAGTGATGACGTACGATTATATGCTACAAATATTTTAATTTTGCTTTTTTTTTTAATAATTTAGCATTTTTCTTAAACAAGGAAAAGAAGTTATGCGGATTGGGGATTAGCTTGATAATTAGCTTGATTTACGAAAAAAATATATGTAAAAAATTAGCTTGATTTACGAAATAAATTGGGGATTAATATTTATCTAGTGAAATGGTTGACCAAATTCATCTAGTAAAATAGTGGAGGATTGTTTTGGCCAACACGAGTAACTTCGTTTTTCTTTGCCTGTATTATTTAACAAACATTTACATGTGATACAGAAATCAGGTATAAATGGTGCTGAAGAAAAGATAAGGAAGTGGATCTTAGAAACACTCAATCTGAAGCTGAATTCCGGTCTTAATACTTTTAAAATTGCGGATTTTGGTTGTTCCGTTGGGCCTAATACGTTTCAGGTTGTTCAAGGTATCATTGATACGGTGAAATATAAACACTTGAAAGAAAACAATGAAACTAGCCTCGTGCCTCTCGAGTTCCAAGTTTTCTTCAACGATCAACCCAACAATGACTTCAACACACTCTTTAGAACCCTACCTCCTTCCTCCAAACGCGAATACTTCTCTGTTGGAGTTCCAGGCTCTTTCTATGGCCGAGTGTTACCAAGAAACAGCATCCACATCGGGCACACTTCATACACGACTCACTGGCTTTCCAAACTTCCTGAAAACGTGTGCGACAAGAAATCTCCTGCTTGGAACAAAATTTACATCCTATGTAATGATTTGATAGAAGAAGTTAGCAAGGCCTACAAGGTCCAGTTCATAAAAGACATGGGGGTTTTTCTTGAAGCTAGAGCCGAAGAGCTTGTGCCTGGAGGATTAATGATTGTATTAGGACAATGTTTGCCTGATGGTGTTCCCATGTATGAAACATGGCAGGGTCATGTTGCGGATACCCTTGGTGACTGTCTTATGGATATGGCTAAATCGGTAAGGTTACAAAAAATTTACATAATTTGAAAGATTTTTTTTTAAAACATATACAATTGAAAGCCTAGTCAATAGCCGTATATTTTTTGATGTTTAGGGTCATGAAAATGTGCTAGTAATCATAGTTAATTTGTTGTTTTTTCCTGCGTAGGGAATCACGAGCGAGGAAAAGATCGAATTGTTCAGCATCCCTCTTTATTTTCCTCAATTTAGTGAGGTTAAAGGAGAGATAGAACAAAATGGAAGCTTTATGATTGAGATAATGGAGACTATAGGTCATCCGATGGAGGTTAAGGCGTTAACCAACGACTTTCTCACTTCCACCTATCGAGCATTTCTGTCTACACTCATAGAAGAACATTTTGGAGATGGCGTGGTCGATGAGCTATTCGATCGACTTGCTAAGAAACTCTCCAAGCACCCAATTGATTTTGAAATGTGGAAGACGCAAGTGGTGTATTATGGTGTGCTTAAACGAAAATCAATTTGGGGAGAATGACACAATGAGTTATGACTTCTTCTGAACCATCTTTTTCTTTTCTTTTTATTTTCTTCTTTTCAGTGTCAACTATTTATGTTATCTTGATGAAAACAATATAAATGAATAAATGTAATGCATGTCAAATGTATAACCTAACTAAAGTTGTGTTTTATGCGCTTTATTACCAAATCCTATTGTCTTTTACTTGTCGATCCTTGTGTATTTTATTCATATTTTTTTTGGTAGCAAATTTGTATTTTTTTTTTTTTTGTTAGGTCTGCTACGTTCCTTATAATAAGATTGGCAAATGAGTAAATTGACCAGAGAAGCAAGCTTCAATATGCTTTTTTTTTTTTTTTTTTTTTCAATATGCTTATTGCCCCCAAAAGGAAAACCCTAACCCAAACACACCAAAAAAAGTCCCTATTCCCATTGAAAAAAAAAAGGAGAAAGTGGAAGAAGATGAATTTCAAAGACCAGACAAACAAAGAAACCCTAATCCCAGAGGGTGTATGTGCGATTATACTGTCGAGATTACCTCTAAAGAGCATCATCACCTTCAAACTGGTTTGCAAGCAATGGAAATCACTCATAGAAACTCCATTTTTCCGCGACCTTTACCTCTCTCAGCACCAAAGCTCGCATTCTTCTTCATGGTCTTTCATGTGTAGAGGTTGTGAGACAGAAACCATGGCTCACTACGGATCCGACGATTGGAATCTTACATCTCTTCTTTCTTAACTGAAAAGTTCGAAAACAGACAAGGTAGAGTCGTGGCTTACACCGACGTTGGATTGATTTTGATTCATGTGGTGACTACTCAATCCTTCTACATGGCTAATCCTGTTTCAAGGCAATGCGTAGATATCCGTCCTCATGTTCCTCTAGAGAAACGTTTCTGGATTTTGGGAATTGCGACACGATCTGTGGACGAAGTCGTTTTGAGTTACAAAGTCGTTCTGTTAAAAAACTTTACTTTCTTGATATATTCATCTGAGACCGGCTTGTGGAGTCTCGAAGCTGCCCATTTTCCTTTCAGTTACATCTCTCAGGAATTTAACAATCCCATTAGCTTGAACGGAAATCTTCACTGGCTCGCCGACAATCAAGAACATCAAGATTTTCTTGTATCGTTCGATTTCTACGCCACGGGTTCTCAACGATGCCGTGCTATGCCTTTCCCTGATTTAGATAAAGTACCCAAGTTCAGAAGAGCTTGCACAACTTCTCAAGGATCTCTCATGTACATGAACGTAGTCCCTGTGACCAACATTGATGGAAGTCTAGAGAATAAGATATGTGTATGGAGGCTAAAGAACGAGGGATGGCAACTAGTATCTGAAATCTCCTCGGGTTTTATTAAGACAGGTTTTTCTTATATTCCGTTGGGATCCTTTGATGCTAAAACAGTGTACTTTTGGGAGGGGAACGCGAGGGGCCAACGTTTTTTATCTATCAATTTAGATAATGGAAATATTGTGATCCACAAAGAGTTGGAGCGTAGCAGCGATGGTCGCATTCTAAGTTCCGTTGGATGCCCGAGAGATTTAGATTACATCTTAGAAGCACATTTTTCTTCGTACTTTCTCCCTCGGTGGCTGTATCCGTTCCCAAATACGGTGATAAGAGTTTAGATGAAATACATATTTGCAAGACTTTAGTTGTTTCTTATTATTGTTTGTTCTAGGTGGAAGAGCAAGAACTTGTAAGTTGGTGTTTAATTTATTCTTTTGGTGTTTAGCCTTTTTGTAGGTTTGAATCGTTTGATTTCTTGATTCACACACACATACACGCATGTTTTAATTACAAGTTTGCTACTGTTTATTGTGGTGAAAATAAATCATTGATCAAACTGAAATTACATCTGACGTTAACAAAATAATTTTCTTTGGTACGTAAAGTATTTGGTTTTAGAGAAATCTTGAAATCTTGAAATCTTGAAATCCAACATCCAAATTCAAAGTATTATGTATTCACGATAGAACCTCATATGATGATTCTTTAAAAGAGAGTTTTTGTTTTGAGAATTTGGAGTAACCAAAGAAATAAGTTGGAATTGTAGCCATGTTAAGAGTTTCCTTTAACTTTGATGATTTTGAGGATTCTAGTAAAGTTTATAAGATATGATGTTGGTAAATAACCGTAACACATTCATTCTCTGTTTGTAGCAAAACATGGAGAATTAACCAACACATAGAAGCTTGCAAACTTTGTTGGAAGTATTGTGACAAAGACTTTGAAGAGACCAAACACACATAGACTTTTAAGAGTTACATAGTACCATTGTTCTCTTAAAGCCGTTGGTCCAAAAACAATAAAAATATTAGTTATTCTAAAACTTTCTTCAATGTATGTTCGTATAATATGAGAACAATGAAGTACGAGAACGTTTCAGTATATTCTCATGGCTTTTATGGAGAATTTGGAAAGCAAACGCTTAAATTGTTAAGAAACCATTCCCTTTGATTTCAGTATCTTTGTTTTCCCTCTAATTTGTGTTTTAACATTCTCCCGCCAAATTAGTTGACCGGAAATTCCCGGTAGCTGGGTCATTGGTGACCGGTAAATAAACGCTTCAAAATTGAAATTTTCGCAGCCTCGGATCATCTCCTCGCAACCGGCGATTTTTACTCCTCCGAGAAAAAAAAATCGAAAACCCTAGTTTTTCACTTCGCGCTTGCTCTTAACCTGGGTTTCTTCAAATTTCGACGATTAGTCTAGAAATCTAGGGTTTTGCTCCGAGATTGAGGTTTCTCGATTGAATTATGAGCTCCATCAACATCACTAACGTCACCGTCTTGGACAATCCGGCGCCGTTCGTTAACCCTTTTCAATTCGAGATTTCTTACGAGTGCTTGACTTCTCTCAAAGACGGTACTTTTTTACTTTCCCCATTTTCTCCAGCGTCCGATTTTTTTTAAATCTGTCGAATTTTGTATTTCTCGATCCTCCAAGTCTATTTGTGATTTCTTCGTTTAATTGGGTGTGTTCGATTTTATTGATTTTAGGCTTGAGCGTTGTTCGATTTTCACATTTTTTTTCTGATTATTGCAAGTCGGATTTCTCTTTTTATAGCAGAGCTGTGTTTTATGTAAGATCCAATCTTTTTTAGTTATCCGAGTTTGCTTTTGCAGAATAGTGCTACAAAATTTCAACATTTTGGGGTTTCAAACTAAGATTCGATGGGTAATTAGCTTTATTGAGTTGGATCTTGAGTTTATTGACTTAACAGTTTCATGCCTGGGAAGCAGAATTTACATTCTTGTAGCAGAGCTTTGTTCTATAAAGGTTGCGAATTAGGGGTTTAAAGAGGTTATATGGCTTTGCTTTATGCAGTATTGTTCTACAAATTTCCAACTTTTGGGGTTTGGTTTCAAATTAAGCTTTGATAGCTAATTAACTTCATTATGTTACGATCTGCTTGCAAATGTATGTGCTTTAACAACGATTTGTGCTAGAGTCGAAGCCATAGTAGTGTGGAAAGTATTCAACTTTAGCTTATTAGTTGGATCCATATCTGCGTAGGTTCTTGTTTAACATTGTGGTTTTGATATTAGGAGGCTTAACTTGTCTGCTCTTAGCTTGCGAAGATGTTTCTCTGTTGAATAGTGATTTTGTATGCTCTGTAGTTACAAGATTGAGCTTTTGTGCTATCACAAGATGTCATCTTTTAGAGTCTAAGATAGTGTTTCTTTACTTGTGGTACAGATTTGGAATGGAAGCTTATCTACGTAGGTTCAGCTGAAGATGAAAGCTCTGATCAGCTTCTGGAAAGTGTTCTCGTTGGGCCTGTTAATGTTGGAAACTACCGATTTGTGTTACAGGTAACGTATGATTCTGTTTTGCTCTCTCATCTCTGTGTGCTTTACTTACAAATTCTTAAGTCTTTAACTTCTGTGCGTTTTGTAGGCTGATTCTCCAGATCCATCAAAGATCCGTGAGCAAGATATCATTGGTGTAACTGTGCTACTGTTGACTTGCTCCTACATGGATCAAGAGTTTGTGAGAGTTGGCTATTACGTGAACAATGACTATGAAGATGAGCTGCTCAGGGAAGAGCCACCTACTAAGGTTTTGATTGATAAGGTCCAGAGGAACATACTCACAGACAAACCTAGAGTCACTAAGTTCCCTATCAACTTTCATCCGGAGGACGAGCAGACCGTTGGTGACGACGGGCCTCCTCCTGCTGAGCTTGATGATTCTGATGTAAATGGAGAAGCTCAAGTGTTGGTTGAGCAGCCACAACAGCTCCAGGAGACATGATCCTGGATGAAGAACTGTTATCTCAATACTAATCGAAAGATCTGGCATTTTGTAGTTTTTTTTTGTTGCTTTTATCTAGAACTTTAACTACAAATTTGTGCTCTTGTTGCAAAATCGCTACAATGTGCCTAGAGATCTTGGCATTTGTGATTTAATATCCATCATTTTGGCATGTCAATTAATTACACTTGATTCGGGATATGAACTATAATAGGATCACTCTCCGTCACTATGGTTTGGATAACATTAAAGTTTGCTTAGAGACATTAGAAAATAAAATAAAAATAACAAGATTAAGCATAGTTTTTGGGTGACTTGTTCTTCAGATCTCTTCTCCAGTGCCATTTGAGTTTCTCTTCCACCAAAGACAATAAGATTCACTGCACAATCAAAGCCACAAATACAATCCATGGCAGAGACATTAAATGTTAAGCAACAAACAACCAAATGCATCTTCTTAAATAGTTTCTGAAATCCAAATGATTACTAGTTCTGTAACAGTTTCATCAAGAAGTCTCAAAGCCAGTAACAAAAATATTTTAAAACTTTCCAAGGAACCAAAAGAAACCCACCTGGAGTTTGTCCTGGTTGGTCTCAAACTCTTCAATGTTGAGAAAGCGATCAGCCATAAGATTGTCTTGCTCAATCTGGTCCATATCAATCGTCACCGGCACATTCACATTAGCAGGAGGAAACAGTTCACGTTCTGGCTCAGCCTAAACAGAACGCAAAAATTTAAGCACACAAAGTATAATCTTAACATGAATCACAACACAAGTTTGGTTGAAAATTTAACCTGTTGGGTGACTGAACCAGAACCAAAAAGAACATGACGATACAGGAAAGAATGAACAGCCGAATTCCTTATGGCCTCAGAGACTTCACAAGTCCTGATGGTTCGACGAGAGCATGACTGAGTACGCATCCACGCACGGAGTGTTAACTCCTTGATGAATATCTCACATGCTTTAGCTAGAATCACAGGAGTGTCTGAGCTAACCATCTGAAAAATTAATTGACACTAATCTGAGTAATCTCACTCAACAGAAATTTCTAAATATGAGATTGATTGAACAGTAAAAATCAGTAACAGATCCAAGAAAATCCAACAATTTTATCATAATGAAATGTCAGAAACTCCATCACATTCCATACCTATAATGAGATGGTACTAATCTCACTCAGCATAAGATTCTCAATATGAGATCAGTTGAACAATCAAAACCAACAACAGATTCCATATCCAAGAAAACAACAATTTTATCATCATTTTACATACCTTGACTTCAGGATCGGATTTCATCACTCTTTTGATCCTAGCCAGCGGCAAATGATCCTTGTTATGGAAGTCTAAGCTTCACAAAATTCAAAACAAAGAGTAAGCGGGGAAAAAAATATTCGAAAGAGTAACATAGCCGAATCAGCTACCTGTGGATTTTTCTGCATCACCCCTTTGGCAATCCCAAAAGGTCTCCAGATTCTGCTCAAGTATATCCCTCTGATCATCACATCAAAAGAGTTAGACACACAAAAAGAATTTCAAACAAAGATGGAAAAAAACAACATAATGAATGTTACCTCTCTGTTAGTTGGAAAAGAACGCCACCCCTGATTAGGAGTTGGCATCACAGGATCCATCCGCATTAGGGATGCTTCGATAGGAGGAATGGGAATTGATCTCTTCCTGTTATCCATCACTGCAGAGAAAGGAAAAATCGTCTATAAATGAAGAGACATGCCTATTTATCAAGCTTGGAGTCATAAAGAGCAATTATTATTAGTAAAGACACTACCAATATTACGAGATTCACTACATATAATGACAAATCCTAAAGAGGGAAAACAAATAAAGAATCTTAACTTTGAACAAATGTTTACCTTAGGAAGAAAGTGAGGTTGACTAAGAACCACCATTCTCGCACATCGTTCGTCTATGCCACGCGCTATGTTAAGCAACATTATAACCTATAGTTGATTCAAAATTCATCACCAAGTGCTCATGCCTATCTGTTAAAAAATAAATCTTTAAGTTAACTATCCATAAGAGCACATATATGAAGTTTCATCAATTCAAAGATATCATAAGAGCACATAACTGGCCAGATCAAAGAAATGAAAAGGGCTATATGCTTTATTAGAATCCAGTCTCACGCATTTACCATTCTACATTGGTCGAGTAGCTAACCTTATAGATTGTTCTAGAGTCAGGGATGGTTTATGTGTCACATATATGGACATAAATATGCTTGTTTCAAGACACGATACTCTTCTTCTCATCCACTGTGGATGAGCAAGGTTATATTTATCTTTCAGCTACAGAATAGCAAAACAGATTTCATACTTTTATATCTCAATCGAAGTCTTACACGCCCAATGGTCAAAATTCTAGTTTTTTTCATTGTATGCCAGAAACTAACAGAAATCACACTAAATGGCTTCTAAAGTTCAAAACTTTTCAATCAAAGTAAAACCCAAATCACATCAAGATCACATAAACCATCTAATATAGCCAAGCCCACACATACACATAATCATGCCAATGTTACAATTCTTATTACGGCTGCAGTTTTCATTGTAAGCCAGGAACTAAATGGCTTCCAAAGTTCAAAACTTTCAAACAAGTAAAACCAAAATCACATCAAGACCACATAAGCCATCTAATAACATTAAGCTCACACATAGTCCTACTCAAGTCAATGTTACAATTCTTATTACGGCAGCAGTTTTCATTGTAAGCCAGGAACTAAATGACTTCCAAAGTTCAAAACTTTCAGCCAACTAAAACCAAAATCACATCAAGATCATATAAGCTATCTAATATAGCTAAGCCTACACCTAATCCTACTCAAGTCAATGTTATAATCCTTATTAGCTGCAGTTTTCATTGTAAGCCAGGAACTAAATGGTTTTGAAAGTTCAAAATTTTCCGAGAACAGACCAAATAATTGATATGTTCCTCTATCTGTCTGACCACATAAAAACTTTCAGTGAATAGATAAGCTCACAAGACAGAAACCATCTTAAAACTTTAGAGAACTACCCTTCTCAGAACACACACCAAATTAAAAATGGAAGTTTTCAAAACTAACAGTAACGCATCTTCTTTCTCCATTCATCTCTAGCCATAATTATCCATGCAATCATCAATTGTTGGACAAACTTTCTTCCTCTTGTTTAATTTTAATCCGAATCAAGACTAGAATGTTACGATATCAAGTGAATAAACACTGTAGAAAAACCCAATGATTTACCTTTTTCGGCTTTTCTCTTGGATGATGATCTCTTGCTCGCTGAAAAACTGCCGGAAACGGGAAATGGAGAGCCGCATGGCACTTGTCGCCGGTAACGATCATCTGGTCGACGGCGGTGTTTCACGGAAATCCAGATTCTGAGTGAGAGTCTGCTTTGTTGGTTTAGGAAACGGATCTGCTGTAATTCGATGAATTAACTTTGGTTCACTTTGGTTTAGCATTTGGTTATCCTTAACTGAACCGAATGAAACGAGCCGACCGAACCAAACTGTTCAGATTTTTGTTTTCATTCCGTTTTGAGATCCCAACCGGTCCACAACTTTTCCAAAATAATTTTGGTTCTAGGTTCGGTTTCGTTTCTTCAGATTTTTTTAACTGTCTTCTGTATCCGAACCAGATTTTGAATATCATAACCGGTTTCTCCATAATAAGAACGTGGTAAGAAAATTAACATGAACTAAACAAGAGTGAGATACAAATACACGTAGATACATAAAAAGAAGTTTATAACTATAGTGAGTGATACTACGTCAAAGAGTAGGTTCACTAGCTAGTGCATCAGACCATAATGACGAAGTCAAGATCGTATGAACATCAATACTCCCTTCTTCAACCCCACGAAACATTACGAGCAAACCACCAACACCATTACTCGGTCCAGCTCGAGCCGCGACCGGTTTTCCCCAACCGAAATCATGGTCGTACACGTCAAACCATGGAGAGCTTGCGACGATCAAAGAATTATCAGCCATTCTACTTCCAACCCCTATCTTTGGCACCTCAACATTTCTAACCCAATTCTCTGCATAAGCATTATAACTTTCATTCGTTTGTGACCTCACCGATTTACTTATTTGCAAAGCGGTCCAGCCTAGACCGTGGTCCAAAACCTCTCCCACGGTGGTCGTAGCTATCGCGAGATCGGTCACGTTCCCAAAACACTCTTTCTCAAGCGGAGGGTTTAGCCTCCTTCTCATGTCGGCCGCTACTTTGCATTGCGTCTTCTCTTCTCTGTTTAGACCACTGTGTTTGAGAATTACTAGCCATAGATATGCTACAACCGCTTGAAGAGAAGAGACTTTCGAACCAATGGAATCAGCTTCGTCGTTGGCTTTCTCCTTGAGATATGAAATTTTCTTCTTTGAGAAGTGAAAAATTCTCTCTTTAGCTGGATTCTCACAATTTTGTGGCCTCTCCATCTCTGAAACCGGTATACGTACCGGGTAATCAATATTGTCAAGAGACCAATCTTTGAGAGAAAGAGGCTGAAAGTTATGACCGGAACCGGTCCGACAAATGTTGGACCAAGTGTGGAAGAAACTCCAGAACGAAGAACCATCAGCCACCATGTGGTTATAACCGAAACTGATGAAAACTCCATCTTTCATCTCGGTGACTTGCAATGCAAGCAAGGTCTCTGAGGTTAAGGCGTCACGGCTTTCCACATTGTTTGCCGGGAAGAAAAGATGCATGAAGTCAGGAACAGAGCCACGAGACTGAAGGAGATCGTTCACAGAGACAGATTCTGCCTTGGCGTGAACAAACTTGGCGCCTGACCCGTCACAGTCGATGTATAACGACACGGTGTTGTCTTCGTGATTGTCCACTTTGACAAGACGACCAGCGAACGGGAAATATATCTCTAAGGCAGTGGAAAGAGCGGCCTTTAACCTAGGGATGAAACGGATTCCTGAGTCGGGTTTGAGGAAGAGAAGACCTCTTTGAGGATAAACAAGATAAAGAAGGTGAAGATCATGTGGAGCTAGATGGATTTTTGCTCGACCAGATTTGTTTATGTTTCCCGGTCGGACAATGCTTGAAGATATAACGCTCACTTCTACCATTTTGCGTTTATAGAGAAGAAGATGGAAATTTTGATAACTCAGAAACAAATCTTATATAGATATTTAGACCCTTAAGAGAAAATTCTAAGCTTGGTAGTGAACTGTATACATTCTTTTTTTTTTTCTTTTTTTTTCATTAGGATATGGACATTAGACAATTTGCTTATTTTTTTCTCGTGAACAAGCCCATAATGTAGAAGTACCAGTTAAAATATAATTTTTCTTATTTCGAAAAATAATTGAAATAGGGGCATTTCGATAGATACATACATTAGCACTGTCGAACATGTGAGAAATGTGAAGAACTCTTGTTGTGACTGTGATATGACCGAGATTCGTTTATTGGCTCTAATTCATTGACAGATGGTTCCAAACGCATTGTACATGCTAAGAAACAAACACATTAAATTCAGTGTTCTTTCACTATAAAACTCACTATATACGTGTTGGTAGTTGGTACGTTGTAACGTAACGTATCCATCAGACAATTACAAAAATAAATAAAAAATGTTGAAGAAAACGTATTATCTGCGTTCCGCATATTCAGGATTTGTTTTTTATTTTTTGAATATAACATAAAATTTGAGTTTTCGAAGTTAAGAAATGAATTCAGATAAAGAAAACAAAAAGGTTATTTTCATGAGTGTTACATGAGTAATGTATTGTTGTTTTCGTCTTTTTGTTTTACAAAGAACAAACAAGAATACATTAACATTTTGCAATATTTTGATTATATACTTAAAAAGTGCACTAACTTTGTTTAGGTGGACTTAGGAGATCCTGCGACTTGGATTCTTAATTACAGAGGTACTAAGTACTAACTTGCGTTAAGCCGTTCTGACTACGTTAGAGTTGGTAGGTGAGAGATGGTCATGACAATCTTGACAAAAGGTTTTTTTTGTTGTTACTACAAAATTTAACTGCACATCCATAAAACAATCTATTTTTCAATAAAGCCCAATGGTAGTCATCAGACTAACTCATAAGTTTTTCTTTTGTGTTCGTGTTTCTTGAATTATCAGTTTATCATAAAGAAATTCTTCAATTCATGATTCAGCATTATGAACAAGTCCACAGAAACGAACATACCAAACATTATATTCTATTAAGGAACCATTGACATAAGTCCAATATACAGATAGTTAAGGGGTTCATATTTTTTAAAACATTTACTGCATAATTTACTATTTGGTGAAAATATAGTTTTGGAGAGTGACTCCACTTCAGATTTCTTCAACTCTTACAACTCAGTTTCTCTTGCTCAGCAACTTCCATCAGAATCATGCTCACTGCATAATCCGAAACCACAATCATATACATCTAATGTTTAAGCTACAAACAAACCAAATCCTTCCTTAACTAGTTCTTCTATTATGTAATCCAAAAGCTTATTATCACATTCATTGAGAAGTTCCTAGATATCAACTTTAGTTCATCTGAAACTTCAATCTTTGCAAACCAGAAAGTTACTTAAATTACCTGTAGATAGTGTTGAGATCAAAGTCAAACCCTTTATGATTGTTAAAGCGCTCCGCAATCAGATTCTCCTGATTTTGGAGCAAATGAAAGAAAACGAACAAGAGATCTAAGTTAGCGTTCCATCAAAGTGTTTGGTTTCTGGTGAAAATATATAGTTAAAGCTTAAACTGATTTACCTGCTTAACCTGGTTCATTTCGATCGGAACATTCAAGTCAGGCAATATAATTTGAGCAGGAGGCAACACTTGTTCAGGCTCTGCATGTCCTGGCACACCCTGGAAAAGATTAAAATTAGCATATAAATTTATCACCGAACGTGAATAATGCAATGTTAAGTAAAAAAAAAAAAACCAGTGATTTCACTAGGTAAGATTGTGAAGGAGAAGGAAGCTAACCTGATGGATGGTACAGTGCGGTCCAAAAGGAACACGATCGATCAAGAAACCATAAGTTTGTGATTTCTTAACGGCCTCGAAGAAATCACAACACTGGATGGTCTCACGAGTGCATAATTGAGTTTGCACTCATGCTCGTAATGTTAGCTCCAAGTACTCGCAGGCTTGCAAAAACAAAGCAAGAGCATCCCGGCTCACCATCTGAAAATCACATTTATCAATCATCTATCTTGATTCTCGATCCAACTCAACTGACCAACAATTTTATCATAACGACAGTTTCATGAACATCAGAAGTCAGAACCAATCAACTAAAACAAAAAAAAAAAAACAATTTTCCATACCCTGACTTCAGGTTGGGCTTTCAAAACCCTTTTGACCCTACATAGCAAAAAACTATGTTGTAGATTGAACCCTGTGAGTAACCAAAACAAATCAAAGAAATCAGTCGAAAAAACGGGAATAATTTTTTTAAAACATGTTTCATTCTACTTTCTTTTCCTTATCTGCTGCTTTTAATATCAGTCACCTGACAAGTTCTGTAGCTCAGCCCTTTGGTTATCCCAAAACACCTTCACAGCTGCTTCTGGTGAAGAGGCTCCATGGATCTGCGAGTTAAGACCAAAAGGTTAAAGACAAGAGACATAAAAAAAAAACATCAAGAAAAACAACATAGAACAAGGACTTAAAGAATTTACTGGATGGTATGGCATTGGCATCACGTTATTCTGTGAGTATTGAGCAACAGGTTCCATCCTTCTACGAGCTGCTTTGCCTGATGCATTTGGGAACGGGGATGAGCTGGGCCTCTTCATCTTTTTTTTTTTTCACAAAAGATGATGAAAACACGGCGAAGATGTAGAAGATGAAGAGAGCATGTGTCTACATATACTGAGATAGATTCATAACGTAACATATTCGCATTGAAGACACTACCAATGAGAATTAGATTCTTTAATTAAAGATGAAGAACATCTTTTTGGCACAAAGAAGAAATCAATAAATGCTGACATTTAAGTAAGTTTGTACCTCGTGGAGTTCGTGTGGAGGAAGAAAGGACAACTCACAGGTCTTTTTGGGTGTCACGCACGCGCGCAGAAGGGCCGGCCCTGAAAAATCAGTGGCCAAAATAATTTAGTAAGGTTTTAATGAATTTTGGGGCCAAAAATTGATTTTTTTTTTTTTTTAATTTGGGGGCCAAAATCTATACAGATTTTCTTTAGAAAAATGTAGGGGCCAAGCCAAAAGCCTTGCTTAGCTTGCCTCAGGGCCGGCCCTGCCGTGCAGTGTTTGAACTCGACAAACATATCTGTAAATTATTATTCAACTATGTTAGACAATGTTTGTATAAGTTCCACTTCAGTCTATAGTAAGATCACATTGTTTAAATGTAATTCCAAGTAGCGAAAGATATCAATATCCTTTGTCCTCAAACTATTGGCGCTTGAAAAAGCAAAAAGCTCTTTGTAAGATAGTTATGTATGTATATATATATATATATATATATATATATATATATGTGTGATTGTATAAGTATAACATGTCAAGTTAGAGAACTTAATGTAAGATAATCAATTTTCAGTAATTCCTTTAATGATAGTTATTTGCTTACAATTCTAACAAGGAATGTAGACGCTCTCCTCCCTCTTGATAGTAAAGTCTGGAATGGATCCAAAACTGGAACAGGATGGTCCTGCTTTGTTTTCGCAAGCGTACGTTTTGGAGCTAACATTACGAGCGTGGATGCAAACTCAATCATGCACTCGTGAGACGATCCAGGGTTGTGATGTCTTCGAGACCATAAAGAAATCACAAACTTATGGTTTCTTGATCAATCGTGTTCCTTTTGGACCCCAATCTGCCATCCATCAGGTTAGCTTTCTTCCTCTCCGCAGTGTTACACTAATTCTAAATTTTCAAAATCATGTCCATGGTCAAAAGTAAACATACAAACTTCAAAACTGACATTAAAGAGAGTTACAATTTCTATAGACATAATAAAGTTAAGCTGCTAGTATCGCATCACCTATCAAGTAGCAAAATGCTCATAAAGTTTCAATAGATTTCATGACAAAACATACCCAGGAACAAAAAAAAAAACTTTAATTGGCTTCGTGTCTTCATCAAGGTCAGTATACTACATAAGCTCACAACTCGCAAGGCAATAAACCATCAAGAAAAATATTCTGAAAACAACGTAATTCGAACATGAAATGAAATCTTTTGAGAAAATAACTGTAAAACAATTTTTGATGTAATTACTATACATGGGTTTTGACAAAGTCACAAACTTATCTCATCCATTTGCGAAATCTGAGAGTTTTATACTTTATCCCCAATTCGAGAAATACAAACAGCATTAAGATTTTATAGTCCCAAAAGCAGTAGAGAACCACGTTATCCTAATTATCCCTACAATCATATCACCCACTGAAATCTCTTATTTTTCCTTTGTGAATTTTCTTCCAGTAACCTAGAAATTCACGATATTAGTGCATTTTCAATCCGTGGAATCGCTAATTGTTTTTTTTGTTTGTTTGTTAAATAACTTGAATCACTAACTGTGTACCTTTCTGGTCTCTTGTTTTGGTGAGTGAATGGCAGATATGGAAACAGTGGTCGAGGAGACACATGGCGTCGGTAAGGATCGTTCCCCGGAGGGAGCTCCCTCGAGCTCACCGGAGGAGGGAGCTCCTATTGACAAAGTTAGATTTCTTTATTATATAGCTTACTCAATATACGTTACAAAGCTCCGTGTTTCTACGTTATATCAAAAGACTCGTGAATTGGCTCTAATTGATTGACATAGATAATTCCAAACGCATGCACACTAAAAAAACAAACACATTAACTGTTGTGTCCTTTTATTATAAAACATAAAACAAAGACGTTACTTTACATTAAAACCCAAAACAAACAAAACGAAAACAAAAAAAAACAAAGTTGATACGTAACGTATATCTATTAAATTACAAAATTAAATATAAAATGTAGAAGAAAATGTATTATTTGCCTATTCTGGAATTTTTTTAAAAAAATTTGAAAACATAAAATTTAATTACACATCAAAAAAAAAAAAACTATCGTTATTTTCAATAAAGCCCAATGGTAGTCATAACTCATAAGTTTTCTTTTGGGTCCATGTTCTTGAATTATCACAAAGAAATTCTTCAATTCATGATTCAGCTTAATAAACAAGTACAAAGAAACGAACATACTAAACAAGAACCACTGATATCAGTGGTGAACATATAGCTTTGGTAGATGACTCCACTTCATATTAATTTCTTCAACTTAGTTTCTCTTCCTCAGTAGCTTCCATCAGAATCATGCTCACTGAAGAATTCAAAACCACAAATTATAAACATCAAATGTTTAAGCTACAAATAACTAATTCCTTCAGTAATTTATTTTTCCATTCTGTAATCAAAAGCTTATTATCACATTCACTGAGAAGTTCCTAGAGTACATCTTTAGTTCATCTGAAACTACAATCTTAGCAAAACCAGAAAGTTAAAAACTACCTGTAGATAGTGTTGAGGTCAAAGTCAAACCCTTTTTTATTGTTAAAGGGCTCGGCAATCACATTCTCCTGATTTCGGTGCAAATAAAAGAAAACGAACAAGATATCTAAATTAGCATCGCATCGAAGTGTTTGCTTTCAGGTAATACCAGTAAAAAAGTAAACTGATTTACCTGCTCAATTTGGTTCATATCGAACGGAACATTCATGTCCGGCAACATCATTTCGGCACGAGGCAACACATGCTCAGGTTCTGCATGTTCTAGCACACCCTGAACAAAAAAAATTAGCATATAAAACTGATCGTCTAACTTGAATAACACATGTTTAAAACACAGTTTTGGTTGAAATAAATTGTGATTTCGCCAGGTAAGATTGCCATTTGCCAAGGAAAAGAAAGCTAACCTGATGTATGGCACAACACGGTCCAAAATGAACACGATTGACAAGGAAGCCATAAGTTTCGGATTTTTTTAAAGCCTCAACAAAATCGCAACCCTGGATTGTCTGACGGGTGCAAGCTTGAGTCCGTACCCAAGCTCGTAGTGTTAGCTCAAGAACAAAATACTCACATGCTTTCGAAAACAAAGCAGGAGCATCACCGCTTACCATCTGAAAATCCACATTTTAGCAGTCACAAACAATTTTGTAGACTCCAGAGCAATAAACAAAAATCAAACAATTACTACAAAGAGACAGTTTCTGTAATTTTCCATACCCTGACTTCAGGTTGGGCTTTCAAAACCCTTTTGACCCTACATAGGGAAAAACTATGTTGGATATTGAACCCTGTGAATAACCAAAACAAGTCAAACAAATTCAGTATTCCAAAAGCGAGAATTTGTTTTTTGAAATATCCTCTGCAACTACTTTCTTTTCCTGTTTAGCTGCTTTTAGAATATCATTCACCTGTCAAGTTTTGTAGCTCAGCCCTTTGGTTATCCCAAAATGCCTTCACAGCTGCTTCCGGTGAAGAGGCTCCATCGATCTTTCCATTACAAAGTTGTCGCAGGTTTAGACCAAAAGGTTAATACAAGAGACATAAAAAAGACTTCAAGCAAAACAACAAAGAACAAGGACTGAAAGAAATTACGCTGTACAACGCTGGATGATGAGGCATAGGCATCACATTGTTCTGTGAATACTGAGCAACATGCTCCATCCTTCTGCGAGCTACTTTGACCGATGCATTTGGGAATGGGGATGAGCGTGGTACAAGTGGCCTCTTCATGTTGATATTACACAAAAGATGATGAAACCACGGCGAAGATGAATAGGATGAAGAGAACAAGTGTCTCTATATATACTGTGATAGATTCGTAACGTAAAATTTCGCATTTAAGACGCTACCAACCAATCAGAAAGAGAATCTTTTTAAAAAGGAAGAACATTTTTTGGCAAAAAGTTGAAAACATTAATGCTGCAATTTATGTGAAGAAATGCCTCGAGGATTTCGTGAGGAAGAAAGGACAATTCAGAAGTCTTTTTTGGTGAAAGGCATGCACACCGTGTAGAAGGAACACGACAAACAATAGCATATATGTAAATTGTCAGTCAACTATGTTACATTTAGTTGACTGGCAGTTTACATATATGTTATTGTCTGCCGTGTTTCTTCTTACACCGTGTGCATGCCTTTCACCAAAAAAAGACTTCTGAATTGTCCTTTCTTCCTCACGAAATCCTCAAGACGTTTCGTTACATAAATTTCAGCATTTAATGTTTTCAACTTTGTGCCAAAAAGATGTTCTTCCTTTTTAAAAGGATTCTCTTTCTGATTGGTAGCGTCTTAAATGCGAAATTTTATGTTACGAATCTATCACAGTATATAGTATATAGACACTTGTTCTCTTCATCGTATGCATATTCGCCGTGGACACAGTATCACAGTCCTCACAAACTCCACGAGGTATACCCTTACTTAAATTTCAGCATTTATTGAATTCTTCTTTGTGACAAAAAATGTTCTGCATCTTTAAAAAGAACTCTTTCCCATTGGTATTAATATCAAATGTGTGATTGTATAACATGTCAAGTTAGATAATTTACCACAAAATAATCAATGTTAACTATAGTTCTATTAATGATAGTTATTTACTTACAATTCTAGGTGTGCTCCTCTCCATACTCTTCTTTCATCTTCGATAATAGTTTCTTTGTGAGTATCAACAAGAAGAGGCAAATTGTTGTTAATCAGGTCATCATCAATGAGATGTTCACACATGCAAACCTAGATTAAGATCAAAGCCATATTAAGTGAACGAGCTCTCCTTTTAGCATCTCCTAACTTCTAAAATATTATACAAACTCATGTCCAAGGTCAAAAGTTCCAAAATATGGCATTGAAAACCAGGGAACGTTCAATAGATATAAAGTCAAAATGCTAGAACGCATCAACCTTACAAGGATAAATAAGAAAAAAACTTTAAATCCTTAACTATCAAGTAGCAAAATGCTCATTTGAATCTGCACAGAGTCTACCATTCTAGATGTAATGGCATAAGAACAAGTAACTGATATTGGAAACAGTCACATCTCCTTATAAATTTCTTTGATTATGGTAGATTACACAGATATAGACCACAGAGCACACATGCGCATAAACACTGCCACTTCAAGTTAGGCTACATTTTTATTAGTATCCACTGGAATTACGCTAAACGGTTTCCATAAATCAAAACTTTTCAGACAGCTGAAACAAAGATTACACATAAGAACTTATGATTTCCTGACAGAACAGACTCATGAATAAAAAAAATCCATACTCTAATTGGCTTATAGTATCTTCATCAAGATCAGCAAAATACGTTAGCCTCACAACTCGTAGTAAACTCAAGAACTATATTCTGAGAACAAATCAATTCGAACATGATATCTTTGAGAAAGTAACTGTAAAATAGGTTTTGACAAAGTCACAAACTTTATGTTTTGTTAAATCTTTATCCATTTGCGAAATCTGAAGTTATATAATTTATCCCCAATTCGAGAAATACATACGGCATTACTGAAGATTTTCTAATCCCAAAAGTTAGGAGAGAACCACATAATCAAATCACTAATTGAAATCTCTACCTTTTCCTTTGTGAATTTTGTTACATAAACCCTAGAAATTCACGATTTTAGTGCATATCAATCCTAGAATCGCTAATTGTTTACCTTATTTGGTCTCTTGTTCGGTGAGTGAATGGCGGAAATGGAAACGGCGGTGGAGAGGACACCTGGCGCCGGTAACATCGGTTGCTCACCGGAGGGAGGCAGGGAACTTTATTTTTTTTTCGTAACAACAACTAGAGGCAGGGAACTATCCGTGGTTTTATATTATATCACAACATAAATGTATCGAGTGATAAGGGCATATATTTAGAGATAAAATATAGACACTAGCTTGTTGTTTATCCAATTAGCACTTTCCTATCAGGATTTTAGTCTTTACATACTTGTAAATCTTATCCCATCTTAGCTTATATGTGAATACAGTCAACACTTTCCGATCAATTACATAATATATTATTTTTGTTCCAAACAAATATGTAAATCTTAGCTTATATCTGAATACAGTCAACACTTTCCAATTCATTACATAATGTTTTTTGTTCCAAAAAATATGTTTTATACAAAAAAAAAAAAAAAAAAAAAAAAAAAATCATGATCATATACATATTGAAAAGATGGTTTGTTAAGTTTTTTTCAGATTACAATGTAATATACTATATGGTTCGATTTTGCTGTGAAAAAAAAAATTGTTTTGCGCTTTATTCAATGAGATATCTCGGAATATTCCTATTCTTGGGAAATAATTTGTTGATGGAGATCCACATGATAAGTGGAGCAGAGCTTTATGTCTAGCTATGCCGTATGAATATTACACATATGGGTGTCGGTGCTTCAACTAAGAGGATCTCGTGTGTGCGCAAGCAGTTGCAGCAGCATTGCTTAACAGCACGCGATTTCAGCAACTTGTTGAGTACTGTTGACGATGCTTACTGTAGATGCTTGAAGATGCGGATACGCTGAAACTGAAAGCATATATAAGGCCACCTAGAACCATTGATGAGTGCGAAGTTCCGAAGTATCTAGAAAACTGTATCAGAACTGAAAAAAGTCAAGAAAAGCAGAGGATGGGTCACCAAAGCGTATCTAGACCCGCACAATCGTGGAGCAGAGGTTTCTGTCTAGCTATGCGGTACGTAAAACAAACGAGAATATTGTGACCAAATGAAAATGCTGAAACAAGCACTAAACTCTTGGTTGTTACAATTACCATTAGATTCGCGTGGACCCCCAAAACAATTTCTTGTTCAGCTTTTAAATCTTAGTTACTTGTTGAGGTTCAATCTTGTGAAAAATTTCAAGATAACCCAAAAAAACGTTTCGTCTTATAACTTAGCTTGGTGAATCAGTTTGTCCGTAACTTATTTGCCAGACCCATTTCCCGTGAATTTGCGGGTTAGTATGTAAATTAGATTTTAGAACTCGAGCAAATCAACCATTGACAGAACAAAAGACATCAAAAATGGCTATTCTGTGCATAATTTAGTTTATTGGGGGGGGGGGGGGGGTGGGTGGACACGTTTTAACTTGCATGGCTTATAAACATCAATATATAATATACTCGAACTGCGTCGTAGAACTTCTGGTCTGTGCATAACTTAATATATTGGGGAAGAGTGGCAACTGGCATGGACACGTTTAAACTTGCATGGCTTATTAATTAACTTACATATACTCGAACTGCGTCATTAATTAGAACTTCTGGTCTGTGCAACATTTAATTTATTGGGGGAGTGGACACGTTTTAACTTGCATGGCTTATACTAGAGTGCATGTGTCTATGCATCACGTGCTTACTTTATTGAGGCTTAAACTATACACAATATAGAAGAATACAATAAGAAAAAAAGTATTCTTAATTCCTTTGGTATATCATTAAAATTCAAACGTATAATCAGCGTTTACGTAAGTTTTTTTTTAGCTTTTATCCACAAAAAAAAGGGTGTGTAAAAACGTAAGTTTGGCTTGGTTTTCTGCTCTTCCCCTCTTATCATTCATCCTCCAAAGTTTGAACCACCCGGTTTAAGTAGCTTTGATCTCTCACTCTGGTTTAATACAACCAAGTTTAACAACTAACATCAAAGTCGAGTTTAACAACTATCATCAATAGTATTGCACAATTAAATTTGATTTATGCATTTGTTTTTCTTTTTTCATAAATTAGCCTAGTTTTTTTTTCGTAAGGAGAAATTACCCTTGTTACACAACTTGTCTTCTTTGTTCTGAGATCATGTACATTCTGTTTGACTGTTCTTACTGGAGTATATAATAATTGTTTCGACAAACCATTTACATCAAATAGCAGATTTGATGAAATTGAAAATTTGAAAACAACTATAATTGAAAAATCATATTTGTTGTTGGGTTTTTCTCAAATGTTTGTATATAATAAACACCCAACCCAAGCTGTATCAGCAGAAGCCAGAATCAAATCAGCAAAATATGGATTTAATTCAGCTTTTTTTCTCTGCTCTCTCTATTTTCTCTGTTTCTTACTTCTTAATGAAGTCACTGCTTGGTCCCAAGAACAAGAAACGTATGGCGCCTATGGCCCCTGGAGCATGGCCATTGATAGGCCATTTAAGGGCCTTTGACAACGGAGAGCCGAGCCACGTTACGTTCGGGGCCATGGCGGACGTACTCGGACCGGTGTTCATGACCAAGCTTGGCTCTATTAACCTCATGATGATAAGCAGCCAAGAGGTTGCCAAAGAAATCTACACTGTCCATGACAAGGTCTTAAACCGACCAACCGTCACTGCGTCTAAGGTTCTGGGCTACAACGACTCGTTCTTGTCGTTCAGCCCTGAACGTTCTTACTGGAGAGAAATGCGCAAGATATCAGTATCGGAGATTCTATCCACCGCGGTCGTTGATATGCAGTGTAGTAGAGCCGGGGAGGTTGAAGTGACGTTGAGAGATTTATACCGGAAATGGGAGCAAAAGGGTGGGCCAAAAAATGGAGTCTTGGTGGATATGAGGCAAGAGTTTCATGATCTAATCCAGAACATCTCGCTGATGATGGTCGCGGGGAAGCGATACTTCGGAGGAAGCCCTAACTGCGACACCGGAGAGGCGAGGAGATGTAGGAAGCTGATACGAGAATTTCTTGATTCCTTCGGGGTCTTCTTGTTTACGGATCATGTACCGTGCCTTGGTTGGTTGGACTGGAGGACTAAGAAGGGCATGAAGAGAACGGCTAGTGAGTTAGATAAAATTGTTGAAGCTTGGGTTGAAGAACACAAGAAAAGGACGAATTCTGGTGGTGACATTAACAAGACTTTCTTGGGTCGACTCATCGAGATCTTTGAACAACACAAGAATCAGGGTCTTGGCGATGCTCATACAACAACCAAGGCCCTATGCCTCGTAAGATCTCACAAAACTTTTAACCTATAGCAAGTATAACAAAGGGTCATGTGTTTATGAGCTAATAATCTGTTATATGTGTTAACATTCTTGGAAACTAGAACTTGGTATTATCAGGGCCAGAAGCAGCCACTGTGGTTCTAATTTGGGCTGTTTCGCTACTCGTGAACGACCCACACGTGCTAAGCAAAGCTCAAGAAGAGCTCAACCGTAAAATTGGCAAAGACAGAGTTGTGGAAGAATCAGACCTTAAAGATTTGGTGTACATACAAGCAATTTTGAAGGAGACATTCCGTTTGTATCCACCACTAACTCTCACCGGTTATAGGGACGTGATGGAAGATTTCAACATTTCCAATGGGAACTTTCATGTTCCTGCAGGTAAACATCCGAAACTCAAACAAGTGATCCTTTCAAATGAAATAAACACTGATCAAACGATTTAGGCACTTAAAAGCTATTAGTCAACAAATATAATAAGGTCAAACTTATAAGATATTACACATATCAAAGGTCTTTTTATTTTTATTTTATTAATGATTTTATGTTAAAGAGCTGTGAGCTTCATGAATCATGATTCTAGTCTCTTTCTTTGAAGAGTTATATGATCTTATTTCATGTCGAATAATTAGGAACACAGTTGCTCGTAAATGCCTGGAAGATGCATAGGGATCCGAAACTTTGGTCTAACCCGGAAGAGTTTGAGCCAGAGAGATTCTTGACATTAAACAGAGAAGTGGATGTTAGTGGGCAGAGTTACAAGTTTTTCCCGTTTGGGTTGGGACGAAAGGCGTGCCCCGCGATCCCCCTTGGTATGAGGATGGTGCATTATGTTCTAGCAAGGTTCTTGCACAGCTTCGATGTGGCAAGACCATCGAGCCAAGAGGTGGACATGACCGGAAACAATGGGTTGGTCAATCTTAAAGCCACTCCTCTTGAAGTCTTCATCACTCCTAGGCTTAATAGATCTCTTTACCACATGGAATCCGATCAGGCTTGATTAGTCCTTTATAAATATTTTGCTGAGACTAAGTAGCCAAAATATTTCGGTATCGTTCCATGATTCCACATTTATCATGTTGTTTATGGAAGACTAATCCCGTGGAAATTATAAGATATTTGGAATATGTTTTGACATCAATTTTTGCCGCACCAGCCTGATCATAAGATAGCGTTAGACATAAGCTTGAGATCTCGGAAAGAATTCTTTATAGTAGCAAATAGATGAAGGCTCAGAATCTATTGACAATCGAACTAGGGCTTGCCGACGAGGTAACAACAAGGATTACTCTAGACTAGTGCTTTGATTGTACTTTGATTCGTCAAATAAAAAGCATCATCCATAAATGTCAAGATAGAGGACCGGTACTGAAATTTACAGAATTAAGGTTTGGAAGTCGGATGATATATATCATAGTTTGGGGCATGATGATGATAGGGCTTGATTAGTACTTTATAAATATTTTCTGCGAATAAGTAGCCAAAATCATCTCGGAAATTCCATGATTCTACATCCATCATGTTATTTATGGAAGACTAATCCCATGGAAATTACAATGCGCTCGAGAGTTTACAAATTTTGAAAACAAAAAAATAACATTTTTTTTTGCTTTCTTAGAAATTCGGATTGATTTATTTTCACTTTAGATTCTTTTAACTCATTAATTTATAAAAAGTTTAAAATGTATCAAGTTTTCGAAGTATATGTGGACTAATAACTCCACGAGTTTTTAGAAATTTTTTAAAAATTAAAATTATAAGTTATTAGACTTTTTATACTCTTTTACGATGCAAAATGGTTGAATCAAATTATTTTCATTTTAAATACATTTTAATCATTAATTTAGAAAAACCTCAAAAAGTATCAAAATTTGTATACCCAGCCCTATTAGATTTTACAAATTTTGAAAAAATAACATTTAGGCCGGTTTTCAATTTTCAAAAATACTAATATATTATAGCTTCTTCTACCATTAACTAAAATAAACATGATAAATTAAAATAAAATCCAAGAAGATTGTATATGTATGCTTTGTGTCACAGTCTAAATTAAGATTCGGTCTTGTATATGTAAGTTGTACATTTTATATACAATTAAGGGTGAAAAAAACAACAACTATAATCCCGGCGAAAAGAAAAAAAAACAACAACTATAATCGCAAGGGAAGTAGGGAACCAATCTTGTGTCCTTATACTCCGTGTTGTCTAAAGAGTGAAGCACGTGATGCATTGGACTTATGCAATTTAATGAAAAACATCATGCATCCGTGACAGTCGTCATGTTTCTATCGTCGTCGGGTCATGCGTTTGTACTATACATTCTTGTCGTCTTTTCTTCTATTATCGATCGACTAACAGTCTAACATAAAGATGACATGGAGCAACTTTCGAGGGAAAACGCACTTTCATAAGCCATGGAAACTGAAATGTGTCGAGGGAAAACGCTTTCATAAGCCATGCAAACTGAAATGTGTCAAAAAACTGAAATGTGTCAAAATTAAGTATCACTAAAGATTTTTTTTTTTTTTTTAAATGCTACTTTCTAATTGGTTGCTTCATAATGGTTTCTTTCGTTTGTAAGGGTCAATATCTACTGCCATTTGAGTTGAAAACGTTTACATGCATATACAAGCGATCGAGACAAGTAATAATGTCAACAAAATACCTTTGAAGTCATGTTATGGGGACAAGACTTGTGAAGGTATAAAAACAGAGTCTATAAATTAATAAAGTTGGGATTTTGATATTTTATTAATTATAGAGTTATTAAATTATCGATCTTGAATAAAATAGTTATTTTATAAAAAAAACAATTAATATAAATACTAAATTAAATAAAAATAAGAAATTTTAAAAGTTTTTATATTTTGTATAGGTTCATTCTAAAATTAGGGATGAATTCTAAATAAATTTGAGTTTTAGTAGAAAAGAAGTGAAATTTATACTTATATTTTAGTATATTGTCATAGATATGTATTTACACAAAATGTTATTTATGGTAATTATTAATTTATGATATTAATGGGACCATATCTTTACATAGGAGTTTCAAAAATATTATTATCTTATTATTTTATCGAATTTTGCTAATTTTTACACTGGCCAGACTTAGGATCAGAGAAAATTATTATTTTATAGAGTTTATTATTTTATCGAGTATCAATTTATAGAGTTTCTACTGTAATAAGATAGAAAAATATTATAGAAAGAACACATTTCTTTTAGTATTTTGAAATCAAATGAGACGAGATTAAACATGACGAGACAAAAAATTAGAACTGACAAATAGACTAATTTGTAGAAAAATAATAAAACTAACACAATTCGCGCAAAAACGAGTGTTAGCTCCAGTTCTTTTTTTTCTTTTTTTTTCGTATGGTTAATAATTTAATATAAATCACCCCTTTAGTTTCGAGCTATTACATCCTTTTAATATTAAATAAAAATATGAGGCAAGACTTGTGAAGTGTGTGTATATATATAAACAGCATCCAGAGGTAAGAAGATCTTATATTATACACACAAAACTTGTTAAGATGGCAAACCAAACCAAATCAATATCTTCTATATTACTCGAAAAGAAAGCAGTTGAATTTGTTAAACCCTCAAAACACACACCTTGTGGAAATCTTTCCCTTTCTAGTTTAGACAATGACACTGCCAACGAATCTATGTACGCATTCATTTACGTTTTTGAGGCAAACCAAAGGAACCAAGATGATCCGGTCTCTTTGCTTAGGAAGGCTCTATCCGATCTTCTTGTGTCCTATTATCCGCTTTCAGGCAAGCTAATGAGGCGAAAAATAGATCGCAAGTTGCAGCTGGTTTGTAACTGGGAAGGAGTCCCTTTCGCGGTCGCCACAGCAGATCGTGATCTTCGCTCTCTAAACTATATAGAAAACTTTTCTGATGAAGTTGCATTGCAGCTTGTGCATGAGCTGGAGGTCAACTATGAGAGTGAGATTGGTTGTCATCCTTTCTCTTTGCAGGTATCGTTTTATCTTTCTTGCTATATAGTATATAGTTTCAATCAAAAATCCAAACTTTGGTTTGAAGCCACAAAAATCTATTAAAAACATAATTTCTGCAGTAGTAACATGATCCAAATGTTAATAGAATCATATCTAACGAAAAACAATATATTTCCTTTGTACTAAAAGGTGACCAGATTTCCTTGCGGTGGATTCACCATTGGCATAGCAGTGACACACGCGTTGTGTGATGGGTATGGTGTGGCTACGATCTTCAATGCTCTAACCGAGTTAGCCAGAGGAAAAACCGAGCCATCGATAGTGCCGGTATGGCAAAGAGAACGACTGGTCGAGAAAATAGACGATGAACCGGCTAGAGTACCTGGCGCGGGAAGGGAAAGTCTTATGGCCATATCACCATATATGCCAAGCAGTGATATGGTATGTTCATTCACATCACTTTGGATCACTAATGTATAATCCCTTCTTCTATCAAAATCATTTTCTTGTGAGAAAATTAGGTACGTACGTTTTAATTCAGGATAAAACATTTAATATTTTTTCATTAATAGGCTTATAGTAATAAAAATTCAAAAAAATCAATGATTTTCTCCAGCTTTACAAGAGAATTCTTCTAAAAATAATGCATCATATACTAACAATGGTGCAAACTATAATGAGTTTTTACACTGTACAAGTAAGACAGATCAATTAATTATAAAATAAATTCAGATATAAAATAGCCAAATTAATCTGTAATTATATATTTAGAAAATAATTTGAACTACGTAGCTTAGAAATACTTTGACTTCAAATATTTAAATATATATTAAAATTCTACTGAGCTGTATTTTTATCTATTTTCACAAAATATAGATGTGGAGATTCAAATATTCAATAGATACTGTTGTACGTAGTAATTAACGATTTGCAATGAAAAAAGAGAGTGTATGCTGTAAGCATCCCTTTAGATTTAAATTTTAAATGTGAGACCCATCATTCAAACAGTGTTTTTGTATTCCATTTTCATATGAAGAGGAAATAATTTGAACGATTTTGGTAGATAACTAGTTTTAATTTTACCAGACAAAAAGTGATATCTTCGAAAAAAAAATGGTTTAGTTTTCTTCGTGTTTTTGTAATTCAATAGAAAACTTAGTTGTTTATGCTAATTTCTCATCTTTGTATATGCGATGCTACTTTCTCATCTTTGTATATGCGATATATTCTCAGGTCATAGAGACAATAAACATTCTGGCTGAGACTATAAAAAGGCTTAAGGACACAGTGGTACTTAAAGAAAGTTTCACTACTTTTGAAGTTCTTTGTGCTTACATATGGAAATCAACTTCTCGGGCCCTAAAGCTAAACTTAGACGGGCTCACTGTCCTCAACATAACTGTCGGAATACGAAATGTTCTAGAACCACCACTCCCCGAGGGATACTATGGTAACGCTTACGTAGACGTTTTCATTGACAGTACTGTTAGAGAGCTCGATAAATCATCGATCTCTGACATTGCAAAGCTCGTGAAGAGAGCCAAGAATACAGTTCTTGACAAGAGATATGTCGAGGAGGAGCTAAAGAACACGGAGAGAATGGTGAAAGAGGATGCAAAATTCAAAGGGGTAACCGATGGTGTATTTTTAATGACAGATTTGAGAAACACCGGATTATTCAAATCAAATGACTTTGGTTGGAACGAGCCTTTGAATATATGGCCGTTGACTCCTGATCAGGATATCCCAAGCAACATTGGGATTATCATGAGACCTTCCAAGTTGGATCCATCAATGGAAGGTGGGGCTAAAGTTGTTATGACATTGCCAAGAGATGCAATGGTTAATTTCAAGAAAGAGATATTGTTGATGTGAACAAACTTTCTTTTGGTGAGATTTGTTCAGCTGTTGCATGAGTGAAGTTTCTGTATGCGAATGCTTACATGCATATGTAATGAATAATAAGTGAGCGATCATGTGTGATCATTCATTGCTTTCTTCGTTGTTTTTCATAATGTTGAACTTAAAATTTTCGAGTCAATCTTAATAAATAAAAGAGTACGTAAATGGAGAAAACACACGTAAATGGAAGGAAGAAAGAATAATCTATTTATGAAAATCACTGGTGCATGCCATTGAATATTCATTGTACACGGTCTTAATTTATGTGTGTTAGTTAGCGTTCATGGACTTTATGATATTCATTATTCAATAATAACCATTCATTGTACACTCCTTTTGTTTAATTGAAAACAATTTGGGATGGCATGTAAATTAAGATTTAATATCCAATATTTTAACCAAACAAAATGAAGTTAATTTGCCAAATGATAATAAATTTACGACAAATTAGAGAATTGATTAATTATTGCTATGAAGATATAAATTTCTAAATTACTAACAGATAGTCTGGGTGGTGTAGTCGGTTATCACGCTAGTCTCACACACTAGAGGTCCCCGGTTCGAACCCGGGCTCAGACATATCCCTTTTTTTTATCACATTTTTTATAAGCCCATTTGATATTACGTTAGCACAATAAGCCCAAATTATTCAACGTGTGTGTGTAGTGTACTAGATCAGATGACCTTCACATACTCGTGCATGATGGCCAAATGAATGAGCATTTTTTTACCAAAACATGACCAATCAAAAGTATCAGTTACGACCATGTAAAATCTTGTACTTGTATATATATATATATCAAAAGTTATTTCATCCTATAACCCTCAAACCAAAATCTCAAAACTCGTTAAGGTTTCAAACATGAAGTTCACGACATATTGATCCTCATCACATTTGTGATTATCGCCGTGTCGTCTCCTATTCATATCAGAGCAACTGCGGCTGGGCCAGGTTCTGGAGAAGGGCCACAAAGCTCGTAAAGTTTTAGACGCTTGTAAGATTCCTTTTTCTAAATGTTGAAGATCTTATTTCAAGATATATCTAAGAAAAAAATTATTAGTAATAACAAAATATCAAGACTATTAGATTAAGGCTCGCGTATATGCGGGTTTATTATACGATTTTTGAAATAAACAATACATGGAACATTGCATGATAAATATGGAAAATAATTAAATTTTATCATGAAAACAATACCGTATAAGAGATATTGAAGGTTGACAAAATCCTCGTACGTCTTTTTCAAAAGAATTTGGCAGGCACTTTGGCTGATAATTTTGATTTTCGTTCTTTCTGTCACTTTTATGAAAAACTAATGGCTGGAAACTTTATAAGATTTTTGAACAGCAGACTGCACACTAAAATTTTGAATTTAGATGATGTTTCCTTTGGCGATCTGATCTCCGAAATTTTGAAGTAGTGAATCATGCACAAAAACTTAAATTGTGTTTTCCTATTTGAAACAAAAGTAAAAATTTAATGTTAATCAATGTTATGACTATATATATAGATTTATATAATCTTATTATCTTATTATATAAAGTTGGATGCGCGCAACGTGAACTTCAGTTGATATAATTATCTTATTATATAACACATACTATAGTACGGCGATAATTTCGATTTCGATCCAGTTGACTTAGAGTCAAATAATCTTCACTATTTGTTGAACTTTCAGAGATGATTTTTAAATTAGAGAAAGAGAATCAGAAAAATTTGATGAATTTACTTTGATGAGTTTGTAATGAGAAAAAAAAGAGACTATTGTAACTTTCTATTTATAGGTGTTCATATAACATATTCCATGCAGCTATAGGAAATATAGTTTACGTACCTATTCCATATACTAATAGGATTTTATTTATTACATTATTTTCAATCTTAATATATAAATTTGATGAATGAGAAACCTTTTTTTTTGGATATAACAAATATTATTTTTTCCTTTTTGATATAATAGATTATATTAAATTTCGTTTTTTAATTAACATTTTCTGAAAAAAAATTTATATTAAATTATCATTTTTTCCTAAGACACGTGTCACGATCTTAATAGACATAAACTTAAAAGTGACATGTGTCACGATCTTGAATTTTATAAAAATCTTATGTGTCGCAACCACGTTGCGCGCATCCAGCTATTTGGATATGGACCCGTGCAAGCACGGGTTTTTGAAGGATAATGTTATTAATTCGTTTTTTTTTTCTGTCATAGACTATCATAATTTTTAAAAATAAATATATACCACCAAAAAATAAAAACGATGGAGATTGTTGGTAGATAATGCTGTGTCGGTGGTTTTAAAACTCTTAATAATAACTATGGGGTCCAATTGTGGAATAATATGTTATCTCAGGACTATAAGGCAATAATTTAATTGATTAAGAAAAATTAAAATAAAAAAAAAAAAAGAGAGAAAAGAAAGACATCGCTCTTTTCCATCCATCATCCCGTTGGAAATTCTCCGATCTGACTGATAAAGAGGAAACTGAAGAAAGATGGGTCATGGAGAAGAAGATAAAAGGTTGAAAGCATAGGATTTGCTGATGAATCAGCGACCTTTCAAGGTCTTTCCAGTGACCCGCCGCCGCAGAATTCTTCTCCGTTCACTGGATTTCTTCAACCGTCGGCGCCGCATGGAGTTTACGATTCCTCCGCTCCTTATTAAGACCATGGATATCCTGAAAGTTAGGTGTTTGTTCGAATTCACAATTTTGGTTTTGTCAAGCATCAATGGGTTCGTATTGGAAAATTGTTTTTCTAGAAAAGCTTGCACTTTTCTTTAAAGTAGCGTATTTTATTTTAGCAGTAGCATTTTTCATCAAAGATCGTCTTTTGATATTTTCCCTTGCAGGTTAAAACAAAGATGGTTATATGCTTGTTCCTTGTTTCTCGAAAACTTGTAATTTCATTATCCTTCTCTTTTGTTCCAGGTTTTACACATATAAAAACAACCCAGACATTTGAAAATACAAATACAAAAGAAGGTGATGCTCCGTCGATGCCGATGCACACAAACTGATTGTATTTCAGAAATATCAGGTACACGATCCCAATCTCCCAATTTCTTGTATCACGTTGCCTCCCTTTTTCTCTGTTTGGATAATCAGAAAACAGAAGGATATGTTAGCTAATACTATAAATTAAACACCTTGACTTTATGAACTAACATATGAATATATAATAATAAGATTGGATATAGTTCAGAAAACTTACTCTCGCAAGTAAATATTGGATATAAATATTTACTTACCCTTCAAGCAAGAGAGTCAGTTCCACTTTTCGTAGCAGTGGAGTGGTTTTACCACGTACATCACCTTTATCCACTTTAATAATATAGCCAATTGTATCTGTAAAACAAAAACATAAAAAATTTAAAACATAAATCTCGATTTTGATCCAATTGCTCTAGAGTCAAATAATTTCCACTATTTTCTTGAATTTTCAAAGACATGACTTTTAAATTAGAAAAAGAGAATCAGAGAAATTTGATGAATTTGCTTTGATGAGTTTGTGAATGAGAAAAAGAGACTACTGTAACTTTGTATTTATAGGTGTTCATATAACATATTCCATGTTGCTATAGGATTTTTTAGTTTAAGTACCTATTCCATGTACTAATAGGATTTAGAAAATTATACGTGTTTTGATAATATAAATTTGCTGAATATAAAACCTTTTTCTGTTAGGATATTAATTTTTTTTTTAATATAATAGATTAAATTTCGTTTTTTTAATATAATATATTAAATTTCTTTTTTTTTAATATAATAGATTAAATTTTCATTTCTTTTAATTATCCTTTTTCTAGAAATTTTTTAAATTTTAAAATTTTCCCCTAATACACGTGTCACGATCTTGATGGACATAACATTAAAAGTGACACATGTCACAATCCTAAATTTTATAAAAATCCGTGTGTAACCACATCGCGCGCATCCAGCTTTATATAATAAGATATCTTATTAAACAATGAGTCTATGAAGTTATGAAGATTATGATTAGGAGTTTATGTTTATCATGTTATGGTTGAAACTTATAAAGTGAAGTGTTTGTATATTATCTCCAAATTAATTTAACCCAAATGATTGGGAAAGAGAAGTATGGTACAAGCGAACACCTACGAGGGAACAAAGAAGCTTGTGTTTTCGGATCCAAAGTCACACTAACAATTGCACCCAAAAAAGTCACACTAACAAAGATTTTAATGGGAAACCTAAATTTTTATGAGCATCAATCTAAAATATTCCTTCGAGTAAACGTACCACTGTACCAGTGATGAAGATTTTATATGAGGAGAAAACTTTTTGGGTAAAGCAAAGGGATAACCTAAGATAAGGAAAAGATTGGGAGAGTGATGTTCGTGCTTGATGTGTTATCATTTTGATATTCCTTGGGAGAAATTATGACGTTTTGTTTCTTCGAAGACAGAACAAGTAGCAGCAAAAACGAAGAGAATCAGAGAACTCACGCTATCACAAACAAAGCTTTCACAAAAATCAAATCGTTTTGATGGAGGAAGTAGTCAGTTATCACGCTAGTCTCACACAGTAGGTTGAAGCCGGGCTAATACATATCATTTTAATCACTTTTCATTTAAAACACAAATAGCCCAAATTATAATATATTTTAAGGGATAAATCAAATATCATTTGTGGTTATAATTGCACACTTACACACTTGACACATGTGTGAGTATTACTGGATCATGTGATTTTCAACGTTTTCTTGCATGATCGCCAAATATAGGCACCACCAGCCAAATGCATGAGCGTTTCTTATCGAGACATGGCAACTCAAAAGTAACAGTTACAACCATGTAAAATTTCACATTTATATATATATATATATATAAGAAGTTGACCATCCCAAAAACCTTAAAACCAAAATTTCAAATATACTTTTCAGAAAACAGAGAAAAAAAAAATTAAAACCAAAGAAAAGAAAAGCCGCTAAGGTTTCAAGACATGAAGTTCACGAGACTGATCCTCATCACATTTGTGATAATCGCCATGTTGTCTCCTATTTCGATCAGAGCAGACGACGCTGGACCACCAACGTGTTTTGCGGTGCAGTTTTGGTCATGCTTACCGGCAATAACTGAGGGAGAACCTCCGTGTCCAGATTGCTGCGACCAAATGAAAGCAAATCTACCGTGTGTATGTGGTTATATGAAAGATCCAAGCTATAGTATGGATATTATTTTTATAAAAGCTCATATTGTCTTAGACGCTTGTAAACTTCCGTGTCCCTAGTTCTTGAAACTCTTATCAAGAAATTTCTAAGAAAAAAAAAATGTTATTAATAATAATAAAAAATCAAAATTAAGTTTTATGTAACAATGTGCCAATGATGACGATAATTGGGATTTTATGTTTATCATGTTATGGTTGATGATAGCTGGACAAACACTCGTTAAGCTTTTAGAATGAAGTTGAGTCAAACATTTTAAAAAGCCAATTTGAGATAAACCATTGGAAAGCATCAATGATATATCTTCTACCATAGTAAGAGTAAGATTATGGATGAGGATAAAACTTGTGGGTATCAACCAGAGAGAAGGTAAAGATTGGCAGAGATGATTTATTTGTTTGATAAGTTCTCATTTTGATTTTATTGGGAGAAATTTATGGCGATTTCTTTCTCCTGGGACACCAAACTGAGGCCAAAGACAATCAAGTAGCCCCAAAAAACGGCGAGAATCAGTGTACGTAGTCAATTCCTAAACTCTTGCTTTCTCTACATGTTTTCTTTCGTCTCTAGCGGTCCCGGGTCACACACGGGCTCAGGCATTTTTCACACTTTATAATATTAAATTAATACCAATTAGTCGTCTGGGTGATGTAGTTGGTTATCACACTAGTCTTTGACATTAGAAGTCTCCAGTTTGGACTCGGACTCAAACATATTATTTATCATGTTGGTACTTTTTTATGAGCCCATTTGATAGTATCACGTGTGCAACAACTACTGGATGATATGATTTCATGTTCTTATGCATGCTTTCCAAATGTAGCATTAACCAAATGCTTGATTTTTTACATAATTTCACACTTAAGCATTCACTACGTGTTTAAGTACTATTGGATAATCTGATTTTTATATTATCTTGCATGATGGCCAAAAGTAACCACCATGCATGAACTTTTCTTATTAAGATAAAATTGCACACTTGGATATTCGTCACATGTCTCAGCACTATTAGATAATGTGATTTCTATGTTCTCATGCATTATGGCCAACTGTAGCCACCGGCCAAATACATATTTTTTCTTAATTGCTAAGACATAACTGCATACTTAGACATTTACCATGTGTATGAACACTATTGGTTCATGTGATTCACATATTCTCATACATGATGGCCAACTATAGCCACCAAGCCAAATGCATTAACTTTTTTACCAAGACATAGTTGCATATTTAGACATATTCGACGCATGTCTAAGCACTATTGGACCATGTAATTTTCATGATGTCATGGTGACCAACTATAGCCAGAGCCACCAACCAAGTGCATGAATTTTTCTTACTAAGACATATTTGTATACTTAGACATTCACCACGAGTCTAAACACTATTGGAACATGTGATTTTCATGTTTATCTTGTATAAACTTTCTTATCAAAACATAATCTATCAGAAGTTATTGTTACAAAATTTTACACTTGTATAAATAGAAGATGTTATCATCCTAAAAACCTCAAACCAAAATCTCAAATATACTCTACGAAAAATAGAAAAAAAAAAATTGAAAACGAAGCAAAGTCACCAAGATTCAAGACATGAAACTCACGACTTTGTTACTCATCACATTTGTGATAATCGCCATCTCGTCTTCTGTTCTGATCAGACCAACTGTTGCTGACGGTCCCGAAGAAGTGCCCATGGACTTCCTGCAATGTTTGCCGACAGCAATTCTAGGATCTGCCCCGAGTAGTTGTTGTTGCGACCAACTGAAAAAACAACAATCAAAGCTATGTAGTTATATTAAAGATCCATTATCTAGTATGTATGTTAAATCATTAACAACTCATCAAGTCTTAGACGTTTGTAAAATTCCAGTTCCTAGTTGTTAAAGGTTTTAAGCTCTCAAGATATTTTTTTGAAAACATTATTAATAAGAACAAATTTCATGCTGTGTGAATTTGACTTCACCGTTTTCATGTTAGGGTTTCTGTCCTCTTTGTGAAATAAATGGGCTAGTGGACCGGTCTATAGACTGATCCGCAAGACAAGACAACAATTAGAAAACAAAGACGGAACCGCACACAAAATGCCAGATCCTAATTTACACTATTAACTTATTATGTTATATTTTTTAACCACCACCGCCTCATTCAAAATGGTTATATATATATCGATATCTCCACTATGCTATATGTTGTAATCTTTTGTTTACTCGTCTTCTTTTTTGCTGTGTTAAAGACATCTAACACCCAATATGCTTCCGAGGGTCCGAAGAAAAAGAATAGGGAGTGTGGAAGATGTGTCATGGGCTCATGGCCATGTGTTTTTCATGTTCTCATGAATGATGGCCAAATGTAATAACCAGCCCAAAATCATGAACTTTTAAAACCAAAAAAAAATCGTGAACTTTTATTATTAAGACATAATTGCACATTTAGACATTTACCATGTGTCTAGAACATGAACATTATTGGATCATATGATTTTCATGTTCTCATGTATAATGGCCAAATGTAGTCACCAGTCAAATGCATGAACTTTTCTTATCAAGACATGACCAATCAGAAGTAACCGTTACAACCATGTAAAATATCACACTTGTATACATGAAACTTACAATCCTAACAACCTCAAAACAAAAATTGAAAGCAAAAAAAAATTTGCCCAGATTTCAAGACATGAAATTCACGACATTGTTGCTCATTACATTTGTGATTATAGCCATCTCCTCTCCTGTTCCAATCTGAGCAACCGTGGCTGACGGTTCCGAACAATTGCCGACGAAACTCTTGCAATGTTTACCGGTAGTATATCTACGAGAAGACCCGAGTAAAGATTGCTGCGACCAACTAAAAGATCAACAACCGTGTTTATGCGGATATATTAAAAATCCAAGATTTAGTAGGTATGTTACTTCTCTAAAAACTCATAAAGTGTTAGACGCTTGTAAAGTTCCGGTTCCTAGTTGTTGAAGGCTTGAAGCTCTCAAGATATTTCTAAGAAACAATTATTAATAATAAAAAAAAAATTCAAAACTAACTCTTATGTAATAAAGAGTCAATGATGACGATAATTGGGAGATTATGTTTATTATGCTATGGTTGAAGCTTATAAAGTGAAGTGTTTGTGTTTTATCTCCAAATTTATTTAACCCAAAAAATGGAAAAGAGAAGTATGAGTGTGAGAAAAATCAAACACGTAGATATTCAAAAAGTACAAGACTGTAAATGAAACAAGCAGCAAAGAGGGAAGGCGTGGGACTAAACTCCACTTACAAGATCCTCGAAGACAAAGCGGAGAGAAAGAAGAGATGATGCAAGATCAAAGCGCATACCATAGATCTGCTGGGTTTCAAAACATGGTTCACGACATTGCTTTTGTTGTGAGTCTTAAATTCTTTATATTGTCCCATATTCCGAGTATAGAAACTACAGCTGGAGGTTTGGGAGAAGTGGCACAACAGTGTGTTTCGGCAGAGCTCAGACCATGCTTACTAGAACTGACCTCAGAAGAACAACCAACTTGAGATTGTTGCAAGAAAACTTAATGAACAGAAGACGTGTTTGTGTGGTTACATAAAAATTCCAGCGTGTAGTATGTAAGTTGGCGCTCAAAACACACTTAAAGTCCTTGCTGGTAGTAATGTTCCTTATCCTAGTTGTGGAAGCTCAAAAAGTTATTACAAATATCAAAACTACATCATTGTGTAACATTGAGTCGATGATACATGATTATGATGGTTCGACAAACACTCGTTAAGCTTTCAAATGAAAGATCAACCGAACATTCCTAAATCCAATATGAGACATACCATTGGAAAGCCTCAGTGATATATCTTCTATCATATTAAGAGTAAGATCATAGATGAGGAGAAAACTCGTGGGTAAAGAAAATTAATAACCAGAGAAATGGTGACAATTTGCAGAGATGATGTTTGTGTTTGATTTGTATAAATTTTCTCGTACTTTTTTATAAACCCATTTTATATTACGTTATCACAAAAGTTTTATATACGATAAGGGATGTATCACTTGTGCCCTTGTGGTTATAGTTTCACACTGACACACTCGACATATGTGTGAGCACTACAGGGTCATGTGATCTTCACGATCTATTGCATGATGGCCACATATATATAAGCAACAGCCTAATGCATGAGTGTTTCTTATCAAGACATGACCAATCAGAAGTAACAGTTACAACCATGTAAAATCTAACACTTGTATATATAACAACAGTTTACCATCATAAAATTCTCAAACCAAAATCTTAAATATACTTTTTTTTTTAAAAGAAGAAAAAATCTAAGAAAAGCCGCTAAAGTTTCAAACAAGCCATGAAGCTCATGAGCTTGATCCTAATTACCTTTGTGATTATAGCTATATCCTCTCCTGTTCTGATCAGAGCAGCCGCGCCTGCGCCTGCGCCGGCTACTGGAGAAGTGCCAGTGCCACCACAGTGTTTTCCCATGGATCTCTTACCATGCTTACCGGCAATAACTGTGGGAGAAGTTCCGAGTACATATTGTTGCAACAATATGAAAGAACAGCAATCATGTCTATGTGGTTATATTAAAAATCCAAGCTATAGTATGTTTATTATTTCTATAAGAACTCGTATAGTCCTCGACTCTTGTAAAATTCCTTGTTAAGCTCTTCTCAAGATATTTCTAAGAAAAAAAAATATCAAAACAAAATCTTATGTAATAAGGAGTCGATTATGAATTATGATCGGGGGTTTATGTTTATCATTTTATGGTTGAACCTTATAACGTGAATTGTTTGGTTTGTATATCTCAGAATAAACAAAATTTAACAAAACAGTTGAAACAAAAAGAAGTGTCAATGTAATTAAGAAAAAGCATAAACGAACGAGCGATAACAAAAGAACTTATGATTTCGGATTTAAAGTCACACCAATTAAGAGAATTAAGAAAGAATACTTTAGAGAACTTGGTTAGTCAAATTGTGACTTTACATATCAAAATCTATTGATTTAAGTATTGTTCAATCCTACAAATTGCTTATGTTTTTTTATTTCAAAGTGAATTTTAGTGGATTTGAAAGAATTTCCATGGTAAAAATGCAAAAACTTAATTCCGAAGAAATATATTGATTTACAAATACTAATTAAAATCCACATGTTAGATATATAAATCAATGAATTTCACAAGGTTTTGTAAAGAAAATTATATATCTATCACATTGAGTTTTGCATGAGTTTAAATTCTATATCAATAAAATTAAATAAAAATATGTTTTAGTTAATACAAAATTATTAAACATTAGAAACAACAAAAATCTAATGTTTGAAAAACTGACTTATATTATAATAATTTTTGAAAAATTATGTATAATAATTATTAATATTAACAGTTTCATTATAAATTGTTACTATTATACATGATATAATTATGTTGAAAACAAAAAAAATACATGATATAATTAGAAATGAATATAGTTAGTCAATAAAATTGAATTTATTTAAGATATAATTTGATATGTTTAACAAAATATATATTAGAAATACTCTAATTAAGTAGAGGGAAAATTCGAAGATGAGATTTTTAAATTAAACTGTATATACACGTATGAGATTTTTTTTGAAGATGAGATTTTTAAATATTAATATTTTATTAATGATAACTCTAATTATGATGTTAAAACAAAATGTGAGTACTGCTGGACATGCATGGCCTTTACTTCAGTCATGCATGACGGCCAAATATAAGCACAAGCCACATGCACGAGCGTTTCTTATCAAGACATGACCAATCAAAATCAACTGTTACGACTATATGTAAATCTCACACTTATATAAGCGTTGCCATCATAAAAACCCCAAACCCAATATCTTCAATATACTTTTAAGAACAAAAAGTCTTTGAAACCCAAGAAAAATATCTAAAGTTTCAAGACATGAAGTTTGCGACATTTATACTCATCGCATTGATAATAATCTCCACCTCGTCTCCTGATTTTGCCAGAGCAACTACTCTAGGGGGTTTCGGAGAAGTAGCACAAGTATGTGATCCGACGAAGCTCTTGCCGTGCTTACGGGCAATACAGAAGGGAGAAGCTCCGTCTAAAGATTGCTGCACCGGACTGGCCATGGTAGCACAGGAACCTGATCCTGATCATAGTGTTCCTTCTCCAAACGCTCGTAATGATTGTACTAAGCCTACTCCTGGTGGTTGTAATTGAAGCTCTTATTTAGATATTTCTAAGAAAAAAATATTACTAATACAAACATGAATTGATGGAGTGTTGATTCGGATTGGGGTTTATGTTTATCATGTTGTTGTTGAAGCATATAAGTTGATGGAGTGTTTGTGTTTTATCTCAAACTTAATTTAACCCAAATAACTGGAGAAGAGAAGCCGGCAGTAGAGGTACAAAGCAAACTCGAAATGTTATTACAAATATTAAAACTACATCATTATGTAACATTGAGTCGATGATTCATGATGTTGATGGTTGGTCGAACACTCGTTACGCTTTCAAAAGGAAGATCAACCAAACATTATTGATAAAAAAAAATATCATAAAAAAATCTTATGTAACAAAGAGTCGATTATGAATTATGATCAGGGGTTGATGTTTCTCATTTTATGGTTGAACCTTATAAAGTTATAATGTGAATTGTTTTGTGTGTATATTTCGGAATAAGATATACGTACACATACAAAACAAAAATTATGTTTAACAAAACAAAAGAAAAAAATAAATTTAACAAAATAATTGAAAAAAAAAGTGTCAATTTAAGAAAAGGCATATACGTACGAGCGATAACAAATGAACGTTATGTTTTTCGGATTTAAAGTCATATCAACTAAGAAAATTAAGAACAAGTACTTTAGAGAACTTGATTAGTCGTGAGTTTACATATCAAAATCTATTGATTTAAGTATTGTTCAATCCTACAAATTGCTTATGTATTTGAATTTTAGTGGATTTTAGTGGTTTTGAAAGATTTTTCATGCTAAAAATACAAAGATTTAAATCCGAAGAAATATATAGATTTACATTCCAAATTAAAATACACATGTTAGATATACAAATAAATATATTTCACAAGGATTTGTAAATAACATAATATTAAAGTATTATTTAATTAATAAAATAATAATAAACATTAGGAACAAAAAAAACTAAGTTTTGAAAAAATTGAAAGTTATATTTTAATTTTTTTTTGGAACAAAGCTTACTGTAATATTTTGTTAAAATAACGTATAATAATTATTAATATTAATAAATTTGTTACTATTATACATTATATAAATAGAAATGAATATATTTAGTTAAAAAAATTTAAAATATTTAAGATATAATTTTTATATGTTTAACGAAATATATTTCAGAAATCCTTAAATTAAAGGGAAGAGTTGAAGCTGCGGGTTTTTAATTTAACTATATAAATATATTACTCATTCTGTTTATTTTTAATGAATTTTCTAGCTAATTTTGTTGTTTCATGAAGATAAATATTTTTCATTTTTTATACATTTTTTCATTTTTTAAGAAATATTTATTATGCTTTTTAAATTTTTGTTGGTTTAAATTTATAGAAAACATTTTAATTGCAAAAATCTATGCAATTATAATTAAAAAGTAACTTTTAATTAAGATATGTGAAAATTTCGGAAAATTTATTAAAAAGAAACGAGAAGAGAGTAATATTTTATGAATGATAAATGTAGTTGGATTCCTCGTAGTATATATTGTACACGTATGTGAGTACTACTGGATCATGGCCTTTACTTTCTCATACAGTCATGCATGATGGCCAAATGTAAGCACAAGCCAAAATGCAAAAGCGTTTCTTATCGAGACATGACTAATCAGAATCAGCCGTTACGACTATATGTAAAATCTCACACTTATATATACATATAAGCTTTGCCATCATAAAAACCTCAATCCCAGTATCTTCAATATACTTTCAGAACAAAAAAAATTTGAAAGCCAAGAAAAATATCTAAAGTTTCAAGACATGAAGTTCGCGACATTTATGCTCATCACATTTGTAATAATCTCCACCTTGTCTCCTGATTTGGCCAGCGCAACTGCTCCAGGGGGTTTCGGAGAAGTGGCACAAGTATGTGATCCGTCGAAGCTCTTATCGTGCTACCCGGCAATAGCGACGGGAGTAGCCCCGACTACAGATTGCTGCACCGGACTGGTAGCACAGGAACCGTGTCTGTGTACTTATATTAAAGATCCAAAATTTCAGGAATATGTTTCTTCTCCAAACGCTCGTAAAACCATGGAGGCTTGTAAGGTTCCTTATCCTACTTGTACTTAAAGCTCTTATTTAGGTATTTGTAAGAAAAAAATATGAAAAATAAAAACATAAATTAAAAATGAACCTTATGGAACAATGAGTCAATGATGTTTCTGATTGGGGTTTATGTTGATCATGTTGTTGTTGAAGCATATAAATTGATGGAGTGTTTGTGTTTTATCTCAAAATTAATTTAACCCAAATAACTGGAGAAGAGAAGCCGGCAGTAGAGGTAAAAACCAAACTCGAGCGAACAACGAAACTTGTGTTTTCATATCAAAAGTCACACCAAATAAGAAATTTTAGAGATCTAATTTTAGATAACTTGGTAAGTCATGACTTTACATGAGTAAATCTATTGGCGAGTAATCAATAGAGACTAAGAAAATCGATATCCAGTTTTGTTTTTTTTTTCGTGAAAATACGTATAATACATTTTAAGATCAGATATTCCTACCTAAATGGACAACTTTCTACCATAGCCTTTTGCTGATCAATGTGAATTAACCACGTGAAGAAATATATATATATCTTAAAAAAAAAATCAATTTTGACGGAAACGCAGACAAAATGGCGGGTCTTTAACATTATTGTTTAATGGTTGTGAAGATTAAAAGTATCTTATGGTCAAGATGTCCAGAAAATCCTTTGAATGGTCCGAGATCAGGGGCTATACATGTTTTTTTTTTTATATCTGCAAGACACTATTTTTTTGGGCAGAGATCTAAATCAAAGGGTACAAAATTTACATTAAATAATACATGTATGCTATTTCAAATTTAGAACAAGAACATTCTCTTTTCTCTCTTATTACTCTCTCTCTATTGTTTCTCTTGCTCACTATGTTTGGGATGATCTTGAATGAAAAGGAGATGCCTCCTTATATATATAGCCACAATGCTTCTGTAATTTCCATTAACTTGTTGGAAATTTTCCTTTTCTTGTTGTTCTTTTTCTTCATGTAGGAACGAACGGTCATATGCAAAGAGCCAATATCACATTTGACTAATATTGGACTGGACCAGAACTGAGCCCATATATTCACAGAAGTATATAAGAACTTCTTTACTATAAGTGAATTCGTCTAACTAAGTAGACTGAAATTTTAGTAACTTTAGCTTTTTAGGTCGACATTGCTTACGCAAGCAATGAGTTGCCTCCCCCAAACTGCACGTGTTATTAGCTTTAGGCTATGGTTGACTCACATTATTATTAGATGTGGACTGATATTTGTTCATCAACAAAATTTCTGATATTTTGTTTTGAAAATATGTAAATGTTGCAAACTTTTTTTTCTTTAAACGGCTAATCTTATCAGTAATTCATTGTGGAAATCTTATCAGTAATTCATTGTTGCTATCAACCTTGTTTTTTACAGAGCCAGCAGTGTTTATATTTCTTTATGTAATTACTGAAAGTGGGCCAGAGTAATTAAATACATAGGGACACTCAAAATATTTAGATTTGATCTGAGGAAGTTGTTTACCAGACCCGACGTATGTGATTTATGTTCATTTCCCTTTTTAACACATCATTTCGAAAACTAACCAAAACAAAATATATTTATTACCTAACTTAATCGAAAAACGTAAATATTTATTTCCTTATTTCAAAAGTTGGATTGGATATTTGGATATATATCCATTCATTCCAAGCTAGTCAGCAAGTTTTCAATTCCCTGTTTCCTTCTGTATTCATTCAACGTTCCAACTAAAAAAAAGATATACAAAAACAATAAAAACCGTAAAAACAATATTCATTTTATATTTTTAAAAAAATAATATGAAAGTAATCCAAGTCGGTTTCAGCCTCCTCTTTACTATAAATTCGCGTTTTTGTTTTCCTCTCTTTTCTCTCTCACAATTAACTCTTTTTCCGTTTCTTCTCACGTCACATCGGATCTACACAGAAACTATTTTCTCCTGATTTTCTCTCAAATTTTTGTTTTTTTTTCTCTGGGAAAAATGGAGAATCTCTCTCAAATCCTCCCTCGTGTCCTCGTCGTCTCTAGACGCACCGTTCGTAAAAACAAATTCGTCGATTTCGTTGGTTCGTCTCTAACCTTCCTCTGCATGGTTCTAATTTTGTGATTTAAATATCGAAACTTTTGAATGTTTGTTCTCATGGGTCCTCTCTATATTCCTCCGTAAATATTTCATGATCCTAAAAATTTGTTTTTTTTTTTATAAATGTTTTTCAGGTGAATACCATCTTGATTTGATAGTTCGTTATGGATGTGTACCTGTGATTGTTCCAAGAGTCACTGGTGTTCACATGTTGCTTGAGAGCTTCAAACCAATCCATGGAGTCCTTCTTTGTGAAGGAGAAGACATTGATCCTTCTCTTTACGAATCTGAAATATCATCTCTTTCTCCAGAAGAGCTTCAAGAGATTAGAGAAACACATGCGAGTGACACAGCCATTGACAAAGAGAAAGACTCCATTGAGTTAGGTCTTGCCAAGCTCTGTTTAGAACAGAACATTCCTTACTTAGGAATCTGTAGAGGATCACAAGTAACTAAAAATATCTCTCTCTTTTGAAAAGTTTAGGTCTTTTGTAGCTTTCTCTTCAAAATGTTAATGGTGTGATTAACTTTTTCTTGGACAGATTCTGAATGTTGCTTGTGGTGGGACACTTTATCTTGATTTAGAGAAAGAGCTAACGAACAAGTTACCTGAAGAGCGTAGAGCGAAACATATCGATTACGATGATTATGATGGACATAGACATGTTGTGACGATTGTTGAGAACAGTCCACTTCATTCTTGGTTTAAAGATTCGTTGGATGGTGATAACATGGAGATTTTGGTTAACAGTTATCATCACCAAGGTGTTAAGAGATTGGCACAGAGGTTTGTGCCAATGGCGTTTGCTTCTGATGGGTTAAAGGAAGGCTTTTACGATCCTGATGCGTATAACCCTGAGGAAGGGAAGTTTATAATGGGTTTGCAGTTTCATCCAGAGAGAATGAGACAGGAAGATCTTGATGAGTTTGATTATCCTGGTTGTCCTGCTGCATATCAGGTTTGTGTTATGATCTTGAATGTTAACTAGTTGTGAAGTGAGTGTTCTAAATGGTGTTTTTGTGATTTTTGGTTTTAGGAATTTGCAAAGGCGGTGATTGCGTATCAGAAGAAGCTGAATAGCTCAATGTCTGTTCCAAAGACATTGAAGCTTGATAGAGAGATGGAGGACAAAAGAAAGATCATCGTTCGAAGTTTTTCACTTGCGAGGAACATGTATGCTAGAGGAGCTCCTGGCAAGAATCCATCAAAAGAGTCAGAGCTAGAAGTTGGAGCCGAGTTTCTCGAGGTAAAGAACACTAAATCTATAAATCTTGATTACATACTATTGCAAGAGGCCAAAATGGTTTTAAGACTTGATCCTTTGGCCTTTTGGTGTCCTTAAGAGTTACATAGTAAAAGGGAGTCCTTGAAATACAGCTATGTACACATATGTCTATGGTTGGTTGTTCTTTGAGTCTTGACAAATGTTTTTATCAATAGTGTGGATTATTGTCTCATTTTGCTGAGTTGGTTATTTATTTTGTGTATGATGTGGTTTGGTGCAGTCAAACACGGCGCTAAGCGCGGAGCAAGAGACAAGGCTGAAGGAGATGGGAGCGACGGTGAGGAACGGAGGATCATATATGAAGAAGTTGAAAGTAGACGAAGAGAAGCAGAGGATGGCGAGGAACATGATGAACAAGATGAACGTAGAGCAACTCTCGGAGCTTATGGCATTTTATCATTTGATGGGAAATATCTGTGGAGACGTTTTGGAGAAAAAGCTTCAAGGCAATGTGAATGAATGCTTGAAGGATCTGTGAGAGATCACATGAAACCGCAAGAGGATGCTTTAAGAAAGAAAAGCGACTTTGTGAATTTGCTTTAATTTAATTTTTGGTCAAAAGATGGAAACAAAAGGTAACGTATGTTTGTGTGATCAACTCAATGGTACATTGGTACCTAACAGTCATAGGTTACATGATGACTTGCCAACAAAATTTGATTTAGTAACTTTATTTTCATGATTTAATTAAGTAAATGCAAATAATGATTATTTTATTTTTTTGTAAAACTACAACATTTATTTTGAATTACGGGATTAAGGATACTTTATGAAATTGGTTTACCTATTTTATGATATGATATGAGTTATTTCTTATGCGTTTGTATCTGTTTCACGAGATAGTTTATAGTTATACCCTTTTCCAGGTAAACTTTAACACAGATTGACGTAAAAATTATAATCTATGAAATTAACAATGTTCATGGAAAGTCTATGCACTTAAAGCAGGCGGCAATCTTTGCACTAAAACCGAGGTGGGCGTCGCTAGTGATACCGTAATCCTTTGCACTAAAAAGCCAGTCGATTGTTTGTAGTTAATTATTTGTTCCCCATCTTTTTCATTATTTGCATTCAGTTTTTAAAAACTGTTTACATTAGCTTTTAAAAACTGTATGACTACCATCATGGCTGTAACAAAAAAAAAAAAAAAAAAAAAAAAAAAAAAAGAAAAGAACCGGCAATCTAATGTCTAGAACGCCTTGTTAGACCTCCAAATTAATATAATACATCGTGAAATTAGTGAAATAGCAAGATATATAAAGTTGACCCCAGAAAGACAAAGTTCATGAATGACTAAAGTTGACCCCAAAAATAGAAGTAAACTTAAACAATGAAATGATTGTCCATTCTCCTCCCTTTTGAAAATCACTAGTCACTACTTACTTTCCCGAAACATGTACTTCTCTTTATATACTGTGCCATGAGACAATAATTTTGTACATATTTTTGTGATCTCATTTTTTCTTTATGACTAGAAGGAAAATTGTGATGCGTCTTCTCTACATTTAAACACAGCCATGTGGAGATTTTTGTTTCGAAATGGATAAACAAATTCAAGATAGTCGTCTGGTCTACTTTTTCTTCAAGATCTTCGTCGAATCTTTTTTTTTTTGTTCAAGATCGTCGTTTGGTCAATTATATGTTTATATCTAAATAAAGCTCATTTGAGCATGAATATACTCTCGCTTTAAGCTTGCTAACATGGTATCAAAGACAACCAAAGTGGATTCATGCTCAATAAAAGCGTATTGAGGTAGAAAATAGATAGCTCACTAAATTATCTCATGGATGAGCTCTATTGTGCAGTGTAAAAGAGAGGAAAAGGAAGATGCGTTTGTCACAAACGCTTTGATTATTTTACAAAGACAAAGAGAGAGAGACTGCTATTTTGAGCAGCCAACGTTGCCTTTGGCAGGAATATTTCACATGTTTGTGATCAAGAATAAATCTTGCAAGAAACCCTTAAACACATGGGCTAAACAATAATTTGGGCTTTTACTGGACTTAACGTTTAATAGAGCTTAGCATTATATCAGTTGCCAATTTGTTAACCCAAATAGGATTTGCGTAACTACGGTTTATTGTCGGTTCTAAAATGGTACAGTATTTGGCAGGAGACAGGTTCAAGAGCTATCAATTTGAAGTCCGTCCGTCCCCATCGCAAGCACCTAAAAAGTCATTATCACATTCTGGCATAGGTTTTTACTTAAAATACCATGGATATTTATAAATCTTTGTAGTGTTTTTCTCTGGCATTACTTACAAGTAGTTTTTCTTATACGTTAACAAGTTTCTCCACAGTGAAAGGCGTTTTAGATTTTTGGATGAATGACAAAACAAAAATGAAGAAAAGTCTAACAAAGTCAACTAACAAAGACGTGTAATTCAATTATCCAAGTCTAATGTAACCTGTCCTTTTCAATCTTGACTTGGTCTTTAGACAATTCCCACTTGCGCTTATTGTCTCCACTTGAGTTTTTCTTTTCCCAAGTTTATTTTTGTTTAATCATTTTAATCTACTCTCTTCAACACAAACCAACCCCCAAAAAAAGAGAAAACTTTATTCAGATAGCAATCATGTTCTCTGCAGTACTCTTCTCAAAACCCAAATCTTGTCTCGTCTTTCTCTTTTTCTTTTCCTCTTTCCACCATCTTCCTTGTGCTCTAAGTCAAAAAGAAATTAGGGTATGTGAATCTCTGTTTCACTGTGGGAACATCACTGTTGGTTTCCCTTTCTGGGGAGAGGCTCGACCAGAACCTTGTGGTCATCCATCTTTGGGGCTTCGCTGCAACCCAACATCAAAGTTGACTTTTCTAATCATCTCAGGTCTGATGTACCGTGTCCTCCAAGTGAATTCCACAGCGAGTACTCTTAAACTAGCCAGGCAAGACTTTTTAGGTGAGTTCTGCAATGCTTCATTCAGTGGCGCAACGTTGACTCCTGAACTATTTGAGCTCTTGCCAGACTACAAAACCCTCTATGGGTACTATCTCTGCGACTATGCTTTTCACAATTCCACGAGCTTCACGTGTCCAAAGACTGCTCTTGCCTTCGTGCGTGAGAACGATGAATATCATGAAAACTGTGGTGGGAGTTTCAACATCACTGTTCCCACGAGTTATGCTCTAGAGGAGAAAGCTTTGATCATAGCCCATTTGGAAAGTGTACTAAAAGAAGGATTCGAGGTGAAGCTGAAGATTGATGAGAGACCATGTCGAGAGTGTAATTCCTCTGGTAGAATATGCGCCTACGAAGCTGCTACTCCGGTTTGCTGCAATACAAACTCGTCCTCAGAACACAAATGCACTCACATGATTCCATCTCGATCTAGTGGTATGTTTCTCAACTACTATCAGCAAACTTCTTATGCATAACCTCTTAGTTTTATCCTTTCAAAATTTTACTACAATATGCCAACAGACTAAAACAGAGTACGAAGGATTGCCAATAAGTCTCGACAAGACTTGTCGAATTGCATCTTCTAAAGTCACATAATGAAACTATAACCACCTAAGTTTGCGCAACCGGTAAATCTCCAGGCATACAAGAACCGCAGCTCATACATGTTTGGAGTTATATAATCGCTCTAAGCCTTTAACCAAGTCACAAACATCTTTATCTTTCAATCTTCCTCAGTCGGTTTTAAGACATACCTTACTTTCTAGTGAGCTCAAGAGAAAAGGTAGAAACATGAGTGGTCGAAAAGTCTTTGAACTGTCTCCAGCAACTAGGCATACACAATTTCCATCAAGTCGTTTTCACAGTACCGTGACTCTGTCTCCTTCCTTTATCACAATCCCTTCTTCTTATTCTTCATCATCAACATCCATCAGTTTTCATGATAGATACTTAAGAGTCTTTATCTTGTTCCACTCTTCAATCTCTGAAATTGTCTGAAACTGACAAAGAAAGAAGATAGTAAAGGAAGGGCATATAACGGTCAAGTCTTTCTTCTTTTGATCATCTTTAAAGATTTTCTTCATAAGTCTATGTTTAGCACCATTTCCACTGTACCTGACTTTACCAAGTAAAGTTCTTGCACCGGCACTTGCTTAATTGCTTTTATTAGGTCGTCCTACAAAAACAAAAGAAAAATCATATTAAAAAGATTTTTGATCTTTTAATAACAACCGAGAAAAATAAAGTATTTCAAATAATTTAATATCCCCATCGTCTTACCAGTCAATTCGAAGACTTTGTCTTCCTAACCCACCTAATTCCAAAAGAAATTTCCAGATATAAACAATATACAAAAAGAAACCTTAACTTTTCTTTTCCTACTTTCAAGTTTTTCAACTCATACCAAAACAAAGACTTTGACCAAAAAACCATTTACCAATTCCGCATCTGTCTTTTTACTTCCTCTTCATCTTTCTTCATCTTCTTGTTCATCTCCAAGGCCAAAGAAAAATAGAGGACAGCACACCATGATCAATCTTTCTCTGTCTCTGACAAAATCTTGGTCCAATGCAATCATTTGGGTGCTCTTTGTGATCCCCTCTTGTGTTTGTTCAGCTGATGATCCAGTTGATGAGCGTCACATACTCTGCGCTCGTTGGTTTAGCTGCGGCAATCAGAAAGAACTCTCTTATCCCTTTTGGACACCTGACAGAGAAGAGTGCGGTCACCCGGATTTCAAGGTCAACTGCGGCGGAGATTCCGCAGAGTTTAACATTTCCTCTGTTAAGTTCCAAATCCTTCAGGTGAACTATTACTCTAGTATCATAAAACTCGCCAGAAAGGATTATCTCAAAAATCTTTGTTCCAAATACCCTGAGAGGGCAAGAATCATCCAAGATATCCTTCCAATTCATGGAGACACCACCGAGCTGGTAACGTTTTATTACGACTGCCCTGATCCAATGGAAAATGCTCCTCCCAATGATTACATCAGACAGCTCAACTGTGAGGATGGAAATGGTACGCAAAGTTACTATGCCCCGCTTCCTTCAAATCCAAGGGAGAGAGCCGTCTTGAGAAAGTTTAATGCTGAGTGCAAAACAAAGTTCAACATTCCAGTATCTCGATCTGCCTTGAGGATAGCAGAGAGAAATCAGAGTCTGGAGGCTATGAAGGAGGCTCTTGATGAGGGTTTCGAGCTTAGCTTTAACAATGAGTGTTCCAAATGCGTAAAGTCAATGGGGGCTTGTGGATATAATCAGAGATCAAACAGATTCGTCTGCTATTGTAGAGATAAGCCTCACAAGCATACTTGCCATTCTGGTAATCTCATGTTGTATCTTAATCTGATTTGCTAATATTCTTCCATAAGAACCAAATCTTTTCCTTTCCTCTTCAAGCTTTGTTTTATCTACGCTTCTAAAATCTGTCTTGAGTTTGGACTGACATTTCTCTCATGGTTTTTTCTAGATGCAGGTCTCTCAAAAAAGGCTAAAATTGGTAGGTTTCTATTCTTTTCCTCTCAAGAAAACTAAGCTCAGCGGAACATACCTCAGAAACAGCATAATCTTACAAAGCTCTTACCTCTTTGTTCGTCTTTAGGCATTGGATTCGCTTGCGGATTCGTGGGTGCCACTCTCTTAGTAGGAGGAGGTGTGTTCTGTTTCCTCAACTGGAGGAGAAAGAAACAAGCATCTCAATACACAAGCAAAGGCCTTTCATCATCATCAACAACGCCATACTCAAGCAAGAACACAATCTCAACCACAACAATCTCCGGCAGCAGTCACTCTCTCGTGACTTCAATGTCTAACCTCGCAAACGCAAGCGACTACTTCGGAGTCCAAGTCTTCAGCTACGAAGAACTCGAGGAAGCCACTGAGAATTTCTCAAGAGAGCTCGGAGACGGAGGCTTCGGCACTGTCTACTACGGCATACTAAAAGACGGACGAGCCGTAGCTGTGAAACGACTCTTCGAAAGGTCAATCAAACGCGTTGAGCAATTCAAGAACGAGATCGAGATCTTGAAGTCGTTGAAACACCCGAACCTGGTGATTCTTTACGGATGCACAACGAGACACAGCAGAGAGCTTCTCCTGGTGTACGAGTACATTTCCAACGGCACACTCGCTGATCATCTCCATGGAGATCAAGCACAATCTCGACCTATTTGCTGGCCAGGACGGCTCGGCATCGCCATTCAAACCGCGAGCGCATTGTCCTTTCTTCATGCCTCAGGTAAACACAAACACACAAAATGAGATTCCTGGAGAAAATCGAATGATTTTGTGATTGAAATGATTTGATTTTTAGGGATTATACACAGAGATGTGAAGACTACTAACATTCTACTAGATAGCAATAACCAAGTGAAAGTGGCGGATTTCGGACTCTCGCGGTTGTTTCCGACGGATCAAACGCATATCTCCACGGCGCCGCAAGGGACTCCGGGATATGTAGACCCAGAGTATTACCAATGTTACCGACTCAACGAGAAGAGCGACGTTTACAGCTTCGGAGTCGTCCTCTCCGAGCTGATCTCGTCGAAAGAAGCAGTCGATATCACCAGGCATCGCCACGATATCAACCTCGCGAACATGGCGATCTCGAAGATCCAGAACGACGCCGTTCACGAGCTCGTCGATCTGTCGCTCGGATTCGCGAGGGATCCGGCGGTGAAGAGGATGATGATGTCGGTCGCTGAATTGGCGTTCCGGTGTTTGCAGCAGGAGAGGGAAGTCCGGCCGTCGATGGACGAGGTCGTCGAGGTTTTGAGAGGGATTCAGAAGGAAGGGATACCTGATTCGCCGGATGTGGTTGAGATTGATGTGAGCGGTGGAGATGACGTTGGCTTGCTGACGCACGGCGTTCCTCCGCCGTTGTCGCCGGTGACTGAGAAAGGTACGTCGACGAGTAGTACGAATACGACGGCGAGTTCTTTTTGAGAGAGTGTAGAAGACAACGTAAAAGAAGGTTCGGTGTCAGTGTATAAAGTAAGTATAAAACCACTGTGCATTTTTCACCGTTTGACTTTTACTATTCCTGACGTCAACCTTTTTGACTCTTTTTTGTTTTTTGTTCTTATTTTTGTGGTTTTTTGTTTGCTTTTTTTTGCATAAATGGACCATTACTGTATTAAGATTATGATTATGTCGCACGCTTAATTAAGGTCGACCAATATTTGATTAGACACCCAAAATATCTACAGAAGAAAAAAGTCACAAACTTTCATAAAGAAATTTATCTTGTCTTTTTTGAGCCATCATTAGATTTGCTTTACTTGTAAACAGCATCAAATCCAAACCCTCCATATTTACGCCACGTGTAACCTATCTTCTTAAAAAATGATGCCTTTCTCTAGTCATTTCTCGTATCAATCTCTAAGACGAAGCAAAAAAATCATTCCAAAATCGAACCAAAATAAGAAACAGAGATCATCAATGGCGTCGCTGCAGAAATTCAAGCTTCTCGCGACTCGCTGCAGCACAGTCGCGGAGAGTCCAACTCGTAGCCCGGTGATCCACCTCCGCCGTCGTAAAACGCTGCGTATGTTACTCACCCGATCGACAGATTTTCCGGAGATCGATGTAACCGCAAAGTCCAGAGATAAGAAGATCCGATCACGGCGGAAGCTGAGAGAGCTCTTTGTCACTTCGCCGCCTCCGGTCGAAGAAAGAGAGCATTGCGGCGGCGCAAGGGAGGAGACGGTTGATAACGGCGTTAGTGATGTGGAAAGGTTAACGGTTCGTCGCCGTAACGGCTTTAACGGCTTAATGAGGCCAGTATCTGCTACATTTCGGTGTAGGTTAATTCAAAGAGTTTGGCGTCCTGTTCTTGTAACTATCCCTGAACAATAATAATAAACCTCCGAAATATACACAAATATTGACACTTTTTGTGATTACTTCGATTTCATAAAACTCGATCAATAGATAGTTTACACAATTCAAGTTTTTAGTTTTTCCTATATGATTTCTTGTGAAATAGAATTATAATTCTAGCTTAGGAATTTTTGGTAAAGGTATGGAGAACAATCTTGTATTCGTGGGCGAGGAAATGATATTATTATTAAAGAGAATACATTATTACGTAATACAAGAATCTAGATTAAAAAAAAAAAAAAAATCAGCATATCATACTTTGTTATTGTTGTATTGGTTCTTTAGTATTTTTGTCTTCACCGACCGAGATTGAATACACATTCGATGACATTCATTGCATTCTCCTTGGGAAGCAAAAGGTTTGCAATACGGACGACAAATCTCAATGCATTCCTTTGCTGATGCTGCTTCACCTTTGGTCACAATCACGACCGCTATGATCATTATCATGATCCACACTAAGCTCAAATTTTTACCCATCTTTTTGTATATGTTTTTTTTTCTTTCTTTTGTGTGTTTTGTATGTATATGAATGAGTGATTCATGTTGTGAACTTATGTATCTATTTATAAGTTTGAATAGAGACGACTATGTCATTTATCATTGATTATTTTTGGGCAAGAAATTTACATTTATAGCTGTTAATTAGGAGATCTTCACTTTCCTTCCAAGACGAGATGTTATCTCCGAGATCTCCTAATAATAGCAATACATTGTTGATTATAATCTCGTTATCTCCGAGATTAAATACATTGTTGATCATGATCTTGTTATGTCCGACATCATGCCTAGAAATTTATAATGGAAAATTTGTGAGATCCTTTTAATATTTTAATAGAAAAAGATTGGAGATATATAACTTCTTGTTATAGTATTCACTTCTTAAAAAATCCAAAGTCTTAATTTGCATTTTTATATTGTTAGTCATGAATATAAATAATGTGAAAATAATGGTAAAATATGACACTTGTCAAATAAATAAAAATGCAAATTACCTTTAGATATTTTAAGAAGTGAATACTATAACAATAAGTTATATCTCTAATGCTTTTCTATTAAAAGGTTAAAAGGATCTCACAAAATTTCAATTATAAATTTTATTTTAATGAAGGAATGGTTAGAAAATGTCTTAGTTTTAAAAACAAATCTTCAAAAAAATCCAAACAAAGAAAAAATAGATTATATTTTCATAGTTATAGAGAATTACAATAAAATAAAATATCAATAATGTATTGTTAAAATATGAAATACTTCCACTAGATATTATATCTTTAAATACTTCCACTAGACATTATCAACAATGTGTTCCTATAACATGTAAATTTCTTGCCCAAAAATAATCAATGGTAAATGACATAGTCATCTATATTCAAACTTATAAATAGATATGTAAGTTCACAACAAGAATCACTCATTCATATACATACAGAACATACAAAGAAAGAAAAAAACAACATATACAAAAAGATGGGTAAAATTTTGAGCTTCGTGTGGATAATGATAATGATCATCGCAGTTGTGACTGTGACCAGAGGTGAAGCAAAATCAGAAGTGGAATGCAGTGTGATTTGTCGTCCCCATTGCAAATCCTCATCATCCGCAGGAGAATGTTCTGAATGTCATCAAAAGTGTAGTCAATCTCCACCGACGGTGAAGACAAAGATACTAAAGAACCAATACAACAACAACAAAATATGATATGCATCTACTTAGTTAATCTATAGCAAACACATGATGATTGTATCAATGAAGACTTAATCTAGATTTCTTGTATTAAGTAATAATGTATTATCTCTTTAGTAATAAGATGAATTTTTTTATACTAACCCTCATTGTGATGCTCATATTGGTGAAAATCATTTATTTTCAAAGTACATTGACACAATTAATCATGGAAGATAATTTGGTTAAATCTATGTAGGTACATAGTCAAATATTTTTCAATACATGATAATAAATTGGAGAAATATAGAATCAATTAAGAACGTCTACATAAACGAAAAGATGTTGTTAGACCGGCCATAATCACTACATCTTCGAAAAATAATATAAAGTTAAAGACTATATAATTCATTTTATATTTATAGATGTTGTTTCTGTATCAAATTATTGTATTGTATATTCTCTCTTGATTATCTTTGCGAAACAATTCAGGCTAGGGAGTAGAGTGACAACTCGGATTGCATAACAATTCAGTGTTGACACACTTGCAACATGCAGATTCATTCAAAGTTTTTTTTCCGGTTCAATATATGTTTTTTTTTCCGACTCATAGGAAATAAATTTTATTCAGATTCAAATAGACACAAGTCAAACTGAAGAACATGAATAGGAATTTAACTTTATTTTGCATAATTCGGTTCCGTCAAACCATAGTACTATAATCCGTGAAAGTATTATGTGAAGAAGTGAGTGCCACTACTGTATTTGCTCCCTAAACTTAAATTTAACAAGTCACCACAGCAATTAAACGTTTGATACTTTGATTAATCTAATATTTAGGCCGACTAATGCGAAAAAAAATACTATAATAATAAAATGATTGAACAAAAAAAAAACAAAAGAATTGAAAGCTGCGTTTCATCACGGCCATTTAGAGAGAAGCTGCGATTGTCAACGAGACACTTCACGACTGTTGCTCTCATCACACACGTGCCGCTTGTTTACCTCACGCACCACCGTATTCGAAACGAAAAATCTCAATCTAACTCTTGTATTCTTGGGTTAAACAACATCTTTTTGTTTATATAGACGTTCTTGATTATCTTCCATGATTAATTGTATTTATGTATGTTAATTAAAATATTTTCACTGATATGAGCATGGGACTGAGGGTTAGTATAACAATTTCATCTTATTATTAAAGAGAATACATTGTTACTTAGTATATGAAAGTCTTCATCGTTACAATCATCATAGTTTTTGTAGATTAATTAAGAAGAATCAATGTATCATATTTTGTTGTTGTTGTATTGATTCTTTGGTATCTTTGTCTTCACCGACGGTGGAGCTTTGCTACACTTTTGATGACATTCAGAGCATTCTCCTGCGGATCCAAAAGCTTTGCAATGGGGACGACAAATCACACTGCATTCCACTTCTGATTTTGCTTCACATTTGGTCATAATCACAACTGCTATGATCATCATCATGATCCATACTAAGCTCATATTTTTACCCATCTTTTGTATATATATATTTTTTCTTTCTTTTGTATATTTTGTATGTATATGAATGAGTGGATCATGTTGTGAACTTAGGTCTCTATTTATAAGTTTGAATAGGGATTACTCTGTCATTTACAATTGATTACTTTTTGGGCAAGAAATTTACATGTTATTGCAATACATTGAAATAATAGAAATTTACATTGATAATACCTAGTGGAAAATTTATAATAGAAATTTATTGAAATAAAATTTATGATAGAAAATTTGTGAGATTTTTTTTAATATATTAATAGAAAAAGATTGGAGGTATAACTTCTTGTTATAGTATTCACTTCTAAAAAAATCCAAAGTTTTAATTTGCATTTTTATACTTAACAAGTGTCATAAATATAAATAATGTGAAAATAATGGTAAAATATGACACTTGTCAAATAAATAACAACTCAAATTACCTTTGAATTTTTTTAAGAAGTGAATACTACTCCTTCCGTTTCAAATTAGTTGTCGTTTTGGCAAAATGTATTTGCAAATATTTGGATGTATCTGGACGTGTTTTGCATTGTAGATACATCCAAATAATTGCATATACATTTTCCCAAAACGACAACTAATTTGAAACGGAGGGAGTATAACAATAAGTTATATCTCTAATTCTTTTCTATTAAAACATTAAAAGGATCTCATAAATTTTATTTCAATGAAGGAATTGTTAGAAATGTTTTATTTTTAAAAACAGAATCTACATAAATAATCCAAACAAAGGAAAAATAGATTATATTTTCATAGTTATGCAGAATAACAATAAAATACATTATCAACAATATATTGCTATAACATGTAAATTTCTTGCCCAAAAATAATGAATGGTAAATAACATAGTCATCTCTGTTAAAATTTATAAATAGATACGTAAGTTCACAATATGATCCACTCATTCATATACACACAAAACATACAAAAGAAAGAAAGAAAAAACAATATATATACAAAAAGATGGGTAAAAATTTGAGCTTAGTGTGGATCATGATAATGATCATAGCAGTTTTGATTGTGACCAAAGGTGAAGCAAAATCAGAAGTGCAATGCAGTGTGATTTGTCGTCCCCATTGCAAATCCTCATCATCCGCAGGAGAATGTACTGCATGTCATCAAAAGTGTAGCCAATCTCCACCGTCGGTGAAGACAAGGATACTAAAGAACCAATACAACAACAACAAAATATGATCTGCTGATCTACGTAGTTAATCTATATCAACCACATGCCATTGTATCGATGAATACTTAATCTAGATTTCTTGTATTAAGTAATAATGTATTATCTCTTTAATAATAAGATGAACTTTTTTAATACTAACCGTCATTGTGATTTGGTGAAAATCATTTCATTACAAAATACATTGACACAATAATGAATCATGAAAGATAAATTTGTTAAATCTATGTACGGACGTAGTCATGCATATATTTTTCAATACAAGACAATAATTGGAGGGATATACTATCACGAACATCTACATAAACGAAAAGATGTTGTTTAACCGGAATAATTACTACAAGTTCAAGCTAGGGTGACCGACCTCGAATTGCATAACAACTCACTGTCGACACATTTGCCACATACAGATTCATTCAAAGATTTTTTCCGGTTCTTTTTGTTATGATTTTTTTTCTTTTCGGAATTCAATAGATGTTTTGTTTTTTGATCCACTCATAGGAATAATGAAAAATTATTCATACTCAAATAGACACATTGTAAAGTCAAACTGAAAATAATTTTTTGAACTTATTTTGCATAATTCGGTTCGGTCAAACCATGGTACCATAATCCTTCATTTTAAATAACTAAATGTATCCATAAGTAATCATCCGTAAACGTATTATGTGAAGATGTGAGTGCCACTAACTGTCTTTGCTCCGTAAACTTGAATTTACATCTATCCACCACTTCCACAAGTCATCACAGCGCACGTACAATTTTACTCGTCCATTGGAATTTTTTATTAAAAGAAAAAGAGAAGGAGGTAGGTCATCTACATCATCTAACTAGTCTTATAATTTGGAAAACTATGAAAACATTGGCTTTATAATATGTTAAAATTTAAAAAATACATCTTTTAGGATATCCATTATTATCAAAAGATCATCAAATAAACGATTTACATGATTAGTATATAAATTGATACACTGGTTCCAAAAATTTATTTATTTTGTAGTCACACTATCATTAAAAATATTAGAATATATGGTTTGTTTCTTATATTTAATTCAGTCGAGATCTCATTTATGATCTATGTGTAAACTTTGTCCAAGCTTAAATTTTCGAATCGTTTAAGAGACAAAGATTTTTGACAAAAAAAAAAAAAAAAAAAAAAAAACCCTTAAAATCTTATTGTTATACATGTCTATAAATAATTTTTTTATATATACTGTTTCTAATTTCCAAAAAACTGTTTTGGCAGCCAGACAAAAGAGAAACACGAAAATAAACGTTTGATACTTCTTTGATTTTTTTGGTGAATTTTGATACTTCTTTGATTAATCTAATATTTAGGCCGACTAATGCGAAAGCTATAAAATAAAATGATTGAACAAAACAAAACAAAAGAATTGATAGCTGCGTGTCACAACGGCCATTTTAGACCATTTTAGAGAGAAGCTGCGATTGTCAACGAGACACTTCACGACTGTTGCTCTCATCCCACACGCGCCGCTTGTTCACCTCACGCGCCACCGTATTCGAAACGATAAATCTCAATCTAATTCTTCAATTTTCGGCTTTCCTTTTCCAACTCTGCCCCACTTCTCCTTTCCTCCTTCCCTCTTTATCTTCTTCCACTTCTCCTTTTTATCGTTGTGTCGTTTTCTCCTTTCTTTTCCTTAAGATCTCGGAAACCTAAAAAGCGCGGAATCTAGGGTTTTTTCTCCAATTCCCGATTCAGAAATTGGGGTTAAGTTAATTTATGAGTAAGAGGTGGTTCTGGTGTGTGATGGTAAGAGACTCATCATCATCATCATCGTCGTCTTCGCCATGGGAGGAGTAACTTCATCGATCGCCGCTAAATTCGCTTTTTTCCCGCCAACACCACCGTCTTACGGTTTGATTACCACCACCGACGACAGCTCCTCCGTTGACCGATTGTACATAACCGAAGTTCCTCGCCGCGACGACGTTGACGTTCTGAAGCTGCGTACTCGTCGTGGCAACGAGATCGTCGCTATTTATGTGAAACACCCGAAAGCTAATGGTACGCTTTTGTACTCCCATGGAAACGCCGCCGATTTGGGTCAGATGTTTGAGCTTTTCGTCGAGCTTAGCAATCGCCTCCGCGTCAATCTCATGGGGTAAGAGAAGAGCTTCAATTTCAGGTGTTTGATTGTTGCAAAAAACGGATTTTTTTTTTGGATTTTCTGTTTCCAGATTTGACTAATTTGGTCTCTCTTATCTCCTTTTGCCATTTGTGAAATTGAATAAAAAGGTGCAGTTTTTGGATTTGTGATTTAATGGAAATGTGTGAGAATTTATGAAGATTTGGTTTTTAGTTAGTAAATGTTACAATATAATGACAAATCTATCTGATTATAGCCGAAATTTCTTGGTCTTGTTGACTCATTGCATTTTCTTCTTAAAAAGTCTCTACTTGGATCTAAAAATCAAAGCTTTTTCCAAATCTTGTGACATTTCTATAAATAAAAATCGAACCTTTGTAAGCATTTCGCTGCCACTGTTTCAGTCATACTTGGACTCTGTGAATTGATATGCATTTCTACATTTGACTAGATTGTAATGAAGACTCAAAATTGTTACTCTGCTTCCGTTTGATTTGTTTGCATCGTTTCTTACATTTGGTTCCATTTTACAGGTATGATTACTCTGGTTATGGTCAATCTACTGGAAAGGTAGTATCTTGAAGCATCCAACTTTTCATTTTGAATGTATATGACCTTATTGTAATATGTTAAGAGAGTCCACTGATTGTTTCTGATGGATTTAATCTTTGTTACTTTGAATCAGGCAAGTGAATATAATACATACGCTGATATAGATGCAACGTATAACTGCCTCAAGGAACAGTATGGCGTAAAAGATGAACAGCTGATATTATATGGTCAGTCTGTTGGTTCTGGACCTACGATTGATCTTGCTTCACGCACGCCTAACTTAAGAGGCGTGGTTTTGCACAGCCCTATTCTCTCTGGGATGAGAGTTTTGTATCCGGTTAAACGAACATATTGGTTCGACATTTACAAGGTAAAATTCAGTGTACATTTTAACCATCTTTGTTCTTGTTTTCAATGTACTATTGCTTACACGCACGACTCTTCGTTTCAGAATATTGACAAGATCGCTGCAGTGACCTGTCCTGTATTAGTAATCCATGTGAGTGAATAGTGATGCTCATTTCTGATTCTTTTTCCTTTTCTCTCTCTCTTTGATTACTGTCTCTTTCGCTTTCCCTCTGATTTTCTCATTATTGGTGGATTGAGCTGTCAGATTCATCCATTGCCTCCATAGACTCTTGCTATGAATTAAAACTTGTAGGTTTGTAGGACCATTTTGACAATAAAATGTTTGGTAAAACTTAAGTTGTTGAATTTATGAGATAGAAATTGGTTAGCTATCAATAGAGAATCACTTCCGGTTTAGTTGAAGAAATCATTGACAGAAGTTTTAAGTTAACTCTCTTTGTGTGGTGTTTTAGGGAACTGCAGATGAAGTAGTTGATTGGTCACATGGGAAGCAACTTTGGGAACTCTCTAAAGAAAAATATGAGCCTTTATGGGTATCTGGAGGAGGACACTGCAATTTAGAACTCTATCCAGAGTTCATAAAACATCTGAAGAAGTTTGTGGTATCAGTTTCCAAACCAAAGGGAGCAAGAAACGGCTCGACGGCGAAGACAGCTGCAACGGATGCAACCAAAAAACAGAGCAAGACTTCAGAGAACGGTCGTGCCGAAACGTTTCAACTCGGCTGCTGCCTTCCGGAAGTTTCTAGGAACAGCGTTGACAGTCAGCTTGAGAAATCTAAGAAGGCTAGTAAACCGGAGAAGTCTCGGATGAGCGTTGATAGGTTTAGAAGGAAAAAAGGTCTGGTCTGGTGACGTAAACCGGTCAAAACCAATGTTCAAAAACAGGTTATATTTGTTGTAACTCCTGTTGATGTATTTTGTATTTCTTCTTCATAATATGTTTCTGCATGAATTATGATGTGTGTGGTTTTGTTTTTTTATTCTTCTCAGGTTTGTTGTTGTATGTAATTTCTGACAGAAACAGATCAAACTCATAAAGTCTTGGTTTCATATGTGGATGTAACTTTGTCATGGCACTAAAACTGTAATGTCTTGACTAGTTTAACATTAATCCCATTTGGCTAAATCTGAATTGTATACAATAGAGCTTAACATATTAACGTTCATGGAATCATACTTCCGAGTAACTTGAGCTTTCCCCTGTAAGTAGAGATGATTCAGAAAGAGTTTCCACAGGCATATGCAAAAGAGGCTTAGGAGGAGCTTCAAGGGAATCCAAGCTTCCTTCCATCATCTCTACGACTTTGTTCATCGATGGACGATCTAATGGGCGTAACTGAATACACCACAAGCCCACCAAGATCATCTTTTTGGCAATCTCTTGTTCTTCTAGGGTTAGTTCATCGCCAAGAAGACTTGCAAAGTCTCCGTTTTCAAGATCCTTGTAGATCCAGTCCGGAAAGTAAGCTGAGCTGTTGTTCGGATCAGCATTTGCGTCTCTTTTTTTGTTCTTTTCTCCGATCATCTCAAGAACCAACATTCCGTAGCTGTACACATCTGACTTGTGAGACACGTTACCATACATTCTTGAAAACAGCTCTGGAGCAACGTATCCTATCGTTCCTCTCCTGTCAAACAAGGACAAGGCGCTCTCTTGCTTCTCGCAGAGCTTAGCGAGGCCAAAGTCAGAAACTTTGGGTCTCAGATTGTCATCTAACAACACATTTTGAGGTTTTATATCGAAATGCACAATCCTTGTTTTGCAGCCAAAGTGCAAGTACTCAAGTCCCCTACCAACACCTAGCGCGATTCCATATAGTGTACTCACATCGAGATTCAATGACTGGTCTAGAGACCCATACTCTAGAAACTCATAGACAATGGCTCGTTTGGACCCTTCGTAGCAGAAACCAAGCAAAGAAACAATGTTAACATGAGATGTTTGGCTCATGCTTGCGACTTCGTTGATAAAGTCTTCACCATTGCTCTTAAAATCCTTCAAGACCTTCACTGCAACCTTACGGCCATCGCGTAACTTCCCTTTGTAAACAGTTCCAAAACCTCCTTGTCCAACTACTTCTGTGAATGATTTTGTAATCTTCTTGATTTCTCCATAACTATACCGTCTCAATGTTACAAGCGCCTCGAGGTTCTGAAATCTCACAGCCTTTGTCACTCTTCTCTCGTTAAAATAAAATGCTAGAAGTACCAACACATATACAGTTAATATTGACCCTGCAACTAAAACATCCAAAAAATAAAGTTAGTTTCAATCCCAATTGTAACCTAAACCAATTGTAGCGCTAAAATAAACTAAAACATACAAAAATACACGTCGAAACCCTAACCTGAACCAGTTGCTATCACTATGGAGCGACTGTTGCTGTCTGCAAATTTTAACGAATTCATCGACAAGATAGCATAACAAATATGCTGATGGATTCTAAAACTGAGAAAGTGACTTTATTACCAGATGCATATGTTGTACGGCAGTGGATATCTGATCCTGTTAGCTCTGATCCTGGTAGCAGCTCGCAGCAACCAAATCCTCCGAAGATAGGCCTACCGCAATTTGCACCAGGAGATAAACATTTTGGACAAGGTATCTTATCCAACTTCAGCTTCACTTCAAATCCTTTTCTAAGAGCAGTTTCCAAGTGTGTCAAGTTCAAGACTTGTTCCTCTGGAAAGAAACTTGTAGGAACTGTGACGCTAAAACGCTTATCGCAAAGTTTACGATTTTCTGAGCTTTGAATCACTGAGCCAAGACCTTTCGTTGGACACGTGAAATTCCCAAGGATCTGGCGACGGGAGTCGCACATGTAGTACACGGTGAGGCTTTTGTAAGATTTTAGAATATGGAAAAGATCTGGAAGCAAAGGTGCGGAGGAGAATGAAGCTGAGCAGAAAGGACCTGAGAAATCTTGTCTTGCAAGTCTAAGAGTAAAAGTGTTGGTGTCTATATTTAGGACAGTGTAGGTGTGGTCTGAGATGAAAAGAGAGGTTGTGTTTGAGCTTTTGTTGCACCTAAGTCGCAGAGAAGGATCGCCGCAAAATTCAGGTCGATTCTCACCGGAGAAAGGGTAAGCAACTCTGATGTTTCCACACTGAAACGGAGCCTCACAATACCTAGTTGAATTTTTCTGGCTTAGAACACAAGGAAAAGGATAGATCAAGAATAAGAAGATCATACAGAAGATAGTTGTTTGAGCTCCTATGGATGATAGAGAATCCATTTGAGTGTTTGAGAATAGTTTTGCTGTCATTAGAAGAAATGAATAAAGTTAATTAAAAAGAGAAGACTTTAGTTGACTTTGAAAGATAGAGAGCCGTGAATAGTTAAAACTAGCTGACTTTTCTTAGGACAATCAATAACAACTGTATGGCTCTGAATCGATGGCCACTGGTCTTGTTATCAACATTCACTGCATTTAACAAAGAAAGAATTTCTCTTTGAGCTGAAAAATATCCTATGGACATAAACGTCCTCTGATTTCTCTGGAAATTTGCCTACTCAAGAGTCATTTTCCGTTCAATTTCGTGACACTTACAAAGTCTGTCTCGGAAAATTGCTCAAGAGTTAGCCAGAACAAGTTCTTGATCAAGGTTAATATTGTATTACCAACTAAATCACTCGTAAAAAACAACACATGCCAATTTAATTGGACTCTGTACAATTTTCTTTTAACTACTAAAAAAGTGAAAATTACCTAATATAACCTCTTTTTTATAAGAAATAGCTATAATAACCTATTTATATTTTTATTACTCATATAACCTATTAATCATTTAAGCAGTGATGTATAATTCCAGTTTTATCCTTTTAACTATAATTATTTCTTTAATTTCGTTTTTGTAAATTACACATAACTATTCATTTAATTTGAACAATAACAAATTAGTTTTAGTTAATAAATAAATAAAAGAAAAATAAAATAAGAAATAAATAACTTTTAATTTCAAATCAATTGATTATTTTTATTTTATCAAATTTCATGGCAATGTATATTTGGTCTAACAGCAATTTTTTTTGTCGAACTCAATTTTTTCATTTATGGTATTTATCATTGAAATTGATTCTCTATCCATTCTACTTCTTTTCATTTTTGTTTCTTTTGCACATTTATAAAATGTTTGACTATATGAGATTTCAGTTTGTAACTTTTTCTGAATTTTGCGAGAAAATATTTCATCAACTAAAATCCAATATTAACAAAACAACACAGAAAAATATCATATTAGAAGATTAAAATTCAATTATAGTGATAATTTTAGAAGACTATGGTGTAGTTTGCCAAAACTCATAGTCTTAAAAAATATGTAAAATCTATCAAAAATATATTGAATATGCTAATAAAATAGCAAACTAACAGTGTAAAATTCAAGTCTATCAAAAATATGTAGTATTCATAAAAAAATTAGAAGATTAGCATATTGAAATTTGAATATGCTAGTAAATTTGAAAGACTTTGATGTAATCTGCCAAATCTCAACAATGTCTACAAAAAATTATGCAGAGTCTACCAAATACATGTTGAGTCTGCTAATTAAATAGCAGATTAGCAGAGTAAAAGTCAAATTTACCAAAAATATGCAGAATCCACCAAAAAGTAGAAGATTCGCAGATTAAAATCCAAGTCTGCTAATATATTTGGAAGACTTTAATGTAATTTGTCAAAACTCGACAAAGTCTACAAAGAATATGTAGAGTCTGCCAATAAAATAGCAGACTAGCAAAGTAAAATTTAAGTCTACCAAAAATACGCATAATCCACCAAAAAAATGGAAGACTAGCAGTTTAAAATTCAAGTCTGCGAGTAAATTTGGAAGACTTTGACGTAGTCTGCCAAAACCTCAACAAAGTCTACAAAGAATACGTAGAGTCTGCCAATAAAATAGTAGACTAGCAAAGTAAAATTTAAATCTACCAAAAATATGCAGAATCCACCAAAAAAATGGAAGACTAGCAGTTTAAAATTCAAGTCTGCCAGTAAATTTGGAAGACTTTGACGTAGTCTGCCAAAACCTCAACAAAGTCTACAAAGAATACGTAGAGTCTGCCAATAAAATAGTAGACTAGCAAAGTAAAATTTAAATCTACCAAAAATACGCAGAATCCACCAAAAAAATGGAAGACTAGCAATTTAAAATCCGAGTCTGCTAGTAAATTTTGGAAGACTTTGGTATACTCTACCAAACCTTGACAGAGTCTACAAAAAAGACGCAGAATCTACCAAAAATATGTAGTGTCTGCTAACAAAATAACAGATTAGCAGACTGAAATTTAAATCTACTAAAAATATGCAGAATCCACAAAAAAATGGAAGATCAGCAGAATAAAATCCGAGTCTGCTAGTAAATTTGGAAGATTTTGGTATAGTTTGTCAAAGCTTGACAGAGTCTACGAAAAAATATATAGAGTCTACCAAAAATACGTTGAGTCTGCCAAAAAAATAGCAGACTAGCAAAAGAAAATCCGAGTCTGCGAGTAAGTTTGGAAGACTTTAAAAGGATAATTGTGTAAAAATTTTTTTATAAAATCTTCAAAATTCTTGATAGGCTATTTTGGCTATTTACAATATTTTGTGGGTTATTATAGCAAATCACCCAAAGTAAAAAATATAGAGCAAAAAGTTTGTAATCCAAAAATAGACCTATGAGTAGTTTTTTTCCATAAATAAACCAAATTATTTTGTGGAAACATCTGCTTACCGTAAACCAATTACACATAAAACTAAAATATTATGTTTTAGGGTTCGATTCGTTTTTTAGGGCCTGTGAGAAATAAAGCACCAACCATTTATAATGTATAAAGTGAGAATCTGACAGTCAGATTCATGGAATCATACTTCCGAGTAACTTGAGCTTTCCCCTGTAAGTCGAGATGATTTTGAAAGAGTTTCCACTGGCATATGGTCTCTGGTCTTGTTATCAACATTCCATGCATTCTCCCGAAAGAAGACTAAGTAAGAGCACATTTTCCATTCAATTTGGTGACACTTGCAAGGTTTGAGTCAAAACCAACTGTCTCGGAAAATTACTTAAGAATTAGCCAGAAAAAGTTCTTGATCAAGCTTCATGTTGTATTATCAACTAAATCACTAGTAAGAACGCATGTCAATATAACTTGGACTCTTTAAAGTTTTCTTTCAAATACTAAAAGATGTTATATTCAAAGATAGGAGGTGATGTGAGAAACTATGGATGGCATCATGGCAGTGATCTAAAAATTCATAAAATACAAGCAAGTCTCTAAGACCATACAAGAAATTATCGTCAGGCGAATCTCCGCATCGGGTACGGTGTTAAGAAGAGGAAAATCTTAACGAAGACAAGAAGCAGAAAGCTCTCTCTTTCACACTTTTGCGAGAACAAAACAGTGGACTTTTGACTAGTCTCCATTGACCCTACAATGAATGGATTGTCGAGTTTGTTGTTAAAATTAAATTTTGATCAGATGCAAAGAGATACAAATAGTATTTCATTTACTTGGAAGTTGTAACACATCAAGAAGTGGACAAGTCTTGCTATCATCTCCAACAAGAAAGATATAAGGTCCTTTTTTTTTGTTAAGAAAAATCTTGTAGTTTTATCATTTTCTCAAAATACAAAAAAAAAAGAACTTGTAACTACAACCAAGTATGACATTAGACCGAAAAAAAAACTACAACCAAGTAAATATTTTGATTAAAATTCAGATAAAAAAACCATAGGATCTTTAAACGTAATTATTTCATTTTAATTTAGCTCTCTATATTTTTGTTGAAATAAACTCTGTTAAAGATTTACAAAAGATAACAAGACACATGGGATACTTGGATATGTTGAAGGGCCAAGTCAATAGTGAAACTGTGAAAGTGACATATAAATACGCATCATACATTAGTTTTAAGTTGGAACTTGGAAGTCCATGATTTCTAAAACCATTATAACAAGATTTGTTTCCAATCATATTAGTATTTGCAAATCAATTTTCGTGAATGGAGGCACCACGTTAACTCTCAGCCTCGGAATTACATAACTACCCTTAATGAAAATCTTGAATAAATCTTCGAATTATCCTTTTTTAATAATACTTTTTTTTGGATAATCATCAGTTTTATTCAAATTCAAAAGAAGAAAAATATATGCCTTTTACTAATTTATATAAATTAATAATTGTAGAAAATCTTGAGGAAACCCTAACTCTTATAAATTTGTACAAAAACCTATATATACAAAGTTGTGACTAACAAGAACGGCCATCTTATTTGTACGGTGTTATATCAATATCTGCACATGGTATTAATTGGAACCCTAGCGGGTTTTGAACTCAGCAAGCTCTGGAATTGAGTATAAATGAATCTCTTGGGTGTGAAGCTTTGAAATTCGAGGGGAAATATGGAATCTGATACCGATTAGATCATGGGTATTTGAGATGAATGAGCTTAAGCAGGTTTTAGTTTGAAACCCTATCGCCTTTACTCAAAGCAAGATGGATCGAATTTGAATGTATGTATTGCTTGAGTTTGATGCTTTGAAGCACGACTCAGAACTTGGGAAACCTACTGGAATACAGTTTTGGTTTGGAGACTTGCTCAAATATACAACCAAGACTAGGATTAATTATCATCTCTTCTTCTTTCCTTGGCGAAGACTTACTTTCGTAAGAATATATAGTCTAATCAATTGGTTCTCTAGACAAGTTTCTCTTCATCTTGAATCCTAGAACTCACGTTATTTGAATATTTTTGCTCTGTTTTGGTTTTAGTTAATCCTTATTAGTCGCAAGTACTCTCTCTTTATCTCTTTGTTAAACCTCGCAGGGATATTTTTCTTAAAATATTGGGCATGCATGCTTGAGAGGTACGTGAGTTCTCCAATGTACACGTCTATACCAACATGCTCATAAATGTTCTCCGATCAACTCCTCTCTTTCTTTGCCCTATATATATTCAACATCTTCGTACTATCCACGATCATGTGTTTTAGGAATTCTCGGTGAGGTTGTGTATCATGGAGTGCAGGAAGAGTGAATTTTGTTAAGACACGATTGTAGCAATCTGCAAATTTGAAGATGAAAATCAGCTTTGGTTTTAAATGTTACTTGTGATGCTGACCAGGTTAAAATCTTCCTTGTGATGGTGATAATGACTTATACTCTTGACTGTTCCTGTAATTTGTTTGTATTGTTTCCTTTAGGATGATGCCTAACAGTTGTTACTAACTTTTCAAGGAAAAAATAACTTGCAGTATCATAAATGGTTTTCTCACTTGCCTTCCGCTCCTCCAAAAGCTATCACTCCAAACATGTATCTTACAAAGTGATGGTGTCTCTCTGTAATGCACTAAAAGATCGCGATAAATGATCACGGAGATTTTGCGTGAGATGAAAGGTAACGACGTGACTCACTGTAAACCGGAACACAGTGATATGTTTGCTATATTTTGTCACTGCATCACGACGTAAACTCATCCAGGTCTCCATGCTGGTGCCCAGAGATACGGTTCTATTAGCTACGATCCACAAACGATGTAGCATTGCTTCTCACAACCTGCTCCCTCTTGAGAAGTGAGGTACTGAGGTGTATGTATCATGAGAATGAGTTGATTTTTCTTCTAATATGAAATGGTTTCTTACATAGAAATAAGCTCTTTCCCTCAACCACACCCATAGCATCTGGAATAACTAAAGAGAAATCAGTTCCCTATCTTGACTTATGTAAATTTTGTAGAAAATGTTGCTTTTCCAAATCTTACATTATGTTATTAACAGTAGATTACTTCTTTTTTGGCTTTCAAACAAATATGTTATGTACTGAGCTTATTTTTTAGATTTTGCACGGTCTAGAAGAAACAGGGAATGGTTAACATAGCAGGCTTATCACTAAACAGGAAATACAGTGATAATAATCTATTACTGTATTCATATGTTATCTCGGTCTTAATAGGTGGTATCTGTCGGGTTTGCATCGAGACAAGAGTCATACGTTGGCAATAAAGTGATGGGAATAAGAAAACGATGCTCTTAATAGGCTCCTTCTATCATATGATTGATTTTCTGAAACTCTTTTGGCTTTTGTACTTATCATCTTCTCTTCAATGTGGAAATGATTTCATCTTCTCCAGTTTCTTAGTTGATTTTGGTTTATTGCTGTAAAGAGGGAGACTTTAGTTTTTAACCAAAAGAAGAAGTACAATTGAGACTATAATAGTATTAAAGTAACATGGAATAATTTATTAAAAGATCATATGGGATGACAAGATTATGTGCGTATAGAAAAACTGAGGAGACCACAAGAAACAAATGAGCTGAAAGATATTGGAACAACTTCTTAGTTACAGCATTTTAATGTAGATCAATCAAGAACATGAACTATGACAAAAAGAGTAACAAATTCCTACTGAGTAAACACGATAGAAAAACTGGAAAAAGAAAAAAAAAAGTTAAAAGAGATGAAAAAGACAAATAATAGGAAGAATGAGAAGTCACATAAAGAAAAACAAACTAAAGAATATAAATATAAAAAGAGAATAAGTTGCAAAAGAACAGAAAGAAGACCAAAAATAAAGACTGGAAGAATCAAATTCATAATACGACCATTGAAAATATATATTATACGTTTTTTTCTTATTAATCTAGAATTAACATTGTCAATTTAAAACAAAAATAACAACACTTTTTAAAAAAACCTAAATTTATAAAAGAAAATCCTAAACAAATTTGTAATGTGGGATTAGAGTGTACTATTTAAGAGGGTTATAATTTTGTGTTAGGGTTTAGAGTGTAAAACCAAAACAATAAAAGCCAATACAAAACAAGTTTGTTATGTGAGGTTAGGGTGTACGGTTTAGTGGGGTTTTATAATGTGGGGGTTAGGTTTTAGGTTATAATGTGGGGGTTAGGTTTCTAGAGTGGGGGTTAGGGTGTACAGTTTAGTGGGTTTGGGTTTAGGGTGTAGGGTTGTTTAGGGGGTATAATGTAGGGTTTGGGTTTAGGGTGTAGGGTTTATATTAATGGGTGTAGGGTTTAGTTTTTGGTGCATTTTTAAAATTTTGGATAATAGAATGGAAATATATTAAATTAAAAATCATTTATTTTAAATTTATATCTACCAATCAAAAATACATTCACAAATAGAAAAAAAAAACAAAACAATTAAAATAAAAAATAACAAAAATGTATGAGGAGATGAAGAAGAAGAAATATGAGAAGAATTACAATGTGGGTTTGGGTTTACTGGGTAGGGTTGCTTAGATTGGTGGGGGTGGGTGGTGGTGTTACACTCTGGGGTTTGAATTTAGGGTGTAGGGTTTATATTGGTGGGTGTAGGGTTTAGTTTTTGGTGCATTTTTAAAAATTTCAATTATTATGGGCTATAAATTTATATCTACCTTTATAAATTACATTCACAAATAGAAAAAATTAAAACAGTTAAAGCAAATCCAGAATAAAAAAATAGTAAAACCATAGATTTTTAAAAGATCTGGACTAAATAAAGATAGAAACTATTTCACAAATCCTTGAAAATCTAAACAATCGAATGAATTGATAGGTGAAATACAAGATGTAGACAAGAACAAATAAAAACAAGAGTAAAAGAAAAGAAGACAGTAAAAAAGAAGATGGAAAATTTAGAGAAGAATAAAAGTCGAACATGAGGAAATAGAAATCAAAGAAGAAAAATGGAATGTGAGGAGAAAAAAAAAATAAAGAATAGATAAATAAAAACTACAATAATATGATGTTAGAGAAGATAAATATGTAAAGATAAGAGAGAAGGATTGAGTAAGAAGAAAACCCAAGAAAGTTTGTTAAGAAATTTAGAAAGCAAAAAAAAACTAGTGAGTTGTAGAATATGAAGATAAAAGAAAAGATTAAAGAACAAAAATTGGAAGAAGAAAAAGATGATGAGAACGAATATAAACTTAAAAGAAAAGAAGAAGATGGGATAATTGGAGAAGAATAAGTGGGAGGAGAAAACAAGAAGTGGAAATTTTTTTGCATATTAATTATGTAAAAGAATGAGAAAGAGAAGAAAAAAATAAGACACATCATGATTACAAAAATTAGAAATCGGCAACACAAAAAGATGAATACAATCAAAATTTCTACTAATTATATTATTAAAATCTTTAATTAATTAATGTGTTTAAAAAATATTGTACCCGCACAAGGTGCGGGACAACCACCTAGTTTCATGAAAAACAGTAAAATGCTCTGTTCAAGTTGAATACTACAACGTCTACTCTAATGTTAGCTTAAACTGGCCTAACTATCATCAACTGGATGCAAGTAATCAATTATTTTTCATTTCTACCATTTGTAGGTTTGAACAAATATTTCCAATAGATGCAAAAAAACTTCAAAAATGTAACATATCAAGAAAAAACTCATTAATACGCTTATGCATAACATATAAGAAATCCACTTTTATGTTAACATAGATAATATTTTCTTCAACAAATTCTCTTGCAAAGGTTACACCAAGTATGTGATGGAGGCTCGGAAATAGATTTTCAACCTGTGATGTGAGTCAAATCAATTCCTCAGAGTTGTTAGACTTCACTTCCGAAAGACAAGAAGATTCTGAAAGAGCCGTTGTAGAAATTTGCATAGAAGGCTTAGGAGGGACTTCAAGAGCATCCAAGCTTCCTTCCATCATCTCGACAACTCTATTCATTTGTGGACGGTTCGATGGACATGGCTGAATACACCAAAGACCCACCAAGATCATCTTCTTTCCAATCTCTTCTTCCTCTTTAGTTATTTGATCACCAAATTTCCACGTGTGCTCTCCATTTTCAAGATCCTTATATATCCAATCTGGAAAGTAAGCCGTACTAGCGTCGGAAGCTGTGTTTTCAAATATTTCTTTGTTCCTTGCTCCAATCATCTCAAGGACCAACATTCCGTAGCTATAAACATCTGACTTGTGGGAGACTCTGCCATACAATCTTGAGAACACCTCAGGTGCAATGTAACCTATAGTTCCTCTTGTGTCTAGCAATGACAAGATGCTTTCCCTTTTCTCGCATAGCTTAGCAAGCCCAAAGTCTGAGACTTTAGGGCAGAGCTTGTCATCTAACAGTACATTTTGAGGTTTAATATCAAAATGTACAATCCTTGTTTTGCAGCCATGGTGCAAGTACTCGAGTCCCCGAGCAACGCCTAGAGCGATTTCATATAGTGTAGTCACATCAAGACCCAGTGGCTTCTTTTTAGAGAGGAACTGATCCAGAGAACCATTCTTTAGAAACTCATACACAATTGCTCTTTTGGACCCTTCATAGCAGAAACCAAGCAAAGAAACAATGTTGACATGAGATGTTTGGCTCATACTTGCGACTTCGTTGATGAAATCTTCACCACTACTCTTAAAATCCTTTAAGACCTTTACAGCAACTTTACGACCATCTTGTAACTTCCCTTTATACACAGTTCCAAATCCTCCTTTCCCAACTGTGTGTGAAAATGATTTTGTAACTATTTTCACTTCTGCATAACTGTATTGTTTCAGCTGTAGCGCCTTTAGGTTCTGGTATATCGGACGATGTGAAGTTTTTTTCTTCCGAAGGCCTAATATTACTGCTACTGCAATGAACCCTAGACAACCAAAAAAAAAAAAAAAAAAAAAAATTGAGTTACTTTTGAAGATCTAATACAGTCTAATTAGAAAGCTCTTTGATTAGAAACTAACCCAAGAATCCACAAAAGAACGCGATGCCTAGAGACAAATAAATAGACAAGAGGTTGATTAGATTAAGTTTATGTTGTCTCTTAGCTATGTTTTTTTGAAATTAGATTCCTTGAAAAGAAAAGGATGGACACGCACGTACCTATTTTTCCAGTACGGGAGAGCAATGCATGAACAACTACCATGAAAAAATGACAGAACTTTAGAATCGTATTTAAACTGAAGGAAAAACATCTGGTTGTTATGGAAGAAGATTAGAAAATCAGATTGAGACACTATTTTTTAGATACATAGAAGATCAGCTGATTTATTCACAGAAACAGAGCAAGAGAAATCATTACTCTTTTGTTCAGAACCGCAAGTATCCTCATGAGCCCCATTTCTATAGTGGCAGAAGAATGCTCTCGAGTTTGGATTATGTCCACAAGCACCCCCTGATTCTACACACTGTGAACAGTCACTGGTAAATCTAACCTTGAAACCCGTAATAAGAGCTTGCTTTATATCCGCTAGACTCTGATTTCTCTCGTCTATCCTCAAGGCAGATTGAGAGATTGGAATACTGACATTTCTTGTACACGATGAACTTAACACATCTAAGATAGCTCTATCCTCAGAATGTGAAGGTAACAAGGAAAAGTAAGTTTTCCCAACAGTATCAGTGTCGCAGTCAATCTTTCTAATGTAGCCACTGGGAGGAACATCTACCTTAGGATCAGAGCAGTTGTAATAAAAACTTGACATCACAGTGTCTTCAGAAAATGGAAGGACATCTTGGTTGATTAATATGCTCTCAGGGTATTGGGGACAAAGATTGTAATATAGATCGTTGATATAATCCCTCGTCCTGGCAGGTCTTATGGTTATATTAACATAGTTCATCTCAAGGACTTGGAACTTAACAGAGGAAATGTTAAACTCTGCGAATTCTCCGGTACAGTTGACTTTGAAATCCGGGTGACCGCACTCTTCTCTGCCAGGTGTCCAAAAGGGATAGTTGAGATATGTCTGATTGCATTTAAAGGATATAGTGCAGGGTTTGTAGATAACATGGGCTGGCAAAACACAAAAAGGGAATCAACATGATTGTATAAGAGAGAGATAGAACTAATGATCATGCTACACTTTTCTGCTTTTTGGAAGTTTAGAAGATGATGAAGAAAAAAAAGAAGCACAGATAAAAGAAAAAGATGATACAAAAGAAACACTGTCATAAATATAAATCATAAACTGTCCGTTATATTTATTCTCGTAATCTGTAATACCATCATAATAACTAGGCTTGGGTATTCGAAAGTTGAGATTTTAAGTGATTTAAGGTGATTTGATTTTTAGTGAGTTTTTAGATGATTTTTTATGAATTATAGAAGTGATTTTATTTAAAACATTCTAAAATCTCATCTAAAACCATGTAATTTTAAATATCTTACTTTTAACAAGAAAATCTCATCAAATCACACTAAAATCAAATCTATCTTTTAAAATCCACTTTTAAAAATATTTTTAATAACAATGGATTTGAAAGTGGATTTTAAAAGTTTTTTAGAATTCAAGTTTGATTAACAGTAGATTTGTCGTTTTAAAACAAATCACTCGAAATCCAAAATTCAATACACCCCTTAGATTTTGCTAATGAAACTGCTAAAGACAACCTTTCATTGAAAATCAAATTCTAAAGTCAGCAATTCTCGTCTTCTTTTTTACCTCTGAGTGGGACGTCCATAGGGTGGTCAACGTTGAGCGCCTCATCCACGGAGATCCCATTGAGCCGAGCCAATGTCGCCACGTCCGTTCCAAACTTAGCTGCGACCTCAGCAAGGGAGCTTCCCTGTTTGACCACGTGTGCATAGTGGACAACATCTTGACCGGCCAGTTTATCACAGCTACAAGGCAAAGGGATCCATAACTTTTGACCGATGTTAATTCCCCTTGTGCTTGGGATGCTATTCACCTCTCTGATCTTTTTGTGAACAAGATCTCCGAAAATATCAGATGCGATGGAGAAGAGCGAGTCACCTTCTTTTACGGTGTAAATGGGAACCCGGTTTGAGACGCCGGTTCCGTTGGAGCAATAGCAAGGGACTGGGATGCGTACGACCTGGTTCTCGTTCACGAGCTTACCGGGTGAGGTGGAGTGTGGGAGGCTGTTGGCTTCGAGGATCGAACAAAGCTTCTTGACGGAGAAGAGGACCTGGATATGGCCTAACGTTGTGGCGTTCTTGCTAGAGTAACCGACGAGAGAGCGACACGTGTAGGTAGAGCCATCGCATTTGAAGTCTTCGGTCATTTGGGCGGAATGAGAGAGGAGGAAGGAGAAGGCGATTAGAAGAAGAGGTAGGGTAAGTCGGGAAGATTCCATTTTGTGTTTGCCGGAGAATTCTTAGCTTTGGCTGGGGGAATTAGGATGTGAAGATGAGGAAATGTCTTAACATTAAAACCAAAAAAAAAAGATGAGGAAATGGAAGAGAGTTGACGGAGAGGAGACTTTTAGAGTTGTGATTGTTCAGTATGTGGAGGGTATTAAGAACGTAAAGAAACAAGAATGCTACAATCATTAACTGAAAAATACAAAAGCTGCCTTAAAAAAAATAGTTATAAAATAATAAAGTTAGTTTAGTGATGCAGCACATATTAACATACGAGTAGTAATGAATAACAAACAACATAAAATAAGAGGAGAACATATGGTTTTTAACCCAAACATCTAATGAGTATTAACGCTGCAACTCAAAAAAAAAAAAAAAAAAAAAAAAAAAAAAGAGAGAGAGAGCTTGGTTGCTTAGAGTACAAGGAAGGTTACGAAAAAGGAATTGAACAGTATTACCAAACTAAACCATATATGTAGCGTGTTGGAGAATCCATCATTTTTGTATTGTTTATTTCGTTTGTGCTGCTTGGGGAAATAGATAACAAGACGAAAATCTTAACGAAAACAAGAACCAGAAAGGTCTCGGTTTAATTTCACACGTTTGCGAGAACAAACAGTGGACTTTGGACTAGTCTCCATTGACCCTACAGAACCATTTAATCTGAATGGATAGTCTGAGTTTGTTGTTAATTGAAATTTCGATTAGATGCGAAGAGACAAGATTTCATTTACTTATAGCACATTAAGAATTGGACAAGTCTTGCTATTATCTCCATCAAGAAAGATATAAGAGTTTTTTTTTTCTTTGTTAAGAATTTTTTTGTAATTTTACCCTTTTCTAAAAATACAAAAAACTTGTAACTTCAACCAAGTAAATATTTGGATTTAAAACATAGGATCTTTAAAGGAATTTGTTTTTCATTTTAATTTTAGCTCTTTATATTTCTGCTTAATAAATAAACTCTGTTAAATATTCAAAAAAAAAACATGGAGACTTGGATATGTTAAGGGCCAAGTTAATAGTGAAAGTGACAAATAAATACGCATCATCCATTAGTTTTGAGTTGGAACTTGGAAGACCATGATTTCTAAAACCATTATAACAAGATTTATAAAACCTAAAACCATCATCCATATATATATTAATTAGTTTCCAATTTTCATGAAAAATAGTAAAATGCTATGTTCAACGTCTACTCTAATTTTATCCTTGACTGGCCTAAGTATCAAGTGGATGGATGTAGAAGTGTTAAGTGTACCATTTGTAGGCTTGAACTAATTAAATATTTCCAAGAGATACAAAAAACTTCGGAAAATATAACATATTCAGAAAAAAATTCATCAATTGCATAGTCTATGGAAAGTTTTCATACGCTTATGCATAGCATATAAGAAATTCACTCTGATGTTAACATAGAAAATATTTTCTTCAACAAATTCTCTTGCAAAGGTTACACATGTATATGATGGAGCCTCGGAAATAATTTTTCAACTTGTGAATCAAATCAATTCCTCAGAGTTGTTAGACTTCACTTCCGAAAGACATGAAGATTCTGAAAGAGCCATTGTAGAAATTTGCATAGAAGGCTTAGGAGGGACTTCAAGAGCATCCAAGCTTCCTTCCATCATCTCGACAACTCTATTCATCAATGGACGATTCAATGGACATGGCTGAACACACCAGAGACCAACCAAGATCATATTCTTTGCAATATTTTTCTCCTCTCTAGTTATTTCATCACCAAATTTCCATGTGTGCTCTCCATTTTCAAGATCCTTATATATCCAATCTGGAAAATAAGTCGAACTAGAGCTAGAATCAGCTGTTTCTTTGTTGTTGTTCCTCTCTAGTTGTTTCTTTGTTCCTTGCTCCGATCATCTCGAGGACCAACATTCCATAGCTATATACATCCGACTTGTGAGAGACTCTGCCGTACATTCTTGAAAATACCTCAGGTGCGATGTAACCTATGGTTCCTCTTGTGTATAACAATGACATGATGCTTTCCCTCTTCTCGCATAGCTTAGCAACCCCAAAGTCTGAGACTTTAGGGCAGAGATTGTCATCTAACAGTACATTTTGAGGTTTAATATCAAAATGTACAGTCCTTGTTTTGCAGCCATGGTGCAAGTACTCGAGTCCCCGAGCAAGGCCTAGAGCGATTTCATATAGTGTAGTCACATCAAGACCCAGTGGCTTCTTTTTAGAGAGGAACTGATCCAGAGAACCATTCTTTAGAAACTCATACACAATTGCTCTTTTGGACCCTTCATAACAGAAACCAAGCAAAGAAACAATTTTGACATGAGAAGTTTGGCTCATACTTGCCACTTCGTAAATAAAAAAAATAAATAAAAAAAAAGAAACTAGCTGATATTTTTCTTAAACACTTCCACATTCACTGTACTCTGTTTTTTGAACACTTTGAACAATCTCAGAAACAAAAACAACAGGCTTTGTGAAAAGGGTGTTTTTTTTGTTTGTATATAATTTAAATTTGATTCAAAAGAAGAAAAGAAACTGACTGATCTTATGCATAAGAAGTTTGCTGATAGTAGTTGAGAAACATACCACTAGATGGAGGTGGAATCATGTGAGTGCATTTGATTTCTGATGTCGAGTTTGTTCTGCAGCAAACCGGAGTAGCAGCGTCGTAGGCGCAGATTCCACCAGTGGATTTACATACTTGACACGGTCTGTCATCAATCTTAAGCTTCACCTCGAATCCTTCGTTGAAAACACTTTCCAAATGGGTTATATTCAAAGCTTTCTCCTCTGGAGCATAACTTGTGGGAACAGTGATGTTGAAACTCACACCACACTTTCCATGATAGTCATCGTTCTGATGCGCATGCACCAAACCAACACCTTTTGGTGGACATGTGAAATTCGACGGATAATGAAGACTAGGGTCGCATTGGTAGTTAGCAGAGAGGGTCTTGTAGTCTGGCAAAAGCTCAAATAGCTCAGGAGTTAACGTTGCGCCACTGAATGAAGCATTGCAGAACCCACCTAAAAAGTCTTGCCTTGCTAGTTTAAGAGTAGTAGCTGTGACGTTTAGGAGGACACGGTAGATCAGCTCTGAGATGATTAGATAAGTGAAATTTGTTGACTTTTGGCAGCGAAGCCCCAAAGATGGATGACCACAAGGCTGTGGTCGAGCCTCTCCCCAGAAAGGGAAACCAGCAGTGATGTTCCCACACTTGAACAGAGTATTACATGACGTAACTTCTTTTTGAAAAGAGGATAAGAAAAAGAGGAAGACGAGACAAGATTTGGGTTTTGAGAATCTGAAGAGTACTGGAGAGAACATGATTTGATATCTGAATAAAGTTTTCTCTTTTTTGGGGGTTGGTTTGTGTTAAAGAGAAGAGATTAAATGATTAAACAAAAGATAAACAAAAGATAAAGTAACTTCTTTTTGACTTAGAGCACAAGGAAGAAGGTTTAAGAAAAACAAGAGGAATAGTAAGACCAAAGAAGAAATGGATTTCGAGAATCCGAAGAGTGCCGGAGACAACATGATTAATCTCTGAATATTTTCTTTCGATGGGTTTGGTTATTTGGTTTGTGCTGAGCAGATAAGGAATTAAAGATCAACCATAAAGAATGCAAGTGGTAATGTTGAAAGAGAAAGTCAAGAGTGAAAGAGACATATACAAAAGACTTGGTGAGTTTTCTCTTTAATCATTCGATTAAACCAAAAGTGCCATAAATATACTACCTAAAAGTTCTTCACGCGTATTGAGAGTGATTGGGAAAAAAAAAAAAGAAAAAAAAAAAAATTATCCCTCACACTCACAAAGTGACAACAGAAACTTCCCCGCAAACTTCACAACACTCCAACAGTAAACGTCTAGTACACGGCCACTGATAGTGAGAAGATTTAGTCAAATTTTGAGAGTTGAGAATTTCATTCATATAAGATCGATTCTTATTTTTTTCTTAGAGACAAATTCTAGTCATTCTTGCTAAAAATTATCCATTATCATCCACCAAGAATCCACCATGCATGCAATATCGGATTCAACATACATGTACAGATGTACTTACTATACGGATTCCGATTAATACTATATATCCAAAATATATGATGTTCTAAAAAATGATCTGGAGTTAAATATGTGATCTTAAATATTAAGTTACATGCTATAGATCCAACAAACAAGAATACCTCAAGATGTCGATAACTTTTACGTAAGAGATCCACTTTCTTTGTTGGCTTTAACTTTGGAGGACCTTGAACTATGTTGACCCACTTCATGATTTTGGTGAACCACTCCTCTGGAAAAGCGTAAAGTATCTTCACCAGAGAGAGTATCTCTTCCAGACTGACTAGGGTTAGAGACGATTGAAGTTTCATAAGTACTATCTTCAACAGATTCTTGAACCGCTGTTGGAGGTAAATACAAGAGAGGTTTAGGCGGAACCTGAAGAGCCTCTACACTCCCCTCTAACATTTCAATGACTTTTATCATTGTTGGACGATCAGATGGACTGGTCTGAATACACCATAGACCAACGAACAGCATTTTCTTTGCAATTTTCTCTTCTTCTTCTGTTACTTTCTGCCCACGAAACCTCATGGTTTCTCCCCTCTCAAAATCCTTATAGATCCACTCTGGAAAGTACATTGAGCTATTATTGGATCCTGACTTCACAAAATTATCTCTATTTCTCGCTCCAATCATCTCAAGAACCACCATCCCATAACTATAGACATCTGACTTATGCGAAACTCCTCCAAAATTATTATTAATCACTTCAAGCAGAGGAACAATATTGACATGAGATGTTCTACTCATGCTAGCTACTTCATTGATGAACTCTTCTCCATTTCCCTCTATCTCCATCAAGATCTTCACTGCAATATCCTGACCACTATCGGGTAACTTGCCTTTGTATACAGTTCCAAATCCTCCTCTCCCGAGAACATGCGCAAATGAGTTTGTCATCTTTTTTACTTTTGTGTAACTATAGCGTCTCAGCATTACGACTGCTTCAATATTTTTGTTATTCAAATTAGTCGCCTTCTTTGCTCTCACCATTATCGTGACCAAGATAATGATAATCACAGTTAATGCTGGTGAGACTCCTACAACTAGATAAGAAAAATTGAAATTTAAGTGTCATATCTACAAGAGTACAATCAAATGGACTCGGATATAAGATCTCTTCTTTTTTAATTGATTCTTCATTTGTCATGTGCAGATTGGTTTTGAGATGATTGATCATATAGCTCGAACAAAAAACATTTCCATGATCAGACTGGAGATGTGGGAGAATCACGGCCTTGTATGTTAAAGTTTGGTATTGATACTCTCTTGTGGTCTTTATTCTGTGCATTAGATTCTTGTGAACAAGATTTAGATCACAGTAGGGCTTAGAAGAGATAATATGAATCGTTCTTATTTGAATATATGTTTTATCATACTTATAACTGAGAGTGAACATAAAATTAGAGATTAGTTATCATCCATGGTCGGACTAGTCATTGGACTGAATGATATGTGATGATGACTACGTTTGAAATAGCAGCAACAATAAAATTCTCCAGGGATATCGTATTGTAACCATTCACAACCCGCTTTAACAAAAACCCATCCTTTGCGGAGTCCAGGAATTATGTGCATGTCGTCTTTGCAACGTGAAACGCATGCCTGTGTGTCTGTACATCCATAGGGGACTTTACAATACCCTTCTATTTTTTGCCCTTCTATATGTAGTCAACAAGATATATATTGTCAATGTAATATATTAAAGTGTAAAAACAAGAATTCAGAGAATTTTCCGAATTTTTAATATAACAAAAATCTAGCGACATAAGATTGTTACCTGAAACGATGGGTGCAAGGATGAGCAACACCATTAGTGAAAGTAATAGAAGAGATGATAACATTTTGGTTGCCATTTTTCAGAGGATACAATAAATCTTTCTTTGAATGTACTATGAGATCTCACGAGAAACGCAAAACCTATAAAAAATGAGTTTCAATAATCACTGTTGGAACAAAATAAAAACCCGATATAAGAAGAACATCTCTCTTATCTTCTTTACTAAAGAGAATTTCCAAGATTTACGATGAAATTTAACATAGTTATAATTTAGTTTACCTTTCTTCTGTGTAATACTCTAATAGTTAGTGAGAATGAATTGTTTTGATCTTGTTTGTGCAATTAAATAGATAGGTACACAAGTGATGAGTTTAATAAGTCATATTATGCAGTCAATAAGGTGTAATGAGTACATAATGTAGTCAATATTATGTAGTCAAAATGATATTCGGTTTTATTGCTTTTATTTGGTTTACTAATGATTTCAGTCAGATGTTCCATTATATTAATTTGTTAGCCATTTGGGACTGCAAATTCAAAGACATCAAAAGATTAGTTTCATGGACCACACATCGTATATGGCAAACCCAAACGCTTTTTTATAAAATAATGGTAATATCATTTTGGTGTAAAATAATACAATTTTATTTTAGCGATATCAAATGGCAAAATAATGATTTATTTATTTTATGCAACGAGCAGAATGATGATTTATTTTTCCAAAATGATGGGAATATTTTGACAACCAAATAACAAAATCAAATTTTGGGGTCAATTTGCATTAGAACAGTTTAGAGTTGTTTAGAGGGGCTTCTGATCCAATTACTAAGTTAGAAGGCAAAACAGTAAATAAATAGTGATAGAATGACCAAACTTTATTTACATCTTTAATCCCTCCAGTTAAATGAAATCTTACTCTCTCCTCCCCTCTCCAGCTTCTGCTACTGCTTTATCTTCTTCTCAAGGTTTCATTTAAAATTCTTCCTGAAAACTCCGCAATTTGTTCTCTTTCACAGTTAACAACGAATCTGAAATTTAGGGTTTCCTTTTCACAATCCAGTCAGTTTCTTTGAAGAATCAATTTTTCTTTTGGGTTTCAGTTGCAAAGATGTTTTCTGCTTCGTCTCCTCCGATTACATCTCTTCTCTACCCAAAAGCTTGTAAATTTGGTCAATCAAAACCGAATTCGAAGAGATTCTTCTCTGCTCGTGCTTCATTGCCTGTTTCTGATCATAACCTTAAAGTCGAATACACACCATGGCTTATCGTTGGGCTTGGCAACCCTGGAACGAAGTATCACGGAACAAGACATAATGTATAAAAATGTCATTTTTAGTGTTTTGATAAATCAAAGCTCTCTCCTTTTTTGTTGATTCTTTCATTTGTTATGTGCAGATTGGTTTTGAGATGATTGATCAGATAGCTCGAGCAAGGGACATTTCAATGAACACAATACAGTCCAAAGCTTTAGTTGGAATAGGTTCTCTTCTCACCAAAGTTTTCTCTGTTTTTTAATTCATTTGATAGTTTCACAAATTGTCTTTGTTGATTTGGGATTCACTATTGTGACCAGAACAGGTTCTGTTGGTGAAGTTCCAATTTTGTTGGTGAAACCTCAAGCATACATGAATTTCAGTGGTGAATCGGTTAGTCATTGGCTTTATATAACTTTTGAGAACCCAAAAGTCTTTGGCTTTATGTGGTAACTTGAGAAATGATTGTGTTTTTGATTTCTCAAGGTTGGGCCATTAGCAGCTTATTACCAAGTACCCTTACGCCACATTTTGATGGTAAGTAAGTATGAAAAATGTTATCTTTTTGCTATGTGATGATAATGAAACTGAATTGAGCAATATGGTGTAGATATATGATGACATGGGTTTGCCTAATGGTGTCTTGAAGCTTCAACCAAGAGGAGGACATAGCCACCACAATGGGTATGTAATGTCTATGAGGAAATGAATAGTGAAGTGATCAAAGACTCTTTCTTTGCCATTTCTTGTGTTTTTTTCTGAAGAAAAGTCTGTAACTTTTTTTTGTTCTGTGACAGGTTGAAGAATGTGACGGAACATTTAAATGGTTGTCGTGGCTTTCCTCGCTTATCGATCGGTTTGTGTTCCAGTTCCATCAGTGAAGCTCTCATCCACCAAATAAGCTTTTACAATCATAGTAAAAAAAATTCTAGTGAATTGCAGGAATTGGGAAGCCACCAGGTAACATGGACATGAAAGCGTTTCTTCTCCAGAAATTTAGCCCCTTGGAGCGAAAACAGGTAACAATTCTATGAAAGTCTCAAACTTTTTTGGACCAAAGACATTCTACAACTATTTGTTCATCGGACTTACATTGGATATAAATGCGTTTTGTTGAACCGAATCATGTTAGATCGATGCGGGAATGGAACAAGGTGTTGAAGCCGTGAAGACACTTGTGGAAGATGGATTCAACGACACTATATCTAGATTCAATTTGGAGCAGAAATACAAGTTTCACACAGTTTGAAATTTCTCGACATTTTGCTTGTGTAGTGTGTGTCAAGTTTAGAGTTTTATTTTCAGTTAAAGTTTGCTTTTGATGCCCTCTTGTGGTTTTTATTGTTTACATTATATTCTTATGAACAATTGTTTAATTGTGTGTTAGTACATTAGGATTCTCTAGTTTTGACAAGTAGATACTATACATTTTGTAGTATAAAGCTGTATGCTCTCTTTGCTCAACGATATACAGAAATCTCTTGAATCCTGTTTCAATATTAATCGTTTTATTTGAATACATATGTTTTTTATACTTAAAACTGAGAATACATACAAAATGAGAGATTAATTAGTAATGACTGGATTGGGCCGATTGGCGATGGGAGAATTAGATTTAATGAGATTGTTGCAGCAACAATACATTATGACATATGGTTTATATGGAGCTAAGTATTATTTACATTTTCCGCCACCTTTCCCATGGTATTTGCATCCAAAATCACATACCGGGTCGCTTGTACATCCTTTCGTACACCCCGGAATTTGTCCTATTTGGTTCATAAAAAAACCATCCAACATAATACAGTTTAAATATATTTTCCAACTTCATACTAGAAAAATCTATCGCTTAACAGATTAGACTAAACATGTTACCTGAAATCATGGGTACGATGAAGAGAGCAAACACCAACATCGAAGAGAATAGAAGAGACCAGAACATTTTCGTTGCCATTTTTATAGAAGATGCAATAACTCTTACTTTGAATTTAGATCTCAAGACAAAGAAAAACCTATATCCAAAATAAGTTTCAAAATCATTGTTAGAAAAACTCGAAAATCCAGGAATCACATCTTTTTATCTTCTTTAATAGAGAGAAATTCCAATGTTTACTATAAGATTTTAACATAGTTATAATCAAATTTACCTTTCTTCTTTGTAATACTCTAATACTTGCTGAAGATGAATTGTGTTGATCTCGTGTGTGCATTTATATATATATAATATATATATATATATATATATGTATGTAATGAGTTCAACTGAATTTCCATAATATAAAATGAGCTTTCCATAGTAGATATTTGGGGTTATAGTTTCTATTTGGTTTAATTATAATTTTAGTCAAAATGTTCCATCATTAAATTGTTTGCCATTTGAGATCGTGACTCATATTAAATAAAGTCAAAGACATCAAAAATTAGATAAATATATATACCACATATCTTTGTATATGGTAAACACATTTTGACAAACCTGAAGCTTTAAGATGGTAGTATCAAACCTGAAGTTTTTTTTCTTATAAAAGTAAGTCACAAGCAAAATGTCGAGAAATTCAAACTGTGTGAAACTTGTATTTCTGCTCCAAATTGAATCTAGATATTGTGTCGTTGAATCCATCTTCCACAAGTGTCTTCACGGCTTCAACACCTTGTTCCATTCCCGCATCAATCTAACATGATTCGGTTCAACAAACCCATTCATATCCAATGTTAGTTCGATTAACAAATAGTTGTAGAATAAATCATCATTCTGCCATTTGATATCAATAACGTTAAATGATTTTTCACCAAAACAAGATTGTATGATTCTACACCAAATTTGATATTACCATTAGTGTGTCAAGTTAGAGTTTTATTTTCTGTTAATGTTTGCTTTTGATGCTCTCTTGTGGTTTTTATTGTTTACATTATATTCTTGTGATTTGTGAACAATTAGATGACATTAAGGCTTAGACGATAAAATATGTAAATACTGATCGTATATGGGAGTCATTGTAATATATAATCCCATCCCTCTAGTTGTGTTTTATATTATTATCTGCACATAAATTAGGATTCTCTAGTTTTAGCAAGTAGATACGATACTTTGTAGTACAAAGCTGTATGCTCTCTTTGCTCAACGATATACAGAAATCTCTTGAATCCTGTTTCAATGTTAATCGTCTTATTTGAATATATATGTTTTTTCATACTTATAACTGAGAATACATATAAAATGAGAGACTAATTAGTAATGGATGGACTGTCGATGGGAGAATTAGATATAATGTGATTCTTGCAGCAGCAATATTTGGTGATATGAGTATAAGGAGGTTCGTATGGATAGAATTTAAAACATTCTCCGCCAGGTTTCCCATGTTGTTTGCATTGTAAATCGCATGCCTGTTCGCTTCTACATCCTATCGTACACTTCTCTCCTAGTCCTATTTGGTTCATAAAAAAACCATCAACATAATACATTTTAAATATAAAGTTTGTCAATATTATATTGCATATAGCGAAAATTTTCTCTCTTTGTTTTGCATTGAGTAATTTTGACACAACTAGTAAAAATACCATGAATTTTAAAGAGAATTGTTTTAAAAGAAAAAAATTGGTAACTCACGGTTAATGCCTATGAAGGGGCACAATTTTTTTCCAATTTTGTAAATGAATTTTCCAACTTCATACTAGAAAGAAAAAACTAGCGTTTAACAGATAACAGATAACAAATATCTTACCTGAAATCATGGGTACGCTGAAGAGAGCAAACACCAACATGGAAGAGAACAGAAGAGACGAGAACATTTTGGGTGCCATTTTTTAGAGGATGCAATAACTCTTAGTTTGAAAGTATTTTTAGATCTCACGACAAAGAAAACCCTATATCCAAAATAAGTTTCAAAATCATTGTTAGAAAAAAAAAAAAAAAGCCAGGAATCACATCTTTTTATCTTAGAGAGAATTTCCAATGTTTAATTACTATAAGATTTAACATAGCTGTAATCAAATTAATTAACCTTTCTTCTTTGTAATACTCTAATACTTGCTGAAGATGAAATGTGTTCATCTTGTGTGTGCATTTATATATATGTAATGAGTTTGATTTTCCATAATATGTAATGAGCTTTCCATAGTAGATATATCGGTTTATAGTTTTATTTTGTTTAATTATAATTTTAGTCAAAATGTTCCATCGTTAATTTGTTTGCCATTTGGGATCTCGTGACTCATATCAAATGTAGTCAAAGACATCAAAAATTAGATTAATATACCACATACATTTGTATATGGTAATTCAGTAATTGGTAAACACATTTTGACCAACCTGGAGTTTATTTTTATAAAAGTAAGTAATGGTAATATCATTTTGGTGTAGAATCATACAATCTTCTTTTGGTGCAAAATCATTTAACATTATTCATATCAAATGGCAGAATGATGATTTATTTTTAACAAATGATGGGAACAAAATTTTCAGAATTCTTTCAACGTATATTATTTCGCTTAAAAAAAATTACTGACCGTTTGATCGAAGATTCACTGGGTCCCTCACTACCTAAATAAGACCGTTACACGTAAGAAAAAAAAAACTTTTCTTCTTTACATTAAATAAAGCCTTTAGCTTCACAAACAACAAACTCGAGAAAACAAAAAAAAAAAGATCTCTCTTTTAACGAAGAAGAAGAAGTTTGATTCGAGATTCATCCATTAATGGCGGATACGACGATCTCAAATCCTAGTATGGAGCCTCTGTTTTTCTCTGTTGATCCAATGTCTCTTATACTCTCTCAAAACTCAGACACACATCAGCTTAAACTCTTGTTAGACGGTTTCTCCGGTTTCGAGAGAGGACCAAGATACGACGAATACTCGAGATTGCGTGAATCAAAGCTCCGCATGAAACGAGATTTCCAGAGATTTCTCCAGGAAGAAGAAGAAGAAGAGCCGAGGAAAAAACAAGTGAGATTCGAGGGTATTTCAGTAACTTCACGAGAAGTAGAACAAGAGAAAATTTCTCCGATGAAGAAACAGACGCGATTCGGGTTTTCCCCGATGAAAAAAGCTCCGTCTTCTTCGTTGGCTCAATCGGTTCCTGATTTCTCAGCGGTGATACGTAAAGAGAATCGCCGTCCGGTTAATTTCAACACTACTACTCCGCCGCCGCCGTCTTCGAAGAGCAGATGCGGCGGCGTTTTGGCGGGATCGGCTTCTTCTTCCGCCGCCGCGAGAGGGAGCAAATCGGCGAGTGCAGGGGAGAAGAAGAGTAAAGGTATGATGATGGGTATGGCGCGTAAGAGCTACGCAAATGTTGAGGATCTCAAGAAGATTTCAGTTGCTGCCGCTTCTGCCATTAACGGCGGCGGAGCAGGAGGGAGAAAAACCGGTGGCGTTGGCGGTGGCCGGACTATTCTTGGTTACAGACAGATTTACTGATTTTCGATTCCAAAGCTTTGACCTTTACACGGTTTATTCTTTGTTTTATTTTGTGGGTTTTGATTGGTGAGAAGAAATTGTTGGATTTGATTGTTGATTTGGTTTTTTTTTTTGGCTTTTTTCTGTGTTAGTGATTTTGATTGTTTGTAAAAGCATATACAATCTTCATATATAAAAAACTCATGTGATTCTTTTTCAAAGTAAACAAATCGAATTATCTTGTTATAGTTGTCACAGTGACAAGTTCATGTGCATCTTGTGATACTGACATATTCGTCTCTGATGTACACACATGAATGGAAAGATGACGACTTTGGTTTACTGCTAAATTTGTATGTAATTTCTTGTTTTTTATTCCATTAAACCAACCACCGACTCAAGTTTTCAAAAACTTTATTCCAAAAATGTAATTCGCGTTTATAAACTTGCTACAAATACATCAATAGACACATTTTCGCATTTGAAAACACGTCATGCATGCTTTATATTAATAACCTTTAGTTGAAATTGCATGTGCTTTTACAAATTAGTTTCTAACGTGGAAACGTCTAGATTTTATGAATCTCTAGACTTTCTATATATAGAGAGATATGAAACTCAAGTTTTATACATCATGCGTTGAATTGAAATACTGCTAGTAAATTAGTAATAATACCTTACTAAACAGAAAGTCGATTAAAAGAAAACCATTTGAAGAAATCTCACTTGTTCAATTAGAACAGTGGCTGTAATTTGTTCTAGATTAATATAAGCTCTACAGTCCCACACAATTAGTAATGCACTTATGCATTTCTTTGTAAAAATATTGTATGTTTTTTTTTCAACGTGAAAGATTGTTTATATATCCACTATTCATTATTTCTAGGTCAATCCATGAGTTTTCTTTATGGTTAATATATTGAGTAATTATGACATAAACATTTTTTTTGTTCAACTAACATAAACATATCATCTTTTATTTGGTATAATAAACGAAATTGAAGTTTGTTCAACATAGAAAGAAATAACAATTAACATAAATATATATACTGTATATATATATACTTATTGATTAATTATGAGAATCTTACATATTTCGAAAAGAAAGATAAAGGACATGACAATATTTCAGTACCACACAAAGATCTAAATTAATTATTCCATAAAAGCTTTAAAGGATTAACGACTGTAAAATATTACTAGTTCTTCAATTCTTTGTCATCCAAAACCATTCATTTAGATGAGGAAGCTTTAGATAAGGAAGCCTCTTTCTCCGCAATAGCTTTCATTAGTTTCCCCGTCAAATCCTAAATATTTTATTTACCAAAATCCAAGTAACATTAAACAAAAAAACGAAAATATATAAATTTGTTATAAGAGTATAAAAATGAACACGTACCGTCATAAGCTTTTCATTTTCTTGTAATACTTTCACAACATGAGCCTCTTCAGCTTTAAGCTCGTCCATAATCTTACGATCTTCGACAGTTGCACAATCATGTGACATTTTGAACAGACCGTTGATTTTTGTGATTTGCAAATCCTATATTTTACAAAAACAAAGCAATTTACAATTTCTACATCAAAGAAGAACGAATACTACAAATATATAAGAGTATTAAAATGAATACTTACGTCCCATTCCTTTTTACTAACTGCGATCGTTTCAATGAGTAGCTTGATGTCAGCAGCAAGCTGAAGAAGTTCTGCCTCTGTAAGAACCATTTGTTGTTGTTTTTTTTTTTGGGTATATGAACAAGAGCGAGAGACTTAGGCCTAATCTTTCTTTTCTCTTCACAGTCGTTCTTGTTAATGCCTGATCCTCAATTTATATAGAGCTGTATTGTGTGTTGTGTGTAAATAGGTAAAATGCATGCTAAATTATGCAATTCCGTGTTGATCTTGTTCTTCCACTAAAGTCGTCGATATATTACCTTTTCTATTTATCCTTTTGATTAAAACGAAAACTTTATCGATTAGGAAATTCCTGTTTATAATGTTTACCACTAAATTTGTGTGTAATTTTTTGTTTTTGTATCCATTAGATCAACCACCGACTCAAGTTTTCAAAAACTTTATTCCAAAAATGTAATACGCGTCTATAAAGTATAAACTTGCTATAAATACATACATATTCGCATTTGAAAAACGTCATGCTCAAACTGCTAAAGCAACAACTATATCAGGAATGTAGAAACGAGGAGCAATTCTGGAAAGGGAAGAGTAGAGTGGATTGGTTAAAACATGGGGACAAGAACACAAAGTTCTATCATGCAGCCACGAAGAGTAGACGAGCCCAAAACAGAATACGGAGCTTGTTGGATAACATAGAGAAAGAGTGGTTTGCAGAGGAAGACCTAGGAAGGATAGCTGAAGAGTACTTCAAGATGCTGTTCACATCAGAGGATATAGGATACAAGCTCAGAGAAATGGAAGAGAGACAAACAATCATATCCCATGAACAGAATGCCACGTTAATGGCTCCAGTCACACCGGAGGAAGTGAAAAGAGCGACTTTTGACATCAATCCGGGAAAGTGTCCCGGACCAGATGGTATGAACGGGTACTTCTTTCAACAGTTTTGGGAGAGCATAGGAGAAAGCCTGACGAGAATGGTGACCGAGTTCTTCAGGACATGAGAGATGCAGGAAGGCATAAACAAGACCAACATTTGCCTGATACCAAAAACCTACAAAGCGAAAAGACTGACGGAATTCCGGCCAATCAGTCTATGCAATGTAGTGTATAAAATCATCGCAAAGCTCATGGCTAAGAGACTAAAGAAGGTGCTTCCCTCAATCGTGTCAGAATCACAAGCGGCTTTCGTGCAAGGTCGGCTTATTTCTGATAATATTCTGGTAGCACATGAACTCCTTCACGCTTTAAATTCCTCTAATGCCTGCTCTGAAGAATTCATTGCTATAAAAACGGATATCTCTAAGGCCTATGATAGAGTTGAATGGTCATTCTTGGAGAATGCTTTGAGAATTCTCGGGTTTGATGGGAAATGGATTCACCTGGTTATGGGATGTGTCAAAATAGTAAACTATCAAGTCCTCATCAACGGTAAACCCTACGGTGACATCAAATCAACCCAAGGATTGAGACAGGGAGACCCTCTCTCTCCCTATCTCTTTGTGATTTGCACAGAAATGCTGGTAAGAATGATGAAGAAGGCTGAGCAAGATGGGAAGATCACAGGACTACAAATTGCGAGAAAAGCCCCACCGGTCTCGCATCTCTTATTCGCCGATGACAGCATGTTCTATTGCAAGGGAAGTGAAGCTGAGCTTAACCAGATCGGAAGAATAATTGAAGAGTATAGCCTAGCATCTGGCCAGAGAGTGAACTACCAGAAATCAAGCGTCTGCTTTGGAAAGAAGATCCCCATTAGTCGAAGAGAGGAAATAAAACGGAAGCTGGGGATAGAGAAGGAAGGAGGTGAAGGGAACTACTTAGGACTCCCAGAGAACTTTGGGAAATCGAAAGTAGAAACGATGAAGTACCTTCAGGAAAGAATGAAGCAACGGACCACGGGATGGCATTCCAAGTTTCTGTCAACAGGAGGAAAAGAAGTGTTGAGAAAGTCAGTGGCAATGGCGCTACCCACATACACAATGATGTGCTTCAAACTCCCGAAGACCACTTACGATCAAATAACCTCAGCCTTGGCAGAATTCTGGTGGAGAAGCAATTCCAAAGGAAATGGAATGCATTGGAAAACATGGAAAGCTCTATGCAAACCGAAGGAAGAAGGAGGTTTGGATTTTAGAGACCTTGAAGCTTATAATCTGGCATTACTAGGGAAGCAGATGTGGAGAATGATGACCCGAAAGGACACCTTAATGGCCAGAATCTTCAGAGGGAAATATTTTCCCAAAAGCGATCCTCTTCAAGCTTCACTTGGATCAAACCCATCCTACGCATGGTCAAGCATAAATGCAGCGCAGAATCTACTCAAACAAGGTACTCGATATGTGATAGGAAGAGGAAACCATACCCGAGCATGGAAGGACAATTGGATCGATACAAAACCAGCGAGACCCCCTCTCGTGAGACAGCAAGTCCCGGATCAGTACCATCATCTTCTCCACGACAACACTAAAGTGGAGGAGCTTCTGGTCAATAATGGCAGAGAATGGAACACGGAGATAGTACAGAACCTCTTCTCAAGAGAAGATGGGGAGATAATTGAAAGAATCAGACCAGGTGGAGGGTTCACAGAAGACTCGTTCTCTTGGGACTTCTCAAGAAATGGAGAATACACGGTCAAGTCTGCCTATTGGTTACAAATCCAAATCCAAAACAGAAGTTGCAGCTCCCAAGAAGTTCTCAACCCGAGCCTAAACCCTCTATTCCAAATGCTGTGGAAAACTGAGGGAAGTCCGAAAGTCCAACACTTCCTCTAGAAATGCTTAACTAATTGTATATCGGTAGCAGACAACCTCAACACTAGGCACATCTCAAAGGATGGATCATGCATCCGATGTCCAGAAAGAAGAGAAACAGTCAACCACCTACTATTTCAATGTTCCTTCTCACAAGAAGTGTGGGCAATGTCGCCTATCCCAGCTCCTCCAATCAGGGAATGGACCAGCTCTCTCTACTCAAACCTATATGAAGTCCTCCATCCAGAGAGCGATCATCCTCTGAAAGAGAAGAGCGTTAAAATAGCACCATGGCTATTATGGAGAATCTGGAAGAACAGGAATGAACTCATACATAAGGGAAGAGAATACAACGCTCAAGAGGTAGCTAACAAAGCAGTAGAGGATGCAGAGGAGTGGGAAGGAAGAATGGAGGTCAAAACTCGAGAGGCAAAGAATGTGATAGAACGCCAGAGCAGAAGCAAATGGAGACCACCTACACACGGACAGTGGAAATGCAACACAGATGGCTCTTGGTCTAAAAACCAAGACAAAAGTGGAGTCGGTTGGATCCTAAGAGACCACAATGGGAATATGATATGGATGGGAGCTAAGGCGTATCACAGGCTAGAGTCTGCTCTGGAGACAGAACTGGAAGCGCTAAGATGGGCCATAATCTCCGTTACAAGACTGAATTATGAGAAGGTCACATTCGAAACAGATTCAAGTACCGCAGCAAATCTTGTAAACGGCAGAGATAGATGGCCTTCTCTGGGACCAATTATTGCTGATATCCAACAGCTGCTTCAAAAGTTCCGGTGGATTCACATTGAGTACACTCCAAGGGAAAGCAATACGGTGGCGGACAGAACAACAAAGGAAGCAATCTCTTTCCCTGGTATTGAACCCAAATTGTACTCTTGTACACCTACGTGGGCTTCTCGTTTGATAGAGATGGATAAGATCGTGTAATAACTTTGTTTGGATTAATGAATTGAAGTTGAGCCAAAAAAAAAAAATAATAATAAATAAACCTTTTCAATACGTCAACGTGTCACTGGACTCGCTAGAAAGACAAGTAAAACCGAGATCATACAAAATAAGCGTAGTTTTTAGAAATTAAACAAACAAGTTTTGAATAACGTTGAACTTACAACTAATGGTTAGTTAATGCACAGCATGTTCTGTTCAAAGATCTAATGCTAAAAGAGATGGGCTCATGTAAACTCTTCAAGAATTGTGTCGTATGAAGCCACCATCTCTAACACCGAAATGGCAATCTTGGGCACTGCTTGAAATCCAGAGAAGTACTCCCATTGTACTGTTGTCGTATCTCAGTTACAAAGTTAAACAACTTTGTGCTGAGTTCTTGAATAAAGCTGCAAAATGTTTGAGAAGGTCAAAATCGGGAATAAGTTTCAACACCTTATATAAACTAAGCTTATTAAAAAATAAATCGTATAAATACAAAACGGATATGCTCTTCTTTTTTTTTTTTTTTTGAGAACTGACTTGATATGCTCATATTAACTCATACAAAACAAAGCAGTAAATATTTATCTTGTGTTTTAATATATATAAATAAAATTAAAGTATAAATTACCACACCTACCTTGATATATACCATTGTTTATTCTCTTAAACAATAAAACTATATAATACATACGGTAATATTCGTCTATGATGTCATCTCTAAACTTTCTAAAAATAGAGAGATATAATTAGAGTTTTAGTCTTCATGCACTGAACTGAAATGCTGCCTCACAGAACGTCGATAAAAAGAAAAACCATTTGAAGAAATCTCACTTGTTTAATTAGGATAGTGGATGTTACTATTCTAGGTTAATTTAAGCGGTATGGTCCCACACAATTAGTAATGCACTTCTGCATTTCTTTGTAAAAGATCGTTTTTTTTTCTCAACGTGAAAGTTTATTTATATCTCCACTATTCATTATTTATAGGTCAATCCATGAGTTTTCTTCATAGTTATTATATTGACTAATTATGACATAAACATTTTTTGGTCAACTAACATAAACATCTTATCTTTTATTTGCTATAAAAAAACGAAAATTGAAGTTTGTTCAACATAGAAAGAAATCAAAATATCATAAATATATATACATATATATATATATAATTATTGATTAATTATGAGAATCTTGCATATTTCGAAAAGAAAGATAAAGGACATGACAATATTTCAGTACCACACCAAGACCTAAATTATTTTTATTCCATAAAAGCTTTAAAGGATGTAATACTAGTTCTTCATTTATTTGTCAGCCAAAACCATTTATTTAGATGAGGAAGCTTTAGATAAGGAAGCCTCTTTCTCCGCAATAGCTTTCATTAGTCTCTCAGTCAATTCCTAAATTTTACAAAAATCCAATTAACATTAAAAAAAACGAAAAATATATAAATTTGTTATAAGAGTATAATGAACACGTACCGTCATAAGCTTTTCATTGTCTTTTAATACTTTCACGACACGAGCCTCTTCAGCTTTAAGCTCGTCCATAATCTTACGATCTTCGACATTTGCACAATCATGTGACATTTTGAACAGACCGTTAATTTTTGTGATTTGCAAATCCTATATTTTACAAAACAAAGCAATTTACAATTTCTACATCAAAGAAGAATGAAAACTACAAATATACGAAGTTGTTCTAAGAGTACTAAAATGAATTCTTACGTCCCATTCCTTTTTACTAACTGCGATTGTTTCAATCAGAAGCTTGATGTCAGCAGCAAGCTGAAAAAGTTCAGCCTCTGTAAGAACCATTTCTTTGGTTTTCTTTTTATAGTTGTACAATAGCGAAAAACTTAGGCCTAATTTTTCTTTTCTCTTCTCATTCGTTCTTGTTAATGCCTGATCCTCAATTTATATAGAGATGTATTCTGTGTTAAGTAGATGAAAAGCACTAAATTATTTATTTCCGTGTTGATGTTGTTCTTCCACTAAAGTCATCGATATATTACCTTTTCTATTGATCTTTTTTGATTAAAACCAAAACTTAATCGATAAGGAAATTCTTGTTTACATTACTACTAAATTTGTTGGTAACTAGAAATTTAGAAATTGACCCGCGCTAACGCTGCGGGATTTGATGTTGAATAAGTTCTGTTTGATGTTTTACTATGTTTCTGTCTATTCAAATTTTATTGTGACATTAAGATAAAAATATGTTAGAAATTTTATAGAATATATGTATTATATTTTATTTTGTCATGTTTTGTTTCGCTTTATTTTTATCATATTTTGTTTTCTATATTGTTTTCCAACTATGTTTTGAGTTTATAATTCTTTGTGAAATCATGAGCAATATTAGATAACAGAACCAAAAATATACATGACGATGTTTAGGATCGCATAGGAATTGCTCAGTTTTTGGCAAAATTTAAAAGTTGATTAATCAGTGAATCTGCTGGTTTTATAATCTAGACATCGAAGGATATAGCTTATGAGTATGAATTAGTAACATTCTACTGAATTAATTGATGGAGATTCATTGGAATCAATCACTTAAAGAACATATAAACTTGACTAAACATGCAAAGGCAAGGCTCATAATTCTAAGTAGATGACAAAACGTAATCCAAATAACCAAATTATAAGGATATTTATAGACAAAAGCCCCAAATCTCAAATCAGAACATCATCTCTTATGATCATTGTTTGTAGAGATGAAAAACATCAGCATCATCGTAGGAAGCTGTTGGTGGGAAATGTCTTAAAGGATCTGTCGCAGCAGCTCTGTTTCTCTACATGTTTTGTTTTTAGTAAAACATTGTTAGATACATTTGTTTGGGGAATCTAAGATGAGTTTTTTTAATACTTATTAATCTAACGGCCATCATTAAGGGGCAGAACATTTGATGATGATGAGATGGTTTCACTCTTCTTCTTCTCTTCTTCTCCCTCTCTGCATTTCATAATTAAGTCAATAATGAATCAAATCAGACAGCAACACATAAAGATCAACATATTATGTAGTCTCTAGTATGAGATCATAAAATTCTGTTGCCACTGAAGAGAGATCATGTTAGCAACAAAACAGTGAGGAGATCAATGACAATGGAGCAACTGCAAGAAAAATGCAGCAAAGATTGTGTTAACTGCAGTAAAAATAAAGCTTCAGAACTGGATTCCCATGTCTAATATGTGATTTTCAGAATCACGATCTGCAACAAAATGACATAATTCATCAATGGTGTGCTGCAAGAACCCCAAAGTTTTGTTAATCCAAACCAACCAAAAACTGAAAAACATAGTATTGTTAGCCAATTCATGAACCGCTTTTGTGAATCTCATTTCAAATAATGCTGAGCTAAACATACTTACGCCAATGTGCATCAGGCAATTCACATATCTTTCCCATACTTTCTAACCCTTTAATATCCAAAACTTTCATCCCTCCTCTTGATTTTGAACCTCTATGTTTCATCTTTACTGTTGGTAAAAATGGCAAATGATTATTCCGAGCAAATGATTATTTTGGAATTTGAAAGCATATCATTGTATTAGCATATAGTTATATGGCTTACATGTACTGTAGCTTCATGCTAGAATCCAAAGTGTAGCAACATGGAGGAGGATACATGTATCTGCAACACGGAGGAGGACACAATCTAAGTAACAACTATCACTGAGAAACCGGGTTCTATTTGAGCAATCGACCATTCACAGAACCAATCAATACAATAAACTTTATAGTCTCATAGAAGAACAGTTCTCGTGTGCATATTCCCATTCTCATTACAGATTCCCATCCAACCTGCAGATTTGACAAGAGTTTCAAAACTTAAACATAAAAAGGTAAGATCATTGTCTGCAAGAAAGATAAATTCAAAAATATCTAACCTTTCCACAAATATAAAGACCTCCGATAAGCAGAGCAACCTGAAGAACAAGAATTGTGAAACCTCAAAAATCAGTTGGTTAAATGATATACCCAGCGAAAATCTATTAAACCAAGCAAGATAGCTTCTTCTTTGAACAGAACAAGTTGCCTGGAACAGAAACAAAGTGTCAAAGTCGATCTACAGAACAACTTGCCTGGTATCTTTTCGGAACCTTCGAAGCCTCCATACTCTTCAATATCGTCCTGCAGAAAATTCGAAAGTAGCAAGGTCTTCATTAGAAAACAGAGAAACGAAATGAATAAATCGAAAGAAGGTACGATTTTCTCCCCATCCCGAGAATGGATTGAAAAGAAACAAACCAAATAAATAAGACCAGCGACATAGTTTGACATGAACAGGACAAAGAAATTATATGTAAGCAATGATGTCGGAGAAATCTGAGAAACTACACCATGTACATGTTGTTTAATCGTAAAACTTCAATCTGCATAAATTGCGTCGAAACCCAAAAGATAAGGAAAAACTGCTAATTTCAGACAAAGGAAAAACGCTTCCACTATTAGGATCCTTCAATCTCCTTGTCAACGATGAATTCATAGTATTCAATTGAGTTTTGTTAAATCTCTTTGGGCAATCTACTATTTGAGAATCGAGGAAATGTAAAATTTTAAAACGAAATTAAAAAGCATGACGAAGAACAAAACTTTGCATGTGTTGATTTCCGGCGAGACGGTGAGTACACGGACGGCGAAAACGAAATCTCCAACTCTGAGCCTCCGAAGAAGAACGTAGTTCGAACGAGTAGGTGGGATTCCTGAAGAATCAAAGAAGAAGAGAGGACGTAACCGGCGACGAGACTGAGAAGCATCGAGATTTCTATGGAGAATGGGATCAGAGAAATCGTAATGGGTTGACGAAGAAGAATAAATGTGATATAACCGATTGGAGAAAACCAAACCAGATGAAAAACGTGGCAAGGAAAACCAAAGAAGTTGCTGACTGTGATTATTTAAAATGTTTCGATTGGTTATATGTTTTAAATGATGTGTCAGTCCCAAAAAGTTTAAAACTGCTGATGTGTCAACACCTTGAGAGACATAAAAATTTCTTGTTTTGAATCCTTTAGATCAACATGTAACACACGTCTATAAAACATGTTATTAATACATACATATCCACACTTACACAATTGAAAACATGTCATGATTTCTATTAATCCATAACGTTTAGTCAGAGCCGTCCCTGAGATACAAGTGGCCACAAGCTTGAGAAAAAAAGGTGTTCAGTTTCGAACTCAGGAAAGCTTTGAAGCTAAGAAAACGACTAGACTACAAGACATTTTCTGAAAATATGGGCCAAATTTTTGTATATAATGAAAAAGGCCGCAAGCTCTTACTTGCTCCCAAAGCCAGCTCTGCGTTTAGTTGATTAATGGCCCGTACTATACTACCAGATTATATTTAATGTTATGTATATATTTTTACACTATTTAAGTTAGATTTATATATTTTATACCAATTTCGTATTTTCTGATAAATTTCTACTAAATTGCGGTTCATATATGTTATTTAAATTTTGTTTCATTATAAAATATCCGTGAAATTAAGAATTATAAACATATCATTAATATTTAAAAATATTTGTTCTAATAAGATTTTTGAAAAAATAATTAATAATTTTTTTAAACAAAACATTATGTCTCATTTGTTGTTTTATACTCTTTTATCTTCAAATATATTGTTCTTTACTCTCTTTCAATCTTTCTTTGTCTACCTTGGTTATTTATTACATAGAACTTAACAAGAGACTAGTTAGTATCATAAAGAACGAACACGTGGTTGTAAAAAAATGTTCCAATTAGAATTCCCAAACACATAACACATTCTGATAATTCAGAAATAGTTGTCGTCATGTTCTCTCTAAATTCTAATGCACATATCTTTTTTATAGCTTTCTCCAATGATTTGATTTAAAGTTTGAGATTAGTAACAGATTGAAAATATGAGTGGTGACGAACTCTCTGAGTTAGTCTGAAACTTTTGTTTGCCACACAAACAGGTGCTACACTAATTACTGCCAAATCGTTTTTGTATAATTCTATTAGATCTTCCTCTCTCAAAGTCTAAGGAAAATAAACTACAAAGCTGCTCAAAACTTTCTAGTAAATATGCCTTTTGCTTTCCCAAATGGATTTTGGTTGTTGATTTCTTTTGACAAAACTCGATAGTTATTTATTTGTTTATTTATATCGTCGCATAATAATTATGTTGGACTAAACTTAAAGGGAATTTTCAATGTTTTTTTCAATTATTTGGACGCTGGTTTTGGGCTCCCTTCAAAAATTGGCTATCCGACTCTTTTGACCATGCATTAGTATCGAAAATTCAATTGTTTCTCTATGTTTTTAAATAAAGATTAAAGAGTAATTATATCGTTCTATTTTTTTTTCCTGTAAACCCATTCACTAATAACACTCCAAAAACAAAAAGAATCGACAAATTAGGTTTTCAAAAGAGGTTATTTCTTAACAATACGGCAATATAACACTAAAGAATCTACATGATTTTTTACAAAAAAAAAAAAAGAATCTACATGATCCAGTCAACTTTGGTCAATCTCAATAGTCAACGGTTTTAGTTCACACGTTTAATCAACTGATGTGTCCCGTTCGAGTCTTTGACTAATATTTGTATTATTGGATCGTTTGTCGGTTTGATGTTTTTTCTGTCGGTATAATTTAACCATCTCACAAAACTAGTATATTTTCTCCTATGAAATCTAAAATTATCTTCGTAGAAAATTAGATTATCTTCAATACACCATATAACATCAAATCTCTAGCTACATATTTTATGTTCAAATTTAATAGCAACAAATAATGTTTCAAAACAATCAAAAAGTACAACGACTAACATTTTAAATGAAAAAAATACACGACTCTCTTTACAGGTTCCGGAAATAAGTCTAGAAAAAACAAACACTCTTCATTTTCTCCGATCGCTGCTGCCGGAAAAAACAGGGCCTAAGCAAAATATATCAGCCAATGGGACATTCAACGCCGGACTATTCATGGATCTTGAAGCCCTAAACTCTCTAGAATTCATCTTTTGCAAACTCTTCTTCTTCTTTTTCTGCGGATCACTATTGCTCCGTTGATATTCCGAGGAAGGATCTGTCTTTTTCTTTCTCATCGAGTACCCTACAGATTTGCTTCTAACAAGCCAAAACCCACACCCATAACTTGGATCATCTGAGTCAGAATCTCTTGCGTCGGTGTTAGCAGCTATGTTTTGGAGATCGCTTGTAGAAGAAGTAACCTCCGTCTTCTTGGTGGTTGTGGCCGTGAGAGAGAGGTTTCTCCAGTCTGAGAAGAGCTCGTCGGCGTGAGAAAACCGTTGTTTAGAGTTCTGTCGGAGGCAAAAGTCGAACTCCGGGCTTGAGTTTAGACATGACTGGTCTGATTCTGATCGAAGAGGGACTCTCTCTTCCGAATGAGAAGATATTGAGGTTCCTCTGTTTTTATGGCTCATCATACTGAGAATATTTAGTTTTGACGAATGTCTTAATAACAAATTGTGAGCTTGTAAAAAGAAGAGCAACAAGGTAGACAGATATATATACAAGGAAATGTCTAGACAAGAATTCACCTACCGAAAAAGTCATTTTTTGTATTTCTTACTTTTTAACATTCTTTTGGTACACAACCTTCTTAGTTTTTGTTATTTCAAATAATAAATTAAAGCTTTTTGACCACAATTTTTGTTTTATTGTTCTAAGATTAAACGAAAACGAAATACCAACCTCTTAATGAGAATAATTCCTATTTGCAAATTTGTGTGTAAACATGAGGTTACAAAATACAATATGAGACACTGTTGGGTGTAAAAAGATGTAGAAAAGTAAAATCTAACTTGGAATTGAAGTTGTTTTGCTTTATTGGGTGTAGGAAAGACTTTGACTTCAGCACTGATATTTGGTAGACTTTGAAGCATTGATTTTTTGGTCGACTTTGAAAACTTGTAGGGAAGGGAGTATAGTAGACTCCACATCTCAGATTGTTGAACACAGAAACTGTTCACCTAATTACAAAATATGACATCTCACTCGATTTTATATAGCATCTCATTCGTTTTTGATATCTTTGCCAGTATTTACAAATCTATTAAAGTACTCAATCAAATAGTTAAGTACCGGTACTTCAATTTCAATTTCAATTTCCACAGTGGGTACCCACTGTTGGATCCTGCCAAGTGATCATCTTTTTCTGCATGTATTAAGTCTACAATATTGTGGGTATTAAGTTTTTTTTACACGTTAGTCCAACCAGTTACCGAAGACAAAGTCATTCTAAGAGATCATATATGTTGAAACACAAACTAATAAACCCATTCTTTACGCAAGTCAAATTAACATTTGGTCATTCACTCATTCTAGATAGAGTATCTTGAATATCATATGATTATGTTAATCGGTATATAGAAATGTTAGTATATTGAATCAAATATATGGAAATTTGGGCTAATATTCACTATTCAGTACTACAGTGTTTGAGTCGAATATTAGAGTCGAATTTTAGTTTTTTTAATTCTAACCACAGAATCAGCATGGGAACATCAATTCTCGTAAAGTACGAACGGACAGGTATCAGCACCAAATATATAACATGTGTTATGTGTATGTTCTCTGTCCTAGCATTTCAGATCGCTTTCATTTTCATGAAAATTTGGTCTTACCAAATTCAAGAAATTTAAATACGAACTTTTTTTTCTTGCTATATGGTTCAACAAACCCGTAAAGTTGATTTTTCTTAGCATACAAGACTTTTATTGGATTTTATTGTATGCTACACATATTTGGATGTATACTGTGAGTGTTAATGTGTTATGGATAAATAAAAAAGAAGTTAATCGTACTTGGCATCACAATCTTTTAAATTCAGAACAGTTTTGTAGGGAAGACGGACAAAGCCTTCATTAATTTGAACATCAACTAATGAAAAACATACTAATTTGCATGACCTGATTTGATATAAGGTTTACACACATTTGCAAAAATGTATGTTTCATGTTAATGACCTTTTTTCCCCTACTTATAGTGTCAAATAATTAGACACATCATGTGTCACTAAAGGAAAAATAGACATCTAAAAAGATGGGGGGAAAATAATAAAATGAATAATACAATAGGACAAGCTTGAAATGGAATTTTGGTTACTAGTCACTTCTTGACTTGTCGAACTTTTCTAATAGTCTTTGATAACTAACTTATCATACAGTGTTTTGTAATAACATTGCAACCGAATTTCTTATAGTATAGTCAATGTAGCTAAGCTAGGTTTGGCTGATATTTTATGTGCAAGTTCGGCTCTAACTCTAGCTATTAGGTTTATTAATCAAGAAAACAATCTATTTAGACCTTTGGTTAAAGGCCCTGTTCGTTATGTTGTTGGCATTAGTAATGGACGACAATGACAAACAACAATTTCGAACTATATAATATACATCATGTTTCTTTTTCAAATGTTAAATAATATATACATTGATTTGGTTAAACCTTATTTAGTTTATGTATCATTTCTTACAAAAACTGTATGATTTTGTGACTGAACTTTTAACGGATTTAGTAACGAAATAAACTCAAGACGTGCTTCGCAAGAAACAGAGACTCAAGAACATAACACTCAACTCCACGAAATATCTTAATCTTACCAACAAAATATCATTGATCTCTTCTTGTTCTTGTCACTTCCACTGCCGAAAACTATCGATCCCAAACCAAAAAAATTCCCCGACGGAATCACATCCAGACACGAACTCACCCTAATCTCGCCTCCATTACCGCCGTAACTGTAACCTCCATTATCCTTCTTCTTCAATGGCTGCTTCTGCAAACTACATTTTGAAGAAGAAGACGAAACCTCAAGCTCCATCGTTTCTGTCGGTTTAGAATTCGAACCGGTCGAGTTCTTTGAAAGTAATGGCAATCTAGCTTCGTAAGGAAGACTGCTGCTTCTATCAAACCATAAAACCGCCCTCTTCTTCTTCTTAGGTTTTTCTTTAATCGTAGATATCTTATCTTCTTCTCCCTCGATTTCTTCTATCTCGTGAACCGGTTTAACATCTCTGATTGGATTCGTTTCCGGTTTGGGTCGACCCGATGAAGAAACGGAAAACGACTTCGTAACGGTTTTTGCTTCACCGGTTTCTTCAATTTCCACAACCGGTTTAATATCTCCGATTGGATTCGTCTCCGGTTTGATTGAACCGGTATCTTCTTTCTCCGGTTCGGGGCTCTTTTTGATTTCTGTAGGGAGGATTTTTCCGTCGTAGAATAATTCTTCGGCGGAGCAGGAGCTCTCGCCGGTGATTACGCCGCCGGGAATGGATAAATCGAATTTGAAACCGGAATGATGGCTGGAAGATTCCGACGGAGGTCGTAATGGGCTTTGCTCGATCGGTATGGATTCGGAGTGGCAAAAATCTTGAGAAAATGAGATTCTTGGACTGCGATTAACCTTTTCAGGCATTGTTACTAAATTTTCTCGAGAAAATATTGGTTTGGGATTTGAAGAAGAATGGGTTGCGAAAAAACTTCTTTTTATACTTGAGGAATTAAATGAAGGAGTGGTTTTTTTCAAATGTTCGGCTAAAGTTTGGTTTATGTTTAATTTCCGGAAAGTTTTGACAATCACCATCACATCTTTAACTAACCACAAACTAAAGCATAGTTCACATTTTTCTCATCTAACTAAGAAATTTAAGAATTAGGAAATTCACTTACAAGAACTAGTCCAAATTAAGCAGATAGATTTCCCGGTTTAGACAAACCAGACAACCATTGCAAAAGAACCTTGGCACCTTTCTCCCATGAACAATCTAGCATCATGTCATGAGCAACACCTTGAATACAAACCGGTTCAACGTCATAAAACCGTCCGGTTTCCATCAATCCTTCATCGTCCTGCAAAACCATAATCCACTCCGGTTTAGTACAATTACCACCAAGACTGAAACTTTCTGTTTCCGTTAGCAAGGAGAGGGCGTTCTTAGTTCTTTACCACAATGAAATCATCTTTGGCACCTAAAACAAGAACTTTCGTCGAATTCTCCATTGGTTTTGGTACCGGAAGTGATGCGTTTAGCTTCCTCAGATCAAACAATGGCATTCGTGAGCTCTCTTTCATCAGATCCTGGTAACTGGAATCAAAACAAAAGAGAGACAAACAATTCGTTTCCATTACTGAAATTTGAGTTTAGATTCAAGATGACTAGTCATGAGCTACATTATGTGTATACCGCTGCACAAGTTGATCATCCATGGATGAAGAGAAGAACGTTTCTCGGCAAAGAGGAATAGATGTCTGAAAACGCTTAGCAGCTAAACTGAGAGTGACCTGCTCAAGAACAAACATTGTTGAACAAATAGAACCTTGACAGAGAAACCATCCTTTGCAAGATCGAATACGAAACGTAGGTTACCTTAAAAGCAGCTACAGGTTTAGAGAAGAGATAACGTAACACTAAGCCGCTGAACAAGAAAGAGAGTTCCAAAAGTTATCTCTGAGCTAAGCGAAGAAGAAGAAGTTCTGATATAAAGTTACCTGTTACCAGAAGGTGGAACAGAGCAAACCAGTACAGCTCCTGAAAGTTCTGGAAATGCATTTTCCGATCCTGAAATCCAAAGAACAGACCAATATAAAGATCAAGCATTGTTGCAGGTGATTATTTGTATGAATTAAGCTTACCTAAAGACTGTTTGTTTACGATATTTGCCAAGTAATACTGAACAATGAGTCCTCCAAAAGAATGACCAATAAGAACAGGAGGCGATGAGCTGAGATTTGATTCGATGAAGTCTGCAATGTCACTTGCGTGCGTCTACTACACAAACAAAGTACAGACTTTAAGAATCTTGCTGAATCTGTACTTCTCCACTTAAGGCTTAGAGATTTATCCAAGAAAGGCAATGTACATTGCAATGGTTAAATCGAAATTCAAGTACCTCAAGTGTTCCAGCAACTACTCCCAAAGGTTCATCACTTTCACCCTAAAGTATTCAAAGATTACCACATCACACACAAATCACTGATCACTTACATGATAAACCAGATTTCACCAACTCAATTTGCAGGAATTGCTTAGGAAATTTGAAAATTTTCAGCATAAGAGATATAAAATTTCATGAATTGAGATTTGTAAATTGAGAAATGAGTTTTATTACCTGGCCTAATAAGCTGATAGCATAAGAATCAAACCCAGAAGAAGAGAAGAAAGGTAACCAGTGCTCAGCCCAGCACCAAGCTGCGTGATAGCTTCCATGTACAAAAACCAATGGTGGATTCTCACTCTCGTCTTTCTCTTTCCTCTGCTCGATTACCTCCATTTTTAGACCAGAGGGAAGCTTGTGGAAAAGACGATTCTGGCCCTTTCTCAGATCGTATTGGATCGCTGTTTTAGGGAGATTGTTGAGAACCGCCATGGGCTTGATTGTAATATTGAGCGAGGAATGGCATTGGAAGGAAGCAAGTAATGGAGAAGAAGAAGCCATTCGCGTGAAGCTCGAGCTGCTCAGGAGAGAGAGAGAGAGCTCTCAAGAACTATCAAACCGAACCAAACCAAAGAAAAATGTTTTAATCCGAAATCTAACCATATCTTGTTCATTATTCGGTAGAATCTACAAAAACCGGAAATGATCAAAATCCAAATGTACGAACTAAACCAAAATTGTACTATAACAAACCAAAGCTAAACCAGATTTACATTTCGTTGGTTTCAATTTATATAAACTGAAATGATCAGAGCTGTAAACCGGATGTCTATACTAGTTTCAAAACTTTCCTCTAGATTCCGGCTACGTTTTAATGGGCTTTACGAAGGCCCAACAGAAAAATTGCGTCCTCCGTCTCTCTCGATCTCGATAGATCGCTCGACTTCAGCTTCGGGACCTTCGGTTCCTTGACGAAGAAGACGAAAAACTCTTCTTCGATCACAGTAAGACGCTAATTCTTCTTCAGTTACACCGTTTCTAGATTCCGAGCTCGAGTTCTTCGTGGAAGGATTTTAGATTTAACAGTAATTTAAAATTTCCACTGGATTTAAGCATCACGTGATTTCCCGAGAGGCTAAATGATGTCGCCGAAGCAAATCTCCGACGATCGGGGATCTCCACATTTCAGGTTAGCTTCATACCGGAAGTGTCGATTTAATTTCTCCGTTGTGCTTTCTTCTCTGCAAATTTCATTGCGTTAGAAATGAAAGGATACGAAATGAAGTTTTTTCTTGGCTGCGATGGAATTTGATTCAAATTGAAAATATGTACTGTAGCTTGGATTTATGTGAGGTTTTACTATTATCCCTCTGAATTGCAATTCGCATTTCCTCGATTTTGCTGAAGTTAATGCAGCAACACAATTAGGTTGAATCACTGATTGGAATCGTCGTCGTCATATTCGCTAGCTTAAGCTTTTAGTGATTAGTTTCTGATTCGGTATATTATGGCCATTGCAAGCAGCTTTTGAAAAAAAATTCAAATTGGGATGAAATGTGTAGTGTATAGCTTGGATTCATTTTCTTCGTTTTATTATCACTTTGAATTGGAAATCGCATTTCCTTCATCTTGCTGAAGTTAATGCAACAATGTTATTAGGTTGATACACTGATTTGAGTTCTCATAGTCACTATCTTAAGCTTTTAGTTCACTGTGGTTTGATTCAGTGCGATGATGAATAGAGCTTCCTATTTTCTTTCGTAATGTGATAAAAAGTTCAAGATCTCGGATAATTAGTTTCTGATTCGATATGTTATGGTCATTGCAAGTAGTTAGGTACAAGAAAATTCATTTTTTTCTTTGCTCTATTTACATTTGCAGGCATATGCCTTTCCAGATACTGCATCTCATTGGGAACTTCTTTAGGATATGGTCAGTTTACTCTATGTACCGCTACTTGCATCAGACAGGAGCGCCTGTTGTTCTCTTTCTCTTCTGCTGTCTGGTGCCGTCGTCCATCATCTTCTTGATTATTCAGAAACCATGGAAAGGAAGGGCACTTTCCAATCAACAGGTGTACTTAGTTATATCCAATTTGATACATATAAAGTGGGAGAGTTTGGATGAACTTATTCCTGTTCTGATTTTTGAGCTATTAATTTCTGGTGTGTCTTTGTTGCTTTCAGATTGTACCTTCTCTTATCAACGGAGTAATCACAGCTCTTTACTTCATCTTGTGGGGAAAGGGTCTTAAATCTTGTGGACCGCTTAGGTATTCATTATTTATTAAGCATTCATAGTACCATGGATTCTCCTCTGTTTTTATCTATCTTACTGTCTTAGGATCTATCCTAGATTTAGGCTTCTAAAAGGTAGGGAAGTTGAAAGTTTACCTCTGAGCAAGATAGTGCAACTTTAGCAGTTCGGTTTAAAGCTTATCGAAATTGTGCAATTTGCCCCATTTTTAAGCTCCATTTCTGTCATTTGATCAGAAACGTTTTCGTCATTGAAATTCTGATTCTCCTTGGTAATTCTCTTTGTATATTATTGGCAGAGCTATCTTGTCAGAGTACTCTGGTGCTGTTCTTGGAGTACTTTCTGGAGTATTATATGGACGTAGAGGCCATGTGTGGAAAAAGGTATTCATTTGAATGTTTCTTATTTAACAGTTGTCACTTACAAATGACCTCTCGTCAATGTAACCAGTCAACTAGCTATAGAGCTTTAACTTTTTGAATGGGTTTTAGCATTTTAGGATGTTTCTTCTGGCTAATCCATGTACTTATATTGCTTTGCATTATAGTTAGTAATATGTTGTTCACTGTGAAAGAGCCAACGAATGTTTGTATATCCGAAGACTAGGATGAAATTTCTCTCATATTTCCAAATCATGTCAGGTTGGTGGCCTTGTTGCAATGCTCGTAGCTCTGTTTTTCTTGTCTCAAGGATGGGCAACGTCATCTCTCTCCCCGTTTTATATCCTTTTACACAAGTTCCTTCTCTTTTTTCTACATATAGTTTTCTCGCACTCTCTATCCCTCTCCATCTTGTTTCATTTGGAACTGTCTATGGATAGTGTACACATTAATTTGGTTAACTTAACAACAAACTACCATCAAAAGATACTACCGACCCCAAAGAAGAAGTACTATTAGAACAAACATTAGGTCTGATGGGAATGATGATACCAGTTTTTGCTGGAATCTTATCAGCACTAAGGCGAGTTATTGCGCGGCGTGTTTCTCTTAAGGTACAGCTCTCAGATTCTCTCTATTTCTTTTGTCAATTCTGCTTCACTTCTCAAACAAACAATTCTCTCTGCTTTCACAGAACCAGCAGAAGAAACGACTCCATGCGATAACCATCACTTCCGCAACGTGCTTCTTATTTCCTCTGGCCATGTGGGACCTTGTCATGGTAAGTTGATACTACTTGTTTTGCAGTGTGACGTAATAACAACATATGAAAGATGGCGTCTTCACTAATATCAAACTTTACTTCAGGGTTCATCATCACCTGAGAAAACAACGGAGTTGCCATTTTCCGCGTGGGCTTTCCTTAGCTTCATTGTTTTTGGGATCATCCTTATCTTCTATGTGGACAACATCGCAGAAGAGAGGTTCCTTTATTATCTTTACATCGCATTTACAAAATTACAACACACAAAAACATATGCTATTATGTAAATCTTTTGTTTTGTTTTTTTGCAGATTGCATATGGTGTTTTCGTCGCCAAGGCATTTGATGGTAGCAGGTGCATGCATAATCGTGATGGAGATTGCGTACGAGATGGATTTTTCTCTTCCCGGTTTCATGGTCTGCTGCGTAGTATTAGGGTTTGGGATATTCGAGGCAACGTCACTAGAACGCAGCAAAAAGGACTCTTCCATTAAATCAGAAGATCCATTAGACGGAATCCTTGAGAATTCTCCAATTCTTCCCATTTAGGTGTTAGGTGCCCACCAAAATTTCTCACCATACTAACGAGCGTCGTCGTAGTGTTGAAATGTGTTTTTTGTTCTTGAGACGATGTAAATCTTTTTATTATTTGTTGTTACTCATACCTTCATTTTCCTGTTTACTTGGTTAAGAAGTATATGCAATTTCATCGATTAGATTTTACTATGATATTTTTGAACGCAAGATTCATTTCTTTGCATTGTCATAGACTTCGGATTCGGTTTATTCTTCAAAAACTTTGGTTATTGTTGTTTCGGTTCGGTGCCTTTTTTTTTTCCTTCAACAAGAAGCAAAATTTTGGAACTTCCTAGTTCCTAATTTCCTATGACCTTCGAAAGAAAATGTCTAACGATTACGTTGGGAAAAGTAGGTCCCACTTAATGCATGGGTGTACACGTACCCTAAAGAATCACACGAAATACATTAATTACACAATAGAAACGCTCGAGCACCATTAATTAATGCTTGATTTTCTCTTCACATTTGAACTAAAAACTTCACGTTTATCCCCTTTTCATCTAATAGGCAATAGCTTTAATTTTTGTGTTTGATTCTTTTCTTTTCTTTTTTTAAATGTTGAAATTCGTGTTCGATTCTTTGCTCTCATTTATTGTTTTTACTTTCTCCTTAATTTTGTGCTCAATTCGTTGCTCTCACCATTATAGTTTTTGGAGCTCTTCTGGAAAACAACTTCGAAGTCGTAGGAGACCCATATGTGTACACACAACAACTAATCTACCTTTGTTGACAAGTTTAAAGACGCGTTTTATCTACGCGGGACATTAACTAGTTTGATCCCTATAATGAAAGAGTTATAAAAACACTAATGTTGATGTTAACAAAATGTATGAATGCACGTGGATACCATGAAGAATGCTCGAGTAAGCTCGGTTTATGAAGGTAAAGAGAGAAATAGATATTCAAGCAAAGGAGAGGAATTAACTCGAAGGGATCATTCAAGAAACGCGAGATTAACCGCGAAAGCTCGAATGAAAGTTCACAAAGAGAGCATGAGATCTCTGTCTAAACTTAAGAAACCGATGGTGATGATGAGGTCGATGAGGAAAAACGAAGAGAGGCAAGAGGATCATAGAAATGTTATTGCTAGGGTTGTTGAGAAGGAAAAGGATAAGAACGATGAAGGCGTCATCATGGAGAAAATGGATGCAAAGACGGAAATGCACCTTTCAGGGTGGGTCGAGGAGTGGCCGCAAACGTTAACCTATGAAGAGGAGTGGACGTGGTTTGCGTTTGCGTTTGGATGGGGAAGGTGGTGGCGTTATGACGCGGTGATGAGTGGTGGGAGGTTGTTTAACTAAATATTGTAATCAAGTGTTGTTGTTGCAATTTATTTTGGGTTGGTGCTACTATATATATATACAGATTATAGTTGAAAGAAGATGATGAAAAATTAATTTAGTCATCCACCGATATCTCTTTAGAGAGTTTAGTGAAATTTTATGTTTGTATAAATTTCGGTTCTCATAATAGATTTTAAGAATTTTAATTTCAAATTTTTTTGGTGCTCCAAATTTTTTTTCAATAAAATCTTGATACTGGTTCATTTCCAATCTGCGTGGTGTCTTCGTTGGATCTTCAATAAGATTCACCAAAAGACAGAAACGAATTCATATCTCTTTAACGTCTAGCAAATACGAAAACAATCAAAGTGTAACATAAACTAGTCGTTGGGACAAATATGGAACGAGCTATATAGCCGCCTAGCCGTTCGGAGCTTTTCTGTAATACCTTGGAGGCTTGGACCATTTGGGAACGTTCGGCAAAATTTTCCAGTAACTCATGACCCACTTAAGAAAGATCTGGATTATGCTTTAATGATACTTTGATGAAGCTGTTCCGAGAATCCAAGAAAGGAAAGTGCATTGTAATGAGATAGCTAGTAATGGATCTATGGATGAATGCCGCTGAATAATAAAATTAAGAAAAGTATTTCTTAAAATTAATAATATTTTTTTAAATTATAATGGGATGAGAGGATCATTGTATTTGTATTGGACTGAAAGATAGGTGCCGCTTAATAAATGGCCACTCACTAGTGAACCTATCAGTGCAGTGTACCGTTTAGGTTGTTTAATGGCCGATAGATCAGCATATATTTTTTGATGTCATTTACTGTATTGGTTAAGGCACGTTCAATCGTACCGTATATTTTTGAGTTTTTGTCGTCGTTATAAATACAAAATAACTACATTCTGGTTTGAACCAAACAGTGTTCGATTTCAGTTTACTTTATACTAGGTTAAACCCCGCGCTACGCGCGGGTGGTGTTGTTAAATTTTCTGATTAATTTATTTGTCTGTATTTGTAAAATATGTTTTTAATATAGTTTATTAATATGTGTGAAAATTTTTATTCTCTAAAAAATAGAAAGTGTATATTTTACTTGTGTTTAGTGAGGGTTTATATATCTAAATTTTTTTGTATAGTTTTTTTTTATACATTTTTCACATTGTATCATTTTGCTCTGTTTCCATTTTATAAGATTAAATTTTAATAGTTTTAAAATAAGCCACTAATTTACATAGATTTTTTTTTGGGATAAATACTCAGTTTTAAACATAAATTTGATTTTGAACTAAAATTAGCAAATTATAGAGAAAGTAAAGAAGACCAGAAGACTGAAGCTACAAACAAAACAAACTACATATGAAAATAGAAGACACAGTTCTTACTTAACACAAAAAAAAAAGAAATGAATCCTACTTTTAACCTTGGTCCGAACTCCGAAGGCGACTCTAATGGCTACAATATCATAATGAGTGATACTCAGCAATTGGTTAAGATACGGATTATCTGCATATTTCAACTCAGCTGTCAACAGATTGGTTCTCCTATCATTAAAAACTTAAGAATTTGTTATAAAATTCTTAGTCATATACATGAAAGATATAAAGTTGCGGAGAAGCACGAAAGAATTTTTTTTGGAGAGTCATGTAGCAATAATATCAGTTTGGTGTATTTGCAAAACAGAGCGGTGATTAAAAAAGATTTTCTTAGGAATATAACATTGTGAAGTGTTAACATAATGCAAATGCAAGTGGCAAATGACCATGGAAATCAAAAATTTCTCACTGGAGTTGAGAAATGGAGCTACGAACAAGAAACATATTAACGATTATTATAAGAATAAAAAGCGGTAGAAAGTCGATGATGTTCATATCTGTTAAAAGTAAGTGCATATTATAAGTTACCTTGACATTGTATCAATTGGTAAGCCAACATCAATGGAGATCAAACTTGTTGCAAGACTTAAAGTCAAAGACAGTTCAATATACATTAGTTTGTTAAATACTTTGATAGTGACAATACATTAACAAAACGTACAATCTAAGAAAACAAATTGATATGTTTTCTTCTTCCCTTGGCTTAGATCAAATCTTCATGTTTCTGAGATCTCTCTGCGACAGGACTCAACTGCTCTTTTGTTACTTAGCACAAGTTGATGATGCATAATCTTTCGGTCATGATTATCAATCTCCACTTTCTCTTCTTCACCCAGCAATGGACATAATCATTTCTGTTTCACAGCTTGGAGAAACTCTGAGATCACTGTCAACTACGAGTCTACGACCTCCTGAGATAAGTCTATGCACGCCTTAGCGTGATGGATTATCAGCGTCACTGTAGTTCCATAGATGTTGCGTTTCCAAGTTTGATGTTTAGGCGATGATTCCTTGCGTTAATGCTTCAGTTCCCAATGGCTTAGTGAGATTCTAAACGAAAGATATTCAATCATCAGCTTTGATATAAACCAATCTAATGAAAGAAAACAAAAACAAAACTCAAATTTTTCTTAGAAAACAAATCTCACATGTACCGGATGTTTTGTTCTGAATGTTCTCAGTAATGTTCTGCATCTTACCAGTGATGTTATTATGCATCTTATCAATGATCTACTCTGTGCAATATGGATTAGAGCCAATTCGCTTTCTTCCCAAAACCTCATTAACTTCTTTCAAAGGCATCGTTTTTCCGTAACTAAATCAAGAATCTATTTTTCATTTGAGCCAGTCCTTTGAATTCGGATACTTCTCACAACCACTCCTACAGAACTAAACATAACAGAGAGAAATAAGGATACAGAGAAAGAACGATGGACCTAGAACGATGGATCGATCAGCTTAGAGAAGGAGATCGCGCGTCTGACGGACCACCTCACGGGAGTTTTAGCACCACCGATATCGGATTGATCCGACGGTTCTCCGCCGTACCCGGCAGCTGAAGAGCTTCCGCTCCGCTTAGGTGCTGCGACGGGAACCTCCGTTTGAATCGCCGCTTACAGATCCTTCTCCGAAACCTCCTCGCCGTTTCTCCAATTCGTCAATTTCACAGCGAATCATTCGATTCCCGAATCAGGGTTTGATCGGATCCACATTATCGATTTCGATGTTGGAGGACAATGGCAAATGAAACGTTGGAAAACCGAAACGATTTTATACGATGGAGCAGAAGAAGAAATTGAAATGGAGTGAAAAAACAAAAAGTAAAAATTTGTGACAAGTTGACACGTGGCAAACTCTCTCCGGTGCTGACGTGTCGAGCAGCTGGAGAGAGTTGGCCTCTCATTATATATAAGATATCTTGAAAGGTTTAAACCAAAAAAGCTTGTAACTTCAAAGAGTTTCTGTAACTCAATTGATTATTTCTAAAGGGTTAATAGAATCGATGAACTTAAACGTTAAATATTACTACTCTAGTATAATATAGCACACATGGTTCACATGGATATTCAAGATCATTAAGAAAATTATAGAAGGAAACTTTTACTCTTATCCACAAGCTTATCTTCTGTATGGCACCGTCCACACATGTGTCTATCACAGATTTCTAGTGGACCATCCTTTCGTTCGAAAATTTGGTGTGAGTGAGATTTTGTACATACAAATGTTTCATTCTTTCTATAAACAAATTTCCTTTAATATTAGAAAGATCAAATCGAGTTAAGGTTTCCATAGGTAAAATTTAATCAATATACACAAATAATCTGACAATTAGGTATATGGATAAATAACATGATAATTAGTTTTTTTAGCAGAGAGAATTTTTTTTAACCAAAACTATCTTTTTTTTCTAACATATTTACATAAGATGCCATTTACCTATATGAGACTTACTATCATGTAAAAATGTTAATAACTTTATTTATCAACATCACAATATTTAATCAACAATGGATTTCACTATTCATCATCAAATATTGATGTGATTTTAATAGATAATTTTCCTATTATCATGTTAATTTAATATAATATATTATAATAACAGTTTTGATTATCATGCTAACTTATACATTATGATAATTATTTGATTATCATGCTAATAAATGTGATATTGTAATAACTATTTTGACTATCGTGCTAACTAATATTATGCTAACTAATATAATATTGTGATAACTTATTTGATTATCGTGCTAATTAGTAGGGAGAAATTTCAAAACTACACTTTTTTAGGTGCTAATTTTCAAAAATACACCTTTATGATGTTTATTTTCAAAACTACACTTTTTCATTAAATAAAAGAACTCTAAACCCTAAAATATAAACCCTAAAATATAACAATGAACCCTTAAATCTAAACCCTAAACCCCAAAATCTAAACCCTATTCTAGAATTAGTGAACCCAAACATATATATTAAAATTAGGAAAAATGTATTTTTGAAAATTGACACACTATAGATGTAGTTTTTAAAATTTACACCTCATGAGGTGTATTGCATAAAGTTTCTCAATTAGTATCATGATAACTATTTAACTTTCCTATTATCATGTTAATTTAAAGTAATATATTGTGATAACAATTTTGATTATCATGCTAATTTATATGATATTATGCTAACTATTTAACTATCATGCTAACAAATGTGATATCGTGATAACTATTTTGAGTATCGTGCTAAATAATATCATATTATGCTAACTAAGATGTTGTGATAACTTATTTGATTATTATGCAAACTAATATCGAATTATGATAATTATTGATTACTTAATATGATATTGTGATAATGTTAATGTTAGCATATTACTTGAAATTCATTACATATTATAAATATTTTAAGCTTCACTGCAATATTTTAGACTCTAATAATATTTCCAAAGAGGTCCTACCAAAATAATCCTTTCACCTCCATCGATTTTTTTTTTACACAAAATAGTAGTAGGGTTAAAATGGTATTCTTCTTCCTATACAGTACTTGTGAAAAGGTGACAATGACTGCTATTTAATTTCACAATTATCTGTGTATATTCCTTGCAATTTCCCTCCCATCTAAGCCAATTGACAACTAAAAATCATTATATTCAAATGTTAATGTACCAATAGCATTTTAGTATATATGCATACAGTATCTCAGAAAGAAGTGTGAAACATCATATGATAACTATTTTGTGAAATGATTGAAATATATAATAAATTTTTATTGTATATGAACCTGTATATGATAGTCTAGTAGTGTGACATCCAAAAATAATATGATCAATGATTCTTATTTGATCTTTCATGAACCCGTTTTTTTTTTTTTTTTTTTTTTTTTTTTTTTTTTTTTTTTTTTTTTAATAAACCAATTAACTTAATATGAAACTAAGTTTTGTAGGTAACAATGTTCTCATATTCTAAAAACTATATTACCACTAACACTATCCCACATTAATTCTATGAGTTTAAGGTTATTTTATCTGTTCTCTTATCCTAATAAAGTTTCAAAAGCTAAAAACAATCGGAAAATAACAAAGAAGAAGAAGGGATATAGAAATAACATATTCATAAATCAGACATTTTTGACAATCCGATAGAAAATGTCTCAGAAACAGAAATTCAAAGGAAAAAACATACAATTGGAAACGAAAATGAGAGATAATTATATATGAATGTTTTAAAAATGGAATTAAGCACCGGAGTTGGTGAAGCTTGGGGGCTTGTAGGCGATGAAACTGATGCACTGGACTTGACGGGTGTTGTCGAATCCGATGATCCTGATGAAGGCTTCAGGGTACTCTTTCTTGCAGTCTTGCACTTCCTTCAACACTTGTGCTGAGTCATTGCATCCGAACAAGGGAAGCCTCCACATTGTCCAGTAACGTCCATCGTAGTATCCTGGGGTGTTTCCGTGCTCACGGTACACAAATCCGTGCTATATATACACACACACACACATGAGAAAAACCATTCAAAATTAAGATTCACATGCAAGAGATTAATAAAGGATGATTAAGATTTTTCTTTGTTTTTTTTTTTAATTACCTCCAACTCGAATTCGACACAAGGAATCCACTTGTTGCGGAGAAGGTAGTCGACTTCTTTAGCCAACTCGACGTCGGTAAGGTCAGGAAGGTAAGAGAGAGTCTCAAACTTCTTCTTTCCAACTGGTGGCCACACCTATATATATAAATCCATTTCCAGTAGATTGATTACACATTTTTATCGATTCAAGGATATAAATCAATATATAGGCCGATTCAGAATGTTTTACTAAACTACATTTGGTATCTTTATTGAATTACTGCGATGTACATTCCCAGGCCTAGGACCATTTTGTTGTACCAATCGTTAGCTCATTTTTAGAACAACTTTTTTTGGATTAAGGCTCATTTTCGAATGCATCGGTTGCAAATGGTTAAAGACGTTTACCTGCATGCAGTTAACTCTTCCTCCGTTGCTTGCGATGGAAGTAATGTCGTTGTTGGCCTTGCGGGTGACAGGGAATGCAGCGGATGACTTCAAGCCGGTGAATGGAGCGACCATGGTGGCTTGAGCCGGTGAGGTAACCACAGCGGCGGAGGAGAGCATAGAGGCAGCCATTGCTAGTTGTTGTTGTTCTTCTTCTTCTACTCTTTTCTCTTACTTGATTGTTTGTCTACTGCTTTGTCCATCTATATATAGTGGGAACGGCAAGAGGCAAAAAGACCTAATGATCAAAGGGTCCAGAATTCATGATAACGTCGTTAACTGCCACAGGATTAAGGAAAGGTGTTGACACCCTTATCGATACGGACTACTATGATAAGGCCACGTGGCAGAGAACACCATCATCTTATCTTTTTCTTGTAAGGAAATGAGTGAATGTGTATGGGTCACTGGTCTCTCAACTTGAGCCTATGCGTTTTGTCTCCTTCCTTTTGGGAGGAAAGAAATCTGACGCATGACCTACACTTTCAATGTTTTTGGACCTTATGTTTAATTTTGGCTTAGTTTTACTCGGTTTATAAGCTCACAATTAATAACTATTACAAGAAAAAATATCTGTTTTAGACATGTAAATTCGTAATGTATCGAAATACACACAATTCATGAATTTATTATTGATAATAGAAAAGGTCGTCAGTTGTCACCAAGAATGATTCATGCGTTTATGAGCGAGTCAGTTTGGTCATATCCATTCTCAAACGAAGAAGATAGAAGAATAATAAACTTATAAACAGTTTTATATACTCTATTTAGAAATAGATATAAATCAAATTGGTGTATCCGTGTATGTACCATGACAGATAGTCTAGTAGCTTATGTTATTAGTTATTACTGTCGTTGTGTTTTTATTTCTCTTTTTTTTTTCTTTTTCTTTTTTAACCTTCATGTCGTTTCGTTATCACTAGGGACAAATGCGTATCGCACATGTTGTTAAAAACAAACAGAATGTCACCACCATACATCTCAAGTAGCATGGGGATACGTATAATTACTTACAAAAAAAGAAGAGTGTAGATGAATTATTAGAAACATATAAAGCCCATCACAGATAAATATCCAACATTTTGTAATTCTAAAGCCCATTATTAGAAAATTGTCAAACCAGAATGCTCAAGCTTAATTTCATGTTTCAAATAGATTGATCAAAACCCTGACACTTGTAAATTGTATACATTATAGAGAAGATTATTAATGTCCGATTACTGGTACTGATACCTCATACGGATGTTCATATATTGCTTCAAGTTCGTGTTCAAGTCTCACAATGCACGCATATTCCTATTTATAGCCAACAAATTAAGAGCGATTCCAAATTATTTTCAGTAAAAAGGAAAAAATATTTATAGATATTCAAATTTCGGACCAGACTCAAAACTACTCTGTGGAATGATTTGTACTTCTTAGTTAGTTAGTTAGTTTCTCTAATCTAATACAACGAGTTAACGGAAAATCAACTCTTAACTTATATATATATTTTTTGTTTGTTAAAGAACTCTGAACTTATATTTAGAACTACACAATCTTAATTTGAGCAGCCTAAAATATAAATATATGGTTGTTTGCTTTAGACTCCTCTCAAGTTATTATATTTTAAAGAATAAACTCTTTTCATGTACATAGTTGGATATATCATCTAGTTTGTTTGTTATTTGTTTATGATCATCTAATAACATTTAGATGGTACAATGATTTTGTTTTTGTCTAAACTCCATTTATCCTGGATATTTCTTATATATTGGACATTATCGTATCCTGTATATTTATGATATCAAATATAGGAAAAAACAATATTATTTCACATTTCCACCAAATCTTCTATGATCTCGAAGATTTATTATCTTTTGATAGTGGAGGGATCTTTGTTTATCTTCGTCAAACAAGATACAGTATCACTGTTTAAATTTCAAACACACGCGTGTGCATGCTATATACAACTACTATTTACATTTTTAGATAGTTTATATTATAGTGTATATTATATACGAGAACGATATACGCTCATATAAATATGCACTCACTGGAAACAAGTAGTAGATTTGCATCCGATTGATGGCGTTACGAAAAAAATAAACAAAATCTCTTTATTTTTTGGCATCAACAAAATCATATTTTGTTTACAAAAAAAAAAACAAAAAAAAAACAAAATCATATTTCTTTTGGGTTTATTTTTAATTTACATATCTTACATTATGACGATATATATATTTTTTGACTTGTCAGTTTAAAAAAATACACCACTTGATTTTGTCTAGACCTATTTGGACATGACATTCACTATCAAGTATCAAGACGTCATTGCGAATTCAGTAAAATCATTTCTGCATACATGCTAATTCTCTTTATTTTCGGAATCCATTTCTTTTTTTGTTAAAGTTCGGAATCCATTTCAAGGATTTCTTCTACCGCATTTTATTAACTAAGTAAGATATGCAAGAATCAACCTTAGTCATTGTAAGTGCAATGGCTGCCACCAAACTTAACCAACAAAAATAAAAGACGAACACCTTTCCCCCCCCATCCCTAATCATTCTTTTTGTTTCTTTCATTATTATATCTCTTGTTCTATGTTTGTTTATTATTTTAAGGCTTATCTAGATTGAACCCATCAAAATATAACATTATGATTTTCATCAATATTGCATTCCAACTTCACTTTTCTAAGCCAATAAAGGTGATCGATGGACAATAGCTTTTGGCCATATGCCAGAAAGTTATTGATACCATTTGCAGCCTCAAAGAACAGTATATGACCTTACACAAAGACAACAGTCGCAACCTTTCATATCTTTCTTTATTTAGTTTAGTACTAACAAAATTATTTATATTTTTACAACTTGTCGACACTGAATAAATAAAAACATCAAATATACAAGCTTTGGCCTAAAACCACAATCATTTGGAAGATGGGGTATGATCTAAACAATATTAGTTCCAAATCTCCTTTTCAGCCTTCTTACTTCGGATCCGTACTTATTAATCTAGCATATCTAGCATACCATGGATCATTTTAAAAGCTCTTACTAAACATTTTTATTTTTCAGAAATTATAAGAAACAAATACTATATGTATTTTTAACATGTGTGAAAAAAACTTATGCAGGTTTTGGGTTGATTTTCGTAAAATCTCAGATAATTTCCTTGTAGGTCGTAAAACCCATAAAAAAAAAGTAAAAACACAAAAGAAAATGTATATATGAGGAAAAAGAATAAAACATAAAACATATTTATTTTCTCTCATGCTCCTAAAACATATTTATTCCAATGAAAATCCCTCTTGTTACTCAAAAATTCACCAACCCCAAAATCTTTACTCTCCCGCATTCCAAATCACTCTTTTAGTCCCAAAATCTTCATGAATCCAATGGCTTCAATATCACTTGAACTCCATACTTAGGTTTTATAGTAAGCACAACGACCGGGGCATGTCTATAGTTCTTCGATACCGTGAAGTTAAACTTCGAAATTAGCGTTGCTAATATTATCTTTGCTTCCATCATCGCAAATGATTGTCCTATGCAGTTTCGAGGACCTGCCGCAAATGGAATGAAATGACGACCAGGCGCGAATGGTTTGCCTCCAAAACGTTCGGGATTGAATTCATTTGCGTCTTTACCCCATAACTCTTCACTATGATGGATCGCTAGGACAGGTATCCATATGGATAAACCTTTGGGAATTGTAAGATCACCTAGTTGTATGTCTTCAAATGCCATCCTTGGTAAAAGAGTAGCTGGAGGGTAAAGTCTTAATGACTCGTTTATCACTTTGTTTAGCTGTTGATTGAAAAGAAAACGACAAGAATAGTTAGCAGAATATTCTATTAATTTATGTTGGAATCATATCTTGTGATCATGCGAAGTGCCTCTTGACTCTTTCTCAAACATCTTTTAGTTTGAGAATTGACTTTTTCTTTTGAAAAAGACTATCATCAAATGAAGCTGTCAAAATCTAATCATGATTAGTTAATACAGGTTTAGATTTTGTTTGATATCATATTTTATGCAAAGCATGTCTTAGTGCTAATCATTAAACAAATGGAACGTATCTCTTACCCATTTGTTTATGCCTGAAAAAATATATGTGCCAGTCTCTCTATCGAATTTCAAAGCTAGCTTACAAAATGTTAATCATATATAGTTACTAAAACTATATGTTAAAGTAAGTTATATACATGCGACTATTGATCCCAAAATGAATATATCTAAAAAATTTATTACAAGTTTGATTTGTTTTTTTGGCTAGGTTTGAAGATTAAGCATGAAGATCAAAGTTCAAGGATAAGTACTCATTAAGGTTCTGTGTCGGCTTGATGACTATGTTATAAGCTAAGTTATGGAAGAAGCACTACCAAGTTAGTGGCACTGCCTATACTGTGTTGAACGATATTACCCCACACGCACCCATCCATATAATATAGCTAATTATACTGCTTCAAATAAAATAATTAGTTACAATAATTTATATATAGTTGTATACTTATTATATAGAGCAAAAACCAAATATCATCTTTTGATATGTATGAGTTAGTGGCCTTCGAGTCCTACTCAAAATCTAAACAATGTGGTTAAAAATATGACTAAGAATAGTGGTCACAACGAGCTAAAAACTAGTGGACTAAAACGCTCTATTTTTGAAGCCTAAGTATCTTATGCACACAAATCATTGAAGCCTAAGTATAATCCTACATACTTTGATTCCATGAATCTAACCAAAAGTTAAAAGGTTTTCAAAAGAAGCTAGGATTGATCTTGAGTCTAGAATTCAAGTTCGATTGGAGAAGAACAATATAGCTTAGAAGTTATATAATGTGTCTAGGAGTGAATGTACGTACCGATGTAAGCTTGGATAGTTGATCAACTGACGGAAGGCCGTCGCAGCCACAGACTTCTCTGACCTCATCACGGACTTTTTCCTGCCATGTGGGGTTATCGGCGAGGAGCATCATTGTCCATGTCAGGAGCAATGCGGTTGTCTCATGGCCAGCAAAGAAGAACGTCTTACATTCATCCATTATCAACTGAAGATTGTTGTTATCGTTATTGTTGTTCTTTTGGCTATCCATTTCGTTCAAGAGAAGACCAAGAAGGTCGTCGCCGTGAGTACTGCTCCGACCCATCTCAGCGCAATCTCGTCGGCTTTGTATGATCTCTATCAACAAACGTTCCACTTCCTTCTTTAGAGATTTTATCTCTCTGTTGTATTTGCTTGGAAGAAACCTAGATATCATACAACACATAGTTCACGTTAAGTAATTGTTTTGACTCCACTTAAAGGTCAACTATAAAGCAATAGTCATTTGATAACATGATAGAGATTAGAGAGTAAAGGTTGATGATGCTTGTGCTCGACAGAGAAAAACAAATTGCTAAAAATCCGGGAATGACACACCAAAGCACAAACTAGTTTTCAAAATCTATAACCATTGTATGAAGGCAGTAGATGATGCGGACTAGACTTAAATTTTATCAGTTCACATTTAATTAATACTAAAAATTTACCAAATAACTATTTATACTTTTAATTTAATAATGCTTTTTTATTTATTATTAAACTTATGATATCGGTACAAATAGAACCTATTTTAATATCAAATTAATTATTTACTATTAGCTTTTTCAAAAGACTCTTTTGTTGTAATTGAAAACAGAATTGCATTAAAATTCATAACATATAGTTTTCAAAATCTTAATTTTAGGTGGAAGTGTAAAACTAGTTTTATTTAATACAAAAAATCTAATTCTGTTCCGTTGGCTCTCATCATTCAAAATCGTTGAAACATCAAAACTTTTTTTAAGGAAGAGAAGACTAACCGGCTACCGGGAAAACAGAGGTGGCGAGTGGCTTGAGCGCAACGGCGTTGAAGAACGGTAAGGTGATTAAAAAGCTCTTTGCCTTTCTCAAAGCTACTTCCAAACTCCGTTCTCGATATAATATCCGCAGTGAGCTGATGCATCTCCTCCCCTATCTCCACCTCTCCTCCTTCTCCAACCTCTTTCCTCAGCCTCTCTACTAGCCTGCTCGTGCACTCCACCATGTGCCTTGCGTAGCCCTACATCACAAGGTTATATATATTTTGGTTAATCAAACGTTAAGTTATAATTTTGCATTTTTGCATGAGGTTAATTTTTTTTTTACGTGCCTTGAGTCTTTCTCCGGTGAATGCCGGTGCAGCGAGGTGGCGTTGGTGGTGCCAATCTTGGCCATTAGCCATAAGGAGACCACGACCAATGAAGTTCTTAGTCCCTTGTTGTTGTAGCCACGATCTTCCACTTACGCCGTTGTGCTTCATCAGTAACTCCTTGATCAATTCTGTTTCCGTTAAACAAAGTCTAGGATCTGTCCCGTTCCACACTATAAATCTCTTCCCTATTTAACCAAAATAAAAGGATGTAATCAAGATTACGCGAATGGAGAAAATAAGGTTTACTTATTTCTTTGGTTACATGTATTTCACTCTGATTTCTTTGTAATCAAGATTTAGAGGTCAACCAAAGCATTTTTTGTGATAAATTTTAAGAGCATACCGTATTGTTTGGACCAAGCTACGTAATGCGGAAGAAGGCGACCGACGATGTCATGGTGAATAGAATCACAATCCTTAGAAACGGATTTTGAAACCATGGCCGAGATTTCAAGGATGTTTCCGGTTAGCGGACGCGGTTTAGGACCGGTTACGCCTTGCCGTTCCAAGACCTTCTTGATTCGTCTAGGTGTGATCCAGTAGCACGATATGGTATCGTATAGGACTCTCAGTATCAAGGTCACGAATATCACGAGGAGAGATTTTAATAGTGTAAGCAACATGTTTTCGTTTTTTTTTTCTCAACAAAGATTTGAAGAAGAAAAGATATTCAGAGAAAGAGAGATGGTGGTGAATTTATAGTGTTGGAAAAGATCTGGAGATACAATATAAAATACATGCACCATCTATGGTTTCTTTGTTATGTTATGTTTTTGGTAAAGTATGGTTTCTTTCTTTGTTGCATATATGGCATTTAAAGAATGGAAGATATGTGAGAAGTAAATAAATAAATCTGGTTATTTTTTACCTTACTGTATCTTTCCATTTAATTTATATATTTTCCCACATATTTAGTTGTACAAATAATGTATCATACATAAGTACATAACTATGGGGAGAGAAAAAAATGCCACAAGGTTGATGTTTAGGAAGGGTCGATGAAGTTTTGGAAGCGTTCTTCAATTATTTTGTACTTAACATTTTAAAAATGCTCCAAAAATAAGTTCGAACTCTTTCCTGAACTTTGATTTACATTTTAAAAAACTTAAAAGTGATAGTCTTTTCAGAACTTTTTGGATATGGCTAATTTTTCTAAAAGGAAACAATTTTTTTTTTTGAGAATTACCATAGCTTTACATTACTGTAATACTCTTTCAAAATATCAGAAAAGGAAACAGAAAATATTAATTTATAAGGACAAAGAAAAATGTAAATACAAATGGTAAAAATCTATTTAAGATAGTTTAAATCAATAAATTATGGTACATGTCATATCTAAAATTGGATAATATGTTATAATTTTTTTTTCCTTGCAGATCAACAGACCAGTATCCAAATTTTAAATTTGTTTTACTACTTAATCTCTATGATTTTTTTTTTCTCTATCATATCTATGTTGTTGATCGATGTCGTCAACATTTTTTTTTCTTTTGGGCAAAAGAGAAGCACGTTAGATTTCAAGACTTATAAAACTTATCATATTGTTATAAATTATAAAACATAATGTAGTTAAGTTGAATTACAATTTGAACAGTATTTTCAAACAATGTCATTGTATCAATACCATCATGGCATGATAACATCCACGTCTTAGCCAATCTCTTGAAGGATCAATATTTGAAAATCAAATATTGTTTTGTCACTATATGAATAAATACTAATTTTCTTTCGGAGATGATATCAGGAAAATGTGAACGTGTATATAAACATATAATTTGATTCACAACATTTTTAATCGGAAAGAAGATTTTGCGACAGATAAGAAAAAGCCAAAGCCTCAAGCGGTAAAGCTACTGAGATAATTATATATGTATGTAATGGATTTGCGAATCAGAGAAATAAACGTACGTGAGAAGAGAACTATATTATATGATATCATAAATAGTATCAGCAAAACTAGCCACTGAGATGATCTCTCTCATATGCCAAAATAAACTATCATAAATATCTCCAGCGATTGTTTTTTTCATATGATACAATGATCAGAGAGATTCATGCTTTTCTTGGTGGATCGATTTTAATACTAAAATATGATAATAGAATAACAAGAAGAAAACAAAATCTTGCCAATAGACTCGTTCTTTGATTCCCCGTAGGTATCTGGTTCTTTGATTGACCATATATATCACAAAATCGACGATGATAACAAAATATCACCAAGGAATAGAAAAGGCTCGTGGAAGCATACAACATTAAACAAAGATCATATTCATAGATGCCTTAAACGTCACGTCACATATAATACATATACACGAGGATACTGAAGAAAAGAAAGATTGATTAGAAGAGTCTAAAGAAACGAGTTATAACCTGGTTTTATACAGGAATCGTTTTTAATTCTGAATGATTTGACAACACAGTTTTTGCTGTTTTGTTATATTAAAAATTTCAGTGTATGTTTCCTTTCATAATCTTACATCTTAGTAACATAATCTAACTTTATCTTTATGCTACAATCCATAGGCATCGGAATATATACCAACACTTAAGAAGACCTGGAACAATACAACAAGTCTGATGATAAACCACCGGTTCTGTCTAGCTCGATTCTACTTCTGTGATCTTAACTAAAGTCAGCAAGCAAGACAAGACCCTAAACTTCAATGTCGCCAAAAAGACAAGAAAACAAACTGAGTTAAACAACCTCCTGGCAAAAGAGTTTTGTCTTCTGTCTTCAGATGTTCAGATTTGTTTCTTTTCTTTATCCGCAGAACTAGACAAAGTCCACTGCGTATAGTTGGTGTAAAGGGCAAACATGACAAAGTATGAGAAACAGAGAATCATGATCAGTGCTTCGAATAAGAAAGGGTACTTTCGAGGAGGTTGAATAGTGAGGTAAAGAACATGAAGCACTAAAGAGATGAAGAAATGGGTTCTACAAAGGAAAACATAACCCGGGAAGTTCGTAAAGGAGGACGACGATGAAGCTTTAGGTTTCTGCATCGTAATGTGATTCCCGGGTGAATGATAGATGACGGTGAAGAGGAAAGATAGTGCTAAGTAAGGAATCAAGAGCTTGTCACGCCAGAGAAGAGGGAACATGGAGAAGAGAGCGTAATAGGTTAAATGGTTGAAATGGTTAGGGATCTTGAGAGCTAATAGTGTTGCGGAGAGAAAAGGCATTAGGATTGATTTCTCATGAACTGCAGATACAAAACACAATGACAACAAAAAAGTTATGTCAGATACTAATTGATGGCAAAAATGGTGAAATACGTTGTGGAGATTCACATGCCTTGGAAGGAAAACAAGTAGAAAGCCATTGAACTGTTGAGCAGACCGTATAAGAAACCTTCATTGCTTGGTGACAAGATTTGCTGAACCATTGAAGGGAGAGAAGCCAGTACAGTTGCAACTAAGCTTATAGACTTGAGAGATGGTGTTGTGAAGAGTTTTTTCCATTTTATGAGTATGGAAGTGGTGCACCAGAAATTCGCCACGTAATCCTCGTATATTCCCCTCTCAAATGGAGCAAGACGGGAGAGAACCTGTGCCATCAGCAATTTGCAAGAAAACGAATGAGACCAATCAGCTCTGTTGTGCAATTTCCATCAGAGGAAGAAACAAGAAGGGGAGTTTCTTTTTTTACCATTGAGAAGTCATCCAAAGAATGTATATACGGCCACCAAACAACCACAAATGTCACTATGACTGCAACTCCAAGCTTTAGCACAGAAAGTATTGGGTTTTTCCTTCTTAGGCATTTACCCAGTAAATGGCTGAAAAAGGCAGGAGCAAAGTATGCACTCATCTGCAACATTCGACACGATGAAACAATAAGACCAACATGTTATAATCTGAAACAGAGATATGAAACTAAAACGAGACACATTACATACATAAACAAAGCGGCATATCAAGAAAAGATTAACAATGTTGTTTGCCATTAACAGTAACACAACAATACAACCTCAATAAATTACACATTTTGACGTCATGGTGCATAAATCATACACTTCTCCTCATATTTGCTATGGAACCAAAAGCTACCTGTTTGTGGCTGAGAGCTAGACTGAACAAAACACAAGTGAGAACCTCGCACTCACAGAGTACAGCAGAAATAGCACCCATTGTAAGTCCCAAGCTGATACAATTGTACTAAAACAAACACATAAAAGAAACCAAATTCTAATGAGAATCATCATACATAAATCTCAATACTAATAGAGGTGATGGTCAATACAAACCTGAAAATGACCGTGATCAATGAGGATTAAACAAGGGTTTAAGAGAATCACAGCAATGTGCCATGCCACTTCACTCTTAGCACTCTTGGTTCGAGTCTTATGATACACTAACACGAAAAACAGAGCAGCCGGGAAGAAAATGAGAACATCAGACGATAAAACGGTCCATCTCATTAGTAATTTTCTGCATACCAAAAACCAAATGTGACTCCAATTAGTCAATAATCAACAAAATAATCAAATTTTTGTAACATGAAACTCTGTGAAGATCAATCAGATCAAGCATTGATCTTAAAGATGCTTACCCAAGATAAGACTCGTGACCATGAGAGCTGAGAAGAGAAACGGACTCAGGATTGAACATTCGGAGGAAAATTCCGTGGATGTAACTCTGGTAAGCAGTCAACGGAGGATAATCGAGTCCCCAGTAACTGAGATCGTTGAAAGTGCCGTTTCTGTACCAATCGATCGGCGGGAGATTTGTGGTTATCTCCATCCAATGTCTCTGAGCTTCGAAATCGCCGAATTTAGGCGGAATTCCGGCGCCGGAGTACGGGTACATCGATACAGCAGATCGGATCAATAATGCGAAGAGGGAGATGCAGAGAAATGAAGTGGTGGTTCCTTTATGTACTAACCACCGCCATGTGTTAATCGGAGCTCCGTCTTGAGCTGATATCGGAGCGGTGGTGTCATCGCCGGAATGTTTCGCCGGCTTTTTCTTCGGCATCTTGTTTTCTTCGTCTCCGTTTTAAAATTTTAGCTAATTTGATGCAAAAATAGATCCATTAATTTGGTGTTTAGACTTTGGACCGTCCATTAGAACCAAAATGATCCGTTTAAGCCCAATCCGAAGAGTACTCGAAATTCATTACTATCGGGCTTGTATTGTACCCATTTTACTATTTAAATTAATTTATCTTAATTTCATTTTAGTTACGAACTTTCAATTCTATTTATTTATTTATTTATTCAGCCGTTCAAAAAAAAAAAAAAATTATTTATTTATTCTGAAAAAATAAAAAATTGTTAAATAAATTTATCGTAGCAACTGAAGTTAAAAAAATACTAATAAGCTTGACATATACAACTTAAAAAGCTTCATATATACAACTTTTTTTTTTTTTTTTGAACAAAGCTTTCAATTCATATATACAACTTAAAAAAATAAAAAGTTGTTCAAAAAAAAAAGCGTGATATATACATGCAAAACTTAGATAGGATTTTTACATAGATATAGCTTAGTTTATTGATAAATTCTGGTATTTTGGAAAATTAATAACTGTTTTAGATAATTACAGTAGAAAATCTATAAATTATTGATCTTTATAGAAACCTAATAATAATGATAGTTATTTTCATTCAGTTATTGAATAGATGATTATCTTGTTATAAAGTAAAATTAGGTTGACAAAAAAAAAGTAAAATTAAAATTGCAGATCAAAACAGAAATAAAAAGTTAAATTAACTTAAGTAAATATCGCATGCCAAATCTCATATCTAAAATTCCAAACCCAAGCAGTAATTAAGTTGATTTTGGGCGGAGTCTAGAATCTTCTATACACATCTCCACTACATCTCATACGCTCTTGATAATCCAACGGCTTATATATCATTATCATCTTTTAGTCTCCATACGATTACCGTTGGTACACCAATTTTGAGTAGACGTGCGTGTATGCGATCAGACTTTTCTTTTGTTAACTTGTGTTGATATATAAGCTGACTCAACACCCCAAAAGCGGACTCTCTCTATACTTTGCTTCTCTCTCTACACTTTTTCTCTTCTCTCAAACCTTTTTTTTTTCCTCCTAAAACGATGAAGGTTTTCGTGAAGACTCTCAAGGGGACGAGCTTCGAGATCGAAGTAAACCCTACGGATACGGTATAACGAAACTCCCGAATTCGATTCGTCTTCCTGTTTCTGTTGCGTTAAACTGTTTAATTAGGTCTGATTTGGTATCCCGTAATTCGTGGGTTTTGATTTTGCCTTTGGGGGAATTGGGTTCGAAGTAGTGAATCTCGCGAGACTCTGATTTCGAAATTCTGGTGGTTTCGTTTCGGGTTGAGAATTCTGTGTGACGATTCATGTTTTTATGTCATCGGATTGGGATGAGAATTAGGGTTTTCCTGCGAGTCTGGAAGTTTAGTGATAGTATTGGCTGTTGATTTTGTTGGGTTAACTCTTTGTACTGTTTGAGAGTGTGTATAATTCCTGGCTTTGTGTTCTTCATTATGAATCGGACTATTTCCCCTCTCGTTCACTGCTTTCGTGATCTTACTGGAATCTAATTTTTTTCATACCTAGGATCCCATCTGGGTTTCATCTGTAGAAGTTTGCTTAAATCCCCCAGAAAACTAAATTAACCTTGAGGCGCTTATGTAAACTAAATTAATCTGGGTTTCATCTGGTAATTGTGTCGTGGAGATGTTTGTGCTTTTTGGTTTGGTGTAAGTTAAGTTTTATGTGATATTTTGATGATCTCAGATTACCGATGTCAAAAAAGCTATAGAAACCAGTAATGCTGAGCTATACCCAGCTCCTCAGCAGATGCTGATCCACCAAGGAAAGATCCTCAAGGATGAGACTACATTGGAAGAGAACAGCGTTGCTGAGAAAAGTTTCATTGTTATCATGATGTCCAAGGTGATGTTCTTTTCAGTGTAAATGTTTTTGGGTCCACAATTTCGCGTTATTATTTGTATAAGTAACATGATTCTACTAATAACCGGATGCTAATTTATCATACCATTTGATTTTATCTTGTTCAAATATAGCCTAAGGTTTCTTCAAGCGGTGCATCAACTGCATCTGCACCTGCACCTGCACCACCAGCAGTTTCTGCAGCTCAGGTGAATAGAGTTTCAAGGCTTTAGTGATAACCAACAAAATATACTATCTAGATCACACTTTATGAGTTTGTCTTACTGAATTGCTTGGATTTTTAGGCTCAGCCTGCACAGACAGTTGCTACACCTCAGGTTTCTGCTCCAGCTGTCTCAGTGTGAGTTCCAGGCATTGATTTACATCAAATCTGGAAAAGAAACTGTGATCTTCTGTTGATGAATCACTCTATATGCGGCTTTGCTAATTTTTTCTCTACTTTTGCTTGTGTTTTGCAGTCCACAGCCTACAAGTGCAATTGCAACAGATGCAGCACCAGCTGCTGCCGCTACGTAAGCACTTTTCAGAACTGCTATTCACCCACTGTCAAATTTTGTCAAATTTTCGTCTTACCCTGACTAATGTCCGATTAAACGCTTTCTCTAATTTTGTTGTAACAGGGGAGATGTTTATGGTCAAGCAGCCTCAAACCTTGTCGCTGGAAATACCTTGGAATCCACCGTTCAGCAAATTCTTGACATGGGTGGAGGTAGCTGGGACCGTGACACTGTTATCCGAGCCCTGAGAGCTGCCTTCAACAACCCTGAAAGAGCTGTCGAATATCTGTACTCAGTATGTTTCATACCTCATCTTGATTCTAGCTTGTTCTTTGTTTTCTTATACTTTAACTTTGCTTTGACCCTTTGGTGTATGATACTAAACTTTGGTTTTGATACATTTCAGGGGATCCCTGCCCAAGCTGAAATCCCGGCGGTCGCTCAAGCCCCAGCTGCTGCTGGACAGGTGGCAAATCCTCTAGCACAGCCCGCACAAGAAGCTGCTGCTCCGGTGCCTCCTACTACTGGTCCAAATGCGAATCCGTTGAACCTGTTTCCTCAGGTAAGGTTTCGTACTAGTATTCTTACTGTTGGATTTGTTTTATGACATCCAATCTTTATCTGTCTTTACTCAGGGCATGCCCGCTGCAGATGCTGGTGCTGGAGCTGGCAATCTTGATTTCCTGCGTAACAGTCAACAGGTATCTTCAGATTCTTCTCCATTTCGAGAAACAAAATCCTTCCCTCTTATAATGTTGTGATTGTTTTGCTATTTCTACAGTTCCAAGCCTTGAGAGCTATGGTACAAGCGAACCCACAAATTCTGCAGCCTATGCTTCAGGAGCTCGGTAAACAAAACCCCCAGCTTGTGCGTCTGATTCAAGAGCACCAAGCTGACTTCCTACGCTTGATAAACGAGCCCGTCGAGGGAGAAGAGTGAGTTTCATATTATAATTCTTCTATACATTTTCAACTTTCTTTTGTCTAAAAATGCCTGGAAGCTGATACGTCATTTCCTCACCAATGCCAATAGGAATGTCATTGAACAGTTGGAAGCAGCAATGCCACAAGCTGTTACCGTCACACCTGAAGAGCGTGAAGCCATTGAACGGGTTTGTTCTCTTTTCTTTGCATCTGTACTTGAACCAGATATGCATTGTTAGCTGCATTCGTTTGATTCTTGAGTAGGCAATGAACGAAATTTGATTTTGTTTGACTGCAGCTTGAAGCGATGGGATTTGATCGTGCGATGGTGTTGGAAGTGTTCTTTGCGTGTAACAAGAACGAAGAACTTGCAGCTAATTACCTTCTAGATCACATGCACGAATTTGATGAACAATAATCAGAGCAAATCCCATTCCTCCTCTCCCTCCTAAACTCAAGAGACATCTTTCTCTTTCTTTCTTTCTTTTTTCTTCTTTTCTTTTTAATTTTTACTTTTATGATGATAATCTCTTCTCCTCCAATGCATTTGACAGTTTCATGTTTATGTTCGTGGGAGTTGTTGATGTGTTTATGTTTTACATTGAAAACTTATCATAGTTAATCTGGTTTGAAGAATGTTCAAATTCTCTTTTTATAGTTTCCATTGCATCATTTATTAGATCATAATCATCAGAGGAAGATTTGGTTCTTTAGGATTTAAATAAACCAATAGAGTATCAAAATGCTCCAAAAAACCGAATTCAATCTGATTGTCAAAAGAAGAAATCTAGTGAGACTCGAGTCTCACATGGTTCCGCCTCATTAATAAACCCGTTGGGCCCTCATTGCTAGGCCCATTTAGCAGCATGGCTCAAGACACGTGGTGGGTCATGGCATCAATCAATTTCAGAATCTGACAGCTGTCAAGCTTCCATTGGAGCTGTTAACTCTTAAGCCTCGAAAACAGTTTTATTCCATTTTCGCATTGTATCAGATTCAGTTTCCTTCTCTTATTTCATTTTTTTGAAAACCACTAGCAATTCGAATCAGATCTTCAATCGAAAAAAAGGTAAGCCTCTAATTTCTCTCTCTGATCTTCGTCCGTTCGAAGTATAGATCTGATGTTTGTATCATTCTGGAGATCGATCTGATCGATTCGTTCTAGTTTCGCTGCTCCAGTGAGAGCTTGATTTGTGTTCTTAATCTGTGATGGATTCCCCAACTTTTCGCTGTTCTTATCGATGTTTTAGTGAGAGCACGAGTGTAATCTTAATCTGTGATCGATTCGCTTAGTTTCGCTGCTTTTATCGCTAATTTCAGTGAAAGCATGAGTGTGTTCTTAATCCGCGATGAGTATGACTCATCGAATGACTGTATAGATGTTGATTTGGGCTATGGTTTTATTCAATCTGTGCACTGTTTTAGGTTTCGTAGAGTTAAATTGCTTCCGCGTTGTAGGATCTGCTCGAGATTCTTAAATCGAAAGTGTTGACTGAATCATCAAACTGTTCTTATCACTGTTTCTCTAATTCTGGGAAAGCATGAGTGTAATCTTAATCTGTGATGAATTCGCTTAGTTTCGCTGTTCTTATCGCTAATTTTCAGTGAAAGCATGAGTGTGTTCTTAATCCGTGATGAGTATGATTCCATGAATGAGTGTGTATGTTGATTTTGGTTATGGTTTAGATTCTTAAATCGAAGATGTTGACTGAATCAATCAAACTGTTCTTATCGCTGTTTCTGTGATTCCGTGAAAGCATTTGTGATGAACATGATTCAGTAATGTTTCTACTTTGTAGGTTTTACTCTAGATTCTTAAGAAAAGGCAAAGATGTCGACTGAAGCGTCACGTGAAGAGAATGTGTACATGGCGAAATTAGCCGAACAAGCCGAGCGTTACGAAGAAATGGTTGAGTTCATGGAGAAAGTCGCCAAAACCGTGGATTCCGAAGAGCTCACCGTTGAAGAGAGGAACCTTCTCTCTGTCGCTTACAAGAACGTGATCGGAGCGAGAAGAGCCTCCTGGAGAATCATCTCTTCCATCGAGCAGAAAGAAGAGAGCAAAGGGAACGAAGACCACGTCGCTATCATCAAGGACTACAGGGGCAAAATCGAAACCGAGCTCAGCAAAATCTGCGACGGGATTTTGAATGTTCTCGAAGCTCATCTGATTCCGTCTGCTACACCAGCTGAATCTAAAGTGTTTTACCTTAAGATGAAAGGAGATTACCACAGGTATCTTGCTGAGTTTAAGGCTGGCGCTGAGAGGAAAGAAGCTGCTGAGAGCACTTTGGTTGCATACAAGTCTGCTCAGGCAAGTTGATTAACGTTCTTGAGGCTTATCTAATTCCATCTTTATATGGTTTTAACGATTGATTTTTGTTGTTGTGATGATGCAGGACATTGCTACTGCTGAGCTGGCTCCTACTCACCCGATAAGGCTTGGTCTTGCGCTTAACTTCTCTGTGTTTTACTATGAGATCCTTAACTCGCCTGACCGTGCTTGCAGCCTCGCCAAACAGGTTTGCTTTTCTTTCTCCATCTTCTTTACCCTCTAATGTTGACATTGTTGTGAACTTTGTCTAACTAAATGAGCTCTAATGGGTTTTTGAAGGCTTTTGATGAAGCTATTGCGGAGTTAGATACATTGGGTGAGGAATCATACAAGGACAGTACACTGATCATGCAGCTTCTTAGAGACAATCTCACTCTCTGGACTTCAGACATGACAGTAAGCCTCCATTACTTCAAATAACTTCAACTTTGGAAATTGAAATGGTCTGTAATTGAGTTTGACATGATTGTTCCTTTCTGGTTGAATAGGACGAAGCAGGAGACGAGATCAAGGAGGCGGCATCGAAGCCCGATGGCGCAGAGTAAAAGTCCAAAATCGAAGAAGAGGAAGTCATTTTATAAAGGTAGAAACTTCCTAGAAGAATGTTATGTGATGATGATAATCTGAGTGAAGGGATTAGCTCAGGATTCTTATAAGAAACCGTTTTATTGTTTGTGTTCTCTGTTTGTTTCGAAAACAGTTTGAGAAACTACTTTCGCTTCTTCATTCCTCTCTTTTAGTTTCCTCAAAAAATTTGCTCTTCTCTGTTTTAACGAAATCAAAACTTACTTCTTCTGATAGTTTCCATTATGCAAATGCTTGAGATTTTCTCATTTTGCTACCAAAGAACTCTTCTCGTTATACAAATGCTCAAATCCAACTTCCCATCTACATAAACAAACGCTCACAAACGCAAGGTTTCATTAGATATTTTATGATCTTGATGATGATGACGATGATGATGACACTAGATGAGAGAGTAGACAACATCATCGTACGTAGGGAAGTCCAATGGTCCATCCCCAAGGAGTATCACAGAAGTGACAAGAACCGCGACGAAGACCACGAACACCAGAAACGACTTACACGGATCAGCACCATTCGGTTTCTCCGGTCCAACCGCCACGTTCCCTTCTTGTCTCTCACTTCCTCCTCCAAGCTGAAACACCGGACAAGTGAAGAATCCATACACTACCCCGGTAACAAGCGCTCCAAGATTCGTCCTGTTCACACAACTCAAAAACGTTAACAGAGAGAGAGGTTCACAAGTCTCATAGCTGAGGTTATCGGAAAGCTTACCAGTCATCTATAGGACCGAAATGGCTTAGTATGAGACCAAGTCCTGACATTATAATGGCCTTTTGAAACAAGTCATCATACTCATCTCTTTTGATCATCTCCTTGTTCTGACTTTGGTCTACGAGCCAAGCTCCTATCAACGCAAATGCTGGTCCCTGCACAAACCGATTTAGCGTAAGCTTGGCTCTGAGAGTTAACAACGGTGCGGTTTAGTTAACTTACAGTTCCTCCAACTGTAGGATCTGGAGTATGAAGAAAGCTCATGAAGTTACCAGAGACTCCTCCAAGAATGTAAATGAGACAGAACGTGAATAGTCCATAGTCACGGCAGACTTTTGGTCCAAATGTAAGCAGAGCCCACGAGCTAAGCGCTACATGAGGAACTCCAGAGTGCTGCAGAGACAGTGAACAAAATTACATGAAACCAAACCATCAAGAACGTGGAAAAGATGCAATGGAATGAAGAAACTTAAGCAATATATACAGACCCAATTTGTTGGTCTTGTACCAGAAACATGGGTGTGACTAGCCTCCACCATTCTCCGGCCACGATTAGATCGTTTATCTTTGCTCCATACAGCAGCGGGAGCGATAAGAGTCCCATCTCGTTGTTCCTAACTGGACTCGCTGCTTCGAAAAGACATACACCGACGTTTATGGATGCTAATACGCTCCTGCGTTTTTTCAAATGTATCAACAAGAATCCATGTGTTACATTTTGAGATGAACATAGAAGAGTTCTTACACAGCATAGAAGCTCAATGTATCTTCTGATTGATCATCATCATCATCGAACTGCTGGAAAGGAAGATTTTTACTTTCGAGATCAGTCTGTCTCAACTTGCTTGCTACTAAACCGCTTTCCGGTTTTACCATCGCGTCTGAGGGGCCAAAGAAAGAGCCAAGAAGAAAGCAAGAAAGATAAACGATTACACTGATTTCAAGAAGATTGTCTTTATCGTTGTTATACCTTTTTGTTGTTTGTCAAGATAATCGCTCAGAGTTTTTAACTCTTCCTTTGCACTCACTTCAGCTTTTCGATCGATTTCATCTCCAGTTGTTGAGATAGAAGAAGGCTTCTCATCGTCGGTTTGAAGTTTCCCAAAGTAAGAATCTAACAGTTTCAGTCTCTTCTTGATAGTCTTGGTCTCTGATGACGCCCTAACCACGCATAATCTTCCTCTTGGTATCGTTGCTCTATGTTTCTGTCCACTAGTGCTACTGCTAGTAACTTCTGCTTTCATCAACACATCGAAAGCTGGACATGGTAAAGTTCTTCCAGATGAAAAACGTCTTGAACCATTCGAATCGAACGAAAGCTCTCCTCTGCTTTGTCGAGATGAAGTACCGTTATGAAAAACATGATCTTTACAGGGGAATTCATGGTGAAGAGGAAGCATCGCCATTATAAAGCTCAAATCTGTTCACTTGGAAGAAAATTTCATCATCAAAACTCTTCATTTCACAAAACCTTAAAGAGATAACATGCAGAGAATTTTGACAAAAGATGGAGATAAAGATTGGATTTTTGTGACAGTTACAGAGAATAGTGGCAAGTTAGAAGATAAAAGAATCAAAAATCACGGACTGTTTCTTATAAACACATATGCAAGAAATTACAGAACCAATTTGGGATTAAACTGTTAAACAAAAGGCTTTGATTAGATAATATCTATGGGGAATTTAATCAAACAACAAAAGGGCATGACTATAATCTTCCACATAGTTTGTCTAAGAGCTAAAACAACTGAAACAAGTACCATTCCCGACAGATTTTAGTAGAGAGAGGACCAATCAAACCAAAATGAGAAGAAACAGAACCAGAATCCGAGAAAGTGTGTAAATTTATTTACCTTTTGAAGAAGAAGCCTGATCTTATCTTTCCTTCTCTTGCTTCAGACCTTAAGATGAAGATTGTGGCTGCGAGGAGGATTAGGATTCGTTGTTCGTAAACTGATGAGATATCAGATAAGTGAGTGTCTTAGGAAATGAAAATTACGTTTTTGGAAAGAGAACATAAAAAAGCGACAAAATAAAAAACAAATATTTTAATAAATGGTTCTGAGCTTCGTCGCTTTTAGATATTTTTTATTCTTTGAACACAACTGACTCACACGTCACGAGTCACAAGTACAACTCTCCAGAGCTGACCATTCCTTGTTAGGTTTCTGTATTTTGTCACAAATATATTTTTAATTTTTTTTAAACCATCCACTTATAGTAATTTGTTATTATAGGTAAAATGATTGGAAGCTCAATCTTTTGATTCATGGGGTTGTGGTTTTTAGAAGTGATGAAATGTCCCATTCCAGTTGTGAACTTTGACAACTTGAAAACATTAAACATAACAAAACAATGAGGTTAAACCACAAGACAGTGTTTTGTTGATTAAGAGGAGATGTGTTTAGCGATTATAAGAATAAAGGAATTGTTGTTAGCTCCTTGGTAGAATTGTAAAAAAAACAATGGTAATAGAGACACACAAAATATATATTACAAGATATAAGTGTTTAAAAACAATAGAACTTAAGCTTAAAACACCACGTCGTCTCTCACAATAGTAAGATCGAATAAGAAAGAAAGATGAACAATAAATAAGATAACGAGCGTGTGTTAATTAAGCGTCCATGCACGATCCTAAATATTTGGCATAAGTTTCACATTCTCTACGTAGTCAAGAAACACGTAAGCGTTACTTTTCCAGTGACCTTCCATTTCTTTGATGTCAACTCTAGTGACAGTGTTCCTCTCGGGATTGTAGTAGATAAGGTAGAAAGAGTCATAGTAGATCTCGTCACGGAAGAAAGGCCTGTCCGGCGACATCACAATTTCGCCGTTGTTAGTTATTCCTACAAAGTGTAAGTTATGCCCTGTTATAGACTTCCAAGGAGGTGGCATGCCGTAGGCATAACTCGACCATTGATGTTTCTCGGCGTCTTGTAGAACCCACATGTGAATACTTGTACCTATCACTTCATTCCAAAGCTCAAGCTTAGCTAGTTTACCCTTGTAGTTTGCAAGAGCTGATGATTCATGACCAAATAGTCTATAGGGAGAGTCAACAACTTTCATATCTTGAGCTTTCTTGATATAACCGAGTTTCTCATATCTGAGATCGAAGAAGAATATATCAGGAACCTGATGACTTCCATGGTACATACTAGTACTAGTACTACCAGTACCGAAAGGAACAGGTAAATAATACAAAACACCATTGATGCATATCCCAACTTTACGAAACGCACTACCAAAGCCTGGTACATCACATGTCATCTTTCTCCATGACATTTGTTTTCCAGTTCCTAATGTTAAGACTTGATACATCAGATCTTCAGGACCAAGACTTTCATTTGGCTGGGCCGTGCAAAACACTTTAATCTTTTGTTCGGTTGGATCAAACCCTAAAGAGCATTTTATTATATAGGCAGCACTTTTCACTTCGGGTAAGGTTAAGATTTGTCCTGTGCTAAGGTTACATACCGTTTGCACAGTACCTTGCGTTGGACCAAAAGTCCATTGACCACAAAGGTTGTCAGAGAGATCACATTCAACTGGGAAGCTCGTATGTAACCTGGCGGTTAAAGAAGACGAGGTTTGAGGCTGTGGCGATGAGAAGAAGAAAGTGCTGTCATCTGATATATATGCGAACAGTAGCTTCGGACGAGACGAAGATATGGCGAAGAACGATTCATTGAAGTTTGGACTGCGGATAGTCGATACGCAGCGAAATCTCGATACTGATTTTTCTGGCAATCTCAAGAGTATCTCCGTAACGAGATCGAATGGGATCTCTTCGAACTTCGCTCCTTTGTTCCTTGAATTCGAACATGATCGTCGTCTCTTGCTTCTTTGTGTCGTCATCATGGTGGAAACCACGCTTACCTCAAACCCTAAAGTCTCTTTTTTTTTTTTTTTTCTCTTAGGTAAATTTTTTATTCTGCATGCTTATATATTATTTATACGGATTAAATTTCCTTTTTTGCATACCCTACAATTACACAATTTTACCAAACCGACTATCACATCAATTTGTTACAACTTGTTAGGTCCTTTAATATGGACTTGGACAAATTATTCGAATAAAGCTTCTCAAAACCATCTTGATTAAGTCATATGGTGTTCAATTAAATAAAAAGTTTAGTAAAACACAATTATACCATCATGTTTGCATGATCGATATAATTCGTCTACAATTTCTAGTAAAAATAAACTCTTTAGCCTTATAGTAATATATTGTGGTTTTTACCAATGAATAAAGACAAAAAAAATTCGCAAAATCGATTGCTCATGAAAATAAGAGTTTAAATACAATTAAAATTATGCTTAAAACGCCACGGTTCACAACTGTAAATGAACCCATAAGAACCGATGATAAAACACCATACCAAGAACAAAATAGTAATCAAATAATAATAACGACAGTGCTAATTAGGAGGCCACGATCCTAGATATTCAGTGTAACTCATAAGGTTTCAAATCCTCTACGTAGTCAAGAAAGATGCGAGCTTTACTTTTCTCGTAAGCTTCCATTCCTTTGATTCCAACTCTAGTGAGAGTGTTCCTCTTGGGATTGTAGTAGACAAGGTAGAGACACTTGCCTATATACTCCGGAGACATCACAATTTCACCATTGTTAGTTATTCCAACAAAGTGCAACCTAGGCCCTTCAACTATAGACTTCCAAGGAGGAGGCAAGACATAGGCATAACTCCACCATTCATTTTTCTCCGAGTCTTGTAGAACCCACAGATTAATACCTGTAACTATTCCATGATTCGAACAAATGATGGGGTCAAGCTTAGCTAGTTTACCCTTGTAGTTGACCAGTGATGAATCGATTTTTCCTCTCGCTTTACCAAGTTCTTTGTCTGTCTTGATATAACTGAATTTCTCATATCTAACGTCGAAGCAAACTATATCGCAGCACTTACCATCATTATAATCCTCATCTAAATAATACAAAATACCATTGATGCATATCCCATCATGTCTACGTCTTCCAAAACCATCAGAATGAAAACCTTGTATATTACATGTGATTTTTCTCCATGACAGTTCTTCTCCATTTCCTAACGTTAGAACTTGATGCTGCTCGGCACTATAACTACCATTTTTATATGACAAGGTCGTGGTCAATACTTTGAGGTGTTTGTCAATTGGATCAAACCCTAAAGAGCTTCTTCTTACACGAGCACAATTTTTCACTTCGGGTAAGGTTAAGATTTTTCCTGTGCTAGGGTTACATATCGATTGCACGGTACCTTTCGTTGCACCAAAATACCATTGATGATGAATTTCATATGGACAGGTAACAGGGAAGCTCGTAAGAAAGCTGGCGGTTAAAGGAGACGAGTCTTGAGGCTGTGGCGATGAGAAGAAGAACGTTTTATTTTCAGATAGGCATGCGAACAATAGCTTCGGACGAGAACAAGATATGGTGCGGAACGCTTCAGTGAAATCTGGACTGCTGAATGTGGAGTCCCATAGCTTCGATAGGCAGCGAAATCTCGATATAGAGTTTGACGGCAGTCTCAAGAATATCTCCGTAACGAGGTCGTTTGGAATATGTTGGAATTTCGCTCCTTCGTTCCTTGAATTCGAACAAGAACGCTGTGTCATCATCATGGTGGAGACGACGCTTACCTTAAACCCTAACTCCTAAGGTCTCTTTTTTTTCTTCTTTCTCTTAAGTAAATTTTTTAACCTGCATATCACATTAAACCCTAACTCCTAATTTATATACATACGAGAATTGCCCTTAAGTTTTTCTTTTTTGAACCCTACAATTACACAATTTTACCAAACCGAATATCACATCATTTTTTAGAACTTTTTTGGTCCTTTCCTGTCATAAGGCATCATAACCAAACTTTAATTTACATTGTTCTCAGTTTCTCCATCTAGTGTGATTTCTTACCTCTGGTAGCTCATTTATTCTACTCTTGTCTTTTAATCCCAATGGGAGTTCACCAGCCAGTTTTCTAACTTTAGAAACAAGCTTCTCAAAACCATCTTTAAGTCATATTTTGTGTTTGATTAAAAACTGAAACACAATTTTCCCATGTTTGCAAGAGATGATACACAATTATCTATTCATCTACAATATCGGAAAAAGTAATTTCTTTAGCCTTATTGTCATGTAAGTTTTTGCCAATGAAATGACACAAACATAAAACTCACGGGATGAAACCAGTATTACATGATGTGGTTTCGAGTTTAGGAGATGTACGGCCTTCGGCCAGAACCTCCTAGTAAAAAAAAGAAAAATTGCTAAGACAATTGGGGAGCTCATGAAAAGATGATTTTAAAAATAATAAAACTTAAATCTAAAAACACAATACCTCACAATAATATGAAACAATAAGAAAAGATGAACACAATACCTAGAACAAAATAGTATAACAGATAAGATAACCAGCCTAGGTTTCTCGAGAGGCCATGATCCTATATATTTGGCATACGGTTCACATCCTCTACGTGGTCAAGAAAGACGTAAGCTTTACCTCCCCTGTAAGCTTGCATTCCTTTGATTTCAACTTTAGTGAGAGAGTTCCTCTCGGGATTGTAGTAAACAAGGTAGAAACACTTGCCTATACACCACGGTGACATCACAATTTCACCTTTATTTGTTATTCCTAGAAAGCGCAACGTAGCCCCTGCAACTATAGACTTCCAAGGAGGAGGCAAGACATAGGTATAACTCGACCATTGATGTTTTTTGGCGTCTTGTAGAACCCACATTTGAATATCTGTATATATTCCTTGGTTCGGACCAGTCTTGAGCTTAAGCTTAGCTAGTTTGCCCTTGTAGTTTACCAGATTTGAATTAAAATTTCTTCTCGAGTCAGCAAATTTCTTGTCTTTCTTGATATAACTGAATTTCTCAGACCTAACATTGAAGCAAACTATATCAGGAAACTCTTCATCGTAGTCCTCATCATCACTATAATCAACAAATAAATAATACAAAACACCATTGATGCATATCCCATCTTTACGATGTACATCATCAAAATGTGGTATATCACATTTGATCTTTCTCCATGACATTTTGTCTCCATCTCCTAGTGTTAGAACTTGGTGCTGCTCTTCGGGATAACCATTTTCATTTGACTCGGTCGTGCACAATACTTTGAGCTGTTTGTCAACTGGATCAAACCCTAGAGAGCTTTGCACTACATAACTTCTCTTTTTCGCTACAGGTAAGGTTAAGATTTGTCCTGTGCTAAGGTTACATATCGATTGCACATTACCATCCGTTGGACCAAGAGTCCATTGGCGATGAATGTCATAGGGATAACTCATAGGGAAGCTCGTTAGAAAACTGGCGGTTAAAGGAGACGAATCTTGACGCTGTGGCGATGAGAAGAAGAACGTTTTGTTGTCAGATACACATGCGAACAAAAGCTTCCGACGAGATGAAGATATGGTGCGGAACGATTCAATGAAATTTGGACTTCTGAATGTGGAATCCCATAGCTTCGATAGGCAGCGAAATCTCGATATAGACTCTGACGGCAGTCTCAAGAATATCTCCGTAACGAGATCGAATGGTATATGTTGAAATTTTGCTCCTTCGTTCCCTGCATGCGAGCAAGGTCGTCTCTTGCTTCGTCGTGTCATCATGGTGGAGGAGACGCCTCCACTAAACCCTAAACTTTTTTTTTCTTTTCTTTTCCGTTTGGTAATTGTTTGATCTGCATGCTTATATTATTTATATACGGATTAAATTTTCTTTTTTTGCGAACCCTATTATTACACAATTTAACCAAAACGAATGTATCATTTTCTTACAACTTTTTAGGTCCTTTATTATATCTAGCATGGACAAATATATTTACTCGGAGTTGAAAAACCAAACCAAAACTGAATCGAACCGAACCAAATAGTCATGATAAGCATCCGAATGATTCGTTATTACAGTAGAATCTCTATAAAGTAATATTCGATAAAGTAATACCTCGATAAATGAATATAATTTTCAAGTCTCAAATTTAGTTTTTGGTCTAATTATCCTTCGATAAATTAATAATCTCGATAAATAATAAAATATTGTGGTCCCAACGTTATTACTTTATAGAGGTTATACTGTATGTCAAAAAGAAAAAAAAGAACATGTATAGAAGTATTCGCAAGAAAAAAAAAAGTTCAAGAACTCTTTCACCAATTAAATGACGCTAACATAGAACTCAACAACGTCCATTGCTCATGATATAAGAGTTTAAAAAGAAGAAAACTTAAGCTTAAAACAACATACCAAGAACAAAATAGTATGAACCAAAAAGAAAAGATGAACACCATACCAAGAACAAAATATAGTAAGCAAATAAGATAATTAATGAGCGTTTCTTTAAGAGGCCACGATCTTAAATACAAGCCAGAAGGTTCACATCCTCTACGTAGTCAAGAGAGATGTAAGCATAACCCTTCATGTAAGCTTTACAATTAATTTTAGCTTCCATTCCTTCGACTACAACTTTCTTTATAGTGTCCCTCTCCGGATTGAAGTGGACAAGGTAGTAAGGGTCGTTGTTTCTGTACTCTGGCGACATCACAATTTCACCTATGTTAGTTATACCTACAAAGTGTAAATTAGGGCATCCAACTATTGTCTTCCAAGGAGGAGGCAAGTCGTAGGCATAAGTAACCCGACCATTGATGTTTCTCGGCGTCTTGTAGAACCCACATTTTAATACTTGTGATGATTCCGGTATCCAAACAAACGTCTGCCTCAAGCTTAGCTAGTTTGCCTTTGTAGTTTGCTAGAGCTGAATCAAGATTTCCTCTCGCGGTAGCAAGTTCCATGTCTTTCTTGACGTAACTGAATTTCTCAGACCTAACATTGAAGCAAACTATATCCGGAAACTCTTCTTGGTAGTGCTCATCACTACTAACCACAATCAAATAATACAAAACACCGTTGATGCATATCCAATCTCTACGATGTATCTCATCAAAACGTTGTAGAGCACATTTGACCTTTCTCCATTTGAGTCTTCTTCCACTTCCAAGAGTTAGAACGTGATGCTCCACCTTAGTCTGATAATCTTCATATGTCTTGGTTGTGCACAATACTTTGAGCTGTTTGTCTATCGGATCAAACCCTAAAGAGCTTTTCAATACATAACTCCTACTACTTCTCGCTATGGGTAAGGTTAAGATTTTTCCTGTGCTAAGGTTACATATCCATTATATTGCACACTTCTCTGCTCCTCCGTCGCACCCAAAACCCATTGACGATGAAAGTCATAGGGGAAATTAATAACACGTGAACTCTTAAGAAAACTGACGGTTAAAGGAGACGAGTTTTGAGCCTGTGGAGATGAGAAGAAGAAAGTTGCGTAGAGCCCTCGACATGCAAACAGTAGCTTCGGACGAGAAGAAGATATGGTGCGGTACGATTCAATGAAACTTGGACTTCTGAATGTGGAATCACATAGCTTCGATACGCAGCGAAATCTCGATATTGATTTTCCTGGCAATCTCAAGAATATCTCCGTAACGAGAGATCGAATGGTAGCTGTTGGACTTCCTCTACTTCGTTCCTTGATTTCGAAGAAGATCGTTTCGTGCTTCGTCGTCTTTTCATGGTGGAGTGGAGGAGACGCTTCCCTTAAAACCCTAAAGTCTCTTTTTTTTTTTTTTTCCCTTGGTAAAATTTATATTATTTCTACCGATGAGAAATTATTTTCTTCCAATTCTACAATTACACAAGTTTACAAAAGAGAAATTTTATGAAATATTCCACCAAAACGAATATCATAATCATTTTTATTTTTAGAACCTGCAATAAAAAATAAAAATAAAATCATTTTTAGAACCTTTATTTAGATAAAGACATTCGGTTCTTTGGAGCGGTTTTGATTGGTTCTACGGTTTTGGATAATTCTAAAAAGATTTTAGCGAGTATCCATATATATATATGAACCGAGCAAATTTCGATTTGGTTCGTAAAAGTTTCGGGTTCAAATTTCCGGGTACCCCGAAATGTCATTTTTTATTAAGTCTTGTTTAATTTTTGATAAAATTTAGTTTTATTTTTCTTCGATAAAAAATAGTTTGATCAAGTGTTGCTAAATTTTATAAAAAATTTAGTTTAGTAAAACAAGAAACCATTCGGATATTTATGACTATTTGGTTCGGTTTGATTCATCTCAATTAGGTTCGGTTGCGGTTCAATCAATCGATTCCGGGTGATCTAGCTTTTATCTTCGTTAACCATAAACAAACGCCACGTGGATGCTCACCGAACGATTGGCTGTTGTTGATTTCCCAATTCGAATGATTTTGTAAACCGGTTTGTACCGGAAACTATTCGAACAGAGAGAGAAAGCCACGTAAGATCGTCGTCTCCAATGGCACTGAACCGAAAAGGATAACTGAAGAAGAAGCAGAGATTTCGAGAGAGAGACGATGAGAGCCCTGACATGGACGGGAATGGCACCTCCGGCAATGGTGGATCGACCGAGGATGACTTCTCCGGTTGTTTCCTTACGACGGATGACCATCCGGAGAGCTCGCGTCTGTGTTAGAGCCACGGCGGCAGTTTCTGGCGGAGGAGTAGTGGAAGCGGTGGAATTAGCTGAGATAGGTGAGAGAAGTAAGAAATGGAAGTGGAAAGGAGAATATTCGATCAATTATTTTGTGAAGAGTTCGCCGGAGGAAGTAACTCCGGCGAGTCAGACTGTTCTCTTAGTTCACGGCTTCGGCGCATCGATTCCTCACTGGCGAAGGTATCAAATTCCCCTAATTTCGAAGCTCAAATCCCTAAAAATTTCAACTTTGATTCATTTGAAGAAGTGTTGATTAGTTAAAAATCAAAACTTTTTTATGTCTTTCTCAGGAATATAAATGCTTTATCCAAAAACCATACAGTGTATGCGATTGATCTTCTTGGGTTTGGTGATTCAGAGAAGCCACCTGGTTTTAGCTACACAATGGAGTCATGGGCTGAAGTAAAGCAACCATCTTTGAACTATTCAGGCATTGTATTGTATGTTTAAACTATAAAGTGAGTATTTTGATTGATTTTGGTTGCAGTTGATACTCAGTTTCTTGGAGGAAGTGGTTCAGAAGCCAACTATTTTGATAGGAAACTCTGTTGGAAGCCTCGCTTGCGTCATCGCTGCCTCAGGTCTAAGCCTCGCTTGAGATTTATAGTTATTGATTGATCACAGTTTGTCTAGAGAATCTTTGATCTAAGACTTGACTGTGTGTGACAAAACAGAATCACAGCAAGATTTGGTGAAAGGTCTTGTTCTGTTGAACTGTGCTGGTGGTATGAACAACAAAGCTGTGTTTGACGACTGGAGAATCAAGCTTCTGATGCCATTGCTCTTGCTTATCGACTTCTTGCTCAAACAAAGAAGAATTGCTAACGCACTCTTCAACCGCGTTAAAGACAGGCATGTCATTTTACAATATCTCTTCTCTTTCTCCTTAAATCAAGAGCTCTCTAACACATTGATTGATGAACAATAACACAGAGATAATCTCAAGAACATCTTGGCAAATGTTTACATAAACAAAGACAATGTAGATGATACACTTGTAGAGGTATTGTCCTCGCACTGATTCACTTGGTGTTTGAAATTTGTTAGCTTTTTTATTTGAAAATGTTAAGTTTATGTACAGATTATTGCTGGACCAGCAAACAGTGAAGGTGCACTAGATGCATTTGTTTCGATCTTAACCGGTCCACCTGGACCAAACCCGATCAAACTGATTCCGGAAATAACCAAACCGGTTCTTGTCTTGTGGGGAGACCAAGATGGACTAACTCCTCTCGATGGTCCTGTGGGTAAGTACTTCACTTCGCTTCCGGATCAGTTACCTAACTTCAGCCTCTATGTTCTTGAAGGCGTTGGACATTGCCCGCAAGATGATCGTCCTGATCTTGTTCATGAGCGTCTCCTTCCATGGCTTGATCAGCTTTCTTCCACATAGTCTCTTATTTGTTTCCACCATGTGTATACACTGACTTCACCGGTACTGTGTTTATAAATGTATTAACATATTTGTTGTTGAGTCTATGTACTTGATAGATAGGCCAAATCTACCATTTTATTAGCAAACAAAAGTAGGTGGTAAAATCGTAAGTTAGTTCATTTCTTGAATGTTTTGAAAATAAAAACATATTTAGTTCATTTCTTGAGTGTTCTTAGTTTAAACTTTAAACCGAATGCGAAAAATTACACCATTTGTTTTGCCACCACATAATTTTGTTGTCGGTTTGATGGAAGTGATTTTGGTTATCTAACAAACCAATCCTTTTTGCCATTTCCAAGAAAACAACAAAGAAATCCTTCATTGTGACGATTATTATTTAAACTTTATGGTAAAAGACAGCTTATAGATGGTATTTGAGTCGCTGTCGAGCCCAGAGATTAGCTTCTTGACACATTTTATATTGTATGAATGTAATGAATGCGCTTTTGTTTTCTTCTTAACAAGTTTGTAAGCAAGTCGGAGAGATATTAAGTTGCTCTAAGGAGATTCTTTTTTTTGGAGTATTAACTAGATAAGTTCGGTTTAACATAAGCAGATGTGACTGAATCATCAAAGTCAGCAACAAATTTTCCTTAAGTAAAAGACTCCATATGAAAGCAAGACAGCACATAGGATTGTTTTAGTCAAGGCTCAATGCCATATGAGGTAAAGACTAAAGAGTTGTGACTTTGGTACGTTCATGAATTTCTTTATAGACTAGGAGACAAATGATAATATCTTGGGTAAAGTGATTCATTATAAATGTAGAAAGTGACTAGATTGTTGGTTTGATTGATGGTCCTATACACTATGACAATGATACTTTTTCGGTGGATCAGAGAAGACAAAGACACTGTATATGAATGAGCAGCTAGAAGCTATCTCCACACACAAACTAGTTTTATTTTTGGTTGTTGAATCATTAAAAGGACATTGATGACGCATTACATAAATGGAGACGATAGTTTTTGTCTTTTTGAATCATACTAAGAGTAGTGGTTTGTTAGTTTTGGTCTCTTGTGTTATCCTGATATTTCTTTTGTACTGTTTTTACTTTGAATGGTTTGGTTTTCCAAACAAGAGACTTTATAAGTCAAGAGAGCATAAAACAATAACAACGATTAAACAACATTGTTATCAGTTTAAAATCAGAATGAGAGTTTGTACAAGTTAAACTAACATCAAATGTTATTTTCCTCATAAGAAATGGAGAGCTTTGATAACAAAAAAAAAAAAATGATAAATAATAAGAAGACAAAACAAAATAGTATTCAAATAATGAGATGCCGTTGGGTGCCCGGAAGTCTATTTTTGGAGTTTTTTATTCAAGTCTCCACCGATCTTATGTCATTTTCTCTCACTCCCATATCCTTCAAATCTCAAAAACCTTTAACTTCGACTTTCTAATTTGTACTTCTTGAAACTGATAAAAAACAAACAAAGAAATGGCCTCTCAATTACTTTTGCCTCCAAACCCATTCACAAAATCAGTCTCGGCTAAAGATTTCTTCACAGGTAAATGCAGTTTTATCATGGACTCGTTTGTCAAAAACAAAGAATCTTGGTTGTTTGTTGTTTTTGTGGGTTTTGATTCTTGTTGAAGTTCAATTTTTGATGTCTTGAGATTGATTTTGATTTGATTAGGTGATGACTTAACTCTGAAAAGAAAGACAAATCAAGCAACAAGAGTCTCAAATGGATTTAACTTAAGAGCAAAAGCAGCTTTGAGATCTAATCACAACAAACCATCTGTTCAAATTCCAACTCAATGGTACAATATTATTGCTGATCTTTCGGTCAAGCCTCCTCCACCGTTGCATCCCAAGACTTTTGAAACGCTTAAACCTGAAGATTTAGCTCATCTTTTCCCTAATGAGTTGATTAAACAAGAAGCAACATTAGAGAGGTTTATCGATATCCCTGAGGAAGTTCTTGAAATCTACAAGCTTTGGCGTCCAACTCCTCTAATCAGGTTCTCCTTCTTCTTCTTGTAGATTTAGTCATTAGTTCTTCTTGTAAACGGTGATTCAAAGATAAAATCATAAAACAGAGGATTTGTTTCTGTTCTTCATAATCCTGAGTCTGAATCTATGAGTTTTAGATGAAGTATCATCTTATTTCAAACAAATTTCTTATCAGATTTTATTGGTTCTTGCTTTGAATTTAGAGCAAAGAGATTGGAGAAACTTCTTCAGACACCTGCAAGGATTTACTTCAAGTATGAAGGTGGTAGCCCAGCTGGTTCACATAAACCAAACACAGCAGTTCCACAAGCTTATTACAATGCGAAAGAAGGCGTCAAGAACGTTGTGACTGAAACCGGAGCTGGTCAATGGGGCAGTGCTTTAGCCTTTGCTTCTAGTCTATTTGGCCTTGACTGCGAAGTAAGCATCAAGATTTTAGGTTCTTGCATTGATATCTTGAAAACTTCAACACGTTCTTGAAATGCTATATATATTCCAACTTTACAGGTATGGCAAGTGGCGAATTCGTACCATCAAAAGCCATATCGGAGGTTAATGATGCAAACATGGGGAGCAAAAGTTCATCCATCTCCATCGGATCTCACTGAAGCAGGTAGAAGAATCCTTCAGTCCGATCCAACGAGTCCTGGAAGTTTAGGCATTGCTATTTCAGAAGCTGTTGAAGTTGCAGCAAGAAACGAGGATACAAAGTACTGTTTAGGCAGTGTGTTGAACCATGTTCTGTTGCATCAGACGGTTATTGGAGAAGAATGCATAAAGCAGATGGAAGATTTTGGTGAGACGCCTGATGTGATCATAGGTTGTACTGGTGGAGGATCAAATTTTGCTGGCTTGAGTTTTCCTTTTATCCGAGAGAAGCTCCAAGGCAAAATGAATCCTGTGATAAGAGCTGTTGAGCCCTCGGCTTGTCCTTCGTTGACCAAAGGGGTTTATGCTTATGATTTTGGGGATACGGCTGGATTGACTCCTTTGATGAAGATGCATACTTTAGGACATGACTTCATTCCTGATCCTATCCACGCCGGTAATAAATTAAAGCTTTAATCGCAAGATCTTAAACATACTTAACTTCTTGATTTCTATGGTTCTTGAGTCTTGGTTCTTGTTTTGTATTATTCTTGGTTTCTTGATAATTGATCTTGCTTCCAAGATGAAATCACCGAAATGATACATGTCAGTAACTATGTTTGCTGAATGCCCTCATGCTCCCTGCTTCTTGATTCTTGTTTTCTTGATCATTTAATTTGTAGATTCTTGTTTTATGTTATTCTTGATTTAAAAATCCTTGGTTCTTTATTATTAGTTATAAATTCTTGCTTGTTTTCTTTCGGCTAATTTTTTTGTTTTGTCTAATAAATTGTTGTGGCAGGTGGATTACGGTACCATGGGATGGCACCATTGATCTCGCATGTTTATGAACAAGGTTTCATGGAAGCAATCTCAATTCCTCAAATCGAATGTTTCCAAGGTGGTTCTTGGCCTCATCGCACTTCCTCAATTAGTGTTAATATTTAATAACTTCACATTTCATATTTGCATTGGACTGAAATACCAACGTTTCGGTCTAATTTTCTTGCAGGGGCTATTCAGTTTGCAAGAACAGAAGGGATAATACCGGCGCCGGAACCAACTCACGCCATTGCTGCAACCATAAGAGAAGCTCTCCGATGCAAAGAAACAGGAGAAGAAAAAGTGATACTAATGGCTATGTGTGGACATGGCCACTTCGACCTTTCCTCATACGACAAGTATTTAAGAGGCGAATTGGTGGATTTATCATTCAGTGAAGAGAAGATACGAGAGTCTTTGTCCAAGGTCCCACATGTTGTTTAGCTCCAAAGCCCCATTAATTGTTCCAAACCAGACGTGTGAAAGAAGCTAGGGTTTTTGTCATAACTTTTGAAAAATAAAAAGTGAGAGAGCGGACAACTTCAATAATGGGACACAATGTCTCATAGATAAAAAAAAATATATATAATATGAAAGTCATTTGTAAGGATTTGTGCTGTAGTATTATATCACCCGAATGCAAACATAGATATGAAATTTATGTGGATTAACCTACAACACGTCAACACTTAACACTATATGTTATAAAATACTAACATTTAACGATTACAAACCGGAAATTGAAACTTCTAAATGATGTTTAGTGGAACAACGATGAAAGGTAAAGTAGCATTTTGAAGTTAACGTAAAAACAAACGCACATATTCCAGTAATTACGTAAACCATTTATTTGTGAGACTTGATGAAACTCAAAGTTTAAACTCTGCGACCGAATCGCCTATTCCTCTGCTGATACCAAGTCAATGCCTGGAGATAATGAACCTTTTTGAAGTCAGGCCACAGAACACTAGGAAAGTAGAGCTCAGTGTAAGCTGATTGCCATAAGAAGTAGTTACTGATCCGTTGCTCTCCGCTCGTTCTGATCAATAGGTCAGGATTTGGGAACTCACTACACTTTGTCATCAACTCTTCTTGCATGAGATTTTCATCGATGTCCTCCACTTGGATCAGCCCCTTTTTCGCCTTTTCAGCAAGACTTTTGCAGGCTTGCAAGATATCAAACCTTCCACTATAGTCAATCGCCACAATGAAGTGCTTTCCTTCATAGCTCTTTGTAGCTTCTTCTGCCTCCGTAATTGAACCTAGTAGCCCCTTGGGGATATTCGTCCGGTTCCCGATAACAGAGATCTTGATTTCATTTCTAAAAATTAAAGAACATAAAATTAACATATAATTTCAAAAAAAGATTAAAATTATTAAATTACAAACATGTTGGCCAGGTACGTACTTTTGGAAGATAGGTATCTCCGACTTGAAGAGTTTCTCATACATGTCCATCAAGAAGTTAACTTCATCCTGATGAAAGTATAAGAATTAAGAATCGAAAATGTTATAGGAACAATGATCCATCTCTCATTTTAATTTTATATATCTATATATATATATATATATATATAGTTACCTCGGGTCTTCCCCAATTTTCAGTGGAGAAAGCAAAGAGTGAGACAGTGTTTACGCCCAAAGTGAAAAATTCCACTACAAGGTCCACAGCTGTTATTGATCCGGCTTCCTGGCCTTCCGATACACCGAGTCCTTGTTTCTTCGCCCAACGTCTGTTTCCGTCCAATATTATCGCCACATGGTTTGGTATACTCTCTTTCTCTCCAATTGTACCACTACAAATCAGGAAGAAAAAAAAAAGATATAGCAAGGTTGGGAAAAACGCCCAAAAAATTCATGAACTTTATGAAATTTCACGTTTTATTCCCCAACTCTTGATTGCACAAATAATTCCTCAAAGTATGGTTGACTTTGCCAAATTGGGTTTCAATTAGTCAACATTTAACATGGAAATTGATTCCTTTAAATTTGTAACATTATCCTTCGGGATTTTCAGTTTCAAGCTCAAAATTTTCAAACTGAAAAACATTAAAGGAATTTTCCGGCAAACTTCGACGATTTTTAGCAAATTCCAACATATTTTAGTGATTGTATCAATTCAAAATTTGAGCTCCGAAATTGGTTGAAAATTGCTAAAAATTTCCGGAAAAAGCAGAAAATTCTCTTAAAGTTTTTAGGTTTGGAAATTCTGAATTTAGAACTGAAAATCCGACGGATAATGTTACAAATTTAAAGGAATCAATTTCCATGTTAAATGTTGACTAATTGAAACCCAATTTGGTAAAGTCAACCATACTTTGAGGAATTATTTGTGCAATCAAGAGTTGGGGAATAAAACGTGAAATTTCATAAAGTTCAGGAATTTTTTGGGCGTTTTCCCAGCAAGGTTGTAGGTTATATGACTAGTTTATCACATAAAAACTATAATAAATAGAGTACATTTTGTCCCAAAAACAAAAAAAATGGAGAAGCACATACAGTTTATCGTTCCTTTTTTCGAATCGAGAAGCCCCAGTTCTGATCGATCTGCGGATATTTGTGAAGGAGAGGGTAACTCTTAGACGCCTAGAGATGAAGAGACAAGGGATGAGAATTAGGGCAAGAAATGTCAAGACAATAGAGACTAGAAACAACATTATCTTCTGTTTTCAGTGTTTGTTCTTCGATCAATTACTCGTCGTCTACACACATATATATATACTAGAAGGGCTCCGGGTTCAAGATGAGCACATGATCAATGACTTAGCTTAGCATTTAGTGAGGTATATTAAATATGAATTTGTGAAGATATTGAAATATTTGTTCTTGTAACTTGATAATGAAATAATTAATTCGTAAAAACAAAATTGTATTCAATTCTGAGTGGAAATACAACTGGTAACAATATCATACTAGTGAGTAGACATCCACTAGAGAGTAAAAATAATTGAGTTCGGTGAAAACGTGAGAGTATATCCAAAGTTATAGTCAAACTATAAGTATGAAACAATAAAAATATTCACAAAAGTTAACATATTTTTGGACAATTAAAAAGATGGATGCACTTTATGAATTTTCTTAGCTATTTGAGTATTTTCCCAGAAAGAAAGTAGTTAGTTCACAAACACAAGGACTATAGACTTTGTCCGCTCTAAAAAAAAACACTGTAACCCAAATATTCGAATCTTAATTCTTAAATAGTAGCATAAGATTCAGGGATCATACCCTAAAAAAATGAAACGATTTCTATGAAATTTGTTCCCTATACTGATTATATTTGTACTTTTCTTCTTATTTTATATTCAGTTAAAATTTTAACGGCTACAAGCAAACCGAGCATGTGTCCGCCTCGTCTATTATAAAAAGTGAGAGAGGGACAACTTCAACAATGGATCCAATGTCTCATAGATAAAATAAGATTTTTTTCAGAAATACAGTTTTTAGTGTTGTTTACAAAATAACATCAACCATGAAAAGATTAGTTAAGGATTAATAGTATAGTAGTATTTTTCTTTTTATAAGTAGTTGATGCTTAGTATTTTTTTCCTTTTGTGATACCGTTGTTGCATTTTTCATCCTAATGCAAACATGCATGGACAATGAGAAAATAAATTAATGCATTTAGCTACAACACGTCAACACTTAACACAATATAAATGATAAAATAACATGAAACGATTACAAACGGGAAATTTGAAAGTTCTGAATGATATTTTATCTTATATATAATAGGAGAGTTGCTCTCTCCTCCTAGGCTATCCACATCAGCAAAAAAATCATTAATTGTATTTAAGATATTTAATATATGTGTATTAATATTTCTTTATATATATTCCTATTTTACACATAAACAAAACTAAGAAAAATACACAAACAATTTAATTGATTAATATAAAGTATGTGATATCTTGATGTTAAAAGTTAAAAGAAAGTTGTAATATAAAATGGAGATGAAATAAAGAAATATTTAACTTGAAATAGTATATAGTTAGGTTTTAACTCAAAGATTTATTATAATAATGTTTACAAGTAAAAAAGGTACATATAAATTATTTAACATAGTAAAAAGCTAATAAAAAATTAGAGTTAGAGTTTGTTTTATTAAAAAATAGAAGTCGAGTTATTATTTAAATTTCATTGCAACGAAAAGCATGAAAATTTTAAGAATGGTGACATGTTTGTTTCAAAAATACAATTTATATTTACAAAACTAACATAATAGAAAATAATCAATTGTCATATGCTACCACAACAAAGCATATATGTAAGAAGTTATACATGTTTTTGTTTTTCATCATATTTTGAGTGCAATTGCGATTCTACACCATGTTTACAAATTTTAACGTTGAGTCAAATGCATATTAAATTTTAGAAATAGAAAACTCGAGATGAAGTAAGGTGTTAATATCTTAATAAAAAAAATTGATCATATTGTTAGTGTTAATTGTTGGGTTAACTCAAAATATAACCAAAACATGGAAGTTAACATATAACCATCATAATTCAAAATTTCAAATCAATGAATATAAATAAAATCAAACAGAAAAATTATCGCAAATAACCCCGCGCTTGCGCGGGGCTTTAATCCCTAGTATAACTAATGGAATAACAATGAAAGCTAAAGTACCATTTAGAACTAGTAAACATAACAACAAACGCACATATTCCAGTAATTAATTGAACAATTTATTTGTGAGACATCATGACTTTAAACTCTGCGACCCAATCGTCTATTCCTCTGCTGATACCAAGTCGATGCCTGGAGATACTCAGCTCTCCAAAGTCAGGCCATAGAACATTAGGAAAGTAGAGTTCAGTGTAAGCTGATTGCCATAGGAAGAAGTTACTGATCCGTTGCTCTCCGCTCGTTCTGATCAATAGGTCAGGATTTGGGAACTCACTACACTTTGTCATCAACTCTTTCTCCATCGGATTATCGTCAATGTCCTCCACTTGGATCAGCTCGTTTTTCGCCTTTTGAGTAAGACGGAGAGAACTAATTCATTCTTAAACACACTTACCTTCTTGATTTCTATGATTCTTGTTTAGTATTATTCTTGGTTTCTTGATAATTGATCTTTGGTGATGGGTTCTTGGTTCTTGCTTCCAAGAAGAGATCACCGAAATGATACATGCCAGTAACTATTTTTGCTGAATGCTCTCATGTTCCCTGCTTCTTGATTCTTGTTTTATGTTATTCTTGATTTCTTGATCCTTGGTTCTTGGTTCTTTATTATTTAATTAGAAATTCTTGTTTTCTTTCGGCTAATTTTTTGTTTTGTCTAATATATTGTTTTTGCAGGTGGATTACGGTACCATGGGATGGCACCATTGATCTCGCATGTTTATGAACAAGGTTTCATGGAAGCAATCTCAATTCCTCCAAGAGAATGTTTCCAAGGTGGTTCTTGCATGCCTAACCGCAATTCCTCAACTAGAGTTAATAACTTCACATTTCATATTTGCATTGGACTGTGTTACCAACGTTCCGGTCTAATTTTCTTGCAGGGGCTATTCAGTTTGCAAGAACAGAAGGGATAATACTGGCGCCGGAACCAACTCACGCTATTGCTGCAACCATAAGAGAAGCTCTCCGATGCAAAGAAATAGGAGAGGAAAAAGTGATACTAATGGGTAATGGCTATGTGTGGACATGGCCTTTTCGACCTTTCCTCATACGACAAGTATTTACGAGGCGAATTGGTAGATTTATCATTCAGTGAAGAGAAGATACGGGAGTCTTTGTCCAAGGTCCCACATGTTGTTTAGCTCCAAAGCCCCATTGTGACGTGTGAAAGAATCTAGGGTTTTTTCATGGCTTTTGAAAAATAAAAGGTGAGAGGAAGGACAACTTCAATAATGGACACAATGTCTCATAGATAACAAAAAAATTATATATGAAAAACATTTTTTAAGAAATACCGTGTTCAATGTTTTTTTTATTTTTTTTATTTTTTTTTATTTTTTTTTATATTTTCTTTCTTTTATTCATCTTCTGACCCAAAAGGAGAACGGATACAACAAGATGAACCAAAGAAATAAAAAACAAAAGGGAGGTCGAAAAACAGTCGACAATAGTAGAAAGGGAAGTGTTAAAACTGGATGAACTGAAACCAAGTGTAGATGAAACTCGGTTGAGAAACTGAAGACAGAGACAGAGAGTCAGAGAGAGAGTTCTCAGATCGATCAAGACCGGAAAGTTTTGCTCTCAACAAGAGTTGAATCTCCTTCACCAAAGTGTGGGAGGCCTTTGGTGAGGGGGTATGTAGTCTGGCGTTGCGCTCTACCCAGACGAAGTAAACCACCGCCTGGAGAATAAGCTGACAAATTGTCCTGAGCTTGACGGTAGCAAAAGAAGACCGGACCCAAGTGACTAAGTCGCTGAAGGTAGATGGAGGAGATAAGGAATTGTGTGACATTAAGGAATTCCACACAGAAGAAGAGTAGGGGCAGGTGAAGAAAAGAAGATCCCTTGATTCTACACCCGACCCACAAAGTAGACAATCCTGGGGGACAACAAGACCCCAAGAGCGTAGACGATCCCTTGTTGCCAAGCGATTCTGAACCACTAGCCAAAATATGAATGCATGCTTAGGAATGTGACCCTTAAACCAAACCGATCCATACCAGGGAACAGGGGGAGGAGGTTGGTGAAGGGAGTTCCAAGTTCTCGAGGAGGAAAAATTCCTAGGTGTAACATTCTGAGAATTCTTCCAAAGGAATTCGTCCGATAAAGAAACATCAGGCTGAAGAATGGTCGCTGGTACAGGAGGAAGACAATTCCTCAATAAAATCAACAGTGGATGTCTTCCTCTAGGCAAGGACCAATCATTGCCAACTATCGCTTGAGAGACCGTGGCCATATTAGGAATACCAGATACTCTAGGTCCATTTGCTCCCGTTAGATCAATTAATGGACCCAAAGAAGTCCAATTATCATGCCAAAATAAACCCGAAGTCCCAGAAACAATCTTACAATGAAGAAAGGGGCGAGCTAGATCACGAAGCTTCATCAGCTTTCTCCATATCCAACTTCTTGTAGCCCTAAAATCGAAAGTCCAGAAGTTTCTCTGTCGGATGAGATGATGCCTTGTCCAGGCCACCCACAGGGACCCTTGATCTGTGAAAAGCAGCCAAATCAACTTTAGTCCAAAAACTTGATTGGTCTTAGTAAGCTTCCGAAGTCCCAACCCTCCTGACTTCTTTGGGGAGCAAACTGTCTCCCACGACACTTTAGCTCCCCTAGCCGAGTCTGAGAATCCATTCCAAAGAAAAGCATTCAACATTTTTTCTATTTTTTCCGTACAACTCTTAGGAAGCGGGAAAATAGAAGCCCAAAAATTAACCATTCCTGAAAGGACTGACTTAATCAACTGAAGTCGTCCTCCAAATGAAAGAGGTTTGGTTATCCACGAGGAAATGCGGGACTTAACCCTGTCCAGTAGGGGCTGACAATCGTGTAGAGTAAGTTTCCTGGGCAACAGAGGTAACCCCAAATAGCGTACTGGTAAGGCTCCATTAGTCAATCCAAACTTAGTAGCAAGATCAAGACTATATTGTCTATTATCTCCATCTATAAAAAGACTAGTCTTCCTCAAACTCAAAGCCAAACCTGAGACTTTCTCAAACTCCTTGAGAATATCAAGAATGCCTTGAAGAGATTCCTCCTTCCCATCAAAGAAAACCAAAAGATCGTCCGCGAAACTTAAGTGAGTGATCAGCGGATTGGAACAGAGAGGATGGACTCCAAATCTGCCTTGTTGGACTCCTATATCAAGTGATTTAGATAACACATCCATCGCCAAAACGAAGAGAGAGGAGGAGATAGGATCTCCTTGTCGTAATCCTTTCCTCCCTGGAAAAAAACCAACAAGTGCTCCATTCAACGCAACTGAGTAATGAGGAGTTGTGATACAGAGACTAATCCAATTGATGAAAATTGCAGGTAACTGCAGAGCCTCCAAAATGTTAAGAACAAAGGTCCAATGGACATTATCATAGGCCTTGGTAATGTCGATTTGCAAACAACCTCTTGAAATAGGTCCCGGTTTGTGGAAATCAGCAACAAGTTCTGAGGCAAGAAGAACATTTTCACACAGTAATCTGCCATTGACAAACCCAACCTGATTTCTTTGTACCGCATCCGCTGTTAAGCTCTTGAGACGGGAAGAGAGAATGCGAGATAAGACTTTATAGACTGTATTACAAAGTGAAATAGGTCAAAATTCCGTAAGCGACGAGGCTCCTGGAATTTTCGGGATCAATGATATTACAGTCGCATTGACTTGCCTAATCATAGAGCCATTAATGAAGAAATCTCTGATTGCCTCAACTAAGTCTTCTCCCACAAGATCCCAAGACTTAGTAAAAAACTCCACCGTGAAACCATCTGGCCCAGGAGCCTTGTTTCTAGGTAAAGCATCGACTACTCTTTTAACTTCCTCCAACGACGGAATCCTTACTAAGCTTTCTGCCTTGGAAACAGAACAGCGGAAGTGGAGCAAAATACTCAGCTCCTCTATCGTGTAAGGAATCACCTGACGATTCTTTGTTCCCAGCAAGTTAACGTAGTAGGACAGAACTAGGGATTTCAAAGCAGTGGTTTCCGAGATCCTATTTCCCATCACATCCATGAGAAAGTAGATGGAGTTATGAGATAGGTTTGCCTTCACAGTCTTATGAAAGAAGGCGGTATTAGCGTCCCCTTCTTGAAGCCACTTGATTCGAGATTTTTGTCTGTAAAAAGACTCCTCTGCCGAAGCGACCAATAACCAAGCATCTCTAGCTGCCCTTTCCTCTTCAAAAAGTACCTGAGAGGGATTTGTAAGAACCTGTCTCTGTATGATTTCCAGGTTCTCGAAAGCTTGCCTTGACCTTGCCTGGATATTGCTGAAACTAGCTCTGTTCAAAGATTTACAACAAGCCTTTGCTGCCCTTAACTTCTGATAAAGACGTGTCAACGGACCTGAGGGAGAGAATAGAGAGTTCCAAACTTCTGAAATCAAACTAGAGTAGTCTGGACGCAGAGAGAAGAAACTAAAAAACGTGAACCGAGAAACTCTTCTCTGAACCGAGTTTGAGATTGTTACTAGACAGGGAGAGTGATCCGAACACCCTGGGACGTCAAAGAACGCATTAGAAGCTGGAAAGAAATCCTGCCACGATTCATTAATAAGTCCCCTATCAAGTTTCCTTGTCTTTAGAATAGATAAGCACTTATTGGTCCACGTATGAAAGCATCCATTATAAGAGAGATCAAAAAGATTGGAGTCGGAGAGACAGTCTCTGAAGTCTTCTAATCCCTGAAGAGGTAAAGGAGAAGGTCTAAAGGCATAAGCTTCTCTTGCAGATAGAACCTGATTAAAATCCCCCAACAGTAGCCAGGGTTTATCACTTAGTAACGAGCCATTAGCTAGCTGTCTGAGCTGGTCCCATAACGGAAGTCTTTTAGAGCTTAGATTGTGGGCATAGACAAATGCCACTGTAATCGAGACATTAGTGAGAGGGTTGAAGACTCCACATACCATCAACTGATCTGTTTTTAAATAGGGCAGGACCGTGAGGATAGGATCCCAAATGATTACTATTCTTCCATTCTCAGCTTCAAAAGAGTGATTCGAGTCAAATCTCCAGCCCGGAAAAGTACGAGACATTAAAGACGGGAGACCGGGAAGCTTCACGCGCGTTTCCAAAAGACCGCCGAATATAGGACGGTGTAAGGTGATCCACCTTTTAACTGCTAATTGCTTAGTATCGCCATTAAGGCCTCTTACATTCCAACAAAAGCACTTCATATATACACCAAAAAAAAGGGGGGCTGGGCCAAAAGGATTAGGTTAAAGCAGTCGGAGCAGGCCCCAAGGCTGCCTGATCCAATGTACCAAATACCAACCGACTATGAACAGAAGCTGCTGGACGAGAGGAACCCTCCTCTGGTTGAGAGTTTGAGAGTGACAAGGATAGGAGCTTTTGTCTCTGTTTCTTCCGTTCTTTCTTCGAAACCACTAACTGATAGGGTGGATCATGATCATCTACTACCACAGGACGAGCTCGTAAAACCTCTTGAGCTGTCTTAATGAGCTCTTCCTCTTCCTCAAACTGGGCTGTAGTAACTGGCTTTGGAGGAGAGAGTGTAGCTCCCTTTAAGTCTAGAACAGGAAGAATCGGATCCCGACGGACGAAAGTAACAGAGTCGAAAGAATTAGACGCTGCCCTCGAGACACTAGGAGATGAAGGCAGACTTGTAGAGCGACCCTGAGGAGCTGGAGATGGTGAGCTACTCTGACGGTGGCTTCTTGGATTAACGGAAGGAGTCGGAGAAGTGAGATTAACCGGTTTCACTGGACTAGGAGGACCATTAACCGGCGGAGAAAAGGGTTCCGGACATCTCAGTTGCAAATGTCCAAACTCCTTGCATCGACTACATCTCGGAGGAAGCTTCGGATAAAAAGCCTCCACTAAAACGGAAGCTCCCAATCTATCCGTTACTCGCACGAAGGGAGACCGCTCCTTGTAGAGGTCAATAACTATCTTAAGCTTAGTAATTCCATTGGAATAAGGGGTAATTTTTGGGAACTCTGAGTGAACCGGGAGCCCAACGCCAAAAGCTATAGTACTGAACCCGACGAAAGACCATAGTTCTGGTGGAATATTCTTGAAAAGAACCCACACTGGAGCGTGAACTAACTTCATCGGAGCGAGCTTAGCAGACGCTGACCATGGAACCACTGTAAAGGAGCAATTCCCTGAATACCAAAAACCAACATCTAGCACCCATTTCCTGGTTTCCTCACAAGGAATATGGATGAAACAAACTCGAGAGGACTGCTTCTTCACAGAAATTCTGCCTTTAATTCCCCAGATTGGATTTAAATCCGAAAAGATCTTGGCTGGAGACGGAGGGGTTCCATGAAAATAGGCTGCCAAATGATTTTTCCAAACTTGGGATGAACCCAGCGTAATAGAATCTGGGGCCTTGACCGTCGGAGTCCCATCTTCATCGAAGGATGGAGAAGCTATCTTAACCAAATTCTGAGAAACCGGTTTGAAAAGAGCTGCCCACGGAGTCTGAGTCGGCTGGCCGGCAGAGAGGACTGGATTTTGGGGAACTTGGGGAGAGGAGAGGATAGGACTGGGAGAGCTCAATCCAGAATCCGAGACAATAGAGGGGGACTCCCGATGAGGAGGTGGATCTGAAGATCCGAACAAGAAGAGTAGATCTGGAGGAACAGGAGGAGGAGGGGGATCTGCAAGAGGTTCCGCCATTGAGTTAAGACAGTAAGCAGTGGGGAGGGAGAGTTCTCGACGGTGAGCGTGAGGCCACTCCGCCGGCGGCGGAGAATCGAGATCTGTCGCCTTAGAATTCGCCTTTACCGTGTTCAATTTTGTTTTCCAAAATATCACCATTTGTTTTTGGAAACGCTTAGAAAGAATTCGTAAATGATTTCTTGAACTATTAGTAGCTTTCCTAAGCACATTTTTGGAAATCTTGTCAGAAATGAACGTAGTTACTATGAAACCTTGAAAATTCTGAATGATATGTTTAATGGAGTGATTTACAGTGAAGGTGACTTTTCACTTTGAAAGTGAAAGTAGCATTTTGAACTAGTAAACGTAAAAACAATCGCACATATTCCAGTAACTTACTGAACAATTTATTTGTGAGACATCATGAAACTCAAAGTTTAAACTCTGCGACCGAATCGCCTATTCCTCTGCTGATACCAAGTCAATGCCTCGAGATATTTAGCCTTGTTGAAGTCAGGCCACAGAACGCTAGGAAAGTAGAGCTCACTGTAAGCTGATTGCCATAGGAAGTAGTTACTGATCCGTTGCTCCCCGCTCGTTCTGATCAATAGGTCAGGATTTGGGAACTCACTACACTTTGTCAGCAACTCTTCCTGCATGAGATTTTCGTCGATGTCCTCCACTTGGATCAGCCCCTTTTTTGCCTTTTCAGCAAGACTTTTGCAGGCTTGTAAGATATCAAACCTTCCACTATAGTCAATCGCCACAATGAGGTGCTTTCCTTCGTAGCTCTTTGTAGCTTCTTCTAGGTCTACTATTGCACTGAGAAGCGACTTGGGGATATTTTTCCGGTTCCCGATAACAGAGATCTTGATTTCATATCTAAATATTTAAGGGAAAAAAATTAACATATAACGCTTCAAAAAAAGATCAAAATTATTAAATTACAAACATGTTGGGTACGTACTTTTGGAATAAAGGTATCTCCGACCTGAAGACTTTCTCATACATTTCCATCAAGTAGTGAACTTCATCCTGATGAAAGAAAATAAAATAAATGATGAAAGTTTAAGAATTAAGAATCGTACAATGTTATAGAAATGATCAATCTCTCTCTCTCTTTTCTTTTTCTTTTTATATATATATAATCACCTCGGGTCTTCCCCAATTTTCAGTGGAGAATGCAAAGAGTGAGACTGTTTTTATCCCCAAAGCGAAAAATTCCACTACAAGGTCCACAGCTGTTATTGCTCCGGCTTCCTGACCTTCCGATACACCGAGTCCTTTTTTCTTCGCCCAACGTCTGTTTCCGTCCAATATTATCGCCACGTGATTTGGTATGCTCTCTCCTTTCTCTTTCTCTCCACTACTAATCAGTAAGAACAAAACAAAAGCTTGAAACGTTTCATATAACACGATCTAATAGAAAGTGAGGAACCAGTTGAGCAAAACCCTTTTTCTGACAACCCATTAACCAAACAAATAAGCCTATATACTCTACTAGTATGTGCTAATCATATGATGTAGACTGTGTCATAATTTAAAAGTGAGATAATACCTTGAATGAAATATATAAGATGTGTACTAATCCACTCATAGACAATTGATTTTGAGTTAAAAACTCATGAAACTTTACCATATAAGTTGTGCTCGTATTACATTAGTCCTTATGCTACATAGGTTTCACGTTTGGGAACCATCGGAGTTAGAAGATGGTTCTTCTTTTTTCTTTGAAGATGGTTATATGATTAGTTAACTTCAGAGTAGACCGAGAGAAGCAATTCATTTTAATTACCAAAAGGTTAAGAAGCTTATCACGTAAAAACTACGATAAATGGAGAAGTACATTTTGTCCCACACAAAAAAAAAACAAAAAAAAACAAAAAAAGAGAAGCATGCACATACAGTTTGTCGTTCCTTTGTTCTTCTCCATCGAATCGAGAAGCCGCGGTTTTGATCGATCTGCAGATATTTGTAAAGGATAGGGGAACACTTAAAACGCCTAGAGATGAAGAGACAAGGGATGAGAATAAGAGCAAGAACTGTCAAGACAGTAGAGACTAGAAACAACATTATCTCTTGTTTTCAGTATTTGTTCGAATTGATCAATTACTCGTCGTCTACACACACATATATACTAGCTAGAAGGGCTCCGGGTTCAAGACGACGCACATGATCAATGGCTTAGCTTAGAATAATGAAATAATTAATTCGTAAAAAATTGTATTCAACAGTTCAGAGTGGAAATACAACTGGCAACACAATATAATACTTTAGTTTGGAGGGAGTAAACAAGAAAGTAAAGAATAATTGAGTTCAGTGATAATGTGAGTAAGAAAGTATCCAAAGTTATGATCAAATTATTTACGTATATAAACAAACTCCACAGAAGTTAAAATATTTTTGGACAGTTTAAAAATATGGTTACGTTTTCAGTGCCTTACTTTACCTTTACTTTTACGGAAAACACGGATCATTAATTAATTTCTTGTCTTGTTCAACCAAAAACAACAAAATATATAGTCAACAACTCAGACTCAGTGCGTCACTTTGCCTTTACATTTACAATAAAAAATTTATAACCAACCTGTCAAGTACAGAGATTATCGAATCAATTTGAGAAAAGCTCTTCACTAGTTGACATTTAACTTTATTCATATACATAAGTATTATCACCCGAATGCAAAGATGGATAATAAATTTCTTTATATGTGGATTTGCCTACAACACGTCAACACTTAACACAATACTCCATAATTTATAAAATACTAGCATGTAACGATTACAAACGGGAAAGTGAAACTTTTAAATGAGGTTTAATGGAACAATGATGCTAAAGTAGCATTTTGAATTTGAACTAGTAAACGTAAAAACAAGCGCACATATTCCACTAATTAATTGAACAATTTGTTTATGAGACATCATGAAACTCGAAGTTTAAACTCTGCGACCGAATCGTCTATTCCTCTGCTGATACCAAGTCAATGCCTGGAGATACTCAGCCTCTCCAAAGTCAGGCCATAGAACATTAGGGAAGTAGAGCTCAGTGTAAGCAGATTGCCATAGGAAGAAGTTACTGATCCGTTGCTCTCCGCTCGTTCTGATCAATAGGTCAGGATTTGGGAACTCACTACACTTTGTCATCAACTCTTTCTCCATGAGATTTTCATCTATGTCCTCCACTTGAATCAGCCCGTTTTTTGCCTTCTCAGCAAGACTTTTGCAGGCTTGTAAAATATCAAACCTTCCACTATAGTTTACCGCCATAATTAGGTGCTTCTCTTCGTAGCTCTTTGTAGCTTCTTCTGCCTCTCGTATTGCACTTAGAAGTGACTCGGAGATAATTTTCCGGTTACCGATAACCGAGATCTTAACTTTATTTCTAAAATATGATAGGAAAAGTCAACATAGATATATAAGTTTATAAAGCTACAATAAATCAAACAATATGATTAATAAGAAACCAAGCCCCAAGAATTAACCTTAATCTCTAAGAGAGAATTAGGGTTAAGAGGGAGCTAAGCTTTTACATCTTTCAATCCAAGTGTGTGAACAAAGGTTCATATCAATTTGGTATCAATTTGCTAAGCTTTCATATCTTTCTCTTAATTTGTGTGTGAACAAAGGTTCATATCAATTTGGTATCAGAGCCGTGCGATCCGATGGGAGACCATGATTCCGCACAACTCGCAAAACTGATGGAATTGATTCAAGAGATGCACGCAAAGATGGATTCAATGTTCCGAAAGTGGGAGCCACAAAAGGGAAAACCCGCAAGGGTCGATCAAGCTCTAGGGCCAACCGTCAAATTCACCGTAGAAGAGCTTTTCGATGTACCTGAGCTGAAGCAACCGAAGCCAACTGTTGAAATATTGGTGGTATCAACTGTCGTTCAAGTCATGGAGTCAAACAAAAATCCAGAGAAGACAGAGACATCGTTTGTGGCTGAGCCAAAACAACCAGAGCCACAAATCAGAGACCAACAACAGAAGATCAGTAAAAAGGGACTTGTTCCTTCCTACGATGATCTTTCCCAAGTTGACATCAATCATGTTATATCCCATGATGTCTCGTTGGTGGGTCATGTCTTCGCCAATGATTTGTTAAGGTTCTACATAAAGAGAACCACTGCTGAAACTTGTGGGAAGATTTGTGAAAGCTATTCGATGCATATTCAGAATTGGAGCTTGAGGACAAGCTCCGAGTGAAGGAGGGGTGTAATGATACAAGACTATGGTTAGGGTGTTGAGACTATCGTTAGAGTGTTTTTAATTAATGGTTTTGGTGTTTTAATTGATTAATTAGGTATTCATGTTTTCCTTTTTACATTAGGGTTTTGTATCAAGATCTATATAAAGGTCTCTAATGATTAATAAGAAACCAAGCCCCAAGAATTAACCTTAATCTCTAAGAGAGAATTAGGGTTAAGAGGGAGCTAAGCTTTTACATCTTTCAATCTAAGTGTGTGAACAAAGTTTCATATCAATTTGGTATCAATTTGCTAAGCTTTCATATCTTTCTCTTAATTTGTGTGTGAACAAAGGTTCATATCAAGTACCTTTGGAAGCAAGGTAACTCCGACTTTAAGAATTTCTCAAACATTGCCATCAAGTAGTTAACTTCATCCTGATCAAAGAAAATAAAATCAACAGAATTGAAACGATGAAAGTATGAGAAGAATCGTGAAGTGTTATAGAAAAATGATCCATCTCCTTTTTTTTTTTTTAATAATCACCTCGGGTCTTGCCCAGTTTTCAGTGGAGAAAGCAAAGAGTGAGACTGTTTTTGTCCCCATAGTGAAAAAATCCTTAGCAAGATCCACGACTCTTCTTGCTCCAGCTTCGTGACCTTGTGCTGTCTCGAGTCCTCGTTTCTTCGCCCAACGTCTGTTCCCATCCAATATAATCGCCACATGATTTGGCATTCTCTCTCGTTTCTCTTTCTCTCCAATTGTACCACTACAAATTAGTAAGAAAAAAAGAAAAACTTCAAGCTTTCATATAACAGGATCTAGAAAAAAGTTAGGAACCAGTTAAACCAAACCCTCTTTTTTTGACAACCTATTAACCGAACAAAAAATATACACATAAGTGAGCTTATACTTTGCTAGTGTGTGCTAATGATGTTGTCGTGTCACAGTTTGCTTCTATATACGCTTTCAGTGTACTGTATAGTCTAATAGTGTTGTTAGGTTAGTTTAGTACGAACACACTTGGCTTCTATATATGAAGTTCGCATTATAGGCTTTATAGCAAGGTTGTAGGTTAAATGATTAGTTAACTTCAGAGTAGACCAATCGCGAGAACCAATTCATTTTGCCAAAAAAGACTAGAAGTAAAACAATATATATCTCATTAATATATAGAGAAGCACACTACCGTTTCTCGTTCCTCTCTTCTTCATCGTGTTGAGAAGTTGCGGTTTTGATGAATCTGCGGATGTTTGGAAAGGAGAGGGGAACACTTAGACGCCTCGAGATGACGAGACAAGGGATGAGAATCAGAGCAAGAAATGTCAAGACAGTAGAGACTAGAAACAACATTTCTTTTGTTTTGAATATTTCTTAGTTGATTTTTGTTAATACTCCTCTCTCTATATAAAGTATATATATACTAGAAGGGCTCCGGGTTCCAGACGCACATAATCAGTGGAACCCTCTCTTTGACTTTTCGTAATGGCAGAGCAACGTATTGTATAAAGGTTAATAAGATGTTTTGACACTGAAAAATAACTAATTGGTTTGGCCACGTTATTAAATTAAGACACTTCTTCTAAGTTCCAACCAATAATGATATTTCAATTATGATTCAATTATTTAAAACGTATCGTCTCCATTAATGTCCTTTTAAAGATTCAACAACCAAAATCCAAAAAAAAATTGTGTGGCTGAAAATAGCTTCATGCTGCTTATTCATATATGAATACTCTATATATATAGTGTCTTGTCTTTATGATTTACCAATAAAACCATGAATTGCCATAGTGTATAGAACCATCAATCAACCCTCAAACAATCATAAACCAACTAGTCATTTTCAAGTTTCTACATTTTACAAATGTATGAAGAGAACGTACCAAAATCACAACTCTTTATCTCAATGGCATTTGTATGTGCTGCCTTGCTTTCATATCGATTCTTTTGGTTTTAGACTTTGACTTTCTCATTTGATAATTCAGTCACAAAACATGACAATTTGTGTTTAAATATTTGACTGGGCAGTTTTATGTTAACCGAATTTGCTAGTTAATGCTCCAAAAACTATCTTCTTTGACCAACCTAATATTTCTGACTTTCGTACAAACTTGTTAACAAGAAAACAAAAGCACATTCATTACATTCAGACAAACAAATTGTGTCCAAAAGAAACTAATCTCTGGGCTCGACAGCGACTCAAATACCATTTATAAGCTGACAAGATTTCTTTGCTAGATAACCAAACTTTCTGCCAACACAATCAACATCGGCATATCACACCATGTTACCTTCACGGTGAATACAGTGGTTGTTTGTATATTAAGTCGTCGCCATTTGTATCTTGGATTCAAATTTAAAAACTTGTGTGTGTGAATTATAGACGAAATATGATAATCTAAAAAGATAAAACCTTTTACTGTATGTTTATATTTACGTAGTTATCTGACCAGTACATGTAACTTAGTGAATTTGTGCTAGTAGCCTAAGTATGCCGGTGTTGCATTATCACCCTAATGCAAAGATTCATGGAAAATGAAAAAAAAAAAAAATTAATGCATTTACCTACAACAAGTCAACACAATATAATTTATAAAATAACATTTAACGATTACAAACGGGAAATTTGAAAGTTCTGAATGATATAAGTTTAATGGAACAACCATGAAAGGTAAACTAGAAATTTGAACTAGTAAACGTAAAAACAAACGATACATATTCCAGTCATTAACTGAACAATTTATTTGTGATCGACATGATGAAACGATCAAAGTTTAAACTCTGCGACCAAATCGTCTATCCCTCTGCTGATACCAAGTCAATGCCTGGAGATACTCAGTCTTGTCGAAGTCAGGCCATAGAACATTAGGAAAGTAGAGCTCAGTGTAAGCTGATTGCCATAGGAAGAAGTTACTGATCCGTTGCTCTCCGCTCGTTCTGATCAATAGGTCAGGATTTGGGAACTCACTACACTTTGTCAGCAATTCTTTCTCCATGAGATTCTCGTCGATGTCCTCCACTTGGATCAGCCCGTTCTTCGCCTTCTCAGCAAGACTTTTGCAGGCTTGTAAGATATCAAACTTTCCACTATAGTTTAGCGCCATAATGAGATGCTTCCCTTCGTAGCTCTTTGTAGCTTCTTCTACCTCTCGTATTGCGCATAGAAACGACTCAGAGAATTTCCCACGGTCCCCGATAACCGAGATCTTGATTTTATGTCTAGAAATGTAAGGAAAAACAAATTATAAGATATAACGCTTCAACAAAGGATCAAACTATAACAACATGTTGGGTACCTTTGGACGAAAGGTATCTCCGTCTTTGAGACTTTCTCAAACATGGCCATCAAGTAGTTAACTTCATCCTGGTCAAAGAAAATAATTTTAACCGAATCAAAACGGTGAAAATATAAGCAAGATCTTGAAATTTTGTAGGAAAAAATAATCCATCTATCGGTTTGTTCTTTTGTTAGAACCACCTCGGGTCTTCCCCAGTTTTCAGTGGAAAAAGCAAAGAGTGAGACAGTGTTTATCCCCATAGCGAAAGAAGCCATTGTAAGCTCCATAACTCTTCTCCCTCCAGCTTCGTGACCTTGTGCTGTCTCGAGTCCTCGTTTCTTCGCCCAACGTCTGTTCCCGTCTAATATAATCGCCACATGATTTGGCAATCTCCCTAGTTTCTCTTTCTCTCCAATTGCACCACTACAAATTAGCAAGAACGAGCCAAAAAAGGTTATATGCATGATTAGTTAACTTCAGTGTAGACAGAGAGAACCAATTCATTTTACCAAAAACATAGGAAGTTTATCACGTAATAATTAGCAACGACTAAAATAGAGAAGCAAATTTGTCCCCTTTAAAAAAAAGAGAGAAGCACAATACCCTTTCTCGTTCCTTTCTTCTTCTTCATCGTGTTGAGAAGTCGCGGTTTTCATGAATCTGCGGATGTTTGTAAAGGAGAGGGGAACACTTAGACGCCTAGAGATGAAGAGACAAGGGATGAGAATAAGAGCAAGAAACGTCAAGACAGTAGAGACTAGAAACAACATTATGTTCTTCAATTTGTTTTCAATATTTGTTCGTTGATCGTCTATATATATACAGTATATAATATATGTTAACGGACCCTTCTCTCTGGCTCGCTCTGTCTTTCATTAATGATACGCAAAGACAGATCATACGTATTAGGGTTAATCAGATCTTACGACACTTGAAGAAGCACTAATTGGTTTGCGTCACGTTATTAAATTACCCGTGAGTAATTAATGATGTTTGACAATAATTTAATTCCAGTGTATTTAGCAAATGTTAAGACCATATACATATTATACTTGAAGTGGGTAAGAATAACAAATGTAGTTACCAATTTTGCTTGAATTAAAGACGATTTCATCAATGCCTTTGTTATGATGGTAATATATAGAATAATAGAAATATGAAGCAGAGACTAACCTTACATGCAAGGTACGTAGAAGCAACAAATAGGTTAATGAATAAGATCTTTACGACACTTGAAAAAGCAGTAACTGGTTTCGTAACGTTTTTCGCAGCCATACTGGGAAGAGTCTAATGTGTATATATATCTGTCTTTTTTCCCCGTAAAATGTGTATATAATATGTTGTCTTTGAAAATCGTATGTTCTTGACTTCTTGCTCTCTCTCTCTCTCTCTCTCTATGCAATGCACCTGAAGAAATAAACATAATGAGCCATTTCCAAAAATATTGTTTTCCAAAATTTCACCAATCGGTTTTGGAAACGCTCAGAAAGAGTTCTTAATAAATTGATTTCCGAAGCATATTTGAAAGACAACTGTGTTATTTTGGAAGAATGTCTCTGTTTTCACTTTTTAGTTTTTACCAATCATAAAATCACACGCCTATTGATGTTGTCGCCGTTTATATATCAGGTTCAAATTTAGAAGTTCGTTTTTGTAAAAATAATTAATAAAAAGATAACATATAAAGGTTAATATTTATCACCCTAATGCAAACATTCATGGACAATGAATAAAACAAAAAAGTTGCATTTACCTACAACACGTCAACACGTCAACACTTAACACTTAAACACAATATATTTTATAAAATAACATGTAGCGATTACAAACGAGAAATATGAAAGTTCTGAATGATAATGGAACAACAATGGAAGCTAAAGTAGAAATTTAAACTAGTAAACGTAAAAACAAACGACACATATTCCAGTAATTATAACTGAATAATTTATTTGTGATCGACATGATGAAACGATCAAAGTTTAAACTCTGCGACCGAATCGTCTGTCCCTCTGCTGATACCAAGTCAATGCCTGGAGATACTCAGCCTTGTTGAAGTCAGGCCACAGAACGCTAGGAAAGTAGAGCTCAGTGTAAGCAGATTGCCATAGGAAGAAGTTACTGATCCGTTGCTCTCCGCTAGTTCTGATCAATAGGTCAGGATTTGGGAACTCACTACAGTTTGTCATCAACTCTTTCTCCATCATATTTTCGTCGATGTCCTCCACTTGGATCAGCCCGTTTTTCGTCTTTTCAGCAAGACTTTTGCAGGCTTGCAAGATATCAAACCTTCCACTATAGTCAATCGCCATAATGAGGTGCCTATCTTTGTACATCTTTGTAACATCTTCTACCTCTAGTATTGCACCTAGAAGCGACTTGGGGATATTTGTCCGGTGCCCGATAACCGAGAGCTTGACTTCATATCTAAAAATCAAAGGGAAAAAAGTTAAACATATAAAACTTCTAAAAAAGGATCAAAACAACATGTTGGGTACGTACCTGTGGTCCTGTGGAACGAAGGTATCTCCTCCCTCAAGTTTTTCTCAAACATGGTCTGATGGTCATCAAGTAGGTAACTTCATCCTGAAGAAAGAAAACAAAACTAACCTAGTTAAAAACGATGGAAATATAACAAGAAGAATCATGAAATGTTAATAGAAGAATGATCCATCTCTCTTTCACCTCGGGTCTTCCCCAATTGTCAGTGGAGAAAGCAAAGAGTGAGACAGTGTTTATCCCTTTACTGAACAAAACCAGTGCAAGCTCCACGACAGTTCTCGCTCCGGTTTCGTGACCTTCCGATACACGGATTCCTTTTTTCTTCGCCCAACGACTGTTTCCGTCCAATACTATCGCCACATGATTTGGCAATCTCCCTAGTTTCTCTTTCTCTCCATTTGTACCACTACAAAATTAGCAAGACCAAGGGGAAAAAAAATCTTGAAACTTTTCATATAACACAAATCTAGTAGAAAGTTAAGAATCAGTACTTGAGCAAAACTCTTGTATTTGACAACCCATTAACCGAAAAAATAATATTATTTTAGATTAGACTGAGAGAAGCACACTATACCGTTCCTCGTTCTTGCCTTCTTCTTCTTCTTCATTGTATATAGAAGTCGCGGTTTTCATGAATCTGCGGATGTTTGTAAAGGAGAGGGGAACACTTAGACGCCTAGAGATGGAGAGACAAGGGATGAGAATAAGAGCAAGAAACGTCAAGACAGTAGAGGCTAGAAACAACATTATGTTCTTTAATTTGTTTTCATTATTTCTTCGTTGATCGTCTATATATATATATATATATATATATATACAGTAAGTATACACTAATGTTAACGGACCGGCCTTTTATATGTATTAGGGTTAATCAGATCTTACGACACTTGAAGAAGCACTAACTGGTTTCGCAGCCATACTGGGAAGAGTCTAATGTGTATATATATCTGTCTTTTTTCCCCGTAAAAATGTGTATATATGTTCTCTTTGAAAATCGTATGTTCTTGCTCTCTCTTTATGCAATGACCTGAAGAAATAAACATAATGAGCCATTTTCAAAAATATTGTTTTCCAAAATATCCCCAATCGTTTTTGGAAACGCTCAGAAAGAGTTCTTAATTAATTGATTTCCTAAGCATATTTGAAAGACAACTGTGTTATTTTGGACGATGTATCTGTTTTCACCAATCATAAAATCACATGCCTATTGAAGTTGTCGCCGTTTATATATCAGGTTCAAATTTAGAAGTTTGTGTTTGTAAAAATAATTAATAAAAAGATACTCCCTCCGTTCAAATTAGTTGTCGTTTTGGTAAAATGTATCTGCAAATATTTGGACGTATCTGGACGTGTTTTGCATTGCAGATACATCCAAATAATTGCAGATACATTTTCCCAAAACGACAACTAATTTAAAACGGAGGGAGTAACATATTACACGTATATACATATATTTACTTTTACCATTTAACATTTATATAGTTAACTGACAACTAACTGATTTGTGTTACTATATTGCTCGAATGCAAACATGGGTAATGTATGTTAGTAAAAACAGAAAAATAAAACTAATTCATTAACCTACAACAGTTAATATAATTTTATATATAACGTAACATTTAACAATTACAAACGCGAAATGAAATGTTTAACAGGAAAACAATTATTAAAATAAGAGTAGAATTTTGAACTATCAAACGTGAAAACAAACACACATATTCAGTAATAATAGTGAGACATGAAACTCAAAAGTTTAAACTCTGCGACCGAATCGTCTATTCCTCTGCTTATACCAAGTCAATGCCTCAAGATACTCGGTCTCACCAAAGTCAGGCCATAGAACATCACTAAAGTAGAGCTCAGTGTAAGCTGATTGCCACAAGAAGAAGTTACTGATCCGTTGCTCTCCACTCGTTCTGATCATTACGTCAGGATTTGGGAACTCACTACACTTTGTCATCAACTCTTTCTCCATGAGATTCTCGTCGATGTCCTCCACTTGGATCAGCCCGTTTTTCGCCTTCTCAGCAAGACTTTTGCACGCTTGCAAGATATCAAACCTTCCACTATAGTTTACCGCAATAATGAGGTGCTTCTCTTCATAGCTCTTTGTAGCTTCTTCTGCCTCTCTTATTGCACTTAGAAGCGACTCGGAGATATTAGACCGGTCGCCGATAACCGAGATCTTGACTTTATATCTACAAAAAAAATATTAACTTATAAACACTTCATAAAGAAAAAAGACAAAATTAACAAAAGGTTGGGTACCTTTGTAAGCAAGGTACCTCCGACTTTAAGAGTTTCTCAAACATGGCCATTAACTTGTTAACTTCATCCTGATCAAAGAAAAGAAAATAACCAAATCAAAACTATGAAACGTTATAGAAATATCATACATGTCTCCTTTTTTATATATATAATAATCACCTCGGGTCTTGCCCAATTTTCAGTGGAGAAAGCAAAGAGTGAGACAGTGTTTATCCCCACAGAGAAATATTGCTTAGCAAGCTCCATGACTCTTCTCGCTCCAGCTTCATGACCTTGTGCTGTCTCGAGTCCTCGTTTCTTAGCCCAACGTCTGTTCCCATCCAATATAATCGCCACGTGCTTTGGCATTCTTTCTTCTTTCTCTTTCTCTCCAATTGATTCACTACAAAACAGCAAGACTTTCATATAACTTGACCTTGTAAAAACTATGATTAATAGAGAAGGGCACTGTACCTCTCGGTCCTCATTTCTTCATCCTCGGATCGAGAAGTCGCAGTTTTGATGAATCTGCGGATATTTGTAAAAGAGAGAGGAACACTTAGACGCCTAGAGATGAAGAGACAAGGGATGAGAATAAGAGCAAGAAATGTCAAGACAATAGACACTAGAGACAACATTATCTTTTGTTTTCAGTATTTGTTCGAATTGATCACTATCTAACTCGAGAGATCAGAGACTAGTCATGGGATAAACTCATACGTGTTCAAGAATCAAGATACGCACATGACATGATCAATGCAACCTTCTCTCTCTCTCTGGCTCGCTCTCTGTCTTTCATTAATGCTACTCAAAGACAGATCATATGTAGTAATTACGGTTAATCAGATCTTACGACACTTGAACAAGCACTAATTGGTTTGCGTCACGTTATTAAAATTTATTAAAAAGGGGCAATAATATTTATACTAATCTACTTGCTTGGAAACCCTAAACACATCATCAGCCACTAATGGTGATTTTGGGCATTACATCAGTCACTAATTGCACAAACATTACCTTCTTCTATAGACCATAACAGAGCATAGCTCTGTTTCATCATTCACTATCTTTCAAACTTAACCATTCTAAAAGCAAAACAAGAACAGAAATTGCTTCTTCTTTGCAACGACAGAAGAAGAATCAAATATGAATCATAAACTAACAAAAACACAATCCTCAACATTCTTCAATCTTCTATGTGTGCCTTATAAACAGTGGTGAAGATAGTCATCAACTCAGCCACAAGCTTCTTGCTTTTCTGCTTCCTCACATACTTGTTCAAGAAAGCTTCATCGGTAACCGCCATCACAGACGACGTCGAAAGAGAGAGCTCACTTCCGATCAATCCTTTCGCCATGAGAGCTTTGATCACATTACACCTCGGTACAGTCCTCTTCTCCAAGTTGTATCCAAGCAACTGAGGACTCGAAACCAAAGCCGTTAGTGGCATATCCATCTTCTTCACGAGAAACTCAGTCTTCTTCTTCACAGTCTCTACAGACAAGTTAAGACACTGAGGAAACCTCTTGATCATCCTCTTAACCTCATCTCTGCTAAACCCTAACCCTACAAACGTTTCAACAGAGTTCACTACATTCTTCTCCGAGATCCGTATCAGCTGCGGATGCTTCTTCACCACTGTCAACACCTCGTTCTTTAACAAACCACACTTCTTCTCAAGAGTCTCAAACGTCTGATGTATCTTCTTCTCAGAGAACTTCAAAGAGAAAGGCCATTTCTTGAAAATCTCCCACACATCATCTACCTCAAAACCTAACCTTTTATAAACATCGATCTTCTCTTCGATCGTCTTCTCACTCATTTGGTAAACAACATGTAAAGCTTGCACAAACTTTGATGTTCTCGGATCAAATCCATTCTCAATCACTTTCTTGAGTGAAGCTTCAAACTTTTCTTTACCATAGATTGGTTGGTAATTCGAGATAAGCAACGTGAACAAGAGCTTCTGAGGCATGCCTAAACCTCTCAGAACCAAAACGTTTCTGAGTTTATTCGACCGTTTGTTATCTTCCTCTGGCCAAACTTTCTCTTCTATAATGCATTTGACGAAATCATAGTATAAGCTTATGGTTTTGTTACCTTTCTTCTCCAAGATCCTCGGAACTTTCGAAACAATCTCCGTGAGCTCTTCAGAGCTTGAAGCTGTTGAATCTCCTCTAGATTGAAGAAACTGGAGCTTGGGACCGAGCGATTTCTCAGCGTCTAGTAGAAGCAATCCTGGATAAGCCGTGATGATGGTGGAGATCTGTGGATCTGTGAAGCTGTGGTTTTTCAAGAGGTTTAGAACGGAATCTGGGTTTCGTTTGCCGTCAAAGCTGGTGACTTTCTTTGAGATTGATTCGGCGAGTTTTGTGGTTAGACCCAGTGAGTCAACAAGGTAAGGGATTGTAAAAATCTTACCTTTATGGCTCAAATCTGCAGAGGTTGTGGAAAAGGAAGATGCTTTTTGAAGAAGGTTTGCTGTAAATCTCAAATGACGCCATTTCTGCAACTCTATTGACCTGCTTCCATGGAGAATCGACGAGAACATGACGAAGGCAATGTGGTTACCGTAAGAGAACCAGCAAATTCTTCAGTGATAGATTTTGAATTCTGAAGAATTCGCAATCTTTTCATTCATTTGCGAGAACTCAAATTCGCAAAGATACAAAATTTGGGGGAAAGAGATGAGATTTTTAGGGTTTAGTTTTGGACCGGTTAAGGACAAAATCGGAAAATGGTTTAATTGGCTTAAATCGGTTTACGATTGGTTCATTACTTTGTATAAGAGTCATTGTTTCAAGCCCAAATATTAAAAGGTTGGGTTAAGAAGCCCAAATATTCTACCGCTTAAAAGTAATAGTACTGTATATATTTTTATTCGAGGTATATATATTTTTTTTCTTTCTTTCAGGCTTTCAGCTATTTATGTTAACGTGATAACAATATATAAGGAATAAATGTGTCAATTGTATACCTAACTAAAGTAGTTTTTATCATTTTTCCAACTCATGAAGAACTTCTCAAAGACTCAAACAACTTTTATTAAAACTAGAGTACAATTGTACAAGTTTGCCGTTTTTGGTAGCAGTTAAGCCGCCTAAAGGCTCATCTCGATTCAAGAAGCTTTACCTGAAGGGTTCGAAGAGCGGGGTTAAAAGGCGTGGAATCGTGTGGGGAGAATGGGTGGACAAACCTTTGATATTGTCTCATCAATCGATAGGTTGCTTTGTGAATTATTGTGTTCATTGTGGGCATCTTTGTTTAGTGATTGTCAGATTGTGTTTATTCCGCAAGCGGCTGATACAGCTCTCACCACAAGATTGTTGAGTGAGGAACTTCAAGTCTCTGTGAAAGTGCAAAGAGAAGACTAGAGAAAACTCTGGATGGTTCTCGAAAGAGAGTTTAGGAGGTGCTATTAGATCTGTGATGGATCAAAAGTCAAGACAGTGAGATTGGGAATCTAGTGAAGAGGATTAGAGGAATCATAAGAAGTTGAAAGACACTTTGGTTAGTCCTGGATTGTTGAGTGGTTATGCTGATAAGTTTGTTGAAGCATTGGAGAATGAAGTCAACAACACAAAATCGTCTTGAGTTTACAATATGTGCAAGAATCGGAATTTTCAACTCTACCAAAAACATGTTTTAGGTTATAATATGTGCAAGAATCATGTTTTGGAATAGCATCATGATCCCAATGCTACCAACAAGAATCCCAATCTTCTCAATAATAAAAATACCAAACCATTGCCGATTAAGACAAAAGATTTTGTGTTTAGTTTTATTCCCACTTATTTTTGGAAGAGGATTCAAGATAAAAACTCAGTATGTTAATCAAATAAAAAAAAAACTAAAAAAAACTAAAAAGTTCACAAACATGCTTGGAAATAGGGATGTTAATGAAGGGTTTTTACCCGTAAGGTACCCTAAACTCTTGATACGTTGATGGATCATTTACGGGCTGGTACCTTAGTGAAAGGATTCTAATAGCATTATCCTAATGGGCTTAGGGTATCCAGAGAACTACAAAAATATATAGACGTTAGGGCATAGCTAAGGATCTAAGCATCATTACATAATTTTCTTCCACATCATAAACAACCCAATCAGTAATCAAAGCAGCCATGGGTACTACTAATGTTGCTGCTAAACTACCTAGTACTAGAATCGTCCGTGAAACCCCTAGCCTCCTCCGTACATGGTGGTAAGACTCCATAACAATGATTCTTCCCTTTTTTCCATTATTTACATAAAGATTGATTTAAGTATACTGAATCTGATCGTTCTCTTAACGTATATGTTAATGGTTTGGTTGCAGGATGAACAAATATCTACAATACGACGTTGCCATGAGCAGTTTCATTATAATAATCAACATCGCAGCGATCGTGCACATGAGAACCCACAAGATTCCCTTTAACAACGATAATCTAGTTGCTTTTGTGGTGTTGTTTGGTATGATCTACATCATTAGCGGCATATTTACTTTCTTCTTGTGGTTTATGGCAATCGAGGATGTCACAGAATCTGAAGGAGCCTCATACGCAGGACGAGTCGCTCACGGCTCACACCATGGGCTTCGGTATTTTCTTCGTACTCCTGTATAGTATTTCCCCGCACTTGGCTCTACTCTTCGGGGTTCCTTGCTTAATTTGGTTTGTAGCCTTCATGGTTGCACCGTGTTGTCCCTCTATATGGAATGGTTTATGCGGAACAGTGGAAATTATAAGAGATTGGTGGAAGTATGTGACTCAACCAGGATCGGAAGTTGTTTATGTTTGAAAACGGTTAAATTCTGCCAAAGAAGACCATTCAGAGTGAATCCTTCAACCATCAGACCGCACCACTTCGTTTTTTTTTCCAACAATTTGTTTTTATTTACAACAGAAACTTTGGGTTTTTTAAAGAGAATTTGTTTAGCACGATTCTTTTCTTTTTTAGATTATCAATTATTGTACTCGAAATTAGTTGATCCTTGAATCACATTTTTTTCGTTATACCTTCCCATCTAATCAATTTGGAATATCATAAAAAAGACAACAATTATTGTGTGGGTATAGTTTATGCATTATGTGTGTTCATGATACAAATACAGAAATCAAATCACAGAAGGAGAGAAGTTGTAAACTGTATTTTCATTAGTTTACGGGAGCATGAAGTTCGGGTCCCATAGAGAAGGCAACCAAATCATAGGTAAGCCTTCACAAACACTCTCAATTAGTCTCAACCACCAAGCTCCAATCATTGTGTGTGGAGGATGCTCTGATGGCTCGATGTTTTAGAACCGCTTTTGTTCCAGTCCATTTCACTATCTTTCCCTTTTCTTCTTCCAACCTCGTATCATTTTGTGCCCTTGACCGAACGAACCCGTAAGGCCAACAAAAAAGGTTGGTCGCTGTTTCTTACGCCCCAAGCAATGTTCTCAATATTAAAATTTGATTTAAAATACAATTCCTACTATTAATCCGAAGTATGAATTGAATCACAAGCCCTTAATAAATATCAAACCCATTGCCGATATATATAAAGATTTTGTCATTGAACCAAGATGAGTTTTTTTTTTCTTTTCTTTTAGATTTATTCCCACTCAGGTTTGGAAAAGGATAAAAATTCACAATCATGCTTTGGAATGGGACTTTGTTTTGACCAGAGACCTATATATATATATAGACGTTAGGGCATAGCTAAGGATCTACGCATCATATCATTACATAGCTTTCTTCCCCTTTATTAACATCCAAAGCAGTTCCCAAAGAAGCCATGGGTTATACTGAACTTAGTGATACAATCGTCAATGAATCTCCGAGCCTCCTTCGTACATGGTGGTAAGACTCCATAACATTGATGATTCTCCCCGTTTTCTTTTATTTTCACTACTAACATAAAAGATTGATTTAAGTAAACTGAATCTGATCATCCTCTTAACTTATATGTTAATGGTTTGGTTGCAGGTCGAACAAGAACCTACAATACGACGTTGCCATGAGCATCATTATCATAATAATCAACATCGCAGCGACGGTGGACATGAGAACCCACAACCACAAGAGTCCCTTTGACAAAGATGATCCAGATAAATTGATGACGCTCTTCATTATTTTATACATCATTAGCGGCATAGTTAGTTGCATCGTGTGGGTTATGGCAATCGAGAATGTCACACTATCTGGACTAGCCTCATTCTATGGACGCTTGAGTCACATCTCGGGCTTCTGTATGTTCTTTAAACTCTTGTCTTGTATTTCTCCACACTTGCCTCTACTGTTCGGGGTTCCTGGTTTGATATGGTTTGTAGCCGCCTTGGTTGCACCGTGTTTTCCATTTATATGGAAAGGCCTGTGCCAAACAGTGAAAGAACTAGGAGATTGGTGGAAGTATATCAATCAACCACAATCGTTAATTGATAACGTTTGAGAACGGTTAAATTCTGCCGAAGAAGACCACCATGCAGAGAGAATCCTTCAACCATCAGACCTACCACTTCGTTTTTTTTTTTCTTTTTTGCAATTTTTTTTTAGGACTTATTTTGGGTTTTTTTAAGAGATATTTTTTGGCACTATTATTTTCTTTTTTAGATTATCAATTATTGTACTAAATATTAGTTGATCCTTGAATCTATTTTTTTTTCGTTACACCTTCCATCTAGCCAATTGGGAATATCATAACAAAACGACATTTATTGTGTGGGTATAGTGCATTGTGTGTGTTTATGAATCATATGATACAAATAAACATACATATACAAATCAAATCACAGACGGATAAGTTGTAAATAAATTGATATTGTCTTAGTTTGCAGGAACATGAAATTCGGGTTGGTCGCTGTTTCTTACGCCCCAAGCAATGATCTCAATATAAAAAAAAAAAATTTGATTTAAAAATTAAAATACAATAAAAAATTTGCACCCTAATAATAATTCAAATTATATGTGAATTGCGTCATATATATACCCTTGACAAAAAAAAAAATGATGCTACCACAAGACTCCCAATGTTCTCAGTAATAAAATATCAAAACAATTGCCGAACAAGATAAAGAATTTGTCGTAGCCGCCATGGTTGCATCCTGATTGTCCGTTTGTATGGACAGGTGCATAGATCGAGTTTGGTGAACGTGTTTGTGAATCAACCCATTTGGGTCGCCAAACGAATCAAAGTAAAGTCCGTGTGGGTGTGACTTCATATCATGATAAAACTGGAGTGAGTCATTCCAGGATGGAGAAGCCTGAAATCATAGTAATGAATGAACCTACAAGACGATGCCAAACCGTGTTACTTGGGCAAAGATTTCACATGTTACTACTACTAATACAGTCAAGTTTAGCCAAAGATTTCACATGCTGCTACTACTATTCAAAATATTTCTTCAAATTAACATACACCTAATCAAAAAAATTGAATCCTTGAATCAGCTCAAAATTAGGCAAAGGCTCAGCATTTTCAAAATCCCACATTCCACTTGAGAAACCTGAATCTAGTTTCTCGAGATCACATATTAAGAAACAATCCAACGATCTAATATGATAGACAGAAAAAAATAAAATCATTTTGAAAATAAAAAAGTAGGAAGAAGATTTTGTGAAACATGATTCATGAATAGAAAGGAAACCTAGTGGCGGCAAAATGCAACGGAAAATTGAGACCACGGAACTAAGCATGTGCATGTTTTTTTTTGGTGACCAAAGGCAGAAAAAAACTTGTTAAATGCTTGAATTTTGTCTTTTGAACATTTGAATATTCTTTTAGGAAATCAAAGTGTCTTCCAACACTATTTTTTTTTTTTTTTTGTCAACAGTCTAAGTTCCTAAACCGGTTCGGGAAGTAAAATCGGTGGAACTGAATTTACATAATACACGTCATGAGGCTGAGCTCGAGCACTTTGTGCTAACTTGTCTGCCTTTATGTTGTTCTTTCTCAAGATACAGGTGAGAGAAAACGTCTGGAATTTCCTTCTGCACTTCTCTTACTATTCCAAATACCGGCCAGTCTATGGGTACCATCTTCACCAACTCAGCACTATCCGTTTGAAAATTCATCCGTCTTTTATCGTGGACCAGCATATTTTGCATATTTTAGACCAATGTTTCCAGTTCTGTATGTAGAGGAGTTAAACCCCTACTTCAAAACACTACTTCAAAACCTTGATACCAATTCGGTTACAAGAAAAAGGAACAATTTATAAAGTATTTTTAAAAATTATAGATTTGAGAAAAAAACACTCTTTCTTTTTTGCATAAATTTAGATTAGCCGTGTTTCACTCCTTATTAAAATCCAGTAATATAAATCAACATAAGTAAAAGAGCAAATTCAGGGAGCAAACATGCGCACAAAGTTTCAAATATCATCATGATTAGTGTGCACATGTACACCATTTACATTTGATTCTTTGTAAATTACCATTAACACTTTTTCTGGCTCTGTCTCTATTTTATCATTGCTTTTCAGCCCAACTACTTTATTTCTTTCCGATTCTCAATTTATTCCTCGTGAAAATAGTAGTATTTCTTTCTAAAATAAATATTCTCAGCAAAAAGAAGATATTTCTGTTCTTTTTTTTTTCAGCCTTATTAGAGCTACACGTGTCATTTTTGGTATGATGTGAGAATAATTTGATTAATTGTGAGATTTGGAAAAAAGAAACTCAAGTCAATGAAGAAAAAGACGAAAATGGTATCATGAGAGCAAAGAAGAACTCACAAACCTCCTCATTCGCACATGTCTTCTTGACTCTCTCTCTCTTCTCCTTCTCTCTCTCATCGCTCTGTCAAATATACGGACCAGAGACAGAGTTGCCTCCACGTTTTTCCAGCAACAATCACGCTCTTCTCTTTCACCACATTCCTCCATCTCTCTACCTCACTTAGCTTGAAACTTTCTACTTTATGCTTTTCGATTCTTCCTCCAATTTCGAATCTTCTACAGTTTGTTCGTCTGGGTCTGCTCTGAATTTCGCTTCCAGCTTCATTTGGATGCTTCCGAGATTCATTTTGTGCTAAAAGTCCGAGTCTTTCCTTCTGGGTTTTCGGATTTCTAGGGCAAGTTTGGGCTCTGGCTCTCTGAATTTCGCTTCATTTGGGCTAATTTTCGGTTTAAATTTCGAATTTTTCCTCCTGTGTTGTGAAATTCTCGGCCAAATCGTTGAAGATTTTCGGAAATCAGGTTGATTACTGAGCAGATTCCGCAGAACTGGGAATCGGCAGATTTTTTGGGGGCTAATTGTGGAATTAGGTTTTGCTCATAAAGCTTCAATTTTTCGTCTGTTGATTTCCGTTGAAATGGGTCGATAACGAGGTGCTTCTGAAGAAAGTTTATTGCTTTAGATTCATATCGGTAAAAGAATGAGTTTGGTTCCTCCGTTGCCGATTTTAACGCCACCGTCGCCGTCAAATTCTTCAACCACCGCACCTCCTCCGTCAACTCCTCCTCCCACAACTCCATCTGCTCCCCCTCCGTCCACTCCACCTCCATCTCCGCCGCAATCACCGCCTCCGGTAACACCATCATCACCACCGCCGCCGGTTATATCATCACCTCCACCGTCTTCTTCTCCGCCACCGTCCCCACCCGTCGTCTCCTCACCTCCTCCCACCGTCACTTCTTCCCCTCCACCTCCAGTGGTTGTCTCTTCTCCTCCTCCACCTACTAACACTCCAGCGACAACACCACCGTCTCCTCCTACGCCTTCTGAATCTCCTCCCTCTCCTCCGGCTTCTACTCCGCCTAAATCTCCTCCTTCAGATACACCTTCACCGCCATCAGACACACCTTCACCGCCGGCAGATACACCTTCACCGCCTAAACCTTCTCCGTCAACTCCAACAACCACATCTCCTCCTCCTCCTACTTCAACCACCACTGGTCCTCCTCCGGCTTCACTTCCCACAGATCCTACTACTTTAGCTCCTCCGCCAACTCCATTACCCGTTGTTCCTAAAGAGAAACCAACCGCTAAACCAACCGGACCACCTTCAAGCAATGGAAACAACACTTTGTCTTCCGGTTCATCGCGCAGTGGCGGTGTTGGCACTGGAGGTATTGCAGCTATTGGAGTGATTGTTGGATTGGTCTTTCTCAGCATTTTTGTGTTGGGAGTGTGGTTTACTCGGAAACGAAAGCGAAAGGACCCTGGAACCTTTGTTGGATACACTATGCCGCCGCCTTCTGGTTTTTCCTCTCCTCAAGGCTCAGGTAATATGATTACACATATCTCACTGTAGTTGAACAATCTTAGCATCCTTTTTAGCATTTAGAGTATGGTTAGATCCTGATAGTGAGAAATGTATAGTAAGTGTTGTGACTTGTGAGTGTATGTTTAGTTTCAGAAACTTACTCTTTCTTGAGTTTTGGCTACTGATTTTGCCTAATGTCTGTGATCAATCTGCATCTGATCATATACTTCTAAAGCATTTAGGGTATGTTTAGATCCTGTTAGTGAGAATTGTTCGTTAAAGTGTTGACTGTGTTGTGACCTGTTAGTAGCATGTTTAGTCATTCAGAAACTTACTCTTGACTGAGTTTTGGCTACTGATTTTGCTTAATGTCAATGATCAGAATCTGTTAGTGAGAGATGTGTGTTGAGAGTTGACTGTGTTGTGACCTGTGAGTAGTATGTTTAGTTTCAGAAACTTACTCTCACTGAGTTTTGGCTACTGATTTTGCTTAGTCCAAGGTCATTCTTGCATATGATTATACACTTCTTAAGTAGTTTAGTTCTTACAGGTGTGTGTGTTCCTGTGTCTTCTCCTCTGTACATTGTGTAAACGAGTGTTGTGAGTAGTATGGTTTAGTTTCAGAACTTAGAAAGTATGAAGCTTTCCCTGAGTTTTGGATGCTGCTTTTGCTTTATGTCAATCAATCTGCATTTGGTCACACACTTCTATTGTAGTGAAGGTTTTGAGAGTGTGTTTCTGTGTTGAACAGATGCAGTGCTCTTCAACACGCAATCTTCAGCTCCTCCTAAAATGAGAAGCTATTCTGGTAACGATTACATGTACGCGTCGTCTGATTCAGGAGGCATGGTTAACAACCAAAGATCAAATTTTTCGTACGAAGAACTAGCTCAAGTCACTGGCAATTTCTCCGAAAAGAATCTTCTCGGCGAAGGAGGATTCGGCTGCGTGTACAAAGGCGTTCTTGCAGACGGAAGGGAAGTAGCGGTTAAACAGTTGAAGATCGGTGGGAGTCAAGGCGAAAGAGAGTTCAAAGCTGAAGTTGAGATCATTTCTCGTGTTCATCACCGTCATTTGGTTACATTAGTCGGTTATTGCATCGTAGAGCAACATAGGTTGCTTGTATATGATTATGTACCTAACAACACTCTCCATTTCCATCTCCATGGTACATTACAACATTACATCATCTTCTTAAACCATAAAGTTTATCTTTTTATGATTACATGAAACTTCAAAGCTTGTGTCTTTGCAGCTCCAGGAAGACCGGTTATGACTTGGGCAACTCGGGTTAAGGTCGCTGCTGGTGCAGCTCGTGGAATCGCCTACTTACATGAAGACTGTAAGTCACTCACTGCTGCTTTTCTTGGTTTTCTTTTTCAAGATATTTCGTTTTCTTGATTTTGTGTTTCCTTCTTCTTTTGTCAATGTCAGGTCATCCTCGGATTATTCACCGTGACATTAAATCTTCCAATATACTTCTAGATAACAGCTTTGAAGCCTTGGTAACAACATTCATATAAGCTTTACGCTTAGTCATAGAACGGTTCTTGATTCACCACACTAAACTTTCAAGAAAGTTTTGTTTTTTCCATAGGTTGCAGATTTCGGGCTAGCGAAGATAGCACAGGAGCTGGATTTACACACACACGTCTCAACACGCGTAATGGGAACATTCGGGTGCGTGTTTATGCATAAGTAAAATTGGTTACTTGCAGAAGAAGGAATCTTTCTAAAAGTTTCGATTTTTCTTTAGGTACATGGCTCCTGAGTATGCAACAAGTGGAAAGCTTTCTGAGAAAGCTGATGTTTACTCGTATGGAGTCATACTCTTGGAGCTAATAACTGGCCGGAAACCTGTTGACACGTCTCAGCCACTAGGCGACGAAAGCCTTGTCGAATGGGTAAGCAAAATTTGTGTCCCAACGTTTTACCATATTTCTTGAGTTTCCTCCATGAGTGTTCTTGAAAAACCTTCTCTGATTTTAATAGGCAAGGCCCTTGTTGAATCAAGCGATTGAGAACGAAGAATTCGAGGAGCTGGTGGATCCGAGGCTAGAGAAGAACTTCGTTCCCGGAGAGATGTTTCGAATGGTGGAAGCTGCGGCCGCATGCGTTCGTCACTCAGCTGCGAAGAGGCCAAAGATGAGCCAAGTGGTGAGAGCATTGGACACGCTTGAAGAAGCTACGGATATAACAAACGGGATGAGACCAGGACAGAGCCAAGTGTTCGACTCGAGACAGCAATCTGCACAGATTAGGATGTTTCAGAGGATGGCGTTTGGGAGTCAAGATTATAGCTCTGACTTTTTTGATCGATCACAGTCACATAGTAGCTGGGGAAGTCGTGATCAGTCCAGATTTGTACCTTAAGTAGCTTTTATTGTTTTTTGCTACGTTCCCTTCTTTTTTTTTCTTCCTTTGAGATGTTTTTGTATATTCTTTTGCATGATATAATGAATCTTGTACAACTTCTTTGCCATCTCAAGTAGTTCATTAGGAACATGAGACTCATGATGCAAAAAAGAGATCGCCTGCGAGATTCTTCTCATCTCTTACATGTCTAAATCCTCCACAGAAATAACATATCAAGACTTCTCGACAACCAATTATCTTTAGGTTATGATCATAAAGATAACAAAATGTAACATAAAACAGATTCCAGATGAATAGAGCTAAACCACATCACTACAAGAGTTTCAAAACAAAGCTAGCTAGCTTAAGACGTGATTCTTGTAGTCGTCAAGCAACGAGCGTTTTGTAAGAAGTAACTCGCAAGATCTCTGTCTCCTGGTAGGTAGTCCGAAAACTTGAAAGTTTGTAAACTCGACAATAAACATTCAGGAACAGTACTTGGTTGACTCCAGAGACGTACAGCATCAGGATCATGATTCTGAGATCAAAGAAGAAGAAGAAGTATTAGATTGAGAACCGTATATTAAGGATATCAATCAAGAGATCACACCCCTAAGATTAATCCCTCATCATCCTATAGAATATTTGGTTTCTCTTATTATTCTCATAGGTCTTGTATGTATAAAGGCCTCTTGTAATCATTTAACATACAACACAATTGTCCATTATACATTCATATTCAATACCGTAGTGTGCACTAGACATACAAAAATAAGAAACTTACATATTTTATTCTACGGAGCTTTAGTACTCGCAAGTTTGGCGAATCTTTGAGCAACCGGACTAGCACAGCCGACGCATATTTTTCGCATATACATAGTTCCAAATGTTCAAGATGGTTAAAGACGATACCATCACAATACACATCATCCTGCACATTATGTTAAAATGGTTAATGTAATGATTGAAGACTTGCAAGTTGCAACTGATAAAAAGGAAAAGAGCAAAACTGGTTACCTCTAAAATATCGGCTAAGCATAGCGTAAGATGATTGACAGATGTGATTGATCTGAAAAGCCTCTCCACATAAGAAAAACTAGCATCTATGTATGCCTCCCTCAGCTTTGGCATTTTCTCAACCAAACACTGGTGAGTGTGGTGAGTCTGGTGACTATTATTATTATTAAAATACTCAAGCTTCAAGTACTTCAGATATGGAGTATTTATCACATACTCATCTAACTTATCAGGGATATAGAGCACTAATCTCAGCAAAGACGGGACAACAACAATGATCTTTCTCAAACCGTTAACTTCATATACATCCACCATTACCCGTAGTTCTTCAAGAACAGGGCAAATAGATAGAAGCCTTTGAAAAGGCTCGTCATTCAAGTATATCACCTCTATAAGTTGCAAATTTTTCAGGCAAGGAAGACAAACCATAGGAGGAACATCCTCGAGGGTCGTTCTTTCGAGTTTCAAGCTCACGAGCGATTTGCAAGTATACAAGCTACTTGGTAATGGTAAGATATCCGTCTTCCTTGGATAAGAAATACAAGAAATCTCCAGCTCACGAACGCAACGAGAAACTACAGCTTCAACCCACAGTCTGATATCTTCAGGTTCCAAATCTAGATGACTAAACTCTAGGCGGAAGCTTTCAAGAGCCTGAGCTCTATGTAATGGCAGATTTCTCTGAAGAAAACACCTCAACTTCTTGCCTTCAGTCTCTGAATAATATCCAGTACTATACTTGAGTTTAGGCAAAAACATCCAGAGAAACTGTCATTGTTTCGACAAGAGGCTTGTGGAGACGGCAATTTTTGTTGGAAGAAACGATAATATCTTCACCAACAAGTCATCCGGCAATTCATTGATATTGTCCATACCGTTAAAATTCAAGATATAGATTGTTACCGTCGAATAGAGAAAGAGCGTACAACACCAAGAAGATAAAACACTCGAACTCTGTAACTTCTCTATCACGTTTCTCAACTAGTCTGCGCGCCTCTGGTCTCTTTCTGTTCTGTGTTAGGTCTTCTGCCTTGAAATCTTCTTCCTTGAGCAACAACACAACCTTAACCGACTTTAACAGGTCAGGGTTTCCTTTTCTCTTTTTATTAATTGGACTTTGATTTGACGTGGCCCAAATAATGAGAGTACAAGTCAGGCCCGTATGCAAGAGTTGTGAATCTATGCCCTCGCCAATTGTAGATTTGACCTCTTCCAGGTTCTTTGGAGAAATCAAACAATAAGAAAGAACAGAGAGAACTCGACACCATTGAGTGAGTAAGGAAGAAGAAGAAGAAGACTATTAGGCTCGTGCAAGACAGAGGATCTAGGTCGCTGCCAGTTTCTGCTACAAGTATAAGAGAGACAAAGTCTATTAAATAAACTTTAGGTTACGATCATAAACAGCTCCAGTTGGTTAGAAAGTAACCACAACACTATTACATTTTCAAAACAAAGCTAGGTTAAGACAGTAGACAACGAACCACAGATCATCAAACAAAAACAAGTTGGCATGCGGTTGAAGCTCGAGGAGAAACGAAAATACCAAACCAAATTTTGTAACTTCAATAGCGTAAACAACAATCCAGGACAGAACAAGTGAAGCAAAAAAGAGAGACAAATCCAATCAAAAGATAAGATTTTAGGGTTCTTGATCTGGTTAGACTAACCACACTGAGCTTTAAATATAAGTTGGCATTCGGATGAAGCTCGGGAAGAAAGTGTCAGCTCCTGTATCATGTCAAAGGTTTCAAACAAATAATCTTCGGACAAGATTGTTGCAGTCTTTAAGCAACGAGCGTTTTGTAAGATGTAAGTCGCAAGATCTCTCTCTTCTGGTCTTCCTAGGTAACAAGAAAAACTGAAAGTTTCTAGACTCGACAAGAGACATTCAGGAACACTACTTGGTTGATGCCAAAAAAGTACACCATTTAGATGATGATTCTGAGAATCAAGAAGAAGAAGAAAAAGAAGAAGAAGAAGAAGAGTTAGATTAAGAACCATAGTGTGCATTAATTTATCGACGAGAAACTTACATTTCCTAGGCCACAGAGATCAAGTACAGTCGATGCATATTCTTTGCATATACATAGTTCCAAATGTTCAAGCTTGTCGAAGACGAAACCATCACCATACACAGCCTGGTCGAAGACAAAACCATCACGATACACATCAAACCCCTGCGCACATGCAGTATTAAAAACCATTAGCAAAAGATTCTGTAAATGAGGTTGAAGACTTGCAATTGACCAAAAAAAAGAAAAAAAAAATGATTACGTGTGAAGGATGGTCTACTAGGCAAAATGTAAGAAACTCGACAGATGTGATTGATCTGATAAGCCTCTTGAGGTAAAGAAACTTAGCAGCTACACATGCCTGCCTCAGCTTTGGCATTTTCTCAATCAAACAGTGGTGACTCTTATCATTATAATAATCAAGCTCCAAGTACTCCAAAGAAGGAGTGTTGATCACAAGCTCATCTAAATTAGTGAGTATATAGATCTCTAATCTCCGCAAAGACGAGACGATAACATTGCGCTTCCCCATATTGTCACCTTCACCGATAAGTCTTCAAGAACAGGGCAAATAGAAAGAAGGCGTTGAAGAGAATCTTTAGTGAAGTATGTCACCTCTTGAAGTCGCAAAGTTTTCACACAAGGAAGACAAACCATAAGAGGAACATCCACGAGAATCGTTCCTTTGAGTTTCAAGGTAACGAGCGATATGCATGTGTACAAGCTACTCGGTAATATATCGGCTGATTCGGATAAGAAGTATAAGAAATCTTCAGCTCGCGTATGCAGCGAGAAACGACAGCTAGAGCCCACAGTTTGATATCTTCAGGTTTAAAACCTGGATGATGAAACTTGAGGCGGAACCTTTCTATAACCGGAGCTCTATGTAATGGCAGGTTTCTGTGAAGAAAACACCTTAGTTTCTGGCAGTCGGACTTTGAATAGTATTTAGTACTGTACTCAAGCTTAGGCAACAACATCCAGAGAAACTGCCATTGTTTCGACAAGATGCTTGTGGAGACGGCAACTTTTGTTGGAAGAAATGATAATATCTTAATCTGCAATTCCTCAGACAAGCCACTGATTCTGTCCATAACTTTGATTTTAACTTCCTGACAAAATAAACAAAGGAACAAAAAAACGTTCAAGATACAAAAACGTTCTCGATCCCTAATCTATGACCTAGCACATAATCCATCAATGGCAACGGAGAAAAGTAGAAAACAATTGAATTAAATTCGGTGGAACTCATTTCGGTATCAGTCCATCACTGGCATTCATGTTTTGGTCTTGAAGAATTATTATGAAACAAGACCCATAAATTGAACATCTTCAAGTTTTGCCAACGAACAAGTCTTAACTTAAATCTCTAAGCAATTACCGATTATATTAAGAAATATTCAAAAACTCCTACGTAATATGCGTTTTATCCAATCACGTTCCCTGGTAGAATCTATAACGATGAATCATACCTTGATTTCGCTTTGGAGATGAAATAAAACGGAAACTTTTGAGAAGAGAGCAGTCGCGTGAGGAGGAAGAAGAAGAACAAGGAGAGTTAGAATAGGAATCTAGGGTTTAGTTAAGTCTTAACTCTTAAACCAAACCGATCGGTTCATCAACAAAACCGAAGCGAACCGAAAAACCCCAAATTCTACCGAAGAGAATGTTAAGTTTGTGCAACTTCTTTGTCATCTCACGGTGTTTTATAAAGATCATCAGAGACTCATGCAAGGTATAGATCGCTGCAAGATTCTTTCCATCTCTAACTTCTCTTAATCGTGTATACACAATAACATTTCAAGACTGCTGAACAAGTAATACGGGACAGAACAAGTGTAATTATAAGAGAGACAAAGCTATGATCATCAACATATAATGTAACATAAACCACAGCACTACAACTGTTTTAAAAACAAAGCTAGGTTAAAACAGTAGACCACCAGCTACAGATCATCAAACAAATACAAGTTTGCATGCGGTGGAAGCTCTGGGAGAAAGTGCCAACTCCTTGATCATGTCAAGGGTTTCATACAAACCTGGTTGAGACATGATTGTTGCAGTCTTCAAGCGACGAGCATTTTGTAAGATGTAAGTCGCAATCTCTCTCTCTCGTGGTCTTCCTACGTATTCCAAAAACTTGAAAGTTTGAAGACTCGACAATAGACATTCAGGAACAGTACTTGGTTGATTCCATCCATCTATACCACTATTTTCATGATCCTGATATCAAGCAGAAGATGAGGAATTGGATTGAGAACCATAGTGTGCGTTAGACAAGTTATAATATCTTGTCCAATAAAACTTACTTCCATGACGAAGAGGTCTAGTGATCGTAACTTAGGCGAATCTTTGAGCAACTGGACAAGCAAGCTCGACACATTGCTTTTGCATAAAAATAGTTTCAAATTTTGAAGCTGGTTGAAGACAAAACCTTCACCAATATACACATCATCCTGCACACAATGATAAATTAATCATTAATGGTGGATTCTAGGTCTAAGATTTGCAAATGATAAATGAGAACTTGATTACCTCTAAACTGATAAATGTAAGAAGCTTGGCAGATGTGATTGATCTGATAAGCCTATCCATAGAAGGAAAGTAAACATCTAGAAATGCCTCCCTCAGCTTAGGCATTTTCTCAATCAAACACTTGTGGTGACTCTTCCAACTATGGTACTGAATTTTGAAGTACTTCAAAGAAGGAGTATTTATCACAAGCTCATCTAAATCATGAGGTATACAGAGTGCTAATCTCTGCAAAGACGAGACCATAACAATGACTTTTCTCAAATTATCAACTTCACCCTCATCCACCAATAGATCTTCAAGAACAGGGCAATTAGATAGAAGCCTTTGAAGAGAATCTTCATTCAAGTATGTTACATTTCGAAGCTGCAAAGTTTTCAGACAAGGAAGACAAACCATACGAGGAACATCCACGAGAATCGTTCCTCTGAGTTTTAAGGTCACGAGCGATTTACAAGTATACAAGCTACTTGGTAATATATCCGGCAAGATTTCTTATATTACCAAGTAGCTTGTATACTTGTAAATCGCTCGTGACCTTAAAACTCAGAGGAACGAGTCTCGTGGATGTTCCTCGTATGGTTTGTCTTCCTTGTCTGAAAACTTTGCAGCTTCGAAATGTAACATACTTGAATGAAGATTCTCTTCAACGGCTTCTATCTATATGTCCTGTTCTTGAAGAACTATCAGTACGTTTTTGTAATGAAGCTCTTGTTAGAGAGTTCAGTATTATCGTCCCGTCTTTGCAGAGATTATCACTCTTTATAGTAGCTGGTTATTGGCGTTTAGAAAGGTATGTGATAGATACTCCCTGTTTGAAGTATTTCAAATTTGAGGATCATAATCATAAAGGACACTACTGTGAGATTATGAATATGCCTAACCTGGAGGAAGCTTTTGTCGATGTTTTTTTCTCTCGTCTCAAGAGTGTTATTGGATCAATCAAATCTGTCAAGCGTCTTACGTTATGTTCAGAGGTAAATTAGTTTTTCATTTATCATATTGCAAGTCTTCACTCTCATTTGTGGGTTCTTTTTTGTTAATAATTTTTGAATGAACAATGGATCCCAAGATCCTAAAAGGAGGGCAGGATGGGTATGGTGGTGGTTTTGTTTTCAAGGAACTTGAACATCTGAAGATATTTTTGTGCAAAAAGGATTCGTCCAATGTTCTTGCACAGTTGCTCAAAGACTCCCCTAACTTACGAGTACTAGAAATCTCGCACATGAAAGTAAGTTTTCTTCGTTTAACTTTTTTTTTTCTTTCTTTTTATGGTCGGTATCTAATTCTTCTGCTTGTTCTCAGGATCATGGGGATGATGTGCTTAATTGTATGGTTAGCTGGAACGAACCGAGTCGTGTTCCTGAATGCTTGTTGTCGAGTCTACAGTTGTTCAAATGGTCACAATACTTTGGGAGACGGCAAGATCGAGAAATTGCGGTTTACTTGTTGAAAAACGCTCGTCACTTAAAGACGGCAACAATATTGGCTGATACAATGGAATTTGGTGTTCCAAAACTTAATATGGTCAAGGAGTTGACACTTTCTTCCAGAACTTCAAGCACATGCGAGCTCGTGTTTGTTGAGTGGCATCATGTTGTGGCGGACGAGTCTTTGTCAGAAGACTCTTCGGCATAAATAGTTTGATAATAACTACGTGAAGCAAAGAAATCATCAAACACTTATGTATTCGATAAGAATGTCTTGTTATTCGACTATGTATTACAAAATTCTTGTTTTTATCTATTATCCAAGAAAAAATCGATATTGTTGACTTCAGCTACGCTTGGCATGGACTTTTGGTAACTTCCTCCTCAAGCAACCCTTCCATGGCATGGACTCTTGGTAACTTGTTCTATAGCATTTATTGCTAAGGCTACTAAACTAGCCATCCGGGACAGAACAAGTAGAAGTATACTAAGAGAGATAACGCCTAACAAAATAATATTTGGTTTAATTAAGGTTCATGATTCGATTAGACTCATAATTATATATGAAGGTATGAGATCATTGCAATAGAGATCGGTATTAAAAAAACAACATATGAAGGTATCCAGGTTTGTTTGGCAGTCTATAGTTCAAGGATCCAAGAACACAAAACAAAACAGAGTTTAAGACAACAAAGATAATGTGGATTTTCATATACAAAACAAAAGAGTATGAAGAAGTTATCAACCATCACTCATCTCTCTTCCTCCACAACAGTTGTGCTCTGACGTTTCAGGAAGTTACCAACCATCACGAACCTCTTCCTCCACAACACTTTGTGTTCTGACGTTTCTGGGGAACTTGTGAGCTGCTTTCCTCTTCACAATCCGTATCCGAATCTTCTTCGGACTCAGAACCATTGTCAAGAGGTTCATCTCCATCAAATAGAATTGTCCAACGCCATATTAAGCTTGCAGTATCACTAGATGGCAATTTCGATTCTGGTAAATCATCAGGCACTACAAAGAAAACTCTGTAACCTCTCTTCTTCAAAGCTTGCATCACACTGAACAGCTCAGTGTTTTGCTCTGGCACGTCTTTTGAAGCAACGAGAAGATTTGTGTGGTCGGCCAGAGGATGGTGGTGTGCATACTCAAGCATGTCCAATAGCATCCTGGTGAGCCTCACACGTTTTTCAGCCAACTCCTTTGCGAGGAAGATATTAGGATACGATCGTATCCCCTGTTTTGCTGATCACGCAAGTGATTGATTCACTTTCCTTTGTACTACTCTTGTATAGTTATTGAGAATATGTCTCTTTAGGAAAGTAGATTCGCCTAGCTCTGTATATAACGATGTAATAGCTCTTGTGAATAATCATCAAGAAATATTACAATCATTCCTCTCACTCTGTTATTCTTCATGGTATCAGAGCCTGAAACTTTCTTTTTCTGAAAATATTTGTCTTTTCTCTTTTTCTTGATTGATTGATCATGTCCGAAAATGGTGTTCCACCTCTGAATCCAACTGCTGTTCCAATCACGAACCCGATAACAACGGAAGTGAGAAGGACAATCTCTCCCTATGATTTGACTGCTGCCGATAACCCTGGCGCTGTGATTTCGCATCCTCTGCTCAAGGGATCGAATTACGATGAATGGGCTATTGGTTTGAAGACAGCTCTTTCTTCTCGAAAGAAGTTTGGCTTCCTTGATGGATCCATTCCTCGTCCAGCTGATGGGTCTTCTGATCTCGACGATTGGTGGACGATTCAAGCCTTGCTTGTATCGTGGATCAAGATGACTATTGATCCTGCTCTTCGATCCAGCATCTCTCATCGTGATGTTGCGAAAGATCTGTGGGATCATTTGAAGAAAAGGTTCTCGGTGACTAACGGACCTCGGATTCAACAACTTAAGGCGGAGTTGGCTTGTTGCAAGCAGCGTGGACTCGCCATTGAAGCTTACTATGGAAAGATGAACCGAATTTGGGACAACATGGCTCAATACAGACCGTTACGCGTCTGCAAATGTGGTAAATGTGAGTGTGATTTGGGGACTCTCCATGAGCAAGATCGTGAAACAGAGAAGGTTCATGAGTTTCTCTCTGGTCTTGATGAGAAATATCAAACCGTTCGGTCTGCTCTTGTTTCTCGTACACCAATTCAGTCTTTGGAGGAGGTGTATAATGTCGTGAGACAAGAAGAGGTCTTGAAGACAACATCAAGTCCTGTTGAAGTAACGCCGGAAGTAACTGCTTATGCTGCTCAATCTCGGGAGCGCACATCTTACTCTCGGTCTGATGAAGCTGAAAAATGCAAACATTGTCATCGCGGCCATCCGTCTGATCGGTGTTTTGCTGTCATTGGTTATCCGGAATGGTGGGGAGATCGTCCCAAAACTCGGACATTGCAAAGCAGAGGACGTGGTGGTGTTTCCTCGTTTGGTGGTCGTGGTCGTGGTGTTAATTACGCTAACGCCGTTCATGTGCCACAACTACCACCACCTGAACAAGCCAACCATGTCTTCACTGACAAAGATCGTGATGGAGTCCATGGTCTCAGTGATGCTCAGTGGCGTACGCTGGTCAGTTTGTTGAATGCCGGGAGCAACGGTACCAACACTGAAAAACTCTCGGGTATGTATTCTTCTCCGTCTTGGATTCTTGATACGGGTGCATCTCATCATTTGACTGGATCATTGCATATCCTCACTGATATTCGAGAGATGGATCCAGTTTTGGTAATTTTGGCTGATGGCCGAGAGCGGATATCAGTAACGGAAGGCACTGTTGCTTTAGGACCTAATCTGATCTTGAAATCTGTGTTTTATGTTGAAGAGCTCAAGTCCGATTTGATTTCAGTGGGTCAGTTAATGGATGAGAATAATTGTGTGGTACAATTAGCTGATCGGTTTCTTGTGATTCAGGACCGCGTTTCGAGGACGGTGATTGGAGCGGGTAAACGAGAATCTGGAACCTTCCGCTTTTGCAGAACGGAGTCGGTGGCTGCGGTTACTACTCGGGACGACAAGGCTTATGAGTTGTGGCATCATAGGCTTGGTCATCCCTCTGCCAAAGTAGTTGGTCTACTTAAACATGTTGATGTTTCTGTTGTTTCTGAATCTTTCAATAAGGCGTGTGATGTTTGTTTCCGCGCCAAGCAAACTAGATCTCCATTTCCTACAAGTATCAATAAAACTAAGCAAGTTTTTGAGTTGATTCATTCGGATTTATGGGGTCCGTATCGGACACCTTCTCACAGTGGTGCTCGATATTTTCTTACCATTGTTGATGACTTCTCTCGAACTGTATGGCTGTATTTGCTTACCGACAAGACTGAGGCACCTGTTCATCTCAAGAATTTCATTGCTATGGCTGCTTGTCAATTTCAGTCTAAGGTTCAATGTTTAAGGAGTGACAATGGGACTGAGTTCATGAGCTTGACGTCTTATTTTCGGGAACAAGGAATCCGTCATGAAACTTCCTGTGTGGGCACACCACAACAGAATGGGAAAGCTGAGAGAAAGCATCGCCATGTTCTCAACGTTGCTCGTGCGTTGATGTTTCAAGCAAAAATGCCGATTGAATTTTGGGGAGAATGTATTCTGACGGCGGGTTACTTAATCAATCGAACACCCAGTTCTGCTCTAAATGGTCTTACTCCGTATGAGATGCTTCACAACAAAGCTCCGGATTATGCACATCTTCGTGTCTTTGGAAGCTTGTGCTATGCTCACAACCAAGGCCATAAGGGAGACAAGTTTGTCTCTAGAAGTCGCAAGTGTGCGTTTGTGGGTTATCCCTATGGTAAGAAGGGATGGCGTCTCTATGATTTGGAAAAGAAGCAATTTTTTGTTTCCAGAGATGTCGTCTTCTGTGAAAATGAATTCCCATTTGTCGCTGCTGCAACAGAGAATCTCTCTCACGGTCTTGATGAAGAAGGAGGGTTATGGGCTCCAATTGGTCCAAATTTAATTGAAGAAGAAGTTGGGCCTCCAGCTAGGGTTACACCAAGCCCATTACCAAACCCAACCACTAATTTCTCTCCTCCTTCTTCCCCGACGACTCCAGCAACCTCCATTGATTCTGATCACTTGAATCCTCCTTCTCCGGTGCCTAATCCCACGCCGGCAGAATCATCAACACCTCAGGATTCTCCTGAACCTCCTCCTGAACCTGAGCTACTTGGTCGTGGTCAACGACGAAAAACCCAATCTGTTACTCTGCGAAATTTTGTTATCAATACAGCACAGAGTAAGCTTCTCTCATCGCCTTCTGGGGGTAAATCGACTTACCCAATCTCCAACTATGTGAACTGTCATCGTTTTTCTCAGACTCATCAGGCTTATTTGGTTGCCATAACTGAGAATGTGGAACCCAAATCTTTCAAAACGGCGATGCAATTCAAAGTCTGGACAAAGGCGATGGGTAATGAGGTAACTGCTTTGGAAGAAAATGGAACTTGGGAATTGGTTGATTTGCCTGCAGGGAAACGAGCCATTGGCTGTAAATGGGTTTACAAGATCAAATATAATTCTGACGGCACAATAGAGCGCCACAAGGCTCGTCTTGTTGCTTTGGGGAACCGCCAGATTGAAGGTGAAGATTACGGTGAAACGTTTGCGCCTGTAGCTCGAATGGGGACCGTGCGTTTGTTTCTTAAAGTAGCTGCTGGAAACAACTGGCCCGTGTACCAAATGGATGTTCACAACGCCTTTTTACACGGAGATCTAGCGGAAGAGGTATACATGAAACCTCCTCCTGGTTTTCTTGCTGAAGGTGATCAGAAAGTTTGCAGATTGAAGAAATCAATTTATGGGTTGAAGCAGGCACCGAGGTGTTGGTTTGAGAAACTTACTAAAGCCCTTCGTGCATACGGTTTTCAACAATCATTGGCTGATTACTCTTTGTTCAATCTTGATAAGAATGGGGTGAAAATCAATCTTCTTATTTACGTGGATGATATGATTCTTACGGGAAATTCTGAACAAGCTCTCAAGGTATTTAAAGCTTACCTTTCTTCTTGTTTCAAGATGAAGGACTTGGGATTTTTAAAATATTTTTTGGGAATTGAGGTTTCACGCAACAAAAGTGGATTCTACTTGAGTCAAAGGAAGTATACTATGGATATTCTTGCTGAAACAGGAATGTTGGGTGCGAAGCCAGCCTCCTTCCCACTTGAGCAACATCATCGACTAGCATTATCTACATCTGCTTACTTGATTGACCCTACTCCATACCGTCGTTTGGTTGGAAGGTTGATATATTTGGGTGCTACACGTCCTGACTTGGCGTTTAGTGTTCATGTTTTGGCACAATTCATGCAGCAACCTCGTGACGATCATTGGCAGTCTGCGTTACGAGTGGTTCGCTATTTGAAGGGTTCGCCTGGTCAGGGAATTCTTTTAGACTCTGACAATACGTTTCAAGTCTCAGGTTGGTGTGATGCGGGATACGCAAGTTGCCCATTGACGCGACGGTCTATCACGGGATACTTTGTTCAACTCGGACAATCTCCGGTGTCTTGGAAAACGAAAAAACAAGATACGGTTAGTAAATCTTCTTCTGAAGCTGAATATCGGGCTATGTCTTTTCTCAAAGATGAACTTGTTTCTATTAAGAGTGTTTTGCGTTCTCTTGGAGTTGTGCATGATCAACCTATGGGAATGTATTGCGACAGCAAATCCGCTATCTACATAAGCACAAATCCTGTGTTTCACGAACGGACGAAACACGTCGAAACGGACTGCCACTCTGTTCGTGAACAAATTCAAAATGGCACAATCACTCCTCATCATGTCTCTACAACTCAACAATTGGCTGACATTTTTACCAAACCATTGGGACGTAAAAGTTTTGAGTTCTTCCGCACCAAGCTAGGTATTCTTGATCTTCATGCTCCAGCTTGAGGGAGGGTATTAGGATACGATCGTATCCCCTGTTTTGCTGATCACGCAAGTGATTGATTCACTTTCCTTTGTACTACTCTTGTATAGTTATTGAGAATATGTCTCTTTAGGAAAGTAGATTCGCTTAGCTCTGTATATAACGATGTAATAGCTCTTGTGAATGATCATCCAGAAATATTACAATCATTCCTCTCACTCTGTTATTCTTCAGAAGATTTTGGCCTGGCGAGAGTTGTACCTCTCTTGGTCATATTTTGTTTTCAGCATGTACTCAACAAAGCATCTATGTCTGCCTCCCTCAGGTTAGGCATATCCTCAATCAAACAGTAATGCTTCTTTGGATCAGAATACCTTAGTTTCAAGTACTTCAGAGAAGATGTCTTTATCACAAACTCGTCTATAAGGTTGAGTGTTAAACGCCGCAAAGAGGGAACGTAACATTAACAGTGAGCTTTCTATGACCTACGTGGTCTTTCACCAATAGATCTTCAAGAACAGGGCAATTAGATAGAAGCCGTTGAAGAGAGTCTTCATTCAAGTCTGGTCACATTTTGAAGCCGCAAATTTTTCAGACAAGGAAGACAAACATGACTAGGAACATCCACGAGGATCGTTCCATGGAGTTTCAAGGTCACGAGCGACTTGCATGTATACAAGCTACCCGTTAATATAAGTAATATATGAAATATCAAGCTCACGTACGCAGCGAGAAACTATAGTTAGAACCCACAGTTTGATATCTTCAGGTTTTATATGTGAATGAACAACCTTTAGACAGAAGCTTTCAAGAACCGGAGCTCTATGTAATGGCAGATTTCTGTCACGAAAACACCGTAAACTCTCGGATTCAGACGTTGAACAATACTGTCTATAAACGTAAGTTTAGGCAACAACATCCAAAGAAACTGCCATTGTTTCGACAAGATGCTTGTGGAGGCAGCAGTTTTTGTTGGAAGAAAGAATAGTATCTTCACCAACAAGGCATCCGGCAATCCACTGATGATGTCCATATATCGTCTAAATTCAAGATATTGTCACCGAGAAAGTGAGTACACACAGAGAAGGTAAAGACTCGAACTATGTTCCTTATCTCTCTCACGGTTGCTTCTAACTCTCTTGGTCTCTTTCCGTTTTGTGTTAGGTTTTCTGCCTCGACACCTTCTTCCTTACGTAACAACACAAGTTAGGGTTTTCCTTTATCTTATTTTTTTCTAATTGGACTTGGATTCGACGTGGCCCACATAATGAGCGAACAAGTCAGGGCCATTTGGTTCGGTTCAGATTAAGAACCAAAACTAAATACAAATCGATCGGTTTGGTTTAAGACTTTAACTAAACCGAAAAATTCCCAATCTGGTTTAAGTCCTTCTTCTTCTTTAACATCATTACTCGACCGCCTTTTGAGAATTGCAGTGCCCGAGGATATCTGCCAAGAGAAATCTCCAAAGCGAAATTGAGGTAACAATGAATTTGATAGATTTTTCCATGGGATGTGATTTGATAAAAAAAATGAGTATATTACGCTGGAAATGTTTCATCTTTTATTAGCTCTGTGTGTGGGAAAACCTAATCAGTTAAACTGAAGATTAAATTCATTAGCAAAGCTCGAAGCAATTTTCTGGGTTTTATTTTCATTTAAAATCAAAAACATAAATTGCAGTGATGAAATTGGTTTTGAAGTGTATATCTCTCTCTAAATTCATTTTTTTTTTTTACAAAATCAATTCTAGGGCTTTTATGTTCCCTTCTTGTTTGCACTGGTTTTTGTTTTCGTCTAATAGCTAAATCGTTTGGTTGTCACAAGATAGGCCTCTCTGCTTATTTTGCCAGGGTCGGAAAAAGGAGAGTGAAACCCAAGTTTCGTGGTCGACGATCTGTTAGGGTTTGTAAAGATATGAGCAGAATCAATGGCTTGCCGGATGACTTGTTGGTGAAGATACTATCGTATCTTCCGACAAAAGTTGCTGTGTCCACAAGCATCTTGTCGAAACAATGGCAGTTTCTTTGGATGTGGTTGCCTAAACTCGAGTACAGGCCTAAATATGTTTCAGAGCCTGCACTTAAGGGGTTTATCGACAAGAACCTGCCATTACATAGAGCTCATGTCATAGAAAGCTTGCGTCTTACTATAAGTGATGAACACATTGAGTCTGAAGATATCAAACGGTGGATTGAAATTGCAGTTTCTCGCCATGTACGTGAGCTGGAAATTTCTTATGAACCTGCTTACGAAAACATATTTCCGAGCAGCTTTTATACCTGCGAATCGCTCGAGATCTTGAAACTCAAAGACGTGACTCTCATGGATGTTCCTCCCTCAACGGCGTGTCTTCCTTCTCTGAAAACTTTGGAACTTGATAGTGTTTCATACGAAAGAGATGAATCTCTCCAACGGCTTCTATCTATATGTCCTGTCCTTGAAGAACTATCGGTGCATTTTGGTGGCGAGGACGATTTGGTTGAGTTCAGTATTATTGTCCCGTCTTTGCAGAGATTATCACTCTTTATAGATGATGATTATCTGGATTTAGATAGGTATGTGATAGATACTCCTTGTTTGAAGTATTTCAAACTTGAGGATTGGAATGATTCAAGGACCTACTGTGAGATTAAGAATATGCCTACACTGGAGGAAGCTTTTGTCGATGTTTTCTTCTCTCGTCTTGAGAGTGTTGTTGAATCAATCACATCTGTCAAGCGTCTAACCATATGTTCAGAGGTAATTTAGTTTTCCATTTATCATAGTGCAAGTCTTCACTCTCATTTGTGTGAATGTGTGATCTTTTTTGTTAATAACTTTTGAATAAACAATGGGTCCAGCAAGAAGAAGAAGAGGATGTGTATGGTGGTGGTTTTGTTTTCAACGAGCTTGAACATCTGAAGTTATGTTTGTGCAAAAAGAAGTCGTCGAATGTTCTTGCACAGTTTCTCAAAGACTCTCCTAACTTACGAGTACTAGAAATCTCGCCCATGGAAGTAAGTTTTCTTCGTTTAACTTCTTTTTTTCTTTCTTTATATGGTCTGTATCTTATTCTTCTGCTTGTTCTCAGGATCATGGGGATGATGTGCTTAATGGTATGGTTAGCTGGAACGAACCGAGTTGTGTTCCTGAATGCTTGTTGTCGAGTCTTGAAACTTTCAAATGGTCACAATACTTTGCGAGACGGCAAGGTCGAGAAATTGCGGTTTACATGTTGAAAAACGCTTGTCACTTAGAGGAGGCAATATTCTTGGCTGATACAAGGGAATTTGGTGTTCCAAAATTTAAGATGGTCAAGGAGTTGACACTTTATTCCAGAGCTTCAAGCACATGCGAGCTCGTGTTTGTTGAGGGGCATCATGTTGTGTCACGGCATAAATAGTTTGATAATAACTACGTGAAGCTACGAACAAATAAATCATCTAACACTATTTATTCGATAAGAATGTCTTGTTATTCGACTATGCTCTAGGCTCGCATAGTTTGATTTTTTTTTATCTATTATCCAAGAAAAAATCAGATATTGTTGGCTTTTTTGCTTCGCTTGTCGCTTAGAGAGTGCAATAATTTTTGTCTCAACCTTTAGCCTAATCGACCTTTTGAGATTACCAAGAAAGTAACGGCAACGATGGAGCATGAAGATATCAAATATTAAGACTAAGAAGACGGCAAAGCCGCTTGCGATGACATTTACCATTCGTTAAACAAAACATTTTTCCAAATTTGAGATCTTAATGCCCCATCCTTAATTCATGCCTCTTTGCAACTTCTTGCTAACTCACAAAAATTTCGTCTAAATCTAATCAAAGTAAAGTCCATATAATTCTCTTGTTCTGTCCCAAAGAATATCTTTTTCCGAACCTTCTGAAAATTGGGTTTTTGGTTTGGTTTGGTTCGGTTCGGGTTAAAGAACCAAAACTAAATACAAATCGATCGGTTCGGTTTGGTATAAGACTTTAACTAAACCGAATAATTCCTAATCTGGTTTAGGTCCTTCTTCTTCTTCAACATCACTCGACCGTCTGTAGTACTCATTTCGATTTTAGTTCGTCGATACTTGAGAGTTGCAGTGCCTGAGGATATCTGCGAGGAGAAATCTCCAAAGCGAATTGAGGTATCAATGAATTTTATAGAGTTTTCCATGGAATGTGATTTGATAAAAAGGCATATTACGCAGGAAATGGTTCATCTTTTCTTAGCTAATCGGCTCCTTAGCTCTGTGTGTGAAAAACCGAATTAGTTAAATTGAAGATTGACTCATTAGCAAAGCTCGAAGCAATTTTCTGGGTCTTAAAATCAAAAGCATAAGAAATTGGTGCTGAAGTGTATATCTCTCTAAATTCAATTTCTTTTTTACAAAATAAATTCGAGGACTTTTATGTTCCCTTCTTGTTTGCTCTGTGTGGCTTTTGTCTTCGTCTAATAACTAAAATCGTTTGGTTGTGTCCAGATGGGTTTCTTTGTTAATTTGGCCAGAATCGGAAAAAGAAAGGTCAAATCCAAGTTTCGTCGACGAAGACGACGATCCGTTGGTGTTTGTAAAGATATGAGCAGAATCAGTAACTTGTCTGAGGAACTGCTGATTAAGATTCTATCGTTTCTTCCGACTAAAGTTGCTGTGTCCACAAGCATCTTGTCGAAACAATGGCAGTTTCTTTGGATGTGGTTGCCTAAGCTCGAGTACAACCTGTACAGGACTAGATATGTTTCAGAGCCTCCACTTAAGAAATTTATCGACAAGAATCTGCCATTACATAGAGCTCCTGTCGTAGAAAGCTTGCGTCTTAGTATAAGTGATAAACTCATTATACCTGAAGATATCAGACGGTGGATTGAAATTGCAGTTTCTCGCCATGTACGTGAGCTGGAAATTTCTTATTATTCGGAGAATCAAAACATATTTCCGAGCAGCTTTTATACCTGTGAATCGCTGGTGATCTTGAAACTCGAGTACATGGCTCTCATGGATGTTGTTCCCTCAATGGTTTGTCTTCCCTCTCTGAAAACTTTGAAACTCAGATACGCCACTCTCATCGATGTTCCCTCAACGGTTTGCCTTCCTTCTCTGAAAACTTTGGAACTTGAAAGTGTTAAACACAAAAGTAATGAATCTCTCCAACGGCTTCTATCTATATGTCCTGTCCTTGAAGAACTATTGGTGGATTTTTGTACTGAACACGTTGTGGGAGAGTTCATTCTGGAAAAGTTCAGTATTATCGTCCCGTCTTTGCAGAGATTATCACTCTTTATAGATGATGATGCTTACTATTTAGATAGGTATGTGATAGATACTCCTTCTTTGGTGTATTTCAAACTTGAGGATTGGAATGATTTGGGACACGACTGTGAGATTAAGAACATGCCTAACCTGAGGGAAGCGTATGTCTATGTTGCATTCTTTCGTCTCAAGAGTGTTGTTAAATCAATCACATCTGTCAAGTGTCTTACAATATGTTCAGAGGTAATTTAGTTTTTAATTTATCATATTGCAAGTCTTTCAGTCTCGTTGTTAATAATTTTAATATCGCTTTGAATGAACAATGGATTCAGATCCTGAAAGAAGGAGGACAGGATGGGTATGGTGGTGGTTTTGTTTTCAACGAGCTTGAACATCTCAAGATATGTTTGTGCAAAAAGTATTCGTCGAATGTTCTTGCACAGTTTCTCAAAGATTCTCCTAACTTACGAGTACTAGAAATCTCGCACATGAACGTAAGTTTCTTTTTTTTTTTTTAAATTAAATGTGCAGTATAGTCCATATCTAATTCTTCTGCTTGTTCTTAGCGTCATGGGTTTGATGAGCTTAATCGCATGGTTTGCGGGAACCAACCGAGTCATGTTCCTGAATGCTTGTTGTCGAGTCTTCAAACTTTCACATGGTCAAGATACTTTGGGAGACGGCAAGATCGAGAAATTGCGGTTTACTTGTTGAAAAACGCTCGTCGTTTAGAGACGGCGACAATCTTGGCTGATACATGGGAACATAATGTTCCAAACCTTAGGATGGTCAAGGAGTTGACACTTTCTTCCCGAGCTTCAAGCAGATGCGAGCTCGTGTTTCTTGAGGGGCATGACGTTGTGGCAGACGAGTCTTTGACAGAAGACTCTTCAGAATAAATAGTTTGATAATAGCTACGAACAGAGAAATCATGCAACACTTATGTATTCGATAAGAATGTCTTGTTGTTCGACCATGCTCTGTGCTCTTGCCTCGTATAGTTTGTCTTTAATCCAAGAAAAATCAGATATTGTTGGCCTTTTAGCTACGCTTGTCGTTTAGAGAGTGCAACAATTTTTGTCTCAACCTTTAGCCAAATCGACCTTTTGAGATGATCAAGAACGTAACGGCAACGATGGGGATGGGGCATGAAGATATCGAAGACTAAGAAGACGGCAAAGCGACTTGCGATGACATTTAGTATTCGTTAAACAAACATTTTGGAGAACAAAATGGCATGTTTTGATCCATGGAAACTACTTTGTGTGGACAACGGTAGTTTGGACTACTTGTTTTTGTTTTTCCATTGATTTACATAAACAAAACATTTGTGACAAATGAAGTGGCAAACAACAATAAGGGATCTCCCTACTATTTAGCAAAAAATAAATAAAAGAACAAAAAAAAAACATTTTAAGAATAGAGATGAGAACAACAGGTCTTCCTGCATGCCACTGTGACCTCATCAACACTCCATCGCCGAAAGGAACCTCTTGTCTTCAAGGTTCACCAAAAACTCCATAATCCCCTTTCTGCTAGCTTCCTCCTCAAGCAAATGGACTTTTGGTAACTTGTTCTATAGCATTTCTTGCTAAGGCTACTGAACGAGCAATCCGAGACAGAACAAGTAGAAGTATAATAAGAGAGATAACGCCTAACAAAATATTTGGTTTAATTTGGGTTCATGATTCGATTAGACTCATAAACATAATATATGATAGAAAAGTAGAAAACTAACCACAACATGCATATGCATGCAGTATAATATTAAAACAAAGCTAGAGTACGTAGGGTTTAGTAAAAAGAGTATACATATAGATCATGAGTCAAATACAAGTTGGCATGTGGTTGAAGCTCGGGGACAAAGTGCCAACTCCTTTAGCATGTCATCTCTCGAAACAAAACATGCTTCAGACAATATCTTTACCGTCTTTAAGCAACGAGCGTTTTTCAAGATATAAATCGCAATGTCTCTTTCTTGTGGTCTTCCTAAGTACCCCGACCAGTTGAAAGTTTCAAGACTCGACAACAGACATTCAGGAACAGTAGTTGGTTGATTCCAGCCATCCATACGTCTAGGGACATGATCCTGAGATCAAGTAGAAGAATTAGATTGAGAGAACCATAAACAAGCATAAGCATTAGAAAACATAAATAAGATAGTTTATGGAATATATAAACTTACTTCCATTTCGAAGAGGTCTAGTACTCGTAAATTAGGAGAATCCTTGAGCAACTGGACGAGGACATTTGACGAAGACTTTGGGCATACACATAGCTTGAGATGTTCAAGCTGGTTGAAGACAAAACCATCACCATACAGAGGCTGAACATAATATTAAAAACCATTAGCAAATTCTCTAAATGAGACTAATTAATGACTTCCAAGTAGATAAAAAGAAAAAGAAAAAAACTAATTACCTCTGAACAATCGCTTAGGCATAATGTAAGCTTCTTGACATTTGTGATTGATCCGATAAGCCTCTTGATATAAGGAAAGAGAACTTCTACGGATGCCTCCCTCAGCTTAGGCATATTCTCAATCAAACAGCGGTGACTCTTATCACTATAATACTCAAGCTTCAAGTACTCCAAAGAAGGAGTATTTATCACAAACTCATCCAACACACAAATCATATCAATTGTTAAACGTAGCAAAGAGGGAACGATAACACTGAGATTTCTCATAGGTCTTGTACTATTGGGTTCTTCTACCGATAGATCATTAAGAACAGGACAATTAGACAGAAGCCGTTGAAGAGAACCTTTATTGACGTATGTCACTCTATGAAGTCGCAATTTTTTGAGACAAGGAAGACAAACCATACGAGGAACATCCAAGAGAATCGGTCCATTGAGTCTCAAGGTCACGAGCAATTTGCAAGTATACAAGCTACTCGGCAATACGTTAAGCTCCTTCAAAGGATAAGAATAAGAAACCTCCAGCTCACGTATGCAGCGAGAAACTACAGTTAAAAGCCAAAGTTTGATATCTTCAGGTTTTAAATGAGGATGACGAAACTGGATACGGAAGCTTTCAAGAACCGGAGCTCTATGTAATGGCAGATTTCTGTCAAGAAAACACCGTAACCGCTCGCATTCAGACTCTGAGTAATATTTACTATTGTACTCAAGTTTAGGCAACCACATCCAAATAAACTCCCATTGTTTCGACAAGAGGCTAGTGGATACAGCAACTTTTGTTGGAAGATACGATAATATCTTAATCAGCAACTCCTCAGACAATCCACTGATTATATCCATATTGTATAAATTCAAGATATATATTGCTACCGTCGAATGTAGAAAGACAGTACAAGACCAAGAGCACAGAGAGTCGAACTATGTTTCTTTACTCTCACGGTTTCTTCTAACTCTCTTCGTCTCTTTCTGTTCTGTGCTAGGTCTTCTGCCTCGACATCTTGTTCCTCAAGTAACAACACAGCCTTAGCCGACTTGTACAAGTCAGGGTTTCCTTTTTTTATTTCTACTTGGACTTTGGCGTGGCCCAAATAATGAGAGAACAAGCCAGGCCCATTTGAAGTCTCTGATGAAGCCAACACAGAGAATGTTGAAAGCTGAAACGGGACAAAACCTGTGAAGTTCAGTGCAGGAATCAGAAGATATATCTTTCTCTTGCTTCTTGAAATCGTCCATACACAATATAACATTTCTAAGACTACCTTAACTTGCAATCAGAACAAAGTAAGGACGATCATGTTAAAGGTTGAGATAAAGATTGTTGCAGTCTCTAAGGGACAAGCGTAGCTCAAGTCAAGTCAACAATAAAAACTAGAATTTTGTCAACAAAAAAAGCTTTCAGAGATGGAAGACAATACGAGCCAAGAGCACAGAGCATAGTCGAACAACAACAAGACATTCTTATTGAATACATAGTTCTAGATTTCTTGCTAGTAGCTTCACGTAGTTATCAAACTATTTCGTCGTCCGAAGACTCTTCTGTGGAAGACTCATCTAACACAACATGATGCCACTCAACAAACACAAGCTCGCATGTGCTTGAAGCCCGGGAAGAAAGTGTCAACTCCTTGATCATGCTAAGGTTTGAAACACCATGTTTCTTTGTATCAGCCAAGATTGTTACCGTCTTTAAGCGGCAAGCGTTTTTCAAGATGTAAACCGCAATGTCTCTATCTTGTGGCCTCCCAAAGTATTGTGACCATTTGAAAAACTGTAGACTCGACAACAAGCATTTAGGAACATGACTTGGTTGATTCCAGGGAACCATATCATTACACCCATGAACCTGAGAAGAAGAAGCAGAAGAGTCAGCAAAAAAAAAAAAAAAAAACACCTTAGACCAACAAAAAGAAGTTTGAAACTTACTTTGAAGTAAGAGATGTCTAGTACTCGTAAGTTAGGAGAATCATGGAGCAACCGGGTAAGGAGAATTGACGAATTCTTGTGGCACCCACATATCTTCAGATGTTCAAGCTCCTTGAAAACAAAACCATCATCATAAACAACATCCTGCCACATTGTTTAACCAAAAAGGATTCCACAAATGAGATACAAGACTTGTAATATGATGACTAACAAATGAGACTGATGAAGTCTTTTCAATATGGTAAATGAAAACTAATTACCTCTGAACATATAGTAAGACGCTTGACAGATGTGATTGATTTAACAACACTCTTGAGATTATAGAATAAAACATCAAGATATGCTTCCCTCAACATAGGCATATTCTTAATCTCGATGTTTCCCGAATAATTCACAAGTTTGAAATACTTTAAAGAAGGAGTATCTATCATATACCCATCTACATGATATATAAGGAGTGATAAACTCTGCAAAGACGGGACGATGATAGTGAACTCTTTCAGACTCTGGTCACAAAGACAATCCACCGATAGGTCTTCAAGAACCGGACAACTAGATAACAGCTTTTGAAGAGAATCTTTACCTTGGTATCTAACATTGTCAAGTTGCAGAGTTTTCAGAGAGGGAAGGGACACCATTGAAGGAACATCCATGAGATTCACGAATACGAGTATCAAAGTTTTCAAAGAGGGAAGAGAAACCATTGAGGGAACAACATCCATGAAAATCAGGCCTCTGAGCTCCAAGATCACGAGCGATTTGCAGGTATAAAAGCTGCTCGGAAATATGTTTCCACCATTTGAAAGATGATAATAAATTTCCAGCTCACGTACACTGCGAGAAACTGCAATCTCAACCCACAGGTTTAGATCTTCAGGTTTAACGTGGTTGGCACTAAACTTACCGAAATAGAGAGTCAAGCTTTCTATGACAGGAGCTCTATGTAATGGCAGATTCTTGTCAATAAACTCCTTAATTCCAGGTTCTTCTTCTTCTTCATCATATCCACTATCGTACTCAAGTTTAGGAACCCACATCCAAAGAAACTCCCATTGTTTTGACAAGATGCTTGTGGACACAGCAGCTTTTGATGGAAGAAACGATAAGATCTTAAGCAGCAAATCATCTGGTAACGCAGTGATTGTGACCATAACTTCGATTTTAACTCCCTCAATAAACAACGAAAAAAATAAACTTGTTCAAGACTCAAAAGGGTTTGTCTTTTCTTAAGAAGAAGAGACAAATTGGAAATTTAGGGTTTACTCAAGTCTTAGTTCAGAAAAAGAATTCCTAGGTTGTTTTTTTTTTTTGCACATTTCCCAACTGTTTACAATTTTTTTTACAAAGTTTGGTAAAAACATTATTTGTGAGAGAATGCTAATTTTTTGTCAACTCGCTAGTCGATATATATTCATCTGATTTGTTTAACTTCTTGAAATAATCCATACACAATATACTCGAAGACTTCTTTAAGGTTGAGATAAAGATTGTCGCAGTCACTAAGGGAAAAGCGTAGCTCAAGTCAATAGATAAGTTTTCATAGATGGAAAACAATACGAGGCAAGAGCACAGAGCATAGTCGGATAACAGCAAGACATTCTTATTGAATACATAGTTCTAGATTTCTTGTTTCACACTACTCATCTGACACAACATGATGCCACTCAGCGAACACAAGCTCGCATGTGCTTGAAGCTCGGGAAGAAAGTGTCAACTCCTTGATCATGCAAAGGTTTGAAACATAAAGTTCCCTTGTATCAGCCAAGATTGTTACCTTCTCTAAGCGACAAGCGTTTTTCAACATGTAAACCGCAATGTCTCTCTCCTGTGGTCTCCCAGAGTATTGTGACCATTTGAAAAATTGTAGACTCGACAACAAGCATTCAGGAACATGGCTCGGTTGATTCCAAGGATCCAGATTATCACACTCATTATCCTCATGACCCTGAGAACAAGCAGACGAATTAGATAAGGACCATACTCCACATGAGATTTTTTATAAAAAAAAAGTTTATCAAAGAAACTTACTTCCATGTACAAGATTTCTAACACTCGTAAGTTAGGAGAATCTCTGAGCAACTGGGCAAGGAGATTCAAAGAATTCTTTTGGCACACACATATCTTAAGATGTTCAAGCTCGTTGAGTACAAAACCATCACCATAAACATTATCCTGCCAGATTATTAACAACAATGAGACTGAAGACTTGTTTAAGATGTATGAATGCATTCAATGAATCTAATTACCTCTAAACATATAGTAAGACGCTTGGTAGATGTGATAGGTCCAACAACACACTTGAAAGATGTGATTGATCCAGCATCAACATATGCTTCCCTCAGGTTAGGCATATTCTTAATCTCACAGTAGCTCTCTGAATCAATCCCATCCTCAAGTTTGAAATACTTCAAAGAAGGAGTGTCTATCTCATACCTTATCAAATGCCAAATATCAGCTGCTATAAAGAGTGATAATATCTGCAAAGACGGAACAATAATACTGAACACTGGCACAGTGGCCTCATTACCAAAATGCACCGACAGTTCTTCAAGAACAGGACATATAGATAGAAGCCGTTGAAGAGATTCATTATATACGTATGTCACACTTTCAAGTTGCAATGTTTTCAGACAAGGAAGACAAACCATAGTTGGAACATCCATGAGAGTCACGTACTTGAGTTTCAAGATCACGAGCGATTCACGTGTAAAAGCAGCTCGGAAATATGTTTTGATACTCCGCATTATAGTGAATTTCCAGCTCATGTACACAGCGAGAAACTGCAGTTTCAATCCACCGTTCGATATCTTCAGGTTTGATATGTTCATTACCTAAACGGAGACGCAAGCTTTCTATGACAGGAGCTCTATGTAACGGCAGATTCTTGTTGATAAATTCCCGAAGACCAGACTCTGAATGATATCCACTATTGTAATCAAGTTTAGGAACCCACATCCAAAGAAACTTCCATTGTCTCGACAAGATGCTTGTGGAGGCAGCAACTTTTGTCGGAAGAAAAGATAAGATCTTAATCAGCAAATCATCCGGCAATCCACTGATTGTGGCCATAACTTGGATTTCAATTTCCTGAAGAAATAAACATGAAAAAACACTGTTGAAGACTAACAAGGGTTCGTCTTTTCTTGAAGCCAGCTAACAGATGAATAAAAAAGCCACACAGAGCAACAAGGGAACATAAAAGCCCTAAAAGTGATGTATATAAAAAGAACAAGGAGAGACAGATTACGAATTTTTAGGGTTTAGCTTAAGTCTAAAGCAAACCGATCGGTTTGTATTTAGTTTTGATTGTTAACTCGAACCAAACCAAAAATCTAACTCTCTATAAAACGGTTTGTAAAAATATCGTTTGGGAGAGAATGCAAATTGCTAAATAGTACTAGTAAATAAATACCCTTTAAGATTTTAGCTTGTTTGACAAGTAAGAGATTCCGTACACAATGTATAACATCTCTAAGACTACTTAACGAGCAATCTGTGACAGAACAAACTAACAAAGCTAGAGTTTAGTGATTTCGATTAAGACTGAATTATCTTAAGGTTCTTATTCATACACATAACATTGTATCTCCATTCTCCAAGTAACAAAATCTAGAGTAGGATAGTAAAAAGAAGTATAGATCCTCAATCAAACAGGAGCTCGCAAGTGGTTGAAGCTCGGGAAGAAAATTTCAACTCCTTTATCATGTCAAGTTTCGGAACCAAACTTGGTTGAGCCAAGATTGTTGCCGTCTTTAAGCAACGAGCGTTTTTCAATATGTAAACCGCAATATCTCTATCCTGTCGTTTCCCAGTGTATCCTGACCATTTGAAAATTTGTAGACTCGACAACAAGCATTCAGGAACAGAAATCGGTTGCTTCCAGCGAACCAACTGATTATGCTTACTCAACCCATGATCCTGAGACACCAAGAAAGGTAATTAGATAAGAGACCATACAATGATACATATAAGTTTTTTTTTTTTTTTTATCAAAGAAACTTACATCCAAGTAAGAGATGTCTAGTACTCGTAAGATAGGAACATCATTGAGCAACTGGGTAAGGAGATTCGACCAATGCTTTTTGCTAACACATAGATTCAGATGTTCAAGCTCCTTGAAAACAAAACCATCACCATAATCAGCATCATCATCATTCTCCTCATTAAGATTCTGGATAATGGAAAATGATTAACCAAAAAAGATCCCACAAATGAGACTGAAGACTTGCAAACATTGATGAATGAAAAAAAAAACTAATTACCTCTGAACATAATGTAAGACGCTTGACGGATGTGATTGATCCAACAACACTCTTGAGACTAGCGGATACAACATCGACATATGCTTCCTTCAGTATAGGCATGTTCTTAATCTCACAGTCGTGTCCCGAATCATTCCGGTCCTTAAGTTTGAAATATTTCAAACAAGGAGTATTTATCACATACCTATCTAAATCCTGATAATCATCATCTATAGAGAGTGATAACCTCTGCAAAGACGGGACGATAATACTGAACTCCTCCATATCGTTGTCGTCATCATCATAAGAATGACAAAGACGCACCGATAGGTCTTCAAGAACAGGGCATATAGATAACAGCCGTTGAAGAGACTCGTCATTCACGTATGTCACACTTTCAAGTTTCAAAGTTTTCAGAGAAGGAAGACACACCATTGAGGGAGGAACATCCATGAGAGTCACGTCTTCGAGTTTCAAAATCACTAGCGACTTGCACGTATAAAAGCTGCTCGGAAATATGTTTCGATTCTCCCAAAAATAAGTGATTTCCAGCTCACGAACATGACGAGAAACTGCAATTTCAATCCACCGTTTGATATATTCAGGTTTAGTTTGATTACAATTTAACTTGAAACGCAAGCTTTCTATGACCGGAGCTCTATGTAACGGCAGATTCTTGTCAATAAATTCCCTAAGTGTAGGCTTTGAGTAAATAGTAATGTACTCGATTTTAGGCAACCACATCCAAAGCAACTTCCATTGTTTCGACAAGATGCTTGTTGAGACAGCAACTTTTGTTGGAAGATACGATAGTATCTTAATCAGCAATTCATCAGGCAAGCCACCGATTCTGCTCATATCTTTACAAACACGAACGGATCGCCGTCTTCGTCGACGAAACTTGGATTTGCCCTTTCTTTTTCCGATCCTGGCAAAATTAACAAAGAAAACCATCTGGACAACCAAACGATTTAGTGTTCACAGATGAAAACACAAAAGCCACACAGAGCAACAAGAAGATATTTTTTTTATAAAAGGAAACTGAATTTCTCTTTGGAGCTTTCTCGTAGATATCCTCAGGCACTGCTGCAACTCAAGTATCGACGAATCAAAATCGAAAGGAGAGAGCGAGGAAGAAGAAGGAGAAACTTAGGGTTTACTTAAAGTCTTAAACCAAACCGATCGGTTTGTGTTTGGTTTAGGTTGTTAATTAACCCAAACCAAACCAAAATCCAATTTTTTCTTGATTTTTTTAATGTATTCAGAACTATCAAAACGCACCGTTTCGGTATGTTGACTATGTTCATAATAACAACACGATACATTGCGAGGCATTGGATATTTGGCTTACGCTGATGAATAAAATAACATTCCTTTCGAATCTCACAGATCTAATTAATAAAGTTTTATTTTCATCTAAACTATAAGGGAAGAGGACTATGTTTCATTTTCCAAGTATGTGCAACAATGGCAGCAATCATCGTTGACTTTCAAAACTGTTTCATCTTCTCCATCCTCATATCTCTCTTTTCACTCCTTTTCTACCGTATCCTTGTCAAGAAACAAAACCCCTCTGGCTATGATTTGCCTCGGAGCCCACCGGCTCTGCCCTTGATCGGCCATCTTCATCTTCTCCTCTCTACGAAACCCCACAAGTCTATTCAGAAACTCTTCACCAAGTACGGACCGTTACTCCATCTCCGCGTCTTTAACATCCCATTTATCATAGTCTCTTCAGCTTCAGTGGCCAACGACATGTGCAAGACGCACGACGTGAGTCTCTCGTCTCATGGAACTCTGGGAATCGACGAGTCACTCTTGTTTGGATCTTCAAGCTTCCTCATGGCTCCCTATGGAGCTTACTGGAAACTCCTGAAGAAGATCGCCGTCACGACCATGACCGGACCGCAGGCGCTTGAGCGGTCACGAGGCGTTCGTGCTAAAGAGATTGCTAGGTTTTACTCAACATTACTCCATAAGGCGAAAAACAACGAGAGCGTTGAGATCGAGTTAGAAGCAATGAAGCTCACAAGCAACATCATATGCAGCATGAGCTTGGGGAGGAGGCTTTCCGAGGAGAATGGTGAGGCAGAGAAACTAAGGGGTTTAGTGACAGATACATTTACCTTGATGAAGAAGATAACCTTGACTGTCGTGTTACACAAGCAACTTGAGAAGCTTGGTTTCTCACCTTTCAAGACAAAGATAATGGGTGTCTCCCAAGGGTTCGATGAGCTGCTAGAGAAGATTTTTAAGGAACATGAAGAGAAACCGGATGGTCATCAAGGTTCGGATATGATGGACGCCTTGTGGACAGCTTATCAAGACTCAAACGCAGAGTTTAGGATCACTAGGAAGGAGATCAAGTCGTTTCTAGTGGATATTCTGATTGGTGGGATTGACACAACGGTGGAAGCAATACAGTGGACAATGGCTGAGATTCTTAGCAACCAAAACGTCCTTGAGAGACTGAGAGAAGAAATCGATTATGTTGTAGGGAAAACAAGGTTGATTGAAGAAACTGATGTAACCAACCTCCCTTACTTGCAAGCAGTGGTTAAGGAAGGGCTAAGATTGCATTCTCCGTTTTTTTTCGTGTCAAGAATGTTGCAAGAAGGTTGCAAGATCGGAGGGTTTTATGTACCGGAAGAGACGCCGGTTGTGGTTAATGCTTATGCTGTGATGAGAGATCCAGAGAACTGGGAATGTCCTTGCGAGTTTAAGCCGGAGAGGTTTCTAGCTTCCGGACAAGAAGATGAGAGAAAAGAGCAAGCAATGAAGTTTATTCCTTTTGGATATGGAAGAAGAGCTTGTCCTGCTTCCAATATGGCTCTCACCTCTATAGGTATTGCAATTGGGATAATGGTGCAAGGATTTGATTGGAGAATCCAAGGAGAGAATATTTGTATGGAAGAGGCTTCTGGATTGATGACAATGAAGATGGCTCGTCCCCTTACGTGCACTCCTGTTGCTCGAGGTAAATATCTGAGTACTTGAGACTTCCTCTAGCTGCTTCAAGATGGCAATCAAATATTTAAAAAAAAAAAAAAAAGCAATAAGGAAAGTCTACTTTTCCATTCACATCTGCGGTTCATGTTTGTTGTTTCCATTCACATCTTTGGTTATTTGTTTATTCCCCATGTATTGTCTGAAACCGTACAACGGTGCAACTTTGTTTGTTACATAAAAAACAATGTTTCACGTGGATGGAGTGGGCTCTAAAATCTAAATGCTATAGCAGCTAGAAATTGTTTATCGCATTGATGTGTGTGTAAGTTTTACCCTTACATAATAAACAACTTTATTACCTGCAAATACACAACTATCAGTCATCAGTGTAGTGTTTAGGAATCCAATGAACAAAGACAATAGTGCATAATATTTTTAATGTAAACTATAGCCAAATCGAATAATATGAGAGGCTTGTTGTAACCGACGATGCAGATGACTAAAGCACTGAGCAAAATATAATATGATAGCATTCAGGAAAATCTTAGGTGTTCACATTCACGGGCTAGAGTATTTGGGTTTTACTTTCCTAAAGACAATCATTAATCAACATCATCTTTTCATTCAAATATAGTTAACTCACTCTACTGGCGAAAACTAACTTTATCTATCAATCCTATCAACCAATTTTTCTTGTTCGATAGATACACTATAATATAATATGAATCAACTCTGGCAGTCCATAGATCCTAACCTATCTAATTCAGTTCCACCCAATCAATCAAGTTTTGCTAGTAATGATCTTCCTAACTCAGCTTTAACTGATTCATTAATTCAACGACATGCAATAAAACCAGAATTAGATAAATGATTACTTAAACATATCAAAAGTGCCACTCAAAGTTATAAAACCTTTCCACCAAACCATTAATGATCCTTTTTACAAAACCCACTTTACCAACAATGAAACTACTAAGAAGATAAGAAAGATCAACAGAAAACATTTTATGAATATGCATGGTAGTTCTGTTGATAAACCAAATATCTTTTGTTTTTTGTTTTTTTCTCCTTTTGTTGCCTTGGAACCAGTTAGATAGGTTTTCCAATTTGTTAAGCATTTTTGTAATGCCTAAACCTTTTTATTTTTGTGAATTGAATGTAAAATTTATTCAAACCCAAAAAAAATCGTTGTTTACATCAAGTGCTTCATAGGTCATAGTTTTGAGATTTTTCATACAGAAAAGTTTAAAGATTATCTTCTTCCTTCAAACCAAGTGTGAAGGGCATGGTCCTTGTTGTCTCCAATGCCTAAACCTTTCATTTCAACTTGGGATTTAGGGACTGAGGGGAGAAGATTGGGTTTAGGGATTGTAATACCCATAAACACCAATATTCTAAACCTATAGTGGGCCTACGCAAGGGCCCAATAACATATGGAAGGAACATACTCTTACTTAAATCACCAGAGGTGACGAAGGTTGTTGAAATGAGCTCTCAAATCCCTCAAGACTATCTCATGTTTGTCCCTCTCTGTTTTTTACGTGGTGAATTGTTGGAGATCAAGCACTGAGTTAGGCTTCAAGTTCATAATCTCTTAAAGTTGTTTTCGTTGTTATTTAGAAATCTCATGTAAAGTCTGGCTAATTGAAGAACTTGTAAGATCAATCTATGTACCCCTCCCTAACCGGCTTTAAAATGTAAGTAAAATCAGTACTAGGCGTAAACATTTTGGCTTTACGGTTTGGTTTATTTGGTTCGTGAAAAGTGTGGACCAAATTTAAACAAAAACAAAGGTGCGGACCAAATCGGAGTTACAAATTTCGTAAGTACAAATGATCTAATTTTAAATAAGTTTGACAGTCAAAGTAAAGACGCACCGTTTTGGTAAGTTGACTACGAATCTACGATACGCTGCGTAGCATTGGATTTGTTATCTCTTACTCTCTTTAGGCGGATGAATAAAATAGCATTCCTTTTGAATCTCACAGATCTATCGCCATTTTTTTGTTTGCTTCCTCCACTCCTTGCTTCTGCAAAAACTCGCGTTGAGTAGGTAAATTAAAACTCTGTGAATCTTGGGAAGCAATTCAATCTCTTGTTTCTCTCTTCTCGTAATCTTCGTAGCTTAATGAAATTGTTGAATTAAGCAGTGGAGAATTTCAGATTTGTTGTTTTGGAATCCTTCGCGTCGTTTCATCTTTCCTTTTCCAATTTTTCGAAATTTTAGCTATTTTTCTCTGCTTGGGTACGGGTATATGCTTTACGTATAGAATTGAGTAGATTAAGCGCTGGTCACTATTGTTTTTGTAAAATTTCGAACCCTAGTTTCTGCACAAATTTGCTGGAAGTTGATGGAGATTTAGGGTTTAAGGTTTAATTTAATATTGGTTTAAGGTTTCGGAGTTTCTTTAGGGCTGTTAAACCCTATTTTTTTGCAGATTGGCTTAGTTATTGTGGCTTTAAGTTTTGTTGTTCCGCCCAGTTTTCTGGATTTCATTTGGTTTTGTTGGATTGAGAATTGATTTCCTGTTTATTAAAATATGCATTATTCAAATTTGTTGATTCTTTGCTGATTCTGTGCCTAAGGATCTAAATCTTCTGTGCTTGGATTTGAATATTTATTAATGGCAGATTACATTTATCAATGTTGAATTTTGTTGATTCTTTAGTTGAGGATCTAAATCTTCTGTGCTTTGTTCTGGATATCTATTTTTTGTTGGTAGTGAAATAGTGTTTGTATATGTTGTATTCAATCTTAATGCGTATTTCGCTATCGCATTGACACTGTTTTTTCTTGTGACAGGGTATTTTAATGGACGTTTAGTGAAATTGTTTAAGGGTATAAAGCTAACAATTTTGCTTAGAAAATGGAAGCCGAGGATGTGCTTGACCTACCAGCTTCAAGCAATTCTGGTTTGGAAGTACAGAAAGAAGGCCTTGAATCTGGGAAAGGGTCACCTGAGGCTAATCATTTAGCTGGTAATGAGGAGAACATGATAAGAAATTTAGATATGGAGAAAGATTTGGATCTAGGGGATATAGTCACGGAGCAGGTTAGTGACGTTATCAGTGCGAGTGTTGAAAGTGTGGCGGTAGATGAGAAAGTGTGTATCCAAAAGGAGACGCTGATTCACAGCACTACTTTGGATGTTAGCTGTATCCTTCTTTTGCTCTTCTATATTGAAGGTTGCTTGCATTTCTGGAATTGTCTGATCTATTTCTGTAATTGTATGTCTGTGATTATGTTATCTTCTTCTGTTTTTCCATAACTCCTTCATGACAGCTAAATCTGGTGTGAAAAGACCCCGGACCATGTCTGACGAACAGCAGCCTACAGTACATGTTACTTATAAGCACTTAACAAGGTTAGATTAAATAAAGAGTTATAACTCAACTGTATTTAATTTCGAGTTGCATGAATGCTGTTTACTTATGACCATTAAAATTGCAATGCTCAAGTATTGCTGTTGTTATGTGGTTCCTTGCTTTACCATTCTCTATGGATTGCATATTTCAGAGCAAGTAAGAAGAAGCTGGAAAGTTTGTTACAGCAATGGTCAGAATGGGAGGCGGAATGTACTTCACTGGCTCAGGTATCTCTGAATGGAGAAGGTCATTTTACTCTCTTCTATTTTAAGCCATTGTAATAGTGAATGCTGTCTGTTTTCATCATTTGATCGTTTAAGCTTAGTGGTTAAGAGAATCCTTAAGCGAGAAGTGTGCCAAAATATGATACTATATTGGACCATTTTAAAGTATCACCATGCATGCTATCCTCGTATTTGCTAGCCTTTCGCCATATTAGTGTTTAGGAACCAATTGTTTTGTGCATGCTAAACAGAACGAGCATTTACTAAGGCATGTTTATCACAGTCCCTAATACTGAAACTTTCTTCTAGTCTTTCGGCAATTCAGCTACAATATTTCAGTTTATATGATTAGATTTCATCGGTCACATGGGGTACCTGTTTGTTGGCTTGGTTTTATTTGAATAGATTTTTCTTGGTTTGTATAAAAATTTAAGGTAGAATCTTTTCATTGTGTATATTCTCAGGATCAAGAACAACCTTTAGAATCTGGTGAGGAGACTTATTTTCCAGCCTTACGTGTTGGATTGCAGAAGACTTCGTCTGTGGTGAGTGATAATGATGTCCACGCTAATTAAATTTCTAAGTCTTAATATCGATAATCTTTTTTGACATGTCAACTGGTGCATACTTGCATATGCAGTCATTCTGGATCGACAACCAAACTGGTCCTAAGCCGTTGGAAGAGTTTGTTCTAGTGGAAAGTAGCACCACTCCTCTTTATGACCGTAAATTCTCAATCGGTTTGAATTCAGCAGATGGATCAAACAACTTGGAAGGGTAAATTGATTCTAGAGCTTTAAATGAATCTGTTTATAGTATGTTGATGAAAAACTAAACAGTGAATGTGGTGATGGTCTTTCAACTGGTGCATTCTTGTAACACTTCCATGTTTATTTATTGTTTCCAGAGGGTTAGAGATTGTTGATGATCCTCCACGATGCTTCAACTGTGGCGGTTATAGTCATTCATTGAGAGAATGTCCAAAGCCTTTTGATCGATCAGCGGTTAATAGTGCTCGGAAACTTCAGAAATCCAAACGAAATCAGAATAGTGGACCTCGTCTTCCATCACGATACTATCAAACACCTCAAACCGGAAAGTATGATGGCTTGAAACCCGGTACACTTGATGCAGAGACACGCCAGCTTCTGAATCTTGGGGTAGCTTTGAAAACCTTTCTCTCTGTGTATACTTGAGTCCACATTTCTTATATCTGAGAGAAGTGAAGAGTATTCTAATTAGTTTCCTTTCCTCTTGTGAAGGAACTAGACCCTCCTCCATGGCTTAACAGAATGCGAGAGATCGGATATCCTCCTGGATACTTAGGTAAGCTTTTCTGCTCTGTTGTAATATCGTTCATGTATGTGCAAAAAGGTTGATTTCTCTGTTATGGTGTCTGCTTCTCTCTGTGCTATGTCTCTAGCTCGAGAAGATGATCATTTGTCTGGAATCACTATATTTGGAGAAGAGAAGGAGGAGACTCTGGAGGAGATGGAGAGTGAGGACGGAGAAATCTTGGAGAAGGCAAGCCCTCCAGAGCCACAAATGAAGATGACGGTCGAGTTCCCGGGAGTAAACGCTCCGTTACCGGAAAACGCAGATGAGTGGGTTTGGGAAGCTGATCCTTCGTATAGGACCAGCAGAAGCAACAGCCGGTGGCAGCAAAGAAATAGCAGAGGACATGATTACAGAGACGATGGTCCGCTTGGTGTTGAATCGTCTAGTTATCCTCCAAGGTATGGCAGTAGAAATGATTATAGATCAAGATCAAGAAGTCCAGGCATGGAAAGATCGCTAGCAGAGAGAAGTAAGAGGGATTATACTTCTTATGATCCTGATTTTAGGGACAGAGACAGAAACAGAGATAGGAACAGAGACTGGGATAGGGATAGGGACAGAGACAGAGGTAGGGACCGAGACTGGGACCGGGACAGGGACTTGGACAGGGATGATCGTGACTGGTCTTATAGATTAAGCAGCAGAAGATGAGGGTTCCATTTTCTACATCTCTTTCCTTCTCTTAGTTGGTTTTGTTGTTGTTTGTAACTTTGTATCATGAAACTTTTTTTTGTTTCTGTTCAGGCTTTAGATTTTATACGTTTGGATTTAGTTTGGGACTAAAGTATCTAATGAAACGTATTACATAAAGTTTATGTTTTATCCAATGTTAGTTATAAAAATTCCAACCAGCAATATGAATTACAAGTCCTTTATGTATTGATAAAGGGTTATAATAGAATTTCTAGAAGTTTTAATCTGAAAAAAAAAAACAAGTCATAGAAGATTGAAAATAATTCCTTGTTTTATTGGATACGAACCAAACTTGGAATATAATCTAAAAACCCATAAAAACCATGACATATCATTTGCAGCTTTATATGCTAGAATGGACCGATACATTATCAAAAAGGATCTCATTATATACTTCCAAAATTGCAAGTTCTTTACCATCGTGAAAGCCATCACAAATAATTTAATACATTTGTTATGTCTTTTCAGTGTGTGTATGACTTAGATTAATAGTATCACGACTTGATACATTTACTACATGCACACTCCACATGTGACACTCTTCCACATGTTATTTGTCAAGTTTAGTGGCGCATCCATTGAAGTTTTCACGATTTTATTTGAATAGTCCTTGAACTGTTGACGTATCTTTTTAATAATGACCTTGATTTAAGGTGATTCTCAGCCCTTGTGATATTGATTTAAGGTGATTCTCAGTCCTCGACGGTGTTGTGTACTTGTGTCGCTTTGGGTTTTAGTATAGCTTGAACTCAAAATGATTTCGAATTCATTGTACAGTAGTTGTGTGTGGATGATGCTAAGAAGGTTGAGATATTGGCTCTCTCCAGATTTAGGAGATGCATACTAGATTATTAGGCTTAATCTCAACACCGTCGTCTCCATTCTTATCGGTTTGGCGAACTCTCTTGAATTTTGAGATTTTACAAAAGTGTAAATGTAGTTATTGTTGCTAGCATTTTACCAAAGTAGGGTTTTCTTGGGTTTGATTTCTCCTTTTTTTTTTGTCTGCAGGTTTCAGTCATGGTGGCCGTGAACTTGCGTAGCCTTAGGGTACCCAAGAGACACTCGAGTGTACTCTTAATGGGGCATAAAGGTTGTGTCAATTGTTTATATAATGGTTGACTGAAAATGGAAATGGTTAGTGATACTGTGATACTAGTTGTGTGGCTTTGCAGGGGCTGGAAAATCTAAATTCGTGAGACAAATTCTTACCCTTACTGGCGAGATGGATGAGCGGATCGAGGTATTGCATTGCATTGTCTGACTTTTCTTGCCTATGTTCGTTTGTGGTTTGTATGTTCGTTTGTTTAACTGGATTGGGATGCTGACATGATAAGGATAAAATTGAGCTTCGAGAGACCACATTAGCTTTTAAAAGCAGTAACTACAAGCTTCTGGATGCTTCGGTAAGTTGTGATATTAATACCAAAAAAAAACATTTACAAGACTCATGTCTTTCATGTCAAAGCTGTCCATTATGCATATTCTTGATTTGTTGAATTATATTCTTGTTGCTGCCCATTACAAGCATGTCATTTATATATAAACACAACAAAAATGTATCCAAATATCTATATATTAAACAAACTATTGTTAACACTTCAACGCAGTGCAAAATTTGAGCATGATGGAGTCAAAAGAGGTTTTCTAATAAAAAATGATGAAGTATGTCAAACAACTATATGTGGATAGACACATCAATTTATTGAAGAAATATCAACAAATATCATGAAACATTTCAAGTTTTATGTGTTGGGATAGATAAATGGTGAGATTGTAGGTTTGTATGTGTTGTCATGTTAGTGGAAGGTCTTTTTCTGTTAGACTTTGGATTTTATACATTTATATTCTCTACGTATTAAATAAAGTTTATGTTTTTACCTTCTTACAATGTTAGTTACAAAATATTTCAACCAGAAAAAAATCATCCTATTTATTCCATATAAGAAAAAATGTCATTTTGAAAAAATCATTCCATGCCAAAAACGCTCATGAAAAATCATTCAGTAGTTATTTGAAAAGAATCATTCTACGCCAAAAACATTCATGAAAAATCATCCTACACATGTATTATGAATGGAATACTAATTTTATTCCATTCCATTTTTTAAATTGATTCAGTTGATTACTTATGGAGAAATTTCAAAATTACACATTTCTATATGTCAATTTTCAAAACTACACATTTTTTCATTGTGTAAAAATAACTATAAACCCTAAAATCTAATATTGAAGCCTTAAATCTAAACTCTAAACCCCAAATTCTAAACCCTAGTCAAGAATTAGTGAACCCAAACCCTAAACTTAGGAAAAAATATAGTTTTGAAAATTTACACCTCTCTACCTCTCAAAAATGTATTTCTTAAAATTTTTCTATTTCATTGTTTAAAAGCAGTTACACCCTTGTTGTTAGAAATTTACCTTTCCTAGATCATCGAATTACCTTTTTTGATCTTCCTCTCTTTGATACTGATTAATGGAAAATAATATCATGGGCTTTGAGTTTTATGGTTAAAGGGCCTCGTAGCCCAAGAAAACCCTAACCGCAGTATACCCGTTTATATACAAGACGCCTCCCGAAATCTTATCATCTCAGCGAGAACATCTGCGTGTTGAATTTTGCGTCGTGAATCCTCTGAGAATGAAGGTCTCTTCAATCAGACGAAGCTCGAGCCTACCGGATCTTCGACATCTGAAGGCCCTGCGTTCAAATTCGAGTCTAACGGTTCCCAGAAAAGGCGGATCTCCTTGGCTGACGCTGATCCTAGACGATGGTGGTTGTGTCCTGTACAAGCCAGACGAAGGCAAGATCAAAAGGTGTCCGGGAGACTTTTCAGGGACCCGATTCCTGGCAAGCTACGGTAATTGGTTGCTGATGCTTGATTTGGCGACATCCAGTATGTATATGATAGATGTGTTTAGAGAGAAGAGGATAAATCTTCCGCCTCTAGAGTTTCTGGTGTCATGCACCTCTTCCCTCAGGCGTGTGATAGGTAGTGATAGGGAGTTTATATGGAATTATCCTGATGGCTATCATTGCGAGCTGACCACCAATGACCTTAGAGGACGTTTTTGGGTAGACGACAAGGGTGAAGAGTTTCTCGTAGTGTGGTACTTTGACTGCCCTCCGAGTTATTTGTTCTTCTGCAAGAAAGGGGATCGTGGTCACAGTGTCATCCCTCTGCGTGAAGAAGGAGTCCCCAAGTTGTACAATGGCTTAATTGATCTGGCTCTTTGGGGTTACCGTTTATACATGGTGACAACCCGTCGTTACATTAGAGTCATGGATTTGTCTGGACAGCAAGGTTTCAGAGATGTCACCGAGGATCCTCCACGAGTAATGCGGTCTCCTTTCGGAGCCGAGCGTTGTAGTAATATCGCGGTTACAGGAGCTGGAGAGCTTTTGTTGGTCGACAGCACAGTGCGGAATGTTGAGAATGGAAGACGTTTCGGCCTCTACAAGATGGATCCTGAGGCAGACCCGTATGACACCTACGCCGACCTTCTCGAGGTGGATTCTCTTGGTGACGAGGCCCTGTTTCTCGACTTGGGTATCACCCTCCCTGCTAATCCAAGCCTTGGTATCGAACCCAACTCTATCTATTTCACCCAGCACTATCGTCCTCGTCTCCGTGTCCCTTATAAGCTAGACGTCTGTGTGTACAATCTTGCAACCAAAACCTTCAAACGCTTCCCTTATCTTGATAACTTTCATCTCAAGGATGCGCGATGGTTTCTCCCTGTGGCTTGAAAGGACTTGTTTCTGCGTTATGGGTCTTCTTCAACTTTCACGACCCTTGTCATTGTTTTGTTTATCTGTCTTGCTGCCTTTTCTTCGTTTCTCTTACGGTAGGGGTTTGTAGGATCTTGTTTAAACGAAACATCACATAACAGCTCGTCAAATATATTCTCTTTTCATTAAAGTTGAGCTTTCACAATGTTCGGGGACACATGTTTGGTTCTTGGACGAAATAACAAGATCATTTAATGTACGGTTTTGCTTCAGTTGACTTCAAACCATATCATTTAGCTTATTACGACATATACAATGAGAGAGAACCAATAATGCTTACATATCAACGTTTACACAACAGCTGGAGAGGTTTTGTTTTGTCGAGAGCACAACATTGCCTCTACAAGATGGATCCTGAGGCAGACTCAAATGATTAGAGCCCTGCTGTTCTTGAGGTAGATTCTTGTCATTAGAGCCCTGCTGTTTAGTCTTGCAGTCAACACCCTTAAACGTTTCCCTGCTCTCGCTAACTTGAATCTCAAGGATGCTCAATGGTTTCTCTATATTACTTGATACCAAAGTCTCAAACTCTTTTGCCGTTGTCTTAGTTTTTTTCCGTTTCTATATCTTTGTCATGTCTAGGCCTAGTCTTGTCGCCTTTTCTTCGTTTCCTTTTATGTTTCTGAATGTATAAATTATCACATTTTCTGCCTCTGAAACTCTGGGTGGAAAAGAGGAAAGTTTAAGGAAAACTCTGGATTATTTAAGAAAAAGTTTTAAAAAGAGGACTGTGATCAACATTTAGCTGTTTGATTATTATCTAAATTTGTGCGTGTGTTCAATCTTGCAACCAAAACCCTCAAACGCTTCCCTGATCTTGATAACTTTTGAAATTTTAATTAAACTTACTTAGCTGTTTGATTTTTTATCTAAATTTGATAAGACGTGTTATGAATATTTGAACTTTCACTCATAATAGAAGGTAAATGGTGTCATGAACTGATCTTTTTAAAACTGGATCAGTTCGTTAAAACTGGATCTTGTTTAGCGAATTGATCTTTTTATACCGGACTCATGTTATCATTATTATTATGTGAATTAAAAAATAAGTTTAATTGCACGGGCTAGCCACTTTGTTTTAACTTCACGCAAAGGAACTGAAATGAACAAATTAGCTTATTTTTATATTCAAAAATGCATAAACCAAAATAGGAATAAATTCGAATATTTAAACTATATAATTGTTATAATCATTATCACATAATCTAGGTACTGTTTACATATAAAAGTCATGCATGTCTAGGCTCGGGCTCGGGCTCGGCCTAAAGAAATCAAAGGCCGTGGGTTTAATTAACAGAAGAAAAAGCTATGTATCTATTTTCAAAATTATCGAGCCTTTTATATAAATGTTGAAATAATTAGGTCCTTAAATGCAAACCAAAAAACTCAAAAACAAATTGGGCCCTTGACGGATCCCATATCTTAAAACCGGGCCTAGTAAATTGTAAACCTATTCTGAGTCTTGTCGACAACGTTCCCGCTCGCTCTCTCCGGTCTATAAATCGATATTACATTATGTCGAAACCTCTCTCTCTCTCTCTATCTCACTCTCCGTCCCCAAATGATGCGCGTCGCTTAGGTTTCTTCCGCCCGCTGGGACCGATTTCCTTTTGCAATTCCTGAGAAATTTCAGATTGCAGACACTTATTCGACCATTTCGTGATCTCGTTTCGTTCTGGTAACCATGATTTCCCTTTTATTTTGTGTTTCTGTTCCAATCTACTTTTGTAGCGTAGCCAATACGTTGATCGTCTTCTCCGATTTTTGGCTGATCCAGTTTTCTGGTGGAAATTTTCGGTTTCAGGGAAGCGAAACAGGTTGTTGTAGCTGTAAAGTTCGAAACTTCTTCTCATTGTGAGTCTCTCGATCGAATCCTGGATATCGGCAATTTAGCAGAGATTTTGTTCTGTAGTAGATATCTAGGAACGAATCTTAAAATATAGAAGCCTGATACACGATATTGTTCGTTTCCGATTTGATTTGAGATGCAGCATTTATTGTACGGTCTTTACTTGATCGTTCATAAATTAGATGGAATCTGTTTGATTTGGAGTCTGATGTGGTAAGAAATTTTTGTTCAGGTGAAATCCATTGCTGAATTTGCTGCTAAAGTCTTCGTTTCTCCTTATTCAATCATCAAAATCTCAAGAGCAGGTATAATACTCTTCATGACTTCAGTATACGTTTCTGAGTGTTGGAATTGTAGGGATTATAACTGTGTAATGCGTCTGCGGTTTAGTGGTTTGTGTTCTATTCAAAATGCTTCTCCTAGACTACTTCCAAGTACATTACGAACTTCAAAAGGTTATTGCAGTTTGTAAAATATGGCTTTCTGATATATCTTTGTTGATTTTCCAGAATATGGAGTTTGGATTTGAAGAGACCTTTCCACAACTTGATCTAGTTCCAGAGCCAATTGGGGAGAGTTTACGAGAGATGATCCTCTATTACATTCAGGCTAAACCAAAGAAGGGTAAACTGCCAAAGCTAAGTGGGTATAATGTTTGTAAGGTGGTTGATGAGAAGGGAGAAATCTGCTGCCTCTTCAAAACCTACACTCATGAGAAATATACAAAGCTGGAACCTGCTGTGTATCTTCTTGATCATCCTCCACAAGGACATCGCTCTGTGTTTGCAAGCTGCTTAGGACTCTCAGGGGTTCCTCCAACAATTTTTTTCCGATCCAAAGAGGAAAGCGGCTGTCTGGTCAAGTATGTTGGACATGATTCTGTCGCTGGAGAAGTGAATGATGGACTTCAAACACTGCCTGAGGAGATACAAAAACTCTGCGTGACCCACATCAGGTTTGGTTGCACGGACGCACATGACGGTAACACTTTGGTTAAAAGAGATGAAAAAGGCATAGATCGCCTCATACCTGTCGATCACGAGGAGTCTTTCAACAATGGAGTAAGTTTGTTCTTCTCTCTCTCTCTCTCTGTATATATATGCAGAAATATTTTAAACATTTTAATTTGGACAGTTCAAGCTTGGGACATTGTGGTGGACAGAGGTGGCTGCATCCAAGGAAGCTTTCTCCTCAAAATTGGTTAAATACGTGAGAGATCTAGACGTGGAGAGAGACGTGGCTTTCCTTAAGAAAGCTGGGTGGGAAGTTTCATCAAGCTTCACTAAGCATTTCGACATTTTCACCCACTTTTTGAAGAAAAGTGTGGAGCTTCTACTCAGTCCCTACGAAATTGGAATTCTGGCTCTTGGAGCATTTAAGAGGTTTCCCAACTATAACCTACATGAGATTGTCAACACAGCTGATCGAAGCCATGGAGATAGCATCTTCATTAAAAGTGCCAAGGAGAAGATCGACCAGAGCCTTACCGAGTATGTGTTAAAGGTTCATAACCGCAGGGTTGGTAAGAAACCAAGCAAATGATCGAGCAAAACAGGTAAGTAGAAGTGTAATAATGGTAACCACATTCATTGACTACTATACCGTAAAGATCTATAAGATTTTTAACAGCTTTGAGGTCTGCTTAATTTGTTATTCTACAGCAAGCAAAGAGTGAGGCCGCTACTACTTTTGGAAATGAAGGAGACGTTTTTGAAAGCGGTTTATATTGGTGAAGCTCTGACCAACCAGTCGTAAGTTTCTCTTTTTTTTGGTTCAGATGGAACTTTCTTACATAACCTTTTATGGTTCCCTAGCATATATCTTGGATACAAGACCAAGTACTAGTCGCATAGTTCTCTTGCTTGATTCTGTTTCTTTTTGGGCACACTCTTGTATATGTCCTTACATGTGTTCTTTGCTGGGATTTTAGGATTTGAGATTATAAATAAGTGACAAAAAGTTTGTTAAACCATTGCCTGAGATTTTATTTACGAAGATGCCATTTTCGTAAATAAATTCATTTGATTTAAAAAGTTAAACCAAACATAATTAAAAGAAAAATACTAGAAATAACCAAAAATAATTAAAAATTTAATTAAAAATGTAAACAATATAACTAAATTGATTAAAAATAATTAAAGTAACTCAAATAATATCTAAAATAGTTTAAAAATTAAGAAATAAAATAATTAAAAAACTACAAGATAATAATTAATTAATATTTAAATTAATTGATAAATAAAATAAATTATAATACAAATTAATATTATAAGATAAATAAAAATATAAATCACGAAAATATTAATTAAAATAATTATTCTAAAATATATTTATTAAAATAAATAAAAGTTAAACAAAAAATAATCAATTTAGTGGAAGTCTCTTGGTACCGTAACAGTATATTGAACAATAAAATATGCAATCATAGTGTTATATAAACAAAAGTCTGCCACAATTAGATTAAATCTACCTTCCACATATAATCTTTGATACTATACATAAATTAACCATAACACAAATATAGGTCTCGTCCAATAAATCTACAGTTGAAACTTGAAACAAACAACTTTACAAACCTGTGTATAAATTTACAGTAATATTAAAATTTATCTACCATAACACCAGCATATGTGATCTTGTTCCTCAAATGTACCGTTAAAATTTATCTACCATGACACCAGCATATGTCATCTTGATATTGTGATTCGATTGATATGCTCGTTGATGATGTTTGTTCTAAAGTTAGTATTTGCGTGTGGTATTTAATTTTTTTTTCTGTTCCTTAAAAACAAATTTCTACCCAATTTTTGTTGTTTCAAAAAGTTAAAATAAATATGTTTTTCCATATTTCAGGAAACAATTATTGTGTTTTTTTTTAATTCTTATTGGTTTAAATTTACAGAAAATTGTTAAATTGCATAAATATATATATTTATTGTCAAAAAGTAATTTTTTTTTAATATGTGTGAAAATCCTCGAATTGAATGGAGGAAATAATAGTTTTGAGAATCATGCATGTGTACGTACATGACATTTTTTACATAGTAATTCACTACTCATCCTTACCTTTTTTTTTCCTTTTTAGTGTGCAGGTGTATGGCTTGTGATTCAAGCTAAAGCGTGGAACCATGATCGAAGATAGATGTTACATTTTATATTTTCGGGTGGATTCAGTGCCTTATTTCTCAAGTTAAGAAATGACAACTTATGAATCTGAGATTTCGGTTTTCGGGTTTAGAGATATAGAAACTATTTAGGTTTTTCTAAAATTTCGGTTTGAATTCTGTTTAGGTTTTTTTTTTCGGGTTTAGAGAGAAAAACCATTCGATTTTTTTTATAAAAAAATCGGGTTTAATGGTAAAAGTACCAGGCCTAATATCTTCTGTGTATCAACTGTTCTTATCTACATCTGTTGGATCTTAGATTATTGTAGATAAATTTGGTGAGCGTGACTAGCATGTATCATTTCCAGTATCATTTCTTAATATATGTGAAAATCATAGAATTGAATGAAGGGAATAATAGTTTTGAGAATCATGCATGTGTACGTACATGACATTTTTTACATAGTAATTCACTGCTCATCCTTACCTTTTTTTCCTCTGTGCAGGTGTATGGCTTGTGATTCAAGCTAAAGCGTGAAACAATGATCGAAGATAGATGTTACATTTTATATTTTCGGGTGGATTCAGTGCCTTATTTCTCAGGTTAAGAAATGACAACTTATGAACCTGAGATTTCGGTTTTCGGGTTTAGAGATATAGAAACTATTCAGGTTTTTCTAAAATTTTGGTTTGGATTCTGTTTAGTTTTTTTTTCGGGTTTAGAGAGACAAACCATTCGATTTTTTTTAAAAAAAATCGGGTTTAATGGTAAAAGTACCAGGCCTAATATCTTATGTGTATCAACTGTTCTCATCTATTGGATTTTAAATTATTGTAGATAAATTTGGTTAGCGTGACTAGTAAGTATCATTTCCAGTATCATTTTTTAATATGTGTGAAAATCCTATAATTGAATGGAGGGAATAATAGTTTTGAGAATCATGCATGTGTACGTACATGACATTTTTTACATAGTAATTCACTGTTCATCCTTATCTTTTTTTCCTCTTTAGTGTGCAGGTGTATGGCTTGTGATTCAAGCTAAAGCGTGAAACCATGATCGAAGATAGATGTTACATTTTATATTTTCGGGTGGATTCAGTGCCTTATTTCTCAGGTTAAGAAATGACAACTTATGAACCTGAGATTTCGGTTTTCGGGTTTAGAGATATAGAAACTATTCAGGTTTTTCTAAAATTTTGGTTTGGATTCTGTTTAGTTTTTTTTTCGGGTTTAGAGAGACAAACCATTCAATTTTTTTTAAAAAAAAATCGGGTTTAATGGTAAAAGTACCAGGCCTAATATCTTATGTGTATCAACTGTTCTCATCTATTGGATCTTAGATTATTGTAGATAAATTTGGTTAGCGTGACTAGTAAGTATCATTTCCAGTATCATTTTTTAATATGTGTGAAAATCCTATAATTGAATGGAGGGAATAATAGTTTTGAGAATCATGCATGTGTACGTACATGATATTTTTTACATAGTAATTCACTGTTCATCCTTATCTTTTTTTCCTTTTTAGTGTGCAGGTGTATGGCTTGTGATTCAAGCTAAAACGTGAAACCATGATTGAAGATAGATGTTACATTTTATATTTTCGGGTGGATTCAGTGCCTTATTTCTCAGGTTAAGAAATGACAACTTATGAACCTGAGATTTCGGTTTTCGGGGTTTAGAGATATAGAAACTATTCAGGTTTTTTTTAAATTTCGGTTTGGTTTCTGTTTAGGTTTTTTTTTCAGGTTTAGAGAGAAAAACCATTCGATTTTTTTTTAAATCGTGTTTAATGGTAAAAATACCAGGCCTAATATCTTCTGTGTATCAACTGTTCTCGTCTACATCTGTTGGATTTTAGATTATTGTAGATAAATTTGGTGAGCGTGACTAGCAGGTATCATTTCCAGTATTAATTTATTAGGTGTATTTTGGCTGTCTCCTTGAACCAAAAAAAAAGATTGGCTGCCTAATATTGAGAGATTGTTTCACTGCTAATCTTCCCAAAATATCACACTGACATGCGATTTCCAGCTGCTGGATCTGCTACACATTTTTCTCTACAGAAGTTTCTAAGGTACAAATAACTAAACTTGCGATCTCAAATATTTTAGAATTATTATTATTATTATATATATATATATTTTTTTTTTTATATTTTAGAATAATGATTAATGCTTTCTATTATTCCTCTCTAGATATATTATCTTGACCACAGGGACTTAACCAAAAGTTGTCGAAAGAAGCACCTTCTCCTAAGTTGCGAGAATGGATAGCCATGTAGACTATGTTGTTCCTCGAAACGATATGATTTTCTTTCTTTGAAAGATTAATTGCACTGTTTTTAATTTTTCGTTGGATTGTATTAGGTTGGTTTGTAAGAGCAAAACGCGGCATTACAGTAGACTACATCATAATTTCCTGTAATGCATTGCAATCTTACCCTGGAATACGCATCCTCATTTCTGCATGGCTTTGTGAACTTATAATTGATGTTCTTACGTGCAGCAATTAGGGCTTTATCCATTGGTTTGTTTTGACATTCATGGTGAGGAAAAAGGCAATCGAGCTAATGAAACGTGCGCTTAAGGACATTATTGTCACAGGTAGGCCGTAAATAACATTCTGCTGATTCTGCTTTGTTTATGGTTTGCCTTTATCATTCTTTCTTCGGATTCTGCTACCCATGTAATGTGACTTTTTCTTTCCTAGCACTTTTGATAAAATAATCAAACGACATTGACAAAGCAAAAAATGAAAAAGAAGAAACACAAGAAATTACGTTCTTGCTTGATTAGATCAGTTTCGTTCTTTTATTATGCCTGCTCTAGGGTATTACTGTACCTTGCTGAATTATATGAACCAAACTTGGGACATAGTTGAAAACAGCTCCTTGGCTTGTTTTGCATAAAGATTCTCCAAAAACAAATTTCACCGCAATGTTCTCCAGTAACCCTAATAATGGTCATGATGGTTTTATATGCTCGTACGCGTCCGACATTACAACACACAACCACTTTCATCTCCTCGTGTATGAAGAAACTTATGCGACCTATTCTTAATGGAATCGCTAAAAGGCCTCGGGCGGAGGTGCGAATGTGATGGACCATGTCTTGGAACGTCGGGTCTTTGTCGGTGAGATAGTCTCGGACAAGGCTTTGTAACTCGTAATTACAAACTGCTATGAGTGTATCGTGTCAAGCTTTCATTTTATCTGATTAGGTTTTAGCTATAATCTCTTAACGGCTAGAGGACAAAGGGTCCCCTAAATAAGCACCATCAAAAAAAATATATTTTCCCTTTTGGTTCATCGAGTAAAAGATCATTCCACTCAAGTATCGTAAGATCAATCTCATCTCACTAACCAAATATATTGATCATTTATTTATCTTAATGGATTTAAATGATGATCTCATTCTTGCAAACGAATATTTAATTTCTAGCGGTTTCCAAAGTGAGATGTTAACTATGAAGCCATTAATGTAAGTTTTAGATAGAAAAGTTTTATCGTTTGCATTTTACATGCTTAATATCTAAAAAGTATAAAAAGTATCTAGATGGATACTCCATTATATAAAAAGTATCATCTCATGAAAGGTCGCAACTTCTTCAACAAAAAGGGAAAAAAAGAGATATTTTCTTCTTTGAACCTAGCGATTCTTTTAGACTCATTGAATAAAAAAACTGGTTAGTTTTTTTTCAATTCATTAGACAATGACAAAGCAAAAACAAAACAAAAAAAAAAATGAAAAAGAAGAGAAATTACGTCCTTGCTTTATTAGATCAGTTTCATTCTTTTGTTATTCCCTGATCTAGGTAATGTTGTACCTTGCTCGATCCGAACCAAACTTGGAACATAATCGAAAACAAATCTTTGGCTTGTTTTGCATAAAGATTCTCCAAAATGGATTTCACCACAATGATCTCCAATAACGCTTATCACGCTACGGTGGATGGTTCGACCATGTACACGTCCACGTCCAACATCACAACACACAACCACTTTCATCTCCTCGTCGATGAAGAAACTTACGTACGCTACTCGAAAAACGATGAGCGCTACTCAATTTGGAGACATCTATTGCTAAAAAATTTCTCCACGACAAGACTGTGTTCTCATGATCACTCTTATCAACGCTCGTCACCCATATCTCTAGCTTTAGTGTATCAGATCTCTGATGTAACAGTGAGAGTTGCTCATCTTTAGCAGTTGATAGAGCTATAGTACAAGAATAGTTATTATCCCGCTGAAACGGAAGACACATACGTTCAAGTCTCTCTGTTGAAAAATCAAAACTTAGTAGATCGCCACCCCAAGTAATCCAGTAAGTGTTTCCCTTTAAAGACACGCCATGAGATGGCATGATGGATTTGGCGGTGATTTCAAGAAACCTCCATGTACCAGAGCTAAACTCATAGATTTCAAACTCATAACAATGGGAGGCTAGCTCCCTATTATTGCAATAACGGCGCCTCAAATTGCTATTATTGCCAAACCTCATGGTATTGCGATACCTCAAGATTTTGTAGCTACGGTTGTTACCGTATCCGAGAGCAAACGTAGAGTGTCTTTCGTAAGAAACACCAGGTTTGGAGTAACGATTAGTACTAGGTTCGATGCACTTGGTTTCACCAGTGCAAGGGTTCCAAACCACGAGTCTATCTTCTTCTGTGGTGCATAACAACAAACCATCACAGTGAAACACTCTCAAGATATCGACTTTTTCTGAAGAAGCTAGGGATGCGTTTAGGTCAAGTTCAGTAATAGAAGAAGAAGCAGTGTAGGCGTTGTTGTCGATTCCATATTGGAGACTGAACCTCAGTGAAGAAACCTTATGTTCGTTCAACATGAGAACTAAACGCTGCTTTGGTGCTCTATCAAGATGCGTCTTGGTGAATGTTTCGTCTTTAGATAGATTGTTCCACCGTTTGCATGTAGATCGACATCGACTCAATGTTTTTGCGGGAACCCTAGAAAGTATTTCCTCTTCCAAATCCGGCGGAATATCGTCCCTTGTCATTTTTTCGCTAGCTTGTGATCTTTGGTTTCGAACACAAACGAAAAGACGGCTCGGGTTCTGTAATTATAAACTAGGGTTTTTGAGTCACATGATGAGTCTTATAAACAACACGACACAAAAAAACAAAAACAAAAGTAATTTCCGATATTTTAATTATATCAAACAATTATTGTGATTTTTTAAGAGAAAAGAATAAGCCATACTTTATTGGCTTTAGAAAGAAAAAAATGTAATTACACCATCTGACATTATCAAAAGAAATTCAAAAATTTCTATGAAAACTAATAAACAACAATTTATTAGATGTTCATGCCTGCATGCATATGATTGTGAGTCAATCACCAAGTAAAGTAAAACAATACGTTCATATAAAAAATAGAAGACAAAAAGAATCACAATTCAAGATTCATACAATTATCAAACCATCCAAAATAGCTGTAATGGTTATTAGTGACTTGCAAGCATGTTGTCATGACCTCTTGGCTTGGGCATTCCATGTCCAGGAAAATCCACTACTAATCTTTCTCTCCCTTTAAAAAATCCACAAGCTATTTTTTTTTTCTTCAGTTTCATCACAATCTGACTCAAATACCAAAATGACTTACCCTCTCTCTATTGTGTGTATTGTTGGTTATTGTATGTTGACGTTTTAACGGCATTATGTATTGTGTATTAATAAGTCCAGTGACATCCAATCGCTTATACTTTTCTTCTTCTTTTGGTCTTATATAGATTCAGAATCATATTTTTTTATTCGGTTATCAAATACAATATATTCACACAAAATTGTATCTAGTTTTTCTCAGTTGTAAATTTGTAAAAAAAAAAAAAATTGTTGACAGAAAAATTATATTTGGAAATTATTTGTTACGCTCTTGCTGGTCGTTTCGATATGGCGAGACAAAATTTTACATAATATAAACAAAAGTCTATAAAGTCTTCAATCAGAATTCCAAATTTTCACCATATATACTATACATATCATTTATTTAAAAACTAAATATGAAACGAATCAGAAAAGAGAAGTAACAGAAGAGAGCATATTGATTATACAAAGAGCAACCTGACCCAACTCAAACAACTTATGATTCTCACCACCAATAGGAGACGTCCACGTCAACACACCACCACCACTGTCATCGCCACCGTCTCTCTCCCCAAACCCTTTCTCACACGTCACGGCGGCTTCCATGGCGGCGCTCACCATTACATTCACCGTCCCTAGCTCTCTCCTCGTAATAAAAACCCTCACGGCTTCCTCCAATCTCTCAGCTGCGTCCTCGTACAACTCGAGGCAGTCACGGAGGCAAGCACGGCCGAAACCGTCGTCTTCAAATCCTCCTCCGTCGCTCATAAGCCGTTGAATGGTGGAAGATGTTGCGGTTGCGTTGTCTAGAGCTTGGAGCATTGGGATTAGGGCAATAGAAGAGAGATTGGTCGGAGGAGGAGGTGGAGGAGTGATTGGAGAGTTGTTGAGAGATGAGAGGCAGAAGTTGTAGTCGAAGATCGTTGATTTGGCTGCGCATGTTTTGCAGGTTTGTTCGATCATATCGTCTGTTGAGTTTACTTGTGAGACACGTAAGAAAAAGAACAAGAAGAAGAGATGAGACATATTCATTTTCTTTTCTTATTTAGTTATATGAGATTCTTCTTCGTAATTATTTTGTTTGGTTTTATATATAGACAAGAGTGTGAACGACGTCGTTGTGTGAGTGTTGTGGGAATTGAGTAAAGCGTCATCAATGGAGGTTTATCTTGCTTCTACTCTAATACAATTGTATGACTCAAGTCTCAAGCAATTGGTTCGTTCTTATTGTATTTGAAACATTCCACGTTACAACAAAAATAATTTCATTTTGTATTTGCATGGTCAGTCAACTTTTGGAAATGAAGTGATTAATGCAAATCCGAAGTTGTCGGTAAAGTAAGAAGTTTTGCTTCAATTTATTCTTTAAAAGAATTAGAAGATGTTAATAAAGTTTCACCCATTCTTTATGTTTACACTTTCTCTCCATTACAAAAGAGTTTTAGTTTAATCGATCGTCAATCGCATTTTAGTCGTCTATAAAGAATCAAAGATTGAGTATAAATTTGTTTTGGTCGATAAAAGAAAATAAGCAAAGTATCTGAGGACCTATTAGACAATAAAATTAAATCAAATATTTATTTATTTTATCCTAATCAAATCACTCTGGTTGACCGCAAAAAAGTGAAGTAAAATTCACATCGCCGATCTAAAACAGAGACGTTGGCATTCAATTTTCATTCAGAAATCCCCAAATCCTTCCACCTGAGCTGAAAAAACAAGAACCCTAACCCAAATTTTCCTGATTTGATCAACTTCCAACGAGGAAACGAATTCTAATTGCACTCGCATTTCTGTGTGGCATAATATGGTTCCGATGTTGGGTGGGTTTCCGATCTTCTTGGTAGTGAGAGTTCTGGGTTTCATCATTGCGGCTTTGGTTTTGACATGGACTGTTCAATACAGAGGAGGGTTAGCTCTAGCTTCCGATAACAAAGATCTCATCTTTAATGTAAATCTCTCTTCATTTTGCTCTCAAGTCTTTATCTTTATCATAAATGATTGGTTTTTGAGTTGACCCTTTTTTCAGATTTTGATTTCTGAATCCAAAAAGATGAATTCTGATTATACTTGTGAATTACTCAAAGGAAATGGATTTGATGAAAATGATTCTATTGCTGTATCTAAGATTCGTATCTCTTGATTGCGTGTTGTGTTATTGGAATTTTGATTTTGCCTTTTTGTGTGATCATTAGGGATAATCTATAGCTCAAATTTGGGATGTTCAATGTTCTCATCCAGAGTTTTTTTTTCTGGATGAGTCCAAATTCTTATGATGTAACTTGTTTGCAGGTTCATCCAGTTTTGATGGTGATTGGACTCATTCTCTTCAATGGAGAAGGTAAAACAAGTCTCTTTCCTCCAATAATCTCCTTCACATCTTTTGTTTTTGCTACACACATGTGTTCCTGATGATGATTTTGAAACTATTGGGTCGCTGTTGACATTATTGCTGATTCATTAAAGAGACCATGGAGCCGTTATGTTCTTCAAATTGTTGTTTCTAGGTGTTTGTGTGCATTGATTCTTGTTTCTTTCGTGAGGATGTTTTGTTAGTGTTTGTGTGTAGGAAGTTTAGTATCTTAGCTTCATAGGTCAAATGAACAAGACTTGAATCCTTTTTGTGTGTGTTTCAATCTTGAATCCTTCTCTAACATTTGGGTAACATTGAAACTATGCAGCAATGTTGGCGTACAAGTCAGTTCAAGGCACAAAGAACTTGAAGAAACTGGTTCATCTTACGCTACAATTCACAGCCTTTATCCTAAGCCTAATCGGAGCATGGGCTGCTCTCAAGTTCCATCTCGACAAAGGGATCGAAAACTTCTACAGTCTCCATTCTTGGCTCGGCCTCGCTTGTCTCTTTCTTTTCGCCTTCCAGGTAAACACACTCCTCTCTCTTCTCTTCAAAACAAAATCTCCATTACTCTCTAACACATACCAAGAACTCAAAGCTATTGTTGTGAACAGTGGGCTGCAGGGTTTGTGACTTACTGGTACCCGGGCGGTTCGAGAAACAGCCGAGCCAACTTGATGCCATGGCACGTGTTCTTGGGGGTTTACATATACGCATTGGCCATAGTGACTGCAACCACAGGGATACTCGAGAAGGCGACTTTCTTGCAAGTGAACCAGGTGATCACTCGGTACTCCACAGAGGCGATGATGATTAACACCATGGGCGTTCTGATTGTTGTTCTCGGCGGTTTCGTGGTGCTCGCTGTGGTTACTCCTGTCAACGGCAAAGACCATGTCCTTACACAATAGGGACCTTTTTTACAATTTGAACATTTCGATCTTTCAAAACATATGTGATGAATTGAGTTTATTTGAAGTGATTTTTGCAAAGAAAAATTCAGCATAGAGCTCGAGAAAGATTTGTTGTATCAAACTTCATGAGAAGAGAGAAGAAGAGAAGGCTTCACTGAATACATGACAGACAATAGTAAAAAAACATCACTGGTATTCGAATAAATCTTTTCCCGGAGAGGCGGTTGATGAATCGCACTCTTCACAGAGTCAAAAGTTTCTAAAGAACAAAAACATGTCAAGGCTCAAAAAAATGATTCCGGAAGAAGAAGCTGGTGAAGGAGGCAGTGCCGGTAGTTATTCTATGCGGGTTGTGACCAGAGAAGACAATGGAGGAGGAGAAGAAGTGCTTTCACCTTTTGATAAGGGCAAAAATTTTATGGAGCAGAGCTTTTTGCTTAGACAAGCAAATGTTCTTTCTGATATTCTCTCACAATGACAGGCACACTTGTGGGAGGTACCTGAAAAAAAGAAAAAAAAGAAATGTTCGATGTTTGAGATTCTGAATGAATAGAGAAACTGTGATGATGCATGAATTATGTTCAGAGATGAGATTTGATGACTCTAATAAAGTTGAGAATCTCTTACCATGCCATAGTCTGTGATTATCATGGAAATGTAATCTGAAGGAGTAGCATCATACCTACCATTAGAAAAATCACAAACCGGTTTAGACTTTGGCGGCAGAGAATACAATAGTTTCACTTCTAAGGTTAAAAACAAGCTTACATTAAATTCAGAAACTGCAGATTTGCGTTGTTGGTCAAACCGTCTAAGTAGTTTATGTCTTCTCTTCCATGAACTTTCGAAATAGCATTTGGATCACCTAAAGAAACAAACAAGAATCCAATTCCAAGGTAAGGTAAAGCAGAATCAGAAGCTATATAAAGATATGATACTGAGAGATGATAATGATACACACCGAGCTCATTGGAGCATATGGAGTCCAATTGCACTCTCTCATGAAACTTGTAAGCTTCGCAACATACAAGCACAGGAACACGGAACGCATTTGCAACCATTGCAACACAAGCAGTCCCAACTCTCGAGTAAACCGTTCCGTTTGACAAAACCGACGACGCCCCCAGAAACACCTTGGTGACTTCGTGCATGATATACGAAATGGCGTTTATGTGAGTGTACGTACAGTTAATCCCTCGTTTGATCAACCTACGAAGCAGCAGCTGTCCTTCGAGCTTCGGACGAGAATCCACCACCAAGACGCGGAACTTCTTCTTGAGCTCGTGTGCGTGTAACAGCACCATCTCAACCGCAGAAGGAGATCCATAGGTCAGAAGGACATCACCGTCTCTGATCTTAGTCACAGCATGTTTGACTATCACGTTATCCGCCGTTATGATCTTCTCGTTGATGAACCGTTCGATATCCGACTGAAGAGCAGTTTTTGCCTCGGATTCGGAGAGTGTTATCGGCAGCTTCGCGATCCTGTTCTTCAGGAACCGGATCGCGTTTCCCATGCTGATGGAAAGCGGACGGCATTCTATGAGGAAAGAGACGTAGCTGCTTATCTTCGCGGTCATGTCCCTGTTTAGAGTCTTCTCAGGCGGTGTCGAATAGTCTTTGACAACTTCTTGAAATGCTTGAAGCATTGCAATACATCTTGCATTGCCACCAGATATATCTCCGGAAAGATATTGAAGACCAACCTAATAAACCACAACAACTAATACTCACTCAACATTCATCTTAATGAAGCAATAGCACAAACTCTTCCTCGTCTTAGCTAAGAGATTATCAAACAAACTGTTCCTCCTCTCAACTAAGCACCAACCAAATGAAGTCAAGAGAAAACAAATACCTTGTACACAGCAGGATGCATAGGGTCAAGTTGAAAGAACTTGGTCTCGAGATCAGGAAGTTGAGTGCCATGCTCATACTGAGGCAAGTGCCTAAAGAGCTCAACTCTGTTTTTAGCCTCGGTTTGTTTAACAACGGCGCGTCTTTTGGCCTTCACGACTCTGCTCTCGTCGTCGTACTGCATGCGAGGATGAGGAGCGTCTTTCTTTCTGTCTTTCTCAGATGGACCTCCTTTCTTCTCAGATGCTCCTCCAGCAGCAGCAACACCGTCGTTCTTCTGAGAAGCTGGTTTTGCTGGTTTATTAGCTTTCACATTTGTTGAAGCCACAGAGCCTGAGGTCACTGGTGGTGCCTTCCCTCCTTCAACTGATAATAACACAGTACAGAAACAGCTCTAATTTCATACAATTAAGGCGGAAAATTGACACATTTGTATACTTCAAAGTTCAAACACACCTTTTGCAGCAGCTTTAGCAGCTCTTTGAGCTTCTTGAAGAGCTCGTCTCTCAGCTTTTGTGGTTTTCTCTTTCAGAGGTTTAGAATTCTTCTTCTGGTCACTCTGCACTTCCATTCCAGTAGCCTTCTCTGCAATTACAAACAAGAGCATTGTGATTCCATTAGCTTTCGTATTTCTAGAGAATCAGTTTGCAATTCAATCGAGATTTTAGGGATTCTTGAGCAAGTGACAGTACCGGAGAGTCCAGCAGGCATGTTGACGACGGAGACAGTGGTTAATCCACTGGCGGGAACACTGCTAGATTTAGCCGCCGCCATAGAATCCATCCCGACGCCGGGAAGTGAAGAAGCAGCCGGGACGGACGATTTCGCGAAACTGCCCCTGGAAACGCGTCCAGGAGACGCCGTCGTTGATCCGTCAGGGAAATCGCGGCGGCTGGAGTAGGAAAACGAGGAAGGAGATACGGCTGAGGCAGCGGCGGCGCGAATGGGGAAGGTGTCGGAGGAGGTGTGGCGAGGCGGAGGAATCATGACGGGGGAGAGTGAATTGCCGGAGGGAGAAATGCTGGAAACGGGATGAGATTCGGAAGCGATCGGGTCGGGTTGCTGAGTCGAATCGGGTTGGGATGATGTGAAGAAACCGACTTGCCGGACCTTTGGATCGACAACGGCGCGAGGGTTCCGTCGAGACTCCATCGCGAAGAGATGATTAGAGTAAAAGCGTAGCTATGGTTTTTTCTCGGCAAAGACCGATTATCAGCAAATTTTCTCGGGAAAAAAAAAAATAATTGGTTTTGGGGATCGAATTTTATTTTTTTCCCCAGACGAATAAAACGGGAAATAGTTGTTTTTCTTCTCTTTATCTCTACAGTTTTATTATTTTGACATTAATCCGAACACTTTGAGCTGATCTTGACAGTTGACAGTCCAGTCACTAAAATTGTTTTTCTTTGTTTATTCTAATTTGGATTAAAATATTAATGTTTTGATAATAGATTCGTATTTCTTTTCTTTTTTTCCATTTCTTTTTGTGTTGTGTCCATGCGGTTTGTTGATTTGGTAAACTCTACTTGAAAACTCACAGATGTCAAAATTGGTAAAAAATTAACAGATCCAAAACGAAAATCCAAACCGGCAATATCTCAAAGTAACGGTTCAACCAGTTCTGGTCCGGTTTCGAGAGTTTCCAATGACCATATACAACATTGTTTGGTACTGTATCAGCAACAAGAAGTGAAATACTGTGATGGTATTGAAAATGTTTTGTGCCAAGTGTTATAAGAAAGATGCCAATTATTCATACAAGATCTTATTAATCAGATTCAAGATTCAAAGCAAAAGCCAAACACATACGAGACCTCAAGATAAAGAAATACTTAGTGATGTGGTACTATTGGAAATGTTATGGTCTACATGAAACTTGGAGAAGCTGGACCTTTGGAAAGACCAAGACGAACTTCCATGGCGTGGTGAAAATCCACTGGCCTGAGCGTCTCGGATTCACGAGGATCTGCCGATTATCAAAACAACCGATCAAAGGTTAAAAAACTAAGAAAACGTAAACAAGTTGCACACTTTTCTCTTATGCAGTGCTCCATAATTGTATAAGTAGACAAACAAACTCTATTGGTGTTTTGGTGTCTAGAGATCTAAAGAGAGTTGAGACTAGTAAATGAAGTTCTGAGGCACAATTCAAAGGAATAGAGTTGGTAAAACAGTTTACCGTTCAAGTAATCTTCGAAACCAAAGTTATCTATCGCTCCTGTGTACACTTCTAGGCCAAGCATTGACGAGGGAATTGCTCCAGGAGGTCTCTGAAACCTGAATTTACTCCAGAGAAGAAGATCCTTTAATAAAAATGTTCAATTTACAAAAGAAAGAAGTATGTCTCAAGCTCTATGTAGTCTGCAAATCTTAAGAGTTTCTCACTATGCGACTGATCCAATCATATAGATTCGCAATCTAACGAAACACTGATTCTCATACATTCTAAGCGTTAGCAACTCTAAGAAAGTGTTTTCTTTTTTCTCATAAAGCTAAAGATTTTAAAATTTCCATACCGTGAAAGGATTTGTCTATCGAGATCCATCTTCAAAGGAAGAGCAGCTCCATAGGTATGTGCAATCACTTGCCTCTTCATTTCTTCTTCCGATTTCTTCCCCTGAAACAAAAAAAAAAAAAAAAAATCGAATCCCTAATTTCAGAAAAACTGAGAAACTCCGTAAGAGCCCCAATTAAGAAAAAACAAAATTCGTCAAAATCAGACACAGCTAAGCTCAGTTCTTAGCTAAATTGTAATTCGATTTTGAGATAAATTAAGTATAGAGTATGAAGAAAGAGATGAGAAATTGTTTTTACAGATTCGTAGGCTGATTCGAGAGGGTGAGATCCAACGATGTCGCTTTTAACGCCGTGAAGACCGAATCGGAGCGCGTCGTTCTTCAAACCACCGATCTCGTGAGCTATCTTCTTCGCCGACTCCATTGCTTTGCTCTTCGTTTTTTTTTTTTTTCGTTCCTCCGACGTTAGTACGTTTCCTCTCCGACTTACAGTATTTAACTTTCTCGGCGACTTTCTGAGCAAGCAAGCAAAAAGCAAAAAAATCCCTGAAAAAGACGATGGAACAGATTTTGCTAAGTTTAATTATGGATTTTAAAGTAAAACTCAAGGCCCATTTATATTTTACTATTTCAACTCACATACTTGTAAAACCATTTAAAAGCCCAAGAAATTCAATGAAAGCAATACCAGTTTTGTCTCTCCTACCGAACCGTCGTGTTTGACAGATTTGGTCTAATTGGAGGATCCGAGTTAATTACCTCTGTGTAATGAGCTCTTTTGTCTCTTTGCTGTTGTGGCTCTCTTTTGTTTACGATACTCTCTAGTGTTTTTGTAATTGAGAAAAAAAACGATGATATTGTAATTCAAAATGGAAAACATAAGAATTATAATAGGATAAAAAAAAAGTATCAAACCGCAAAAACCGCGGGTTAATTTGTGGTGAAATATATAACACATGATGATCTCACACACACACACACAAAAAATAAGAATTAAGGAATAACAAAAAACTGCAAAGCATATATAGGCATGGTTATTGTTTCAACCATGCATGCATGCAATTATTCGAGAAATCGTTTGGACTGGTCATGACTTTTAGAGTCTTTAAAGCCCTCAAAGTTATAATTTTACTAATCAGACTTTTAAGTATCTTTTTCTAAAGTCTTTAAAGTCTTTTGGACAGTTTTTTTTTATCTTTCCTTCTTTATTTCTGAAAGCACACCTATGATGTTTTTATTCTCTCTCCTCTCCACTTTTTTTTTATTGTTTTCTTTTTTAATTATTGTTATTTTTATTTCACACCCCCAATTAATTGAAACTACTTTTTAACCATTATGTTAATCTTATAAAAATGAAACTTTTACAAATTAACAATTATTACATTTTTCTCGTTCTTTTAAGATCCATTTTTCATATATTTTATATATATATATATAATTAATATTAGTTTTCATGAAAAGAATAAATATTAAAAGTAATAGTCACAGTTTTTAAAGTCAAATTCTCTACAGCCAATAGTGAGAAGAAGAAAAAAACAAGTTATACGGTGCATCTTCTTTCGATAAATGATGCATCATAGGGCTTTAGTACAATTAGTGAACCAGAAGTCAAGATGCTTTCTGTTTTCATTACCTGGACCTTCTCTGTGAAGAAAAGGAACTCGAAATTCGCCAGGACCAATCAAACTTTGATTTCATTGAAAATATGAAAATATGAAAATTTTCTCTCTTTTCGTTCCTAGATTTCATTCTCTATATTCCTTTTTTTAATGTTTCTTTCATATATTTCTTTTCTTTATTTTTAATGTTACATTTATTTTCATAAGTAGTCTTTAAGGTATTTGCACACATATTAAAAATCTGTTTAGTTTTCTATTTTTTTTCCAAAACAAAACATTTTTGATTTTTTTTTTTTATTTTTTTTGTAATTATCATCAATCTGTAAACAATTCAACTTGTAAAATTTCAATATGCATAATTCAAATAGTCAAAACAACAAAATAGCACACAATTATTCTTGAACAAAAGGAGTAATTGATTTTATCTTCCAGATATTGTAGATATAAAATGATGATCAAACTGGAAAATAATAATAGATATAATTGGATAAAAGAATTAAACCGCACAAACCGCGGGTTAATTTATAGTGAGATACAATAACACAAATGATGATCACACATACAAAACACGAAGGGAAAAAACGGAACTATTCGAGAAAAATGCAACTCACATCACTAAGCACTTGTGATTAGTTACCTCCAAAAGTGACACGAAGAAGAAGAAGAAAACAAATTAATCATGGGGGCAGCAGTGTTGGAGCAAATCATCGATTGAATAAAGGAGCCGTTGGAGTTTTTTTTTAAGAGGATTGAACACAACTAACAGCTCCATCAACACAAGCAATACAATCAGTGAACCAGAAGTCAAGACGATGTTTGGTAAACCTGTCCTCTTCTCCAGCGACATAATTGTCCGCAATAAAAGCAAGGCGAAGTTCGTCGGTGCTAGAATCGGCCCTACTGAAACCAACTTCACCGGGTCCAAACATAGTATCTTCGTAAACCAACTTGTAACGATGATCTTGATTTCCCTCTCTTTCCTCGATCCTGAATGTGCCTGCGTCTGATGGAGATTCGTCTTCACTTGTTATTTGGGAAGTGCCACCATCAGGCAGTTTCCAAAAAGTACCTTGATCCACAGACTGAATGACATATTTGGTGGATACTGTTAGAAAATCTCCTCCATCTTCTTTTGAGCGGAACATAACATCATCTTCTTATCGGCATTCCTTCTGAGGATCAATTGACGGTCATCAGGCCCGTGGTCTTCAGGGACAACATGAGTATTGTTCCAGTAGTCGCCATCTTTCCAAGCGGGCGTGAGAAGACACATCTTGGTTTTGGGAATCGTGTTGCCTTCAGAATCCAGCACTGCTTTCTTCACGCTGACACTAGCACTAGCTTCTTGAGCCGAACAAGTTGTTGCCAACGTGATCAAGAAATAGATCACCAAGATAATGATTGTAGGTTTCATCATCAACATATCTTTCTTTCGCTCTTTCTCTTGTGTGGGGTTGATTTTTTTGAGATGTTTATACCAAACGTTGGGACTATGACTTATTTATAGTCTTATAGATAAGGGAAACGAAACGGAACACGATTTTTTTTTTGTTATTACATCGTTATAACCACTCTTTTAATTTCTTAATTGCTCTTTATAATCCACGATTTATTTTCATTCTCGCGACGTGCTCCACGTTCTCCTTTCGAAATGTATTAGATGCAGCTGTATTTCCAAGAGCATCATCCCATCAAAATATTGTCGAAGGATATATGTTGAGTTTACAAATCTTTGAGATGCCCTTATAATCTCTAGTAACACTTGTCTCATTCTTATTAGTTATATAACGGAGATGCTCTAAGTAATGGTAAACATATTATGTGTTGATGTTAGTTTCATGTTACTTAAACATAGCCCTAGAAAGTCCACTCTTCACGTTAGCTGATAAGAAGTAAAAATAATATTTAATGAAAATTTTGTAGGATCTTATACTTAGGAAGATATTTTTAATTAATTTCAAATTTAATAAACTTAAACGTGCTTTTTTCTACCATACGCAGCTGTTTAATTTGATTTCATATAAACTATAAAAGTGAAAATCCATCATATAGCCTAAGAATGTTTTTGATTTTTCTCACATCATCACTAGTTTTTCTTCTCCATCTCATACCAAGTTTATAATTTGGGTTTGTGTTTATAGTATTTAGAGTTTACGTTTTAGTATTTTGGGTCAGAAGTTAGGAAGGGAAGCATCCATATTGATGGTGTGGTCGTGTGGATCAACTTTTAATATTTCTTCTATCGCTTCATATTCCATAGACTGTGAGAGATACAATAAACGTGACTCAAAAAAAGCTTTCCCGTTTCTTTTACGGCTCAAAAAAAAAAAAAAAAAAAGGGTGAAAACGTGATAACTCTTTGGGCATCTCAAGTTTCTTGAAGACATGTAGCCCAGAAGAGGGATATCGAACTTTATACATATGAATGATTACACAGAGTTGATATACAAAAAGCAAAATGACAAATCGCGTTAATCGAAACGTGAAACGTCTTGTCCGTTTTCAAGGTGTAGAGGAAGATACAGAGTTGGTGGTGACGTTAGAAATCAGTCTTACTTCATACAGATTCTCACTTTCTCCTTTACCTTCATCAACAAAAGAAATTTTGTTTCCTATGATTCAGAAATCAATTTTCAAGAACCGAGAACAAGAAATTGTAAAAACATGAGATGATGATTTGATATCCTACTACTACTTACCGACTTCTGCAGCGATGTCTGGTCCAAAGAAGGAAGTGAATTTCGCCTATCAGCAAAAACAAAGATTTTTAAGCTTTAACATGATAACCAGTTTCAGCAGTATCTTTTTCTACTTCATAGAGACTACATATCATCGTTTTAACGCAGATTAGTCTGTTACTGAATGAATCTTAAACTCTTACCTGTCTTTTTTCGAAATCTGACAAGTTGAGAGCTTTGGCCTCAAATACAAGGACCAGGCAGTAACGACCATCGGTCAGGACCTATATGTTGATTTCATTCCGAAATATGATTGAAAGGCATGAACAAGAAGGTGTCCATAACATATTTAACAATGTGATGTAAATCAAAACATGTATAATATGATCTCTATATATATATATATATATATTGATTTACCTCTTCTCTAATCATCGTTAAGATAGGTGCACTACGTCTCGGGATTCCACCACCCTAACGCCAAAAACAAGTCGAAAGACCGTTTAAACCGGACGTTAAGAGTGTAAATTTGTTTCAGGTAAAAAAAAAAAAATAGCTTACAAGTCCATATTGGAAGATCCGTTTGAGTGCTTCTTCCAAATGCTGTTCATCTCCGTAACGGTATCTCGTGACATCATTTCTAACCTAATAAAACCAAAAAGCAGTCAATACACATGATTTACAATTTCAAGAGAATTTTGGTTGAGCATTTGGTTTCAAGAGCAACCAGAACAAGAAAAAGTACCTACCTGCGTTAAGATAGGAGTAGCGCAGCTTTCCCTGAGCTTTACGGCATCTGAGTAGCTCAAGCAAGGAACTGGTTTGAGCTCTGCGTACTGCAATGGAAGCAGAAACAGACCAAGAAGCAGTGACTAAAACATTAATAAGGCGTTCCGACAGAACTGAAGAGCCAAAAAAAAAATGTGTGTGATCAAATGTCGTAGACACAAAAGAGATGGAATATAACCTTGAGAGCCATTCCGATAATAGCAAGCGGGAATCCGTAAGTTAGCATTATAGCAGACCACTCAGATCCAGGAAGGATGTTGAAATATGCCCCGAAACCGTACCTGCAGGGTTTTAACACATTCATAATAATGATATAAAAAACCACAGGCGACTGTTATAGCAGCAACAAAGAAGGCATGAACAAAAGAAACTCACGAGAGGAGTGAAACCCCAAGACTTAGCCCAATCACACCAAATGAAATCTGCAAATGCAAAATTATTCCAAACATACATTATATTACCACTTACCAACTTTTGGTTATGTTACACTAAACTATCACCGTACTTTTGTACTAATAGAAACAACAATTCTGATAGGAATGAAAACAGTCTTCTTCAAATCTTGAATTTTCATCAGAATCTTGAATTTTCGATAATTAATCTCATCCACTTTACTATCACTACACTTCACAAAACTGAACAAGGCAGTGATGATTTCACGAACAGTTAAGCATATAGACATAATCAATTAGAAGAATAATTAAAAAAAATAAAATCTTAATTAGGGATTTAAGAACCTTGGCTAGAGTGAATTCATCGTCAGGGATTAAGGTCTTATCACCGGAAACCATGGAAGGAGACGACGAGCTCGTGGAATCAGCAGCTCTTGCGACGAAATCGAGCCTCGGGATCTCTCGTTTCAGCCTCGTCTCGGGGACGTAGAGCCAACTCTGACGTGGCAGAACTTGTGGTTGTGAAGACGAAGCGACGGAGAGACTCTCATGGCGACGGGCGTACAGATTTAGCCGCCGGATGTTTTGGCGACGGAGACTGGAGGATAGGACGGTGGTTCCCGAAGCTGCCGATATGGTTCCCATTTTCTCGTCTTCTCTGCGTATCCGTTGAGAAGAGCTAATGTGAGGCTGAGGGAAAGTCTTCACGAGTGAGCTTTCAACCGCCAAAAATTCTGGCCACGATTTCTCCATTCTGATTTCGGTTTACCAAAACCAACCGGATTGAGGTTCGGAAGCCAAAGCCAATCTATCAAAATCGCAACCGGTTTTTACTAAACCAAAGAAATGGACCGGTTAAGCTTTAACCCTTCGAAATTCTGGCCACGATTTGCCCGATTTCAGTATTAGTTTACGAAAGCCGGTCAAGTCATTCAAATCCAACCGGTTATTTTGGTTCGATTTAAGAATCAAGACAAGTGAATGCCAAAAACACAAAGCCAATTATATACCAGAATATCAAACCGATTAGAAAACCCAGAGAAATGGTCCAATATAAATCTCCATAAATTATTAAACCAAAAGGTTGATACAAATACTTAAATTACATTCAATGGACAACAACATATAAGAAACTGAGTCTTTGAGGGTTACAAGAGTCAGTCTCTCTTTACGTCTGCTTAATCAGAATCATCTTCTTTCTTCTTAATAATAACATTTGCTTCATCTTCTAGAGCCTGTTTCATCCTGTAAAACATATGATTCAAAAAAAATAAGAGTCAAAATGCAAATCAATTAGAGCTTATGCTTATAATTAAGAGCTTGAGAGAGAGATTTACATTTTGAAAGCAATGTACTTCTCTATCTCCGGTTTCTGCTGGGAGGTAAAAGAAAACCATTTTCCATGAGGAGATGATTCACTAGAACTTCCTACCACTGCACATAAACAAAAGAAATATATATATACTTTTTAATTTGTCAAGAACAAACTAATAGTTTTTGTATGTTTTCTTTTTCACACACCTTGAAGCAAATACTTTGGTTCTTCAGTGTACGAGTTCAGTTTCCAAAGAGTAAGACCATCTTCATCCGGTCCAACCACCGGGCTTGTTCTAAGAGTAGGATCACCCTCTGCGAAAAGACACATTATAGCAAGAACCATTTCAAAACATATGAACATTGTTATAAAAGAATCAAAATGAGTCTAGAAATTTGTACTTTTGATTTCTATTGCTTCTTGCAATTCTTGAAAAGCTTTTTCGGATTCATCACTCATTGACGATACAATTGCAAGAGGGTCCTTTAGCTTCTGGTCCACTTGTTTATTCTACAACATATTGGGTTTAACCGTTTAAGAATTAGACTCAAGTATTATCAGAACTTAATTTGTAAAAAGACTTTAGTAAGATTTTAAAAAGTTATTTTACCTTCTCTTTTGCCGCTTTCACATTTTCTTTTGATTCTTTCTTAATGATATTCCTTAGCAGCCTAAATTTGTTTTCTCACAATATGTTAAAACCCTCAAGCACCATCAATTGAAGAGAACATTTGATTCATCACTTATTACTTACTTTGTGTCAAGCACTTCACCACATAAAAAGTTCAAGAGGTTAATCCTTTTGGAAGCATCCAAATTCTCATATGCATCAATTCCTTCTTGAAACATTTCAGGAGGGAAGTCATCAAGCTTAATGTCTGATTTTGCAAGACACTCTCCAAGAGCCATGAACCAGCTGTCATCGCTTGCACTCAAGCAATCCAATCTGTATTATTTTCAAGATTTGTGAAATACATGCTAATAGTAAAATATACCAACTTTCAAAAAAAAAAAAATTCTTACGTTTCTCCTCGGTCTTCTCGAATCACAGTGAGGAGTTGGATCATTGTTTGAGTCACAGTAGAATGTTGTGGACTCCTATTGCTTCTCCCTGCGAACGTTTCGCGAATAACACTCTCAGCCTGCCTTTCCCTAAGATTAAGACCCTATGAAACAACAAACATTAGTAAATAAGTAGAGATTATTGTTCAAACTGGGAAAAAGGCATGCATGGGTGATATACCTTTGCAAAAGCTGAAGAAAACTCAAGAAACTGAAGAACACTTCCAACATCTTGAGAGGGAAATTCAATGCCAAAAATAGTAACTGATTCAATGCCTTGAGGTAGTTTAACCTCCTCAATCTCTTTCTTTTCCAGAACCGGTGCGATTCTTGCAACATTTGAACTATTTCCTTCTCCTGCATGATTCTCATCATGACTTTTCTCAATAGGTTTCTCCTGACCAGCATCTTCCTGCGGATACCATATAATCAAAACAAAACACAAAATATAACTCAAAGCTAAGATACACACACACAATAAGGATCATGCAGGAACAAAGCACTTACCACTTTCACTTTTCTCTTATAAACATATTTGTTGGGATCATTGGTCTTTGCAAGAAGCTCAGCGGCAGACGAGCAGCCATTTTCTTTAGCTTCTTGTGACAATTTTCCTGTAGGCTCCAGACCTTTGTTCTTCCTGAAAAAGAAAAAAAACAGTAACAAAATTTTAACAAAATGATTAATGCAAATACTGATGAATTTGACTTACCTGCACTGATGGCAGTTACAAATGCCTCTGCATCTTGGACAAACCCAGTCCGTCATGGAGGAAGCCTCTTCCGCGTCCTCACCGTACCTAATATTAATTTTTCGACTCAAAATTTCATCAAACAATCAACAAAAGCTTAATACGTTTTTCTCACTACACAAACACATAAACCTCCAAAAACATATCAAATCACACCTTCCCCGCAAGCACGCAGGACAAAACTTCAATGGACATCTCTGTTTGGGTGAGATCATGGTCACGCACGATCCAGCGACACCACGTCTCTTTTGGTGACACTACAAACACAAGACCATTTGATTCAAACAATTAACTCGATCATATCAAAAGCAAAAATTGTTCAGTCAAAAATTAATAGTAAAACACATCTCTAGCAATGATGTTGATTTAGCATTAATCATTAGATTCAATAGGATAAATTAAATCCATTATACATTTTTTTAATTTTATTGTTAAACATCAATCCACAGATGTGTTGAGAAACAGTTTATCTGAATATCAGAATATATGAGAAAAATAATTCATCTTTGATGCATGGCTGCATCTAAATCTGCATGTGAGTTTGAAGATAAACGTTTTTCACGAGAGAATATGAGAACAAAAAAACATGTATGAGAGAAGAAAAAAAAACTTTATGCTTGAGTTGAGACAATGAAGTGTCACCGTCATATATGTTCAAAAATCTATAAACTAATACTAATAAAGCTCTTACAAAGCGAAAATCCTTTTGAGAAAATTAACAAATAATCATTTGAAAAATAAGAGTTCTGAATCTGATAATATTGGAGTTGATATCAAAAGCGAAATGGTATAAAAAAAATTTACATCCACAATCGGAAAACCAAAGTCTAAGCCAATAATCAATACGCATAAACACAATCGGATCATCTTCACGGCAATTTTTCGAAACCGAGTTAAGAAAAAAGAAGAAGAAATATGATCGATAGAGAAGTGTCTTACCTGATGACAGGAACCCATCCTCTCTTCGAATGGTACTTCTCCATTCATCAACACCATCAAAACCATCAACATCATCGACATCTTTTGTTTTCCAGAAACCAACAGAAAATGCTTTTGAGTTTTTTTTGTTTGTATGTTTTGACAGTGGACGATTGATTCTAAGTTTATAGGAATCCCCTTCGAAGGATTTAAGGATTTTAGGGTAAGATGTAATTTAAGTATTTGATTTCTTTCCTTTAACTTTAAAACCGAATTTGTTTTGGAGGGGGAATAATGGCGGGACGAGCGTTTAGAGTTAAACGTTTTTCTCAGGTGCTTCCGTACATTGCATCGTTTGATTACAATTATTTAATCAAAACATTAAAACTATTTATTAAGTATTTACAATTAAGAGTATTGAGATTAAAAAAATAACAATATAAGATTTGGGATTTGAGAACATGTAATACTATGATATATATAATTATATCTTAACACCCGCCAAACCCTAAAGTTTTTTTGTTATTTAAATTTCCGCTATTTTTAAGTTTTTTATATATAATTTTATTATTAAGTATTTATTATCTTAGATATTGAGAAGGATTTCGAACCAAAAAAACATTGAGAAGGAAATAGTGATTACAAGTTGGAATTTGAGATAATATGTAATACTCTAATACAATCGTATTTTAGTGCCCGCCAAAATCTAACGGTTTTTTGTTATTTAAATTTCCGTTATTTCCCGTTATTTGGAAACACAAAAATGGTACCACTAGTTAAAATCAAATATGGTAAAAAGATTAGTAAATACATTTCACAATTTTTGTTGATAATTGTTTCTTTTTGACATCTTTTGTAGATAATTAAATAAAATATTTAATAATATAATGGTGTATTACTAGTCAACTAATTATATTCTTTCGCATATACAACAAATTTTACTTTCTGCAATGGTCAAACCAATTAATTATTGGCGTAATATACTTAAATTAGTTAACTAACTTAATTTAAGGAACTAGGTTTGAAACTCCGAGCTTGTTTTGTATTAACTTTCATGTTTTTGTTATGTTTTGAGTTAACTAAACCACTAACACTAAAAAATATGAATAATTTGTTTTTATTTTAATTTATTAGGATATTAACACTCTGCTTTATCTTGAGTTTTCTATTTCTAAAATTTTATCATGTTATAAGTATTATGTTTACTTCTATTAGACGGTAAACATGTATATGTATTTGATTGAAGGTTAAAATTTATAAATATGTATATGCATTTGACTGAAGGTTAAAATTTGTAAACATATTCTTGTTTTTCACTACAATTAAATTTACATATAAAACTCTATTTCTATTTGTTTAGAAAAACAAACTCTAACTCTAATGTTTCATTAGCTTTCTATTGTCTTAATTAATTTATATTCAACTTTTTAACTTGTAAACACATTCTAACATTTTTAAGTAGGATAAACCTTTGAATAATAAAGTAAATATATACTATTTGAAGTTGAATATTTCTTTACTCCATCTCTATTTTATATTCCAACTTTTTGATAACTTTGAACATCAAATTATCACATACTTTCTATTAATTAATCAATTTATTTGTATATTTTTATTAAATATGAATAAATGTAAAGAAATATGAATAGTCATATATTTATTAAATATTTTAAATACAATTTAATGTTTTTGTGCTGATGTGGACACTCTCAAATGGAGAGAGCAACTCCCTAATTATATATAAGATTAGTCAATAATTTGGTTGAATTTATGAAAACCCTTTTAAAATCTTTACCAAAATAGGGTATCTCATGACATTAATTATGCTCTAAAAGGGTTTTTTTTGTGCGATCCTTTGAAACTTTGAAAGTATGTAGGAGCAATCCAAAGTTTCAAACCATTAAAAACAAAACCCTTTCAGAGCACAATTAATGTCATGAGATACACATATAAATTCTCACTAATATGACTTTATTTGGTTCAAAATTAATCATAATTAAGACACACTTCTAGTATAGATCAAACATGGTTTTTGGTTGGATCCAAACATGGATTTTGATTTATTTTCATTTTTAATTTTCGATGAAATTAAAAACAAAAAATCATACAGAAGTCTAATTAGAGAAGGATTAGAGATATTGAAGTGTGTCTTAACTGTTGTAAGATAAGAGATTAAGAGGTGAATCAAAGTTGGAAAAGGAAACTATATTTTTCTCAAAACAAAAAGGAAACTCTATCACAGATTAAATATTACTAAGTTAGATCCTAAAACGGTAAGAATTAGGTTACGTGAAAGTTTATATATAGAGTTAGAGTAGTCTCTTTTTTTGCTCACTCACAAACGCATCAACGCTCTCTGACTCTCAACTTCTCCCTAAATATTTCTTTTCGTCGATTATCTTTGTGGTCTTTCTTGTTCATCTTTGATCGATAATGGCTACAACACGACTTTCATGCTTCGTGCTCATGGTGATGAGTTTCACGGTTCTAATGGGATGTTGTTGCTCTGCAAAAATCTACAAAGTCGGAGACTCCGAGGGATGGACCAGGAAGGACGACACTTATTATGGTTGGGCTGAGCATAAGCAGTTTCACGTGGGCGATTCTCTGATCTTCAAATATGATCGTAACTTCAACGATGTCACTCAAGTCTCGAGTGCTTTGGAATACGAATTTTGCAACTCTTCTTCTCCTAAGGCTGTCTACAACACAGGACACGATGTCGTGACTCTCACGGAACCAGGCTCTCACTACTTCATCAGCTCAAATCATACTCAATGCGTAGAGGGACAGAAAATCCACGTTCTTGTCGTCCGTGGCTGGTCTCGTCCGGTTCCTCAATCACTACCGAGAAATATCCTTCCTCTAGGAAAAACCTACAGGGTCGGTGAATCCAATGAATGGAGTGTTCCTCAAGAAAGTGACTTCTATTACAAGTGGAGTGAGGAGAAACAGTTTCATGTGGGGGACAATCTTCTTTTCAACTACGACGACCAAGTCAACGACGTCTTAGAAGTCAGCAGTGATCTTGAGTTCAAATCTTGCGACTCTTCTGCTCCTGTTGCTACGCACAATACGGGACAAGATCTCATTAAGCTCACAAAACCAGGAATCCAATATTTCATAAGCTCAAAGACTGGTCAATGTGAGGCTGGGCTTAAGCTTCGAGTGGTGGTGCAACCACTATTCAGAGCTGTTCCGAGGAGGATGAAGTTGTCACCTTTGGACCGCCTCATCAAGTGGTTACATAGATTTGGACCCCGAATCCATCACTAAGCATTCGTTTTTCCTATTTCGTTTTGGATTAGCTTAATTAGACTTTTCGTTTTCTTGTTTTAATTTCTTTAGTTTATAATTTATTTATTTTCCATCGTTGTTAGGTTAATTTATTCGAGCATACTATTCAATAAAGTTTCATGTTTCCTTAAAACATAACTGAAACCCAAAAGGCCAAAACTCGAAGACATGCATACCACAAACATGTATGGAATAGACCCAATAGCTTCACAAAAAAGCAAGAAAATCGTCAAATCGAACAAGTGACAAAACAAAAACTTATGATAAGAAGAAGAAAACTATTTAGTACTATATCAAAGTTTGCATCTCTATATAAACGTAGAAATCAATATATCAAAGTCCCATATTTGTTTTTTGCCCTAGACATAGTAAGAGATCGCTCTAGACATATAGTATCATTGCATTTCATGTTCCAAAATCAAAAACAAAAAAGCGTTCCTGACTTCATACTAAGAAATAAAGTAGTTGGTTTTGATGTAAAACATTTTTTGGTCTTCACAAATTCATTAGGTTTCACTCTTCTTCACCAATCTCATAAAAAGACTCCCACCAAGAAACAGGTCCTAAACCATCACCATATAGATTCCCCTGAACATTAATTTCACCCAAAAAAAAAAAATTGATTACTACAACGAAAAGGCGAAAACTATAATAAAAAGACTTTTTTTTTTTTTTTATTATAATAAAAAGACTTTGGTACCTAGAATAGAGGAAGTGAAATCAGGAGGCTTATTATATTAACCTAACTGGTGTTTCATACTATGCAAAAATACAAGTGGAGAAACTTTAGAAAATGAACTTACAGTGACCACCATAGGAGCAAAAGGATTTGCGTCTTCAGTTCGCGTAAAAGGCTTTGAAGGATAGCTAATGCTCTCAACTTGAAACCTGATCTGTTATTTACAAGACAACATTATAAAAGCAGACGACCACTTTCAAAAATTTATACTTTAAGGAGAAATTGGGGGACCAAAATTTAACCTGACAGGAGTCATCAATAATAACGTCTTCTTTGGGTTTTCCAATTTTACACACCCATCTCATTTGATTCCTGTCAACAGAAAAACATTGTGTTCTTCTCAAGCTCCTTAGTTATAGTTGGAGAGCTGAGATATTCCATAAACTGCATGCAGGATACATTTTCCTTACCTGTCATAAGGGTCAGGTTCACAGCGGTTGGGGCTTGGTATAAATGAAGCAGGCACATAAATATCTTCAAAGAATCCAAGTGTTACTGCCAAGTATAGTATTGATAACTTATGATTCATAAGTATGTAAAGGAATAACAAGAGCCATAATATCAAAAAGCATAAGCTAACTTATAAGTCGCCAATATGTACGCATGAAAAAGTAACAATACAATAGAGTAAAAAAAAATGTACAACTTCTTAAGAAAAATATTTTACTCACAGCGCAAGCCATTGGCACCAGATTCTTTTAAATTTGCAACTATGACCTCACCAACAAATGGACGAAACACCACAATTCTAAAACCTACCTACAGTCACAATGGGAAAAGAAAAAGTATTAACGACACAAGCATGATATATTGAGTCAAAGGCTTTCCGATAATAAGAAGAGAGATGAGGAAACATTTGCAATTTAGAACTTACCTGATAGCTCGTGGTCCCAGCGCCATATTCGGCACCTTCTACTGATTTGATGTCGTAAATAGATACGCAGAGGCCTAGATTTTCCAAAACCTTACATATCGAAATCCACTTTGAAAAATTAGCCAAGCGGATATAATGGAAAAACATAGGATAAAACAGCTCACAAGGACATGAACAAAACCTTGTCCAAGAACACATTTTGAAGCACCGAAATAATGGCTTCTTCGAGGGGGAGGTTAAGGAGATGGTAAGGCACTCTTACTGTATGCTTGAGCTCGCTAAGATAGAACATTTCAAAGTTAAGTTCCAAAAGCCACTGCAAGTTGATGCATAGTAACAAATCAATCAGAGAGGGTAGAATCTTTTAAGCTAAAAAAGATATAAAAAACAGAACATTTAAAAGTAATTACGTGTCAATCACCAAAACTTCAATATTAAAAAAAAGGTCATTGCATCATAAGATACGTAGTAGAAATCCAATCCTCAAAACTAAAAAATAGAGTGTTAGGATTACAAACATAAGCATCCCTAGTCAAACAAGATTACGCATATCAAGCATCGTAAAGGTAATTTATAAAAAAATCGAATGCAAACTCACCTTCAAATTGGAAAATTCCTGATCTGGTTTTGAGGAAGAAAGCCTATAATTTGAGGATTCCGATCGACGAAGAAGCTAGTCGGAAGGTAGATGGAATTGTGAGTGAATGACTTCGCAATCCAATAAACCCTAATAGCCCTGAGCCAGAGGATACACAATTGAGAATTATAGAACCGGGCTCGTATTTAAATATATATTTTATTTTAATTTCTCTTTATCCAGTGTCTTGTTAGATACATTAATCTATATGAAAATACAGTAGAATTAAGGGTCTATAAATTAATATTCATTTTTTAAGAAACCTATATAAATATATGATCTCATTAATATCATATAAATTAATAATTTCCATAAACAAATCATATACAAAGATATGACCTATAAGAATATACTAAAATATATGTATAGTATTATTATTTTTATTTAAATACTTTTTAAATTTATCTCTAATTTTAGAATAAAATTTTAAAAAATATTATAATTTTAAAAAACATTTGATTTTAAACTAATTTTTAATAATAAAAAATATCAAAATCCATATAAATTAATAAAATATCAAAATCCCAAATATTATTAGTTTATAGAGTTTATACTGTACCATAAAATAACTCCAAAACAAGTTCTAGGTACAATTTCTCATAACCATGATTCGATCGTTCTTTCGGAGAATGGTGTACCGGATATATTAGAGAACGTAATTTAATTGATTGAACTGTATAAAAAGGAAATTGAGAAGCTTCTTGGTCCTAATCAACTTTGAAAAAGGAAAATCCTTTTGTGTATTTCATATTTTGACTCAACAAAGCTCCCTACATATTTCATATTATATTTCCAGAACTTAACCACACAAATTATCTGAAATTCAATAACGGAGAAAGATTATTCTTCCCCAGAAACTCTATGATCCCATGGTTTATAACACAAGGTCGGTGACGAAGAAGAAGAATAGTACCGAGGCAGAGACAAATAACCAAACTTGGTCAAACCTTCCTTCTGATCTCACGTCACTAATAAATCAAAACCTGTCGTTGAAAGACAACATTCGTGCTTCCGCTGTTTGCAAGACATGGCACCAAGACCCAACACCATGGGTTATGTTCATCCCTATATACAAAGACGAATGTAACCTCTATGATCCATCACTCGCCAAGACACACATCGTTAAGTGTCCTGCGTTACGCGATTCACATGTGCTTTATTCCAAAGACGGTTGGTTACTCATGCAAGATAGAAAGCTCTCAAAACCCTTCTTTTTCAATCCGTTTACACAAGTCCGCATTGAAGTGGATTGGCGTGATCTGTGGCTCAGTGATGCTATAGCTTTCTCATGTGCTCCTACATCGAGTAGTTGTGTGATATTCGCGGTGGATGATATCGGCGCGACACACTTCTTCATCCGTATACATCGCCACACCATTAATAAGCGGAATGCGTCGTTTACAAGGCATCGGTAGCCCCTTGGACACGGAAGTTTCGAACATGTTGTTTTCTCCAATGGAGTCTTCTATTGTCTCACCAAAACAGGTTGCTTAGGGATGTTCGATCTCTCTACGATGTCTTGGAATGTTCTTCCTGAGCGGTCTCCTAATCGCCTTAAAGCTAGTCAATGTTTCATGACAGAGTACCGAGGAGATATATACCTTGTGTACACGCATGGCCTCGAGGAAAAACAGACTTTTCTTAAACTAGATCTTGCAAACCGGAGATGGACGGAGAAGATAAGACTGGGTTTGACGTTTTACCTAGGCGTCCAAAGTGCTGTGACGTCGACGACGAATAGAGATTTAGTGGAAACCCCAAGGCTGAATTTCTGGACTGAGTGTAATGTCTGGATAAAGCCACCCATGAACGTCTCAGATTTGTTCAAATCTTGAGAGTGATCTGCTGCATTCCTTTTTTTTTTCTCTGTTTCTTGTGAGTTGTGAGGCTCCTCTTTGTACTTTTTAATGAAAAGGAAAAAAAAAAAACTCTGATTTTCTTGAAGGACTAGGGTAATTTAATTCCTTGCATCAAAAGCAATATACATAAATTAATTTGCTCGGATTTGGGCAATACTGACGCTCTAGTTATCTCTTTCAAAAACATGACCATATATTATTATCTAGGTTCAACAACGAAGAAAGATCGTAATCGCTACAAATTTATCCATCGTTACAATGATGAAGAAGAAGAAGAGTATGGAGGAGGCAACAGAAAATAACCAAATTATTATTTTTTTTTTTTTTAAAACTCACGTTACTTATAATGCACGTCTGTCGTTGAAAGACAACATATCTGTGCTTCCGCTGTTTGCAAATATGGCTAAATAATTTATATATGTTGGTTGATAGACAACATCAAAAACCTAAGTAGATAGGTCATCAATAAGTAAATAAACAAAAACACTAACCGAAGAGGTTAAAACCAAGAACCTAAAGTACCAAATCTCCAATAAAGCCAAAAACAAAGTAAATAACATCTATGAAATTCCCTAAGATGTGAACAAGTATGAGGCGTTTATGGGTAGTTTTATCCAAACGTTATTCCAGTTAAACTGATTCAATTTGCGGGTATGCACTAAGTCCTTATTCACTATCAAAGAAGACTTGAAGCTTAAGCAACACGTCAAACCTTTTGGCCTTTTCTCATCCTCCTCCCACTTCCGGTTTGTAAGATCTAGCTTAAGATATCTCACTTGTTTGACTTTACGCTTGTACGTGTATATAAGAAAGATATCTCCTTGATACTCAGTCATAAATTTATCATAGTAGTCTAAACCCCAATTAGGAGGCGGTCCAGGAAGAGCATTCCAAGAATTTGTAGCGAGATCGAACATCCCCAACACACCTATGTTGGTGAGACAATAAAAGACTCCATTGGAGAAAACAACATGGTCGAAACCTGCGTATTTGGGAGGGAACGGATGCGGGAGAACCAGCGGAGTGCACACTTTAGTAGCAAGATGGTATGTTTGGATAAAGATGGACTTGTTGTGGTTGATATCGCAGATCGAGAGTATGACACAACTATTCGATGTAGGAGCACATGAGAAAGCTCTTGCATGATTACCCCACCTATCATGCGGCCAAGGAAGTACAATGCGTTCTTGTGTAAACGGATTGAAAAAGAAGTTGAGACTTCTTTTGTGCATAAGCAACCAACCGTCTTTAGAACAATCAATGTGTGAACCGCGTATCTCAGGGGGAGACTCAAAAACATGTGTTTTGTCGAGTGAAGGATCGTATAGCTCGTATTCTTCTTTTAGAAAAGGGAAGTGCATAAGCCATGGTGTCGGATACTCCTCAACAGGAACGGAAGCACAAGCTTCTTGCCATGCTTTGCAAACAACAGAAGCACGAACGTTGTCTTTCAACGACAGGCGCCGCATTATTAGTAACGTGAGATCAAAGGGAAGGTTTAAATAAGTTTGGTTATTTGCCTTTGCCTCTGTACTCTCCGTCTTGTTCTTCATCATGGACCTTGTACAAACAGCCATAGAGATTACAATCTTTCTTGGTTGTTGAAAGTCACAAAAAGTGTGGTTAGGTTTTGGAAAAAGATATAGTTAGGGTTTTCTCAAACTTTGAAATCAAAGAAATCACGTGCAAGGATGGAGATTTATATGGTGAGATTACTATGTCGATTTAAAAAAGGAAAGAAAAAGGAGTTTCCCTTCTTTTTAGGCCCGAAAGATTTCTCAATTTCTAAAGGAGTATATTCAAATCTTGAGACGGTTGTATGATCTATTATATCTATATAAGCTAAAAGGCTAAAGGGACTCAGTGACTCACTGATCAACATGAAACTTAAGACTTGAACAAGCATATAAAGCAAAGCAGATGAGTATGATAGGATAGCAAATATCATTACCCTTAACGTACAAGATATAATTGCATCAGTTGATTTTTGCATGATTTCTTAGAGTTCTATCTTCAAATGCAAATTAGGGGTTTGAGTAACTTTCTAGTCATATTGATTGCTCCTTCGAGAATACAAGTATACGTGTTTGCTCCTTCGTGAATAATTGTACGATTAATTTAATTTCTTCATCTTGCCAAGAAAATTGTTGGAGACTCTGTAATTGCATCAAACGTTTACCAAGTTTAGTGGTGAGACCTGGGTTCGAATCGCAGCAGCCACAATACTCTTTCGCAATTATTTCAAAAATTTCTTTTGGGGATTTAGGGTTTAAGCGGATTCGGGAGTGATATGCTTGTTCGTAATTTTAGAGTCATTTTGGGGTGTATACTCGATGTCTGCGCGAATCGTCTTCATCGGATTGAAACAGAGAGTTCGGTCGGAATTTGAGGTTTTCAGGTTCTGTTTATTCTGTGTTTTATCTTCTTTCTCTTGTGCTACTTTTTCCCGGTTTGGTAGTGGCATTGCCTTTTGTCATGAATGCTCTGATAATCCATGGAAGAAGATCGATCCAGTTGCAGAAATTGCGTCGTTGGCGAGTTTCAGTGAAGCCAGAGGAGCAAAAAGGAACCTGATTTTTGCAGTTCCTTGTCATCTGCTCCACATTTGACCCTTGAAGCTGGTCGAAAGGGGAAGACTTTGACAGCCTCTTACCTCGTTGATTCGTTGGGTCGCAGAGTCAATCTCCAGGAAAGTTAGCTTTGAGGACAAGGGCAATCCAGATTCTGTTCTGACATCTGAGTCTTCGTAGAAGTCATGGTTTCACAGATTCTCAGATCTTAATCGTATGCTACGATTATTCAAGCAGATAAGAGCTCCGGGGAGGATGAGAAGTCATGTCAATCATGGCCACAAGGTATGCGAGCGAACAAAATCCGAAACGTTTTGGTTCTGAGAGACTTAGGAATGCCTCAGAAGCTCTTGTTCCTCTAAAGTATGTGGCTTTGTTTCAGCAAGGAGAAGAGGATTGTGCCAAGGTGTAACGTAGTCGAAGCTCTCATGTCCAAAGGATTGCGAGGAAACAGATGAACCAAACTAACCTTGAATGGAATATGTTTACAAGATTGGCGGTGAAGCTTTCTTAAACAAGTATTTGATGAGGCACAATGAAAAGGAGCTTTGTGGCTGAGTCGATGGTTTTTGAAATTTGTGTTGATCTCTTTCATTTGCAATCCAAGTGGGAAAGATTAGTTTGGTAGAAGAATTAATTTCACTAAAACTCTTTTTAGTATAAAAGATTTATATGTTGTTTAATGAATTTGGCTGCTGCACTGAGATAAGATTTCAATAATATTCAGATCCTAGATTCGCATTTTCACAGTTTCCAAACCACAAAAAAAAAACTACAACCAAAAACACAAACTGTGTTCATATTTCTTGGTTATATCACTTCAATGGATACTTATAAGTCGAAGGTTGCAAGAGAGAGAGAGATGTAGAGATTAGTTTGGTAGGCTGAATCATGCAATCTCTCTGTCTCATTCGTTGAAGGGTATGTCACCCACATGCATCTCACCATCAAGCTGAACAACGGTCCCCAAGGCAATTGTTTTGCCTGAAAATAAATAGATTTGACATTTGTAAGATTCCTTCAGTTTTCAAAACCAGAATTCAGAACTTAACTAAATATAAGAGTTTTTACCAGCATAGCTAAGAACAACCCTTCCAAGTCTGGGGCAATCGCATAACCTCTCCAAGGAAATAGGTTCACTGACCTGCAAACATAAAAGAGAGATGCAATTAAACTATCCATCGAAGTTCAAAGGAGTTAAACTAAACATGGAAATAAACTCAAACCTCAATCTTGCAGATGGCACTCTCACCACCCTTCACAAAGGGAGATCTTCTCTCGATGAAAACACCACTGAAGCAGCTGCGGGTTAAAGCAGGCTCTCCCTCTTCCGAGTAGGCTTTGAGATCACCAATCTCACAACTTTTTGCAGCGGCATGGAAGTGGATCTAAAAGGTTATTCGGAGGAGGGAGAGCCTGCTTTAACCCGCAGCTGCTTCAGTGTTGATTTCATTGAGAGAAGATTTCCCTTGTAACCAGCATCCAAAAGGTAAATAAATATAATTAACATTGTGAAAAATTCTAATAGACTAAAACCGCACTAGTTTTGCATTCTCGATTTTACATTCTCAATGATATCCTCGTTTAATCCGTGTACAGGAAGACAAGAAGCCAAATGAAGCAACATCACCTAAAGCAGGTGAAGTCTCAGCCAATATCGAGAGTGGTTTTGATATTTTCTAAGTTTCTACTTATGCTGAATATTTTTCAGATTGCTGAAATATTCCAGAAGCGATTAATAGGTAAAAGAAGTTGACAATGATTGAACAATTCTAGTTGACGAGGATTGAATGCTTGTGATCTGCGATCTGCTCTCATCGGTTCATATTATCTAAGATTAAGATGGGTTTTTTCGTCAATGTTTGATGAAGGTTCATAACACTATTATTTTTGTGTTAGTTTTGAAATGTTATGCAGTTTAGATTTATGAGAAACTATTTAAATTTTTTAGTTTCTCCCCACTATCTTCTGCTTTTTTCTTTCCCATTCCTAGATTCTTTTTGGTTTTTCACTTTTTTTCTTTACATGCTCTTTTTGTTTTATCCAAAATAATCCTGATTTACTTGACGGAATAGGGTAATGTTAATTTCTCTACATAAAGTCAACATAAGAGAAAAATGATTTGATCAGATGGGGATATTTTGTAGGGTTATAACTGTTCGGATGAAAAATAATTAAAATACTTTTAGCAAAATAAATAAATAAATGATCAGATCCTAATCAAAATTTGCAATAAAAGAATTAAGTTACGTGGTCAGAGAATTGATATTTGTTTTTATATATACACAGGGGCAGATCTAGAAATTAATTTCATTTTAACCTTGTAATATAGAGTTAACAACATGGGCAGATCAACAATTATACCTAAAATTACATTAATTTGGAAAATTCATGGGGGGCAACTGCCCCTCCTACTTCCTACTTCTAACCTAGATCCGCCTCTGTATATACAGTGAGATATATCTTAAACTAGATCTTGCAAACCGGAGGTGGAAAGATGACAGATGGTTGAAGGGTTTGAGGTTTTTCTTGAGCTTCAAGTCATCTTTGACAACGAATGGGGGACTTAGCATGATCAACGTGGCCGTGCTTAAATAAGCATTTTGCCATGTGGCACGTCACGATTGGATGAGTGAAATTGAGAAAAAAGAAAAGGAATGGGCTTGCGTCGTTGTCGAGGCTCTTGAGCCTTTTGCCGTTCGCTCCGTCGTCGTCGGAGGTAGCCGCAATTCTCTCGCCATTTGCGATGAATGTGATTGTCCGTCCACAGAACCATTCCATTCCTAGAAGATGAACTTATCTCTGATTGGAATATGCTCTAGTTTTAGGTGATTTCTAGATTGGAGAATGTGCTTTAGTCCACTTTCCTTGACAAAATGTTGAAATCCTTGCAGATTCAGGTAAAAAAAGTTTTGATTTTGATGTTTTCCATTGGAGAAGAGTAGAAGACAAAATATTCTGCTTAAAACAACTCTTATATTATGATATTAGCTAAGCACTCAATTAAGCGTTCTTGCATTGCACATGCGTAGTGGAGACCAAGAGAACGGATCAATGTAACTATATATAGCTAAATAACTATATATCTACGTAGTATATTAAATATAAGATTAAGTCGATATTGTATCGTGTTTATTCTTTTTTGTAATTTTGATGTTATCCAAAATTACGATTTCTAATCTTGATATGGCTGGACTTCGTAGAAACTCAATGAGAGTCCGGCTAGTGGAATGAAGTCGTCTTCATCATATAACTGATTTCCGTGTACAAGTTCAGTTTCCAAAGAATATAAGACAATTTTCATCGATATATAACGAACACAATGATATTAACGATATTATTTTGCCTCGAGTCTGTTTTTGGTACGGTACGAGAGAGAGACATAGAGAATTAAAAAGTTAGAGATCTAAATAAGGGTGGAGAACAAAAAATGGGTTTTGTGTGTGAATTTGACAAGTGGATGGCCGGAGTTAAAGGTAGAGATCTAAGGGTCGACAAAAAAAGGGTTTTGGTTTTGTTAATGAAGTGATACACGTGGATGGTTGGGATTAGAAGTTGAGATCTAAGGGTCGCGGTGAAAAAGTGCGTTTGGTGTGTGAATAGACAAGTGGATGGCTGATTATAAAAGTTGAGATCTAAGGGTCGAAAACAAAAACTGGGTTTTGGATGGAAATACATATTGTGTATTGTGCCTATGAAGTTTGAAGTTTAGAAAAATAATTTAAGAAATAAATACTAAATGATCAAATCTCAATTTATTTTGGTTGAATACTCTATTTAACGAATATATATCCGGGAAGGAAATTCACAAGTTTCTTTGCGGCTAAACAGCTAAAATAAGGAAGTTAAAAAATCTTTTGGGCCAAATCAACTAAAAAAGCTCTTTGTTTTTATTTATTTGTTATATGTCAGTTTAACCAACAAAATTCCCTACATATTGATTTATTTTCTTTATTTTGATAACCATCATATTAATTTCTTGCTAATTTTTGTTTTACGTAAACATCGAATAATTTTTAAGAATTTTATTGAAATGGAGTTATTAAATTATTGGAGAAGTTTCAAAATTACACCTCACTGATTGTGATTACATTTACAACATGTAAGCTAATGTTTGTGACTTCTATGAGCTAATTATTGCACTTGCATTGGGAAATTGCTAATCAGTTCATATCTTTCTTTCATGTACATTTATGTATGTGATTTATGTAAGCTAATCTTTTAGTTTTTACATTGCATGGGCTGGAAAATCAACACTTGCAGGACAAATTCTTGTACTTAGTGGTCAGGTGGATGAAGAAGACATGGAAAAGTATGAGAAAGAAGCAAAAGACAAGAATAGAGAAGGATCGTGAGTGTTCCAATTAATTCAATAAGGAGTTTCTGTTTAACATTCTCAAAGTAAAACCGCACAACGTTTGCATTTTCGATTTTACATTCTATATGCTATCCTCGCTTAATCCGGCTTAATCCATGTACGGGAAGACAAGAAGCCAAATGAAGCAACATCACCTAAACATAATCGGTTCGAAATATTTGTCATAATTGGCTTTTTGTAGATATTTAAGATTAAGACGATTTTTTCGTCAATGTTTATCGATGAAGGATTATAACATTATTATTTTTTGTGCTAGTTTTTAAATGTTATGTCAGTTCAAATTTATCAGATACTATTTAATTTTTTTAGTTTCTCCCACTATCTTCTGCTCTTTCTTTTTTTCTCATTCCTTGGCTCTTTTTTTTTTCTCATTTCTCGGCTCTTTTCGAGGGAATAGGGTAATGTTAATTTTCTGTACAAGATTACATCAAAGTCAACATAAGATGAGAATGATTTGATCAGATTGGGATATTTTGTAGGGCTATAAATGTTCGGATGAAAAATAATTAAAAGACTTTTAGGAAAAAATAATAAATAAAGGATCAGATCCCTACTTTAACTAGAGTTGGAAATGGAAATACTCTATTTGACTAATTTAATTGGTCGATGCCTTCTCTCTTAAATCCCAAAAAAGGATATTGAGAAACGTTTCCGGCAACAAGAAAAAATGGAAACTCCTTTTCTTTCCTTTTTAAAATCGACAAAGAAATCTCACTGTATATTATATATAAATAATGTATCAATCCTCTGACCACACGTAACTTAATTCTCTGATTACAAATTTTGGTTAAGCCCTAACTCTCTCTCTTCCCAAAACCAAACCACAATCTGACATCCAACAACGAAAGTAGAAAGATAATCTCCAAAGCTCTATCCATGGTTGAAACAAGGTCCATGAAAAAGAAGAGAAAGAGTAAAAACTATTCAAACCTTCCCTTCGATCTCACGTTACTGATAATGCAACAGCTCTCGTTCAAAGACAACATTCGTGCTTCCGTCGTTTGCAAAACATGGAACGAAGCTTGTGTTTCCGTTCGAGTCAAAGACCCAACACCATGGCTTATGGTCTTTCCTAAAGACGAAGAAGCATGCCAGCTATACGAGCTATTCGATCCATCACTTGAAAAAACACATACTTGTAAGTCACCCCTTGAGTTACGTGGCTCACACGTTGAACATTGTAGAGACGGTTGGTTGCTTATCAGCGATAAAGATCTCACCAAAACCTTATTTTTCAATCCGTTTACACAAGAACGCATCGATCTCCCTTGGCCTGATATGTGTCCTACACATCCATTAGCTTTCTCATGTGCTCCTACATCTAACAGTTGTGTAATATTCTCTGTCTACGAGATCAAGAAAGGATCAATCATTATCAAACTATACAATCTTGCTACTAAAGTGTGCACTCCTTTGACTCTCCCGCATCGGTTGCCTCTTCGTGGAGGTTTCGAACATGTTGTTTTCTCCAATGGTGTCTTTTATTGTCTCAACGACGTGGGTTGGTTAGGGATGTTCAGTATCTCTACGAATTCTTGGAGTGTTCTTCCTCGCCTACGGACTCCTAAATGTGATTATACATCACCATGTCGCTTCATGACGGAGTACCAAGGAGACATCTTGCTTATATACACGAACAAGGACGAAGACTTCAAAGTAACGAGATATCTTAAACTAGATCTTGCAAACCGGAAGTGGAAGGATGACAGAACGTTGAAGGGTTTGAGCTTTTTCTTGAGCTTCAAGTCTACGTTGACAACGAATGGGGACTTAGTGGAGACCAAGAGAACCGATCAATGTAAATGCTGTAATAGAATCTGGTTTAAACCACCCACAAACGTCTCAGATTTGTTCAAAACTCAGGAAATTCTTAATTAGTTCTCAATTCGCTTTTAGTTTTCTTGGATTTTTTTTTTGTACAATCAATACAATTTGTCTTAGTTTTTACATGTGTGTATTTAGGTTCTCAGTGACCTCACATTTGGCTTATAGTTCACCGGTTTAGCACTTTAGTTTAGTCCATACCGATGTTCTGTTTGTGTCTTTGAAGGAAGGAGCTTAAGAGGAGAATAATGGTTGGGTGAAGAGAGGAGACTAGTGTTCATCAAAGGAAGGAGAGGTCCATGGAATTTGGCAATTAAAGTCTCATCTTCGTTTCGTTTCTCTCAATGTTTGTTCCATTTCGTTTCTCTCCCTCAATGTTTGTTCCAGATTTGATGGGTTTGCATAACCCATCGAAGAATCCATGTGTAAGGTTTTAGATAAGCATGATGAAGAGAAATCGACCCAGGAAAAGGCTGCTGAAGCTGAAAGAATGAGACCCTTGAGCATCGGACACTATGGTATTTTAATGATACAAAAGCTCTGAAACCCTGCTAATCTTTTTGCATTGAGATTATTGTGAGCTAATTTCAGTTTCAGTTGTAATTTTTTTATTTCAGTTTCTGTGAGCTAATGATTGTGGTTTCAGTTTGTGTGAGCTAATGATTGTGATTTCAGTTACAATCTGTGAGCTAATCATTGTGACTTCTGTGAGCTAATCATTGCACTTGCACTGGGAAATTGCTAATCATTTCGTCATCTTCTTGCATTTACATTTATGTGATCTAAGCTAATCTTTTTACATTGCAAGGGCTGAGAAATCAACACTTGCAGGACAAATTTTTGTACTTAGTGGCCAGTTGGATGAAGAAGACATAAAAAAGTATGAGAAAGAAGCAAAATACAAGAATAGACAAGGATCGTGAGTGTTCCCAATTAATTCAATAACGAATTTCTGCTTAACATTTGTGATCCTGAAAATTTACAGTTGTGGTTGTGTATGGAAAACAGCCATCTGGGAACAACATCGACAAGAAGATGAGTCAGGGCATGACAACTGTCTCATGTTATTTCAAGACCTGAATTCGATGACAGTTGTTAAGCGAGGGGATTACAATGGTCCTTTTAGGTGAAACCTTTTGAATTATCTGTCTTTTCATTCCAGTTTGTTAGCTTATCATTAAGCGTTGGCTGATTGTGAATAATTCTAATAGATTAAAAACCGCACAAGGTTTGCATTCTCGACTTAGTGGAGACCAAGAGAACCGATCAATGTGAATGCTGTAATAGAATCTAGCTAAAACCACCCACAAACGTCTCAGATTTGTTCAAAACTCAGGCAATTCTTAATTAGTTCTTAATTACTTGTTCCTCGTTTTTAGTTTTCTTGGATTTTTTTCTATAGTCAATACAATTTATCTTGGTTTTTACATGTGTGTATTTAGGTTCTCAGTGACCTCACATTTGGCTAAATAACGTATGTTGCTACCGTTTTCGATCGCTTATTTAATTTCAAAGTGGATAATGAATATAGCAAATTTGTCACTATAAGACCAAAAGCTTTGATCTGTTTACTCAAGTAAAGAGACATACACAAGAATCTCAACGTGGTACACAACCGTATTCACGTAACCATCACGGTACACAAATTAAATTAGGGAAATCTTATTAACACAACCAAATAAGAAAGCTTTCACCACAAACACAACGAGAGAGATATCTTAAACTAGTTCCCGGTCTGATGATCTTTCTCACCTCTCCAAATCATCACAACCAAAATTATGACCAGTTCTGGAACAAAAAGAAGAAACAAAATAACGAAAAAAAAAAAAAAATTCTTTAAATTTCAGTTAATGAGCATTTTCAATGAAGTCATCTCCAAGCTGATGCACTTGCTGAGACAGAAGCAGTCTTGGTATTGGATCTGCTCTTTTCAGGGCATGAACACTTGTAATAGGTCACACATGTTCCACTTTTTCAGACTTTTTAGTATAAATTGCATTTACTTATTAAAAGGCGTTAACACTTGTCCTAATAGTCAAAGGACTATAAGATTATATCATTCATATACAGTTTTCCTAATTTATTAATTTTTAGTTGCACAGTCGAATTAATCTTGTACTAGTAGAGGACCTCCGCGAACGCGCGGTATGACCTTGCGGTTTTATAAAGAAAATCTAAATCCTAAACCGAACCCGACCCAAAAACCCCTATTAAAAAAATCCCGAAAACCCTGAACCAAATAAAAAAACTCTAAACTTTTTCATCCGAAACCCGAACCCGACCTTAAAACCTAATAAAAATTTCAAAATACCCTAACTTTTTTACAATGTCTAAACCCGAAAACCCGAAATCCAAAAAATCCGGAAAACCAAGAACTAAACACAAAAAAAACTCGAACCCAAACCGAACACAAATTTTAAATAAAACCCGAACACAAATCCACAATTTATTTAAATTAGACGTATTTCTATTTCACTATTGGAAATTTTGCAAATATCATTCGATCATATTCTATTGATTTGATATTATCCATAGATTATGTCAATTTTTCTTTTTTGCCAATTTTTAAGAGTTGAAAAACGGTAGTTTTCTAAACCATCAATTTGTTTTAAGTTATTATTCTTGTATCCAAACAGTTTTTTCCATTTATTCTTCTATCCAAATAGATTTTTCTCTTATTCTTATATCCAAACAATTTTTGTTTTCATTTATTCTTCTATCCAAATAGATGTTTCTTTTATTCTTGTATCCAAGCATTAGAATGTACTTCTAGTAGAGTACCCGCACGTTTGTGCGGTGTGACGTTGTTGTTTTGTGTAGAAAATTTAAACCCTAAATCCGAACCCGACAAAAAACCCTAATCAAAAAATTTAAAAACCCAAACTTTTTTAATAGGTCTAAACATGAAAATCCGAAATCAAAAAAATCCCGAAAACCCTGACTGAACAAAAAAAATCTGGAAACTTTTTCACCCGGAACCCGACCCCAATACCTAATCAAAATTTTAAAATACTCAATTTTTTTAATATATCTAAACCCGAAAACCAGAAATCTAAAAAATCCGGAAAACCCTAAACTGAAAAAAAAATTGAACCTAACCCGAACAGAAATTTTCAAAGAAACCCGAACAATTTCTATATCTCTATATATATCTCTATAAAATTATGTCTCAGATTTTCACCCAAACCCGAACTTGTCTATAAAAACCCGAAAATCCAAAAAGCATATTCTATTGATTTGGAATTATCGTTAGATTATGTTAAGTTTTCTTTTTTGCAGATTTTTAAGAGATGGAAAACGGAAGTTTTCTAAACCATCGGTTTATTTTAAGTTATTATTCTTGTATCCAAACAATTTTTTCCATTTATTCTTCTATCCAAATAGATTTTTCTCTTATTCTTATATCCAAACAACTTTTGTTTCCATTTATTCTTCTATCCAAATAGATGTTTCTCTAATTCTTGTATCCAAACATTAGAATGTACTTCTCAATTAATAATATAAAGATACTACTATATATTTTGTTAAATGAATAGTCTTGTTTTGAAAAGAAAACTGATAGATTTTTTTAAATGTATTATTGACTTTTCCGGGTATTTACTTTTCTGTATTAGTAACGTCCAGTTATAGAACGCCAATAAGCATTTCAATTTCATAAGAAAGAAAAAAAACGAAATGGAAGAATAATAAACGTTGACGTTATCAAAAAGAATAAACATTGATCATTAAAATTCGATTTTTGTGCTCCACCAAACCTGTTAAAGCAGAACATTTGTCTTATTGCCACTAATATTTAGTACATATAATTTGCAATTTTAACAGAATCTTGCTAAATTCACGAACTGCGTTATGTCTTAAGATTCCAAATTTCCAATTGAGTAAAGTCAAAGATTCACTCGTTCAGGTCCTAATGCTGACCCGATCACACCGTCCACCGACCGACTCGCGAAGACAAATCTTTACAATTCAATTCTTATATATTTCTATTAAATAATTACGTACATCAATTTAATATTATGAGCTATCCAATTACTTATCTCATATGGTCATGTCCTTGGTGTCTCTGACTCGACTTTATTAATGACTTATTATTTTATTTTATCTAAACTAAATGTTCTGTCAGAAAATTACGCCGAAATTCTTATCTTGTATCTTTTACAAAAATGGTAATTTCACAAAAGGAAAATAATTATTAAAATGATCAGAATATCCCTCTAATTTTTATTTTTATTTCAAAAGACACTACATTAGTTATAGTTTTATCTAATTCTATCTTTGATTTCATAATAGATATAGTTTAAGATTTTTATTTTGGTTTAACAATAGATGTTGTTATAGAAATTTAATATAATTTTTGGGTAAAAAATATCCAATTTCTCATACTTTAGATTAATAGAAAAAGAGACAAAGGTTCACTAGAAATCTAAAATTAATTCAATTTTGGAAATTATAATGAAAAATTTAATTCACCATCTTAATGTTATAAATCTGGGTTTTAATTAAATAGTTCCATTGATAACAAAAAAAAATTATATAGCAAGGTTGTCGGTTGATATAAAAAGAAAACTTTAATTCACGTGAAAAATGCCAAGATTACATGTATACTGCAATATGGAAAGAGATATTTTTATTCCATTTCATTGTTAAAAATTTATCCTTATGTCACGTTTAGTAACTGTTGAGATGTATATTAATCCGAATCTGAAATCGCATTAACTTCTTATCGGTTACATGATAAAACGAATGCGGAATCTACGATAATGAATTATGGGTTATCAAGATTCTTCTGTTTCCTTTTGTCAAACAAAATATTCTCCTATTTAATGGTCCAGTAATTTGCAGCTAAAAATAGAAAACCACGTAATTTTGACGTCAACAATACAAAAATCCACATAGGTTTTGCTATGCAAAATGAAATATGAAGATAAGCTTAATAACTTCAATTTTGTCATTGAAAAGTTGTAAATTGATTTCCTTGTAATGGAAACCAGCCATTCAAAGTTAAAAACATATAAATCCATATATGAATGATTACAAATACTAAATGAGAAAAGTTGAAATGACGTACCCATCAATACCCATCAAAATTTCTTTTTGATCCAATAGCTCTAGTCAAACAAAAAATTTAGACAATTCTCACTTTTTGAAAAGATTCTCTCTTAATTTTTGCGTATTATTTTCCTGATTCCATTCCCAATTTAAGGAAAACAAAACTTCTATTATCCCAATCAGACCTTATAGAGTAAACTCATAAAAGCCTTATGTGTGTATAAATACAACATGTAGCCATAACATACACACAAACCCCAACACACACAAAAACACTTGTGAAGAAAAAAAGAGAGACAAGAAAAAACCGAAAACAAGAAAGAAAACAAGAAAGCTATCTTAAAGTTTCAATGGCAAACCGTTTCCTCCGGCCAAACCTCATCAACCGTTTCTCCACCATGAGTCCCGTCGGTCCTCCGGCCACCGTCGTCCCTGAGATTCTTTCCTTTGACCAGCCAAAACCAGATGTTGACCTTGATCTGTCCGACCAATCTCGACTCTTCGCTTCTGTCCCAATCTCCGACCTTGTGCGTTCAACGGCCGTTCTCCATGCTACGGCTATAGGCCCTATGGTCGATCTTGGCTCTTGGGTCATGAGTTCGAAGCTCATGGATACGACCTTTACACGAGACTTAGTCCTCAGTTCCGTGAAAGGAACGTTTTACGACCATTTTTGCGCCGGAGAAGACGCGGCTGCTGCCGCGAGGCTCGTGAGAAGTGTGTATGAGTCGACGGGACTAAAAGGGATGTTGGTCTACGGCGTAGAACACGCCGAAGACGGTGGCGCGTGTGATAGCAACATCGAGAAATTCATTGAGACTGTTGAAGCTGCTAAAACCCTTCCTACGTCTCATGTAAGTTAAATCTCAACTTCCTTTTTCCAAAACAGTCTGTTCATATTTGTTCATCAATATATGTCTTGTTTTCACTCAAAATGTTTTTCTGCCATTTCCCTTAATTTTACGTTTAAACATAATACTTCAAACCATTATTTTTTATTCAGATCAAAACAATATCTTAGTTGGTTACATATTTGCCTATATGATAATCAATCTGTATAAGTTGGATCTACAATACTTCAATCAAATCATAGATGTATAGATGCATCATATGGAAATGCATAAAAACGTGGAGTTATCTGGAACCACTTAAAACCCTTTCTACCAAAATAAAATAAAATAATAATTTAGTTAAATTAGAAAGGAGACAAAATGCAAACCTTAAAAATCAAGAAGAAAACCCACTTGTCTGATTTTGCATTTTTATTTTAATTATGAATAAAATAATTAAAGACACGTCACTTTCTCGTCAGGTTTAAAGTTAACACATTAATCACGCAATAAGAACAAATTTGGAAATCTGAAATGTCAACGACACTACAAGAATATTCTTCAGTTTACAATAATCCCGGTTTATTTCGGTTCACTGACTAATCAATTTTTCTTGGTCTTTGGTCTTTGCCTTAACAGCTAAGCTCAGTGGTGGTGAAAATTACAGCGATTTGTCCAATGAGTCTCCTAAAACGAGTAAGCGATTTGCTCCGGTGGCAATACAAGAACCCAAATTTCAAACTTCCATGGAAACTCAATTCATTCCCGGTTTTCTCCGGTTTAAGTCCTCTCTACCACACAACCTCAGAACCAGAGCCATTAACCGCAGAAGAAGAACAAGAGCTTGAAAAAGCTCACGAACGCCTCAAATCCGTATGTCAAAGATGCCAAGAATACAATGTACCGCTACTAATCGATGCCGAAGACACAATTCTCCAACCGGCGATCGATTACATGGCGTATTGGTCGGCGATCACGTTTAATTCCGACAAAGATCGACCAATCGTTCACAACACGATTCAGGCTTATCTAAAAGATGCAGGAGAGAGATTGCACTTGGCTTTACGAGAATCCGAGAAAATGAATGTTCCTATTGGGTTTAAACTAGTTAGAGGTGCTTATATGTCTAGTGAAGCTAAATTAGCAGATTCCTTGGGTTACAAGTCACCGGTCCACGACACCATTCAAGACACACATTCTTGCTACAATGAATGTATGAGTTTCCTCATGGAAAAAGCCTCGAATGGATCCGGCATTGCCGTTATTCTAGCGACGCATAACACTGATTCAGGTAAGCCATATAGAATCATATCTTAACAGGTTTCGGTTTGGTTCGGTTCTTGATATTGGTTTTTTTCTCTCGTTTGTGATAGGTAAACTAGGGGCAAGGAAAGCAAGTGAACTTGGGATCGATAAAGAGAACGGGAAGATTGAGTTTGCGCAGCTTTACGGGATGTCTGATGCATTGTCTTTGGGATTGAAAAGGGCCGGTTTCAATGTTAGCAAGTACATGCCGTACGGCCCCGTCGCAACCGCGATTCCTTACCTTATTCGACGGGCATACGAGAACCGCGGTATGATGTCTACCGGTGTTCTAGACCGCAAACTTATGAGGTAACTCGCCGGTTTAATACTCTGGTTCAGTCATTGGTAAAGTTACCGGTTGATATATAAGTGTATCGGTTACTTCACCGGTTATGCTGTTAATATGTAGTGGTACTGGCTTATAATTCATCGGTTTAGCGCTTTAGTTTAGTCCATACCGGTTGGTTTTAACGATGTTCTGTTTGTGTCTTTGAAGGATGGAGCTTAAGAGGAGAATACTGGTTGGGTGAAGAGAGGAGATCAATGGGCATGAGTGGAAGGAGATGTCATGGAATTTGGCAAAATGTAGATTTAAAAATTATATAAGTAGCAAATTAACTAATGTAGCTTGATCACAAAAGGGTATTATCATCCACAATGTATTATATATCCTTTGTGATTAGTGATATTGCAATTTGCTTCTTTTATTTTCTGCTATCTATAATTTAATACCTTATGATGATTCACCATGATTAAAATGTGTATGATTCACTACGATCCAAAAATTCGAAAGCTGTAACAGAATACAAAAATGAGTAAACATTCATCTATATATATATATATATATATATATATATATATATATATAAAGTGCCATAATTCGTGATCTCCATAAATATTCCCAATAAAAGACTAACTTGAGCGTGATTCCATCTACAAGTTACTCAAGCAGCCAAAGAGCATAAAATATTCTTGCATTAATCTACAATTGCAAATTTTATTATTTGAAACTTTTAATATAACTACAATTCCATTTTTAATATTTCGTTGCTCTTGTAGGTTACAAGGCTATTCTGCCCATCTATGCAATTGCAGATTAATGCAAGATAATTGATACGGTAACATATTATGGGGGAAAACCTGCAATAACTAACCTATTACTGTACAATTTTAGTTCACTAAAAGAAAAAACCCTTTAGTAATAGAAGGTAAATAGCGCCTATCACCCCTACACAAGTCCAAAAACGAAAACATGGTATCTCAATCAATTCGATTAAACAAAGTATATCTCAATCAATGTCCCTGAAATCTCTCTATAATTCATCATTAGTCAGTTATGAATAAGACGCGATGAATAAGACATAATTAAATCTCACTTATAATCACTCTATAATTAAAACTGTAGAATCACTCATCCCTTACCGTATTATCCATAAATTTGATTATGGTTCCCTCTTTAAACGTATTGCCCCTCCAATGTTTCCTACTAATGTAGATTTTCCAGAACCTGCAATCAAAAATAAAAATAAAAAGTCATTACAAATAGCTTAGCAAAACAGTTGTCACAAAACAATTCAGAGGTAAACAAATTTACCTGACTGCTCAAGCAATACAACTGTCAATTGCTTCTTTTTACTTCACATTTTTCTCCCGGTAAACTTACCCCCCGTTTAAAAACTCTCACCAAATCCGTAAGAGCAGACATCTCTATAACATAATCACTAGAAGCTATTAATGGGTTTTGGAAACCAAAACCAAAAGAACAACCATAAATAACGAAAACAAATGTTGTAACCCAAAAAAAAGATGAGCTTTTTTTTAAACTAAAACCAAAAGCTCGGGTTTTGAACAATCATAAATCTGGAACCAAAAGATGAGCAAATGAGCTTTTGAAAAATCATAACAAAGCTCAGCTTTTTTTGAAACCAAAACCAAAAGCTCAGGTTTTGAACAATCATAAATCTGAAACCAAAAAGATGAGCTAATGAGCTTTTCAATCTAAAACCAAAAGAAAAATCATAAATCTGAACCAAAAGAATGGTGTAACCCAAAAAAAGAAGTTGTGCTTTTGAAACCAAAACCAAAAGCTGAGCGCTTTTGAACAATCATAAACCTGAAACCAAAAGATGAGCTAATGAGCTTTTGAATCCAAAACCAAAAGAAAAATCATAAATTTGAACGAAAAAATGCTGTAACCCAAAAAAAAAAAGCTGTGCTTTTGAAACCAAAACCAAAAGATATCTCTGAAAATGAAACGAGAAAAATGGCTTAGAAATCAGTGGAGGCTCACCAAAAGTTTACTGACGAATTTTTTGAGAGTGAAGGCACAAAGAATGGATTTTTCAATGGGGGTTACAGAGGAAGAAACCATTTTTTCGTTTTTCTTCTGTAGACCAACAAAAAAAGATGAGCTTTCAATTTGAGCAACACATCTTATCCCAAACCTTACGTTTTGAAAATACCTTTGGAATCAAAACGTTTTAAGGTGAAAAGTCTTGTACAATATCTTTGTAATTACTACGTGACAACCTATCCCTTCCACTAACTTTAAACAACAAGCTTTCATGCAACGTTTTATGTAAAGATGGGATTCATTTTAAGATTATTTCCTGCTAGAGGAAAAATATAAAAATAAATAAATCTAGCAATGCGAAAAATATTCATTCTGTATAAAATTGGCCTGAAATTGCCAATTACAAAATTTGATAATAAATCACATCATTCATGACATTGCTCCTCAGCTTTCATCCAGAGTCTCATAAAACCCATAATAAAAAGCTTGTGTTGTTCCATTTTGAGATCTATCTTCTTTCTCATTAAGGCTTAAAGTTACGAGCAGCTCGAAGTTGTTGTATCCTCTTCTTGTCTTGCTCAAACTTACTCTGAAGCGCCAAGAGCTCTGTCAAACAACCAAACAAAACACAAACCAAACCTCAACCATACGAATCAGAATACACATTGTGCTTGTGATGCTGCCACAAGTTGATAAAGTTTAAAACTTTGGAGATAAAAAAAAAAAGCCAAGACTTTACCGTTGCGTTGTGCATCTCGCCTTTGGAAACGGTAGAAACCTTGACCCACGATCTCACTCGGTTTCATATTAGCCATCTTATACTCATTAGCAGCCTGAGAAACAGATCCAACGGCTGTTCCAGTCTCAGACTCTGTCGTCTTCTTCCTTCCTTTGTGATGCACAACCACAGTCCATCCACCTTCTGCAGCTTTAGCTTCTTTCATTTGCTTCTCCTGTTCATTACATATCACAACAACAGACAAAAACGCTGTAACCAACTAGACAATATACATGAATGCTTCAAAATGTAAAAGAGATAAAACAAACCTCTTCAAGGCGTTCTTCATGAGCAGTCATGAAGTCATCGATTCTCTTTTGCAGCTCGTCCAAACCAGGTCTACTCTCATAGTACTCACTAACCCACTCTACAATTTAAAAACAGAGGACTTATCAAGTTATGGCTTATCTAATCATATGAAGCTAATAATGGAAAAAAATGCATACTTTTCATTCCTGACGAGCAATCTTCATCCCCTGAAGAAATTTCATAAACATCTTCTTCAACTTCGCTCATCTTTTCTGAAGAAATTTCATTCTCTTTTGTGGTGGTCATCTTCATCTTCTTCTTCTTGTTTGATTTTTTAGACTTTCCTAAAAGAAGACAAGTTTACACTCTGTTTAATAAGTATACATACACAATGACTGCACCAACATTACATAGTCTACCACTAAATTAATGAGAGCATAGCTTTGAAACTTACGGTTTCTTACTTCAGTACCACTCTTAGGATTGTCTGCGCTCACAGCTTCAACGGAACCCTTATCGCCATCAACTGTCACAAGTAAATCAAGATTAAAGTCGTATGACTAATGTCAGATTGGCAGTAACAGAACAAACACACTAAAGTTCCTTGTGCAGAACAACACAAATGAAACTTAACACAAAAATATAAACTTTCACACACCTTCTTCATTCAGATCATCATCTTCATCATTAACAAGACCACTAGACAATTCCTCAGCCTTTCTTTTCTTCTTCGTCTTGTTCAACTTCCCCTTCTTTCCTTTGGATTTCTCATTTACAGTAACTGCTCATGAAGAACCAAAAGATACTAAAACTCAATAACCAGAATCAAGCTTAACATTACACATTTTCAATCTTCCAAACTGCATATAATTATCAATTACCTTCCGGTGAAGCTTGAGGAAGCTCGCTTAAATCAACATTTCCTCCTTTTGCTTTTCTCTTCCTCTGCAATTTCTCATCATCAACTGGTGAGCTATTTACTTCGTTTTTACTCTTCTGCATCTTCGTCTTCTTCAATTCAACTTTCTTTCCTTTAGTTGAGAAAATCAAATCTCAATACAAGAACACATCTTATAACACAGCCTATCTAAAATCCATCAAAGTTCGAAACTTTTCTTACCTTGAATCGTTGCCTGAGGAAGCTCGGTTACGTCGATAATGCTCACTTTCTCTTTCTTCTTCCTCTGCTTTTTGACTACTCTCTGTCTATCAGCTTCTTCTCCATTGCTCTTCTTAACCAATTCAGCTGAAACAGTAAAAAAGAGAACTTCAATTCAACCAAAAGCAAAAATATGGGAAGCTAAAAGAAATTAAGAACTTCAATCCATGAAAAGGATTACAAACTTAAGCAATTGAGAGTTCGACAAACAAAAAAATTTAGCAAATTTAACGAAAACCCAACACGAAAATTCGGGAGAAGGCACAAATTCTAGTGAACTGAATCGAAATAAGAGAGAAATTAGGACTTACCGTCGTGGAGATTTCTCTTCTTCAGGTTTCTGGTCTCCTTCATCTTTCTGAAACTGTCGTGAGAATCAGAAACTATATCGGCGACTATCGGCGTCGACGGCTCTCGGAGAAGAAAAATCAGAATTAGTCAGGCGGTGACGATTGAAATTAGGGTTTTTGCTTTTTGTGAGGTTTTTCGTCTGAAAGCAATTACAGGGGTAAGGCTGTCATTGAACTGTTTATAAATTTATACTTTTATGATTCATACGATAATTCATACTTGTATTTCACTCAAATCAATATAATTCTAGATGATAAAAAAAAAAGTTAAAAATATTTATAAATGGCCACAAATTTTTTTGGAAATTTATATTTTTTAACAATACATGTTACATGTTTTTTTCTGTACATCATGTTTTTGATTGTTTCTATTGATGTAATTACATGTTTTGCCAATTGTACATGTCTTTAAAAAAAGATTTACATAAAGCAAAAACAATATCATAAATATTAAATATATTTTGCTATATATTATAGCATATTCTTTGTATATTTTATGAATCAGTTCATAAGAGAGTAAAACAAACAACCAATTAAGTCACATAAATATTGGTATGTTTAATAGTCTTCTTGGTGTTCCCTTTTCCAATCAAGTACATGCCCCAACGGTTTATTAATATCTCTTCTGAAGTAAATTCCATCACGTCTAGCAACCCATTGACAGAACTGACCACATCTTCTTTTTATGGCTGCTCGGTATACTTCAACCTTCTTAAAAGAATACAGTGTTCCACCCCCGAACCATAAATCACATTCGTACCTAGTTCGTTTCTTTTGATCGGCAAACTCAAATGTTCTGCTATCAAAGAAGTCTTTGGTGTTTACTAAAGTGCCTTCACTAAAATCAAAGGTTCTATTACGACAATGATATTGGAGAAAGTAATCAGTAGATTCATAACCGAGTTCGTTGCTTATTACAACACGATTTATTGCGCAACTTTCATTCAGCCCAAAACACATAGCCATAACTACTAATAGAAAAACTACTATAGAGTGATTCATTTTTTTAAACAGAATTTAGTTTTCGGAGGAATAAAGTTATCAATCTGCACTATTTATAAATTTTTTGTGGAGATTGTTTTATCTTTATTTTTTTTAGATATTCTATTAATGACATTGGCTAAATATAAAAACTAACATGAACCAACAAAAATAGTTGGTCATATGAGAGTATACTTGGTTGAGTGTAGAAAAATATGGTTAGCCAATAAAATAAAACATAATCAAATTCGAAAGGCAAAGAGCCTTCTTTTCCGATTCCAAAGTGTTCGTAGTGTTTAATTAAGACAGAGAATAAAATTAAATTGATTCTTGGATTTTCTAAAAACTAGCAACATAATCATAACATTAAATTCATAAAATAAATAAACAGTACTAGCGAATTCATCGTCTATAATTAAAAGAAAAAATATATGAATAAATTAGAAAGAAAATATAAAATTATCTAGATATTCCTCTTTGCTTCATCCTTCATCTATTCCTCTTTCCCAGCTTCAGATTGCTTCGTCTTCTTTGATTCTTTCCTCCCAACTTCAGTCAAATATAAGATGACATGTACTTGAACACCTTGAGAGAGATGACAACTCCTTGACCATCTCAATTTTCTTGCAAGGGTCTATGGAGACAGATGAGATAGTTGCCTTCTTTAAACAGTTTGCGTTTCTTAACATGTATGCCACCATTTCTTTTTCAACATCTGTTCCTTTATAGTCAACCCAAAGAGTTTGAAGACTCGATGACACGCATTCAGGAACTGAGCTCGGTTCGATCCAGCTCGGGCGCGAGTCTTCATCCCAAAGTTCATGATGATGCTGGTCCATCCTAAGAGCTTGTAGATTAGGAGAAGATCTTAGCAGACACATGAGTAGTTCCAACCACTCCGGGTGACATGTGCATATCTTTAAATGAACAAGACTATGGAAGACACTACCTAAAGGATACTCTGAATCTACTAAACATAGATCGAGATGCTTGACTGAAGTAATAGAACCAAGAATATTGGCAGGGACAGAATAACTGACGTCGAAACTTGCCGTTACAATCTTAGGCATATCATTCTCAATGATACAAAACTCACCGCTATGATCATGAATGTCCAAACACTCCAAAGAAGGAGCATCTATCACAAACCCACCATCTTCATCTATCACAAACCCACCATCTTCATCAGAGTCAGAATCAGAATCAGGATCATCGGTATGCAATGATAAACTCTTTAGAGAAGGCACTCTCACGGCGAAAACGGTAACATTGTCATATAGACATAGTTCCACATGCAAGTCTTCAAGAACATGACAACTTGACAGAAACGTCTTGACAATTTCATCACCAGGGTACTGGTACTTGACGGATAAAAGGCTCAAACTTTTTAAAGATGGTAAAGAAAACGAGCAAGATACATCAAGAAGAACAACGTTGCTTAGTTTCAACGTCACTAGCATCTTGCAGCATGTATAGAAGCTCTCAGGAAGTGTGACTGGACGTGAAAATAAATCAGTCGTCTCGATAATCAGCTCACGCACCCCGCTTTTGACTACGGTTGTAGCCCATTCTCCGATATCTACATCACGTTCACGACTGTAATCACCGACGACTTTGAAATGCACAGTTTGTAGATGTGGAGCCTTTTGCAACAAGAGCAGCAAAGAACTGGTTACAAAGCGCGAAAAACTTTCATACTTCTGACCAGAGATATCTTCGTCGTATATGAGTTTTGGTACAAGCATCCAAAGAAATTTCCATCGTTTTGACAAAACCATTGTGGCGGCAACATCTTTAGCACTAAGTGAAGACAATATCCTCAAGAGGAGATCTTCAGGCAACTCACTTATCCAATCCATACGAGCAGCTCACGGATGGTTCCGTCTCCCACAAACTTCACTATCAATCGAAAGGTTAACACAACTTATTCTTTGTGTTTTAGGTTTTAGGAATCAACCACGACGACGATGAAGAAACTAGAAAGAGATTACAACACAAAGAAACACAAGCTATGGAGACTTGAGCTCTCTCACAACTTCTCTCGGCTCTTATATTCTACGATGTGTCTTTCCTCTTTATAACTAAAACCCTAAAAGCTTTTTTTTTTATATCGTCTAAAACCCTAAAAGCTTTGTTATTCACTTTTCAAAATTTCTAAATTGGTAATCTAGAAAAATTCCTAAAACCTATTGGATGTCGTTGCAAAATATTACAGGCCCATCTGAAGCAAACAAGGCCCACAATTTGGAAATGAAAAGTCTCGGCTTCGGTTCGGTTATCTTGGTAAATGCCCTTTTACATGGAGGATTTCAAACCGGTTTTATGCCTTTACTCTCATATAAATGTTTGTTGTCTACTATGAGTATATGTTGTCTCTAGCTTTCAACTTTTTCTCCTAAGGTGATGATTAGTTCTTCCGTTACCACCCACAAAAGTTGCGTTTGCAGTTTCGTAGCGGTTTTTAACGTTTTATAACAATCACGACAACCGCTTTGAACCTCTATACCACTCCGTACCGCTCTATATTGCTGGAAATCAAAAGCTCATTTCCGCAAGCGTTTGCGGGCGATTGCAATTGAAAAAAAAAATCACGAAATTTCCAAATTTGAAATTTCAAACTAGGATAATTATTAAAATTTGAAATTTCTGAATAATTTAATTAAAACGAAATTTAATTAATAAAAATAAATTTAAATAATAAAAACAAAATATCATAATTTGATTTTGATGTTTTTCATTTTAAACTAATAAACATTTTTATTCCTAATTATCTGCTAAAACATTTTGTATTCTTATTTTTGTGGTTTATATTATGGTTTATGTGTGATATTAAAGTTGTTTATATAAAAATTTCTCTACATTTATCAATTTTTAAATTCTAAATTTTTAATAACTGAACAAAAAAAAATAATATCATTCATCATAATATTTTCGAATTTTGTTTTAATTAATAATTATTTAGTAATGTTTTGTTAAAATAAAGTTAAAACAGTCTTTTTACATACAAAAATATATTTTTCAAAACAGAAAAAAAGTTAGGGTATTTTTCAAATATTTAAAATAAATAGATATTTTTCAAAGAACTAATTATAATTATGTTTATTTTAGTAATTTTTGGTTAAAACGCTTTTGCATCCGCTAGCCAACCAGTCAAAAATATCCCGCAAACGAAACAGCTATGAAATTGCTATACCAATCGTACAAACAGTTTAATTATGTTTTTAATCGCAAACTTCCACAACCTCCGCAAATTTCCGCAACCGCAACCGCAACGTTTAAACCAGTCAGGCCCTTAAGTCTTTCAAGTCATTATTCTGTTCAATCAAATTTTATTAGTTTTCACACCAATACAAATATTCTTAGAACGTCTTTTAATAATATATTCTTAATTAAAACTTCTCACGTTAATATATAATAATTTTTAACTTTTAATCCACAATTTTCATAATTAAAAATTTACAGTCTCATTGTCTCAACCTCAATAATTGCTTTATTAAATAACAAAAATAACATTCTTCTTGTCAAAGATAATCTCCATATCCTTAAGGCAAAGAGCCTTTCTTTTCCGATTACTTCAGTGAGTCGAGTCGTAGGTTTAATTGAGACAGAGAATAAAATTCTATTAGTCTAATCAAGACTTCGTCTCTTTCTCACAAGAACTAAAGGACACAGCATTGAGTCTATATGCAATATCATTATATTAAGGAACCTGAGAGGCTTGATTCTTGGATTTTCTAAAAACTAGCAACATAATCATCATAAAATAAATACACAGTGCTACGTGCGAATTCATCGTATATTATTAAAATTATTAAAATATATGAATAATTTAGAAAGAATTATATATTCCTCTTTGCTACATCCTTCATCTATTCCTCTTTCCCAGCTTCAGAATTTCTTCGTCTTCTTCCTCCCAACTTCAGTCAAATTTAAGATTATATGTGCTTGAACACCTTGAGAGAGATAACAACTCCTTGGCCATCTCAATTTTCTTGCAAGGGTCTATGGAGATAGTTGCCTTCTTTAAACACTTGGCATTTCTTAAGATATATGCCACCATTTCTTTTTCTACATCTGTTCCTTCATAGTCGGCAACCCAAAGAGTTTGAAGACTCGATAACACGCATTCAGGAACTGAGCTCGGTTTGGTCCAGCTCGGGCGCGAGTCTTCATCCCAAAGTTCATGATGATGCTGGTCCATTATAAGAGCTTGTACATTAGGAGATGCTCTTAGCAAACACATGAGTAGTTCCAACCACTCCGGGTGACACGTGCATATCTTTAAATGAACAAGACTGTGGAAGACACTACCAAAAGGATACTCTGAATCTGCTAAACAAATATCGAGATGCTTCACTGAAATAATAGAACCAAGAATCTTGGCAGGAACAAAATAACCTACGTCCACACTTGCCGTTAAAACCTTAGGCATATCATTCTCAATGATACAAAACTCACCGCTATGATCATGAATGTCCAAACACTCCAAGGAAGGAGCATCTATCACAAACCCACTATCTTCATCTTCATCTTCATCAGGATCAGAATCAGAATCAGGATCATCGGTATGCAATGATAAACTCTTTAGAGAAGGCACTCTCACGGCGAAAACGGTAACATTGTCATCTAGACATTGTTTCACATGCAAGTCTTCAAGAACATGACAACTTGACAGAAACGTCTTGACAAATTCATCACCAGGGTACTTGACGGATAAAAGACTCAAACTTTTTAAAGATGGAAAAGAAAACGAGCAAGAAGCATCACGAAGAGTAACGTTGCTTAGTTTCAACGTCACAAGCATCCTGCAACATGTATACAAGCTCACAGGAAGTGTGACTCGGGATGAACGTAAATCAATCTCGATAATCAGCTCACGCACCCAGCGTTTGACTACGTTTGTAATCCATACTCCGATATCTACATCACCACGGTTATCACTGAGTTTGAAATGCACAGTTTGTAGATGTGGAGCCTCGTGCAAGAGCAAAGACCTGTATACAAAGCGCGAAAAACTTTCATACTTCTGACCATAGATATCTTCGTCGTATATGAGTTTTGGTACAAGCATCCAAAGAAATTTCCATCGTTTTGACAAAACCATTGTGGCGGCAACATCTTTAGCATTAAGTGAAGACAATATCCTCAAGAGGAGATCTTCAGGCAACTCACTTATCCAATCCATACGAGCAGCTCACGGATGTTCCGTCTCCCACAACTTCACTATCAATTAAAAGGTTAACACAACGTACTCCTTGTAATTTAGGTTTTAGGAATCAACCACCACGACGACGAAGAAACTAGAAAGAGATTACAACACAAAGAAACACATGCTATGGAGACTCTCTCTCTCTCTCAACTTCTCTCGGCTCTTTAAAACCCTAAAAATCTTTGTTTTTCACTTTTCATTATTGTAACTTTATACTCAAGAAACAAACCCTAATTGTGAATTGATATCCACCCATCGAATGTCTTTGCAAAATATTGCAAGCCCATCTGAAGCAAACAAGGCCCACAATTTGGAAATGAAAAATCGCGCGGCTTTTCGGTTCGGTTATTCAACCGGTCTGGTTTTTAATAGAGGAATTTTAAACCGGTTTTGGCCTTAGTTCTCAAAATTTTCCGCTTGCACGAATCTCTCTCTGAGCAACAACGACAACAATGGCGAATTTCTCGTCTGCAACAAATCGAGAAGCTCTGATTGCGCAAAGCATCTGTGGAGCCATATTGAAAGGAAGCTGGAAAAACATTCTGAAACGCAAAATCGATTCGGGACTATTGAAATCGGCGATCACCACTCAGGTAATCTCCGAGCTCTCTCTGTTTTCCGGTTACGGCGGAGCTTCTCTCTCATGGAGTTTCTTCAGCTGGACTGATTCCTTCCCGAGCTGCAAACACAACTTACAATCATCGTGGCAAATGGTATTGATTCTCACGAAGCACAAGCATTTCAAAACCGCACACCACCTGCTCGACAAATTGTCAAAGAGAGAGCCTTTATCATCTCCTCTGCTTTTGAGCTCTTTAATCAATGGCGTTTCAGAAGATCCAGAGATTCTCTCTCACGTTTTAAGCTGGTTGATGATAGTCCACGCGAAATCAGGAACGATCAACGACTCGATTGAGGTTTTCGAGCAGATCAGGAGTTTCGGATTGAAGCCGCATTTGCAAGCTTGCTCTGTTCTTCTCAACAGTTTAGTGAAACAGAGATTGACTGATACAGTTTGGAAGATGTTCAAGAAGATGGTTACTTTAGGAGTTGTGGCTAACGTTCATTTGTACAACGTATTGGTTCACGCTTGTTCGAAATCCGGTGATACAGAGAAAGCAGAGAAGCTCTTGAGCGAGATGGAAGAGAAAGGTTTGTTTCCTGATCTTTTTACCTACAACACGTTGATCTCCGTGTACTGCAAGAAAGGTATGCACTACGAGGCTTTATCGGTGCAAGATCGGATGGAGAGAAGCGGTGTGTTGCCTGATGTTGTGACTTATAACTCGCTGATACACGGGTTTTGTAGAGAAGGTAGGATGAGAGAAGCGACGAGGCTGTTTCGTGAGATCAAAGGCGTTGTGAATGTGAACGGTGTTACTTATAGTACTCTGATTGATGGGTATTGTAGAGTGAATGATGTAGATGAAGCTTTGAGGCTGCGTGAGGTGATGGAGTCGAGAGGGTTTGTGCCTGGTGTTGTGACTTATAACTCGATTCTGAGGAAGCTTTGTGAGGATGGGAGGATAAGAGAAAGTAATCGGCTTTTGAGCGAGATGAGTGGGAAGAGGATTGAGCCTGATAATGTCACTTGCAATACTTTGATCAATGCGTATTGTAAGGTTGGAGATATGGTTTCTGCAGTGAAGGTGAAGAAGAAGATGGTTGATTCGGGGTTGAGGATGGATGTGTATACGTATAAAGCGTTGATTCATGGGTTTTGTAAAGTTCTTGAATTGGAGAATGCGAAGGAGGAGATGTTCTTGATGGTGGAGAAAGGGTTGTCTCCAGGGTATTCGAGTTATTCTTGGCTTGTTGATGGATTCTATAACCAGAACAAGCAGGAGGAGATTGGGAAATTTGTGGAGGAGTTTGAGAGAAGAGGTCTTTGTCCTGATGTTGCGTTGTACAGAGGATTGATAAGAAGGGTTTGTAAGTTAGGGCATGTGGATTACGCGAGAGTGTTGTGTGATTCGATGGAGAAGAAGGGTTTGGTTGGAGATAGTGTTATATACACGAGCTTGGCGTATGCGTATTGGAGGATAGGGAAGGTCGTTGAAGCTTCTGCTCTGTTTGATGTAATGTATAATCGACGGTTGATGGTGAATTTGAAACTGTATAGATCGATCAGTGGCTCTTATGCTGGTGATAACGAAGTGTTGAGATTCTTTTGGAGTCATGTTGGTGATAGATGTCTTATATCGAAGAGTATTTTGCGTGACATGAACAAAAGTGAGGTTTTGTGAAGTGTAAGTGTAGTAGTGTACTCTTATGAACAATGTTGAATCAAATATTTTCTTGAATTAAAAAAATCAACATTGGAATTAGGATATGTTGGAACTTTATTAGCTATAAAGAAGTTTGACTTTTCGATTTATTAAATATGAATGATCTTCAAAGAACATAAATGATTTCGAAGTTCGAAGAGACAGATTACAAACAAAACACAGAATCTCTTAATTTGACTTCGATGTATATAAGGACTTAAGGACATGGTGTTAAATGGCAAAACAATGCAGATGATGAAAATGATGGTTCAAGAATCTGAAATATCAAGAACATATAGCAACAAGCAAAATTTACTTCTGGTCGGAGAAGGAGACTTTTCGTTTTCTTTGTCTCTAGCCAAAGCCTTTGGTTCTGACACCAGCATCACTGCGACATCTCTTGATACAAGAGGTAATACTAATTCTATACGTCAAATATTTTGTTATCAAGTTTGTTGAGTAGAATTGCTATGTATTATTTTTGAATGTAATAGATGAGTTAGGACGTCAGTACAATAATGGAAAAGCGAACGTTGAAGAGCTGGAGAAACTTGGGTGCACTGTGGTCAAGGGTGTTAACGTACACTCTATGACGTTAGACGATCGCTTAGGTCGATACGACATAATCGTCTTTAATTATCCTCATGCAGGGTAAGGTTTTAGTAATTAGAATAATGACTTATTCAAAGTGTATATTTAACATGTGTGTGTGAAATTTACAGGAAACACAAAGATTTGGTGAGAGGGTTTATGGAGAATGCGAGAGAGATGGTGCAAGAAGAAGGTGGAGAAATTCATGTCACTCATAAGACAATTTACCCATTCAACAAGTGGGAGACGAAGACATTTGCTGAAGAAAATGGTTTGAGTTTAATCAATCAGATGCAACTTAACAAATGGGCATTTCCGGGTTACGTCTCCAACAAGAGAGGAAGTGGAAGTAACTTTGAATCTAGCTTTTCTTTTGGATCAGTTGTTACCTTCATGTTTAAGAACTAGATCTTTGGTTTTCTTGGGGGTAAACACATAGCTCTTTGATATTATAATTCCTAAAGTAAGATAAAACAAAGATATGAATCGTATTAAAAAATAAATCAATCTACATTATGAGATTTAATATTTTATGCTTTATTATTTCGATGCCATTCACTTTTTTTCCGTGTCTTGATTTTTTGTTTTTCTTCTAAACCTTAACACTTCATTTAGATGACCTATTTAAAAGATTAATTTCATAATTCATTTCTTTTAAAAGAAAAATTATACTTATGTTGGCCGTACAACAAAAGTGGAAAGTTGGTTAAGAACAATTGATTCTGAACTTGTAATCCTAAATTTATGCCATACATTGTAAATTATAAAGCTAAACCAATCAAATCAAGTGAACGAATGCTAAAGATGAGATCACTTTAATTATTAGAAAGAGTCAATCTAAAAATATCCAGCAAACGAGTCAAACTCGCATATACTTCTGATCTGAACCAAATACGGATTAATCACAAATTAGTCCAATTTCCACTTGTTCAGGAACAACCAAAGAACATTTTCCAACGATTAACTGACACGTGGGAAACACACCAAAAACTTAGGAGGGCACGAGAGCTATATAAATTGTGGAACCTTTGGATGAAACTCATAACTCAATTCAATCGCATAATCAAGATTTGCTTTAAAAACTTTTCTAATCACTAAAGCTATTCAAAAATGTCGAGCAACTCCCAGAACATCAGCTTCCAAGCCGGCCAGGCCAAAGGCCAAACCCAGGTACGTAATCCTGAATTACTTCATTAGTATTAACAAAACCGATCCAACATTATTAAGGATCCTAGGATCACAATAAGAGAGTAGTCTGTGGCGAATCTAGAGCAAAACATTAACAAAATTCAGTTGCTAATTATATAGTTTTATTTCATTTGATGGTGCTTAGGAGAAGGCAAGCACCATGATGGACAAAGCTAGCAATGCTGCACAATCTGCCAAGGAGTCTCTCCAAGAGGTTCGTAAAATCCACACAACTCTCACTGATTAAATCGAAATACAACCTAAAATATTTCTTATAATTACTTGGAGTAAATTAATTAAATTATTTCACGTGTAAATACTTGTATAGACCGGCCAGCAGATTAAGGAGAAGGCACAAGGAGCTACCGAATCAGTGAAGAATGCCACCGGGCTCAACAAATGAACCACATTATCATATGAATAATGATTCTGTTTTCATCGAATAAGACACTATTTCAATTTTTGTTGTTATCTTAATTATTGCTTCTGTTTGATATCTCATGATTATGTATTCGTTGAGATCCTTTCTTCATTTTTAGACTTTCATCATAAGAATAACAATTTCGGAATAATACATTTCTTGTTCTGCTTTCAAAATCGTTCAAATTCAATGTTGACAAATAAAATTCGAATTTAACAAACTATCCTATGAAACTGGGGGCCGAATGTATCGCATGTAGTACCATGTGTAGTTTTTCATTAGGTTCAAAAAAAAAGAAAATAACCGAGAAGTAAACCAAAGCAAACTATTTACGCAAAAATGGTGAAACAGAAACAAATTTATATAACCAAATGGTTTTCTTAATTGATGAAAAGCCGAAACCAAACCCAAACTAGTGTACCGGACCCAAACTCAACCGAACATTGTATGCTGTATACACAAGTAACACATCACAAATAAATATGGAGCCCTCATTGTTGCGATTATAAAAACTAAAAACTATGATTAATTAGAAAAGTAACTCCCTTTATACGAATTAAGGTTAGTAAGAAAAGAGAGAAAGAATCTGTTAAATGTTCAAGAAAGAATAAATCTTTTTTGGACAAAAACTAAGAAGAAAAACTTGGTATCTAATTAAATTCTTTGTAGAACTCTGATCACTTTTTTTGGTAAAACTCATATATAAGAAATAACTCTGCAAACTCTAGAAGAAAAAGTAAACCGTGGAGGAGGGAAGACAACATTTCAATATCAACGAGGCAATGAGTATGATTAGTGATTCAATGGTCCCGGTTCACTCCGGTTTAGAGAACTTGAGCTCTCCGGTTGTCTCTAAGATTTGTGCATGGGGAGTAATGTTGGGGCTCCTTGCGGTTTCATTGATCGCCATGGCTTATGCTTGCTATTACACGCAAAACGTTTCGACTACAAGTACTGGAGAGCAAAGAAGGACGGAAGTGATGAAGCCACTAGACATGGAACCGAAGATTGTTGTCATAATGGCCGGTAATGAAAACCCTACCTTCTTTGCCAAGCCAAGCAAGATCCATGCATGACTTGTTGTACAAGATTGCTACATTAGTGTTTTGGTTTGTTTCTTTATCCTTCTTAACTGGGTACGATCGATGCCCACGATGTGGAACCATATTATTTACTGTAATTAATATTTTGTCGATTTGGTTATATTTGAACTTTGCTGTTTTGTTTATAGTAAAATTTGTTAATTTTTTCCTTTTTTAATTTATCAAGTGGGTAATATTTTTTTTTCTGTAAACTATACTAGTATACTCTACCTGACAAAAAGAAATATAATGTTGTGAAATCGTTTATGAAGTTGTTTGTCGTACTTTACTTATTTCCAGGCGTGTTAAAAAACTATGGCTTCATTATATTTCCAATCAAATCTATTAAACTTTTGGCTAAAATAGGAATACTTAAAGGAGATCCCTACTTAAAAATTAGTTGTAAGAAATATTTTTTATGAATAAAAATTTAGTTAAATATAAGATCATCAATGCTTTGCTTCGACGAGTAGCTAACTAGCTATATTATATGAACGTGTTTATATAAATATTGACAAAGAATATACTTTGGACGAAGTTTGCCGAGCTTTTCGGTACAAATCTACAACAGTCTTTTCTCTTTTCCCAAACAAATTTATATAACCAAAATGTGTAAACATAACACTTAACACATAGAAACTTGATTCTTCCTTATCTCTAGGGTTTCAAAAAAAGTTCAAAAGAAAAAAGTGATGAAGAGAAGATGCGGCGAAAACAGCCACGAGACTTCTTCACCATTGACGACGCGACTTCTTCACGATATCGATATACCTCTCGATCTAACGGTGGAGATACTAAAGAAACTCCCGACTAAATCACTTATGAGGTTCCGATGCGTTTCGAAGCTATGGTCATCGATTATCACCATGCGTAGGGACTTCATAGACTGGATCGTGACTCGCTCTTTGACTCAGACTCCGTGTGATGCCCATCGCATCTTCAACATGAATTTGCGCTGCTACACGCAATGTTACTTAAGCTTTTCATCTACTAACGCTCGAAACACTCACAAAGAATCAGTATCAATCCCTAGAACAGCAGGACAATACGTCCGAGGTTTGTTTTTATGTTTGCCATGCAAGAGTCTTGAGGCAGCTATATCTAACCCTACCACAAGGCAGTACTTTAACTTACCAAAGATGAAACATTCAGGTAAAGGCAATTGCTTCTTCGGATATGACCCTCTCGAAAATCAGTACAAAGTATTGTTCATACCAAAGGAACCTGCGGAGCAGCCTTGTCAAGTTTTTACATTAGGAGATCCCATGGCGAAGCAGTGGAGGAACATCCAAGGCATTGAATCTCAGTTTCCAATCCGATATGCATATCGTGAAATTTGCATCAACGGGGTTATCTATTTTATAACAAGGAGCACAGACACTAGTTTTGAGTATAATAAACTGATAAGTTTTGATATTAGGTCAGAGAAATTTCATCATATTGACACTCCAAAAACACTGATAAAATTGGGTTGGTTTCCGATAAACTACCAAGGAAAGTTAGGACTCATGTATTGCAAGGACTGCGTGGAAATTTGGGTTATGGAGAATGCTGAGAAGAAGACACAAAGATGGTCCAAGATTTTCTTTTATGAGATGGCAGGTTTTGAAAAATGGTGCGTACCGGGTGTTACTCGTGGTGGTGAGATTGTGTTTTCAAATTCGGGATGCCTATATGATAATGACGTGTTACGCGTCTTCTATTATAATCCGAATTGCAACAGTATGAGATATGTTGACCTCGAAGACATTTATCCTAAGGAAAGTAGGCCGAAAACCTCTCTATTTATCTGGACTATTCCGGATTATGTCGAGAACACAATGTGTTTGTATTAGTTAAGATATAAGATTTTATCAATACAGCTTGTGCTTCTTCTTTATTAATAGGTTTTATTAATAGCAACATTGTGGTTTTATAGGGGTTTTTTGAAGTCTCTAAAACATACTTGATGTAATTCTTGATGTCTAGTGACTTCAAGAGTTAAGAAAAAAGGTTACTTTTGATCTGTGCAATTTGTCAAAATTGTGCTATGTTATGCTGTTTGCATGATCGTAACACAAATCAGAGCTCTCGCAAACTTTAACAGCCAGTCGCAAGTTCCAAGATACGAACTATTTTAATGTTGACATGCAACAAAATATTTAATATTCACAACGATTTGATGTGGACAAAAAGAGATTCTCCAGGATGCAGTGTGTTTTTCCATATGGTCAATATCGTATCTTAATTTGCAACAAACCAAGAATTATTTAACAAATTTTCTACTCTTCTTACACAATCCAAAACACATTACTCCTTTTAGGTTCTCTTTCAATAATCATATTTTTGGAAGTTAGCAAATATTTATGACCCTGTTGATTGCACTCTGCACCATTGTCTAGCAGTTAATACATCGACAAAGAAATATGCGATTAACAAGATTTGCAATAAAAAAAGAACAAATTATGTCACTTATTTGAAAAAAAAATATAGGAATTTTTTTTTTTTTTTTTTTTTTTTTTTTTTTTTTAAATATAGGAATTGTTTGCGGAGAATACCATAAAAAAAAAGTCAATTTGAAAAATAGAAGAAATGTCAGATCGTGGATTTAAACCCTAGTAATTAGGGGTTGGCTTTGGAGAGCTAAGATCAGACAGGAGTTTTAATACAATTCGCTCCCGTAATTCGATTATCTACAAACGTTTCGATCTAAATACTAAAATCTCATATTCATACTAAAATCATATCCGTAATATTTATGATTTTTTTTTTCTTTCAAAATTTGTATGAGTCCAGATCTGGATCCGAAGATCAGCTATTCAGATTTTATTATTTAAAGAAATGAAAATGACAAATTATTAGTATTATAATTATGTATTCTCCATATGTTTGGCAACTCTATTTATTTGGTCAACTTTTGTTATTATAATTTATCTTCTGAAAGTCGCGCGTACGCAACCTTTTATTTACGTCTTAATTATCGTGTTAAGTGCTGAGATGTTCCCACTTTGTTTATGTATTCAGTTTTGATTTCATCTCTTTGGTTATATATAGAAACTAAGACTGCCAACATTTTGAAACTATCTTCTCCTTCCTCACGAATCGACCAATAAAAAAAAGCCTTCGTACAACCCAAAAAGAAAGAAAGAATTTAAGACATCCACAAACATAGAGCCATGCCAACATCTTCTCAATCGTATCCAATGAGTGGCGGTGACGATCAACACAGTTACATCCATAATTCTTCATACCAAGTATGTAATGTAGTCTTCATCTATATTATATATGATAGCAATTATAAATTTATAATGATTTGTTAATCCTATAATTTAACTAAACATGCACGTAATGATAATTAATATACATCTGTGATACAGAAAGCAGGCATAGATGGTGTTGAAGAGAAGACAAGGCAATACATTTTAGAAAATCTCGATCTCATGAATCTGAATCCCAATCTTAGCACTTTTACAATTGCTGATTTTGGTTGTTCTATTGGTCCTAACACATTTCATGCTGTTCAAAACATCATTGATACTGTGAAGCTTAAACACCTGAAAGAAAACCAAGAAAATTGTCTTGGTCCTCTCGAGTTCCAAGTTTGTTTCAACGATCAACGCAACAATGACTTCAACACACTCTTTAGAACTCAGCCTTCTTCTTCCGAACGAGAATATTTCTCGGTCGGAGTTCCAGGCTCTTTCTATGGTCGAGTGTTACCAAGAAACAGCGTCCACATTGGACACACGTCCTATACGACCCACTGGCTTTCCAAAGTTCCTGATAACGTGTGTGACAAGAATTCTCCGGCTTGGAACAAAAATTACATTCAATGTAATGATTTGATAGAAGAAGTTACCAATGCGTACAAGGTCCAGTTCAAAAAAGACATGAAGGGTTTTCTTGAAGCTAGAGCTGAAGAACTTGTGCCTGGCGGATTGATGATCGCATTAGGTCAGTGTTTGCCCGATGGTGTGGGCTTGTATGAGACATGGCAGGGTATTGTCAAGGACATCATCGGTGATTGTCTTATGGATATGGCCAAATCGGTAAGATATATATTTCGAAAGCATTTTAAATCGAAAGCATCATACATAGTTTTGAAGCCTAGATCATTTATTTTTGTTTGGTGCTTAGGTCAAGAGAAATTGGTAGTAATCATCAGTTTTTTTTCTTTTTTTTTTTTCTTTTTGTAGGGAGTAACGACCGAGGAAAAGATTGAACTATTTAACTTGCCCATGTATTTTCCTCAATTTAGTGAATTAAAGGAAGAGATTGAGCAAAACGGAAGCTTTACGATTGAGATGATGGAGACTGTAAGCCATTCATTGGAGACTATGCAGTTAACCAACGACTTCATCACTTCCATGTATCGAGCTATTCTCTCTACAGTTGTGGAAGAGCATTTTGGAGCTGATGTGGTCGATGAGCTATTCGATCGACTTGCCAAAAAACTCTCCAAGCACCCGATTGATTTTGAGATATGTAAGAAACAAATGGTCTATTATATAGTGCTTAAACGAAAATGAATATTGAGATTATTCATAACTCGCTATGTTTTCTTCAAATTTTCTATATGATATTTCAATAAAAGATTTAGTTTAACCATTTCACTTTTTTTGTTTTGATTTCTTTTAAGCAATCATTATATCGATGCCCTTGTTTCCAGTTTGTTATCACTTATCAATTATATCACCAGGCATAATAAGACGTGCATAAATATGTTATATATACAAAATTTGATTTACTAATATGTTTTGACGGAAATCAAAGTCCAAAGCGTTCCTCGTGTAAACACGTGATGTATCATGTTTCCGTCACTCCGTGTCACATGCATACTGCATAGAAACAAGTTCAACAAGACGTGTGTCTCACGCGATGGATATCTTCCTTACGTGGCATTTACGAATAGGCTTCATAATCTGGGCCTTATATTATATTTGGAAGTCCAACAGATATGGGCTGGGCTGTCTAGATACTTTGCTTTAGTTTATAATTATAAGCGTTATATCTGTATGTATTTTTGGAGTAGAAGAGAGTTTCACTAGAAACAAGAGGATTTAGGTATTTCTCTTTTTATTTTCTCTATTGAACCTAAATTATTACGAAATCAGCCAATAATTAGATCATAGACAACGGGACACCGACTCAACGTCCTCGTAAAGAGACAAACGAATGCAAACAAAGATAGCACACAAAATTTGACATTTATATATGTACCCAAGTCCGCTGCATATGAGCATCTTGACTAAAACCTTGAAACCCAAATTAGTTATCCTGGTCGAAATTATTTTAAATTTAAGTGATTATCTTAACTGAGTCATTCATTCTTGGCCGAAAACCAATGAGTGTTTTTTGTGACTAACAAAACAAAATTTACTTTACCAAAAAAAAAATGCTAGTCTTTCTATTTCATATAATCCTGTATTCGTTACAGAGAATAGTAAATGATGACGCTAGCTCCGAAAGAAGATAAAAGTGGCACTATTCTAACATGTTATAGAACATGGGTTTGATCAGAACCTAACACCAGTCTTCAGGAAGGTTCGTGTTTGGTTTCATATACAGTACAGAGAATTCGAAGTGTAAAGGTACATTGCCCTCATGCTATAGTGTAAACTAAAATGGCATCGCCCTCACCAGTCACCACCATTAATTTAATTAGTTAGTATAATATAAACTATTATTGTTATATTAATTTTAACAGGGGTGCAATATATGAGATATATAATTTATTTTGGTTTTTTGTTAAAATGAGATAGAATTATAGACATCATTTTCTTTTCTTTTTTAAATAGTTTCGTCAACTACCGTGGTATTGGTGAACCTAATTAATCAGACCATTAAGCGAAGACAACACAGAAAATTATAAGAAAGAAACAAAAGTTTTCATACAAAGAACAATTATTCTTTTTCGATTCATGTCGGATGATGTAGCTTTAAACGTTAGACATAAGCTGTACTCAATGCAATAAACTAATAAAAACATACGAGCAGCCTTATTCCTACCACATGCACATATATACATACGAGCCTTATTCTTAGCACATGCACAACTACAGCTCTAACACATACACACAAAACTTTCTTCTCTCTCTCTCTCTCTCTCTCTCTCTCCCTCTCTAATCAAGATTAGGGTTCTTGATTTCCTGATGGAGAAGGAAGAGTGCAGTAGTAGTGAATCCGGTTGGACGACTTATATTTCCTCGCCTATTAAAGTAGATGATGATGAGGTCGTGGATGAGGACTACCATGAAAGCTATAACATCTATAGTTACTATAGAAAAGGCGAAAACGAAGAAGAGAGGAACAAAGACAGCGATGATTCGATGGCCTCGGATGCTTCGTCTGGGCCAAATTATCAGCGCTTTCACCAAAAGAACAACAAAGGTAAAAGAAGAGATGTGTTCGATTTGAAGAACGGGAAAAGCGAAGGTAATACTAAGAGTAATGATGTTGATATTCATAATCATTATGATAACGATAAGAAAACTAGTAACTCATACAAGAAGAAAGAGAAGAAAAAGAAAGAAAATAAGAGTACCTATAGAATGAGGTGATTCATGTTTGTAAATAAATGTTTTACTATGTAACTAGTGTTTGTATATTGGTATTTGGGATTCTAATTTCCTACTTTGATTGGGTGTTTTTTTATGCATCAAGGATAGGAAGGTTGATTCTTTTATTATTTGTTTGGGCTTTGTTTTTGATTGATGTCATGTTGTTCTTGATTTCAGTTACTTGTTCTATAATTTGTGAATCGGTATTTCTCAAAGAGAAAAACTACGACAGTTTGTTGATCACATCACTCGGTCTTTTTGTTTGTTTTCTTTAATGTTAATCATCTAAAATTCCCTCTTCGAGTTAATAGTCAATAAAGCAAAAAAGGGAAATGAAAACTTTCAGTCCATCTTTTCAATATAAGATAAAAAAAACCCCCAACTACAACTTATATATTAAAGATTTATGAATGTGAACTCGTTTAAATTAAAAAAATCATCTAAATAGAAATATAAATGGTGATGATGATAACGATGATGTGTAATTGAAATGTTGTAATGAAGTATATGCATGTACATATGAGAAGAGAAGAGAAGGCATGTGTAGTGAAAGGTGTACTCATCAGAGATAAGTTTCAATTATTGCATAATATTGGGGCTTTGTGAGTCTTGCCCAAAACTCTCTGATGTGAAGAGTTTTGGGTGAAAAGAGAAAAATTGATCCACCGCAGACACATGCCACCAACATGGAACTCTTCCACCAAAAAATATTTTAAAATACATACTTCACAAACTGAGCCAAAAAATAATGTGGTTAGTTTTGTCATGATGCAAGAAATTATATGCTTCACCAATCATCATTTGGTAAAGATCCAATGTCTAGAATAATTCGTAACATCCGTAGTTCAACATTAAATAAATAAAATTTACAACAGAGACTTTTAGGACAAAGACAAATAAATCTACGCATGCATGTACATTTTGAAAGTTTATAATTATTAAGTTACTGATCATATGATCTGTCCACCATATATATACAGTTAGACATATATGCCTAGGAGAGCATGAAGCTAAGCACATTCTACATCAGTGATCTCCAAACTCTGAACAGATTCAATGGATTACGGTCCAAGGGAGACATGGAAACCGAGGAAGTAGTCGTCACGGTAGAAGGGGATTAGGGAAGCACTAGAGAATCCCAACAAACATGCTACATAGTTGCCATCTCTATATGTTTATACAAATGTATGCACTTTCTCTATTTTGCTCTACTGAAATTTTGTGGGTTTCAAACAATTTGCATTTTCCTATTCTCTTCGTATTTTTATCGTTGTACTTTTAAGTGTTGTATTTTCAGTTTTTTATATCTTCAAGCAAAGTTTAATAAAGTCTTTTTCATTCATTTGTAAAGATAAAACGTAAGCATTATATGGAGATCAAGAATTAACATGTACTTGCTAAGAGATTACACAATAATCATAAAATTAAAAGTTATAGTAGAAAGGCAAAAACTTTTGAAAGGAGCAGCCAATCACTGTACGACAAAGTTCCGAAAAAAAAAGAAAACAAAAAACTTTGTCCCAACTACATTTTCTACTTTTAGTAATTTTTTTTACATATACACGTGCACATTAGAACTTGCCACTTTGCCAGTTGCCACTAAAACGGATGTTTTGCTTTTCCCTGATCGGTTATATTTTTGTTTACGTGAATATGTTCCACATAAGTAATCAAAAATAAAACAATCAAACTATATGAAAATATCAAGACTAACTAAGCATATACTGTAAGATTCATTTCAAAAGTCATTTTAAGAATTTGTTGCTTAATCTTTTAAGTTTTAAATTTGTAACTAATTTGATTAATATAGTTTTAAATATATTCTGTATTCAATGTATATGTGTTCATTTACTAATATATAAATACACATATATAAAGTATATGTACTGCTATTTCAGACTGGACCCGATATCGAAATTTTCTAATTTTAGTATTTATAATTTTCTTTTCTTGTGAAGGATATCATTTTTCTTCTTATACTTTTGGTTATCCGTACATTTGAATCGAATCGACTCAAAGAAGAGAACAATCATGAATCAGATAATTCCCTGCAAGTAATTGCCACACACACACACATAGACTGAGATTGTGATGATCTTTTAATAAATTAAGCAAAGTGAAAGAAAAAGAAGAATGTTGATTGTGATAGATCGGAATGGGACCAAACTGTTCTTATCTTGACTGAAAAAGAAAGAAACTAAAGTGGTTCGTTGCTGTCTTGACTATAAAGTGCAGTGTATTGTTGATTTGTTTTTCCAAACTTTTGAGGTGGTTTCGAAAACCTGCTGCTATTTCTTTCATTGTCTGTTTCAATCACAAGTCTCTTTCAATCATCCACTTACGTCATGTCCTACACTCTTAGTGGTCGCTCTTTGTTTTCTTGTCCCGTAAGTTTCTCGCCACACGAATGGAAGAAAAGCATTTTGTTTTCTTGACTGAAAAAGGTCATCCTTACGTAAGATTGTTTCTTTCTCTTCCTTTTCCTAAATTGAGTAAAGTGGAGGGTCTTGGATTCTCTCAGGTAACACATTATCTGATCACGTGTCTTAGTTTAAAGCCTCTTCGGTAGCTGTATGCTTTTGTGGGTCTAAGTAGCAAGATCAAGCTTGCCACAAAACCAAACTTTATTTATTTATTTAGGATTAATCATGAAGTTCTAGAGTAAGGCCGCACATCTTCCTAAACTAAAACCAAATTTTATTGTTAAAATAGAACCTTTGAGGTAATATGTGAGTTCTGCGAATATGACAGTGAGTAGAATCAATGTATAGAGATAAAGAGTGGAAGTATTAGACTAGTGATTAGTTGAATTCTAGAAATGCTAGAAAAGTGAAGTTTCATGAGATATGTCATATGTGGATTTCTCATAAACTCCAAAAACCAGAGAAACTTGGAGAACTATTAATATTTAGCAAATAGTAAATCATATATGACCATGAACAAATACTTTAAGAAAAGCATTTTTTTATAAGAACACCCATGAAAAAAATCAGAAAACAAAATATCATTAAAAACAAGATAACAACTAATAATATAACTAAAGACAGAATTAATGTTTATTAAACTCTGTTTATCTATACAATGTCATCTCTAAAACAAGAAAAAGGGCTCTGGTTGTGAAGCTGCATATCACTAATCATTTGCTTAAGCTCAGAGGTTTCCTCTTTGAGCTGAGCATTCTCTTCAGTAACCTTCTCGCTAGACTCCAAGACACAGTTAAGCTTTTGAAGCAACTGATGGTTCTCATTTCTAAGCCACATTACTTGTGACCAAAGCTCATCAAGCTGTCTCCGCTTCTTCATACGCGATCTCCTCGCTGATTCTCTGTTTGATACCTTCTTCCTCTGCTTCCTCTCATTCATTACATCCTTCTGATACTCTTCTGCTTCATCCGAAGTCGAGTTATTGCTGCTCATGAACTGTGGAGTGTTTACACCAGCTTGGAAGCTGTAGAACGGAGTAGGGTTTTGCACATCGACGCAAAATGGGGAGGATGTATGGTAATGAGAAAGGTACGAAGGTGGAGAACCTTGGAGGCTGAAAATGTTGGTTGATGGATGCATTATAGGTGACGACTTGGGACGCAAGGTAGGGCTCTTTCTTTGATGATGCGAGAGTGAAGAAAGATGGGAAGATTTTGGGAGTTATGATGAATCTTTTGTGTGTGAATACTCTGAAGAGAAGAGGTGTTAATATAGACTAGTAGAGGACAGAGTGGACCCTGATTTCTTCAATTGGGTCAAACCGATGTAAAAGCATCTAACAATCATGCAAGCAAGGACTTAAAAAGAAATAGCAAATGTTTTTACAGAAACGACATGTGAATTTTTATTTTTAGTCATTAGTCAAGTTGATACACAAACTATTCATTTCTTATCTCAATGAAGTAATGAACCAAACATTTCATGAGAGACTATTCATTTCTTATCTCAATGAAGTCAAAAATATTCACATGCAACATTCTGAGTTTATCTTATCTTGGAGTGAATATATTTTTCAGAATGTGTATGTTTATAATTTTGTTTTAATTTCATTTTAAAAACAACTCTATAGAAGATTATATACACTAAAAGAAAGAAAATGACGAATTCACAACTCATAAAAAAAAAAAAAAAACATTTTCAAACGTTAACCTTTATTAGTTTTGATTGGATATTTTCATTATAGAAATACAAAATTTAAGATTGATTTAAGTATGTTTATTTTATTAATAATTATATTTGTCACACTAGAAAAATGTTGACCGAATATAGACTTGCGTTTCAAATGTCTTTTATAAGCGCCAACAAACATTCTTTCCTCTTCCTTCACCTCCCATTCTTCTTCTTCCCCAATTACTCTTCTTCGCAGAAAACAAAATCGATTCTCGAAATCTTCGAATCATCTCCATTGTTTCTGGAATTAGCTAATACAAGGTAAGGTTTATAAAACTTACAAATCATTCCTCTGTTTTTCTGGGTGAAATCATCATACTCCGAACACATTTCAGCTCAATCTCGATAAACACCCAATTTCGCAAAACTAGGGTTTTCGATTTCTACTTCTCTAAATCACTTGAAATCGACATTCTTCGTCTTCGATTTCTTGTTTCTCTCTGTATGCGTTTACTGAATTTCATGAATTTGCTCTTCTCACAGAAAAAAAAAAAACAATAATGGCGATTGAAGATGAAACCCAGAACGAAACTCAAATCACCATCTCCGGCGATGCGACCGATCCACTGTTGACGGAATCTGACAGAGACGACGGAGAGGCCGGCCACGACGAATTCAACGGAGCTTCTTTCAGTGGAGCGGTGTTCAATCTCGCGACGACAATCATCGGCGCCGGCATCATGGCTTTGCCCGCGACGATGAAGATCCTTGGACTCATTCCCGGAATCGCGACGATCGTTCTGGTGGCTTTCTTAACCGATACGACGATTGAGTTCCTGCTCCGGTTTAGCAGAATCGGGAAGAGGAGATCTTACGGTGGTTTAATGGAAGATTCATTCGGCAAAATCGGAAGGGTTATGTTGCAGATCTCTGTTCTCGTTAGCAACATTGGCGTTTTGATCGTTTACATGATCATCCTTGGTACTTTGATTATTGATTACAGAAATGTGATTAAAGATTCGATTTTTTTTGGTGTTAGTTTCTTGATTAGTGTTCTTGTTGGATCTTGAAAAGGTGATGTTTTGGCTGGGAAGAATGAATATGGAGTCCACCATGCTGGTATGCTTGATGGATGGTTTGGAGAAACTTGGTGGAACAGAAGAACATTTGTTCTTCTCATGACTACTCTCTGTGTGTTTGCTCCATTGACATGCTTCAAGAGGATTGGTTAGTATTTTGAACAATCTGATGCATTTTTTCGCTTAGAATATGCTTTTCATGACTATGTAGTATGAAGAATTGGTTAATATTATGTCTCATAATTGACATATAATATGCTTTTTTGGTTTGATGACTATGTAAGTATGTAAACTAATAGCTTAAGCTTTTCACTGGCAGATTCATTGAGATTCACATCTGCAATATCAGTTGCTCTAGCGGTTGTTTTTCTCTTCATCACTGCTGGGATTGTCATCATAAAGCTGTTCACTCATGGTTTAATGATGCCAAAACTCTTCCCCAATGTCACTGACTTGGCCTCCTTCTGGAAACTCTTCACCGTTGTTCCTGTTCTTGTCAACGCATACATTTGTCACTACAACGGTAACACTCAAAAATCACTTCTTTACATTTGATGAATCAAATCAAGAACTCATCTTTCGGTTTTGGTTTGTTATCTCAGTTCACAACATACAGAACGAGCTTGAAGACGCCACTCGGATCAAACCCGTTGTGAGATCAGCTCTTACCATGTGTGCTTCTGTTTACATAATGACGAGCTTGTTCGGATACCTCTTGTTCGGCGACGGTACACTCGACGATGTTCTTGCAAACTTTGACACCAATATTGGGATCCCTTTTGGCTCGGTGCTAAACGATGCAGTCAGATTCAGCTACGCGGCTCATCTCATGCTTGTGTTCCCTATCGTCTTCTATCCTCTCCGAGTGAACATCGATGGTCTCTTGTTCCCTGCGGCTCCATCGCTTGCGACTTCTAATCTGAGATTTGGCTCTATCACTGCTGGTCTCATAGCTGTGATCTTTGTTGGTGCTAACTACATTCCAAGCATTTGGGATGCGTTTCAGTTCACTGGAGCAACTGCTTCGGTTTGCATCGGTTTCATTTTCCCTTCTGCTGTTGTCTTGAAGTAAGATCCATTGCTTTTGGTTTTTTTTGGAGCTTAATAAGATTATTGTTTGAATGTAATTGTAATCTCTTGTGTTGTTGTTGTTTCAGGGATCGTCATAACAGAGCGACAGATAGAGACAAGAATATAGCCATTTTCATGATCGTTCTTGCGGTGTTCTCCAATGCAATCGCCATTTACAGTGACGCTTACGCCTTGTTCAAGAAGACGTACATTTTTCCAATGTGAATAGAGTGGTTTTTTGTTTCTTCTCTTACTCTATAGTGAACCCAAACGTGAATGATTTTGTAACGGCATGATGAATAGTTTGTAGAACCTCTGTATATGGAGAGAGATTAGATGTTTTCTACTTTTCTTTTATACATTGAATAGTTGTAAAAAACTTTAGAAATGAAAAAGATTTTGTCTGTTTACTTGATCAATATCCAATGATAAAAATATTGTTACAAGTTTTACAAATTGCCATTGTGAATGTAAAAGATACAGACAAAAACCAGCAACAAAACGTCTCTTTGGCACAAATCCAAAAGCTGAGCTTATAGAGAAAGCCTCAAAACAAAAGGCTAAAGAAGAAAAAGAAGAACAAGAGAAACGAAGAGACTTTTGGGAAGTGGACTAATCTTTTCTTTCTTGTTGAATTAGCTTGAGAAGTGAAAGTTGAAAATGCAGAGATCAAATTTTCCACTTTTCTTCTATGCATTGAACAATTGTAAAAAGCTTGAGAATGTATGTAATAAAAAAGAGACTTTTTGTCTGTGCTCTAGAACAATATCCAAAGTGAAATGTTGTTACACAGCTAACATAACAGTCATTGTAAATGTATAAAGATACAAACAAAACCAGCAAGAAGCGTCTATTAGGAGTCATTGGCAGAGGCATAACTCCAATAACAGAGTTTATAAATAAAGAGAGCCTCAAAACAAAGGCTAAAGAAGAAGAAGAAGAAGAGCAAGAAAAATGAAGAAAGAGTCGACTAATCTCCATCTCTCTGTTCTTCTTTGCTCAATTGCTGGAATTAGCTTGAGAAGGGAAGCATGGCCTCCACACAGTCTCTTTGCCAATATCCATTAATGCTATACCTTTCACTGTCAACTCTGCTCTAATCTGATCACTTTTCTCAAATTCCTTGTTCTTCCTCGCCGCTATCCTTTCTTCAATCTTCTGCAAGATAGCTTCTTCGGTCAGCTCTGCTCTTGTCAGTGTTCTCTGTTTCATCTCTTTCAAGATCTCTGCGTAGCTCAGGGTAGTGAGCAGACCAAGTACTTCGAGAACTTCCCTCGCTGCTTTCTCAATCTCAACGAGTGACACAAGCAGCGACATCCTCTGTTTCTTCTGCATTTTCTGATAATTTTGAGAAAACAAGCAGACAAGTTTTAGCATGCAGAGTTGTCAGAATGCAAGAGGAACAAGAGAAAGGAAGAAGATGAAAGCAAAGCTAGAAACCTTGAGCTTGCCGAGCGAAGCGTTGATGAATTTCAATGCATCTTGGTAAGCACCAGTAAGGATATGTGCGGTGTTCAAATCGTCTAACATCTTTGCTTCAAACTCAGTTTTCAGCTTGTTGATGACCTCCTTGGCTTCTGCAGTCTGTTCAGCTTTTCCACCGTCTTCATCCATTGCTTCTCGATACGGCAAGAGACCTTCCTCAAGATCTTGCAATGTCTAAATACACAAAGATGAGAGGGTTATAGTCACAAATAAACCATTGCAAACTGAAGAGAGAGGCTAATCAAACTTCACCTGATAAACATAATACAAAGCTTCAGAGGAACTGTCTAGCTGCGACTCCGAGAAACTCAGAGGAGACCGGTAATGTGCACTCATCAAGAAGTGCCTCAGAGCCAATGGATGGTACCTTTCTGTGATCTACACAAGATTTAAAACAAAAATGAGATGAATGAAACTACACACACACCCAAAGAAAAGCTTGGAAGGAAGAAGAAACATACTTCTCTAATGGTTTTAAAGTTACGCAACGTTTTTGCCATCTTCTCGTTATTGATAGTGACATGCCCATTATGAAGCCAGTAATTCACACCACCATCCTCACACGCAGCACAAGTCTGAGCAATCTCGTTTTCATGATGAGGGAAGATCAGATCCGCACCACCACCGTGAATGTCAAACTTCGGAGACAGATAATGAGCACTCATTGCACTGCACTCAATGTGCCATCCTGGCCTTCCCGGACCCCAAGGGCTTTCCCAACTTGGCTCATCTGGTTTCGCAGCCTGCGTTAACATTCATGTTTAAAAACCTCAACTTTATCACTCACTTTGCTTAGTGAGATGAAAGTTAACAAAGAGTTTTGATTTCTCATACCTTCCACAATGCAAAATCAGCAGGGTTAAGCTTTCTTGAATCAACAGCCACACGCTCACCAGCTCGTGTATGCTCCAACTTCTGCCCAGATAGTTTACCGTAATTCGGTGATTTCTCCACTGAAAAGAACACATCGCCTCCCGCTTCATACCCACACTTGTTCTCAATGATCTGTGAATCAATGAGATTGTTCATCAGGATCATACAACTGCACACACAGCGTTTGAGATCACTTATCAAGACAAGGTACCTTTTTTATCATCTCTATGATGTGATCCATATGCTCGCTGACAAGAGGCTGGTGGGTCGGTTCGAGACACTGAAGAGCCTCCATATCCACCAGATACTCCTTGCAAAAGCGTTTGCTCAATTCGAATGGATCCTCTTTGTTCTCATTAGCACGTTTGATTATCTACAAAGATCCAAACTTCAGAATTCTAAAACAATGTACACACAAGAGAATAATAGCAAGAAGATTCTTATCATACCTTATCATCAACATCTGTGAAATTCCGAACAAAATTAACTTCATAACCCAAGTGAAGTAAGTATCTGCATAAACAGTAGAAGTATAGATATGATCAATTCCAAATCGAAAAATCATTCCTTTACTAGAGAAGAATCTAAACCCATAAAGCAAAAAAAAATCTTGGTTTCAGTGAGAACGGGTTTAATAACCTCATCGATCTAACAGATTCCGTTTAAGCAAAAACCCTAATTGCAGAGAAACCAAATTGTTAGAGAAAGAAGAAGAAGACCTGTAGAGGACATCGAAGGAAACGGCGGCGCGAGCATGGCCGATATGGCTGAAATCGTAAGCGGTGATACCACAGACATACAATCCGATTTTGCCGGGATTGATTGGAATCAGAACTTCCTTCTGCTGCGTCATCGTGTTGTAGAGCTTCAATTCCATATTCTCCGCCTCCATTGTTTCTCACAATCTCCACAGCTCAACGGCGAAGCAGAAAAGAATCAAAAACCCTTTTTCTTAAACTTTTTTTTTTTGATTTTGGTAACTTCTGTTTTTAATGTTGACCTGTTACTTTTATTTTCTCTGTTACTATTCCTTATTTAAAAAGTAAAAGGTTAAATTTATGTTTCCATTTAAATCCTAAAATCTATGTGTCGGCCCGAACGGTCGGAGCCCATTTAGCACATGCAACGCACATACTCACACCGTTTCTTTAGCCCAAAAGAAAAAAACAAATGGATTTAATTTCTGAGGTGGCAAGCTCAACCCCGAGAGACGTCTCTCCCGGAAGCAGCCCAATATACGTTTCTTCCGGCCACGTGTCAGATGCACATCGAGCCGGTGATTTTTTTTTTTAATTTTCTCTCTTCATTTCTCCGCTTCTCCTTTGCTCTGAAAATCGGCAAATCTCCAAATCTTCTTCTTCAACCTCTGCAAATTTCTCCTCTGTTAGACGTTCTTCTTCGTTCTGTTCTCTTCTCCTTCATCTTGTTCCTCTTTTCCTTCGTTCTGCCTCTTCCGCCAGAATCCGTCGCCGATTACGATTACTTCTCTCTGGCGCAGCTGATTTAGGTGATCGTGCTTCTCTCCACCGGCGGTAAAAAACGGCGGCGGGTACGAAGGATCCGACTTTGTTGTGATTGGCATTTACAGAGGAATCCTCTTCATCCACGCACTTCTCAACAGCCTCCCGATCTCCGTCTTGTCAGCTCGCTGCTCTCTGGAATCTCCTCGGTACCACCACCACCAAATCTCTCTTCAAATTTCATCTCTCTGTTTCTAAATAAGACTCTATGATTCAGGGGTTGTGTTGCTCATGTGAATATTGTATCTCCAATTGCATATGTGAATATTCAGGGGTTGTATAGCTTTTTACCTGTAGGCTGTAGCATCTTTGGTGGATCTTTGTCAAGTGTCTAATAGAGGAGGAAGTCTAGGATCAGTGGATTTGCTTAGTAGTGTGATTCAGTTTACTGTAAAAAGTCTTCCTTTTTATTTCCGAATTCTTGTTTTCTTTGTGTACATATCTTTAGGTTGTTTCATGTGTTTTCTTGCAGACTATATCATTTGGAGCACTCATGCTAATCTCTGCTGTGGCTTTGCTTTTGCGCCACCTGCGTTCGCTAGGCTTGGTGCAGGAAAAGCCTTCTTGAGGTCTCTTTATCGAAAATATGCAGAGTGGGGAGTTGATTTTAGTACGAGAAGAGAGTTGATTTCATCATATAACATAACATTCTTTATCTCAGTTTGATATCAATTGGTTAACATGTACAGAATTACAGGTGATGATTGGAACACATGGAGAGACGTTGTTTCACATTTCGATATCTCGAGGTCAAGCTTCATGTGTATTACTGTATATGGAGATGCCTGCACTTGCTCTGCCTAACCGGTGCTGCGTTTCTGTTTCATGTTCTTGGTTGGGACGGTGATTGCAATGGGAAGCTACACGGTGTTTATAGGGTCGTGTAGCAAGGCGTTGAAGGAGAAGGTTCCTAGGATCACAAAGAAACTAACGTGGGCGTCTTCTCTTGTGGCCATTGGACTTGGTTTGGCGATTATCATCAGATTTTTGCATGAACCAACCAAAAATCTGTATTTTGCATCTCAATGTTTGAGTTTTGCATTTTATAAATATTTGAAAAAAAACAATTTTTTTTTAAAGAAACCCATATGGAGATGTGCAATGTTGTAGCATAATTATCAAATTTTTTCCCAAACCTCTTTAACTAAAATAATAATTTTTTAATATATTAAATGTTTAAAGAAACCCATATGGGTATATACAATGCATATGCTCTAAAGGCCCTGTCCATTTAAATCCTAAAATATATGCATACAAATTATTTTTATTTCTCTACATCGTTGTTTTTTTCAAAACGGAATATTTCTTTTTTTTACATATATACACGTGAGATTTCCTTAACGAGATTAGGAATGATATAAATATAATAAATCCCTTATAATATAGGTCTTGACGAAAAACTGATCTTCAATCTTCTATCGATTCTTTAAATCTTCCGGCGGAAAACAATGGCTCTCTTTTGGACCGTCTTAGGCTGCGTAACGTCGGTTGAAGTGATTATGGTTATTCTCTTGACCATACCTTTACCTAACTTTCTCCGCAAGGGATTGATCTCCGTCGCACGTTGTCTCTTGAAACCGTTTATCACGATTACTCCTTTCTGTTTCTTCCTCCTTATGGATATCTACTGGAAGTACGAGACTCGACCTTCCTGCGACGTCGTCGACGATTCATGTACTCTTCTCGAGCACCTCCGTCACCAGAAATCTAACGTGACATCTCAGCGTAACGGTCTGCTCGTGGCGTCGGCTCTCGTTTTCTACTGGCTTCTTTACTCCGTCACAAAGATCGTCGACAGGAACAACCAGCTTAACCAGATGGTCGAGAGGCTCAAGAGCAAGGATCAGTCCAGCTTCTCCGTGTCTCCTTTTGTGTTTGTTTCTAATTGTGTTGTTAAGTTTTTGGTGTTTGTTTTCTTCATTTCTGTGTGTTTCTCTTCTCTCTACTCTTTGTATTTATCTGGAGATTAAAAACTCTATGCTACTTCAGTTATAGGCCTATACATATATCTACAAATAAATAGTTTCCAACTTTCGTTACTTTTGTTTTCCGTGTGGTTTGTTGTTCTTTTCATGTATACACTACGTACTAGGTTTTTAAAAAACAAAATCGACAAGTAAACTACAACAAGCGCAAGAACAAATAAAAAGAAGGCCTTATGAGAGATTGATAGCTGACGGAAAAAACAAGCGCAAGAACAAAAAGAAAAGGCTATTCAAAAGAGGAGTTTCTTACGTGAAAAGCTACCTTAAACCCTAAGAGAGTAAATGATCGAGAGACCTTTAGGCTTTTCCTTTAATACTTTTCCAGATGCATTAACGACAATTGATATCATGTTCTCTCTTTGTCTCCAAAATATTTTGTTTTCTCCTTGTTTAAACGGAGATTTACAATGGCCTGATCCATTTTAAGCCACACCAAGAGTTGTCTTTACGTGTGTGTGCCTAAAACTTAATTTGAGGCAACTTTTACTCACTATGTTGGTTCACACTCAGTCAAGAAACCAAATTTCATCCCCTAATTTCCCATATCGATCATGGTCAAATTTTGTAGTTGTTAATCCTAATATATATGCTATTGGCGGATTTCTAAACCATGGGAGTAATAATGCTTCATCTCGTTATGGTTATGCTTATGGTTATGGTCTTATGGATTGTGGTTCTCACACATGGCGTGAGTCCCTAAACATGTGAGTCGCCCGTGTGAGCCAATTTGTATGCGCCCTTAATGGTAAAATTTATGTAACAAGAAGTTGCAAAAATCTTCACAATTGGATGGAAAGTTTTTGATACGAAGACTCAAACTTGTGAGTTTTTGTGGATCGAGATACACAAAGACTAAATACAAAAGTGTAGGGTATGAAAAGAACAGTCTATATGAAGCTTGCTCGCTTGAGGTCGTCTGAATTTGCACCAAGTATTTTTGATCTTGGTCGTGATGAAACAATTTTGTTTGTTTCTTTCTTAATACATACTCCTAAAACCGATAAAAGCTATTGACTCGAAAGTCATACAGTTTTTTAAAAGATAAATGAATACTAAATATTGACAAATTTGAAAAAAAATCAATACATAAATAGATATGCAAATTTGAAGGGAATGGATTTTTGTATGTGGTGTAAAGAGTATGGCATAAGGGATTCAGACAAGTTTGGTTTGAGGGAGATAATCTACAAGTGGTAAACTTCATCAACAAACAGGAAGACAGCCTCGAGTTGGGAAATCTGTTAGTTGACATTCATCACTGGATCAGCAAGCTCCCACTTTATTCATTGGAATATGTTGGCCGACAAATTGTCAAAATGTGTTTATCAATATCCTAGTTCTTTTATGTTGTATACTGTACCACCTGTTTGGTTAAGCTTGTATAACTCTTCATGATTTCAATAAAATATCCAGATGTTACAAAAAAATAAATAGATATGCAACGGCTCTATACGACGATTATGAGATTATCAGTCTAATAATCGGATTAGGACTAGAGCCCAAAAGCGGCAAATAGTAAACGGCCCATACACAAACCAAGACCCGGATCCGAACCCGAAACCGACCCGAGTTAAACTTGCCGCCTCATTGATCTCTCTTTCTTTGGCCAAATTTCTGAATTCTCTCATCTGCAAAGCAACCATGACTACATCGGCGATGGATCCTCCTCCGCCGCGTAACCCTACCCGTGATCCAGAACCTGAACCAGACACAACATCGATTTCAGAGAGCAAGGAATCCTCCGCCGTATCAGAAATCTCTTCGATGAACCCTCCGCCTCCCAGGAACCCTAACACACCTGATCTCGAGCCGACGGAAGTAGTGAACCCCGAGCTAATTAAAGCATCCAAGGACGATTCCGTCGCTACAGACGCTGAAAATCCACCCCGTGTCCGACCCGTGAAGCAGAGCCCCGTCCCGTACACTATCCCAGAGTGGAGTGGACCTCCGTGCCACAAATTTCAGCTCGAAGTCCTCAAGGAAGGCGCCATTGTTGAACAATTAGACGTGTAAGCTCTCTTACGAATCAATTTGATATCGCTGGAGATGCGCAAAAAACATTCTCAATTTGGATTTTGGCTCTTTGCAGCTACGAGAAAGGAGCTTACTTGTTTGGACGTGACAGTATGTGTGATTTTTCTCTTGAGCATCCTTCGATTTCAAGGTTTCATGCAGGTGATTTATCTTATAGCTAATCTCAGAGTGTTAAAGCTTTCAAATTTGGATTACGGAGTTTAAATTGTTATGATTTTCCAGTGATTCAGTACAAGAGAAGTGGAGTTGCATATCTATTCGATCTTGGAAGCACTCACGGAACTGTAGTCAACAAGAATAAGGTGTTTAATTTGTGAGTTCAATAATTTTCATTTCTCTTCATCAAGCGTTGTGATTCTAAAAGTGTGTTGTGATTGTGGCAGGTGGATAAAAGAGTTTTTGTGGATTTGAATGTTGGTGATGTTATTCGCTTTGGCGGGTGAGTCAATCTTTTTTGTTAAGTTCATGATGAATTACCTTCGTCATTGATTGCTTTGATTTTCATGAGCTTGTTCTTTATTTTTCTCTTATGCAGCTCGACTCGACTGTACCTTTTCCAAGGACCCTCGGACTTAATGCCACCAGTAAGATAAACATTTCACTTTGCATAATTTCGCTTTTGGTCTAGTATAGATTTTTGTGTTCGATTGTTGGGTTGATATTTCATATAAGTTCACATGGTTGTTCTTATAGCTTCATGCATGTGTGACTGTGTGAGTACTAGGAGAGGCTACTTTTTGCTCACATTATCATGTGGATCCTCAAAGTCTATCAGATAACCCTTTGAACATTTAATTTAGTTGAACTGTTCTGTCTAGACAAATTCATATGTTTCTATGTATGTCCTTGCTATCATATGTTCCTATGCCCTGCTATTAGAGAATAACATCTAAGCATTTTGGAAAAACTCTGTTACTTTTGGTCTCCTGTTGATTTTTTTAGCATCTGGCCTAAGCTATTGATGTCCATTTGATTTGCTTTTTGTATTGGTTTTGTAGGAGAAAGACTTGCAATTGTACAGAGAAGCAAAGCAGAGACTGGAATTATCGGAACGAGAAGCTTCACTTCGGCGAGCAAGGCAGCAAGCTTCCATGGCTGATGGTGTTTCATGGGGCATGGGGGAAGATGCTATTGAAGAAGAAGAGGTAATCATGACTGTTGCAGAACTAAGTGTAATTTGGTTTCCAGGATTTGTGAAATCAATCTTTCTGGCTGACTTTGTTTCTTCCACTGTTTGGACATGAAGGAGGATGTTGAAGAAATCACGTGGCAAACATATACTGGAGAACTCACACCGAAGCAAGAAAAAACTAAAGAGAAAGTATTGAAACGGTTGGAGAAGGTTAGTCTTTGTGTTTGTCTTTTTAATCTGCTTGTTTCACCCTTTAGTATCTAATTATAGTGTTCAATTTTGCTTCATTTTGATACGCATGTTTGTTTCTATGTAGATTGGCCATATGAGTAAGGAAGTATCTGCTATTCGAGCTAAAGACATTTCTCAGGGTGGATTGACACAAGGACAACAAACGCAGATCGCCAGAAATGAGCAGAGAACAGCCGAGGTAACTTTTATGTTAATCAGAAGTGTTTACTGGGTCCTTTAAAGACAATATTCGATTTTTGTTACGAAATTCTTTGTTTGGCGTCCAATCCCTTTCAATCATGGTTGGTACATATATCTGATTAGATTTTCCATTTCCATAATATGTATGATAGCTTCTTGAAGAACTTGAGAGCTTAGAGGAGACACTAAATGACAGCATCCGAGAAAGTTTGGGTGCAAAAACAGGAAGAAAACCCAAAGGCAAGAAGAAAGGAATTGTAGAAGATGAGGACGACTTCTCAAGGTACTTAAAGTGTTCATATTCTGTAAAAAGTTTAGATTGTGTCCGTTGTGTTCTGGTTCTCATGGTGAATGTTATGTATGTTCTTTACAGTGATGAAGATGACTTTTATGATCGGACCAAGAAGAAACCGTTAACACAGAAAGGCAGCGAAAGCCAAACTGTAGAAACCGTTGACTCTCTTCTGGAAAAGAGGGACAAAGTCTTGAAAGAGATAGAAGAAAAGAACGAACAGCTTTCGGCAGAGAAGAATAAGATGGAGATAGAGACTGTCGCAGAGGTTGAATCTGGTGACTCCCTTGACGCATACATGACCGGCCTTTCTACTTCACTTGGTAATTCTATGGCTCCATTTATTTATCCTTTTAAGTCATAAAATTAATTAACTTCAGTGAATTATCTAAGGTCTTCTTTTTTATTTGTGTCAGTGCAAGATAAAACTACGCAGATCCAGCAAGAATTGTCTGCTCTTCAGTCAGAATTGGATAGGATATTGTATCTTCTAAAGATTGCTGACCCGACCGGAGCAGAGGTTAAGAAAAGGGTGTTGAAGTCACAGGAGCCAAAGGTTAAGATAGTTGAAAAACCTCCTGTAGAGAAGACGAAGAGTCTACCTTTAAAACCAGCTAATCCTGATGAGAAATTAGAGAAAGAGACGGGCAAAGATCCAGCTAAAGTTGAAATGAAAGAAAGTGAAACAGCTGAAGAGAAGAAGACCACTGTGTTTGTTCCATTCAAACCTCAATGGCTCGGTTCCGCTGCAGATAAAGAATCAGTGGAAGAGAAAACGCCTGCGGTTGTCGCTGCTGCTGCTACGACTGAGAGCACAGATGATGCTGATGGGTTTGTTGACTATAAAGATAGGAAGACGATGATCGAAGGTGCAACGGGATTGATAATAAGGAAACGGAAGCAAGTAGACAAGAGCAAAGAAGAAGATGAAGAGTCAAAGGAAAAGCAAGCAGAGGTCATGGCGCAAGACGCTGTTGCTCTTTTGTTGAAACATTCCGTGGGACATCATGTAAACGAAGAAGACAAAGAAATCAGTAACAAGGAAGAAAAAAGTAAGCAAGGAAGTGGACATAGTAGAAAGAAGAAGAAGGCTAAAAAAGTTCTTGGTGCTGATAAACCCGGGTTTCCAGATGAAAGCAGCACAGATTTTGATTCGTCATGGGTACCTCCTCAAGGTAATAATAAAAGTAATGTTTAGATTTAAACTGCGTTTACAGTTTTTAGATGATGAGTAATGTAAACCTTGAATGTGTGCAGGACAATCTGGTGATGGACGTACTTCTCTGAATGACCGTTTGGGTTATTGATCGGAGATTTTTGGCCTCCAAGAGCAAAATTGGGATTCGACGGATCAAGTTTGCATCATTCTTCTTGGTGAAGCTCTGTTTCAAACTTCAAATCCATACCCTAAACCGTAGAGCTTTCCTGAGTGAAGCTGACAAGAAACAACGCAGGCTTTTGCTACAAAGAATCATTCAATTTCAGAGGATGCAGATTCATGAAAGTTGGAATTACTAACGCTTGCCTTTTAGAAATTTGTTGATTAATTTTACGTTAAAGATGTTGATGATGTAAGTAGATGATGTTTTATACTGAAAGATTCAAAGAAAGTGAGGGATGATATAACAGCTTATCTACTTTCTTTTGCAAATGAGAGAATCTCGATTTGACCCTATGACAGTTAATCTACGTTAAAGATGTTGATGATGTCAACATAACAAAAGAACTATGCTTCCTCGAGCTGATTCGAACGAATTAGTGGCTTAGTTGTTTTGTGAAGAGGAATTCTAAATCCTGGGCTTAGTGGCGAATCTAGAAATAAAACTTACTGGTGTCACTAAACAAATCAAACAAAAAAACAATTCTATTATGGTGTCATACTGTCATATGGAGATTCGAACTCTCTATTAGGGGGTCATAGAGAAGAATTTTCCATGCAATCTTACAAAACCAGTGACATTTTAGCCTGAAAAAAAAATTATTTACAAATTGTTACGGTGTCACATGACACCGTATGCGTGTTAGTAGAGTCTGAAGTTACATTTACAAGAACGACTTCTTTCAAAGATTCTATACCAAAAAGGTACGAGGAAATGTCATTTAAGTGCATTTAACACGATCAAGAAAAGCTAACATAGGTAGGAGTAATGGATATAACTACTAACTACCTATCTAGGTATCTCCTCAATCACATACATTAATATCCACAAATCCTATTTGTGGTGAGTAATCTGCACCGACATCACACACATTTCATTGTGCTTGATAGTGTGTATATTAAAATCATCAAAATTCTTCCTGCACTAAACGAAACCATTACAAATTATTACATACACATCAAACTCCAAAATGGCTTCAATAAGTTTATTTGAAGCTTCCGTAGCATTCTTTTGTTTTATCATCCTTTGTTTCTTCCACTTCAAGAAACCTCATGACGGCTTCCTAAGAAACTGGCCAGGTGTAGGGATGCTTCCGGGTCTGCTCATGGAGTTCCATCAGATCTATGAGTTTACTGTGGAGATTCTTCGGAACTCTAACTTGACATTTCAATTTAAGGGCCCTTGGTTTCTTGGAATGGATATGCTGTTCACCGTTGATCAAGCAAATATTCATCATATAATAAGCTCAAACTTCACCAATTACATCAAAGGTCCAGAGTTCAAAGAAGTATTTGATGTTCTTGGAGATGGGATACTCACCGCGGACTCAGAGCTATGGAAGAATCTAAGGAAAGCTTCTAAAGTCATGTTCAGCCACCAAGGGTTTCGAAGGTTGTCAATGAGCACCACAAGAAGAAAACTCGAGGAAGGTCTTGTTCCTCTTTTCAATCGAATTTCAGAGGAAGGAACGGTCGTGGACTTGCAAGATGTGTTCGTGAGGTTCATGTTCGACACAACCCTAGTGACGGTTACCGGGTCTTCTGATCCTAGATCTCTCTCCATTGAAATGCCAGAGGTTGGTGAGTTCGCTAAAGCTCTCAACGATGTAGGAGAAGCGATTATGTATAGGCATGTTAAACCAATGTTCTTGTGGAAGCTACAAAGATGGTTTGGATTCGGACAAGAGAAGAAGCTGTCTAAAGCTAACGACACTTTAAATCGAATGTGCACGGTTTATATCAACAAAGAGAGAGGAGATAAGATCACGAGATGTTACCAATAATTTCAATGGAGAAGGTGAGGATCTTTTGACATCTCACATGAAGCTAGATGCAACCAAGTACGAGCTCTTGAACCCGAGTGATGATAAGTTTCTTAGAGACACCATTTTATCTTTCATTCTCGCGGGGAGAGATGCCATTTCTTCTGCTCTCACTTGGTTCTTTTGGATTTTGTCCGTAAACCCTCAAGTTGTCACCAAGATTCGCAAAGAGATCAACACAACTTTACCAAGAACAAGTGGCCAAAAGAGGGCATGTTATGATGATGATGATTCTATTGAGTTCTTGAACAAACTGGTGTATTTAAGTGGCGCCTTGTATGAAGCGATGAGACTATACCCTCCGGTTCCATTCGAGCGCATGTCTCCAGTAAAACCAGATGTGCTTCCAAGTGGGCATAAAGTCGACGCAAGTATGAAGATTTTAATCTTTCTTTACGCGTTGGGGAGGATGGAAGCGGTATGGGGACAAGACGCATTGGAATATAAGCCAGAGAGATGGGTCTCAAAGACTGGAGTGTTGGTAGAAGAGCCTTCTTACAAGTTCTTTGCGTTCTTTGGTGGACCAAGAGCTTGTCTTGGTAAGCACTTAGCTATGAGAGTAATGAAGATGGTGGTCGTGGAGATATTACAAAACTATGATTTTAAAGTTGTCGAAGGTCAAAAGATTGAACCAGCTCCTGGTCCTATTCTTCGCATGAAGCACGGTCTTAGAGTCAAACTTACTAAACGATATCCGTTAAAAGAATATAAAGTCCTATGATCACCACCAGAAAATGAATAAAAACCTATCACAATTTGTTTTAATTTTTTCATGGAGAAGATTAATCTAGATTAGAACCAATCCAATGCAAGTTAACTGGACCGGTAAGGATTTGGTTGTGGCGTCCAGACGGTGGCGATTTGCAAGAACAAGAAAATCATGCTCTCAAATCGTCATGCCCTAAATATGGTACAGTATGGCATCTGAGGAAGAAAAATCTGTGTATAGTTTACATTGACTTGTTTGGCTGGTGCCCTAAATTGGACACAAGGAGCAGAGTGATACTGTTTGAATTCAGATGCAGCATACTAGTCTTGACAGTGGACAAAACTGATATTAGCAACAACACTAAAATAAAGATTTGGTGAAGAAGATGACTTCAAAAGCCATCACATGGAAGATCCTATTGGAGAAGAAGTGGTAATCATGATGACGGTTAGTGTTATATTCTTTCCATTTTTCTATTTAGGATTATTGATTCAGTTAATCCTAAACAGATTGATACTGTTTGAATTCAGATTCAAGAGAAAATACCCTACTGGATATACAAATCTTGACAATAAACAAAACTGATAGTAGCAAATACTCACTTTCCTGAGTTGATGTTTTAGATTTTGTTTTTGTTCATTATTATTTGATATTTTAGAGTATCAAATGTATTTTTTGGTAATAAATATCACAAAAAAATGCAAACTTTAAGAGAATTCTATAAAATTTATTGGTTAATAGTTATTTAAAATGAAAAAGTAATATATTAAAAGTTAAACATTAATTGTTTTTTAATCTATACGAAAACTCTAAAACATCAAGAACGGAGGGAGTACAAGTTGAGGCTGTCTTTCTAAGATCATATAGGCTTTGTCATAATTAAATCAGAAAAACAATGACCAAAACATTTAGTCTTTGTAATTAAATCAAGAAAACAATGACCAAAACTTGAAACAGCTTCACGCAGCGCACCAATCATTTTTCTGGTCATTATAATAACATATAATCCAAACAATAGCACTGTATACGAAACAGTCTATTCCCTGATAATGACAGCACACCAAATTGCATTGACTTTTTTTTTGGTCGAAGAATTGCATTGACTTTTGCATAAATGTTTTCGAATAATAATAGATTTATAGCGAAATTGATCATGGCCAACCCACTGCTCGACTGCTCGTCACGAACTAATTCTAAAGACTATTTTCACTACTTGATCATAAATAATGAAACGTATTCTAATACAATCGCCCGTAAACGTGGACGATTGTAAAAGAACATATCAACCCCTATAAAATCATACTTCCGTCTTATGTTACAAAACGCATGAAACAAAGCAAAATCTGATTACTCTGCCCATAAAACACATAAGTTTTACAGCAGGATGGGCTTACATATATTCCGATTACTCTGTAAAATCCTCGTCGCAACTATCCTCTTCCATGGCTCGTGCTACTCTGATAAAGGTATCTTATTATGTTTCCTATAGGCACCATTAAATTTCTGATGATATGTTGACTTTTAGAATAGTCTTTAGTACTCTCTTTTTCATAAAGAATGCATTCTACTTTTTTTCACACATATTAAAAAATTAGTAAAAATTATGTTTTACCTTTTATAATTATACTGATCAATACTTTCTTTTTACTTAATATTTCCTCCGTTTCATAATTAATAAGTGTCGTTTAAGGTTTTGTCACTTATAATACAATTTCTACTATACCCCTAATTATATATTAAAGTTATTAGTTATTTTGTTAATTCAATAAATGGATAGGGTTGAAACTGAAAATTTATATACAATTATGTACTCCCTCTGTTCTCCAATAAATGACCATTTTGAGAGAAAAAAATGTCGTACATAAATAAGTAATCTTTACATATTTCAATGCAAAAATTAATTGTATCTTAATTGTTTTAACTGTTTAAATTATGTATACAGAAAATTTATTGGTAGATTTTTCTTGTAAATGATGAAAAAATATAAAATTAAATAATTTTTTAATATGTGTATAAATTCAAACGTCCACTTATTTGAGAACAGAGGTAGATTGAAAACACACTTATTTTAAAACAAAATTTTAACTCTAAAATGACACTTATTATGAAAGAGAGATACCCTAATATAACAAAGTTAAAACTGGATTTTTATTAATAAAATGTAAACTGACACTTTTCACTCTTTAGTGAAACGGAGGGAGTTTTGATAACTTTTGTTTTTTTTTTTTTTTTTCTCTTGTGAAGATGGACAGTATACATTTATGAAAGATGCAATAGTAGCACCAACTTATGCTTCCTTCGACTACATAGTCATCGGAGGAGGAACCTCCGGTTGTGCTTTAGCCACAACGCTCTCTCAAAACGCCAGTGTTTTAGTTTTGGAACGTGGCGGCTCTCCTTATGACAATCTAACGGCGACGGACCTCGGTAACGTCATACCAAGCTCGTGGTCACAACCTTTCACCTCCAAGGACGGCGTTGACAACCAACGGGCACGTGTCCTCGGTGGCGGCACAGTGATAAATGGAGGATTCTACACACGTGCAGGTGATGATTACGTGGCAGAGGCTAAGTGGGAGATGGAGGATGTGGAAAGTGCTTACGAGTGGATCGAGAAGAAACTTGTGTTTAAGCCACAAGTCAAGGGATGGCAATCGGCGTATTTAAAAGGGCTTTTGGAGGCTGATGTGACTCCGTACAACGGTTTTACGTACGAACATATCAACGGGACGAAGATCGGTGGTACGCTCTTTGACATCGGTGGCCATAGACACTCGGCGGCAGATCTGTTAAAGTATGCTAATCCGGATAAGATTGTTGTCTACTTGAACGCTACAGTTCATAAGATCCTCTTTACCACCAAAGGTAAATTGACTTTGAGATCTCGATTGAGAAACTTGAACAAATATTCATAAATATAATATTTTTTTTTCATATAACTAAATTTTAAATTAGAGAAGAAAATTGAGGAACTCACTGAGAAATAAGTGTTTCAAAAATCTCTCATGAGCATTTCTATTGGTGAGATATTCTAAAAAGAAATTAACTCTATTACAATATAATTAAATTTTCAGTTTTAGAAAAAATTCAACAAATGAAAACATGACATATGAAACCAAAACATAATTTTACTATCTCCCATCCTTTTTTTTTTAATTGTTCAGATACACATGTGAGAACCCTTCAATTAGTTTCTCAACACATATTATTTCTCTGTTTTTTTTTCTATAATTATTTTTTAATGATGAGAGCCAAAGCCCATTGAAAAATCTCCAATAGAGAGGTGTACTTATTTGTTTTTCATTTTGTTATTCATAATTGAGATGAAAACTTTGTTTTGGACAGGAGACCAAAAACTTAAAGCACATGGAGTGATATACAAAGACAGAGATGGAGTGTTCCACAAGGCAGAACTGGCGGAAAATGTAATGAACGAGGTGATTTTGTCTGCGGGTGCTCTCGGAAGCCCACAGTTGTTGATGTTGAGCGGTGTAGGTCCGAGGGCTCATCTTGAGGCCCACGGGGTGAATCCTGTGGTCCGAGATCATCCCATGGTTGGAAAAGGGATGGGAGATAATCCGATGAGCGGTGTTGTCATCCCTTCTCCTCTACCTGTAGAAATGGTTCCCCCAGCGAACGTTGGGATCACCAAGTTTGGTAGTTTCGTTGAAGGTGGGAATCTTACCAACTCTCTCACAATTTAATTCTTCGATGGTATGATATATATACATGAAAAGGTTATCATAACTTATTAATTAATGGATCAGGCGCGGCACTAGACTCATTAAGTCAGACACCCTCCATCAAATCAAATAGTGGTTTGATCGTTGAGAAAGTTGATGGACCGGTCTCGAGAGGTTACTTGGAGCTTCAGAACACAAATCCAGATGATAACCCTTCCGTGAAATTCAACTACTATCAAGAGCATGAGGATCTTGAGAAATGTGTTATAGGACTTGAAACCATTATTAAAGTGATAGACTCGAAGGCTTTCTCAAAATATAAGTATCCGAATGCTACCGCAATTGAACTTCTCAGTCTCATGCTGAGCCCTCAGACCGCAGTGTCCAATTTGACGCAGTATTGCATCGACACTGTGAGGACTATTTTTCATTACCATGGAGGTTGCCAAGTTGGAAGAGTTGTCGACAAGAACTACAAAGTCTTTGGCATTGATTCCTTAAGGGTTATCGATGGATCCACGTTTCTCAAGTCTCCGGGGACTAATCCGCAAGCCACAGTCTTGATGCTCGGAAGGTAAAATGAGAAAACAAAAAATGATCCATTTTAAGACTTACTTAAATAAGGTATATATGATTGTGTGAGTTTTATGTGTAGGTACATGGGACAGAAGATTATTCAAGACCGAGTTTCTTTCGGGGGGAAATAATGATGATGATTCGATCCAATAAAAATAAGGCTAATTTATGCTACATAAGTGGCCTTTTAAAAACTTTTTTTTTCATAAAATAATTGGTCTTCTCATTAATCAATGCAGAAGTTAATTATATTTTGTTGTTTTAATTTTTTAAATTCTGCATAATGTTTTTTTTTTATTAATTGAATTGTTTTGGGAGTTAATGATAAAACATATTTTATTTTAATGATTTAATGATTTCTTAATTTGTATACATAAGCCTAAAAAGCTGACTTATTGGAGAACATATGGAATATTTTTCTTTGTCCAAAGAAATGGATAATTGTTTAAATAGTTCTTTTTCATAATAGTCAAACAAGTACTCTTTTGTGGAGAATTTTCAAGAATAATCTTGTTTTTATGAAAAAACTATTTATCCAATACTTTATAAAAGAATATCTATTACAAGAGGGTCACCCCGCAGACATAAGTTATTTTAAAAAAAAAAAATTAATATCAAAATACAAACTATCTAATTATGCCAAAAAATAATACAAATATTCAAACCAACCAAAAGTTTTGGAAGACTACCTTACATACCACATTAGCCAATTTTCATATACTTTTATCCACACTAACATTACATAAACCCAAACCATACATTATAACAACCCCTTTTCCCTAAACCGCATACACAAATCCCACATTACAAATATGTACTTAATTTCCTTTTATTTTTTTTAACTTTTTTTAAAAATGAAGTTGTTTTATTGAGGGGTTTTTAATTTCAAATGTTAGTGTATTCAAGTTTTTTAAAATGCACACAAAACTGAACTTTACACACACTAATATAGATCCTACATACTAGCGGCCTAAAAATAACATTACATTATAACCCTTCCCCCTTTAACAGTAGTATACCATAACCTCACATTATACACTTCTCCTTAATTTGTTTATAGTGTTTTAGTTTTATATAAAGAAGTTGTTGTTCTTTTTTTTAATCCACAATGTTAGTATTAGATTGATATGGATGAAATGAATTTTTAAAAATGAAGTTTTTTTTAGGGTGGGAATTTTAAACGCAAAATTAGTGTATTGAAGTTTTTAAAAATGCACACAAAACTAAACTATACACACACCAATATAAATCCTACATCATAAACTCTAAGCTTACATTATAAGCCTCCCCTCCCTAAACAGTACCAACCCTTTGGTATTATGTCTCTTAAGAATGTATGTAGTCTTGAACCATATTCCAATCTGATACGTTTGAGATTCCAACCTCAATACCACAGTTTTACTTTTAATTAACTAACCCAATGCTCGTGGTTCTGACTTCTGAGTACCTCAAGTTGATAATGTATAGACTTTAGAGTTATAAAGAACAACTTTCTTTATAAGATTTAGAAACTTCTCAAAACTAAACATTTTCTCTTAAGTCTTATGGAACAACTCTCCATAGGCTCTATATATAGAAATAGACTTCTCCTAATTCTATTAGAAATACAAAAACTTATCTAGATATAAAAACCTTATTTGGATTCTTTGTCTCTCTCTCATTAGGATCCTCTTATCCTTAAGATAGCTTCCTTGCCAAGTTAGGAATTATCCAACATTTTGCCCCTTAGTTCCAACTTGAACTTAGGAAGACTCGATCACTTTAACTCCAATGAGGTTTCTCAGTTCCTTACTTTAACTCCAACTAGTTTTAAGCCCGCGCTATGCGCGGATAGTGTTATCAATTTTGCCAATTAATTTATTTTTCATATTTGTAAAATTTGTTTAAAAAAAAAGATAGACTCTCTCCGATGCCATGTTTATTTAGTTTCTCGAGATTTTTTATCACTACTCATTACTCCATTATGGATTCATTTCCTCTCTTTTATATCTTCTTGTCGTGATTCCTTCATCATACATAAATTTGGCAGAACTATGTAAATGATGTTGAATCTCAGATAATTGAAACTCCGACCTGTTCAGTTGATAAATCATATATCTTAGAGTTTTAATTGATTTAGGAGAATAAAAGTGATACAACGGTCGAATGCATCAACAAATTATAATTTTATGTTCTTCTCTACTTCAAAATAGTTAAATTATCAGTTGTGTTAAAACAAAATATAGCATATATTTCAATTCTTTGATGATGCAATTATCTATTTTGTTTTGCCCCAGGGACATCAAAGGTGCCATTAGCGTATTCATTTTGAGCACTAACGCTTGTTATTTTCGTGCTTATATATAACCTCTAGCTTGTGATGCCTTTTGTAAAAATTCTCCTTCAATTTGTTCTTCTAAAAGTGTTCCTAGAATTTAGAAAAGAAATAAATATAACACCTTTAATTTGTAAATATATTTGGCCGATAAGATGTAGCTAGTTTCTGTAAGTGGTTACTTTTTGAGCTTGTATAGTAATTAATTGATTACAAACTTACATGTGTTTTACCCTTTCTAGTTAGTGAGATGGCAAAAAGACGAAATGCATAAGATGTAACCACAAATCGTGACTGATGGAGTCTTCGGTCAGCCAATTTCATGTCCACGCTACGTGATCAATATCATTTTGTTTCTCTAGCAAAGAAACCAATGTAATATTAATGAACCAATAATAGAAGTCACCATTAGTCCGTATACTTATTGTGATTCTTTCTTCTTCTCAAGAAAAGATCCTCAGTTTGTTAATAAAGTTAACTTCGTGGATAAAACTACTGCTGCCAAAAAAGCACCAAGCTGATCACTATAATGATACCGTAAATGAAAACTTTACTTTAATAACCAAGAACACAGAAGGAGAACTGACAATAAAAGTTACGTTTCAACCTTGACAAGTTATGGCTTTTCAGGTAACAGCTTCATAATCATATTCTGATTCGCTTTTTCTTCTATAGATACAAACTTTGACGGAAAATAATCGTGAAGCAAACTAAATAAGGTAAGTTTGGGACTTTTAGCTCCTTATGTACACCAGCTAAGAACTACTTGAAAGAAGCTGAAATCCATTGTCAAGAGCACACCGTTATAATCTTTTAATCACCTAGAGAAATCATAAAAACTAAACCCTTAATAATAACTGACATTGTTAGACCACTACCAGAGAAAGTCAAAGATGAAACTAAACAACACTTCTCATGTAAAATGCGCTTCAAATCATGGAAATGATTTCAATATTAGAAAAATCCATCACTGAAGAGGGTAAGGGTAAAGAATAATACTACATGAAGAGTAGCAAGTAACTTACAATTTTGGATTAGGGAGGAGTTAGTATTCCAGGGAACAAAGCTTAGTGAAGAAAACAATCCCCTAAAGAAGCTAAAGAATAATTTATATCTTAGCTTATGTACTGACCAAAACCAGTTTATGCTTTCGAAGTTCAAAATGATGTATTGTATTACTGAGAGAAACCAAAGAATCATGCTGAATGACTGAGTTTTTAACTGACTCACGGTCCAATTCTGAATCAAAGCTTGTAATATTTCCCTTCATCCTCTCCACATATGCGAGGCACAATCCCAACAGCAATTATCTATCATGTGAATATTTTTTTTTTATCCAGTAAACCAAACAAAAACAGAGTACAAAATGTGTGAGACCTGCAAAACTCAATCAAGAGTGTAAATATTATTAGGTCACCATCCTAAGGGGAAAATTTAGAATGAGGACGCAGATAAGATCATTGTAGAATTTAACAATCGCCTCATTCTCTCCCTTTTCCTCGTTCTCATATGTTCTTAGGCTAAAATTAAGAATCAAACGAAAATGGATTAGAGAATGAGTGACTACATCTCATACTTCCATCCTTCATCGCCAAAACCCCCCGAAGGCCTGTCTTCCCTAAACCCATTTGCCTCGTTCGGCGACCTAACTCTAATGAATGCAAAGCTTTAAGGAACTACTTGTCGGAGTGAAGCCAAATAAGCTGTTGAAACCACTGAATTCGAGCACAAACACCGATGACTAATGCCAAACACTCGACTCTTTCTTACATGAAGAGTTACAAATATTAGACTTTTCTTTTTGGACACTCTGTTTCTATCATGTAAGAAACAGTCGAGTCTTTGGCATTAGTAAATAGAGAATATGCTAACCATCACTAAATTCCAATTTTTCATGACTGATTTAAAAACTGATATAGAAATACCTAAGCGAGTAAATGTGCAGAGCATCTGGCTACGTGTTTATAAGGTCGCGAATCTAACAGGAAAAATGAAAGGTTGGTGTGATTGATATTACCAATTAATAATCATCTCAGAGCCCCTCCATCTCTTCTCGTCTGGGCGAGTCATTCACCAGACGGCAACGGCTAAGATTTTGTGGCCATCGAACGATAATTGATGAGAGGAGCGTTTGCAGGAATCCAAAGACACAAAAATGTAGCATAAATGAGGAAGAGGAGATGATGAGTTTCAAATGAATAATTTAGAAACATAACAGACAATATGAGGAGGTGGTGACGGGAAGGAAGAGGAGACGAAGGGAGTGATTATCGTGAATCAAAGGCATATTTTCCCAAGCTAGATAGATTTCATCGGATTTTCCTTTTCCAAACGGCTTTCTCCTGTGACAAATAACTTAGATTCCATCTCTTTTCTGCAGCTGAATCCGCATCACAACACTATATGTGTATAACTTCGCACTGGAGATTGACGGAAGAGGAAGCCGAGAGGACGAAGAAGAGATTGCTGGAAATGAACATTTGGAAGGAAAAAACTAAAAAAACGAAGAAGAAAAAAAAGAGAAATTCTCAGAGGAGGCCACGTGTCCATCTCTCATGTGCTGACGTGGCGGTCAGCTGGAGAGAGATGGACAACTTTTATAGTATAGGATGAAGTTTTTCAGTTCCTTGAACTTGATCCATGCTAATAGTTCGGTGAGTATGTCCGCCTTCTGTATCGTGCCTCGTCATTGTAATAACATAGAATCCAAAAAATAGCACTGTGTACGGAACAGTCCTTGATAATGACAACACACCATATTATATTGAATTTTGCATAAATGTTTTTGAATAATAATATATTTACAGCGCACAATCAAAATCATGGCCAGCCACTGCTCTTCACGAACTAACCGAACAAATTAAATTAAATTACAATAACTCTGAAGACTACTTTCATTATTTTTTTAGAAATAATGAAACGTATCTCTCTAATACAATCGACCGTAAACGTGAACGATTTTAATAAGAACCTATCAACAACAATAAAACCATACTTCGTCTTATTGTATAAAACGCATGAAACAAAGCAGATACAATTGTTACAGTAGAATGGGCTTTCGTATATTCCAATTACTCTGTACAATCCTCGTCGCAACTATCCTCTTCCATGGCTCGTGCTATTCTGATAAAGGTATCTTATTAATTTCCTATAGGCACCATTATATATCCGATGAGATGTTGACTTTTAGATTAGTCTTTAGTATTGATACATCTTTTTGTTTTTTTCCTCTTGTAAAGATGGGCACTATACATTTATGAAAGATGCAACAATAGCACCAACTTATGCTCGCTTCGACTACATAGTCATCGGAGGAGGAACCTCCGGTTGTGCTTTAGCCGCAACGCTCTCTCAAACCGCCAGTGTTTTACTTCTCGAACGTGGCGACTCTCCTTATGACGATCCAACGGCGACGGACCTGGGCAACACCATACCAAGTTCGTGGTCACAACCTTTCACCTCCACGGACGGCGTTGACAACAAACGGACACGTGTCCTCGGTGGCGGCACAGTGATAAATGGGGGATTCTACACACGTGCAGGAGATGATTACGTGGCAGAGGCTAAGTTGGAGATGGAGGAAGTGGAAACTGCTTACGAGTGGATCGAGAAGAAACTTGTGTCTGAACCACAAGTCATGGGATGGCAATCGGCGTTTATAAATGGGCTTTTGGAGGCTGATGTGGCTCCGTACAACGGTTTTTATTAGAGTATATATTGTGATAAGGTTCAATAAGTTGGAGATAAACATAGAGTATATTACGATAGCTTATAAGTCGGGTTAGATAAGGATTACACATGTATATAAATACCTTGTATGTTCGATCTATTATGAATAACACAAACATATTGTCGGTGACACAGGTCTTCTTGGTTGCAAACCAGTGTCGACACCAATCGTTGAGAATCACAAGCTTGCCTCGGATGAGAGTTCTTTGTTGTTGGATCCAAAGAAGTATCGAAGGTTGGTGGGTCGACTCGTTTACTTGTGCATTACTCGCCCAGAGCTCTGTTATGCAATCCATTTGTTGTCCCAGTTTATGAAGGAGCCTCGTGAAGGTCATTGGGAGGCTGTGTTGCGTGTCGTTCGGTTTATCAAAGGGTCACCAGGTCACGGTGTTCTTCTGCGTGCAGATAATTCTCTACAGTTAAACGTTTTTTGTGATGCTGATTTTTCAGCTTGTCCGCTGACTTGTCGTTCGTTGAGTTCGTATGTCGTCTTTCTTGGTGGTTCGGCCATTTCATGGAAAACAAAGAAACAGAGTACAGTTTCTCTTTCTTCAGCAGAGTCTGAATATAGAGCAATGGCGTTTGCTACTAAGGAAATTAAGTGGATTGTTCAGCTCATGGAAGATCTTGGCGTCTTGGTTACCAAACCGATTCCCCTTTATTGTGACAACAAAGCTGCTATTCACATTGCAGCAAATCCTGTTTTCCATGAGAGGACGAAACATATTGAGCGGGATTGCCATTTTGTTCGTGACGCGGTGCGTGATGGCTTAATCTCAACAACCCATGTGGGTACAGCCGAGCAGAGGGCAGATATTCTTACAAAGGCTCTCGGGAAGCCTCAGTTTCAAGTGTTATTGTCCAAGTTGGGTGTTTATTAGAATATCAACATATGGAATGCATATATTCATATATGTAAATTAGGCAACATTGTTAATAGCCTCTAACGGCTCTATTGTACAGATCTCCTATATATTCTGATGAATGAAATGAGAAGGATCAGCGATCCAATTATACCTAAACTAACATGGTATCAGAGCATACCTATTAGAAACTCTTCCGCCGCTGTCATTTTTTTTTTTTCTCTTCTCTTCTCTTCTCTTCTCTTCTCGTATCTTCATTTTTTTACGACAATGGCTGCAACAGCGCCTGTCACTGATCGATCACTCAGCCTTACACAAATCAAGGCTCATATCCCAATTACCTTGGATATGAATCAGATGAATTATGATATATGGCGTGAGCTCTTTGAAACTCATTGCCACAGTTTCAACGTGCTTAGTCATCTCGATGGCTCCTTAACATCGACCGGACCCGAAGACACCACATGGTCTCAGACAGATGGAACTGTCAAGATGTGGATCTACGGAACCATTTCGGAATCGCTCCTAAAATTGGTTCTCAAGACAAAGTGCACAGCATCGGAGCTCTGGACGACGATCGAGAACCTGTTCCGCGACAATAAAGAAGCTCGTGCAATACAGCTCGAAAATGAGCTCCGACAGCTGCAGATCGGAGACCTCTCTGTACATGATTACTGTCAGAAGTTGAAAACCCTCTCCGATCTCCTCGCCAATGTGAATTCCCCGATCTCCGATAGGGTTTTGGTGATGCATTTGCTTAATGGACTTAGCTCCAAATTTGATAACATTCTCAATGTTATTAAGCATCGTTCTCCGGCGTGCACGTTCAGTGAAGCCCGTTCCATGCTCAAAGATGAGGAAGCCCGGTTAAGCACAAAACGCCAGGTCTCCTCCCCATCTCATGATAACGCCTCTTCTCCTCAAATCCTCATGGCGTCATCCGCACCAGCGCCTACGCACACACCGCGACCTAACCACAACTCCGCACCACCATACCCACCGAATTACCCATCGAGCTACGGCAATCGCAATGCTCGTGGAAACCGTGGTGGCCGGAATCAACGCGGTCGTGGCGGCGCTAATTGGCAAGGAGGGAACTGGAATAATGGGCCGTCTCAAATGAGCTGGAATAATGGGCCTTCTCCTCCATGGGCCTGGTCCAACAATCCTCCCTGGCCCATGTCTCCACCTTGGCAGAATCAGCCTCAGTGGCCCAATCCGTGGTCCATGCCTCCAGCTTGGCCTGCCTATCCACCAGCTCCAGCCACCTCATCACAACAACCATCGTTTGGTCTGCTCGGAAACAATCCGCGAACGGCATATCTCTCCACTCACAATCCCGTCGCCGTTGCGCAAGCACCGCCTCCGGCGCCAAATTCCGAGCTGATTCCAACCACGTTGGCTCACGCATTCAACACCAACACCTTGTCAGATCCAACGGATGCCGGCTGGTACATGGATACAGGAGCCACAGCGCATCTCACGGCACAACCGGGTAAAATCTCGACTATTACCTCTCCGGCTGACTTACCTTTAATTACAGTTGGCAATGGAGCGCTTATTCCTGCCACTACAATTGGTCATGCCTCAATTTTATCTCCTTTACGTCCATTACTTCTTAAGAATGTTTTAATTTGTCCAAAGATTCTCAAAAATCTGATTTCAGTTCGTCAATTTACTTGTGATAATCGTTGTTCTGTTGAGTTTGACCCATTTGGTTTTGTTGTTAAGGATCTCATAACACGAACACCCCTCATCCGTTGCAATAGCAATGGCCCTCTCTACGCTGTCTCTCCACCGTCTCCGATAGCGTATCCACAGGCGTTCCTCACCTCGACATCCTCCACCATCTGGCATCAAGGACTAGGTCATCCAGGCGATAATGTTTTACGTTTTTTATCTGCTTCAGGTTTCTTACATTTTCTAAGCCTGATGTCTCTTCCCTCTGTCATGCGTGCCAAATTGGGAAGCACATCCGGCAACCTTTTTCTACTTCTGAAAATTTAGTTTCTTCTCCATTTGACATTATACACTCTGACATTTGGACTTCACCTGTATCGAGTGTTAGTGGAATAAAATTTTATGTCATTTTTCTTGATCAGTTTTCGCATTTTGTGTGGATTTTTCCTTTACGCAGAAAAAGTGAAGTGTTTTCCAAGTTTTTAGAGTTTGTCAATTTTATCAAAACTCAGTTTCAAAAAACAATCAAAGCTTTTCAATGTGATAATGGTGGTGAGTTTAACAATCGCCACATGTTAGATTTCTTTTCAACTCATGGGATACAACCTCGGTTTTCTTGTCCGTACACATCCCAAAGAATGGGAGAGCAGAACGCACTTTACGCACCATTAACAATCTGCTACGTGCTCTATTGTTTCAAGCAAACTTACCCAATACATATTGGGTTGAGGCTTTAAATATGGCTGCTCATCTTTTTAATATTCTTCCATCGTCTGCAATTGAAAATGATATTCCTTACACTCGGCTTTTTAACAAACCTGTTTCTTATTCTCACCTTCGTGTTTTTGGTTGCTTATGTTATCCAAATCTTTTGCCTACCTCTGAAAATAAATTATCTCCACGTTCCACAAAATGCATTTTTTTAGGATATCCACCTAATCACCGTGGTTATAGGTGCCTTGATCTCACATCTCGTCATATTATTCTCTCACGTCATGTTGTTTTCGATGAGAAGGTGTTTCCCTTTGTAGGTACAACTCATGCTCCTCAGCCACATCTCCTCGCAGCACCATCTACATATCCTCCGATCATCACCAGCATTCCGGCAGCCGTACAAACGCCTCCTGCAACACCAAAGGTTGCTCCGAACCCTCAGCCAGAGGTAGATCCAACCCATCAGCCAGAGCCGACACCAACACCGGAGCCACCACCACCGGAGCCAACGCCACCACCGGAGCCGACACCACCACCGGAGCCGACACCACCACCGGAGCCTACTCCAATACCTCCACCACCAGCTCCTTCTGATGCAGCTCCGGCGGGGCCGCCACCACAACGGATGCACACTCGTAGCCGTAGCGGGATTACGAAACCCAAACAGATCCTCTCCCTCCACACCGATGTCATCTCACCACTTCCGACATCTCATCTAGTTCCTCGTCATATGATCCCACCGAATGCTAACATTGTGAGATCTATGTGGTTATATACTCACAAGTTTCGTGCAGATGGTACGTTGGCTCGACACAAAGCTCGCCTCGTTGCAAACGGAAAATCTCAACAAGTTGGTATAGATTGTGAAGAAACATTCAGACCGGTCATCAAACCTACCACCATCCGTACTATCCTTGACGTGGCGGTATCTCGAGATTGGCCGCTTCACCAACTTGACGTTAAGAATGCGTTTCTCCATGGAAACTTGGAGGAAACCGTCTATATGCATCAACCGGCGTGTTTTGTAGATCCCTCCAAACCCGATCATGTGTGCCTCTTGAAAAAATCCATGTACGGATTGAAACAATCACCCAGGGCGAGGTATCAACGTTTTGCTCAAGTTGCCACAAAGATGGGGTTTACCAATAACAAGTGTGACACATCTTTGTTCATTCTTCGCCGCGGATCTGATATTGCGTATCTGCTCTTATACATTGATGATATCATCCTCACTGCTTCCTCCACAACCCTTCTCAGGTCCATCATTTCCTCTCTTAAACTGAATTCCCAATGTCTGATCTTGGTTACTTGCACTACTTCCTGGGAATTGCTGTTCGCAGGGACAAGCACGGACTCTTTTTGGATCAATGGAACTATGCCGCAGACATACTCCATCGTGCCAACATGTCTCATTGCAAACCATGCAACACTCCCGTGGATACATCGGCCAAACTCCACGCTGACGTCGGCCAACCAGTTGCAGATGCCACTCTGTATCGGAGCCTAGCTGGAGCCCTTCAGTACCTTACCTTCACCAGACCAGACATCGCTTATGTAGTCCAGCAGATTTGCCTTTACATGCATGCACCTCGCGAGCCACACTTCAATGCGTTAAAACGCATCCTCCGCTATATCAAGGGCACTATCACTCAGGGATTACATATCACACCGTCAAACACCACAACTTTGACGGCGTACACTGATGCGGATTGGGCCGGATGTCCTAATACCCGCCGTTCCACGTCTGGTTATTGCCTATACCTTGGAGATAACCTCATCTCGTGGTCTTCTAAACGACAGCAAACGGTATCACGTTCAAGTGCCGAAGCAGAATATCGCGGTGTTGCCAATGCTGTCGCTGAAACCGTTTGGGTCCGCAACCTTCTCCTTGAGATTCATTGTCCCATCACAACAGCTACATTAGTCTACTGCGACAATGTGAGTGCGGTTTATCTCTCAACTAATCCTATACAACATCAACGCACCAAACATGTTGAGATCGACATTCATTTTGTCCGCGAAAAGGTGGCTCTCGGCCAAGTACGAGTGCTCCATGTTCCGTCATCACACCAATATGCGGATATCTTCACCAAAGGCTTGCCCTCCGCTTTGTTTCAAGACTTCAGGTCCAGTCTTCGCGTAAGAGAACCTCACGCTTTGACTGAGGGAGGGTATTAGAATATCAACATATGAAATGCATATATTCCTATATGTAAATTAGGCAACATTGTTAATAGCCTCTAACGGCTCTATTGTACAGATCTCCTATATATTCTGATGAATGAAATGAGAAGGATCATCGATCCAATTATACCTAAACTAACAGTTACGGACCTCCACACTCCAACTTGAAGGGGAGTATTAGAGTATATATTGTGATAAGGTTCAATAAGTTGGAGATAAACATAGAGTATATTACGATAGCTTATAAGTCGGGTTAGATAAGGATTACACATGTATATAAATACCTTGTATGTTCGATCTATTATGAATAACACAAACATATTCACCAAAGTCAGATTTCTACAGTTTTACGTACGATCATATCAACGGGACGAAGGTCGGTGGTACGATTTTTGACATCCGTGGCCATAGACACTCGGCGGCAGATCTGTTAGAGTATGCTAATCCGGACAAGATTGTTGTCTACGTGAACGCTACAGTTCATAAGATCCTCTTCACCACCGAAGGTAATTGATTGAGAAACTTGTAAAAAATATTTATAAATATAATATTAATTTTTTTTAATATAACTAAATGTTAACATATAAAAGAAAAGTTGAGGAACTCATGGAGAAATAAGTGTTTCAAAAATCTCTCATGAGAGCATTTCTATTGGTGAGATGTTTTAAAAAGAAAACAACTCTATTATAAGATAATTAAATTTTAAGTTTTAAGAAAATTAAACAAATGAAAACATGACATATGTGGGATACTAATCATTTTACTATCTCTCATCTTTTTCTTTTTTATTCTTGAGATGCAAATGTGAGAACCTTACAATAAGTTTCTCAATTTTATAAAAAGACAGATATTATTTCTCTGTTTTTTTTCAATGATAACAGTCACAGACCCCATTAAAAAATCTCCAATAAAGGTGGAAATCTTATCAACTCTCTCATAATTTGACTCTTAGGTTCTTCGATGGTATGATATATACACATGAAAAGGTTATCACTTATCATAACTGTAATTTAATGGATCAGGCTCCTCACTAGACGTATTAAGGCAGACACACTCCACCAAATCAAGGGCACACTTTGTCCAATCCATGAAACTTCGATTGAGCGGGATGTCAAATAGTGCTTTGATCCTTCAGAAAATCGATGGACCGGTCTCGAGAGGTTTCTTGGAGCTCCAGAACAAAAATCCAGATGATAACCCTTCCGTGACATTCAACTACTATCAAGAGCCTGAGGATCTTGAGAAATGTGTTAAAGGACTTGAAACTATTATTAAAGTGCTAAACTCCAAGGCTTACTCAAAATATAAGTATCCCAATTCTACCCCACTTGAACTTCTCAGTCTCATGCAGAGCCTTCCCATCAATCTAAGGTCAAGGCACGAGACCGCAGTGTCCAACATGACGCAGTTTTGCATAGACACCGTGACGACTATTTATCATTACCATGGAGGTTGCCAAGTTGGAAGAGTTGTCGACAAGAATTACAAAGTCTTTGGCATTGATTCCTTAAGGGTCATCGATGGATCCACGTTTCTCAAGTCTCCGGGAACTAATCGGAAGGTAAAATGAGAAAACTAAAAATGATCCATTGATAATTTTTCATACATGTTAAGACTTACTTAAATAAGGTATGATGGTGTGAGTTTAATCTGTAGGTACATGGGACAGAAGATTATTCAAGAGCGAGTTTCTTTCTGGGAAACTCATGATGATGATTCGATCAATAGAAATGAGGCTAATATATACTTTTCATCGTCCAAATAAATTGTTTAATCTTTTTTTTTCAAATCATCTCAATTAAATAATAACATTGCGAATTTTTAAAATATCATATAAAATTTTGTAGAACAACAATTACAACAAAAATATATGAAATAAATTATCGTATTATATAAAGAAATTTTCTAAAACATTTGTTTTGATTTGAATATATAAATTATTTTTATGACCATATTTTGATAATATTTTTTTTTTACAGTTTAAAAAAAATATTATTGTAATATTTGAATTAAGAGATATAAATATGTTTTACTTTTAAAATATCTCACCTTGCGCAGGGCGCGGGGCCAACCACTTGTCTCATGTATAGTACCAAGCTTTGGTATTATGTCTCTTAACAATGTATGTAGTCTTGAACCATAATCCAGTCTGATACGTTTGAGATTACATGAGAAATATTAAAAAACTTATTTAGATATTAAACCTATATCTAAACCTTATTTGAATTCTTTGTCTCTATCACATTAGGATCCTCTTATCACTGAGATAGCTTCCTTGTCAAGTTAGGAATTATCCGACATCTTCCCCCTTAGTTCCAACTTGAACTTTGGGAGACTCGATCACTTGAACTCCAATAAGGTTTTTCATTTCCTTAAAGTTGATCCATGCTAATAGTTTGGTGAGTATGTCCGCCTTCTGTTTCGTGCCTGGTCATTCTCATAACATATAATCCAAAAAATAGCACTGTGTACGGAACAGTCCCTGACAATGACAACACACCAAATTGTATTGAATTTTGCATAAATTTTTCTGAATAATAATTGATTTACAGCGCACAATTAGTGACAATAATTCTGAAGAGTATTTTCATTAATTTATTTGAAATAAGGAAACGTGTTCTAAATTTCTAATACAGTCGCCCGTAAACGGTAAACGTGAACGATTTTAATAAGAACCTATCAACAACTATAAAATCATACTTCGTCTTGTTGTATATGAAACAAAGCAAATACAATTTTACAGTAGATCTCTATAATTTACATTGCTACTTAGACAAGGAATTTTCTTTGCTTGATCATGGCAACATGCTAGGGAAGTTGCGTGGCAAAATTGTAAGCAATAGCCACAAAAAAAGCCATACAATTATCCGTGTCAAAATAGCAAGGAATTTCTCCCTAGACGAATTGTGGCAATATAGCTAGGTAATATCCGTGGCACATATGTGGCTATTGGCTACGTTTACAATCTATGGCCACGTCATAGCATTGTGCCACGATCGGCCACGATTTTGTCTTTAGCAACGAGCAAATTGGCCATGAAATGTTTTCGTCGCCATATGTGGCTAAACACGAAATTGCCACGGTTTTAGTCTATAAGCCACAATTATATCCTTGGCCATTCGTCTAACGAAATCTTCCGCAGCTCTGGAGATGTACTGGTCACTGATTCTTTCAGTTTTCGTTCTCTCAGACAACCTACACACGAGTGGAAAGATTCGTGTCAGTACACATCCTCGAAGCCTATAAACTTCCCAGCATTTCAGAGATAAACAGAAAATATCCTTACGGGTTTGATTCGTTCGGCGGCAAAAAGCTGTCACTCCTTTCGGTACAAGTGCAGCTACATGCAACTCCTAGTGCAGCCCTTGCAGCAGTATATGCAACAAACTCATAATCTGAGCTAGCAACCGAAGACATCACCCTAGCAGGAGCGGGCCGAAATAGTTGTTGCATGAGTTGTGTCGTATATACAAGCCTTCTCTTTGATCTGACTCGTGGGTTATCCTCAAGATGTGTCTCAAATTCCACCTGCGAGAAAATAAGCCAACAACATATTCAACAACATTGTACAAAGAGACCGGCAATAAAATATGTAATGAGGGGACTCACTTTTTCGGCAAATCGGTTAGTCGCTCTAGACCAATCAACCTCGGCCTCAACCTTTCACCTCCAAGGACGGCGTTGACAATAAACGGCCACGTGTCCTCGGTGGCGGCACAGTGATAAATGGGGGATTCTACACACGTGCAGGAGATGACTACGTAGCAGAGGCTAAGTGGGAGATGGAGGAAGTGGAGAATGCTTACGAGTGGATCGAGAAGAAACTTGTGTCTGAGCCACAAGTCATGGGATGGCAATCGGCGTTTATAAATGGGCTTTTGGAGGCTGATGTGGCTCCGTACAACGGGTTTACGTACAATCATATCAACGGGACGAAGGTCGGTGGTACGATCTTTGATGTCGGTGGCCATAGACACTCAGCGGCAGATCTGTTAGAGTATGCTAATCCGGACATGATTGTTGTATACGTGAACGCTACAGTGCATAAGATTCTCTTCACCACCGAAGGTAATTGACTTACAGAATGGGGATCTCGATTGAGAAATTTGAAAAAAATATTCATAAATATAATATTAGCTTTTTTAATATAACTAAACTTAAAAAAAATTATATATATATAACTAAACTTTAAAATAAAAAAATAAAAAATTGAGGAACACATGGAGAAATAAGTGTTTCAAAATGCTCTCATGAGAGCATTTCTATTAGTGAGATATTCTAAAATGAAAACAACTCTAGTATAATATAATTAAATTTTACGTTTTAGAAAAATTAAACAAATGAAAACATGACATATGAGTGATACAAAAACATCATCTTACTATCTCTCTCTCTCTCTTTTTTTTTTTTTTTTTTTTTTTAATTCTTGAGATACACATGTGGGAACCCTTCAATTATTTCTCTGTTTTTTTCTATTATAATTTTTAAAAATGAGAGTCAAAGCCCACTGAAAAATCTCCAATAGAGATGTCCTTTTTTTTTTTTCGTTCGTTATTCATAACTTCTATACGCTTTTGAGATGAAGATTTTGTTTTGGACAGGAGTCCAAAGACCTAAAGCACATGGAGTGATATACAAGGACGGAGATGGAGTGTACCACAAGGCAGAACTGGCGGAAAATGTAATGAACGAGGTGATTCTGTCTGCGGGTGCCCTAGGAAGCCCGCAGCTATTGATGTTGAGCGGTGTAGGTCCAAGGGCTCATCTTGAGTGCCACGGGGTGAATCATGTGGTCCTAGATCACCCCATGGTTGGAAAAGGGATGGGAGATAATCCGATGAACAGTGTTATCATCCCTTCTCCTCTACCTGTAGAACTGGTTCCCCCATCGATCGTTGGGATCACCGAGTTTGGTAGTTTCATTGAAGGTGGAAATCTTACCAACTCTCTTATGATTTGACCCTTAGGTTCTTTGATGGTATGACATAGATACATGAAAAGGTTATCATAACTTGTAATTTAATGGATCAGGCTCGTCACTAGACGTATTAAGGCAGACACCCTCCACCAAATCAATCGCACACTTTGTCCAATTCATGAATCTTCGATTGAGCGGGATGTCAAATAGTGCTTTGATCCTTCAGAAAGTTGATGGACCGGTCTCAAGAGGTTACTTGGAGCTTCAGAACACAAATCCAGATGATAACCCATCCGTGACATTCAACTACTATCAAGAGCCTGAGGATCTTAAAAAGTGTGTTAAAGGACTTGACACTATTATTAAAGTGCTAAACTCGAAGGCTTACTCAAAGTATAAGTATCCGGATTCTACCCCACTTGAACTTCTCAGTCTCATGCTGAGCCTTCCCATCAATCTAAGGCCAAGGTACGAGACCGCAGTGTCCAACATGACGCAGTTTTGCATCGACACCGTGAGGACTATTTATCATTACCATGGAGGTTGCCAAGTTGGAAGAGTTGTCGACAAGAATTACAAAGTCTTTGGCATTGATTCCCTAAGGGTCATCGATGGATCCACGTTTCTCAAGTCTCCGGGAACTAACCCGCAAAGCACAGTCATGATGCTCGGAAGGTAAAATGAGAAAACTAAAAATGATCCATTGATAATTTTTAATACATGTTAAGACTTGCTTAAATTAGGTATGATGGTGTGAGTTTAATCTGTAGGTACATGGGACAGAAGATTATTCAAGAGCGAGTTTCTTTCGTGGGAAATCATGATGATGATTCGATCAATAGAAATGAGGCTAATATATACCTTTTATCGTCCAAATAAAATACTCACTCCGCTTCACAAAAAGTGTCATCTTAAGTATTATTTTTTTTTATAAAGAGTGTCACTTTCTATTTTTAATGTAGATGAAATGGACACGCCCAACTACTCCTTCTCAACCAATAAGTTTATTTGGTAAATTACCCCCACAGCTTGTAAGTTATTGTTACATAGGATTCATCTTTCCTTTTGTTTAGTGGAAACTACTAATGAAAATAGAAAGGGAGGTTAAAGAGAGTTGCGATAATCTTAATAATGTTTTTGAAAATGAATGTGCCATGTGCGAATTAAACCACATTTTTTGTTTGAAATTTGCAGTTTACGAACACAAGTTACTTTAATAAGGCTCTAAGCAAAGCAGCCAACCAAGTGATTTGGAATAATCAAAATCGTTGGACGCAATGTGTTTGAGAAACTCGATGTCAGAATTCCAATAAGGCCTAATTGGTTCTCCCGCTACCACCCGCAAACGCAGCGTTTGCGGTTCGTAGCGGTTTTCGGCGGTTTATAACAATCACGACAACCGCTTTGAATCGCTCTATACCACTCTGTACCGCTCTATATCGCTGAAAATCAAAAGCTCCTTTCCGCAAGCGTTTGCGGTTGCGGGTGGATAATTAAAAAAAAAAAAAAAACACAAACTTATATAAAATCCGAAAATAAATAATAATATTTATTAAAAAATAAGATTTGGATAATAAAATCACAATATAAATAAAAAATTAGTACTTTTAGTCAATATTCATTAAAATCATATAATACTTATATATTTATAAGTTCTACAAATCAAAATTCTCTTCATAAATATTCTTTTCATACTAATACATATATATCTAATAAATAAAATTGTAAAATAAATTTAATTTTCACATTAAATATATATTTTGAAAATAAAATCACATTTTTTATTTAAATTATAGAAATTAAAAGATAGACGTAAGTATTATACACATATTATTCTTTATAAAAAAATTATTTTTAATTATGTTGAACCATAAATTTAAAATTTTCATTATAATATAGTTTTGATATTTTTATAATTATATAATGTGTTTATATTATTAATTTATTGTTTAACCGCTATTGCATCCGCAAGTGAACCAGTCATAAGTATCCCGCAAACGCATCCATTTTCAATTGTTATGCCAGTCGTACAAACCGCTTAATAACGCTACTAATCACAACCGCCCGCTTCCGCAAACTCCCGCACCCGCAACCGCAACCGCAGCGGTTAAACCAGTCAGGCCCTATGTCGCAATGGGTTTAATGTCGGTTCATCTTTATGTAGAAAAACAAAAAAAAAATAACTATTCAGCCTAAATCCCTAAAACTTCTTTAACAAAAAAAAAAAAAAAAAAATCCCTAAAGCTGGAAAAGAAATCGCCTCTCGAAAAGTAACCTAGGAAGCGGCTCTTGTCAATTTCCCCATGGACGACGAATCGGCCTACAGAGTAATATTTTCGTTACCCTTGTGGCTTTCTTGTTATTCGCTCTTTGATCTCTGTTTCGTTAGTAGAACTTCTGATTACATCTTTTGTAAATTGAAGGCGATCGAAAAGGAAACGTGGTTGAAACGGAAGCGTGGTGATGAAGGCGTTCCAAGACCAAAAGCCCGGTAAATTGATTGGTCATGTTTGAGTCTGTGATTTTGTATGTGTATAGATGTCTTGAACTATGATATCTTATATATAATTAGGGAGTTGCTCTCTCCATCTTGAGTATCCACATCAGCACAAAAAAAATTGTATTTAAAATATTTATTAAATATATGACTATTCATATTTCTTTACATTTATTTATATTTAATAAAAAGATACAAATAAATAAATTAATTAATAGAAGTATATGATAATTTGATGTTAAAAGTTATCAAAAAGTTGGAATATAAAATAGAGATGGAGTAAAGAAATATTTAACTTCAAATAGTGTATATTTGCCTTTTTATTCAAAGAATTATCTATTAAAATAAAAATATTATAATGTGTTTACAAGTTAAAAAGTTGAATATAAATTAATTAAGATAATAGAAATTAAAGCTAATGAAAAATTAGAGTTAGAGTTTATTTTTCTAAACAAATAGAAATGAAGTTTTATATGTAAATTTAATTGTAGTGAAAAACAAGAATATGTTTACAAATTTTAACCTTCAGTCAAACGGTCAAATGCATATACATATTTATAAATTTTAACCTTTCAATCAAATACATATATATGTTTATAGTCTAATAGAAGTTAAAAAAAAAGTAAACAAATATAATATTTATAACATGATAAAATTTTAGAAATAGAAAAATCGAGATAAAAAGGGATGTTAATATCCTAATAAATTAAAAAAAATAAATAAAAAATATTATTCATATTTTTTAGTGTTAGTGGTTGAGTTAACTCAAAATATAACAAAAACATGAAAGTTAACATAAAACCAGCATAATTCAAATCAACGAGTATAAAAAAAAATTAAACAGAAAAACTATTGTAAACAACCCCGCGCAAGCGCGGGACTTCAAACCTTGTATTCTTAATGCAAAAAAACTGTCATCATCTCTTGAGAAGAAGATGATGAAACTTGTGTCTGATAACTGAAATTTCTGAACAAAAGTAAAAGCGCTTTGTTTTGATTTTTTTCTTTAGTTTTAGAGTAGTTTAATGGACTTTAGAATTCGATTCGCCCAAATTTATTAAATCCCAAGTAAAATTCAGTATTTATATGTTTCTTGCTTTAAGGTTCAAGCACATAATAATTGGCGATTTTGTCTCGCTAATTAATAAATCAATGTCATCATCCCTGGAGAAGAAGAGGAATACATCGCTTCCCGATGATTTGCTGTTGAGCTGCTTTGCACGTGTCTCTAGATTGTATTATCCGACTCTCTCCCTTGTATAATGTAATATCTCAAATATATTGCAGTGACATTGGGAGGATAATCGTTACGGGTTGTGACGGTCGTGATAGTGAGGATGTGGAGAGTGCGTTGAGAGAACACTTCGCTTCATGTGGAAAGATCACTGATGTTTACAGTGGTGGTGCCAGGATCGTTTCTTTTGCTATTATTTATTTTGTGGGAGAGGGAGCAGTAGACAAGGCCTTGAAACTTGATGGAAGTGAAGTTGCTGGAGGATGGAAAGTCCGTGTTAAGCCTTGTCCGTTTCGTGACAACGAGTAAACTGAGTTTTGATTTTTTTTTTCATATTATGTGTCTTAAAGCTGCATGTGAATTGTGATGATAATATATATACATGCAATTATTGCAGCCCTATTTTAGTATCTGTTCGAGGATATGACACTTCGCTTGGTGATCGTGAGATTGAGGCTGCGGTGGGGAGTTTTGCTCTTCATGTGGAGAGGTCATGAAGGTTAGCCTCGTCAAGGAGGAGGGGGGGTTTGTGGCTTCTTTTCATTCTTCCCTTAATTTCAAGTGCTTACTAAAGGTTCGTCCTTGTTGATTTTTACAGATTCTGTCTTGTGCGTATCAAGGGAATTGACGCACATGAGAAGGCGCGGGAACTTAATGGCAGCTACATTGGAATTGGAAGAAACAAAGCAGTTGTTCGTGTTCTTACTTTACCACCAAGACATAGCACCCACGAACGTATTGTTTGCTATTGCGGACCTTGCCGCATTCCTCACCGAGGTAGATAAATTTGTTCTTCTTAGCTTCTTGTTGATTCTTGATTCTTAGATTTTTGGTGACAGAGTTTTTTTTTTTTTTTTTTTTAGATTTACCGTCTGGGAGTATTATGACTGCGGAGTAGACGATGCTCCTCCTCAATGCAAAACCCTTTTACTTGTTTTCTACCTCTTGTGCGTTTTGTTTCTTGGATGTTTTAACTAAACCATGTTTATGTCTTGGATTTATCGCTATCCGTCCAGTATGAGTGTGTTATTGATTGGACGGCATCATTTTCATTAAATTCATGTCATGCATACTTGTAATTAAATAATTAATCCATATATATCGTTGATGAACACTCCAAATCCAAATGAGTTTATCTTGTTATTTAGCTTGTGGTTCTGTGTACCGTTATCAGATTCCAATCTTTTTCCATAATCAAGAAACTCTTTCTCCTTGACCAGTGCCGGTCCAACGAATTTAAACGCCCTACTCGAATCTAAAAAGTATGCCTTATAATTTTTTTTACAAAATCACAAAAACTGTAAAAATATAAAAAAACCCTTAAAACTTCATAAAATAAACAAGTTCTAAATAAAAAATTCCCAGTTAGTAAATAATTTGCAAAAAATAAAATTGATTTCTTATGGTTTAAATAAAGCTCTCTTTATATTTTGAGCTGCAAAATCATTTATTAAACTCACATAATGATACACATACTAAAGATATTTGTTAACAAATGCCCTATAAATATTAATATCACTAAAAATGTTTTAAAACTTTGTACATGATATATAAACCCCTTTAAAAAAAATTAACAAAAAATGTTCTTGTTAAAATTTTGTAAATAATACCTTTAAGAAAAATTTCAGTAACTAAAATATGCCTTGTTAAAACTTTGTAAATGATGTTTATACATCCCTTTAAGAAAAAATTTATCAAAAATATGCCTCTAATAACTGGATGCCCTACTCGGCCGCTTACCCTGCCCTGTCCTTGACAAACAAACAATGTACAATATACTATCGGTTTAGGCTGGAAACTTGAAACCATAACCTCAATTATTTTCTCAATCTCTAGCTGAATTCAAGGCCCAACCGTTTCTCTAATCATTAAAAGATTAAAAAAGTATAAATTACCTTTTTGACTTTTTCAGACCTAAAGTCCTAGAACTGGAAAAGTAACAAAGCAAGCGACTCTTGTCGACTTCCTACTGGCTTTTTTGTTACTCACTCTTTAAACTCTGTTTTGTAACTTTGTTAGTACAATTACTGATTAAATATTTTGTAACTTGGGGGAAGAAGTTAGCCAAGGTACTAATATTTATTTGTTACTCTTTCTTATAGTTTTCTTGCTATTGATCACTCTTTAAAAGATATGTTTGGTTAGTAGAATTTCTGATTAGATCTTTTAGATGTCTTGTTCTTGTCACGCTGATAATAATGTAATATCAAATTATTGCAGTGACATTGGGAGGATGATCGTTACGGGATTTGACGGTCATGATCGTGAGGATGTGAAGAGCGTTGAGAGAACATTTCGCTTCACGAGGAAAGATCACTGATGTTCAAAGATCACTAATTACAAGCTATTTCTAAAATCTTGAAACTCCTTCTTGACAAATCAAGAACCCACGTGCTATCACAATAAGCCTATATTACTGAAATAGGCTGGAAACATGGCACATGCATGCGACTTTGACTTGAGTTAGTAATCCAAAGGATCATTGCCTATTGGTGTGTGGCATTTATTCTGCCTAAAAATATACATACACAAATTGAATTTAGGCTGTAGGCAATGAGAATTAAGATGCTTTAATTTGGTTGATAAATAAATAAATCAAGAACCACTTCTCCTCCATCCATGAGATATGTCTCTTCATGTTAAATGGCTTGTAACTCGTGGTCAATTTTGACATGTTTATACTTTTATGTATGTAATTAAGTTTTACGCAATGAGGCATATGAATCACTGAAGAGGACAGCTCATCAAATAGGTTAAAAGGGGTTGTGAAACTGATCTAACTCGAAAACTAAAACTAAAAACTTAAAAATATATACTCATCCGATCTCATCTCGAAGGTTTCCATCCTTTAGATATTTTTCATCGGATGATATATTTTGTCAAAAGTGGAAAACAATTTCTGATCTCAACTTATGGCATATCTTTAAGATCCAATTACAAAATATAAAAAACTCCCAAATATTAACGATACAAAAAAGAAAAAATCTCCGGAAGAACAATGTCAGCCACATAACACAGTTGAAAAAAGCATTTAGTTTGCGTTATCCTTTTAGGTAGAGAATTAATTATGGTTGGTTCTGGTAGGGTATTCATTACTCACGATGGTACGTTTGCCTGTCTCCGAATGTTACGTACCAAGATTTGCGGTTGCGACTACATGTTGCGGACTCTTGTTCATTTTACACTGGCACTACTGGTTGCAAGTTTGTTTGTTATGCAGTTGTGCGATTGGTCACTGCGACTTGTATTTTATCATTTTGCAGTCCTTGCGACAGATTTTTCTAGCTTTTCGTTTCGTTTTGATTTGTTCTGGCTCGATTTTACTATCCGGCCAATCCATTCTCCTTTTTCTTTTATGATCCAAAGAAGTAAACTAATAAAGAAAAAAAGTTATATTCTGAAATTTCAAATTATCTCTTCTAAATTTGTATGTGTTTTTTTCAAATGGAACAAAACATGAATTCTGTTTCTAGTTATCCCAAAGTAGCGTTATATCATTATCTCGAATGTAGTTTTTGAACTAAACCAAGAATCCTTTTCTTTATCATTAAATGAATCACTGTTCGTGACCTAGGATTCTATTTTGTCATCAATCCAATCATGCATGCTCATACTTTTTCTCTTATTAGTGAATATATCTCTTTATTTGTATGGCCATGAGGCTTACAAATTGACTCCTGGACTAGCTCTGCTGCTGAAGCATGGGTCTATCTTATTGATACACTACGTGAAACCCTCATTTTGCAATCCTAAAACGGTTTTATCGAAAATCATAAACAAACATCGTGAAACTGGAAATATTACGTAAATTGTATCATTTTCAGTATCTACTGTTAAACTAAAGTCCGCCAGTCTAGGACTACATCTTGGTACTAGCCGTAAGGATCAAAATAAATCGGAAGCCTACTACTGAGGCAAATTCAATGAAACAAGAATTGGTATGGTACCATATGTTTAAAATTTAAATATTGTCTTAATTCCTTGGAAAAAAGTTAGGTTTAATGCAATTCAACACATAACATATGACTAGGATATTTGATATATATATATATATATATATATATATATATATATAAAATAGTACAAATCGTAAGTACGTACCAACCATAAATTTCATGGTTTCCATATTATATAACATGAACTATCATTCAATACACATCCAATCATAATTTATAAATCCTTACATATATTTATAGAAATATAGTACCAATTTTTTTTATTAGTTACACGGCAATATTGTGAAAATGTTTGAATCTGATTTTGACGTACACTTCAAGATAGCGTTGCGGAGATGAATCCGTCGCTTCAATAGTACGTATGTTAAATTCGTCGAAGAGGTTTGTAGAAACCGTATGGTAATTCCCAAAGAAGTGCCTTGTGCAAATTAAATTCTCAAAAAGAGTTCCACAAAGTCTTCTTATCCAATTTGTGGTGAGGAATTAGCATTGTCATCGACGTACTACGTTGAATCGTTCTTGCTTTGTAGTGTGTTTGTGTGTGTGTATATAAACCCAGTCCATTTTCAGCTAAAAGAAACCATCCAAAGTTATAACTACATTCAACTAAACTCCAATGGCTTTAATAATCTTACTTGAAGTTTCCTTAGCCATCGTTTGTTTTACCATCCTTTGTTTCTTCCTCTTCAAGAAACCTCATGACGGCTTCCTTAGAAACTGGCCAGTTTTAGGGATGCTTTTGGGTCTGCTCGTGGAGTTCCATCAGATCTATGAGTTTAGTGTGGAGATTCTCCGGAACTCTAACTTGACATTTCCATTCAAGGGCCCGTGGTATTGTGGAATGGATATGTTGTTCACGGTTGATCAAGCAAATATTCATCATATAATGAGCTCAAACTTCTCCAACTACACAAAAGGTCCAGACTTCAAAGAAGTATTTGATGTTCTTGGAGATGGGATACTCACCGCGGACTCGGAGCTATGGAAGAATCTAAGGAAAGCTTCTAAAGTCATGTTTAGCCACCAAGGGTTTCGAAGGTTGTCAATGAGTACCACGAGAAGAAAACTCGAGGAGGGTCTTGTTCCTCTTTTCAATCACTTTGTAGAGGAAGGAACTGTCGTGGACTTGCAAGATTTGTTCGTGAGGTTCATGTTCGACACAACCCTAATGATGGTTACCGGGTGTTCTGATCCTAGATCTCTCTCCATTGAAATGCCAGAGGTTGATGAGTTCGCGAAAGCTCTCAACGATGTAGGAGAAGGAATTATGTATAGGCACGTTAAACCGAGGTTCTTGTGGAAGCTGCAAAGATTAGTTGGAGTGGGACAAGAGAAGAAGCTGTCTAAAGCTAACGCCACTTTGAAACGAATGTTTGCACAGTTTATATCAGCTAAGAGAGAAGAGATAAGATCACGAGAGATTACAAACATTTTCAATGGAGAAGGTGAGGATCTTTTGACATCCCACACGAAGCTAGATGCAACAAAGTACAAGCTCTTGAACCCAAGTGATGATAAGTTCCTCAGAGACACTATGTTATCTTTCATTCTAGCCGGGAGAGATACTACTGCTTCTGCTCTTACTTGGTTCTTTTGGCTTTTGTCCGAGAACCCTAAAGTTGTCACTAAGATTCTCCAAGAGATCAAAACAAATCTACCAAGAACAAGTAGCCAAAAGACGCCGTGTTATGGTGATGATGATTCCATGCAGTACTACTTGAACAAACTGGTGTATTTACGTGGCGCCTTATATGAAGCAATGAGACTTTACCCGCCGGTTCCATTCGAGCGAATGTCTCCCATAAATCCAGACAAGCTTCCAAGTGGGCATAAAGTCGACGCGAGTATGAAGATTTTGATATTTATTTACGCCTTGGGGAGGATGGAAGCAGTATGGGGAGAAGATGCCTTGGAGTTCAAGCCAGAGAGATGGGTTTCAAAGACAGGAGGGTTGATAGAAGAGCCTTCTTACAAGTTCTTTACGTTTAATGCTGGCCCAAGATCTTGTCTTGGTAAGCACTTAGCTATGACAATAATGAAGACAGTGGTCGTGGAGATATTACAAAACTATCATGTTGAAGTTGTCCAAGGCCAAAAGATTGAACCAGCTCCTGGTCCTATTCTTCGCATGAAGCACGGTCTTCGAGTCACACTTACTAAAAGATGCTCTGATGTGATCTAACAGGAGAGCGTGGAACCGGACTAGAATACCATACCGAAGATACTTGAATTAGTCAACTAAACTAATGTCAAGGTCTTTTGTTTCATGTGACTGGGTTAGGAGCACAACTCCCACTTTTCCTAGTTTCGATGTTTGTAAGATTTCAAGTCTTTGTATTTGTTTTATTATAAGAAATGAAAGAAACAAAAAAGATATGCATACACGCTTTGATTGAGACATCTATCATGTTCATCATAGAGAGAAATGGACTCGGTATGTTTTCAAGATGTCTTCAATATATATATTTTTTTTTTCGTTTTCTGAACTTTAACAGTTTAGAGTTTTGATGCGAAATATATGAAAGTAGAGATGAATGCTAATCATATTTATGGTTTAGTCTGTTAATACACCAGAAGATTGTGGCCTTGATCCAAAAGGCTCGCTCCTCACAAGAATACAAGTCACACATGAACCTAGCTAGGTTGAGGAATATCCCATACACAAATTATAATCCCAAGAACAAAACGAAATAAAGACAAACATTGAAACAAAAAGAGGAGTTTTATTTTTATAAATTGCGTGATTAAAAGGAGCTTTTTATAACCTAGGATCGGTTCGACGATATTATTTTAGTCGTCAATGATTTCCTACATTTTTTACCTAATTAACTTGTATTTATGTATCTTGACTCTTGAGATAAATAAATTCAACGATTTCCTACATTTTTTACCTAATTACAACTTATTTATTTCATTCAGAGCCCATTAGTTTGGTTATTGGGCCAATAAATATACTTCTTAGGCCTCATTTCTCTTTCTGTTTTAGCTGTTCTTATCTCATGATAATACACCAACCACCGTTAAGTTATATATCACACTCTCTCTCGCCGGCGTTTCGTCTCACATCTCCACCATCTCCGGTGACGATTTCTTCTACCTCCTCGTGAACTATGAACTCTCCTGACCCAGATGACCAATTAGAAGCTGATGTATACAGTAACTTGCCTTCTCGTAATGATTCTTCAACAGGTTCGTATTTCGAATTTTATCTCGTCTCTCAATTTACAGAATCCGATTGTGACCGAACTTAAAACTTCAGGGACAGTGACGAAGAGCAATCGTATCTCGTTGAAATCGAAGCATTCAGAGACAGAGCAACGAAGAAGAAGCAAAATCAATGAAAGGTGATGAATGAATGATTTTATTTAAAAATTGAATTTTTAATCCTATTTTTTCTTAGATTCGTAATGAGTAATGAAAAAAAGTAGAATCTTCCTTATTTGTGTAATTCTTATGGATTTAGGTTTCAGAGTTTAATGGATATTATTCCTCAGAATGATCAAAAACGAGACAAAGCGTCCTTCTTGTTGGAGGTAGATTTTTATAAAGTGTAGATTTTTATCAAATTTTGATCATAAAGTGTAGATTTTTATCAAATTTTTCTTCTATTTGTCTTTAGGTTATAGAGTATATTCGATTTCTTCGAGAAAAAGTTCAGATGTATGAAGAAGAAGAATCTCACCAAATGTGGTATCAACCACCAACCAAATTGACTCCATGGGTATTTAATATTTACTTCATAAGACTATATTTGTTGAAAAGTTTTCATCTTTATTGTAATCTCTTGTGATTTTTTTGAGAATAGTTTTCATGTAACTTTGATGCAGAAAAATAATCATGAACCTGTCAGTGACCATCCTCAAATGGTGAAAAGCTGTTCGAGTAACGATGAACTTGTTGCTGCTGCTCCTCCTTCCGAGTTGCTTTCGGATTTCCCAGATTCTTTGTATCCTTATCTCTACCTAGCAGCGAGTAGCAAGATTCCTGAACACAGTCCTGCTTCAGCTGTGTCTTCTTATGCAACCACCGAGCCTCTACCGCAGTTTGCTCAGCACGAGTTTTGGCAACCAAAACCATGTTGTGAGTCTAGTAATGGCAATGCAAATGGATTGTTAAACTCGGACGACAAAACATCAGAAAGCTTGTCTAATGTCTGCTCACAAAGGTAAAGACATATGTAGACGAAAAGAAACTTTAGGCTACAGTTGCTTAGGGATATGATACAAGGTTCTAATGATTCTTAAGCTTTTTGAAGAAGCTTCTGTTTGGCCTTAAAGCTCGTATTGGTTTTTGGTTTGATTGTTGAACAGAGTACTACATAGTCTAACAGAAGCATTCGAGTCATCGGGTGTGGATATGTCAAAGACAGTGATATCTGTAAAGCTTAACCTTCGGAAGAGAGCAGGTCCTGAGTATCCTGACACTGTTTTTGCTTCTGAGGTATGTATGTTAACATTTGGAAAGTCCTCACTACTCTACAAGTGATTCTTAGGAGGTTACTCTGTTGCTTTTTTTTTGTCATTAGGTTTATTGTAATGGCATTGCGGATGAACAAGAGGATTCACCTACTGAAACCAAAAGCTTCTGCAAAGATTTGGATCATTCTCAGAAGAGAATAAGGCGATGAGAGATGCTGTTTTTTGTTTTGTTTTATACATTTCTGACTCCTGTTTTGATAAATTTGTTCAAACTTTTTATGAGTAGGTTTAGATTGGTGTATATAGTTGTGTTTTTGCTACTTTTAGCTGCAACTATCTCATTATGTCCTAAACACCAAGTAGAAAAGAAGAGATGTAACGAGAGATTGCTACATTGAATGATACTTTTCAAGATTACAGTCTCATATATTATAACTGGTTGCTCTTCTCTTTCACGCGTTGTGGTGACATTGAATGACACTACAACATTTTTAATCCTATTTTGAGTTTTTGTATGACAATTTCTTTTGTGATAGATTTCATATATCTACAAAATTTATTTGGAAGTGTAGTTTTGTATCCCTTCTTCTCACATTTGAAGTGTCCTAAACATGTAATTATTCCAAAACATGGTGTAATATTGGAAAACTAGGTAAACCATCTCTAAAGTGCACATTAGTAGTTCTTATGACATTTGTGTGAATAAATTATTATTTATTCTTAAATATTTATTTTAGAATTATTTTGACCAGGTTTCCTTTGTTACCATTTAAATCTTAAAGTCTTCCCAAAACCCACAAATAAATTTGGCCATATCCCACATTCAATATATGTAGATTTAGATTTTATGTTTTATAGTCAAATACATTTGTTTTCTTAACTTAAAAGTTTTTGAAGTAAAAATGGAAGAAAATCTTGTATTTGTTGACTAACAGAAAACAAAATCTTGGAGTATTTAATGCATAGTTTTGAAGATATCTAGATTTGGATTATATGCTTAATTTGGAGTCAAGTAGATTGGTCCTAATAATTGAAATGTTTTTAAAAGATTTGGGGTAGATGTTCTACTATAAAGTCTAATAGATTAGTCCTCTTAATATACAACACTTAAATGAAAGAAAAATACAATCAAGATTCAAAATAAACACAACTCAATCAACTTATTGGTTTGTTCTAAATCGCACCCTCTTTGTTTTGATGATTTCTTATGATTTTCTTTCTATCATATACTCTTTGTTTCTTCTAATTTCTTCTGAACCTTGTGGAAGAAACATAGCTTTTGATTGAGTTTTTTTTCTTCTGTTGGATCGTATTTAGAATTTAGGGCATATATGTGAAAGCGAAGTATTTGAAAATCCGATAACAATTTGTTTTTTTTTGTTTTTTCAATTTAAATGAGTGAGATTCCAGTGGATATGTAGGTAGTTTTTTGTTTTCCTTTATCTTTTTGTTTGAGATGTTGTTGTTGATTTGATATAATATAAATCATTACAATTTTTAGTTTTGTTTTATGATGATTTAAATCATTAAAAAATTTTGTTTTGATTTATGATGATATAAATCATTACACTTGTCACTTGTGTCTATTTTTTTTTTTGAACAACTCCTTACACTTGTGTCTAACTTGTTACTTTTACTTAGGGTTTTCTCCGCACAATGCAAAGCTGCAGAAGATGATGGATCATATCGTGAAACATCCCCACACAGTGCACATACATCCCAATGCATGCTTATCTCAGGTTAATAAATTCTCACTCTAATACACAAACCAACAATATCTGATTTATTATCTGATAGCATAATTGCATAAAGAGTAAAATGATTATATAAATTATGAATTACGTGAAACAATGTTTGACATCGTTATTTCACCTTCCGCTGGCTGTCCTCGCCGGCGGCAAGATTTTTCCTGATTCCTACCTATCTTGATTCCGGCCACGGCCTTCTATTTCAAATCAATCGTATGATTTTTTCAAAGGATTTGCTCCTCCGCCCATTCGGAGATCCGTCTCATAATTTCGATGAGCTTCTCTGGAGATGATTCCATTGTTCGCCTCAGATCTGTTTTCCTAATTTCATTCACTCACTTCCACCTTCCTCTCCAATCGAAAAGAGAACCAATCCACAATTATCCCTCTCTCATATGATTTTCTTCGTTTTCAAAGTCCATAAATGTTCCATCTCTAAAACAGAATTGTTATTTTCTATAGCGATTTTAATGCAACGAGTTTAGTTTCGATGAGATCAGCTGTCTTTCAACATCACAAGTCAAGTTAATGCTTTTCAGATTTACCGTGAATGTTATGTCTACGCATCTTGTTGGAGATGGATTGTGTACCCTCATTTAAATCCCTATCTAAATCAATATTAGCCCATCTGACAAAATGACAAAACCCTAGTTGCTCGTATAAAAATGAACAAGCTCGGCTAGAAGAAAGGAAACCTCTAGGCAAAAAGAGAAAAGGCCATTAAATGCAAATTTTACTTACATTTCGACGAGCCAAAGGGCTTGAATGGTATGAAGCTTCTACACGCTTTCACGTGAAAATATGATTCGGCTTTTTTTTTTTATCATTCACGTGAAATAAGCTTTCTTGTTAGCATTTTTGTAGAATTCTTAAACCTAACGTGCGGTTTCCAACTTTAAATAGAAACATATCAAGAAAATAGATAAACAGACCAAATAGGCTATCTCGATTTTTCCCACGGAGAATTTCATACTTCTGCATTGTAGCCTAGAGTCACCAGTTCAATGGATGATAACGTTTTACAACCGAGAAGCGTTATTAAGCATACGCATCTCAAGTTTCTTAAAATATTCTCTTTTTTTGGCACCTGATCCCTCTGATTTTTGGAGATGGTAGCACAAATTTTAGAAGATATTGAAAATTTTGTATACAATCAGAATTTTCTGATCAGGCTTTCTAAAACTCAACCATTAGCGTCTTTGACAAAATATACCTTGACGCTTCGAAGATATCCCCCAAAAGAAGTTTTTTCTTCTTGATCGGAGCTATCACTGCCACTCCTGCTGAAACAGTCATTGCAGTGTTTTGCAGCCACCAACAATGTTATTTCCCACTGTTGGTATCCTCCATGTAATTTCGAACCATCTTCCTCAAACAGATGGACTGTGATTCAAATTCATCTTAATCGCCTTTTAAAAGCGATTAATCTCCAAAAGATAAGTTCTTTGAGCTGAACTGGCGTTCAAAGAGCTGCCTCAGTCGAGATTTTGGCATTTTCTCATCACTCGGGAAAGTTGGCTCCTTTGCTGCCATCACTGATGATTGGAGTCAACTTTCCTATATCATCAATGAGTCAAATGCAGAAATTCCGACTGGAGTAGCTCTTTGAATGTTATTTCAGCCAAAAGAACTTACCGTTGGAGATCAATCACTTTCAAAAGGAGATTTAGATGAGTTTGAACCAAGCTCCGTCTACTTGGGGAAGATGGTCCAAAGTTACATGAACGATGCCAACACTGGAAAACAACTGTGTTTCAGAAAGCGTGGCATTGATAGCTCCGAAGCTTCTTTCGGGGACATCTTCCAAGCGTTATTGTATGTTTTGTGGGACGTTAATGATTGATTTTTTAGAAAGGCCAATCAAAAATATTTTTTATTGTATACAAAACGTTTCAACGTTATATAGCAAATTTCCTTTAAGTTAGTCGTCCTAAAACTGCAGGTTGTCTATCTTTTTCTTTCACCGTGTTCTGAATTTTGATTATTATAAAGCAACTAAAAAAATACTCTACAACAGACAATATTCTTACAAAAATTTCAGTTACGATGAATGGCTCTATTTGCACGTTGGAGACATCTAAACTCCAACGTTGCAGACAGGACCGTTTGTCGTTGCTGGGATTTTTGTGAAGAAGTGAAATTGTTTCGTTGTGGAATTATCTTTGTAGTTGCTTTCGTAATAATAAAGAATATTTCAGAACTAAAGAAAAAAACATGCATTTTCCGAATGACTTATTGAAAGGAATCTTTGCTTTTTATTATGCTCAAATGAAACTCAATTTTGAAAAAGAATGAAACGTATCATCTCCTTTATCTTGATTTCATTTAGGAAAGCCCTTGTTGCCTTGACTCTTAAGTTTGATTTGAGCAAGAATATATAAAAATTTATAGATTCAAGAACTGATGCAATTTTCAATAGAGGTAGAGAACTCTTTTTTTTTTTTTTCTTTACCCGCCCTTGTATGACTGTCATATACAAAAGATAGTGCATCTTACAAGTAAGAGTTTAGTGTATATTTACTATTTTTTCAATTAAGGAGGTTGTTTGCTTGCTGAAGAAGATGAAGCAGGAGGAGGGCCAGGGCTGTGTGGTGGTGGAAAGAATGGGAATGGAGGAAATGGAAATTTTGATGGTGGTGGAGGGGGAGGAGGAGGTAGTGGTGGTGGCGGTGGTTTTAAGCCTGGAAAGAGAGAGCGCGGAGGAGGAGTACCGGGAAGAGGAGGATGAGGCTGAAATGGGTTTGGAGGGAAAAACGATGGAGGAGGAGATGGAGGTAGAGGTGGAGGAGGCTGAGAGAATATTGGAGGGAATAACGATGGAGGAGGAGCTGGAGGAGGCTGAGGAGTACGAGGCTGAAATGGGTTTGGAGGGAATCTCCATCGAGGAGGAGGAGGAGGAGGAGAAGGAGCTGGAGGAGGCTGAGGAATGATTGGAGGGAAAAATGATGGAGGAGGAGATGGAGGAGGCTTAGGAGTACGAGGTTGAAATGGGTTTGGAGGGAATATTGAACTAGGAGGAGGAGGAGGAGGTGGAGGAGGCTGGTGAAATATTGGAGGGAATATCGATGGAGGAGGAGGTGGAGGAGGGTGATGAAACAATGGAGGAAATATTGATGGAGGAGGAGCAGGACGTGGCTGAAATGGGTTTGGAGGGAATAACGAAGGAGGTGGCGGTGGCTTGAAAGGGTTTGGTGGGAATATCGAAGGTGGCGGTGGCTTGAACGGGTTTGGTGGTAAGATGGAATGTGGTGGTGCAAATGGGTTTGGTGGGAATATCGAATGTGGTGGTGCAAATGGGTTTGGAGGACGAAACCATGGATGTGGGAAAAATAACTTCTTGTCCACTATATGTTTACGGTGTCTTGATGATCTTTCAACGTTTTCTTGAAACTGATCTTGAGTTTCTTTCAAAGTCCGTCTAGTCTTTCTCTCTGGAAGCTTATCTCCAGCGAAGAAGATTTGATGTTTACCATTTCTTGAACACTTCTTGCTTCCAGGACACAAAACCTGGGATCCTCTTGTCTCCTGTCTGAATCTGCTTCCAAGGTCACGAGATGAGCCTGGACAAATCCAACATAGAAGAATACAAACTTGTCAGAACAGAGAAAAGAGAAGTTTTTTAAATTCTAAAATTAGCTTTTTGTTGGATGATACCTGAAACTGAGTAGAGATTATTGTTGTTGCAATGGACATTGTCAGTGATTCTTACAGGTGGAGTTGTTGCCTTTAAAGAAAAACTACTGATTGTTATGGTTAAGGAAATTGAGATGATGATGATGAGAAGAGAACGCATTTTGAAAGCTCCGTTTTTCTAAATTTGTATCGCTGTTTTTGATACAAACCAGGGAAAGTGTGATTAATTCATAAAGCTCTTTTGTTCTTTTCTGTCTCGTGATTCGCCATTTTTTGTATAATTCTGTTTCTAGGAGGACAAAGAACAAAAAAACAAAAACGTAAGTGTTTATTGCTTTGTTTATAGACTAGAGTATTGGACAATTGTTGCCTGACAATAGTAACCGATCTTCACGAGAGTTTAATGTTTGAGAGTATTTCTCAAAACTCGAACTCTCACGATCGTTACTTGTACACAACAACAACAAGAAGTTCGCAACACCAAGACTCAGTTTCTCAACATTCTTACACATTTCAAAGGCTAAAAAGGTTTGCAAAGTAAGAAACTTGCGCAGGAAGCTAATCAATGATACACAAACCTAAAGACTGATTAAGAGAATCAGACCGCATAAATACCTAATAAAACCGCCAAAAACACTAAATGATGTAAAAGGAAACAGAGGAACTATAATGACGCACAGAAACGGATTTTATTGGTAAAAAATATTAGATAAACCTTATTTGCAATCTTGTAATCCATTGCCAATCATAAGAGAATTATACTTTATTTTTATTTTTTTTAAACGAAACCCTTTGGCGTATTTGCAGTGCTGGGAGGAAGCTTGAGCATTCAAGAGCTCAGTCTTAAGTTCAGGCAACCATTGCTCCGATATTGTGTTCTCTTGTTCAGTAGCATTAAAGGAGGACACCTCAAGGAGTTTGTTATAGCATTATTCAACTCATCAGATATTTCTCCATCATATTCAAAATCAAGCTTCGTACTTTCTTTTTCATCTCATGATGTGAACTTGGTCTATCCATGTCGGTATCTATACATGTCGGTAGATTATTATAGGATAAAATTGACTAAAAGTGGTAGGGTATCCATAATTATTAACCAAAGTAAACTCTTATAATAATGGGTTAGGTAATGACATTACCGTAATGGTAAGATGACAAATAAAATCATCACCAAACAAAGCAATCGGATTTGGATTTAAATAGTTATTTTCTATATTTTTAATTACTCATAACAGTAATTTAGTTATCAAATTCCTTGTAAATTATATGATACACACTGTATCATATGATTCCTTATCTACTGAAATTAATTTGAACTGGCAATTTTACCTGTAAAATTTGGATGATTCCGGTTGGGTACATAAGATTGGGCCATGTCGAAATGTAAATGCCAAAAACATATGGGTCAGATTTTAATTAAAAACCTACAATGAAAACATTAGGGTAAAAATGTAATATAGGTGAAATTAAAGGGACGATTTTCGAAACATTCTGTTTTCCTGGTTAAATTTCAACCAAAACCTATGGATCAAAAGGTAGAAGAAGACAAAGACGTGAGAGGAGAGAGAGACGATCGCTATTATTCCGGGAAATATCATTTTCGCCGGAAAGTTTTCGACGTACCTGAAAACCTTCAATCAAGAATTATTCAACAGGTTAATATAGTCTCTCATCCCGGAAAAATTCAAAGATTTTCTCATTGCTTCTGGATTTTCCCAGGCCTGATTCTCAAAGGTGCTCTTCGATTCCTCTGTTTTTCTTTTCTGTTACAAACAAAAAAAAATTGTACTTTGATCATCGAGATGATCAATTTCGAAAACCCTTTTGTACATCAGCTTATAATCCCTTATTTTGGCTTTGATTGTGGTTTCATTGGATTGATTGTTAAAGAAAGAATGTAAAAATTCCAAATTTTTGGAGATTTTCGGAAAATCATTTCGTTGTATTGTCTTGTGATGTGTAATTGTGTATCAGAGGATTCAATTTAATCAATGGTTTTTAGAAAATGTGAATTTTGATCTGTTTCTCTTTTACAGGTGATTCAACTGTAGTAGGAACAAGAGTTGTTGTACCAAGAGAGAGAGAGAGGACTCTGGTTTTTACAGGAGTCAGTAAAATCTTCTGTGAAATTGGCTTCCTCTCTCGTTACACTTCTCTGAATTTGAAATTGGATTCTTGAAAGTTGAAAATGGGAGCTCTCTGTTGTTGCTTCCAAGTTGATCTCTTTGAGAGTTATGTGAATCCAAACACTCCCATGGCTAGAAACTGTCCATGCCTAAACTGCTTCCTCCAGAATTTCATGGGTTTGGTATGTTCTTGGCCTTAATTGAATCATATAATTTGAAAGCATACATCTTTGTTTTCAGTCTCATACTATCAACTTCCGGTTCTGCTTTTTTCGCAGTATACTTCGATATTTAACCGAGGAGGAATGCAACCAATACCTTCAAGTGTTGAGGCTGCTTCAGTGATGAATACAACAACTTCTCTTGATGATGCATCTCTCTCTAGTGTGTACCATTCGCCTCCGAGGCCATTGCCTTATGACTTTCGTTTCGTTAAAGGGTCAAGCCATTCGGGGGAAGAAGCAGAACCGTTAAGAGGTGGTGACACTGAAATGAGCTCTGAGGTTTTAAGCGGTGGAGGGAAACGGAGCAAGTCTGATTATGAAGATGGTTCTAAAGAAGTGTATACGAAAGGTTCATCGACCGATGCAAAGTCGAAGACGATGCTTGGGATGGAGATTTCTTATCCTGATTCGGATGATGAGGATATTTGTCCTACCTGTCTTGATGGTAAAACTCAAAAAAACTACTTTGATGCTACATTAGTCTCTTTGAGTCCAATTTATGTGCTTATTGCTGCATGAGAAAGAGTGTGTTAGGTTGCTAGAAGATCTCTCTAAGTAGCTTTCTCTAGTTTCTTGGTTTCATTTCTTCATTTTGATACTCTCAAGAAGCATTAGAAGAACATATTGCAATCTCTAGTGACATCTGAAGTAGAGGATTGTGTTTCTTGTGATCTCCTTTAGTTCTTGCTTTGAGGTAATCTTGGTTTCGCAATGTGCAGATTACACGCCGGAGAATCCAAAGATAATCACCAAGTGTTCTCACCATTTTCACCTTAGCTGTATTTATGAATGGATGGAGAGAAGTGAGACCTGCCCTGTCTGTGGAAAGGTAAACTCTTTGCTCTCTACAAAGTTTCAGACTTTGTGATTTGATCGAATGTTCGATCAATCTCCTTCACAGATAGTAAAGTGCATCAATCTAATGTTTGCAGGTGATGGCATTTGATGAAACTGGCTAGAGGGAACAGAAAGACAATGGGTCTCTTCTATGCATAATAAGAAGATAATAATACAGAGAGAAATCACTTGTACATAAATCTTCTGTGAAATTGTGAATATCCAGATGCCTTGATAGTAAATATGAGAAATTGTGATGTCTCTTTAGTTTTATAGACTTATTATCTTAACATTTAATCCTCAATAAGATATTATCTTTACAAAAAGTTTGAATCTTTCAGTATTTTGATTTTCTTGAACATGGCCTCTATTAGCAAAAAACAATCTTTTGCAACTCTGAAAACAGAGCAAGAAGAAGAAGAAGAATGTTGTTCAAAATTATATTCTCTGAATCATTAGACAAACCATCAAAGACCAAATCTGTTTTGATTATTACACCAAGTTCTTGAAAAGTCATAACTCAAAAACTCAAACAACAGAACAAACATAATCTCCATGGACATAAAACTTCAACAACTCTTGAGTTCACTGTATTGTGTGTTTAAGCGCTTCAAACGCTTTCTGGAACGTCTCAGGCGGCTGTGCACCGCTCAGTTTCACCTTCCCATTGATCTGACCAGACAATACAATAAGACTAAGGAGATATTATAAGTGATAAATCAATCTGCAGCACAATAAACTTACAGTGTAATGTGGGACTCCAGTAATATTTCTTGAATACTTCTCCAACTCTTCTTGCACCTTTCATTACATAAGAATATCAAAAACAGATCATTCAAATATCATCCTATAATAGAAACACTAATGATTCAGCAACAAAAACACACCTCTGTGACTCCATTGTTTGGCTCTGAGAGAAACTCTTCTGCTCCTTCTATGCCAAGCTTCTTCGCCGTCTCAACCAAAAACTCCCTGGATTTCATCAGCGTCAATGTTACCAATCTTTTGTCCACTTTAACATTTAATTATCCCTAAAGCTAACTTATCACAAGCACTAATCAATAAATCAGTAAAGTTTGTGATAAAAATATGTATATATATACCTGTCACCGATGAATTTTCCCTGCGTGAAGTAACCAAGACACAACTCTTCAACAAGGCTATGTTGTTTATCCGGCGCTTGTTCTCCGGTATAATGTATAAGTCTATGACTATCGAGAGTGTTGCCTCTGTGATCATATCGACAAAACATTAAGAGAAAAGAAACAGAAGAAATCTCTGTTTTTGGATTAAAGAATGATCCTTACGTGAGACCGGTTGTGTCATACTCTAAGCCAATACCTTTGAAGATCTGTAATGAAAAAAAGAAGAAGATTATCTCAAGATTCTTGAATCAAGAACATAATTAAGCTTTGTTAAAGAATCAGTAAGTGAAAAAACCTCAGACATTCTGGTGAACATTCCTTCACATCTGCTTCCAAATTTCTGTTGGTAAAACTCTTTCTTGTTCACACCTTCTTTAGGTGCAGATGCATCAAGAAAAAATGGATGCCAACGAATCTAGAATTGTCACAAAATTAAACACAATAAGCATCTCAATCATTCTGCAGTAAAGATAAAAAGGAAAGAGAGCAACAAAGAATTAACCTCAAAGTTGTATTGATCTTTAGATGCATCAATGGCTTTATCAAGATTCTTCTTCCCTACAAAGCACCATGGACACACTGTGTCCGAGCTAACATCGATTTGGATCAGCTTCTTTGAAGCAGTGTTGCTTGCAGACTCAGCCATTTGGAGATATCTCTAAACCAAATTTCAGTCACAACTCAGAAATAAAATTCCAGAATTTCAAGAATCCATTAAACTCAGAAACTGGACCAAACCAAAACACAGACTATAGACAACAAGATCACTTGGATCCAAAACAGAGATTTGATCTTCAAATTTGCAAAACAATTTTTTTTTTTGTTATAACTGGATCATAGAGAAAGGAATCTGAATTTGATTCACTTGCAACATCAAAGCCCAAATTTCAAGTTCTGACACACCTTTGATCAAACAAGAACTCAAGAAATAAACTCTAGGCATCAAATTTTTGGATTATAGTCTGTAAAGGTAATAGTATTTTATTCCAAATTGTACAAATCTAAGCATTACAAGCACATGTGTACTATAAGATCTAATGTATTTTTCGTGTTTACCTGGAAAATTTTGGAGGAAGAAGATCGTGAACCTCTGTTGGAGCCTGGAAGACAAGTCAGAGATAATCACCCATTCCACCAACTTTCCGACATTTTGTTGCATCTCTTTTTGACTAAATTTTTTTAAACAAAGGAGTTACGTTTGTCTTTGTATTTTTGTAGGAAGCAGACAAAAAGGCCCATTAGCTCAGTTGGTTAGAGCGTCGTGCTAATAACGCGAAGGTCGCAGGTTCGAAACCTGCATGGGCCATTTTAGTATTTTCTTTCCAATTTTGTTTTGGTGGTGAAATAAATAATGATGATCAACGATGGATAACGATGAAAGGTTAAAAGTTTTATGTGAAAAATGTAAAATGTTATAGAAAAACATTAGCTATCTGATCTCCACAGATAAGCTTCCATTTGAACTTTTATATATTGGTTGATATAGTCGGGTCTTGTCGTCTAAACTTTAAAGAAACAATCAAACAGAACAACAAATTTTAACATTTTAACCAACCGCGACAAATTCACATTGACCTTTTGTGCTAGAAGCTAAGTCTCTGAAACTAAAGTGGAGAGAAGAATCATTCAACAAACCTTTAATTAACGTATAAAAAGTGTGTCAAACTAATTAAATGATCGCCAACACTTGCCATTTCAAATCTCAAGTACATTACGTTTCACTGGGAAAACATACTTTTTTATTTTTAATTAGAATAACCATGTAAACCATTTCAAACATCATCTTATATATAATTAGGGAGTTGCTCTCTCCTCTTAGAGTGTCCACATCAGCAAAAAAAAATACAAATTAATTAAATCAAAATTAATGATTCAATTAATACATACACTTTCATAATATCATTGAATGATTTATTATTCAACCAAAAATATAAAAATGTATTAATAAAAATATAAAAGACAAAAATAAATAAAAATTGGTTGAACTTAATATTTAAAAGATTAAAAGTTAATTTTTAACAGTAGATGCAAGAGATTTATTTTTAAAAGAAAAAAATGTACTGAAAATTTAAAATGTCTAAAATTCATAATAATATATATTATGTAAAAAGATAGTGTATGTAATAAAATTTCATGGAAAATGTTTAACTGTTGAAAGCTAACAGTTAAATTTAAGTAATAAAAATAAGTTATATATAAAACTAAATTATTGATTTTGATGTTAAAAAAAACTAAAGTATTGACTATTTCTAACATTAAAAAATCACTCAAAATTTTTTTTATATAATATTTAATAAATAAACATCAATATCATATATACAGAACAACACATAAAGAAAAACATTAAGAGCAAGTTTGTAAAGTATATAAATGATGATGAACAACCAAAAATATATGCAAACAACCCGCGCTTGCGCGGGGGTACAATTTCTAGTTTATTAAATTTCTTTGATTTGCAGTACACTAAGACTTGTTCAACATCTAAACTCATCTATAAATTGAGATCTATGTCTCATAGGTTTCTTATCTCTCGATTTAAACCTAATTCAAGAAAAAAACTTAAACCCTTCCTCTTTTCTAAAAACTAATATATATGGCAATGAAGAGTCTCTCGTTTCTTGCAATTCTATATCTCTTAGCTTTAACACTTCCCTTAGTCATTGCTTCTGACCCAAGCCCTCTTCAAGACTTTTGCGTCAGCGCCAACACCTCAGCAGATGGTGGTATGTACATTAACTCGTAATCATTTTTCACTCATATTTTTCATTGATTTCTTTATGAACAAGTATATTTAATATAATTTGGTTACTTTTATTCAGTTTTTGTGAACGGAAAGTTCTGTAAGGACCCGAAGCTCGTCACAGCAGATGACTTCTTTTTCTCAAATCAGCTTGAAAAGCCAAGAAATACTGACTCTAGTCCAGTTGGGTCTGTTGTTACTGCTGTTAACGTTAACAACCTTCTAGGGTTAAACACTCTTGGAATCTCAATTGTCCGTATAGATTATGGAGTCAACGGACAAAACCCTCCTCACACGCACCCACGTGCCAGCGAGATCTTGCTTGTCGCGGAAGGAACTCTTTTAGTTGGGTTTGTCACGTCAAACACAGAGAATCGCCTCTTCACCAAAACACTCAACGTTGGTGATGTATTTGTGTTTCCCGAGGGACTCATCCATTTTCAAGCGAACATTGGGAAATCACCTGCCGTTGCATTCGCTGCTCTGAGCAGCCAAAACCCGGGTGTTGTCACTATTGCTAACACCGTGTTTGGGTCTAATCCTCCAATAGATCCAAGTGTTCTTGCAAGAGCGTTTCAGTTGGATGGTAGGATTGTCATGGATCTACAGAACAAGTTTAAAAAGTAAAAAGTATTGTGCTTTGAATTGCTTTTATTTTATATATGTACCCCTGTCCGAATAAGGATCTTGTAACTGGTCACTGTAAGTTTGTAACATGACATGATGTTTGTCCTTTTACCTTTGTCGTTGATGAACCAATGTTTTTCTCTTTTAAGAAAATGAATAAATCTTTTTGATGTCATTTTGACATTAATGAAAAAAATATACATTTCTTTTATGATGAATTTTCTTAGAAAAATGAAAATAAAGGACACACACATTCAACGACTGATTCACAATCAATATAGGTTCAAATATATGTGACAAAGTTAAATATTCTCACACTAGAGAGAGGCCTTATCTTTTAAATAATTGAACATCCATTTAGTTACTTACAATCGTGCCTAAATAGAGAAACAATCAAACCAAACCAACAGTTTCATATATATTGAAATTTGGCTGAGTCAACTCAGCTGCATGTGCAAATGAAATATAATCAAAATGAGTGTCTATAAAATAGTTACAAATTGAGAGTAGATTATTATTAAACAAACATTGTATGTATAAGTTTTCAACACTTGCCATTTCAAACTTCAGTTGGACCATTTTTCATTGGAAATCGAAATATATTGTACTGTCTTATTGTACTTTCGTAACTGAAATATTGGTACCATTATTTTTTGAATACGAATGTAAATTGTATGATTGTGTTGTGTATTAAGATGATTACAGGAGGTTAAGAAGATAAACTAATTATTCTATACATAATGAGAACAATCATAAGAGTAGTTATAGGGATGAGGAGTGAGTAATCTTAGGGATGTGATATGTTGATTGGTATAGAAGGATATCCTTAATATTATCAACATGGTGTGTTGTGGAGGCACGATTGATAAGGAACAAAAAAAACTCAACCATTTCAAACCTCTAATTCATACATTTTCTTAATTCATGGATTTACAGGTGTATATACATTTACATGGACTACTTCAGCACCTATACTCATCTATAAGTACAACTCAATGTCTTACGTATTTCTTACCTCTCGACTAAAAGTACCGTATTCAATAAACAAAAGCCTTTCTCTTCTTCAACAAAACCGCCTCAGCTAACATATCGAAATGAAGAGTCTCTCCTTTCTCGCAGTTCTATCTCTCTTGGCTTTAACAATTCCATTAGCTCTTGCTTCTGACTCTCTTCAAGACTTTTGTGTCGGTGTCAACACCCCAGCAAATGGAGGTATGTGCATGTTGGTCTCCTCATATTTCCTTACGCTAATCTTTCAATGATTTCTCTCATTTCTTATATTATCTTCTTGTTTGGTTATTTTGTACAGTTTTTGTGAACGGAAAATTCTGCAAAGACCCAAAGCTCGCTACCGCGGATGACTTCTTCTTCGCAGGGCTTCACAATGCAAGACCCGTAGCTAATGCAGTCGGCTCAAATGTGACAGCCGTCAACGTTAACAATCTTCCAGGGCTAAACACTCTTGGGATCTCTATTGTCCGTATAGACTATGGACTAAACGGGCAAAACCCGCCTCACACCCACCCACGTGCCACCGAGATCTTGCTTGTCCAACAAGGAACACTTTTGGTAGGGTTTGTCACATCAAACGGTGATGGAAACCGTCTCTTCACAAAAACACTCAAGGAAGGTGATGTATTCGTGTTTCCAGAGGGACTTGTCCATTTCCAAGCAAACATTGGGAAGTCACCTGCCGTTGCATTCGCTGCTCTGAGCAGCCAAAACCCAGGTGTTGTCACTGTTGCTAACACCGTGTTTGGGTCTGTCCCACCTATCAACCCGAATGTTCTTGCTAGGGCATTCCAGTTGGATCCTAAGGTGGTGACCGATCTCCAGAACAAGTTTAAAAAGTAAAAATATTCTGATTTGATAAACCCGGATGTTCTTGCAAGGGCTTTCTAGTCCAATTTGTACTTTTTAATTTCTTTCATTTCATGAATTCGTCTAAATACGGATAATGTTTTTGTCACTATTTGTTGTAATGTGACACCATGTTTGGTCGTTGCCTCTACCTTTAATTTGAACTGATTGTTTTTTTTTTGTTTTTTTTTTTTGTCAAAAATGAGTTATACATTCGTGACAGAGTTTTATCGCCAAACTATTATTTTTCCTTTTCAAATTAATTAACGATCAGTTATATTACATATTTACGATGGGAAATTAGTGTCTTTAAACAAGTCAAAAAAAAAAAAAAAAAACAGTAGCATTTCATCTGGAAACTTACTCACGAAACAATTATTTGTGAGAAAAATTGGAAAAGAAGACATCTAGTCAAATATGTCTTATATGGTAGATAACTAAATGCAGACAGAACTGGCAAAACTGCACGTAAATCCATGATATTTAAAGTTGTGCTGTAACTGAACCAATATAAGTACATAATTAGAATTTTTCATCCGTCAAATATACAAAATTACAAATACTAAATGACCATATCCTTAGATACTAAAAACAAAAATAAGGCATAATTGATAATTCTAACAATTGTCTTTACGTGTAAAACATTGTATTTTCATCCCAAAACTTAGTTGATGGATACAATAATCGTTTTTGTTCGGAAGTGGAACAATTTTTTTGTGTGGTCTATACATCATTTAAACTGAAACAGAGGGATTGTATTAAACTACTGTCGTTTGAGTCTTTTAAATCTAACTGATGGTGCTATAAAACTAAACTAAAGATTGTTAGAATGTTTCATACTAGTAATAGAAAAAACCATAGGTGGGGTTTTGTTAATCATTAATAGAATCACAGTAAAAGTAAAAAATCTATAAGCAAGTTTAAGAAAGAATCAACATCTTTGGAAACTACTTCATAACCTTACATCAACAAAATCAAGAACGTGGAAACTACTCATGTAAAAACAATACTAACACTTGTTTCAAAAGATGTTTTTAACAAATCTCGACGAAGAAGAACATCAAAGACTAGGTCAAAGAAACGAATAACTCCATGGGAAGTAAGGGGGTCACACAATGCTGATTGTTAAGTTGAAACTAGATTCTTATCTTCTATTTTTTTTTTTTTTTTTCGGCATATCCTCTTTAGGTTCTATGGTAACCAAGGGATCAAGCCTTTAAATAAGGTGGAAAAGTCCTTCAAATCGGGATATGACAAACTAAAATAGAGAAATTCGATTAGTACTTGAAGACAGTGCCAGAAAAATCATAGCTTAGGTAAACCACGAAACGTTACAAGATAGTAAACTCAACTCTTATCACGATCAGAATATCCTCGTGCGATATTCTTGATTTCATTCTCACAATGTGTGGACTTATTTTAGATTATAACTTCTTATCACCTTGCCACATTAAAACAGTAAAAACTTGTATTACAAGCATGGAACCAAAAACTACAATGAGCGGACAATTTAAGGTTGCGATGAGGTGGTGTGAATCATATACATTTGGCCGTTGCTCAAGGAACTCACTATCGATGGGTAAAATTTTATGTGTAAAAGTTAAAATATTCCTCAATGACGATATTAGTCTTATCTCTTTCAATTTGTGACGTTGATTTAGACTTACATATCTGAGTTGATACAGCGCGGCTTGTTATTTAAGAAACAATAAAAATAAACAAACAAATCCAAGTTGATATTTGTTCCAGTCAAGTCAACAGCACGTGCAATTGAAATATCATCCAAACAAGCACCTATAAATTTATGACATGTTCAAATGCATCATTTGGGATAGATATATTACCACCATAATCATTTCATCGGGGTGTTGAGACTTAGTTAAAAAAAAAACACCGCTTAAACAAACATTCTTTTACCATTTCAAACTTCTACTTCAAGACATTGTCGCACTTTTGGATTTACATATATGAATATATGGAATGATTCAGCACCTATAATCATCTATAAAATTAGCTCTATATCTCATATGCTTATTACCTCTCCATTAAAACAATACTCAAGAAACAAAAACTCTTCCTTTCATTGAAAGAATCTCTTAAGCTAATACACCACCATGAAGAATCTCTCATTTCTTGCAGTCATATCTCTCTTGTCTTTGTCACTTCCATTGGCCATTGCTTCTGACCCAAACCCCCTTCAAGACTTCTGCGTCGGTGTCAACACCCCGGCAGATGGAGGTATGTGCATGACTTCTTAATTTGTATATTCATCTTTTTATTGTTTCCTCGTTTCTAATTATAAATATCATTATTTTGTTATTATGTTCATCAGTGTTTGTGAATGGAAAGTTCTGTAAAGACCCAAAGCTCGTCACAGTCGATGACTTCTTTACCTCTGGGCTTGATAAGCCAAGACCCGTAGCTAATGCTGTTGGGTCGAATGTGACCGCCGTTAATGTTAACAACCTTCCAGGGCTAAACACCCTCGGAATCTCTATCGTCCGTATAGACTATGGAGTCAACGGACAAAACCCTCCTCACACGCACCCACGAGCCACCGAGATCTTGTATGTCGGAGTTGGAACTCTTTTGGTTGGGTTTGTCACATCAAACGGTGATGGAAATCGTCTCTTAACCAAAACTCTCAACGAGGGTGATGTATTTGTGTTTCCAGAGGGACTTGTCCATTTCCAAGCAAACATTGGTAAATTTCCGGCAGTTGCATTCGCTGCTCTAAGCAGCCAAAACCCAGGTGTTGTCACTATTGCTAATACCGTGTTTGGGTCTAACCCAGCAATAGATCCCAATGTTCTTGTCAAGGCATTTCAATTGGATCCTAAGGTTGTGCTGGATCTACAGAACAAGTTTAAAAAGTAAAAGTATATTTTGCTTTGAATTGCTTTGAATTTATTAACCCCGTGTGGACGAGGATATTAACTGCTCATTGTAGCATGACATGATGTTTGTTGTTTGCTTTTTTACCTTGATCAAATCTATTATGTACCAATGTATTTTTCTTCAATTGAAATGAATAAATGTTTTGAACGTCAATTTGGAAACTAATGAATAAATATTTATTTTGTGATGGAGTTTCTTTAACAAAAAGAAAAAGATTAATTCCATCTTGTAAAAAAATTTTGTGATGAGTTTACGACCAACAAATTATATTATTGAGTGATTCGTATGACTTTGTCACAAAAAATATGGAGTCACTTTTAGTCAGCACTAATTCCAACAAAAAAAAAACAATGTTTTAGAGTTATTTACTTCTTTTTTTTTGTTCTAAAAAGAATTAGGTGGTTGACTTTTGTACCATTGTGACAGTGATACTGATGATATGCGGGCATTAGTTTTTGTACAGTAATAAAGTAATAACACGATTTTACTATTTCTACAAAAAAAAATCTAACATGCTTGTTTGATACTCTAGAACTTCAGATTGAAAATTTTACTTCCTATACGCATGTAAAAACCTTAATATGCCTAGAGTATGATTGTTTAATATGTTGAGTATTAGTTACTTTAAAACTTACGAAATTTTTCGTTTTGTAGTTTTTGTATTTGTGCTGAAATAAAACGTAGACGATAATACGTAGATTTCTTAATTGGTGAAGGAATGTTTTAGCATACCGAAGAAACTAGATATAGCTATTAGACACAAAAATAATTTTGTGGCTAATAGACCTAAATTAATACAGTCATTATATTGCCTGTAACTCAAGGACCAATTCCACCAATCTAATAAATCCAGATTGACATTAGTTTTAGTCAACACATTATCATTGAAACAAGCACGTATAAATTCGTGACAATTTGAGAAAATATAATCACTAATCAAACACACACCAATTCAAACGTCAAGTGCATCATAGATATATTACCACCATAAACGTGGGGGGTTTTGAGACATAAGAGAACACGATCTAAACAAGTAGTTTTTTACCATTTCAAACTTATAGCTCAGACATTGTCGCACTTTTGGGTGTATACATATATGAATATATGGACTGGTTCAACGCATAAAATCATCTATAAATTGAGATCTGCATCTCGTATGTTTCTTACCTCTCCATTATAACCATAATCAAGAAACAAAAACTCCTCTCATTGAAAAAATTGCTTAAGTTAATATACGAAAATGAAGAATCTCTCAACTCTTGCAGTCCTATCTCTCTTGGCGTTAACACTTCCATTGTCAATTGCTTCTGACCCAAGCCCCCTTCAAGACTTCTGCGTCGGCGTCAACACTCCGGCAGATGGAGGTATGTGCATGACTTCCTAATTGGTATATTCATCTTTTAAGTGATTTATCTTTTCTGACTATAACATTTCATTATTGGGTTGTTGTGTTCATCAGTGTTTGTGAATGGAAAGTTCTGCAAAGACCCAAAACTTGCGACCGCGGATGACTTCTTTTTCTCAGGGCTTCAGAATGCAAGACCCGTAGGTAATGCTGTTGGGTCGAATGTGACAGCCGTTAACGTTAACAACCTTCCAGGGCTAAACACCCTTGGAATCTCTCTTGTCCGTATAGACTATGGAGTCAATGGACAGAACCCTCCTCACACCCACCCACGTGCCACCGAGATCTTGCTTGTCGCGGAAGGAACTCTTTTAGTAGGGTTTGTTACATCAAATGGTGACGGAAATCGTCTCTTCTCAAAAACACTCAACGTGGGTGATGTATTTGTGTTTCCAGAAGGACTCATCCATTTCCAAGCAAACATTGGGAAGTCACCTGCCGTTGCATTTGCTGCTCTAAGCAGCCAAAACCCAGGTGTTGTCGGTATTGCTAACACCGTGTTTGGGTCTAACCCAGCAATAGATCCCAAAGTTCTTGTGAAGGCATTTCAGTTGGATCCTAAGGCTGTGTTGGATCTACAGAACAAGTTTAAAAAGTAAAAGTTTATTGTGCTTTGAATTGCTTTGAATTTATTTAACCCTGTGTGAACGAGGATCTTGTACTAAATGCTCATTGTAGCATGACATGATGT